GACCACAACCTCAACGACCACAACCTCAACGACCACAACCTCAACGACCACAACCTCAACGACCACAACCTCAACGACCACATCACTATTAACAACTACAGTATCACCCGCCACCACTACCACCACCACAGAATCGACATCGACGCTGCCAAGCACCACCAGCAAGGGCCCACTCTGCAGTCAACCAACAGACCAAACCGAACTGGTAATAGACGGGACCTTCGAATGTCCGAGCCACTCGTGGCGGTCCGATCTCTCGCTAGCTTATCAAAGCGTGGACTGTCTACAAGGGACATGCGCGCGACTCAATACGCGTAACACGCGTCAAGGGAACCTCTACGAAACTGTGATATACCAAAACATCAACTACGGCTTCACACTGTCCTATAATCTGGTCGATCCCAATGGGGAGAACCCTAACTGCGACATGATCATCGAGACTTCCGGGGTGCGCTACACCATCAATACCCTCCTGTCTGGCGGATGGCAAACTGTCAGCAGTACTTTCACCGGGAATGACCAATCTAATGCGCAGTTCGCTCTCCTGTATACGTGCAATATTGTGTTTCATGGATATGTGCTAATCGATAATATATCGGTTTTCGCAGTTTGAGTAGAATCCTTGATCGGCTTACTGCGTATATAGCGATAGGGGCCTGGCATTAACCCTTGACGTCTTAACGGAAATATGGGTTACTTTACTATGGTAAACCATGACTTCTGCAAACAACAGCTTGTTGAAAATCCCTGTTCTCGGGGTTGTGATTTTGAGTAGAATTCGCTGCTAAAGTGAACTCTACGTCGCCAATGTCAAACTCCAACATTGCCAGAGAAGGCGAAGCCAGACAGACTCATTCTGTTACTCCACACTCGAGTCAGGAGCAGAGCAATCGAAGAGACATGAAAGATTTCAGCCCCCAATTTTGTCTTTGGCTGACGTGTCAAGCAAGAATCATCCCAGCCAACGTGGAAGATGGACTTGGAGATATGGTTTTCCATGAGACAGGTGTTCAAAATATTGGTAGCTCGCCACCTCCAGTGGACAATTCGTTGCTGAGGCAGGCGCTACGTAATGGCCGATGACTCTACTAGAATAGGACAGCTCATTGAATCTAAGACTTCATGGTTGGTGACACAGCCACGTCCCCACATATTAATCCACCGCCCAAGTTCATAGCATGTCATGAGACTGTTCCCATAGCTGTTGATTAAATGCCGTCGAGGTAAATCAATGTCTTAAATCTCACTTTTTTCCCAATACGCTAGAGAGCCGGCTACCGAATTCTCAACTCACAGCATATAAGCTCTAGTCTAAACGACGCGAGCGACATGAGCGGGCAATAACACTACACGCGAGGTGACATCTCCCCATCCTATATGTCAGTGCAGTTCGGGCATTGATACCCCGGAGGTAGGGGACCGCACAGGGCCTCGAAACCGATGACCCGTAGTGACTTGATTTCGTACTAGATGCTTCAAACTAATTGATTGTACCTCAATTCTTTATCGATCTCACTGCTCCCGCGCCCGCGCCAGTATGATCAAGGCTTCAGCTGGACTGTAATTACCTCATCAGGAGGTAGTCGGCGACAGTGGTGAATATATCGTGCTCGCCTCCTCGAGTCTCACCCGGTCTTCGGATCCCTCCCTCATCTAGCTCCGCATCATCGTGTTGAGTCACGAGCAGATTTACTAGACCTTGGCATGATTGTCCGTTGGAAAAGTCTTTCATCTCCCTTCGTGGGCTGGGAAAGGGTTCTGTCTCGGTTGTGGTCAGTGGCATAAATTTCGAAAGTCAAGTTGTAGTTAGAGCCTGTCCGCGCACATTTATGGTTGGGTTTGTCGGAGATGTCCATCTCGTCACCAGTTTAAATATTAATTCAAGAACGAAGAGAACGCTATCCACTTTCTCATCAACCAGGAAAATATTAAACATCAACCAGGTAGAGTGTAGCCCCCTGGCATGCCACTCATTGTGCAGAAGAAGAGTCATATATCTCTGAGGAGTATTAGTATACTTCTCATCCCCACCGCCAGCTCAACATGCCACTTCGAGTACACGTCTTGTCGCCTCAAGACCCTTCACATGTCGCCTTAATTCCCAAAATAGCGGAAATTCACCTTGCCGCCTGGTTGTCCAATACTCTCTATACTAAAATTTACTACGGCCCGCCAACCAGTCACCGGGCCGTTGGCGAAGCGATGGGACAACGGCATCTGGACGCCTTTACATCTAATCCTAGTTCAAATTTTGCTGTGGTGGTCGACGACGATATTGAGACTACTTCTACAAACATTGAAAATGGGGATGACTTGATCCTACCAGCCCGGGTGATAGCATTCCTGAAGTACGATGTCTTTGCGACCGTGGAGGCTCTGAACGGGCGAAAAGATGCTGGCAAACGTACTTGGCCGCCCTATACCAACATTGCCCTCGTTTCGAGCTTCTGGGGCGACATCGTGAAGACCAGAGAACGTTTCTCGAAACAACTTGGACCGCATGTTAATGTCGACTTACTTGCAACCTTACCAAGTCATCATCGTCGTGGAGCGGGAAAATTACTGATGGACCATGCCATGGGAAAGATCGATGAATTGCATCTTCCCGGTACGCTTGAAGGGAGTCCACAGGGGTTGAAGCTGTACAGTAGTGTTGGCTTTGAACCTGTGGGTGATATTTGGGTGGATTTGTTGAGGTTCGAAGATGGAGGTGATAAAGGGGATGAATGGGCCAAGGCCGAAGGGAGAGTTCCGGGTCAGGGTGAAGGGTGGTACAAACATGTTGCTATGATCAGGCAGCCTAGGCCACAGTGATGATGCCTGCTCTTCAAGGACATAGACATTAGAGATAGAGATGCCTAGCAGGCAGAGCATGCCATTGTCGTCTAGAAAGAGTTACTCGTACGGATGTCTCAATAGATTTTCCTGGTAAACCTGCCACTAGTCTCTCACTAAAGACAAGAAATCATGGACTAGTGTCACACTAAGAGTTGAACAACTCTAAGCGGCAAGGAATTCCCTCCCCAAACAGGTCTGCATGTTGGAGATGCGAAACTTGAGCCTGAGGTCGCAGGTCACAGACACCAATTCACACTGCCGCTCAGAGTGCAAACCACCACCACCACCAGCGTTCGACGTCACTTGAGTCTTCTCGATACACAACCGTGACCTTCACAGCTATTCACCTGTAACCCACCCTTCCAATTTCTATTCCAAACTGCCTTTGATCCAACCTGCTACCACCATTGTTCAGATTCGAGCGCTCCTCGGTTCTTGTCACCGTCCCCTCCTCCATTCACCACAGCAATTTTGCCTCCACACACCCATTCTGCCTCTACACTCGACACTTCAACCTGCTCTTGTACAACCTAAATTGCGTTGAATCCATCTTTCAGATCTCCTTCAATGTCCTGATAGGTCCAGCTCTACCACCAGTACCACAAACACCCTGAGCGATTGTATACCAATGCGAGAACAACTTGAACACCATCACCACTTTGAAAATGTCCGGGATATATTCTGTTGAAGACCTGTTGAAATTAAGAGCTTCTCCTCTAATATGCAGACCACCCAATCTCCCTCCCATGGAGGAATGGATGGGGTACGATTTAATCACACTCTCTATTCAGGTCGGTCAGGCGGCTAACTGCTAAACAGAGCGCAAGAGCCAACAGCGAGAAGACCTGCAACTCGACCCAAACCAGACGACCAAGGGTTGTCGAGTGAGACATTTCAGAAAAGACCTACTCTTCTTGAAGGGCAACGACGAACAACCACTGGTACACTTGACCAGCTCATAAACATTCCACCATTGTTTGCTAACATTTGTACACAGACCCTGATCGGATAGTGCTCGGTCCTCCGCGTAGGTCCTTCGCTTCCTCAACTGCACGTGCTACAGATAAGAAATCGGATGCGCCAGAAGAAAAGTCAAAATCAGGTGACCCGGCCGACTCTCAAACCCGTGAACGAAGAAGTACACAGACAAATGGGCGGCATAATCGCCATGAGAGTGATGATCAAAGTTTAGACACTCGTCGAGACTACGACCGTAAATTGAGATGGGGTAGAGACAAAAATGAGCAACAAGAACTGGAAGACGATCAATCTTTGGAAGAATCTCGTCCAGGATTCAGACGTGATACAGTTTCCAGAGCAAAAATGTCACAATCTTGGTTCAGAAAGGATGGCGGGGAGCCATTGGAAGAGAGCAGACGTGACACGGACAAGGCACCTGATTGGCGAACACGAGCAAGAGAACGTGATTGGGACCGTTCCCTCAAACCTGAGGCAGATCCTGAATGGATGGACTCAACAGAGCCCGAAGAGCCATTCCAAGCTCATACTCAAGAAGATTTCCAACGTTGGAAGGAAAGAATGAAAGCTGGTGGAGCTCCACAAGAACAGCCAGAACCGGTTTTCAGTGATTCACCTGTGGGCATTACCGAGGAGAAGACTGCACAAAAGATGGCATCTCCCGAACCCGATGATTCGATGGACAAATTCTTTGCTAGGTATGAGCAAAAAACCGTTACTCAGAAACCTGCGTCTGGCAAATCAGGAGGAACCAAAACTCGATTTGCGTCTTTATTCAGCCCATCAACTGAGCAGTCTAAGCCATTCGAAAACATGGCCCCTGCTGCAACTGAGAGACCTACTTCTGCTCAAATGCCAAGTAGTAGTCCAATGGATGCTGATCAAGCCGGATTTGCACGAATCCTCGAAATGTTACAAACACGAAGTAACAACCCTACTCCTCAAACTCAAGAACAAGTCAAACCTAGGACTCCATTATATGCGAGGGATGTACAGCCAAAAGTGGAAGGTGAACCTAGACCTTCATCATCTTCCAATCCCAACCTATTGTCATTCTTAGGCAATCAAAATGTTGGCTATCCCCAAGAGCCACCGCCATCTCACGAGCGATACACCGACTCCAAATCTCCGGCCGATCAACATTCTCATACTCGACAACAATCCAGTATCAACAAGGATGAAGTATTGTTAAATCTTCTCCGACAAGCTAATCTCGCTCCTAAGCCACAACCACCTCCACCCCATCAACATTCGGACATGAGATCTGCTGGGATGATGTATGGTGGACCAGATCCAAATACAAGACAAGAATCGTCACGAAGGCAGATTCCTTCTCAAGCACAAGACCAAGCGATGAATCAAAGACGAGAGACAGGACGATCAATGTTTGATGAGCCTCCTGTACCTATGTACCACAACGACCCGGGATCACGCGAACATCTCTCAAGACGACTTACCAATGGTCCACAGCCCTCCTATAACGAGGACCCATTGATGGCTCTGTTACGTAGTCAAAACCAAGGTCAACAACGAATGATGCAGCAAAGTCAAGCCCAGGGTGTACCGCCTGGTCTTCAAAGACCTCCGGGGCTTGACCAGATGCCCCGTCAAAATCCCAGTTGGCCACCACAACAACCTCAAGCACCACCTCAATCTCAACAACAACCTCCACGTCAGCCACCACTACCTCCTGGTCTGGCCAATATGCCTCGAGGTATCCCAGGAGCACCCTACGGCCAACCACAACAAATTACCAGCCCACCGAACATCCCACCACCGCAGGCACAGCGACCACCCCCGCAGCGCAAATATACAGGCGAGTCCCCATCCGCTGCAGGATTGCCGAACTTCCCACCAGGCATGGTTCCACCACCTGGGTTCATCAATGCAGGCCCACCACCGGGATTTCCTGGAGCACCGGGCGGAGTCTATTCCGGGAGATTCCAAGGTGAACCACCTCAGGCCGGCAGAGGGGCATTCATGGAGATGTATGGTGACATGGGTGGACGTGGAGTAGGGTTGAGAGGCGGAGGAGGAAATGGAGGAATGCCTCAACAATACAGATGATTCGATAAAGTGAATATGGATCAAGGAGAAACATCTGCTGAAGAACGAATCTCAACACCATTATTCGGATGGCACGGGGGTGGAATGTATGGATATGATGGGATATGTATGATGTGCAGTGTTTTCACCAGTCCTCTACGCCAATCAATTTCTTGCAGAGCAGATATCGAAATTGAACCGACCAGACAGAACAAGTGACCATCAAACACAACATTTAGCTGGGGAAGTGAGCGGGTCAAGAACTACCGGATGTGTTTGAACATTCTAGACCACTTTGCGATGGGGGAGGGCGATTTTATAATTTGCCGACTCATCGAACGGTGTCAAGTTCTATCGCACGCGGCGGTGTGTATGGCATGTCAGGGCACCGAGTTTTCAGAAAATGGTTCCAGCCCATTCATTGCAGGCAGAGAGCCGGACAGGCAAGCAGGCAAGGGAAGCGAGCGAAGCAATCAATCAATCAATTACCTCTCAACTTGAACCCGCAACCAAAGCAAGCAAGCAAGCAATTGAAAGAAAAAATCCAAGAGGGTTCTCATGCACATTGAGAATGCTTTCAGAAAACTTTAGTCGGCTCTGTGTGTGACTGCACATGAATCATCCTCGCCCCCCACAAGATTTTAATTGACATTCAAGAAAGGTCTTCTGTGCTTACTTCACTTCACGTTTTGATCTACTTGATTTACCGCGCGCGCATCTTGATCTTCTTGACCAGACTGCTGACCTCGACATCGCCGTCGCCCTCGGCATTTCCATTGTCATTCTTCTTCGTCCCCTTCTTCTCCCTAGTTTTCTCTTTCTTCCCCTCCACCTCACCGCCCCTATCCTTCCTTTCTCTCCTCCTCCGCCCTTCCTCCAACACATCGCGCATGCCCTTGGTGCCCTTGAAGCGCGGATTCGTCGGGTCGATTGCGTATTCGTGACTGTCGAAGAGCCGCGAGAAGCGCGGGTCGCTCGTGTCGAGTTTGAATCGATCGTCGTCGCCATTTGCGTCTGCATCAGCGTCGGCATCCGTGGACACTTTCGCCTTGTCCTTCTTGCCCTTCTTGCCTTTCCCTTTCTTGCGCGCAAGTTTGTCCGCGCGTTCGATCTCCTTCATGTCGAAGTGGCGGATCTTGCGAGTGGCGCCGTCGTCTCCGGCGTCTAGATCGGCGTGGTCGTCGACCATTAGGAGTTCGAGCTCGGCGCGTTGTTTGCGTTCCAGAGCTTCTTCGGCTTCGCGCTCTTGTCTTTTCTTCAGCCGCGCTTCCTTGCGTAGTCGGTTGCTGGCGGTTTTCTCTTCCGCGGCAGAGGGGGCGCTTCCAGATGCGGCGGCTGTGAAGAAGGGGTCGTCGAAGCCTAGATCGTCGGCATCGGCGTCGTCATCACCTGATTTATTGGGGTTCTCGTCTCCGCTGCCATTTCCGGCTTCCTTTTTATTTTTTCGACGTTGTTTTCTTTCGCGCTCTTTCCGGATGTATTTCTCCATGGTTGTTTCGTCTGGTTCGGGAGAGTTTTCGAACACGCCGCGGTTCTTCTTCTTGTTCTTCTTGTTGGACTGGTCGTCTTCGCCTTCTTCGGCGGGCGCGGAGAAGCCGGATGTGAATGTGATTTGCATGTCTCCGACAGGTGCTTTCTCCTTCTTCTCGCCTTTGGAAGACGCCTTTTTGACCGGTTCTGGTGCAAGGCCGAGTGCAGCTCGCATTTTCTGCCGTTCCATTTCTTTCTTGGACAGTGTTGCCTCATTGGCCTCCTCTTCCGCCTCATCGCTGGAACTGTCAGAGGCAAGATATGCTTTGAGATCATTCTCATCAATTTCCTTTCTACCTCCTTTGAATGCTCTTGCGATGGTTTCCTTTCGACTTCCATCTTCAGCATCCCATGTCAACCGTACTTTACTATGTTGTAACGCATCGGTGACAAATTCATTCGGGCGATAATCGTCTGGTATAGTTGTACATTCTTCTTTTGGGATATCTGTGGAGAAGTCTGTTTCATCGGGGACAAAACGGAGATCAAAGAAGTTCGCTGTGGTCAGGTATTCGGTTCCATCAACAGCAGAGTAGACATGCTCGGCAACGGAAGGGGAAGAAAAGGTCAACACGCAGTAGTAGTACCGCAGTCGATCTAGTTGGTATCTGCGCAGAGCGGCCGAGTCAAACTCTGCGCCTGTGTCTGGGGCGAGAAGGGAATCTTTTATTTCAGCTTCTGCATCGGAATCTTCGTCCTCGTCACTATTATCCGTCCCCTCTTCTTTGGTTGCAAAGATTTCTTTGGGTGGACCTTCCATCTCTTCACGTTCTAATCGCTCTTTGCCAAATTCGCTGGGGTATATGGAGACTTGTAGGAGAGAGCCTGAGGCAGGTAGAAAGCTGTTGATGACAGCCATGATATCTGCGGCGCGGATGTTGTCCCAATCGAGATTGACAATAGCTATACGAGAGGTGACTTCACCCGTGGGGATTTCGCCTTGACTGGTCGGACCAATTGTCGGTTCATCTTCAGCAGCGTCGTCCAAATCATCATCGTCTTCATCGCTGGAGGAAGTCTCGTCTGATGTCACGGAAGAGGAATCGGAATCTCTACCTTGTCGCAGCAGGTCACGAGAAGTATCGAGTCTCTTCAGCTCCCTTTGGACTTCGTCATCGTCATCGGGCTGGTCATCGTCGCTGTCCTCGACAATTTCCTGCTCTTCGTCTTCGTTAAAGTCGTACTTCCTCTTCAAACGAGTTCTCTCCGCATCGTTCTTGAGCGGACGACCATATCGATCAACTTTGGCTCGCTTTGTGAAATCTTCATCGTCAAGTACTCGAGTGAATCTTTTGTCTAGTTTGACCTTGTTTTTCCTCCCTGGTAGTCGAAATCTAGGATCGGATTGGATGTTTGCGAATCTGGGATCTGTAATTCGAGGCTCATCTCGGGAGAAATTTACGGTCTTTTGTTTTTTGGCTGGTGATTTGGACATGATTGACGTAGGAGACCTGTATGTGTCACGCCATTAAGGGGGCAATTCTGGAAGATTATCAGACTTGGTAGTACTGATGAATTGCAGGAGTGGGTGGTATTCCGCAAGATTTCGGATATCGGAGTAATGAGATACCAGCGATTGAAAAAAAAAAAGTTGTGGTATGATGATGGTTGTTTGGTGGGGAAAAAGTCAGAGGAGCGGAATTCAATGGTTGGTGCAGATGGAGAATCGAGATGCAGGGACGGGAAAGCAGGGGTGATTGGGGGGCATCATGGAGGCCGAGGGGGCTAATTGGGGCCTATCTAGAGACTAACGGCTAATGCTCACAGCCTAAAGAGCCTATAGGGCAACCCCAAAGCCACCCGGGGGTCCATGCTTCATTCTCCGCCGCTAAGCTTCGAGTCGAGTAACCATCTTAAAGGCCAAAGCGGTAGCAATATGGCGATGATAGGAAAATATCTCATGGCTGAATATTGATTGATTGTTGGATAGAGACTCCCAATAGAACTCGGGCATATATTATATCCCTTCCCTTAGGTATAGACCATATCTACAAATCTAGCAGCCCAGCAGCCCAGCAGCCCAGCAGCCCAGTAGGCTCACCTATCCTTAACCGCACCTCTAGTTACTACCCCGCCAAGCTCCCCTCCAAACCAACCCAACCGCCACCGCCCACACTGCAGCCTCCCCTCCATCCAAACAATAAATCGCAGATCTCAGTCGCAGTCTCGGATTGCTACAGCTATAGCACAGGAGAAACACAGCCAGAGCCACTGATCACTCCTCTGGCAATCATGTCGGCCGGCTCCTGTCTCATCACTGGGTACTACCACTCCTCCATTTCTCCATCCCCTTCCTGACCCAAGCTCTACAGAGGCACAGGCTACATCGGCTCATTCACCACTCTCGCCCTCCTCGAAGCTAACTACAACGTTGTCATAGTAGACAACCTCTACAACTCCTCTCCTGAAGTCCTCAACCGCATCGAACTCATCTGCGGCCGAAAACCCGAATACTACAACCTAGACATCACCGACGAAAAAGCCCTCGACGATGTCTTCCAAAAACACCCGGAAATCGACAGCGTCATTCACTTTGCCGCCCTCAAGGCGGTGGGAGAATCCGGTGAAATACCACTAGACTACTACCACGTCAATGTGACAGGAACCCTATCCCTCCTCCGCTCCGCCGCTCGCCACAACGTCACCAACATCGTCTACTCCTCCTCCGCCACCGTCTACGGCGATGCGACCCGCGTCCCAGGCATGATCCCAATCCCTGAAGAATGCCCACTGGGTCCGACCAACCCCTACGGCAACACAAAATTCACCTCGGAGCTGATGATCACAGACCACATCAACGCCGAGCGCGCCAAAGCCGAGAAAAAGGGCGACAGCGCCGCTGCCGCGAAATGGAACGCCGGCCTGCTACGCTACTTCAACCCAGCAGGCTCGCACCCGAGCGGAATCATGGGCGAAGACCCATCAGGAGTGCCCTACAACCTCCTCCCGCTCCTCGCGCAAGTCGCAACCGGCAAGCGCGAGACCCTCCTCGTCTTCGGTGACGACTACGCCTCTCATGACGGCACCGCCATCCGCGACTACATCCACATCCTGGACCTAGCCCAGGGCCACCTGAAGACCCTCGACTACCTGCGCACGCACAACCCCGGCGTTCGCGCCTGGAATCTCGGGACAGGGCGTGGCTCAACGGTGTTTGAAATGGTAAAAGCCTTCAGCAAAGCCGTCGGCCGCGATCTGCCCTACAAAGTCGTCGGGCGCAGAGCAGGCGATGTGTTGGATCTGACGAGTAACCCGTCGCGTGCGAAGCGCGAGTTTGGCTGGGAGACGAAATTGACGCTCGAGGATGCGTGCAAGGATCTGTGGCGCTGGACCGAGAACAACCCCGAGGGCTATCGCCAGCAGCCGCCGCAGAAGTTTTTGGATGCGTTGAAGAAGAATAATTGAGGGGGAATGCTCCATTCCATTTCCCGGTCACCGGGTAGATGAATCAATATCAGAGGGCGGAGTCGAAGTCATGCGTTGATGTGTAGACCGCTGCGATGGATTTGCCATTGGACTTTGCGGTGGCATTATTTCGGGTTGCATATTTTGGACATGGTGAGTGATGATCGCCCTAAAACTGCATACATGCAGTCGGGCAGAGAAAGCGGGTGGACATCCGAGTAGAACGTAGATATAAGAGAAAAAGACAGAAAAGCATGGCAGGGCAACTTGTGATTAGGTCACTTGAGCCTGACCAAAAATGGAAATGATATGATATGTTCGAAATCATTTGGATCAGTTAGATACTGATACAGAGCCGCCAACGCCGTCGCTAACACAGAGCCATATCTTTCCCATCTCGAGCCTCCCTCGTCCTGTTTGTTCCAGCGCTATGCATTAGTTTGAGGGAGATTAATACGAAAACAGAGACCAACTGTCAAATCCGTCCTCAAGTCGAGTAAGCAATACTTACCCCGACCGTCCCGCTCCATCTTTTGATGGGCCCGGCATCTAAGTCACTCGCCCCGTTTCCACTGGCGAGCACGACACCCAGCCCGTTCTTGACGACAGGCGAAACACTCACGCCTGCCGAGACGAGTAGACTCTTGACCCGGCTGGTCCATAAGGCCCTGACCACCCCGGAATCATCCACGCGGAACTTCAACACATTCTCCTCTTCGCGCTGTAGTCGCTGTTCTTTCAATGCGCGCTCGGCGGGTGTGAAGAAGTCTGCGGTCTTGAGGCGTGCCCATGCTATTGGGTCTTCGGGGTCGGTGGTGGTTTTACGGCGGGGTCGCCATAGCTCGCCGCCCACCACGTATCGTGATTCCCAGCTGTAGAAGTTGAAGTCGAAGCGGGACGAGAGTGCGAGGTTGGGCGTCGGGCGTACCGAGTAGGATGAGGAGATGGAGCCCGTCAGTGGTGTCAGGGTCAAGGTCATGGTATAGGGAAAGGAGGAGTGCGGGATGTTCGAGGGTGTGAGGAGGCTGTGGCTGGCGGTGGAGAGGAGGGCGGATGAGGTTCCGGCGAGGGGTTTGTTCGTGGCGGGGTTGGGTGTTGGCTGAGAGCTGGTTTGGGGTGGCATGGGCGAGGCAGTGATGTTCGGTGCCAGGGTGGTGAAGCGCAGGCCCGTGGAGAGGCCAATTACGTGGGAGAATGGACTATAGTAGAACTCTGCTCCGGCGGAGACGAGTGAGGGCTTGGATGCCAGTCGGTTCTGATATGCGGATTGACTATCGATATTGGAAGGAAGTGGAAGGCCAGATGGGAATTCAATGAAGCCATCACGCGGCTCGATCCTTGGACTGGAGGATGAAGGTGAATGCGAATCTTCAGGCGGCGAGATCCCAAAGTTCCACAACCCTCGGACGCCCAGCAGAGCACTATCAGTGGACGCCAAACCCTCGATTGAGTACTGGCCAGTGTCATGCTGAATGTGTGCTAGACATGACGCCGGGGGCGTTCTCGAATTGAGGGAAGGCCCTGTCACGGATTTGCTGTAGAGGGATAGCGATAGGAGCGTCTCGGGATTTATGCGGCGTGCATATAACGCGGTCAAGACGGAGGGTGGTGGAAGAGCTAATGTGGCATGCAGTAAGGTTGGCTTCCTTGACTTTTCACCAGTGCCTGTAGAAGCCTTGCTCTTGCCCTTGGAATATGTCGGCAGTCTTATATCTCGATACCCTCTAACCAGATGTCTCAAAGGGATGCTCGGTGTTTGGGAGGGAATGTGCCCCAGTGGAACGGTGGTGTAAAGATAGGAGAGAGAGCCATCGATTTGGCCGAGAGTGGACAGGGTATATGAGGAGGCGAAGTTGCGTGAGGACAGGGAGGAGACATGGAGTGCGAGAGTGGAAGGAGTATTGAATGAGAGGAGAGCATCGGAGGTTGCGGTCAAGGATGAATAGCTATTGTCGGGATTCCAATCTGTTGATGCTCCGAAGGCGTGCACGATGTAGTCCATGAATTCAATCATACTGACTCACTCTGGCAGCTCATATACTGGGATCCCGTCAAGAGGCAGGGCCCGATATTTGGCCTGAGCATGAGGCTGAGGTACTGGTCGTGGATGCATGTCCGAGTTGATGTGTCAAATTCATTATTGCCCGGAACAAGTTCGAAGCTAGAGTGCAAAGTGGAGCTCTGCCAGACACTAAGGAGCCTTTAAGCGCAGTTGCGCGGGTTTCTTTGAACGACGTTGGAGGATATTATCTGCACCCTCCACGACCCGCCCCCTGTTTAATAGCTCAAAGAAATAGGTGATGCCTCTCTGTGCAGTGGCTGCTTCGTAAGAGGACAGGGATCTGACATCCAGTCGTCTCTGCCCCAGTTCCCAGCTCAGCCTTTGCGGGCAGACTCACAATTGAAGATCCTGGACCACAACCTGTCAGCCTTACCACTGCTTGAGTTCTTAAATACGAGAACTCTCTACCTCCGCCATGGCTTTGCTCAGTTTCTGTTGCCTGCAAGGTTCTCAACCTGATCATTACTCTCTTTCGAAATCATCTTCGAGCGTCTTGCAGTACCCGACTTTGGCTGCCATAGACCTGCCTGCTGTTGTTCTCATGCAAAATGGCAGAGCTTGGCCTCGCAATTGCGGGTCTCGCATCAATCGCTGAGGTTGTCGGCACTAGATTATACAATTATATCCACATTGCCAGGAATGCAGAAGCCGAAGTTCTCACGCTTACTGAGCAGATCGACTCCCTCAGAGGAACGCTGTGGCGTATCAAGAACTTGGTAGGCAATTCAAGTTTCCCATCGGACTTCGCTGCACCTTACCTTTCACCAGTGCATGCATGCGTCTCTGCCCTGGATAAAGTCCGGGACAAATTATCGAACTTCTCAGACAGGGAAGGCAAGGACCCCTTGGTGGGCAAACGGAAATGGAAATGGCCTTTCTCCCGCTCAGAGACTCTCGACTTGAAGAACAAGATTCAAACATATGAGACCAGCCTCGGATTGATGCTTACAGCGGATAACCTTTCCACAACCTTGCACGCACTGCATGAGTCAAAATCATCCCACCAAATTCTTAAAGACGTCCAACAATATTTTCAGGCCGCGAGTCAGATCAGACTCGACGAAGAGAAACAAAAGCTTTTGGCACTCGTTAGTCCCACGAATCCTCTTGCCACTCTCAAGACCAACGTGAAACTGTGGAAGTCGGGCACTTGTACCTGGTTCACCGAAGGACCCGAATTCAAAAGTTGGCTGACTACGGAAAATTCAAGCCTGTGGATTTACGGAATTCCTGGGGCTGGCAAATCGATACTCTGTGCTCAGGCAATCCAAAAGGCACTGTCTCTGAGTGATGAGGAAAACGCCGTCACCTATTTCTTCTGCGATTACAAAAACCACGGAACTCAAAAGCCTCGCAATATCCTTGGCTCTCTAGTGGAGCAGCTTGCGCGCCAGAGCAAGCGGTCTTACCAGCAGCTGAAAACCTTTGCCGACGATTACAGCCAAGCTACCAATATGCAGAAGTGGGAACCTGATTGCGATGACCTATTCCAGCTTGTCGTCCAGATGAGCGAAAATTTCACAAGTGTTAGTCTTCTTATTGATGGTCTGGATGAATGTGACGAGCACATTGTGGAGGTTACCAGCTATCTTTCTCGCCTTGATGAGGCCTCTAGCCGCTTCAGGATACTTCTCTCAAGTCGCCAGCTTGTGGAGATTCAACACATCGTGCAAAGGTTTCAGTCCCTTTCCATCGCAGCCCGAAGCACAGACATACGACTGTACATTGCTCATGAACTCGAGCAGCGGACAAACCCGTCCAGCCATAGGCCACTGATTATTGGCGACGAAAATCTCAAAGGGGAGATAATGGATGCGCTGGTCTCTCAAGCTCATGGCATGTTCAGGTGGGTTGCAGTGCAGCTCGACTATTTCTCAGAGCTACCATCGGACCAGGCAATCCGGGAAGCATTGACATCTTTACCGCCCGACCTTGCCCAGTCCTATGAAAGACTTTTGCATATGATAAGTCGAAAGCCGGCCGCAACACAGCAGCTTGTTCAGCATACGCTGATGTGGCTTGCTAGTTCCATGCAAGATTACTCCGATAATCCTAAGGAGGCGCTCCTCGAAGCACTTTCCATTACTAATGGGTCATCTCGCTTCAATCCATCGAACATGCCAAGTCCTGAGAAAATTCTTCGTGCTTGTGGCAGCTTGATCCGATTTAATATTGAAAAAGACACGATCGAGCTAGCTCATTTCACCGTGGTGGAGTTCCTAGATGCGATTGATGTCGATATACAGCCCGTATTGTCCAGGTACAAGACTGGCGGCCACACTCAGTGGAATTACTTGACATTGACATCACTGACGTACCTTTGCTACGACGATTCATGGCCTCTTCCACAATCTCAAGAGGAACAAAATAATCTCAAAATAGATCACCCCTTTCTGTACACAGCCCATGAAATGCTGCCTGCCTGCCTTGCCAAATGCGATATTCAACACGAAGAAGTCTTGAGAGTGGTGATGGAATTCTTCAACCAACGGCGTGCTGACCCTCTACTTCTTTGGCTTTATCATGAAGCCTACAAGTGGAAAAACTTCAGGAATTTTGATTTGTCTGGACTGAGGGATGCTCTTCTGTTAATGCCGCTCATGCCAATCTGTTATGCAGCGATGTTCAACCTGCCAGAGGTTTGTAAACGTTTGATTGACGCCGGTCAATCTTGCAACGCTCTCAGTCCATTAGGAACTCCTCTACAGCTTGCAATCATGGGACGACACGCATTAATTGCCGGCAGTCTTACGTTCCGCAGGTCAATCGAAGAGTCGGCCATCGATCGGCTCTTGCTGACGCTCAAGGTGCTTCTGAGTTATGGAGCTGATGTGCAGATAAGCCAGAGGTTATTCGGAGGGCAGAAGAATCCTGAATCGGTTCTAGCTCTTGCAGCAGGATTGATCCGTTCAACTGATGCGCCTTTTCGAGAGCTTGCTGCGGCGGGTGCCTCATGTAAGGCAGACTGTATCTCGGTTATGCAGGAGATATGGGAAGATGGGGAAAGCATAGACCGACTCGTCCATAATCTCCAATATGTCCAAGAAGGGCAAGTTGAGCCATCCAGCATGGCTAAGTTCAGATCATTGAGAGATCGTGCATTGCTACAGCGGACAGGTTCAATCCTAGGCACCCAGACAATGCAACTGGTGCAACTAGATGATTCGCCCGCACGAAAGGTCGAACTGTTCTTCAGCGCAGCGAAATTCGATCAAGCGCGTGCACTAGCCTCCTTAGGACACCAGCCATGTTTTGATGTCAACGTGAAAAATGATGAAGATGAGACTGTTTTACATGTGGCAGCAAGACATGGTTCGTCATCTGCTATGAAAACGCTGCTGGAATTACCTGGCATCGACACCACGATTAGAGACAAAAACGGCAACACTGCTTTGCATATAGCACTAGCCATGAGAGTGAATATGTCAATCATCAAAATGTTGCGTGATGTGCAGTATAGATCCAAGACCATCATAGGAACCTCCAACCACGAACACGGCGCGCGGGTGGGTGGTCCGCAAACAATCGAAGATCTCGAAATTCGAGAGAGAAGAAAGAACGTTCGAATGATATATGATGCCATCGAGATTGGTGACCAGAATGTAATTGATCTGATCTATTCAGAAGACAGCCCAGTGTTTTCGCCATGTCAGATATGTGGCGAATGCGACCTCTTCATACATGCCCTAACACACGACGAACACATTGCCTTCCGTCTTCTGAAGCGCGGCTACAAGGTTATTGGAGTCCAGGATCCGCGACACCATGGGTACGCCCGCACAGCGCTCCATATCTGTGCAGAAAAGGGCCATCTTCGGCTGCTGGAAGCAATACTCGACAGAGCGCCGTTTCTTCTATTTCTCGACACAGAAGTACATCCAATTCACCTTGCAATTCTCCACAATCAGAATGAGTGCCTGAGGGTAATTTTAGACAGGAGGCATGCATGCTGGAACTCAGTCCATGCTGGCCAGGGGACTTTAGGGTCGGGTCCACAAACGCTTGTAGATAAGCCATTTATGCCTACCCTGCAGACAGACCGCAAGTTCCGATTTCTAGAGTCATCAGATCTCAGTATCATAGCCTTGCGACCAAGAGACTTCCCTTTTGGAGAGGCATTCGCAGAAAACCTTAACAAATTTGAGATTTGGACCTATGGCGTTCTGCTACCGCTTCATTGCGCGGCGCTAGTGGGGAATGAGGCAGCGGCTCAACAACTTCTTGAGGCTGGGTCTAAAAAGGACTGTATCCCACCTGGTGGTGTCGGTACTGCTTTGTCCATTGCGATCAGTCAAGGGGCGCTTGAGATCGCAGAGATCTTGCTTGAGCATGGTGCATCCCTGTACCATTATAGTGCATTGGGAGAGAGTGGAGTTAGTCTTCTTGGAAAGAAGAGCCCGGAAATGTTCCTCCGACACTGTGGATCCTTTGATCTTGATGTTCATCCTGATTTGGATGGTGAAGGACTAATTGCACAATTAGTGAGAAGTGTTGGTCAGAGATTTCTGCCATCCTATCTCGAACTCATGGGCCATGCACGTGAGCTACATGGTCATTCTCGTGAGCTGCATGATAGCACAGCTCAAGGATACTCAGTCATCCGTGATGTCTTGGCAACAAGAAGTCCTGCAGTCATTGATTATGCGCTGAATTCCGGATTTGACCTCGGAGCTTGGAATGAGCATTCGGGCGGAGCCCTGAATGGTAACTGGGTGAATGAAGATATCCAAACACTGAAACGACTCACCAGACGGATCGGTTATCAGAGGAGCACAAAGCTATTGAACAAAAAGCCCGCTCAAACTTCCACTCCGCTTTATAAAGCTGCATTGATGGGTCAGCAAGAAGTTGCCCGATTCTTCATGAAGCACGGCGCCGGCATCAATGTCATTGGTGGGCTTTTGGGCACACCACTGATGGCCGCTGCTGGCTATGGACGGCTGTGCATTGTCAAAGACTTTGTGAATGCTGGTGCTGAACTGTCGTGCTTCTCAATCGACGAGAATCGTGTACGGAGCGCCGTCGATCTGGCGAAGTATTTTCCTGATATCCAGCGGTGGCTCTTGGTCGAACGATGGACGGAACGGAAGAGGATTACTTGGGAGGAGGCTTCAGAATGAATTTATCTGCTTACCACCGGGTTAATCAAAAGTATTTTTGATGAGCAATATTGGTGGTGATTAAGATGTCCGTAGGACAATATTTTCTCTTCTTCGTAGCCCATCAACTCTCGAGCCTCATGTGAAACAATCAGTGAAGTAGCAGGTTGTCAACAATGCTCATTTTCTCGACTGTAACCAAAGTCGGAGCTTTGAGGTCTTGTTAGCGTGTAATATTGAAAAGGTCAAATGTTTGGATCCCCAGGATCGCCAGAAGTCAGCCATTGTTTACGTCAATCATCTCGCGCCTTTAATCATTTAAGCGTCGGTTCAACGACATCATTCGAGACCCCGCTGATCCTCCAAATCTGTTATCATTCGACATGATTAATATGCGATCAGCCATCAAGGCACTTTATTGGTTTCACAGCGTCCACGTGAGCGTCTTCAGCCCCTGAGCGTTAAACGACACGCAACGTTATGTTCCACGCTACAGGAAGCGAGGCTTGGAAGGGTTACATAACCAACCAGTACTCGTACCTCCTCGTACTTCCGTATCTCATACGGAATATCCTGGCCCCCAACTCCACAGCGGCTCGTGTTGAATCAACGGCTTTTGCCTCTGGCCTGAATCTGAACTTCTAGGCATTGTTGCCGGCACGCCTGAGAATCTTAGGGTTTTAGGACCCAGACCAACTCATACGGATCAAGACGGCCAGGGATATCTTGCCCCTCGCGGTCTCTCGACCTGGAGCTTGCATGTCTAAAATAACTTAAGGTCGTTTGACGACGGACGAGTCACGGTCGACTCGTACCATCTAAGTAGTATGGATAAACTTTATGCGAGGCACTTTGGTAGCCACCATTGAGCTTTTAATGGGCCCTGAGGTTGGGTTTCACGACAATTGAAACTGCAAGTTCGCAGGGTTGTTTCTTGCCTAGATCTCCAAGAAATCCAGACGATCGTGCAGGATTCAACCTACTTCACCAGGATCATGGACCACAAAGATCTGAAAACGTGAATTTGTGGCAGACACTGATCCTTCACTATTTCTTCCAGCCCAGCGCTGTAGGGACCTTGATCTCATAGGATTTTTGTCGTTGGACAATGTCGCTAAGACGGCGGCCCGTGCCAGACGGAAGCACCACGCAAGCCACAAACACGAATGCGCCGAATGATAATCATGGACAATACGAGCCGCTACCAATGCGCACAACCGATGAGTATCGTTCAAATTCTGACGGTGTGAGCTCTAACTCTCAGAGAACTGACGGGTCACGAAACAACATCGAATCCCGGTCTTCGAGGCCCTTACAGGCGACAACAAGGCAGGAGGAACATTTACAACATCAAGCGCTGCCGTTGATCGAGCAGGATTCATCGCCTTTGCCGAATGCCACCACCGTGTTGCCCATATTGAGGCCATCTTCAACGAGAAGATCGCAACACCGATCAGAATATGAAGCGATACCATTGTCTGAGAATGAAGAACCATTAACTGGCAATGTGAGCCACTCGACTTTGACCGTGCAGAACACGCCGGCTCCACAACATGCAACGCAATCACAATATGCAGCATTGTCGATGGTGGATACAGACGATGAACCAAGTACCACGTCTGATGTCGCACCGGCAGTCGAGCCATCATCACCTCCGAAAGATCCAAGACCCCCAACTTGGAAGCCATTCGCACTCAAGCGGCCAACATTGCTCGCAAGCCTCATCTTTTCGCTTGTCCTAGGCGGCGTGGTGATCTTTCTCCTAGTATATTCAACGCTACACAGCGGTCTAGGCACAGATGGCGGATCCTCTGCGGTTTTCTTCGGCTGGCGATTCACACCCACGCTCGTCGCCGTCCTGTACACGCTCTTGCCTGCGATGATATTCACCGATGCGCGGAGAACTGAGCCGTTTGCACAGATGGCCCATCCGAGTGGTGCGCCTGCCGCAACGAGCATACTGAAGAGACCATCACAGTGGTGGACGGTACTTACCGACAGCTTCAGAAGGCGTCAGAATCATGGGACGGTCAATTGGTTCCTTCTGGCGACTGTGCTGGTCAATATGATCAGTTCCCTGCTCATAAGCCCTTTGTCATCGGCGCTTCTACAAAGCGAGCCTGTTGATCTGGTGTCGCAAGTGCCAATCTCCCAATATGTGGTGTCGGAGAGCCAGCCGATATCGATGGCGGCAACCGACCTGACCTATTTTCGAACCATCAGCAATATCCTCCAGAATCTCGATACTTCTGCTTGGCTGACGGACAAATATTTCATCGTCCCGTGGTGGCCGTCCGACATCCAGTCAAATTTGGGAACCACGTTGATGGGCATCACCCAACAATGGAAAGCCGATGCCCAAGTCTTGTCCATGGACCTCAAGTGCGAAGCCATGGAAGTTCACGCAGCATACTGGGAAAAGGACTTCTACGATCCCAACTATGAAGAGGTGCTCTCGAAATCATTTCATTCCTTGCTGCTCACGGACAGCAAAGGGTGCGAGGCTGGAATTAATGGCTACGACCAAAGAATCGTTTCTCGTGGTGGTGGTTCTTGGTTCTTGCCGCCCGACTTTGTCATTCCAATGTGGGAGATTGGTGATGAAGACGCTGAGTATTATCATTATTACAACAGTACACCGCAGTGCGATGGACGACAGGTCATACTGGCAACTTCGGGCAGTTGGGTCGGTGACACGGACAATACTACTAATTCAGACTTGAAAGTGGGCGCTTGGTCCTGCGAATCCGAGTTCTATGCCGCAAACATGGCAGTGAATGCTTCGACGACCACGACTGGTACGACGATATCAGTGGATGAAGCCATCTTTGACGCCAATCGAAAAATCGTTCCAGCTACCGTTATTGATAGAAAGCGATTTGAATCCGCCTTTCTTCATAAGAACTGGACCAGCATGCTCTATACAGCGGATCCCAACGGCCGAGCACCATATGGGGGCCCGTCGGCACTGCTCGCAGCCCTATATGACTTCGACTCGAGCAGTCTCATCGCTTCGAATGATTCGGTGAAAGATTTCCAAAGAATTAAACAACGCTTCTTTGGGGAAATGGCATTGGCCACCATAGCCGGGAACGCGGTCGACGATTCGCAAACCATCCAACTCACCGACACCCAAAACAGGGTCGTAGTGAATCTTCCCGTGGCGATTACTTTGGCAGTATTGTTCATCATCACGTCTGCCATGATAGGCGTACTGCTTCTGCTCTCAAACCGCAGACCTCTGAATTTGCATGACGATCCTAATGCGGTAGCCGCTGTTGTCAAGCTGATCGACGGGAACCAAGTCATCAATGGCCGCTTTCATGACTGGGATGAGAATAAGCGGAAGGGACGTGATTTGGCCGACTCTCTTCTGGACACGACGCATTTTCTCCAAGATGGAAAACTTGAGTCGGTCAAAAGCATTGCTCCTATCGCAGATTATACTCTTCCGCAGAAGAAACCTCGTGAAGACTGGAGGCCTTTCACAGTGGGACGACTGGGAGGATTTCTGTTGCTCTTACTGTTTTCCTCGATCTTCACCACGATCTTGGTTCTTTTTGTCCTCTCGCATACGACTGGCCTCTACCAGTCTGCTTTCACCTATGAGAAGGAATATAAGTCCTCCCAGTTCCTCACATTTGCTCCCTATTCGATCGTTCCCACTTTACTCGCCGTAATCGTGGTCTTGTGGTGGGACAATATCGATGAAACGTTCCGCAGATTGCAGCCGTATGTCACCATGGCCAAAGAAGCAGTCCCCATCACGTCGGTCATTGGTTTGACGTATCTGTCCACGTTGTCGATCAATTCCATGTTCCAGGCATTGGGCAACAAGCATTGGCTTGTGGCATTGGTTTCCTTCGGTGCAGTTCTCGGTCAAGTTCTGACGGTCTCGATGTCTGCTCTGTGGCAGAGAGCCGAGGGCTCTCGCCTTGGAGACATGGTACTAACGCGCACCCTGGAGCCTAGAACACTGCCATTTGTACAAACATATGCCGTGGGCGGAGGAATGGGAGGAGGCTCGGGAGTAGGTCAGCTCGTGCTTTCGGACTTCTATGCCCATCTCTCCACGAACTGGCTGTACTCCGCTACGTTGCAGCTTGCTTACAACGGGTCTGAAGCCCCATGGAGTAAGGACGGGTGGAGTTTTGCCCCTATCGATCTTTCTTCGATTCCAGAATCGGCAATGTACAAAAGCACACCTTCGACCAAGAATTCCACATCAGGGGTAGCCGCCGATGGACCGGGTGTTAATGTCACTCTAACAACACCGGCCATTCGTGGCACACTCGACTGTACTGTCGCGGAAGCAGCCACCAACTTATCGGCATGGTTGACCGAGTGGGATATGACCGATAGAGATCGGTGGAACGTGTCCACTAACCCCACTGGGCTCGAAAGAGGTTTCGAGGTCAATTCGGAAATTGAGTTGGGACCGCAGGCGGGATTTTCAACTACTCCCATTCTTGCCGTGAAGCACACGATCGTTTGCTGCGCCAATAGATCCGGCGACGTTGAGCGGGATGAGTCTGCCATCGGCTATTGGTCGGCCAACTATGGTGAATATCGGAGCTATGATTTTGAAGACGACTCTGGGCCTTATCCACGAAATCTGACCATCAAATGGATACGCGGAAATGCTGCTCGTGAGCTGTACAACGGGAACGAGACGTACGAAAGTGATTATAATAGCGAAAGTGGGGATTTGCGACATTTGATCTGGTCCAAGGCTCCGACAATGTCGGCAATGAACTGCCGGCCACGTATCGAACAGGTCAATGCGACTGTTACAGTTGATATGAAAACGAAACAAATCTGGACATACCAAACACTGGGCACGCCGGAAGTGGTGGACTGGCCATGGTCAGATGTGTATCTTCCACACAATTATTCGGAACCAGGAGATGGCTATGATGCCGGTGGTTTCCATGAGCAGATAACGATCAGTTTCGGAGTCTTGTTCCAAGATGCGATGATGTTCGCGTCCGACCTCGGGCAAATATGGCCTAGTCCAAACTATGACACCAAGGTCGAGCGGCTTATTGACAAAACCTTTAACCTCCGTCGACCAGACCTGGGACTCAACGCAGACCTCATGTCATACTCGATGTATCAGCTCGCTGGTGGTGACCTGGACAAACTGACGAACTCGACGCAGATGATGGAACTTGGTCAAAAAGTCTTCAGCACGTTTTTCCAGCACTTCGCTTCTATGAACAACTCTGCCAGCGGCGGGTGGGCATTTCAGAAGATCGGCACAACTCTTCCTCCTAATCTTGGCCCAGTACTGAACGCCAGCACCTCCTCAGGGTTGGCGGAATATCAAACTCAAAACACGTCCTTGACATCGGAGACAACAGCGACAGTGCATGTGGACATTTCTGTTGAGATTCTCCAAATGGCGCCTGTGGCAGTATACCTTACTTTGTCCATCTTATTAATCCTGGCAATAATCACGGTGGTGATTACTTTGATGGCTTACCCGCATTTCAAGTTATTGAATCACAACTTCGATGATCTCTGCAGCGTAATCGCTGTGGTTTATGCAAGTGAGAAATTGCAACGATGGGTCCGAGCAAACCCGGAGCCTGGCCAGTGGAGCGAGAAGCAAGTCCATGGCCAAACTCCGTATGTACGACTTGGTCGTTATGTTGGAAGTGGAGGAGTCGAAACCTGGGGCATTGATTTGGTCGAGGATGACCTCGGCCCTCCCACCAGTGTTTCTGTCACTCACAAGATGAAATAGAAATCCAGATCAGTTCCATCGTGAAGCTCGAACAACATATGGTTCAATAATACACGTTGGAGCTTCTTTCTAGTGCCATGATAGACAACGCGACTTGATATGACCTTGTCAGCTGGTTACTGATGACCTCCTGAGATGCCGTAGGGTGAAGAACGACATGCCTCGACTTGGGCTGGCCCGAGATAAAATGAGGCATAGCTTCGGCAAACTTACCCCTTCTGACTCCGTATGCCACCCCCTTCAGGAATCCTGTGCCGCGCAACCCGTACCTAGGTACTTGGTACAGCAGGGGAAATTCGGCAGGTGGTTAGGCGGTTAAAAACACACCCCAGGGATTCCACCTCCAGCCATAACGAAAGCCAGTGGGGCAACGTGGTCTGTCTGCTACTGCTACCTTCCTAATCTGATGTGTCTGATACATTTATTGCTCTCCTAGTCTGGCCGTTCTTCAGGAGACTTGCAGGTGCGTTGAATAGCCTTTAGGGTTTCTTCGACATGCCGGATCTGCAGAAGAAGCACACTGATTTTAGTAACGGTGCCGTTCACTCAAGCTGACGCGTCCACACCATTCATCGAAGTCGAGCATAGGTAGCCGTTGATAACCACAAGATAGCGGATCGACAGATGCATTCCTCGCTTCCCAGAAAGTCAGAAGGATGGGTCTTACAGGTTTGGCTCATTTGCAAGTGTTACATTGACTACTGAGTACCGAGCACAAACCAGCATTGATGTTCAACTATGAGAGACCATTGCAAAATTATCACAAACACTCAATCAAGGATCGACTACCATATCAGCAGTTGAATGGGTGTACACAATTACATCACGAGCATCCTCGGACAAGCAGAGATTTGTTTGTCATGGATTTGAAGCGTCGCCAATCAAATTACCCTCGAAGCTGAACCAATGCGTGCTGCGATGCCCATGCGGTTCGGACAAGCTTTCGAACAAAGCTTAGCATGTCTTCGCACAATCTTAACCCTCCCCGCTGGTGCTCGCTTGTCCAGGTCCGAACGCCACAAGGTCACACTGCTCCGTTGTACCCTCATACCGCGGCATTTTGTTCAGGCTCATGAGCATGGACGATAGCAAGTCCAGGGCAACACGTCATCCACTAATACCCGCCCACTTCGAATGCTATTTTGTCGTCCGGATCATGAGGTCGAACGAGGGCGGGTAGCGGGAGGAGCAGCCCAAGATCAAGTGGTCATTCGCCACCCCGAATCAACAAGTGGGGTATCCCCAGTTACTCACCTGCCTTATTACGTTACTGGATTCTTTCCTCCTGGCATGTCGCAACTATCAGGACTTCCAGGAGTTGATGGCCCCTTCTCGCTTCCACTGTCTGTGGTCTCCTACTGGATGGGGTTCAAGATTGTTATCATTCTCTGTGGAATGATCTATCAGGGATCTCCTCAAATGCATTGATAGCTGCAATCGTCTTGTGAGGTTACAATCTCAGCTCTTTCATGGCCCCGGCTCTCGCACTGGAAGCCGATTCGATCATGATTGACACGAAGACCAACTGCTCGCGTTGGGCAAATTTTGATGCACTTAAGCTTTTGGCACCTCCGCCATCGTGTGGATCATTCATGATAGCGCTAGTCGATCTGCGGTGCCATCAACCGCTGTGAACATTCCATGCCCTGTTCCAAAGTTCTCTCTCGCCAGTACTTTATAAGAAGTCTCCGCCCTGACCCTGGAGCAATGGAGGGTCAACCTTTTTTAAACCTAGGACTCACATATTCATTCCTGCCTCGGGCTTTTCAGTATGTCTGGACTTCCAATGGCTGCCATTGGTGCTGCAGGAGACCCTCGGGTCACGCCCGAAGGTCTTGACCAGGGTAGCTACCCAACCCGTATCTTCGACAAGCTCCATGATCCCAGTATTAGCATTGAGGAGTACATCTATCACGCAAAACTCTCAAGAGCGGAGGAAGACAGGCTGTATGGCCCAGGGAGTGACTTCGTTGCCACTTCTGGCCCGGTCACTTCCTTCATCAAGAAGAACATCCTGCGCAAGCGCGTGGAGGGCCGCGTTGTTGAACAACCTAGGCTCTCAATCAGTGCTCAGGGCGAGGCGCAAATGACCAGCGCCTCTTCTGACCATTCGGGCGAGAAAAACGCAGAGAAGAATGGCCTGGATGCAGGCGACGGCAAGAACAAGTTTCAGCCCATTCCTATCTCTGACGAGGAATGGATACAAGCCTCCAGAGCTGCCCGAACGGCGACATGGTGAGTTTTGTTCTGCGATAGTCATGACATTAACTAACATAATGATAGGGGAGCTGTTTTCTATCTGATCACCACCGATATTCTTGGGCCATTTAACACTGGTTATGCCTTCTCTCAGATGGGTCTTGGACCTGGTGTTGCGCTATTCACCGTTTTTGGCGCGCTTGCTGGATACACTGGCTACGAGCTTTGGCGCTTGTTCCTCCAGCTTGACAGCGACAGATTCCCCTTGAAAGGTTACGGCGATATTGCATTCCGTGTTTACGGGACATGGTTTCGACACACCGTCAACGGACTACAGTCTTTCCAATTCTTTCTCAACGTGGCGCTCATTGTATTGACCAGTGGTCAATCAATCAGTCAGCTGTCCAAGGGAAATCTGTGCTTCATTGTATGCGTGGTTGTATGCGCCATCGCTGGATGTGTTATTGGTCAGATCCGAACTCTGCAGAGACTAGGCTGGCTGGCTTCTTGCGCTGTGTTCCTCAACTTGTTTGTCATTTTTGCGACGTACGTATCTTGAAACCCTTTGCCCGTGCTCTACGTTATGCTAACAATCGACAGTATGGGTGTCATGGCACATAGCCCTCCCAACTACAAAATTGCTCAAGCCCAGGATCCCAACTTCGATATCAACAACCCAGCACCGATTGTTGTTTCTGCTGGTGCCCCACCAGGCCTGAGTCTTGCCGACAATGTCAACGGTCTGATGAATGCAGTCTTCAGTTTCGGTGGTGCCACCTTGTTCGTGGAACTCATGGCAGAAATGCGTCGGCCAATGGATTTCTGGAAGGGTCTCCTTGCTGCTGATCTGTTGATCTACATCGCCTACATGGTCTACGGTGTTTACTGTTACGCCATGCAAGGACAATACGTCTACAACTCATCGTACCAAGGTGTTTCGCCTTACTCATGGCAAACCGTCGGAAACATTCTCGAGCTGATTACCGGTATTATTGCTGCAGTGCTTTACGGAAACATCGGTATCAAGGTCTTGTACAACAATATTGGCCGAGACTTGTTCGGCGCACCTGTCCTTGAAAGCAAGAAAGGAAAATGGCTCTGGGTGTGCATCGTTCCTGTGTACTGGCTATTGGCTTGGGTCGTTACCTCGTCAGTACCTCAAATCACCACATGGATTGTTCTCGTCGGCGCGGGTTGCATTTTGCAGTTCACATACACGTTCCCACCATTCTTGATGATGGGCTTCAAGGCACAGCGTGATGCTATACTACCAGAAGAGACGTTCAACCCAGCGACTGGTGAAGTTCGTCGTCTGGACTCTGGTGCCAAGCGCTGGATTCGTGGGTTCAAGAAGGAGCTCTGGTGGAATTTGTTCGATCTGATCTTCTACCTCGGTTCTTGCGTCACCTGCGTGCTCGGATTGTATGCTGCCTTCAAGACAATGGTCAAGTCGTATGAGACTTCGGACAACCTCTCGGCTTGGAGATGCGCTTCTCCTGTCGGATAATTGCACCAACTCAGCTTGGTGCTCCCATGTCTGTCCTTCTTGATGACAGAATCATTCATGCAGAAGGACCTTTTCATATAGACACAGGAGATCAAGTCAGTGGTGCTACATGAGAGATATATGGGCAGTATATCATCAATTGAAAATATTACGACCCCTAGTTCCTAGGCCATCCCCAGAAATATACTCATCCTTCCACGATAATTACTTTGCTTGCATCTTCAGTTTACTGACCTTCCTAGTCATGCGTAGAATCAATGTGCTGACAATGAGGAGCTGTTCTGATTATTGGTTTTCTTGCAAATATTTACAGCCCACATCGCCTCATATGGCTTTCCATAGGTACTCCGTACTTACCATCGATGATCCCCCTTCCACGAAAACTCTGCCAAGTCCGGGGTAAACGCCACCTGCGCAATGAGGACAATTGGCCTGTGTTTCAGTGAGCGTGACCAAGTTTCCGCCACTTCTCATTTGCTTCGGGTGGTTCCTCGGGCTCCCTCGAGCCCACAACAGGATTCCTGCTTACCTGTAAACCATTGTTTGGCTGCACCTAAACACCACCCGTAGCCTACAAATTTCGCAGTTCCTAACTACTTGTTCATCTGGCCTGCTTATGAACTGAAGTCCTAGCCCATAACACCAGCCCAGGCCTCTTCATCGTCATCATCATTGTTGATTCTTGAGAAGAAATTTCACGTTTGCATTCCGTGTTCTTGACATCCCTCTCCACGGGCGCCGAGTTTTGGCATGGCCAGCATTGAGTAAAATTCAGTCGAAGAAAAGACAAACTCCAGTGTTGGTGGGGTTCCCCGAGCGTTTCCAGCGTTCTGACACGACTTTGCTGGTTATCTTTTGACTGCTATGTAAGGGTTGAGTGCTTACAGTACTCGTGTTCATCACGCAGGAGGAGTCGACGCCGGTAGTAGCGCCCAGAACTCACAGCACTTAGGCCATGCAGCGTCGAGCGGGGAGGATGCAGGTACGGCTCTGGCGTTGCACTATCACTATCAACAAGATTGATAAACCCCCGTCACACATTTATCGACAGGAGTGAAAATCACCTATCTTACCTTACTTATCTCTTTTTCTGCCTAGCCTACTGTCACAAATCGGAACTGTATGATAATAGTTCCCTGGGTGATATAGGAGCCCGACTTATGCTGTGCGCACGCCAAAGGATGACACTCATTGGCCAATCAGGAATCCAGATTTAATAACAAGACTTGTAAGTCGGTGCTTGTCACCTGCGAAGGATTTCAACCTTTCGAATCCTACGATACAAATGGTTTCTTAAGTGCTCCCACTTGCCTTTGAGCCTTTCCCACTGAGATCAGCCAAGCCGCTCGGATGGCTCAAACAGCATGTTCGCCTAATGGCTGATTGTCTTCCCCGTCAGGCTCATGTATTTTATCGCTTGATCAAGGATACTCTTTTGTTAGAGGGTGATCAGGAGTATTGATGGTCGTACTCTTACGAGCTCTCGTACCATTGGTGTATCTGTCCGACGATGCAAGACTTAAACGGTATATCATCTATGTCACAAGTTGGGCCATTGACCGCCAACATGCAGACATCTGGCTTGGACGAAAAGACCGGCTATTACGCCGGTGTTTCTGGGACAGGTACCGTTCAATTCTGGGATTCATGCAGTTGGTAGGAGCGGGGCCTGAACTAAGAGAAGAAAAGATCCTCCCAGCGATGCATTGATCTGTGCATATCATGCATGAAATGCTCTCTATCGACAACCAAGGTTATGTGTGGAGGCCCAGAGATGGTCTCATGGTGCACTTCTCTATGCACTACCCATTGCGGGAGAATATTCACATACGAGGCCCCGTAGATACCCCGGAGACCGAGGCACCAGAAGAAGCAAGAGGCCGGGAAATCCTTCCTCAAACACCGTGGAAGCTGGCGATTGATACACATCTAGACCTTGACCTTCTTCGAGTACCCGAATCGAGAAGACAAGTATCTGTCCAATCCGATTGGGAATGGGGATGTCACCCAAGTCAGCATTTCAACACTGGCTTGCGCAATCGATTGGAAATTGACGGGTAGATATGCGCCCAATCCGACGTTGTTGGGATATCGAAGCTGAACAGGAAGAGCATTCCCGGAAAATAGGACCATATGTGAGGGCGAAACTTCGTAAGACGGAATTGCATACGGTGGATTTGAGGCCTGGTAGCCCGGATCTTCGGCATCTGAGAAAGAATCACACGTGTGATTCTGCATCTGGACATGAACTGGAATTATAGGGTAAATATATAAGGACCTGGTGAAAGACTGCCTTTTCAACCTAGTCGAAGACTACGACATGGGCTGTCAGTAAGGCCATCTCTATTCGAGCATCGTACTCGAAGAAATCATGTAGACTGCGTGAGAGGCAACATGTGTCTCAGTGAACCATTACTGAATGCTTCCTTGCACTCTACCGTGCTACAATATTCACTAGGAAATGTCAATCCAAGGCATCACAATTGAAACATCGTAATGATGGAAGATGTTTGGATGGCTCCTTGCCACTTATGCAGGTGACAGTGCCGAGCACTTCAAGTCACGGGGACAGCACCTCCCGCTTTCCATACAATCCTTTACCACCTGCAGCTTCTTAACCGCAGGCGCCCATCCATCCAAAACCTTGACGCCCACTTCACTTTGGATTCAAACTCACGCGTCGGCGCTTCCACACGTCCTCTGGCTGGCTTCTGCAATAACCGCAGGCCTCACCATGTCGCTTGTTTCAAATCATGCTGGCGAGTTGACGCGTATTGCACTCTGGCTTGGTTGCTCTCCGAGCCAACCTCAGGTGTCCTATTCTTGTGTCTTCCCTCTAAGCGCCCTGTTTCCGCCGAGTCTCAAGCTCGATTCTCAACAGGCCAATAGTCGGCCGTGATGGCTCCAAGCACCAGTGATGAGCACTGGATCCTTCCTCAATTCCAGTTAGGTCGACTGCTCACCGCGTCGTCGAACGAGGCGATGCTCAAGCAGTATGGTTACCCGTTTCCTTCTCGTCACTTGCTCGCTTTTTGTTGCTACCCGTCATTATTCTCTTGTGGTCTATTTCCAAATATCTTCGCCTCAGGATATAGGTTGATCAGGGCTCCGGCTGCTTTGTGACTTGTCAGAGCGAAAGTGCCCTCAAAACCCATCCTCACTCGCACGTTAAGGGCCAGCTGGCTGCCCGTGACAATACATTGCAGACATGAAGGGCTACGAATATCCTCGAGTGCGGCCTCCTACCGCTCTCCTACCACCTCAAAGACCATCGGAGCCACGTTTCTCATGGATGGAAACACCTGCGGATGAGGAGCATCGGTTGATGACCAAGAACGCGAGGAGACCGAGACATCCATCAATCGCAACACAATCACAACACCCAGTCCAGCAGGCTGAACAGGAGATCAGCCTTCGGGAATTGACGAGGATGGAGACTCAACGTCATCATGAGGAGGTACATACATACCGGGCACAGGAAAGCGTTGTTGCACAACAACAGCATTTTGTCCCAGATCCGCCGCACAATGGCGCTTATCATGCTCAACCACAGTTCACGCAAGCCCAAGTACCACAGAACCAGTTCCTGCCTGAACAGAATATTCCACTTCAACCTCAAACTCCGGAGCCCGTGAAGCAAGGTCCTGCACCAAGCTACGAACCACCAAGTTCTGTTGGGCCTGATGAGAACCCTTTATCACCCACCTCCACAAAATTCACACGAACAAACACAAATATGGCCATTGTACCTCCGCCTTCAGATATGTCTCAATATTCAATTGGCACATTCACACCCAGCCCCCAAGCCATTCGAGGTGGCTCCTGGCAACATGGACTTTGCTCATGTGCTGAACCTTCAATCTGCTTGACAAGTCTTTTCTGCCCCTGTATCATCTATGGCAGAACGCAATATCGGTTAGCCTTGCGGGGAGAGAAGAAAGACCCCACTAATATGCTGGGTTATACTTCAATTAATGGCTCTTGCATAGCCTTCGGCTTACTTTGCGGCATCAATGGCTTTCTGGCAGCTATCCAACATACGAGAGTACGGAAGGCATATAACATGAATTCCGAGGCTGGCAATGTCGCTGGCGACTGCTTGACAGGCCTTTGCTGTTGCTGCTGTGTTGTGGCGCAGGACGAGAAAGAAGTCAAATTCCGAGAAGAACAGGCCCGCAAGCCTGCCGGTTCAAAGAAGGAAGGCTATGTTCCTCCTACGGCTATGGCTTTCACTCCTCGCTCTGTGTGAGTCATGTGAGTCGGAAAGTTCATGTATCACCGGACCATTCATGCCTCTTTCCATACATTCGTTTGCCTACTCCGGGCGAAAAGTATCTGAGAACAAAAACACCGACTACAAAGGCCACTCAATTACCGCTCACACAATTCGGGGAAGCGCTCCCCACGCTGCAAACTCATGCGGCCACCTCCAGCCTTGAGGAGGTGATGAAACAACAGACGACTATTGGCGGCGCTCCGACTGGAGCTGGGAAGGTTCTGGGACGCCAGCCTATACTTAGGTGAACATGTCCAGTATATCCTGATATTAAACAGCCATACTCATCAGGCCTTCTCCGCATCATGTCCACGTCGAGTGTCCATCCTGGCCTACAGGAGGTCGTTGTCGTAATCAACTGTCAGTGCCACACAAATTGCCAGCCTTGCATGGCCCGGCTGTTTCGAGCGGATATGCAGGGATATCTCCTCTACTGGCTCTACAGTCACCGACAAGTCGTTACGCTCGACACAAAAATAAGGGGCCGCAGAAGGGTCTTCACAGCCTCTACGGCATTGCAATGAGAAACCTCCATCAGACTGCATCACATGATCTTGTTTGTACTTTTGCCCCTTTCCTATTTCGGATCAGGGCGGGCGGTTTTCTAATTCCAGATCGTCCTTCTTGGACTATTGGATTTTGTATTCGTACCAAGGCAAGCTCACTAGATATGTATTATTATCCATGGTGAGGCATACACCTGCCGCCATATCGGTTAGTCTAGCTACACAATCCATGCTGTCGATCCTACATTCGTCACCCTTCGGGGTTTCCTAAACTATGTGTCATCTCGGCAGCTGCCCTTAATACCACCACCCGGTCATGTCAAGGCTGACCTGAAGGATTTTGCCTCCTGGCGCAAGCCCGTGCTGCCTTGAGCAAGATGCCTCTGGAGAGTACCTGCAGTTATCAGATGTGACTCAGCCTTGATCAAATCCGTCCATTGCCTGTGCCATATATATTGCCCATTATGCTTGCCAGCCTCAGTTTCCTATTCGTTCGTGCCCACCATAGCGACCATCTCTCCACTGTGACTGCCTCAAGTATGTGTTCGTTACTGTGGCACTTAATGCTTGTCGCCTTCTTCCCAATCCTCGTCACCACACCTAAGTCTACAAATGACAATGACTCTCATTGAGGGGAAGTGTTTACCTCTAAACAGGATTGTGGGAAACGTCCTCAGCTTGCTAGTGGCCACAGTCGCCACGGAGACTGTACTATCCACTCCCGCGGGTACGTATACAATCATATTCTGACCAAGATCCGTCCTAGCACATAGCCATCATCGTGCGGTATTTAAGTCTAATATTATTGATGTTCATCATCCAGTATGGTTCCGGCACTCGATCAGCTCTTTGTGGAGGACGTAGACCCAACCCACCTATTACTCTTCGATGAAGAAGCATTGTTTAGGGCGGCCAAATCAGATCCTGCCTCCGCGAGGTGATAAGGCTGGCGATCGCAGGTGGCAGCAATCGAGGCACGAAATCGTGTCCGAGTCAGGAAAGATCCAGCGGCCACGAACCACTGCGTGAGATGAGGGAAGTAGAAGCATGTCGTAGAACGCACAATCCGCATCAGCGTCGAAGCTGGCTGACACTGAGGCAAGGGTGCTTGAGCGCTGCAGCTCGCCAGACTCGAGGAGGCCGATTGTAAGTTACGGGATGGAGCCTGAACACATCCACCTCTTTCTGAGCCTCCTTCAGGGTTGGATGTTGTTGCGTCCGGGGACAGGTTGTGCTGAGCAGACGCATCACGCACGCTGCCCCAGCCAAATCTGTAACCTGTCCCAAGACACAACTAGACGTCTATCCAAACACTTCTGCCTCCAGCCTGCACGGACTCTGAGACAATCTTCTCTGGCTTTTATCTAAGGTTCGCGCTCCGTCATCCCACTGTCTGAAAGATCTGCTTATGGCCTCGGTAAAGCATTTCTGCCACGCAGGGATAAGCAGCAACGTCAAGAAACCGGTCAGCTACTTCGTTTTGACTGTCTCAGCGGCCTTCGAACCTTGTGCTGGTTCTGTCATTTGAGACGTTTGTCCTGTGTTTTGCACCGTAATTTTTGCATCTGGTGGGCTCCCCCTTTAGCAGGCTTGTGGACGTGTTCAGATCCTTGGCCCGGTTTATTTGTGCTTTGCGCCGCCTTAGTGGTCTGTGATGGCTCGGTGCTTTGCACGCGGCTGCTACTAGGTTGTGTTTGAGGCTTACTAACTGTCGGCACAACGCTGCGTTTATTCTGTGCTTGAGCCTGACTGTCGGTCGATACCCTAGTGTTAACAGCCTGCTGCTGAGGTGGACTGTCTATTGGTGAATTGCCGTTATTACCCTGCGCTTGAGAGGAGCCCATTGTTGATGCGCCCCCGATATTAGTCCCATAGTTAGCAGATTGGGGATCATTGCCTCCCACATAGCCTTCCGTGTTCGTCTCTCGGGTATCAGGGTGTGTCGTTCGTGACTGTTGACGCCAGCATTTACAAGCAGTTGATCTTGAAACCCGTCAAGAACTGGCTATTCGTCCCGTTTGAGTTTCCATTCTAATGAACGGTATGAGGAAAATATCTGAGGTTGGCTTGTGCCGTCCCCGTATTGCTCGTCGTATGCCTGTGACAAATAGAACGAGGACCCAGCATCAGGACTGTTGATCAGTTCGGAAGCGATTCGTACGGCTTAGGTCATTCGCTTGACCAAAGCTACCCTCTTTGCCTCCAGAGTTTCACACCCTGAAGTCGGAGTCGACGTTGGCGGGACAACGCGGTCTAAAGTAACGGCTTGAATTTGTCCGTGAAGCTGATTCTAGTAGCGTTGCCAATATCTGCGAGTAGGCTGGGGCTCCACCTGAGCTGAATGTCTCCTTATTTTCACTGCGTTGGATAGCCCTCACGCAAAAAGACACATGCGTTGAGTTGATGATTCACTATGTGGTGATCGTCGCGAGTAGCGTCCGCCAGACGCTCACAAGTATTCGAAGCCGCGAGGTTTCATGTTCGCTTCAAATAAGGCAAGCGCTTTCAGACACCCTTTGGTGGGTCGCTAGCAGATACAACAATTATGTTCAGTGAAAGGCGTCAAACCCAACCACTTAATTCCATTTCGGCAACTTCTAGAAGCGTATTTTTATTTCTAGAAATCAGCTCTTCGAAAACAAACCACCCTTGGAGATGAATGTCTTGATTCTGATAAATATAATTTGGCTATAAATGAGTGTACTTGTGTTATCTTTCAGTAAATGCATACATAAATGTAACCAACTGGCGACCTCTGTCGCTTCGTGCGCTCCTTTACGACCCATTCGACAAGCCTAATAGACGATGGCATCTGCTCATGGCATGAGTAATTTCGCGGCTTCAATAATCCTCCTGGCGGTCGATCAAACCTGACTCTCATTGACCGTGAAAACTACTTAACACATATTACGCAAAGGTCACTTTGGAAATCGTTTTCCCAAAGGATTCACCCTGCGTGACTGCCATATCAAGCTCTAGCTGCGATGGAAGTCGAGAGCCATCAATCCCCTAGGCCAAGTCAGTTTTTCGCCGCGAGTCTGGCATTACGCTGCATGAATGTGCAGTCGCTTGGAAGATCTTACACTATAGGTTCCAGCTCCCCAGGGACTACCGCCTCTGGCCTCAGACAGACCAGACTGTAGATCGAAGGTGGTCTTATATCCGAGAGGGACATACACCATGCCGTGATGGACTAGAGTTGACATGGCTGCAATTGCAGTCGTCTCTTGGCCCCCACCCTGGGTTGCAGTCCCGATGAATAGGCCTGCATACTTGCCCCAATAACCCCCGGACGACCATTGATGACTAGTAGCATCCCAAAATGCCTTCCATTGGGCAGGAAAATTTCCAAAACGCGTAGGTATCCCAAATAAAAATGCGTCATACTGCTCGAGCGCTGTTGCCTCGGCGATTGGATATTCGGATTTGGGCCCTGCCCGCATCTTGACTAGAACATCTGCGGGCAGTGTCTCTGCTATCCTGTACATGAGAGCTCAATATGTATTTGCTATCTTGGGTACCGCTACTGACTGGAAAATATCAGCCTTGATTCCGACTTTTTGTAAACCGATCTGCTCGGCTTCGGCCAGCTTTTGCAGGTGGCCGTAGAGAGAATACTAGTAGACGTGTTAATACAGCCTCGACGCTTGGTTCAGACTTAAATTCTTTGTGGATGGGAGAAAGAGGGGACGGGGAATTTAGAAAAGCACAATTGTGTGTCCATACATACAAAGACGATTGCAACCCGTGGTGCCATAACGATGTCGTATTCTTTGTAATTCAGGGACTTTCTCAGAGTTCCGGTCTCTGGTTGAGGAAGGGTGTAGGACTGATATACTTTCGGAGGCAACCCTGCCATCTAATCCTGAACTATAATACTTACGCCGATCTGTCGTCAATTTTCTGCATCAAGACGAGTAAGCAGCCTGACTCAGTCTTCATCAGCAAGTTAGCAAGCACTCGTAAAAGTCGCATGCTATTCTCAGGGATATCATTAAAGTTATAAGATAGTCGTGGGACACCAGTGGATTCTTCTTCTATCATCAGGAGACCTTCAGGTTAGGAAATCATTATCAATCTAAGGTAGCAACCATGTCACAGTCAGAGATACATATCATAGGTGTTCTGCATCCCAGGGCCGGTAAAATGGATCGGGTGAGTTTAGATGACTTTAACATGCGAGCAGAATTCTCTAAACTAGAAATCTATATTATTGACATGAGTTTGATTTACTAGTTGATTGAACTATTGACCGAGACTGCACAGCGGATCGAGGCCAGCGAGCACGACATTACTCGATTCAGCATAACTCGTGAGGTCGACAAGAAGACGACTGAACCAACCAACACGCTGGTGTTGATAGAGACGTACGATATCTCTGCCAAATACTCTTTTCCCGGGGTTGTATATTCTCGCTAACTTCTGCCAGATATAAGTCTCGAGCGACCTTTGAACGCCATTTCCAGGCACCGCAGTATGCCGAATTCCAAGAAGTCCTGAAGCGCGAAGACATTATCGACTTTAGCGACCCAAATGAAGCAGAGATCAGGACTGTCAGATATGTGTCCGGGCACTGGTAGCGGCCTTTCATTCTGACAGAGTATTCTGGCCATGTAGCTTCTCGCAGGAGGTCCTTGGAGGGTCCTTTGCTCGCATCGAGACTGACTTCACTGATTAAGGGGCCAAACATTGTCGAGAACCGAAGTTTTTGAAGCCGGCGCAGGATAAAGATCATCGGTGCTATGCAGATCTTATGATGAGGCTCTACAAACTGTTCTACCGTGAGAAAATCGAGGCTCCCCAATCGTCATCGAGCTATATAGAATGAAAGACGGTTCTTACGGGTTAGTTGCCATTGACTTCAGGAGTGCGTTCGTCTCCGAATGTATATAGCCGAATCATGATGTCATCGTGCCTTATATCGTATCTGCCAGGGATTACAAGATAAATCTTTCTCAAATAGAACGAACAAAATGCTAGGCCCGCCGCCAGCGGCGCCACTAAGGCAGTGTCGATCGGATATATCCGCCGCAATCCTTTGGAGTAGGCGGGCTACTTGATTTATACCCCTGGGTTTCCCAGATTAGGAAAGCGAGCTAAGCATGTGTTCATGTGAATCCTCCCTAAATCTTCTACCCGTATTACATCGAATTGAAGTGCGCCTAGTAGTACATTTCTATCTCTGCACGCTTCCAAATAGTGGGGCTCGCTTCGAGAAGCGATCAAAAACGAAAAGTTGCCCCAAATGGGCAGAGCGGCTTTCGCTTTATTTACGATGTATTGGTCTCCCTTGCTTGCATCTCTGCGATGCGAACCCGATCGAGCAGTGCGTTGTGCTCGTCCCTTGATCCTCCGCGTTTCCGAACTTCTGTTTCCCAAGCGCCGTTCAGCTGGCAAGTGCTTGAAGCTTAAAACATGTCTTACGACCCAGAAACTCGCATTTTGCCCTGGCATGAGCCTCCGTATCGCAGGTTGGATATTATTCCTTCCGTTCAGAACCCATTTCTCAGTGAAAACTTGTATCGTCCAAGTGGCCCATGACTCGAGTGCTTTACAGGTTGGAAGGGCGAGATTCAGAGCGTGACAAGAGTAACCCATAATGGCAGGCAATATATGTGAACTAAACGCTACAGATGGAGCAGGATCACAAGTCCTCGAACTGAAGCAGTATGAACCACCCGAATGAGGTCGCCGGTTTACCAGAAACTTGTCTGAAGCCCCGAACCTCCTACTTTGGACCTCTCAGAACCGCACGGGTTCAATATCCTCGCCCCGTTTAGTTTACAATCCCGCACAATCAGGTACACAAAGATAAGTGCGTGATGATTAAACATACTCCCCATGTGTGCCTTCCGTAGCCTTTGCCACGTGTTACATACCAGTTGGAGTATGCAATACTAAGTATTTATCGGTCCGGGCAGTAAGTTCGTCCTAAATGAGAAATTTTATTAGGAGGCATCCATTCTTGCAAATTCAGGCGAACTTCCATTCGCCATGGCGATCTACACATCGCGCAGTGCTTTACATAGACTAATCTTGGACAGGGTGAAACCTACCATTCTGAAGGCACTTCTCCCTATGCTATAGCTCCTGTTGCGTAGCTGTATATAGCGGTTCTACGATCCGACCGTAAGGTCTCCAGAACTCCGGAGAAATCTATTCGCTTCATGCCTGTCCAGACGTGCACATCCAAGGAATAGAGAAATTTGGCCTCCGTACTCATCGACCACACAGGACCAGATTTTTGGGTTCCACTGGTGGGATGAACAACGTGTTTAGACTGACAGATTCATCATCACGATGAATAGGTCTCGGAAATAGTGATTTATGACAAGATCTTTCCATGACGAAGTGAGATTAGCTTTGTTATGAACGATTAGAGCTACATCAATCAGCGTTGTACAACCTTGCTTCTGATACTTGCGATACCCCTATCACGTGCTTTCCCTACCACCTCAATTCCGACTTTCATCGGCCTTCAGGTCCTGCATAGCCTGAAGGCGCGCGTCCTGGGACGCGACACAATCATACTTGTCGAACTTCCGAATTGGGACATTGGCATTATACATCTCGTCGATCTCCTCGAGGGTGCGCCTGTTGGTCTCGGGGACGAAGAACCACGTGAACACGGTGATGAGCACATTGCTCGCGACCCAGATGTAGCCGTACTGGGCGCCCCAGTTCAGCGCGGTCGGGTTGATGAAGTACGGGATCGTGAAGGTAATGGACCAGCCGCACAGGTACGTGATAGCGGCCGCGGTGCCGAATGTGTGGCCGCGCAGGCGCTGCGTGGGGATTTCGCCGGCCACTTGCCATGCGAAGGGCCCGGTTGTTGCAGATGCGAAGAATAGGTAGATGCAGCACATGGCGATGATGACGCGGCCACTGAGCTGGTCGATGCCCCGGATGCTGTATGGGAGGGCGAGCCCCAGCATGCACAGTGCTTGCACGATGCCGCCGAACATGAGGATATGGCGTTTGCCGATCTTGCCCGTGAATAGGGGTGTGAGTGCCACGCCGGCGATGCCGCAGCACACGAGGATGATGACGTCGCGGAACGGCTCCGTGTCCCCCGACAGCATGAAGAAGTAGACGCCGTACTGCGTGATGAAGGGTACGCCGGATGCGGCGGCGAAGAGGCCCAGGCCGACGCTGGTGCATGTCCGCTTTAGATTGGGTATGCGGATCAATTCGTGGTAGCTGATGGTTTTGGCGATCTCGCGGTCGACTTCCAGGGACTGTGTGATTTCGGCGATTTCTTCTTTGACCTGAAGATCGGTGTAGCATGAGTCTCTTAGGAAACGTAAAGCTTTTTGGGCCTCGATGTGCTTGCTTTGAGAAGCCAGGTATCGTGGCGTTTCTGGAAGGAAGAACAAGGCTGCTCCGAGAAGAACTGGGATGACGTATAAGACTCCCAGAGGGATCCTGTAGGAGGCCCGGGTCAAGATCTTGGCTGTAGCATTGTTGACGATGACGCCAATCAGAGTGCCGAAGGAGATCCAGAACTGGAAGAACGTATAGCTGAGGGATCGCAGATTTGACGGCATGGTTTCTTGCATGTACAGCTGCGAACAGACTAAGAGGAACCCGTTGGCTACCCCTAGGAGTGTTCGACCACTGTAGAGACCGCCAAGGTTGATTGCTGTCATTTGAATAGTGGTGCTGACCACAATGAGTATGAGCCCGACCAGCAGGCCTCCCTTTCGACCTATCTTATCGCACACCCAGCCTGAAATCAATGTCGAGAAGAACATTCCAAGCGAGACCAGGCTGCCCATAAGCTGCTGTACGACGGTGGAGATTCCCATCCCACCAGGAAGTGTGGGGTCTTTGTATCCAAAGTCGAGAAGAAATCCGGGCATCGCTTGGAAGCCATTGACCATCCCTTTAGCATGGTTAGTGTGGTCAACAAGAATAACTAATGGTTTTCGCCCCCGAATTTGGGTTCAATGGATATTGTTAAACATACCTTGATCTAGTCCATACTCGAATGCAGCCATATTTAAGAGGAGGCAAAGTGCGATGCCCTTTTTGTTCTCCCAGTAAGAGTCGCGGGTGATCTTGAGGTTCGGGGAGTTGGCATCTCTAGCCAGACTTTGATCGTTGACCTCAGCATGGTCAACGTGAGTACCCTCCGGTTTATCAGAGTCATGCATCTCAGCAAATGTATGTAGCAATATGGGAATCGATTTCTCGCGTAATTGACGAAAGATTTGTCTCAGCCCATCGAAGAGAAATGTGGTGTGATGAAATCCTCAGAGTGAGCTCGCAGGGTGTATTTGAGCTTTCCAAAACACCGAGTGAAAGCAAAGTCGAGGTACGTTGTGGGGGAGGACGAACGAGGCTAGATCTCCCCACAAGCCCCTGCTGCATTGTCTTGGAGCAACCATGTCCAGACCACATTCCCCAGATCTTGGCAGTCCCCACCTCGATGACCTCCCTGATGGACTGCATCGGCCATTCTTTTATACCCATGGGAAGTGGTCGACTCCTGAAGGTCATTGGGGATGTTGAAAACAAGCTCGGTGACAAGATCGATCGATTGATGTGGTCGGTAAATTACGGAGAAGTAGAAAAGCTGCGCCAACAGCTTCAATGATCCAATGAGTCTGGTTGGTGCCCAAATAGTACCAACAGGGTGAAGCTGGGCATGTTGAATAGACTCTGGTCAATTCAGCGATCAGACAGCTGCCGGGTTGCACAAGCATGGGAGTGCGACATCCCCCTGGCCAAATTAGCCGCTGATAGCCACACACTTTAGCACCAGCAGCATCTAGTCCAGCGCGTGCAGATACGAAGCATAGCTGGAGAATCTTGCCGCTAAAACCATTTCGAATTGTGAGCCTAAGGTGCAGTCTGCGATATCTTGCCCAATATTAGGATCTTTCTGTGCTAGCCTATGCATGACGCATGACTCTTGCAGCGACTATTCTCCAGTTCGGGGTGGAAATGCAGAAGTTCCGACTTTCGATGGACCCTAAATTATATTCTAGCTTAGCATAACGTGTGAAGGAGGTATGATGCACTATGCGAGATAGTATAGGTTGGAATGGACGATCGCTACATTCTCATATCTCTTAGGTATGACAATCGGCGAAAGTGCTACCGCAGAACCGGAATTGCGGCTCTTGGCTACCATCTAATTAGTCACCAATGCCAGTTCACCTAGTACAATACATTCCACAAAGTCATCATCCATTTTCACAACCTCTCATTACTATACCAAGCACCATCCATATCCTTAATGCAGCCATTCAATGGTAAGGTCCCGGAAAGCTTTGAACACATCAGCGATTAGGATTTCGACGAGTCTCCAGATGAAGGGCAAATCTTTGCAATCGTGACTCGATAAGCGATGAGCATTCCCAGACCCAGTCTCGACAGAGATACGTGTAGAACCCAATAGCGTCTAAACAGAAAGCTCCACGTGGACGTTGAAAGACGTCTTGTTCATCCAACTCGTTCATGATGCCAGTAAATATTCGCGCTACTGCCACTGCAAGAGCATGGTCATCCTTGTTGATATAAGTTGAACTTGAAGGATTGAGGACACCGTTCCCATGAAGATGTAGCCACCACGCCAGCAAAAGCGCTAAAGTCTGTTAATCAAAAATCGGTCGACTTGATGTTTTGATTGTGTACATACCACTTTCATACATAGCAGCTAGTGCTTGAGGTCCAAATTCGAGGCCTCTCGTCTTTCTCAAGTTCCGGGCTCCCATTTTGGCTCGTACTAGCCACGAGTTTGCTGCGTATTTTATGACCTTCAAAGCTTGAGTATAGTTCTTGCACCGTGGTATCTCAAGCCCACAGTTGGGGTTCTCCGCGATTCTCCTCAAAGTCACAAGCTCGTCGCCAACGTATAGATGACAGTAAGCGGAACAGAGCATTGACAAACAATCATTCAACAATGGATCATCAAGTCTTGTCAGGCTTTGTTCAGCTCGTGGGTGCTTCCTCCACAAACCCTCCCATATCGACAGTGCTTGCTCACCCCGGGAAATGTATGAAGAGTCGGACTCATAAATGTCGAGACTCAATCTTTCTCTCGTGCAGATGCCACAGAGTTGCCCACTAATCAATGCCAGGAGGGTGAAGGCGCTGATTCTTCCGCAAGCTTCCGGGATTTGTCCAAGGTGCAGTCCTTTGGCAAGAGACCATAGGTCTACAGAATGATTGCTGAGACTGTTTCGATGTATTGCTTTCCATTCAGTCTCCGAAGTTGTGTGCCAGGTGGTCTCGTCGCTCGGGCAGAGGATTGGCTCAGGTATCGGTGGTAATACAGTCAATGTTACAGGGTCAAGGCTGTAGCATGTCGCAGAAACCACGAACATCCAACAAACTACCCTATGAGAGCATTATCAGTGTTATGAGACTATAATAAGGTTCAACAGGGCCTTGCTAAACAGTGATTGGCATACCGTGTACAGCTTTCAAGGAAAATCCACCTCTCCCAACTTTGGACAGCTTGCACCCGCAGCGCTCGGTTTGCTTCCATTGTCCGCCCCATCATCTTGCCAAGAGTGAGCAGAATGCCAGAAGATGTGGTAATATTATGGGTTTTCTGAGGGAAGAACGTACCATGTGTGTTGCGAAAAGGTGCTTCTGTGCCTGGAAGAAAAGATCATGGCTTCCGCTGGTGACGCCATACTGTGCACAGAGTAGTGTGGCTTGGGCCGCCCAGAGATTGAACGAAGAATCTTGCTGTTCAAGACAGTCCTTTTCGTGCTGAAGGGTCATGATAAATAAACTTTTCATGGCTGCACTCTTGATCACTTACCTGAGCGAGTAACAAACATGAAGCCTCGTAGGCGGATCGAGCAAATTCAGTCTCAGAAAGATGAACGGCACCAATAGCCAGCATAATCAAGACAAGAGCGGCTAAATTGTAGGAATTAGCTTCTTTACCGTAAGAATATCTCTACAAGCGTGACGTACGATGTTCAGTTGATATACTGAAAGAGGCATAGTGGACGAAGGGGGCGTGTGGATCGAAATGTTGGAAATACGCGATCATACATCGCAAGGTGCGAGAAAGACTGGGTTTGTGGAAGTTGGACAGAGTTCCATCCACATCAGAAATTAACAATTTCGCATGAAACACTTCAAGTTCGTTGGAAGTGATTTGAATAGCACAATTTGGGTTGCCATTGCTTTTTTGACCAGCATCATTTGGTGGGTGACTTATTTCCAGTGGTGCGATACTATCCGGAAGCTCGGGAAGGCCTATCGTAGGAGCAATTTCTGGAACCGGTGATGAAGCTACTGTGAGGACCGGTGGATTGTAAGAGAACTGGCAGAGTAAGATGTCTTCGAGGAAGGATTCATCGTCAAACTGGAGATTTTCGAAATCGATCATGCTATCACCCACTGGGTTCGGGATCTGGGAGCCAAGTGAAGTAGCGGCGATATGTGCACAGGCTGCATCTGGGGTTGCCATAGAGATATCTTCCAAATCACTTCTTTGTTGTGCCGGATTGGAAGGAGCATTGTATTTGAGAATAGTAAAACCTTGTTGCTCCAGAGGTGAATACTGGCCATTTGGTGACTCGACAGGGATAGTTCTTGATCGACCTTCTACATAATCTGTAGCAGCTGGAGATGGAAATTGAACCTGTATTAGACCCATTTGTGACTCGTGGCTGTTGTCATTTGACGTGATATCAGCGACGGAAGGAACGCAGGGCAGAGCATTCCTGGCTCTGACCACATCGTGGTCACGGGATTCAAAACTCTACCAACATCATCTTAGTCTAGGCAGTAAATAGGTATTAGAACAATTGGAGTAATACCTCAACCGGTGAGACACCGGTGGTGTTTGTTCTTCGACCTTGATAGGCCGCACATGTCCTCTGATGGCGGAGAAGGACATCATGTCGACCATAACTCGAACCACATGCTGTGCAAGTGTGCGGTTTTCTATTGTCATCTAGTAGACATAAGCTTTTCGAGGCCAAGTGGTAGCGAACTTCAGGGCTCTTACGAGTCATCGAGTGACGATCTAGGTGCTCTGCACGCAAGAAAGCCTTCTGACATCGACGACAGACATGAGGTCGTTTTCTCGTAATACTAGGGGTTGCAGCCTCGCTGAGAGGAGACATGTTCGACATACATCAACGCATGCGCACAACTTAGATACGGTACAACCACTGGATCACTTTGTGCCAGTAGGTATCATAGTATGTGCGCACTTACAAGCCTGACGTTGCAGTAGTGGTCGTGTTGGGCTCCCCCGCAATATCGGGAACCCCGCACATCGCCAGCTTTCAGCCTTGGGAGTTTCGAACGTAACAAAAATTGATTATTAGTGGGGAAGCAGGTACTAGACAGAAACATCTCGCCCCTCCTTGTCTCTTGGTCTGGGTGACTTAGCAAAGCCGAAAAAGGATCGAGGTACCAGGTACCACCCGTACCGACAGTGGATGGGTTGTGGGGTAGTTTTCCAACTAGATATAACCCACTTTTTGCAGATGTGGGGGATGGAAGAATCGACTGCTCCAAGCCAACTCTGGACTGTTTGTTGGCGGTTCGGGATGTGGTACGCCTTAGAGTTTTGGATACAATCTTTATGACTTAGCCTTAGCCTTTGAGTGCCGAGATACCACTTTCACGAAAATTCTAGAGCCTCCCAGACGGAACCCAACAAGTTCTTTCAGCTATTCAGTCAGCATGGGTTCGATCGGTGCTTCAGACGCGATCAACGTGATCATTGTCGGCGGCGGGATTGGAGGTGCATCATGTGCGATCGCTTGTGCGAGGCAAGGAATGAATGTCACTCTCTTGGATCAGGCAGTAGAATTGCTACCAATCGGAGATTCGATTGGCTTTGGCTCCAACTCTTCAAAGTTGTTCAAGCGTTGGGGCCTGTACGAAGACATGTGGGCGGTCTCGAGTCGCGCGGATAACACAATCATGCGCAATTGGGATGGCGAGATCATCACTGAAGATAGACACTTGGCAACAGCTGAGGCCAAGTATGGTTATCGTGGCTTGTTAGGCCACCGAGGCAACTACCACAGGATACTGGTTGACCACGCGGTCAGAAATGGAGTGCAGTTGCGACTTGGTCAAAAGATCGAGCGCTACGATGCAAGCAAGCCAAGCGTATTCCTTCCTAGTGGAGAAGAACTCGTGGCCGATGTAGTCATCGCCGCGGACGGGGTGAAAAGTCCTGGGCGCACGGCAGTGCTGGGATTTGAGGACGCACCAATCCACAGTGGCTACGCGGTATGGCGCGCATATGGCACAACAGATATATTCCAAGGGGACCCTTTGGTCCAAGAGTTTCTGGAAAAAGGTGTGTCCTCAACAATTTTGTGAAACACTGACGCTGATATTGCTCTTAGACTGTGTCAACCTTTGGATCGGTCCAGATCTTCACGGTTTCGTGACCACTGTTCGGGGAGGATCTGAGATAAATGCAGTCCTTACCCACAAGGACGTAGCAAATATCGATGAGGGTTGGCAGTTTCCTGGAGATCGACAGGAGATTCTAGAAACGATTCGAGACTGGGACCCTGCGTTCGTCCGGGTATGGGAGAAGATTCAAAACATTGTTGATTGGAAGCTCGTCTACCGTCCATGCTTAGACAGATGGGTTTCTGATTCCGGTCTCGTTGCGGTTCTCGGCGATGCTGCGCATCCTTTCTTACCTACGTCTACGCAAGGGGCGAGTCAAGCTGTGGAGGACGCTGCAACCATCGCGCTATGTTTAGCAAAGGCAGGGAAACATCAGGTTCCACTCGCCCTACAGGCTTACTTTGAATTTCGATACAACCATGTTAAGGCCGCTCAGCAGATTGGTATCACCCAACGAGATAAATGGCACAACTTACACGATAAGACGAGCAAGAAGATGGTGAAGGATTTGGATACCTCCAAGGGTGTACTAGACAGCTATACATTATGGGGTCATGATGCTGAGAAAGTGGTCGTTGATGGTTGGGATACTGTTTCGGAACAACTTAGAGTGGAACTTGCGGCAAGGTGAAAGATACATAATTTGAAGGCTTTCAAAATGTACACTGTATTTATGCACCAGACTCAAATTCACGAGCATTACAACAACGATTCCTTTCAAGCCCATAAACAGCTCTGTCTACCCTTCAATCGGAAGTCTGCCTGGTAGTGTTGTGACTGAGTGTATCCATTTTAGTTACACGCAGCCCCGGAGAGTCCAGACTAAAGCACCCAAGAACTCAGTATACTTACTAGCATCTTCAAGCGTACTTGAAAACAGTACGGTGGAATTGTCTCCGATCCCTAAACTCGAACAACCGATGCAGAAGCACCGAGGATTCGCAATTACCCCACATTTGGAGATTTTCGGTTGTTCCTGTACCCCTATTGGCCCCCACCCCCGCAACACCCAACGCTATGCCTAGAATGAATACTCAAAGCATACTAGGGTGAGTGGCATCTTCGGTAGTATCAGCCTCGACCGTATGGTGGGTTCATATTATGGACATCGTACGTTTTCTGATTCTAGATACCTAGCAAAGCACCTCAGGTAGCCCATCATATCCACAGATTTTACTCAACCAACAACGTGCGTAAACCGACCCAGAAAAAGACAACCATGGCAGAAATCCCGGAAAGAGTGCTAGTCGAGATTCTCAGCCCGCGAGCAAAGGAAGGAGGTAAAGGCGAGATCGTCTCGACGTTCAGAACCATCTGGGCAACATCCAATGAAGCAGCAAAGTCCAGCGATCTGCCACCCTCGTTAGGATTGAGAGTCTTCAGCAATGTGAAGACACACCCGGAAGAGGCAGGGTTGTTCTTGTTCTGGAGGTCGATGGAACATCATGACAGTCTAGCAGAAACACCAGGGTTTGCGCCGGCCGCCAAGTTGTTTGGTGAGAAGGTCGTGCCGGGCCTTGAGAACCCTCTCGATCCGATTTATCTATGGACGCGGCAGGGAGAGGTTGCGCTACAGGAGGCGACGTGTTGTGAAGGTCAGCAACTTTGAAAGTAGTTCTAGTTTCACTCATGGCGGCTAACTCTGCGTTTAGTGATCGAGATTCAGACTCCTGGTTCTGAGGATGTTGATAGTCTCGACAAGAAGCTTGCCACGTCGCTTGAAAACCTGAGCCTTGGAGGAGACTTTGTTGGTTATTTCTATGGTCCAAGGAACAATGACGCAACCAAGGCTGTCGTTGTAACAAAGTGGACATCAAAATCGGTCATCAACGATAGTTCGTGCGCCCAGAAGATGGAGCAGGCTCTATTGGGTGTCTTTGGTCAGGGCTCATCCATTGAAAAGCGCAAGCAGATTTATGCGTGAATAGAGGTAGCAGGATGCTCATAGAATTTCCGCAAGTAGTCAATCTCGAACTTCTATACACACTAAGAGAGCGAATTTCCAAGTATGAAGCTAGATGGAGGCTAGTTCACATTCTAACATTACCGTAAAGGTCCTGAATCTAAAGAATCGACTGATTCTCAACCCAGCCTGGTTCAGTAGTTTTTCGTACTCTTCATATGACCTCTCCTTGCCTCCAAACAGCGAAAATGTGCTCCAAGTCATTGTATTGGCCATATCCGCGAGAGCAGACTGACTCTCAGGAATGTTTTCCGAGGGCGGAGAGGTCGACGAAGCTGATGCAATTACGGGACTCGCGACAAAGACCTCGTTGATCACCATTTTGGATGCTGGTGTTTGGCCCATAGTCGTTGCCAGGTTCGACAGGATTTTCAAGACATCTTCGTCGGAATATTCGTGGCTGAAGAAGGTGGTAGTCAGGACATCTGATCTATCAGGATGGGGAGTTGCAGATCTTGCTAAACTTACAGGACCCCTCGTAGATACCAGACATCGCCCTTGCTGGCATTAGGCTTGAAATAGTCCTGTTCAACATAAGTTATTCTCCCGTCTTGTTCTCTAGCTTTTAGTTCGCTTGGAAGAGCCTACACTGGGTCAGTAACTTTTGTATTCACAGCCTTAGAACAACAATACCTTTTTGACGCTTTCAACAACAGGTCCAAAGTCCTGAAATACCCAGTTGAGATCGGGATATAGTTTCATCACATCGATTCCGCTGTCTCCAGGTCCACAGCCCACATCGACCACAGTCGATTTACCAAGTTCTGCCCAGGGGTAATCTGTCAGAAGCGCTCTTCGTGTCAATTGCTAAGCACGTGGTCAGTATAGCACATCCCTCAAAGACAGTGCTGGCTTACATTGAGCCATCCCACAATACCATCGTTGGCCAAAGTGACCATTTCTGAATTGTTTGGATCCGAAAAATACTCCAGGAAAGTCTTTCCGTCCTTCGAGACTTCTCTGACAAATGGAGCCGTCTGTTCTGTGAAACTGTGCTTGGTGTCTGGTCGGGAGAGGTCGTTTGGTATACCGATAGCAGACTTCGCACCTAGGTTTGTGCTGATGACTGTCAGAATGGGATGGCCAAATGTCCTCTAAATCTGTCCACATACATGAATGCGAGGAAAGAGCGAGCTCCCAATGACCCCGCAAGCCCTATACTATGCCGAGAGTGTTTGAAGACGTCTTTCGACACTTCTTGGAAGATGAACTCTCCTGTTAACACGCGCATGATCTTTCCTACCCAGCATCTCAGTCAAAAGGCGACTCAAATGGTAACAGCTTGAGTCTGAGTACCTAACTTATGCTCATTTGTGTCCAATCTGGTCGCAAGGTCATGGAGGGACGCTTCTCCACCCAGCTCGGTGAGCGCATCTGCCACATTCAGAGCTACCGCAGTGCTCAAAGCAGCAACTTTGTATGGTGCGAGGCCTAACTCAACCAGCTTGAAGTGTGTAGGTGTGATCAGAGCCTCGACGGCTTTGAGATCAAGCCGAATTTTCTCGATCAGGCGAAAAGCTTCAGGCGATGGCAGCGAACCCGTGTCGTCTAGTCCGCTATATGGTGTGGCGTCCCATAGATAAGGCGGGGCGCCATTTGATTGCGAGAGCTTGGTGTCTAGCTGGCGTAGATACTGTGCAAGGGTATCACCCAGTGTTGTAAGCATTGACATCCTGTGGTTGCTGTACTCGACTGTTTCTGCAGGAGAGACCAATGTAGGAAGGGTCGTGAGTACTCGACCGAGCTCACTGCTGAATGCTCGTTTGACTTAACTTTGTCGACCGAGAGCACTGCAACAGACTTGGTATCAATCTGATAGACACACAAGCCACTGGCTGTTGGTTGACAGAGGAGAGTGGCCAATCAAATCAAGCGGGCTCTTGTAGACATATTCCCCCACATCCTCAAAAGTAGCTTGTGGGGTCGCTGGACCAAAGTGTTTCCCCCAACATCTCTTTAGTTTCGACTCCCCAAACACCATGCACCATCTAGCGAATGACACCGTGGGGCTAGGCAAGGATTTCCGACGTTGACAACCGTGGCTTGGGTGCTCATTGCATCCTTATCGTCGAGTGGAAGGCTTTTGTATGTCAGAAGCAGTTGATGCGGCTAGGCATACCTTAAAAGTCTCCAACCCTCGCGGGAAATATTGTGAGATTTAGCAAAAGCATAGATCTCGAAATTCTGTCTTCGTCGACGTAATCTCTGCAATGGCATCTGAGCAACTGCCTTCCACGATGAAGGCGTTCGTACTGGAACAATTTGGCCAGCCCTATCAACTCCGCGAGGTTCCTCTGCCAGAAATCGAGCACCAGGATGATATTTTGATTCGTGTCGAGGCCGGCTCGTATTGCCATACTGATGCTGTGGTGGCCGCCGGCACCATGCACCCCCCATCATTACCGCACATTGGATGCCACGAGTACGCCGGGACGGTTGTGGCACTCCCACAAGGAAAATCGTCAATCTATGGGCTGATCGTTGGAACCCAGGTGGCAGTCTCAGGGCGTGGCTATCATGTTTGCGAGAAGTGCCAGGAATGTCGAAACCCTTCTGGTCCGGTTCCAGATGAGCCAGGATTTTCAGTATACTGTCCTTGGACCCATGGTGGTCTTGGCGTTCATGGACCAGGAGGATTTCGGGAATACGCAGTAGTCGATTCAAAACAAGTACTGCCGATTCCGGGTTCAATGACTGCTGTGGAGGTCGCACCATTGATGTGTGCTGGGCTTACGATATTTGCCGCCCTCAAGAAGTGCAATCTTAAGCCTGGACAACGTGTTGGATTCATCGGCTGTGGAGGAGGGCTAGGACATCTCGGTCTCCAGTTTGCAACTAAAATGGGTTTGAAGGCCGTCGGTGTCGATAGCTCTCCCGGAGCCTTGCAATTTGCGCGGGACCTGGGGACTGGTGCATATATTGTGAACGCGGCAGAAACAAAGGCCGAGGACGTTCGCCAACAGTTAGGCCAGGAGGACAAAGCTGAACATATCTCGGAAATGGGCCTTGATGCAGTCTTGATTTTGACCGACAGTCAACAATCATTCACTTATGGTGTAGATCTGCTCCGCAACGGCGGACTGGCAATTGTTGTATCATTTCCGCCAGAAGGATTCCAAGTGTCAGCAGCGGATTTGGTATTCCGCAGGATAAGGCTGGAGGGAACGCTAATAGGTTCAAACAAAGCCATGAAGGAAATGCTGGAGTTTTGCGTGGAGCACGGTGTCAAGGCGCGGGTCAAGACTTACTCATTCTTGCGGTTAAATCAGCTTGTTGAGGCATATCACTCTGGAGTTTCTGGGAAGCTGGTAGTAGATTTCCAGAAAAATGATTGAGCAGATACCGTCATCCAAGGTTAGAGTAGCACATTGCGAAGTGGAGAGGGACCCTGAGGGAAAACAGTTTGGAGATTAGTGGTTGTAGTAAGCAGCCTCCTCATGATTATCTCGCCCTTATGAAGCTGAAAAGACTGAGCTTCCTAGCCATCATAAGATATATACCGAAGCCCGGCTACGCCTGTGCATCAATACTAACGTACAAAGCCATTCGCGAAATCCTCATTACCCATCCTGGACTCAGCTAAGCCGAATCCTTTGTCAGGAGGCTTTTTACCCTAGCCTCGATACGCTCGCCAAGTTTAGTATCAACTTTGCTGAATAGTTCTATACCGCAGACATGTCAGTGCATGGGTTTGAGAGAGCAGGAATTGTACACGTCATGTGGCATAGGGAATGACTTACCGAACACCTTCTCTCTCAGCCAGTCTCTCTGAACGCCTGCAATGTTCTCTGCAATATTGCTAACAAATCTATCCTGCTCTTCTTTGCTGAGAACGTCGTTCCACAAAGCACGTGGTTGCTTGAAATCTTCTTCTGTGACTTGGCTGGTGAATACGACTGGGCCTTGAAGAACTTCTTCCGTCGGCTTGTACTCGGATGTGGCATTGTCGTGGAACGTGGTGGGTAGGATGCTGGAATGGACATAATTGGGATCTGAGCCGTAATTGGCGCCAAAGGTCATCAGACCATCTCGTTCGGTGGGAATGTAGATGGGCACTTTAGCGGCATTAGTGGGAAGCTGCTGGTAATTGACTCCCAACCTGTAACGTGCTGCATCTGGGTATGAGAACATTCGAGCCTGTAACATGGGATCGGCAGAAGGTTCGATACCGGGCACCATGGTTGAAGGAGAAAATGCAGCTTGTTCAATCTCTGCGAAGTAATTTTTTGGTGTCTGGTTGAAGACTAGTTTGCCGACTGGTCTTAGAGGATAGAGCGCATGAGGCAAGACTTTGGTCATGTCGAAGATGTTCACAGGGCAGCGAGCCAGGTCTTCAGGGTGAATTGTTTGGATAGAAACCGTGTATGATGGACCGTTTCCAGCTTCAATTGCGTTGTACAAGTCTAGTATCAACGCATCCGGGTTTGTGCCAGCAAGTTTGGTTGCTTCATCGGCTGACAAATTCTTCACGCCACCATCAGCATGATAGTGAATCCGCACGTAGTGAAAACTGCCGTCTTTCTTGGTCCATTTGTAGGTATGTCCAGAATAGCCATTGATATGTCGGAGGGAAGCTGGAGTTCCTCGATCTCCAAACAGAAACATCAAGGCATGCACTGACTCAGGGGCATTGACATGGAAATCCCAAAACATATCTGCATCAACAGAATGTGTGGCTGGATGGCGCTTGTGAGATCGATTCAAAGACGGAAACTTGATGGGATCTCGAACAAAGAATACTGGGATGTTGTTGAACACCCAGTCATTGTTGCCCTCGTTAGTCTTGATCTTAGTCGCCCAACCATGGACATCTCGAATGGTATCAGCAGACCCAGACTCAGGGCCAACGGTTGATATTCTGGTAAGGACTTCAGAGCGCTTCCCGATACCATTTAGAAAATCGGCATCCGTAATATCAGACACATCATGTGTGACTTCGAAGTAGCCTCGTGCTCCAGCAGCTTTGGCATGGACCACTCGTTCTGGAATACGCTCTCGTGCAAAATGTGCAAGAGTCTCGATTAATTGTGTATCTTGCAACAAGACTAGACCACCACCTTGCTTGTTCCTAACCTGGACAGAAGTGTCATTCCGAGGAAGAGGAGCGCCTTCCGCAAGAGTGTACATATGTTCAGGTTGTGAAGCAATCATGATTGCAGACGGGCAGTGGTAGAATTATCAAACTCGGAGGAAATGCTATGGGATTTTGGCTTGCGGTTGTAGGTAGTTCAGACAGAAGAGGAAAACCTTACCTCTTATAACATTACCGCAAAGTCCTTCTGGTTCTGCATTCTGGAGGAACGATATGATCTGAAGTCAAATGGAGTGCCATGTGGTGGATGATTAGTGGCAGAGACTGGCCCTGTTACCCTGTTTTGGACTATCATTCAACCAATAAGGGAGGGCATAATATTTAGCCACAGTGCGCGGAAGAATGTTGAAGGTCAAGTCAGACCATGGAAGTGGCCTTATCTCGGGGCAAATATATCTCAGTGATATTCAAACTGTTTACCAGGAGTGCGTCATCGTCGAGCAGTCTATAGTTTGCCAATCAAATTGCGACGAATGGTGCTTTAGTAAGGCCGTTGTCTCGCTTTGTCAACAGGCGTCGCAAAGTGGCGAATGAGGCTGGGAGAAACTATCGTCGGATAGGGAAATATTTCGGCCGATTGTTTGAGTTGCGACAACGAGGAGAATCGCCATAGAGTACTAACTTCGATCACTAATGAGAAGGGCCACCTGTACAAAATGCACTTCTACTCCCGAAAATGCCGAGGACAATGATCAAGTCGAGCAGAAGTGAGCTTGGGGTTGTGGTTGAATTTGGGTGTGAAATGTGCCAAGAGAAATTCTAGAGGTATGTAAGTACTCCAGCTGCGCACCTCTCGCTCATTTGCATTCACGTGGCACTTGACGCCGCTCGCACAATTACTTAGCATGGATTATCGACGCCTACCCAACCCAATTGACGTCCGGATGCCTCGAGAGTGGCAGGTGTTGTGGTCGGCGTAAGAATAACCACGTGTACGAATAGCAAGGTATTTTATCACGAATTCGTCAACTTTGTCCAGCAGTGATAATAATATGTAATATTCCATTGGGATTATACATCTTTAGTTAGGAAGTGGTAATTATTCTACTCTAGAATTCTCTATATCACAGAAGATGTATTGAGGAAGAGAGAGGAGTTATGTAACTCTTAATTTAGGTGAGGAATTCCGCTACTCGAGGACGGCTATGATTTACAGTAAATTTCATTGTTGGGCCCTTGAATGGGTCGATACGCGGAGGGACGTGGCTCTTCTACGAACATGGGTCGTTCTCAGTTCGACCCTAACAGCGGCTCAGAGAACGTGTTTCTCGACACCTCCCTTCTCACATTCCCATCCCTCCATTTGCTAAACTCTCTTAGACTCAGCACTAGTCTCTAAGTACTTCGCATCGAGCAAGATTAGCTCTCGCTTCTTTACCGGGTTCCCACTCACCCACCCAGCAGCGAAGCGCCGCCCCACTGCGGACATATCATAGGCTTAGCATTTCAACTTGTTCATAATGGTCCCCTCATTGGAATTGCACTGTCCCCACCTAGATAGCCAGCCGAAACACCCTAGCGAGCCCCTTACAGAGGCCACAACTTAAGGGGCTGAGCACTTTAACACTTGAGGCCACAAACGGCTGACATGAATGTGTTTTAGCTCGTTTTCACCTCCAGTTTGAACACTGACAACTTTCGTTGGTGGGATGAATACGAAGTAGGTATGTGCGAAGCACTTCGTATTGTTGCCAGCCCCGTTCGGCAGTTGGAAACACTCGAAGAATTCATGTGGCACTAGCAAAGCGTATCCCCCATAACCTGGCTGAGTTTGCCACGAACACTTGACGACCTCAGGCTGGGGACTAGGAAGCATATACTTCGCATGGCATCGTACCACGCCAAGGTGAATTTACATTATGGAGTACCTCGACCTAATGCTGAGGCGCTTAAGGGTACGTGACATGTCCTTTAGAAATCCTGACAGTCTTTTGGCTTTTATTGTTTCGGTTTAGCGCGTGCTAAGGGCTTAAGTCTGGAAGATTATCTCCTCTATCGGCTTAGTAGTGTTTCTAAAAAGTTTAGTTGCCTTCTACGACTAATTAACTCGTCGTTAGTTGGTCAGAATTTGAAGAAACCGACAAAATGTCAAACCGTAAAAAGAGCCGACACGTCTTTTGTCGTAAACAAAACCAGACATTGGGTCGTGTCCGAAAAGGTCCCTCGATCCCCAGGTACAATCTTACGAGTACAATTTAATGGTAGCATATTTCCGGCGCGTTTTGTCGATCGACAAGCGCTGTTACTCCACAAATGATTGTGGAATACTGAGACAAATTTCAAGCCCCTGACTCTCCTCGGCTTGTACGTCCGGGACTACGGACTACTTCGTGCTGGTAGAATTGTCTCGCCTTCTACTCATGTACATCTCGGCCTCTTACAAAGTATGTCTTCTTCCTTCCATGCACCATGCTATTCATGAGTAACTTCCGCGTTTCTCGCAATGGCTGAAGAGGAGCTGCTGACACGTATGGAAGCCGACCTGGACCGTGACAGTAACAATGGTTCAATTGCCAAGCACGAGGACGATGGATATGCCGCTGCCAATGTCAGTGTCAGTTCCTACGCTATACGAGACGATAACTACGACTCCGAGGACGTGCCTCTCCTTCCTCAATCCGACGACCCCTACTTCGATAATATTCCCCTCCTAACCCTGTCGACAAAAGAGCATTGGATATCCGCATCTCTGGCTCGGCCCACCCAAAAGCTCCGATGGTGCCTCTCTTACCTCAAAACACTGCCATCATATCTATCTGTACATCTGCGATCCCCAGGCCGCCTGCTCAAATCCGCCTTACCAACCTACTGCACACCCAGCCGCATACCACCTCCTCGCCAAGGCCCAACGGCCTACCTGGACTCCCTGCGCGGCTACGCCGCCGTCATCGTTTACATCTTCCACTTATACGATCAGTGGGGCGACCTCTCATGGCGCCGCTTCCCGTTCGTTAGCACCTTCTTCGGCGGTCCTGGTATGGTCAGCGTCTTCTTTGTCATCTCGGGCCATGTGTTGGGCTACGGTTTGTTACTCAGCATGCACAGGAGGGAAGAAGGGCGAATGCTACAAGGTCTCGCCTCCGCCTTGTTTCGGCGGTATTTGCGCCTGTACGGCAGCGTCGTCGTGGCTATGATCCTCACGCTCGTCCTAATGAGGCTGGGTGGTTACAAGGGCGTGTATCTCTACAAACCCTACCACGAAGATATGATTGAACAGCTGAAGGATTGGTTCGTAGACCTCTTCAATTTCTGCAACCCTTTCTCTGGCCAGATCACCGACATCCACAACGACTGGCCTCTCGGCTCCTCCTACTTACCTCAGATGTGGACCATCCCCGTGGAATTCCGGGGTAGTATCTTCTTGTTCGCGTTCTGCGCGGCCATTTGCAAATTGACCGCCAAGGCACGCATGATCGTTATGGGGGTCGTCATTTTCATGGCTTATTGCTGGCAAGCTGCCTACATAGTCGAGTTCACTGGCGGCCTCCTGATAGCGCAGATCTCTCTGGTCCGCGACCCTGAGCGCATTTCGGGACCATCCTCATTGACCGTCCCCATGACCACAAACGCACAACCGGCACCGCGACCGCGACTATCGCTGCTTTCCAAGATGGCCCACACTGCCCTCTTCATCGTCGCCTTCCTTCTCCTCGGAGAAAACGATGCCGGACAAACGCAACTGCGCCTCTGGGGCAGTTTCCCCTGGGTTTATCTGACCAAAATGGTCCCACCCTGGTGGAGAGAGCAGGCAAGATACCTCTTCTGGCTCAGCTGGGGCAGTCTGGGCCTTGTGTATTCGTTGGAGTTCTTCCCGACGCTGCGGCGGCCGCTGGAATGGAGGGTGTCGCACTACATTGGAGATATCTCCTTTGGCGTCTACGCTATGCACGTCCCTGTTGGCATGGGTTTGAGGCTGGAATGCCTGGATTCGTGGCGGAAGGCGTGGGCCGGTGAGGCGAATTGGGGGTATCTGCTGCAGGCATTGGTTATCACCTTCCTTGTGTTGACGGCCGCGGATTACTTCACGCAGTTGGATCGAGCTGTGGTTCGATTAGGGAGGTCATTTCAGCAAAGGGTGTTCACTAAGTGGTAGTATTAGGGTCGAACCGACAACCAACTGCGTATTAGTTCAGCGTCAGTTCGTAAGGGTTCGGACTCAGTCGAGGACTGAACTTTGAAAGTTAATGTATATATAAAAGGGTCTCTTAAACAGCGAAAATCCTCATTTAAATCGAAAGGTATATTCTCTCGACCTCGACCTGGAATACTTTGAATTATAGTAGAGACTTCTCGTAAATAGGCATTTTCACTGCACCAAGAAATTATAGGGATTTAATGGCCTTTCCTAATAGAGTTAGCTTCATCTTGGGTCAACGTTTAAGGTACCAATCGTCTTAGCTAAGGCGTACCCCTAGTTTTTACGCGCAGGTGCAGGGAATCCTCGCCCGAGTAACCCTCGTCCCCGAACGGGGTGAGGTGCGACGAGTGTCCACTTAACTTGGCCTTATGGTGCTCACCTTAGGCGTCGAGGCGTGCCCCAGCCGTGAGTTAGACAGCAAGAACACTTTGCAAGAGTTGTTGGAAATTCATTGTTACAATATTATCTTGAGATGCTCGTCGTATCGCCATGCAGATGTTAATCCTGAGACGGCCGGTTTTCAAGGCCGGTAAAGACATCATCATTGAGCCACCACACTAATAACTTGGTCTCCCGCTTCAGGGTCAAAAGCCTGAACTAATCCGTGCTCTCTCCAAATCGTCACCTTTTGCAGAAAGAAAGCTACGCCAGCAATTTGGAGTGCACCTTGCGATTATACCTCAGTTTCCACTGCATTTGGCTGTTGTATGCCTAGTACAGGTAACAGTACAGCTTGCTCCGTTACAACCTTCTGGTTCTTCAAAGCGTCAAGGTATCTTGCAGCCTCGGCCGAATACTTGCATTTCCTTCTTATTCTCTCGCCATATCTCCAAAAGAGGATCGGGAATGGAAAGCAAGCAATCGCGATGAATGCCGGAACCGCAGACGCCCATTGCACGCCCAGGTTCTTGTACATTCGGGGTGTAAACAGTGGGAAAGCCGCAGCTAGTGTGGCACGTAGGAAGATGTTTGCTGCTGTCACACTAGCAGTATAAATGACATACGAATCGACACTGCAGACGAGAATTCAGTGGGTTAGGACATGAGAACCATGGAAGAGAGTGGAGATAAATGGTAAGACATCCTTTTGCAAACTTACAGATAATTGACACAAGCCTGGAAGAGTAGAATAAAGCCGGCACCAAAAAGGACTCCGGATGAAATCGGTACAAGAGGATGGTATCTTGGATCGGCTGTCGCAGCAAACCACGCCAAGCCGATAATGGCTATGCAACCACCTACAATAGCAGTCGGCAGCCTTGTCTCTGGTGGCGGGAAGCCACCGGTAGCCTCGTATACGCGAACATAACGTTTGTGATCGACAAACATCAAACAAATGCCCACGAGGATGCCCACCAGAATACCATAGAAAGCAAGACCCCCCTGTCCAGCATTCCAGCCGTAGCCTTGCTGATAGACGATGGGATACGCAGCAAAATTGAGGTTAAGAAATGCATAGACAACAGCCATGTACATCTCGAGGATGGAGCATTAGCAAAAAGGCTGCCCTGAGTATAACTGGGAAACGTACCGAAAGAAGCAAAACAATTGGCTCTCGAATCAACAGAGCCCATGGACGGATCATGGAGCGCCTCAGCATGTCATGGAATGATTCCTGATGCTCAATCTCTATGGCGATCGTATAACTCTTGCCCGTCACCTTGGACAGCAGTTGGGCCCTGTTCCTGAGCAGGATTGGGGCATAGGTTTCCGGTACGAAAATAATTCCAAGCATGCAAAGAAAGCCTGCGAAGAGAGCAAGGAAGCCCATCACCCACCGCCAACCTGCTGCTAATCCCAAGTAACCGCCAATACTTGGCCCCCTGCAATTCACCGTTAGCAAATCTCGACAGGTTCAGGCATAGTTTTTCAAAATTTCCCATATGAGTGAATGGCTGTAAACCTCGAAACAGTAGGGCAACTGACAGTGTTGGGCCAAGCCAGGGAGCTACAGCAAAGACCGTCATAACAAGCCCTCTTTCCTTTGGTCCGATCATGTCGACAAGCTGTCCCGCAGGTATCACCAATGCCGGAGCTCCAAATATTCCACAGAACAAGCGAAAGATAAGTAAGGTCTCTATGTTCTGTGCGACGCAACACAATCCTGCCCACAAGGTGTGAACAGCCAAAGTGATCATGACGACGCTCCTCCTACCGATCGCTTCACTTAAAGGTGCAAACAAGAGAGGTCCGAACGCAAATCCAAGCAACATGAAACTTAGCCCAAGCAAGAAAACTTCCCGACTGCAGTTGAACTCCGTCGTCACCTGCTCAGCTACTGCGGTGTAGGCGGAGGATGCTAGGGTGATGCAGAAACACATGAGTCCTCCAATCGTCAAGCTGGTGACCTTGTCCCAGGTACTGTAAGTCTGTGGGTTTTCAGGGTCGTTGTCCAGCCATCTTATGATGAATGGGTCACTCGGTGTACCAGAACCTTGGTAAGAACCCTCCAATATAATGGCAAGATCAGTTATCCGCCGCCGCCAAGGTCTCCAGCGATAGTTTTGTCGCGACCAGTCGGGATTTGGCAGAGCCATCTGGCCGTTGACTTCAGGGTTTCTATCGATGATTGAAGATTGAACGTGCTTGTCCATACTGGAACAATCGGAGAGTACAAGCCTGGCTCATCAAGAGTGTTGCACCTTCCTGTCACACGGGGTGCATTGATCGATACCACATATTCCACAAATCGATTGTGATAAGCAATTTTCAGCACACTGACTTCTTAACCATTTTCAGTAGTAAGACCTCGGTCTTCGAGCCTTCGCACTACCTTTAGTCAGCCTTGGTTGGTTCAGCGTATAGAAGCGTCCGTGGTGTCAAGAATCACTTGCATGAGGAAGCCTGGCTGATAACAGGTACACGAATGAAGGGAGTGCCAGTCAGTGCAACTAAGTGAATCTGGTCCGTCTTATCCGTGCTTGGTTGAATTCAACGAAAGCTTGTATGGATTTCGGACGATGTTCTCGAAGGGCTTCCAGTGGTCGGCATAATGGTTACACTTGCGAATTTTTGGAGGCTGACTAGATGCGCCGACGGAGATGATTGATCCGATGGCGCAACGATCTCCTCTGTGACCAGAGGACACTTCTTTCTGAATCATTATCTGGTTGTTCGGCTCCGAGTGAGCTACGGTTGGTCATAGTCCATCCGCGCTGTCAGGACCTGGAAAGCGGTAGTCAGGATGGCGATGTCAGGATGGATGTGTTTCTGGCCGCCGAGCCGAATGGTTTCAGCTACTGCTCGTACTTCGTATCGGCACGAGGTTCCCGGCTTTGCTCCGGTTCCTGCTTCTCCGCATTCTCCCCATGACCCTTCGCTTACATCCCACTTCCTTATTCTCTACCGCGTGGATGGAGATGTTGCGCAACAACTTCGTTCCTCGGATTGACTGGGAGATCGTCTCCAAGTACGAGCGAGGACAGTCAATTCTATCAAAGGTTACTGATATTCGGGGCGCGGATTAGGGTAGGAGAAGACTGACATCAGTGGCTTACAAACTTAGCTTTCTCAAAGTACAATAGCAAGAAGGACGAGCCGTGTGGCATCGTCCAGTTCGAGTGATATCCCAACACATGGAGGTGTCACGCAGCAAAAAGCCCCGCTTGGGCTCTACAGGTTCGCTATCGGAACACAATGACAAGCCAGACGCTGTTCTAGCGGAACACCAAACGCCTATCGGTGGCAGCGACGAGGCCCTAGACCGCCGCCGTCTTAAAAAACGGGAGTCTGATCGTAAATGCCAGCGTATCTCTCGCCAGCGGAAGAAGTCCCGCGTTGCGTATCTTGAAAACATGGTGGACCAGCTCAAAGAAGCTGACGCGTCAGGCCAAGTAAACAATTTACTCCAGCAAATCTCGCACCTGAAGTCTGAGAGAGATTCCTTCGAGGAGAAACTCATGGCGATCGATCACATCCTACATCCCGCCAACCTAAGTAATTCAGCTCGTGGAGAAGCGGAATTTGAATTACGAAGTATTTGTACAAAAGCCATTCCAGAGACACAGAAGGAAGCACCTACATCACCGTTCAGTCCAATTTTCGGTGACTCGAAAAAGGATTCGCCATCCGATCCTGAAATTTTCACGCCACCGGAACTTCACGCGGGGATCGTATTGCCACGACTAGACCCTTTTCCAGAGGTGGACATACGACTCCAGGAACTGAAAACCCAAGATGAAGTGGCGAGTACGTTACAGGTCAACGATTTCAAGAAATCAGAAACGGCATTCCCCCGGCCATACCTAGGCACGCCTTATCCGACGGTTTCGACTCAAAACACATCATTATTGAGTGGACACAGTTGCGGTTGTGGCCAGGCCAATGCACAGAAGATGCTTCATCGAAGCATCTGGTATTACGGAAATATCACCTTAGGAGGATGGATGAAATGGCCATCAGTCGCGTCCGCGTATCCCAATGCCGATCCATATCTCGAAGACACTTCGGTGCGGGTGGTTGTCGAAGGTTGGGCTGCCATTGAACGCCGGGGTAATGTACATCCAATCTGGCGCCTCATGCGTCGCATGGATGAATCATTGTTCAAATATAGTGAGAACTCTACCATGCGACTGAGCATCCTCTACGGCGTCGCTCGCCTGATGTTGGCGCACATTGATCAGTCCAACGATCTATACAACAAACTCCCTCCATATCTGCGCGACGGCCCAAAGCAGAAGACCTACGCATATGCTACAAATTTCCCGGCGTGGCCAGGCATTAGGAGAGCCCTGAGCGTCAACGAACATCAATACTGCTCTAACCACTTTTGGCACAGATTCATTAACAGTATGCGACTACGGTGGCCTTTTGAATTTCGAGACTGCTATCGTTATAATAAAAGCAATGGATCTTATTCTTTGTCTCCAACCTATCTGGAACTGGAAGACGATCTTCATACCTCCGGTGTCACACGTGACTTTTTTGATCACTACCCAGAATTCCGAGGGATGATTGCTGCAGTGGATGAAATACCCCCGTCACTGGCAATCGATATACCAGATTTTAGTGAGAGGGCCACCGCGTCGGGTTCATTGTCGTTCTTCGCTCAGAACCAGCGGCCCGTATTCCCATATGCTATGCGAGGCCAAATGGGCCCACCGATGGCAGGAGACGGCGTGATGAATAAACATGAACATAGTTGTCAAGAGATCATTGAGCAGCCTCAGAGTTTTGTCCAAGAAGCCGGTGCCAACGGAGAACCATTACCTGGCCAAGATCCTCAACTACCATGTCTACCGACTGGTGCTTTCAGCGTTGTGGAAGCAGATCTGATGGCGCAAGATGGCAGACCAATCGAAGGACCATGGCTCAACGAAGAAGAACAACTTGATCAAATCTTGGAATGCTCGACATCATTCCATTCCACATTCTTCCCCGGGCGAGACTTCTTGTGAATATAGTTCAAGCACTCTAGGCGCCCTCAAAACCTGGAATTTTCAGCGATATCTCAGGATCAAAGGGCACGGAACTTTCAATTGGTTAAGTTCTTCTTTGTTTGGGCACTTTCTCATGGAGAACACCGCTTCTATCTTGAGCCTTCCATTTCTCCATTCCTCTTCTCTCCGGACGTTAGATGAATCAGAGCCATTGTTTGTTTCCAAATTGTGACAGGAACGCGCCGCCGTCACCATTCGCAACGCTGGCCTTATCCCACACTGCCCTCATTAACTTGACCGACTCCTCTGGGGTGATGGGCCCACTGAAATCAGGAGCATAGTCCTTGAACTTTCCCATCATGCCCATTGCTTTCTGCCCTTGTTCGGGAGTCACTAAGTGTTATGATTCATGTCAGCCGTCGGCCTTAGGACCCCGCCCCAAGCGGATCGCGCGTGGTTGTCTGCCTGGGGCGCACTCACGTTTATCCATATTGCCAGTATCGACCATTCCAGGTGCGAGAGCCAGGAACAAGACGCCTTGCTCGGCATACTCGGCGCTGTATTTCGCCACTACCATGTTCACCGCTGCTTTGCTGATTGAATAGGGCCCAGCGATAGATAGATTGTATTTGGCATTCAGCTCCGCGTCGGCGAAGCCTGTCGTGATGGTGATGACTTTCTTTGCTTCGCCTTTCAACACGAGAGGGATGAAGAGGTTGATCAGGTGCACCGTTGCAATCACATTGACGTTGAAGCATTCGGCGAGTTCCTTTTCCAGGCGTTCTGGTTCTTTGCCTCTGACGACAGGCAAGAGATTTCCATGTCAGTGAAGCCCCGGTCTTTTTCGAGGAAGTACCGAATTCAACGTTGGATGACCCTTACTTACAGTTCTCCGAGTGGTTCGAAAGCAGACCAGAATGGTATAAGTGCTGCATTTGAGATCACGTAGTCAAGACCACCACCAGTGATCTTCGCGGTCGCTTCGGCGGCTCTCTTTAGGGACGATCCCAACGTTAGTCTCATTCACAGGCGAAGATAAGACGAATGAACCTCTCGAGGAGGCAGATAGTACCTTCAATCCATTGTAATCAGTCACATCGGTCTCGAGAATGTGGATGTTCTTTCTGCCCTCGAGTTCTTTGGCGACCGTGGCTTCAGCGGCAGCCTTGTCTCGCACAATACCGATGACAGTGTTGCTGGAGTCGCTCGAGAGCTGTCGAACAAATTCGAACTGAAGGATACTCTTGTTAGACGTGTGGTCCTCTCTTGGATGGAAGGTAACTGACTCCGATTCCTCGATTGGCGCCAGTAATAAGATATGATGGCATGTTGCTCTTCGTGGCGTGTGTCGAATATATGAGTGGGGACCGGATAGCCTCGCTAAGACTGAACTTATGTAAGTGCTAAATGAAGTGGTATTAAATCAATGAGGTAGCAACACCTGGAGGAGAGCGTGAAAGACGGTTTTATATGTGGCTTGTTCGAGGCCTCAATACTAAGTAATTTTCGTCCGCTGTTCCGATGGTTTGCAATCATACCGGTATATTGATCGAAGCACTGACATCGGATACGTAGTGAACAAACCCCAATCACAATGTACCTACGATGAATACGTACCATCAAGCAGCATCCTGCCCGTCATCTTAGCCGCTGTTGGCGTATTTCCGGAAAGGGGGTTGTTGCTCCGCCATAGTCTATGTTGAAGAATCCTATCCACACTGCAAGGCTGTGCATCAGAGTGCGAATGCGAGTATCCAATAAGGTGAACTCGTTCGGCCCACTACCATCAATTTAATTCACTCGCTTCCCTTGTGAGAGACGAAACCTTAGCGAACGACGATGCTATCATAGCAAGTGGAGATACTGCTATGATGCCCTCTGAGCGAATCGATAAGTTCCAGGCCTCCCAAGTCCAAAGTCCGCGGCATTCGTCTATCTGAAGTAAGCAACATCCACACCTTACCTACGTGATTAAAAGTCCGCGGCCTTACACTCCGACCCCACCCCAGATTTCAATGTAGCCCAAGGTTGAGCCGCCAAGTGTTTCGTCCGCCGGTAGCCACCGGACGAGGCAATTCGAGTTGCTTTTGCGATTTCACTACTCGTACGGGACAACAGCATCGGATGCACCGAAGTGAACAACACGCTAAAATGAATTGTAACCCTGCTGCCTGCATAAGAATTTGCAATTTCACCTATTCTTGTCGTTCAATAAGATCTGTGTCTGATATAAATGGCAGAATACCATGGGTACTCTGAAGCACCGGCTTTGTACACGTTTTGCTCGCCATACTATCAAGAGAAAATGGCCTGGCTGATGGATCGGGTAGAGCTCTGAGGTGGTAGTCCTGTTGAGAAGATGGCATTGAAGTGGAAGCATAGCAGGCCAATCACAAAAACCAATCTGTCTAGTATATTCGACCAAAGTGCCCTTCTTTCAGCATTGTGATGGCTGATATTCGAACTCGCGATGGAAGAACCGCCTGGACACCCACGAAGAGCTCTTCCTTTACCAGTCTCCTTCCAGAATCTTTATCAGATCGTCGGAGGCATTGGCCTGCTTCGCCTCATTATCAGTATCTGACTCACACGTGTGCTGCAGAATGATATGCGTGTCTTTCTCTTGACCCTCTCCATTGACTTTGTGAACAAAGTCCCAGGTTGGTTTCCTGTTTGTTGAGTTTGATGTTTTATGGGAGTCGATGAGTGGATCTGACGGCTCGGTTGAGACTTACAAAAGTAAGCAAGATTCAAAGTTCTTTCATCCAAGTTTAAGAGAGACAACTTACGAGATATTCGGGCAAAGTCTCTCGACAAGGCATCAGCAAGTGCGCTTTCTCGGCCCACGGCACGCTGATCGATCATCTGGTTACAAGTGGCTAAACATGTTCTCAGCGAATCTAGAGATCTGGTCTGAAGATGCCCTACTGGCCGCCTTGGAAACCAGCTACCTTATGGATGGTTGAATGAGGCGATTTCCGGTGCCATCAGGCTGTAACCCCTGGCTATCTTGGCGCCGAGCCTTGTCCTGTAGAACAATCGATCTACACAATTCCAACGAGCCGAACAAAACTCCAACTATGGTATGCACCCAGATATAGAGCTCGGCTACGTAGATATATACCTGGCGCACTACCCACACCCGACCAAGCCTATATTGCGGGAGGCGCTGGACAATGTGGTTGCGGGTACCTTGACCGCCATTGTTGGGAGGGGGATCCTGGCGGAGAAGGCGAAGGGTTCAAGATGGTTTTGAGATCCTCCAGGTCGTAGATTGAGAACATGCATTACCCAAGGTCGTCTCGAGATAACTAGGCCGTGCTAAGAGACCTCCCAGATGAATTTGTGAAGCTACAAGGCTGTTGCCTTCAATCTACTTGCTGCTGAGAACCTACCTCACGGTCTAGGCAAAACGCGACATAGGTAGGTAGGCATAAACTTCGTCGGGTGGGGCAACCGAGGCTATGAACGAGCTGCACTTTTGAGTCAAGAAAAGGAAAGTAGTGCTGTCAATCATTGTCTGCTATTATGGAGAAGAACTAAGAGCAAGTTTGGATAGGCACAAGGCATGGTTTGGTGTGCTTAGCCCTGATTTCCAGATGAGACTATCATGCATTTGACTGCCACCGCATGAAGCATGTTGGCTCCAAATTCCAAGCAGGCCTGCAATCAACTCACGCTGATTTCTCCCTTGGAGACTGTTGTGCTCGATGATGAGGTCGTAGAAGGTTCAGTTTGACCAAGTCAGACGCGCCTGTGGTTTAGATGTGAAGAGTCGACGATCAATATGGACACAGAGTCTCGAAAAAGCAGGCCATCAGGATGCAATATCTCATGCAAGGCCAGGACCAATGGTTCTGAGCCCGTTCTGATGCCAACTTTGTTTTGAGCCCCTCGAGGATCAGCGGAAGCGTTTGCAATCGATGGTGTGACTTTGAATCCAACCAACACCATTGCCAATCTGATTATTGATGTCGTCGCCAGACCGCTCGAAACTTCCGTGTCCAGTGCTCCAGTCATCTCCAGCCATCGATGCGGCATTCCATCTACTAAGATCTCCTGCATCTTCTTGACGGCTGCCCCAGTCATCATACTCCGCGCCTTCTCCAATACCCCAATCATCGCCATTTGCTTTCGCTCCTCCCTGAACACCCCAGTCATCACCATTTGCATTGCCCCCAGCTTGAGCACCCCAACCAGAACCGTTTGCTTTGCTTCTATCCTGAGCACGCAAACCATTGCCATTTGCATCGCTCTCAGCCTCCCATGTACCAGTCGGAGCAACGTCTCCAGCATCCCAGCCACCACATCCATTGTTGCTTGTAGCATTGTCCACAGCCGCGTTCTTCACCTTTTGCAACTCGTACAGTTCAGCCGTGACTTCGACCAAAACATCGGTCTTAGCCTTGCTGTGCATCAAAACACAACGATGATCATCTTGGAGCTTGTTGTAATTTTCTTGAAGCTGCTTGTTGTCATTCTTCGAATTATCGAATGCTTGTTGAAGAAAGACGTAGTCGTCCGATAGGCACATGTAGTTCTCAGCCTCACCTTTAAGCCGCTTGAGCTGTGGTCGAATTTCAGACAGTTCCTTCTCGAGAGCCTCGTTCTTTTGCAGGATTTCACGAAGACCAGCCGACGAAACCTCAACTCTTGCTGGCCACAAGACTTGCAAATCTTTCAGGGTGGTCTTGGTGGAAGGAAGGTAACTGATGAAGTCGCGATCGTTAAGGTTGACCAGGGGTTCTGGAGCAACAGGAAGATTTGGGGGGGCGGTGACGCGATTTGGGATAGAGATACGTGATTTGTCATTGCCAGTAGGGACATGCTCTCCGGCTTCAGCTTCGGGAATCTGACGGCCAGAGACCTTCAATCTCGCAAGCATCTCGCTAATTCTCACATCCTTGGCTGCGTTGCTGTCATCAGGGGATGGTTGGACCGGCATCTTGATAACTTGAGGTGGATACACAGGTTTGAGGGGAGGAAAGTCATCCAAGTCCGGATAGTAAGCAGGGAAGAGCGTCTTCTGTGGAGGAGACATTGAGGCGTGCGGATCTGGAGCAGCTGACGATGAGGAAGGTGTGAAAGCCATTACAGGTAAGTTCACAAAAGATTTGTTGTTTGAACGAAGTGAAAGAACCATGGAAGCAAGAGGTAGAGAGTCAACAGATCTCAGATCGGAACTGTTTGATGTAGGAAGAAAGAAAGAAAGTTCCGGAAGAAAGAGTGGGTGAGGAAGCTCGCATTTATAGATAGATGTTGTTGCACGCTGAGCAGCGACGGCACAGGCGGTACGCGACAACAAGAGTCACAGGATTCAGGGTCCGGGTGTGAAGTTAACATGGTGACGGTGGGTCCATGAGATGAAAAGCATGTGCGTGAGGGGTCTGGAGAGTAGGCTATGCGCGAAGTAAGAGTGGAACTGAGATAGGGACATGGATTGAGATCGGGATGAAGTGGTGTTTCTTACGAGACCAGGGGAAAATCCTGTAGAACTTTGTTCAGGGAAAGTGTTAGACGAATATGTTCAATTGTGGATTCATTGTACTGAGCGCCGAAGGTTTCAGGGAGCAAGAATTCTGCCTCAATCTGGTATCTCAGTCTGGTACTGAATCCAAGAGATATTGTCTACCCGAATTCCACAATGCCCTGACGAAGTATCACTCCCCAGTCCTGATTCCTATCCTTGGAGGTGAAAAAGGTTCTTACAAATGCCTCTTTGTCTGGATGCTCGTTCAATTAACCATCTTATTGCCCCTCTACATCATTTACTTCGTTGAAATTGACCTGCTCTGGATCGACGAAAGCTGCAAGACCCGGAACTGCGGCTATCATCTCTCTCAAAATCTCGGGTTTATCCTTTACCCAGAGCATGAGGAGATCGTGGGTCTCCCAGAGCTTTTCGCATGTGTTTTGAATCGCCGCCAGGTTTTGCATCAGCTCGAGATTTCTTTTGATGGGTTTCTCATGTTCAACCTCAATTTGGGTCTGTTTGGCGCAGATTTCGGGTTTCATTTTGAGGATTTCGTTGTACTCTGGGCGAGCTTTCAGGGATTCTTCTCTCTGTTTACTGGAAATTACAAGAAGATTGCTGTAGTTTTCATGCACCTCAGTCCAGGCGAAACGTCCATGCAGCTGTCCCAGAGCGATGTTGACATGGAGCATGGCCTTCTCCCATTCCGAAATGGTTTCGGTGTCCTTTGCATGTAACTCGTTGACCTTTGCGTAGAAGTCATTCCGATCTTGTGAGGTCAACCCACCCGAGGTCATGAGGAGAGCCTTGAGCTTGACATCGAAATCACGCCGAGCCTCCATGACCAGTTCGGCAAGCTGGGCAGGCAGGTTGGATGGTGGAGACGAGATCGAGGTGGCAGGCCCAGATCCGTTGGTATCCATGGTGAGTTGGGTGTCTTTCACCTCTGATTCAGATGATGTAGGCATAGATGCAGCGGACTGGAGACCCTTGTCAGCAGTGTGGAATGTCTGAGGTTGAAGAGCCATGGTTTGGTCGTTACTTGATTGACAGCCGTCTTCTTGAAGAGTTGGAGCGGCGGTCTGTTCTGTCATTGCAGACTCAATTGACACCATTACTGAAGTGGGCGGAGAAGACATATTGATCACTTGCAACAATCTGGTGGAGAACCGGTCTTGTCGAATCACTTATCTGCTTGTTAAATTAGACGCCGTGATGATGTTACAGTGCCTTGATAAAAGAACGAAAGAATTGAATGCCAGAGAAGAAGATGTAATACAAACATTTGTAGTATGCGTGCGTGCGAGGGAAGCGATATGATAGTCACACAATCTAACAAGAAGTGCGATGTGAAGACCTCTGAACTGTAGCTATCCTTTACGACTCGATCGTGTCTACCTAAAGGGCCACTCAACCCTTATCCAGTTCTCAAAGCCATGTTTAGCAACACACTCCTTCCAAAAAGCTTTCGTTCCCATAGATGTACCTTCCAAGCCGCTGCCATTCTCAATCTCATTGTTCTCGGGAACTTGAACAGGCCTCGCATTAGTTGTTCATGATGGCTAGGACTCAGCAGGTGCGCCCGAATTTCCACTCTCCTGCCCAGTCTCGTTGTTCTTTTCAGCCAGCTCCGCACCCACAGCATCATTGTCGTCTTTCATGGCATTCATTACCTCATGAGAAAAGCCAGGCTTGTCCCTAACGTACAGCAAGAGGCGTTGGTGAGCAGCCGTCAGATTCTCATATTTGGCCAGGATCCCAGCGTGTTCCTTGTTTTCTTTTTGCCGCTGACAGAGGGTCTGTTTGATCGCTTCGTCAAGCGCGGTGTATTTGAAGTCAAGTGTTCGGTGGTCGACTTGAATTTTGTCTTGCTCCTCCTGAAGTCTGGTATACTTGGCCTGAAGATTGCCGTGCTCTGCTTGAAGCTTGCTGTGCTCGGCCTCGAGTCTACTGTACTTGTCACGACGTCGTACGAAGTCTAGTTGGTCTCGGACTGTGCTGATGATGTAACGATGATGTTCTATCACTTCCCGTGTGCTTTTCGAGACCATCTCGTGTTCCTGCTGCAGTCTCCACTTAAGAAGGTGTTCAAAGAATTCCTGGGATCCCGTCAAAACACGGCGATTTGGACTCAGAAGTATGGCTCGAGGATCTGAGTGCGCAGGAGTAACAACCTCGCTCGTGGCTATCATACTCATGGAGGCTTGATGTGAAGTTCGGCCGACTAGGTCGCTAACTGAAAGAGAAGAACTGGTGTGCTGTGGCACGGGATGTGGACTGCAGTCCGCTGCTTCTGACATAAAGGTGATGTCTTGTTGTTGGGCTTTCCGCTCATTGACTGGCTGTTGAGACATGTTGGACAGGAATTTGGCTGGCAGTGTGAAAGGATTGATCGGGCCGCGGAATGGATGGTTGAGCGTTTTGCCATCTTAGACTGACGATCAAGCCCGGCGTCATCTGCATCTGCTCTGCCCTTGCCGTTGGCTTGAGGCGGGGGTGATGACATCAAGCTGCTCTCTCTTTATGAGAGTGTCAGACTCCTCTTGCTTGATCACCGGATCGGCTTGTCCGGAGCACATGATTGAAGCGTGGACTAGTTGATGTTCTAGTCTGCGTGGAAGAAAGAGATGTCGTCAGGTAGGATTCGAGAAGAGGGAAGGGACGTGAGGGGAGGGAGAAAAGAAGTGGAAATACAGACATATATAGGTAAAGTGCCAGCGAGGCAGTGGACGCAGTGACAGGCAGTACACTGTACAATAGTCGTGTTGTGAAGTCCTGTGAAGCTCCTGCGAACCCCGGTGAGCTCGGTCATCCCATTTCATACGATATCAACTGTCGATCAAAAGTGAAGCTCTATTCTGTCTCAGATTAGGGTACTTCAAAGACCACTGGCACATTTTTCTAGCATCCATAGGACCATACCGAGGAACCTAGATAGTAGTGCCCATATGGCCATACCTAGTACCACGCATATGACCAGACCTAGTAGGATCCCCCCAACCATCATTAGCAGCAGGCAACCAAAGAGTGCATTTTATATACCAGGGAAGGGGGGGCAGTGCAGTGCAGTGGAGTGCGCTGTTCCACGCGCGTATTAGGCAGTGTACTATACATAAGTCGCGGTATGGCTCTTCATCTCACTTAGCACAATGTCAATACTAAATACCCAATGAAGAGTGGAACTCCATGGCGTCTGTCCTAGAGAACACACCTTGCTTTCCGACGTCAGATTCAATGGCCGTAATCAAACCTGATAGCGAATCCATCCCAGAATGTGTTGTCAACTGAGTATGGAATTACCTCTGGAGTTCCTTGTCCGACTTCCTTGTTCTCTTTGTCCGTCACTGCTTTATCTCCGTTCAAGGCTGCTTTCATCCCTCGCACATCGGCCATCATCTGAGTTAGCAGATCAATATTGCCAATGCAGCTGCGCAAGAGAGTTTGATGGGCTTCTTTCAACTTGCCGTACTTAGCTCGAAGATCATCCTAATTGATTTTCAATGCGCTGTAGTCCGGGTCCTTGTGCTTGATGATGTTCTTATAGGAACGGCAATACTTCATGAGGATATCGTGGTGGGTCTCGAGTTGGTTGTGACTTTCCTGCAGCTTTTTGCAGTCGTCGGCCATTTTGATGCTTTCCTTGCATCATCCACGATCCAAAGCAAAGAGTGAAGCATCACGGTGGTGAACCTCGGAAAAACGTCATTCACGACAGAAAAGTCTGCACTTTGTTATCTGCTTGGAGTATTATCTGCTCAGCTGCTGTATCTCCATTCGAGACAGCTTTCGCTCCGATTTGCATGTCCTGCCAGAGCTCACTCAGCAGATCATTCTTGCCTGTGTAGTAAACACACAGGAGTCTGTCGTGGCTTTGCTAGAGCCTACCGTAGCCTTTGATCATTTTCACGGGTACTCTAGCTCCTCTTCGGCCTTTCTCGGTGCTCAATTCGTTAGATACCTTGCTTCCTTTGGCGATTCATTTGCTTCGTTTCTCGCTTTCTTCAGCTCCTTCTCTGACCTGAGGTGCCAACTTTCCGTAGGCCTGGGGTCCGACTGACTGTGCTTCCGAAGCTTCTGCTCGCGCCTTTTCTTTCTCTTTCTCTTGTTGCTTTTTGAGTGCTTGTCTTTTGAGTGCGTATTTTTCCCGTCTGACCCTGTTCTTCTCCAGTTTTGCCAGTGCCTCTTCCAATCTCTTCTTCTGTCGTGCAGCATACTCTTGGCCAGCTAAGGATTCCTGCTCTAGCTTAGCTAAAACACCAGAAGAACTGGGTAGCGTTTGCGTGGTTGACAGGGCCGGGTCAGCTACGTCACAATCAGCAGGAGTCTCATCATTCAGGTGCTAGGACTCAGCCTCGTGAGTTTGAGCCATTCTCAGCCCACGGAACTCCAATACAAATTTTTCATATTGGCTTGGAGTGCAAAGTGAAACGAGTACGGCTGGAGGTTGTATCACCAAGACAAATTTGTCTCTTACCTGCATTGTGTTTATCCTCGAAGACGTCTTTGGATCCTTCGGCTTTGGAGCGCTCTGCCATTGCCGGTTTGGTTTCATTTGATGCCATTCTGTCGGTGTTGTCTCGATAGGCGTGTTTGAGGTAATGATTAATCAGCTGTCTGTGTTATTTGGGGTAACAACGAGAGGGTAGGGAAACGGGTTTGTGTGGATGAGCTGAATAGGGAAGGAAAAAAAGAGAGGAAATGGAGAGGTTGAAATGAGCATATAAATCAGAGAAGGCGGGGCAGTGTGAGGCAGAATGTGATAGATCGTGCAGTGCGTTCAATGTTGTCAAGTTCTGCAGTCCGCTATATTCACTTTGAACAATATCGATGACCAAGAGTGAAACGCCACGGTAGTGAACATCGAAAGACAGCGTACACGAAAGATGAAGGTAAACCAGATACACATAAGCGTGAACGCGGGGTGAATTGAAACTTCGTTGTGGTAAATGCTGTACACTATATTCGATCTCTGTTGATCACCTACTGTCCATCTCAACCCCATGTTCCGTGATATCTTCCGTGCCATCCAGAATCTCATGCTCATTATTATAATCGTTGGCAAAGTCGTCTTGACCATCGGTTGCTGCCACTCGTGACCAGCCTCCCTGTGCCACCCGTGAGCCCAGTTTTAATCGTCCACGAGAGAGGTTATTGAGTTTGTCCGCAACTGCGTCGCCTATTCGTCGAACAATGTCGACTAGTCTCTCGTTAGAGTGTCCGTTCTCGTCTCGGAGGGCGGTGGCTTGGTGTTCTTGTGCCTCGACCTTGAATTGATATTTCAAGCAGTCCTTTACGGTGATGAGACCTTCAATTCGACCGTGATGGTCAACCAGGATAACTCGTGGGCCCATTTTCTTGAACAACTCCATAACCGTTTCTAGTGGCAGTCGAGGGTGGACAGAAATGGGTGTCGAATCGACAAAGGAACTGAAATCGGCATTTTGAATTGCCATAGAGTCGAATGTAACAGCGGGACTGAGGGGTGCTCCAGTCTCGGCCTCATCTTCTCGGTCGCTTGAAAAGATACATTTCGCGTCCGAGGCAAGCATACTATGCTTCTTGGCTCTGTCAATGGCATATTGGAGTTCCGTCCGTCCAATATATCCAACCAAAATCCTAGACTCGGTATCTTCGACGATAGGGAAGCCTGAGTAGCTTGTATCATTGAGTAGCTTTTGAACAGCCTTGACCTCCATGCCCGTTGCAGGGAGCACACTAATATGGTTTGTCATAACTTGCGAGACGGGAACGACAAAAGAGTGCTCCTCCTTGCTATCGAGAAACGGAAAGCCATTGAACCAGATCATTCGATCAGCAATACCCGCATTGCTAAAACGATCTCCAACAGCTTTCGTTACACCCACCACAATCATGGTTGGTAGTATATAGGTCAATGCCCCAGTCAATTCGAACATGATCACCGTAACAGAGATAGTCAGGTGCATGATTCCACTCAGAGCTGCACCTGCACCTAAGAATGCATATGTACCGGGGGTGATGCAGGGCACGTCAGGTTGACAAGAGGAGAAGAATTGAGAGTCTGGGAATGTCTCATACAACCATTGTACGATTATGCCAAGCATTCGACCGAAAGAAGCCCCAATTGCCATCGAAGGAACAAAGATGCCGGCAGGTACTTTGCATCCATATGATATGATGACCAGGAAGACTCGGAGAAGGGTCGCAACGATCAAGGAGCCAACAAGAGACCACCGATTTTTGGCCTCACACAGCCCATTGTAATCGTAGTCGCCTTCACATTCTCGAAAAAGCATTTCCATCATTTCGGTCATGTCGATGCGGAGGAACATATTCGGGTAACAAAGAAGTGCGGTAGCACCTGCTAGAAATACTGCCTCTGGAATGGCATATTTGGAAAGATATTTCTTTCTGAAAGATTGAGCCATCAGATTGTACTTGATGACAAAAGCGCCATAGAGTCCTCCAAAGATTCCCAGAATGACGTAAAAGACGATCTCGAAGAAATGCCAGTCTCGGTCGTATTTGACTGAGAACATGACTAGTTGACCAGTTCGGAAGGGGTTGACGGCACTCAAAACGGCTGTGGCCACAAGAGCACAGAAGTAACTTCTCCAGAGTGTTTTCAAGGGATAATGTGATGCCATTTCTTCCAGGGAAAAAAGCACGCCTCCAATGGGACTTCCGAAAGCTACAGCAACACCGGCACCAGCAGTGGCTGTCAGAATTTCTCTCGTTTTAGATGCGCTTTTCTTATATTTGCTGAAGAATCGAGAGATGACGTTGCCAACACATACCGCATAATGCACACTTGGTCCTTCTTTGCCAACTGATAAACCCGAGGCGATGGCAAGTGGTAGGCAGATGGATTTGATCAAGAAAGTCCAGAATCCAAGGAACCCTTTCATGATGAACCCGGCTATGATGCACTTGATTTCTGAAATGCCAGATCCTGCAGCATATGGAGCGTATGATTTGACGAGAAATGCAGAGACAAATGCGAAAATGACGGCGAAGCAAGCATATATGAAGTAGTTGGCCACGGTAAATGAAGTCCATCTCTTCCATTCATCGCAACCACCCTCGGCGCCATAGCAGCAGAAGCCTTCATTAAGATACCAGGCAGTCGTGCAGTACCCCAGTTTAACATCTGACAGATATTCGGCGATGATGTTGAGAGCCGCGGCATTGAGACCGATGACTATTCCCACGAGAGTAATGACAATCCATGCTTGGGCGGCATCATAAGCCTCCCAAATCTTGCGACGCCATCCTAAGACTCCGTCTCGGTCGAAGAACCTGCTCTCTTTCCGCCTGGCTTTCCTGCGTATTTGTTCTTGGGCGGCATCTTGAACCCAATCTATGGTGGTGAAATCTTCATAGCGCTTTATCTCCGCGATCTCCTCTGTAATAATCTGCTCGGCGGGAGTGACAGGTGGGACGTGATCTCCATGTTCGATGCTGGAGACAGTAGATAGGCGCCTGGAAAGACGGCGGGCTGAAAAGGATGGGCGGGCGGAGGCAGACACGGAGGGAGGGATGCGCGAGGTCATAACATCGAGCAATGTATCATGGTTGGAATGACTGAGGAGGATCTAGACAGGCTTGGATGGACCACCGGTTGGAATGAAGGTTGAATAACTCGTACAGCGTTGAATGCGCATCATCCTGGACTCTGTCCCCAACTCTGTTCGCCTTTCCGTTTTGGGACATGCCTAGAAGTCCTGATTTTTGAGTTGTATTATCGACGCGACTTTTAAACCACTCTACACGAGGAATGAATTATCCGATATTGCTGCTGCATGGTTTAAAGATACGTTCATCACGAGAATCACGAATTAACGACGCGTTTTTCGACTTCCACGACTCTACAAAGGCCTGATCTTGTCGATATCCGCGGCCACCAAAACCTGATATCTGAACCAAGACAGGAGTGGTTCAGTAGAGTTTTACCCCCCGTCGAACCTCACTTGACGAGGTTTAGTGGTACTGAATCCAACATAGAGGGTGTCGTCTTATTTGAAATCACTTCTGAGACCTTTCTGGACTTGGTGGCCACCAGGCATTATGCCAAACAATAATGCTCCCATCTCTCCGCCGGATGGTGATGAAGTCTCAGGAACGACTGCTCTTCCTCGTTCGTCCTCTATCGAATATACGAGCTACCACAAATTGCTGACAGGTCTCTCAGTCGCTCGTGTGAAAAAGATCATAGCTCAGGATGACGATATTGTTCAGTGTTCTACTACAGCAACATTTTCAATAGCCGTGGCAACTGTTCGTCCTCCGATTACCACACAACTAGCAGTGTGATCCATTATTAATGAATGCTCCAGGAAATCTTCATCCGCTATCTGACAGAACAAGCGCACAATGTTGCCAAGTCAGAACGCAAACCTAGGAAGACTATTGCCTACAAGGACATTGGTAAGTTTCTGATAATCGAAAGACCTTATATCTCAATGCTGAGTCAAATCTATAGCCACGGCAGTGTCTAGGATTGACAATCTCGAATTTTTGTCAGATACTGTACCCAAAACAAAAACTTATCGGCAGTTCAGAGAGGAAAAGGCACAGGAAGATGCCGCTAGAGCCGCCGAAACATTAGGAAACACCAATACTGCCAATGGTGAACCAGCTTCGATATCGATTCAGACCATGATGAAGAAGCCTCAGGCGAATGGTTCTAATGGCATTAATGGACATGGAGTCATGCCCGGGTCTCCAATTGCCCACAGATCAGCACATCAACGAACTCATAGTCATCCCGATCCGGTCAGGGATATTGACATGACTGGCTAGCAGAATATTACTATAATTGGCGATTTTGGCGTTTGTCGGTTCTATGCATATCTATGCATTCAGAAAAGCTGTTGAGCTTGGAAAGGAGCTGAATGATTCATGATGCAAGGTTCATAGATGCATTGAGTGGGCGACTCTGGGAAGCAGGTATAGCTGCATTGTGTTAGCAACAAATCAGAAGGCATCTGCATTAGTGGTATCAGAGCATCCAGTGGACATCGAGCCATCATTTATCTCAAGACACAAACATGCTACCTAGGGAGCAATGAATTGTTCACTCCTAGGTACTTACGATAGTGAGGCGTGAGAGAACGTGATCTCACTACTACAGCGAAGTGCAGGTAATTTTAGTGCCGGTGATTAGGTAATGAGCTGAGGAAAATCCCGACCAATCAATGATGACTTAAAAGAAATGTCTTGGCGGGCATCACCTGCAGCTTCAATCCTCAATCTTCAAGTCGACCTACTGCAGCAGCTCATTGCCCTTCGACCCTCCCCTCCGGCTTTCCCTTCTCCCTCCCTCAATCACAGAAACCTCCAAGATGCGTCCCGTAACAGCATCAACATCCTCTGCCCTGCGCAGCTGGACCCGTCATACCCTCCCGACCTCTGCGACCTCCTCAACCTCCCGCTTCGCCGCCGTTGCAGCAGCCACCACAGCTTCACCTTCCAGCTCCCAACGCCGGCTACAGTCGTCCGAATCCGGAGCCAGCAGTTTCGAGAGCCCCTTCCAACACGCAAAGTACGACACTACCAAAATCCCAAGCTTCAAGAACTATGCCTCCAAAAGCTCCGAGGTCTCGAATCGTGTTTTCTCTTATTTCTTAGCTGGTTCTATGGGTCTTTTGGCTGCCGCCGGTGCTAAAGCTACTGTCCAAGGTATGTAGTGGTCCGAGTTGAGCTTCTCAAGGGAAAAGGCGGATGCCCTTCAAGATGGTGGAAGGAAGATTACAGAAAAGCTGACAGGAAGCTCCCGATACAGATTTCCTCGTCAACATGTCCGCATCGGCCGATGTGTTGGCCCAAGCAAAGGTCGAAATTGACCTTGCCGCGATTCCAGAAGGAAAGAACGTCATCATCAAATGGCGAGGCAAGCCTGTGTTTATCCGACACCGAACAGAAGATGAAATCAAGCAAGCCGAATCAGTCAAGTAAGATTCTCCCCAATCGTTCTTCTACACGCGCAGGGTCTAACATTCATCTTTCTCTTACTACAGAGTCGAATCGCTCCGTGATCCCCAAGCCGACAGCGACCGAGTAAAGAAGCCCGAATGGCTAGTGATGGTGGGCGTCTGCACACATCTGGGTTGTGTGCCCATTGGTGAAGCCGGTGATTTCGGCGGCTGGTTCTGCCCCTGCCACGGTTCCCACTACGATATCTCTGGCCGAATTAGAAAAGGACCCGCGCCACTGAACCTGGAAATCCCCGTCTATGATTTCCCGGATGACGATAAACTGGTTGTTGGTTAGAGCCGTTGGAGCATGTCAAACATATAAATATCCTGGAAAGAGAGCTTGGTTTCAAGGCATCTGGCTTTCTGGCGACGAATTCGGAAGGTCTTGCTCCCGTCAATCACAGATCACCAACCCGGGTAGGAGACATTGGAGAGTGAACGAACGCGAAGCCACCATCTCAGCACAAATTCACGAAAATCAAGATTCACGAGTCATCTCAGCACTCCAGAACTTGAACCGCGTGTCTGTTTCTCTTTCTTTTTCTGTACATATTAGACGCGGCAGCGGACAGCGAGGCGGAAGACGAACCACAATCATCGATCGAGCAATTGTGGACCTAGTAAGAATAAAAAAGGAATCAGAAAAATACAACTATTCAAATACATCATCCAATTTACCGACCTATAGTGGGCACTATACCCACCGTGATGTCCTTCCTTGCCACTGCATGATATGATATATAATATGTTGACCGTGCGGTGTGTACCTACGTATGTATATGGACTTAGAGATTTTATCTTTACAGTCGTTGAACATCACGACAGGCAGACATACAATAAAGCATCCATGTACGCCCGCGCTTGAAGACACAAACACGAGACGTGCATGCTCAAATCGACCTCCTCTACTCTCGTCCCAAGATTTCAATTCAATACATGGCTTTCTAATGTTTTCTACCACACATCCAAGAATCTACTTAGGTAATAATATACAGGGTAAGCCAATAGAGCAGCCAACCCTACAGCGAAGTGCGTCGAACCTCCCGGCCGACGCTGCTATGCTATGCTATGCTATGCCATACTGCGCTATCGCGGCCGCAACAGGGCGAACAACAAACCCATCACGGCGATGCCGGCTGCGACGCCCTCGATCGCCACGGTCGTGAGCTGCCGTTGCGTGATGAGGACGTGGTGGTCGGCGCTGAGGCGGGTGCGGAGCCAGTCTTCTGTGGGTGCGAGTGGGGAGGTGGGTGCTGTCCAGCGCGGGGAGGTTGACGGGAATTCAATCTCTGGGGAAGACGAGGCGTCTATAGGTATGGGTGTGGGTTCGTTGGTAATGGGGGAGGTTGGTGTGTCTGAGGCGAGGGCTTCCTCGGCCAGGTCGAGCGTTATCACTGTTTCGGCTGCTGCTTCCATTGTGCTCGTCGCGACGGGGGCACTAGCCTGGGCAGTCTCAGCTGTATCGATGTCGCTCGTCCCAGAAATGGCATCGACGATCTGCTCAGCGATATTATCCGCTACGGCCTCAATTTTCCCTCCTGGTGATAGGTCGGCCAACGCTGCCTGAGATGACTGATTTGGCTGAACGGCCGGAGTCGATGCTCTGACCGCAGCAGTAGCGACATTAAATAACTCGTCATCACGCTCCTTCAGCGCAATCTCGACTTTCTCCTCGAAGCCCTTCACAAGCCTCCGGCGCCGCCAGGGTTCGACGGCAATCTGGAAGACAACGAACAAGAGCACGTTGATCCCCATCAGGCCCCAGGTGCCCCACGTCGACATCTGACGGATCTTGTCGCTCCAGATCTGCTCTTCGTGGTAGCGGGCCAGGATGGATTTGGCGAGCTTGGTAGATGATTCTTCGTAGCGCGCTTCCGCGTCGGCGACTTCTTTCTGGCAAGCGGCTTCGGCTTGTTCGTTCGCGTGGTCACTACGGTATAAACTTGTGAAGCGCTCGATGTCGGTTGGGGACCAGGTGTGCTTTCTGTGTAAGAGGTCGTTGACTTCTCTCTGTGTCGTGCTCCGCGTGGTAATCGCTTCAGAGTATTTGTTCCTTGTGTCTTTCACGGCTTTTCGAGAGATCTGGACTTCTGTTTCGAGTTGTTCGATCTCTTTCTTCAGAGCTTCGATTCCACTGTAGCCGGTTAGGTCATTGAGACGTTGTGAGGCGGTGAAGACGTGTGTCTGGAAGTTGTCCATGAAGTGGGTGAATTGCTTGCGGACCTGGGAATATCTTTGTGAGAAATCTGAGGGGAGGGATTTGTCTTTGGGTGAAGGTGATTGTTTGGGGTGGGGAGCTGGTGATGAGGGCGGACGATGATTGTGATCAGCCCCATGGTTGCCCTCATCCGAAGTATAGACTATTGAGGAGGACTCTGGTATGGTATGGACAATCGTCTCATGTCGAGCATCCTTCAACTTGTCCTCAGGTTGTCCCGCTGCATCTGCCCTCGCATCGAGGCTCTCATCAATTCTGGACTTTGCTTCCTCTGCCTTTCGGTCGATTTCGCTTTTGCTACCGCTGTAAAAGCGCGCTTGAATCAAAATACTGGGCTGCTGAGCAGTCCATCTCTGTAGAGGGACTGTGGGCGCCCTGAACTGGACAGGGCGTGGAAGCTGTCTGGAGGTGGGCTTTGCTGATCGAAATGCGGACCATAAAGTGTGGGAAAGCCGCAAGGGAGTCTGCTGCATTGCTGACAGAGGGAACGGAAGGATTTCTTCTCTTCAGTCGTCCCGGAGGAGAATGGTCGTTGACCTCAAGCGAAGGGACCACATCAAAGAGTTGTGGCAGTTTCTTTGTCAACCAGTCTTCCACAGACGCCTCGATGGATGGCTCGATGCGAAGCTCGAATCTCCAATAATTTGTATTCTGCCATTGGCAAGTTAGCCGAAGACGACGAGAACCAAGTCACCAAATTCCGCCGATTCCGCATTGTCACTCGACACGTGATTTGACGTCATTCATCCCGGATATCCCTTTCGGGACAAATCCCGTCAACAAAAATTTATCCAGAGATTTCAGATTTGCTCGTGTCGACCACCACAGCGGGGCGCACAGGAGTGGGTGGTCACTGGAGTGGGTGACACAGGAAGACCCCCACCATATATCACCGCCGTAGACGTGTAGAATTCGGAGATTGAAGCCGTCGTCGTTTTTGTCTTTCAGTTTTTCTTCATTTTCTTTCTGACATCCAAGGTTGAGCAGAACCTGGTCTACCGTGGCAACCTTTCGTGATCGTGCGTTATCCAGCCTTCTAATATAAACTCAATCCACGACATATCTACCAGAGATATCACAAGCCCATATATTACAGAAAACAAATCTGCAACCATGCCCTTCCCAGAAACCCTCAACGCTCACCCGCGGGTAATTTTCTTCACCGACTTTGACGGCACCATTACACTCCAGGACACCAACGACTTCATCACGGACCAGTATGGAATGGGCAAGGAGGCGCGACGCGAGCTGTTCCACGCGGTGATCGACGAGACCGACACGTTCCGCAACACGTTCCAAAAGATGCTGGACTCGTGGAAGATGCCGTTCCCACAGGTGCTGGACATCCTACGCGACAACATCACGCTGGACCCGCACTTCAAGGACTTCATGGTGTGGGCGCGTGCGCACGACGTCCCGGTCATCGTGCTGTCGAGCGGCATGGTCCCGGTCATCGAGACGCTGCTGCGTCACCTGCTCGGCGAGGAACTGATGAGCGATATCGACATCGTCGCCAACGGGACGCAATTGCGCGCGCCGGGAAATTCGCTCGACAAGGCCGATGGCTGGACGATCAAATTCCTGCACGACTCCGGCTTCGGCCACGATAAGAGTCTCACGATCCGGCCGTATGCGGATGCGATTGCGAAGATGGAGAGGAACGACGAGCGGCCCACGCTGCTGTATGCGGGCGACGGCGTCAGTGATTTGAGTGCGGCGCGCGAGACAGACTTGTTGTTTGCAAGGGAGGGCCAGGATCTGGTCACGTATTGTGAGAAGGCGGGCATTCCGTTCACGACTTTCTCGAGCTGGGAGAGCATTCTTCAGGAGACGAGGGATATCTATGAGGGGAAGAAGACGGTGAAGAAATTGGCCGAGGAGGGCTTGAAGAGACATCGCACGAATTCTATTGAGCAGAACGGTCATGTCAAGCCGACTGTTAAGTAGGAGGAAGACGATGAAGTTTTCTTTTGGGTTGAGGCCATAGATCCACCTCATTTTCATGGGCGTTGGTTTGGGGAAGACTCACGTCTGATGTGTGCGATCTTGAGCGCACGATGGATAGAATAGACGCCTTAAAGGAATGGGACAAGACATATAGATTCCAGGGTTTTAAAATCAACAAGCTCAAAATGGAAGGAGAAGATCATCGCGCAATTACTATTTCGTATACAAAGTCGTGATAGAATAAGAGCAGTAAAAGGAGAACACAGTACGAAAATGTAACAGAAATCGAATTGTCTCATGCCAAAGCTATGCTGAATGCTACGTGGCTATTACTGCCAGAGTAATGCCACTTTGGGAGGGATATCCCCACCATGCCTCATATATGTACCAACGTGCAAGACCCATGCCAGCGAATCCATGACAAAGTCAAGCGACTCGCCCAGCGACTTAGCCACCCATAACTCAAGAGGGAACTGTACAGTGCGACGATGTGACACCGACAATGTTACGATCTCATCAATGCTTTTCATCAACATAATCATCCAGCGCCTGCCTCAACACACGCTCATCCCTCGGTACCAAACGAATGCGATACCGTTTGGGCACACTGACCAATTGGGTCTGATCCTCCACACCTTTGACTGGATGAGTCTCGAAGGCCGTTCCGTCTTCACTCACGACATCCCTGATCTCGAACGCAGACAACAACCGCAGATAGATGGTGTACATCTCGCGATTGGCCAGTAGACTGCCGGCGCACATGCGATAACCCAACCCGTAGGTGAACAGAGGTGCATCTGGGATCTCAAGCCATCGCTCTGGTCGGAACACTTCCGGATCGTGCCAGACTTGGTCATCCATGTTGCAGGCCCAAGCGTTGAGGAAAACGACGCTGCCAGCGGGGATGGTGTGGCCGTTGTAAACGACGTCTTTGACGGTGCCGCGTGGGAGAGAGAGGCGGAGCACAGTGTAATAGCGGAGGAGTTCGCGGACGAGAGCACAGATGTAGGGGATGGACTGGTCGTCGTTGGCGTCGCAGAGGATCTGGGATTGAGGGTATACTGCACGGATTTCTTGAAGGGCCTTGGCTTGGATTTCGGGACGTTGAGCCAAAAGAGGCATCGACCAGGCGACGAGGGTGGTGAGGGTGTCGAGACCACCTGAAAGCATGGTCAGGGAGATGGAAATTAGTTCTTCGGCATTAAGTTTGGCGTCCTTGTCTAGAATGATATTGGCTTGGATGCAGGGGCTGTGTGTGCCCTTGGCAATACGTTCGTCAAGGTCATCGTTGAGCTTTTTGAGATAGACGTCACGGCGGCGGCGCATGTCGCGGGCTTTGGCTTTGCCAAAGCTGAAAGGGTTTAGACGCAGGAGCGGGATGTAGTCCTGCAGATTGCCGGTGGTGGAGCGGAACTTCGAGACTTCTTCCTCAACGTGTGTGATCTCACCGAAAAGAGTATCATTCTGTGACGCCATGCGTGTACCCCAGTTGAGTGTGAGTGCCAGGGAAAGAGATAATCGTTGAATCATAGGCATAGGGTCCACTGCCTTGGCCCCGGCTTCGCCATAAGTCAAAAACTCGTTGAGGAAATCTCGAGTCTCGACATCAATATGTGGGATGTATGTAGCTACGCTAGGCTTGTTCAAAGCGCTGGCAGCACCCTTTCTTCTCCGCTTCAAACTTTCACTGAAAGGAGATGTTCCAATAGTGGTGCCCGCGGTAGAGCTAACGACTTTGTGGAAGGTATAGAATTCAGGTCTTGATGCTAGAGCCTGTGAGTTGGCACCAAAGATCTCTCGGGCTGCTTTGGCTCCATTGACCACAATGACTGGCACATTGCCCAGCATGATCTGGTAGACTGGTCCATAAGACTTTGCCCATTGACGATATTGTTCCGCAGCATTGACTCTGATTTGATGAAGATTGCCAATCATGGGCAGTCCTGAAGGACCTGTGAATCCTGGTATCCTAACCTGGGCTCGTTGTATCTCGGTGGCAATGAGGTACAATAGCGCTGATGCGGCCGCGAGGTATGCTAACAATGTAATTGGAGCATCCTGGGCTTGACCCTGGAGTAATGTGATCACTTTATCGATCATATTGGGCTACCTGCTTGGGAATCTTCCTGGGTAATACTGTATGATCGCAATGGTCTTCAACTATGACTCTTCAAGAGTTTGGATCGACTGAAATAAACGAATGCAAATTGTTTGAGAAAGAGTGACAGCAGGTTTATGAACCATTTGACCCCGGCTGCTATTTGCAATGGTGAGGGGAGTGTGTTTCTGTGGAGTTAAGGAAGTCAAGGCCAAAGATTCCGCCAGTAAACCTGAAAAACGCGGAACTTCACCGCGCCCGACACAGAGTCTGGGGAAAGCACAACCAATTGGGGGTGAATTCTCCAAAACCAATACTCAGTGGCGGATCTTAACGTCTCCAAAGCCCAACTCCGTTTTCAGACTTGAGCATCCCGACCCCCCCCCCTTATTTGAGCAATCCAGAGGTAGGCTTGGTGACCCTGAAGCGTGACCTGAGTGGCATAATTGCAGCCCTGAGTCTGTCAATGTTCCCACAACCTGAACCCTAGGCGGTCCAAATCGAGGTCTCTCGATCCGTGCTGAGTGGTATATATGTGGATAAGTTTCGCTGCATCCCACGCTCAAGGTATTTCGTCGAACACTTCCACTACCTGATCAAATAAAACGGGCCAATGCCTAATGCTGAGTTGAAAAGTTACATCAGAATGAGATTCCAACCCTTACCGTGCTAGCAAGCCTCGCCAAAGTTCCTAGCAATACTCAAATACTCTGCAACGGTCTGTTCCATGGCTCGTCCTGGAGATTCCATCTGTAAATTGGTTCTTCATCAGATTCGTTAATATCAGACAAAGAAAGAGAAAAGAAAAACGAAGAAAGAAGTCTATCACCAACGTTCCGACACTATAGCACAATATATTCAACCGCATCATACCATGGCTGGTCATTGGCATCATACCACTCATCTTCGTCCTTGGAGCAGATGATGTCATCGATTGCTCTCAGCAACTCCTTATATCGATCTTCGCCATACGCCAACGCTAGGCCGATGGGCGAGGACTTCGCACCTTGAAGATTTTCTGGCGTATCGGTATCCTGAATTGGGTTTGTCAAGGCATGCCAGTTCGAGCCTAATTTGAGCAAGCTTCGCGCAATCTGGTCGTGGCCTTTTGCCACGGCAATATGCAAAAGCGTCCAGTTCCTGGAATCGGGCAGTTCTCTCGCGACACTCCTGCCATATTTTTTCTCGTACTCCGGAAATAGGACCTGAAAATTGTCGCGGAGGCCAAAATGTACCACGTTGTGTAACACCATCCAGCCCAGTTTCCCTATAGATTGAAATGGATCGACACCAGAATCGATGAGCATTTGGACGTCCTCCGGCATGCCGAAGACCGTGGCCCGATGCATGAGGCCCCAGCCTTCCGTGTCGACGATATTTCGATGAAGCCACGGGAATTCCATGACATTGGTTCGGAGCATAGATATAAAGCCAGTTGACGGCGGATGGCGGACGGTTTTGGACCAGAGATAGAAGATGGGAGACCAGTTGTAGATACTTAGTTGATAAAAGGATGCCCCATGGCCCAGCAAGGTTCTGCAGACGTCAATGTGCCGGTGCTTCAAAGCCCAAGACAGCGGAGATGTTTGTTTCTTTCCGAAAGGCTCATTCGGGTCGGCCCCTTCATTGAGGAGAAGCTCAACGGCTTGCGTATGACCATTTTGTATGGCGAGGCAAAGAGGAGTTACGCCGCTCTCCGTGACTTCGGTGGGAGAGGCGTCACCAGTGTGAAGGAGTGCCCGCATGGTTGCTAAGTCGCCATCCTTCGATGCTTTCATAAACTCGCTGTTTGGACGTACAAGTTGCTTGAGGCTAATGCGGCCACCATCGAGGAGCAAACTTGACCCACCGTTCCACGTCAAGGAGCGTGCCAGGAGATCAAACTTCAGGCTCAACCGTGCTAGAAGCTGCAATTGAATAGAAAAGGCATATGTACTCCTCTTGGGCGATGCGGCGTAGGCACGGGTCTGGATAATCTTGCACATACCCCACAAATGACTGCTTCTCCTAGTGTGAGGGGCTGCAATCTGTATGGTTTGCGTCAACACCGTGTCTGGTGGGATTTCTTTTGCCCTTTCAACCGCCTCTCCTGGTTGCAGGATTGGACTCGACTGCAACACACTCGATCTGCTTTCCTCGAATTTTTTTCGCTCATCGTTCTGAAGCTTCCACCTATCATTGTGAGAAATGCCTCAAGCGATGAATGGGGGCTATGATACCATTGCGCAAGCTGCAAAGCTGCATTGATAGAGCTCTCTGCTCCAGCCACTACTGCCATTAGTTCGGCGTAAGTAGCTTTGTCCCCCACTATCCAGCGCAGGCAATTCCGCTTAGAAACAGCCCCAGGCGTAGTGACTGCCCTTGGCAGCAGTCCCTGTATCATGGCGAGCGAATCTACCGCGTTCATGATTGTGCGCTTGAGAATTGAGCAAACAGGATCATTGGCCGGGATCCAGTGCTTAAAATCCTTTTCTAGTTCCCGCAAAAGCTCGAGGTTACTGGATAGAGCTTCTACTCGTAATGCCGCAAGGCTCAATTCTTGGGGAGCATGCTTTGATCTGCGGCAAATCTCGAATGCTGTGTCTCCAATGTGTGCTATGGTTGCGATGGAAGCGACAGCACCTACTGCCTCCATTATGAGGAAGATGCACGTAATAATGATGACACAGTAGGTTGTACTGAGCAACGTTCAACAGGTAAGCTTGCGGCTCACATGGTGAATGAAAAGGGTTCCCTCCTCCCTAAGGCTCGTGGCCGGTCAGGCAGATATTGTCGCCTTGGATGCCCTTCTGGCAATGCACCCTACTGGAACGAGTATAGTGCGACGCAGCTAACGAAGTCTCGTGGCCCAGAAGCAGCTCACGAAGTGCCCGAAGACTGTCGTGTTTTGAGTGGTGTTCCTGCTGGGCGCGTCTTCATCCAAGGTTTGACAACACACAGTCAAGGTCGCTTGGAGGCTTACAATATCTAAGCTTTATCCAATTGGGGCAACAACATGAGGAACATAGCCTGGGTCACCATTCCCAACGCCATGCTGCCTCCAAGAGCACCATATGCTCGGCCTACAATCACCATCTGCAACTACACATGTGCTAGAACTATTGACTTGGCTGCAGAAGTACATGTGACATGACAACCTGAGGCGGATCTGAACTCAGTGCATGCCATTGCCAGATTTCCCCCGAACTTCAAAAGTGGACCAAAATTTTAGGCATGAACATCGTCAAACAAGTCACTTCTCTGAGCTTTGCGGCCGGGCTTTAGAGCCGAAAGCAGCCAAATTACATGCTGCGAGAACTTTTGCAAGAGGACATGATTGAGCTAGGTGGTTTCAACATCGAACATGCAACTGCCAGATTCTGCCACCGGGCTCGGGTCCCAAGGCTCAAAGAGATTGTGGGGAAAGGGGTTATAAGAGAGAGATGCACTTTCTCCACCAGCTTCTAACGTATGATAGTCGACATGATCACGAGTCCACGTATCGAGATCCTCGCAATAATCCAAATTTCCAGAGCTCAAGGCTTGGTCATATAGGACTTGGCAAGGAGATTGCAGGTGTGCGAAACCCGCAAAGGCTTCAGTCATGTTTGATACAGCACTTTGTTCCCTATCCGTCGAGGATGCAGTGGCAGAGAAATTTGATGGAAGGCTAGACACGAACTCCTCTGTCGTATCTTTGAAAAGTCTCTTTATGCGGGCTTTGGCGGACGAATCCAGTGATAGGGCTTCCAATTTGTCATTAAAGATGTCATGCATTCTGGCTTGGCCATGCATTTCGAAAAATGTTGCAATCTCAGCTAGATTAGCAGGCTGACTTACGTCGACATCTAAAATGGTGAGTACTCATTCTAAATTGGAATGAAAAGGGAGACTGACATGGGGACGACGGTTTCTTTGCGCCAGGAAATAAGATTTCGTAGATTGCGAACCATGTTTCTACTGGACTGCGACCGATGGTTCTTCTTTTGATAGCAGTGATTTGATCAGGAGAAGCCTTTTCACTAAATGGGCTGCTCCCTTTCGGACACATTATTACCTCCATGTGAGAGCATAGTTCTTCTTCACGGGAGAAGATCTGGAAACAACGTGAGCAATAGTGGGCAGGGCAGGCATGGACTCTAAAAACGTGCTGCCTTGACAAGGGAATCAGTATATTCCTGGTTTTGTGGCACAACAGTGAGACTTACTTAGCGCGGGGAAGGCTTGAGAGCATGACGGTAGAGCATCTGCGATATCTTGGTTCAAGGGCATTTTGCTCAGAGTAGCGACTCGGATCATACTTGTAGAAAGGACAAGCAAAGAGTCGTCTTGGGTCTTGCCGATTCATCCACAGACCACTGGAGCTGCATTCGCTCGATTCCATATCCGTTGCGCTTTTACTGTCACCGGCTATTATTGATGCACATTCTTCGGATTTCTCGACTCCAAAGTGCTCTAGATGCGAAGATCCTTGGATACCAGAAAGATCATCTGATATCGCTGCTGTGAGCCATTCACTTGGAAGACTAGAAATGTGACCACCATCTATTTCGAGCACCGGGGCTAGTGGACTCCCAGGTAAAGTCATGGTGGATATGGAGTCGGAGCCTGCCAGGCTTTCAGTCTGCCGCGCAAACTTGTGATGGCGCCCACTAGGTTGAATGGTTGTCTTGTCCTCTACGGGGGATGTGCTTCTCGAGGAACGCTGCCGTCTAAGAAATCGCCTGAGCTCATCAAGACGAACCTTGTGTCCACTAACAAATATAACTTTATCACTAGATCTCTTCTGCGAGTCATTTTCATCTGCTGTTCGTAAACCTTGCAGAACCTGATCTATGTCTGTGCTGCGATAATTCTTGCCGAGATTCCACTGGCGCAGTTTCCGCTTGTATGTGTGAGTTCTGGTCATGCGTCAGGCACGGTTCAATAAAGGGGTGGGAAGCCATGGAGTACATACAGCGCAGTAAAGTCATGGTCATGTTCAAGTGACTGCTGGACCTGAGCCAGAGTCATGTTTCTCTCAACATAAAGACTGGTAATCAGCGGTCGAAGTTGTTCCCATCTCGGGGACCGGTCATCGACTATGGTGCCAGTCCCACGAAAATGCCCTGCTGGGCCACGGTATGGTGTCATGGTCGGACCAGGAGCATTCTACAAAGGTTGAGCAATCCTGCATAGTTTGGCTGGTCGTAGAAGGCGTTGAGCTCGAAGTGCAGGAGTGTTCAGGCTGTCCTTGTTTATCCTCGGTGAGGCTGGAGGCTGAGTTACTTGGCAGCATTATTATTGATGCATGTTCACAGCTCTTCGCACGTGAGATCTTACCCCGCCCGTGCCCGAGGCCACGTCTGCCCGCAATACATGATTGTCACCGCCTATAGCTCAGGATCAATGAGACCAACCCAACCACCCTTCTTTGCTGAGAACAATAGGAAACATCGGGAGCACCATTGTAAGAATTACCTTGACTTTGCTACGCTGCATCGTTCGTTCGAAACGGCCTACAACATGGAGAATCTGGATATTTAAGAATTGCAAAGGCAGCTATAATTCGAATGACGGGGACTGGGAGCCCCAAAAAAAACATAAACATGAAGAACGAATAGCACCTCTATACCTAGATACATAGCGATCCCGACGCAATGCACAACCCTGGGTCCTTCCCGGAATCGAGCAGTTACTCGCCCACCACAGTATAGAGTACTGCCACTGGCGGTCAATCAATCGAGCGGAGAAATTTGCTCTATTCCCCAGTCTTCCACGACCGTCACATAGACCACCGCGATACTTGTCTTCCTCCTCACAAACATCGAACCTAGATATTATGGTTTCTCACTTGTATTGGTTTGGCCGTTCGAGATGTTTCCTAGTTAGCACCCCATCCTCTTTCTTCTCCCATGCCTGTCCGTGCGAAACTGATATTGCCCATGCATGGTGGCACCAATCGGCCGGGGATACGTGTCGGTGTGAGCTCGGGATCAGTTTCATAGGGGCACTTGGCGTGCCGTTGGCCTTCCGTGATTCAGCCCATGTTAATTATCAGCACCTTGATCCGACGTCGACCAAAGTCAACATAGAGGCCCCTTTTCGCACAAACACTCCTCACCATATCACCGTAACACCATACCGTTGTGCACCAGGCATCATGGCTCCAAAGATTAATCCTCGTGCGACCAAATCGATACATTCACGGGCAGCACCGAATCCAGCGATGGTTTGGGAGAACCGGATCCGAGCGGCATCGGTGGCCACTTACCACCTCCTGCGTCGACCTTCTCCAGGCGACGAACGTAAGTTCTGGCCGCGTCCCAATGCCAACACTGGACTGACAGCGAACAGTGAGTCTCGCCGAGCGAGGGCAAATCGACCACGACAGCGCCTTCCGCGCGATATTGATGCCCGAGTCTCTCTCGATCGACAGCCAGCATAGCAGCCACACGAATGATGGTGAGTCAGTGATCTCAACAATAACTTACCCCTTGTAACAGACGTGCAGGACTGATACCATATTTGCAGACATTCGCCCCGTTCATCACCCCAAATACATCAACGACCACGAGTCTGTTGTAAGAAACCATGGCAGCATTGCACCTGGTAACAATGATGAGCATTATGCCACCAATGACGAGGTCGGTGTCGGACATCCAACGAGCATCAACTTCCACATCCAAGACCTTCTGGGACTCGGAGCCGCACTTGAAGTAATTCACGGCGAGGAAATATCAGCGTCCATTGAAGAGGCGGATCTTGGGGTCGAAGATAACCCTTCACATAATAAGAAGAGTGGTCCCATCAATGATGATGACGATCCATGAGATTGGGAGGAATTTGAAGGTAGGTGAGACCTCCTACACAGGACACACCCAAACCTCTGAAGTTGACAAGGCTTAGGTCGTTCCATGATATGATTGGTGAAAGGAGTTTGAGTCCGCTGTACACCCGCTATAGTTGTATAGCTCCTGTCGGCATTCCCGGTGCCAAAGGTTGGATAGAGAAAATGAGAAACCCCTTCACCGCTTCACCACATCTTATGGCTGAGACTGTCGACTATACCGTGTGAAAAGTTCAGTGCTGCTGTCAAATCGATAAGAATCCCAAGTGATGGGGTGAGAAAGTGAGGAGCCAGCGCGTAATCACTACGCCTCGTGTGTCGAAGATCATCACATTGAGGGTTCCACGAGAAAAGTCGTCGCCTCTGCCAAGTTTGTTGGGATATTGTTGACTTACCAAACATTGGTACAGCAACCATGGACATGACGCTTTGGCGAAGCAGCAGAGAACATTGCTCCTCGGAATCGCAGGTATGATCAAATCCGAGACCGATGTCCATCTCCTCCAAAACTCAGGCTTGCTAATGACTTCGTTACCGGGCCATGATTGCATGCCTCCCACCGCATCTCTCCTTGAGGGGTGTCTCGGGCACAACAGATTGCATCATCTCCAAGGCAGATACCGATCCGGCAGAGTGAAGGTAGGATGGATCAGATTGGGAAAGACCTCGATTATACAACCGCATTGAGGATCGTGATTGTCATGTATCAATTTGGTCGTTGTCGATTCAAAGCCCACGATCGAAATTGAGTTCCCTCAAGAGGGGGTACAGTATGACTGCTTCAGCACTAGAGTCTTTTGCAGACGGAGTGGATGTCATTTTTAAGAGGGAATCAGAGGTTTAAGGAAGGACATGACACAGCACTGGGTCCACAAGGGTGCCAGGGAGTACGGAGGGCCGGCTACAGCCTACTGGACCGACACCCTTAAAAGGAGGTCCGGTCTGTACGGGGTGCTTTGGTGCCTTCCAATCTTACAGAACAGCTCCCAGTTGAGATAACCTCCGTGTAAAGGATGCCCCCGAACACAACTGCGGAATTGATGAGCCTCTTGCTGAATGAAAATGATGAGCGATCACAGCAATTCATCGACTGTCTCAAAACTACGGTCCTCTTGATCTAGAAAACGGGCTCTCCTTGTCGACAGATTTCTGCGGGTCTCTAGCTTGGAGTCATCGAGAAGGCAACCAAAATTTGCCTTTTAGTCCTTTTAGCCACGGTGACATAACCGAGAACGTTCATCAGGCACCAATGAGGCATCAACAGACCATGGCATTCACGAAGGTGAGGCGAAAAGTGCTTTGGCAAAACACAGCTGTGTTGAACTTTTGTGTTGGGGGTCCAAGCTTATTCGATGTGGCGTGCCTCCGAATGTTTGAGTTTGATTGGCTAATTTGACACAAGCTCTTTCGAGGGGCCGAGAAACTGTTCCTTCGTCTGACCAGACACTTTGTCAGCTATTTTTATACTAATGACGTGTCAGGTATTATATAGCTTTGACAAAATGTCAGCTATTCGAAATTTGACTTGCTACTAGTATTTAGGTAGTTTAGCGCTTCGTAAGCGACTAAGTAAAGAATGGTCAGGTATTGCCGTCCTTTTCCTAAAAGACCGACAACCTCGATCCCTACCCGCAGAAGGCATCCGTGGACAACAAGATCCAATCAGAACCAATGCTGTAAATTGACTGACGCCGCATCCAGATCCTGTTGCTGGTGTTCATTGAAATTGAACACAAACCCACCCATAACGGATAAGTGCATAGTTTGATATGGGTTTAACTGGGTAGTTGCGAGGACTACGTGTACGATAATGTGGCCTTTGAACGAACTTTCTTAACCTTAAAGGTGATATTGGACGTATCTAGAAAGCCGATCTTGCCCTATGACAAATGAGAACCTGACTGTGGAAGCTTCGAATCACGAAACGACACCTCATTCTCACATCTCGCTGTAGGAGGCACGTTCTAAACAAAACAGCCAACAGGTTGAATCGTCAACAGCTCACCAGATGTGGTGGACTGACCGAACGTTTTGCTGAAGCAATATTAGACCTTTCATCATTGCTCGGCCAGCCGACGAGATGCATGATTTGCCAGACAAGGACTTGGGCATCACCATTGATTCATGAAGTTTCCCTCCTGCCCCGGTTCTCTCGTTGCATGAGGGGGGCAGAATATACCACATACATGGCTAGTTCCGACGCCAGCATGTTGTCCCTGTCCCACATAAACCACCACAAGTACATGTAGACCAAGAGGTATGGGTGGGTCTCGCCGACCGGATTCTACATCCCACCACACTCCTGCAGGCCTTCTTGAAATGACCTGGGCTCAACTTTGAAAAACTGCTGAGTGCTGTTCTTGAGGATACTGAGTTCCATCCTTAAACCGCCTGTCACATCCTGGAAATGCATACGGGCACCTACGATCTGATGGATGTGAATTATGAATGAGTGTAATCCTGTACCATGGGAGATTCGCCACGAACACCGATACTGATCAGGAGTTGCGGAAATCGATGGCTCCCAGCAAGAGTCCACTTCTCCTGTTGGCTGACGGAGAACCACTCAAACCACCCAAACCATCTGCCGTCAGCCAGCACAATCTTCAACGATTCGCATTCAGACCAGATGTATTGTCCCACCCCACTCGATTAGCCAAAGAGCACCCAACGTGCCAACACACATCCGGGGACGTGACAGCATGGTTTGTGGGCGCCGAACTGGGAAATATTTTCACTGACTATCAACAAAGTGAAGACCGTAGGCATCGGGGCTTCACGATTAGGCTTTGTTGTTAATGGAATCACTCTGTTTGGACAGTCATCAGCGAAAGTGACAGCAGGAAACTAGTCGCAAGCGCCAGCCTGAAAATCATCTGTCGTGGTTGTGTAGGAACAGTGATAGCAGATCATGCCTGGACACGCTCTATCACCCATGGTTCCCCAGTGGGTTTGGATTTGATGTTCCACTAACCCGAGGTGATGAGCTTTTTGTACACTGGCCATCTCAACTCTGCAAGCAGGCAGCCGTTCAGTGTCCAAGCACTGGTACGTTTCTCAAACCCGCCCCCTCCTCCTTCTCCTTCCGGCGACTGACATCTTCACACTCTTCTTGCAGGCAGGGTTGGTCGGGGTTTCGATGTTTCCTGAATCACTAGACTCTAGCCAGGTCAAGATATTCGTCCAATAAAAGCCATCAAACCGATGGGTGGGTCTCAAATTTGAAGTGAGGCAGTTTGACCTCTCATTTCAGGAGCATTATTCTGGGACATCGATCTTCGGCGGATGAAGATCGCTGACATGCTGCTAGTCGCAATGGTCGAAGGCTCCCAGTTATGCCATGTGGTTTTTGGCATACAATCCTGAGCCTCATTCAGACTATGGCGTTGGAAGGCTTCGAGAAGGGTTTCGTCAATTGGGATCATAATAGATCAGGTTTGAAAGCCTCCTCAACCAGGCTTGGCGCCCTATTCAAACCACCTAAGGAGACCTCATGTACACGGATTGTGAAACGGTGGAAGATGGCTTCGACTAAGCTGCTCGGGACGCATAACTTAATTCCCTGGGTTCTCGGTCCGTTATGGAACGGCGAGTTGAATGCGTCAGTTGCATTCAAACACCGCCTTCCAATTCAGACGAGCTGGTAGTCATCGCCGGGAGTTTTTGTATGCGTGTTCGCAGGCTTTCACTACCTCATCGAGCGGCAAACTAGGCATTCGTAACCGCTGAGTTAATAATCGACCCAAGCACAAAGTAAGCCATTTACTCCTGTTCTGTTATGGGTCAAGCTTCGATTTCGTGTGCGATACGCTTTCTATGGCCATCTTGGATTCGTCGAAGCAGATTGAATTTCTGTGATATGCATGCTGATCATGTTGAGAACGAACTAGACTGGTGTCTGTTCCTGACGCGCCACGTGCCAAAATTAATTAACGTATGCGCGGAAAGTCTCTCATTGTCTGGCTGTTCCCTCCTCTGTATGGTTGTGTGTATTACGATGTGTCTTGGTCTTCTGCTACAATCGAGTGTTTGCGAGAGCCCCCATGAAGCAGTTTCGTACCCCTATGTCGCTCGCAACGGAGTATGTATTGTTTTGCGTTGAACTCATTATTTATTTATCTACGGTTGGTTAGGCAAACAAACTATTTCCATAGAAGTTTCATCACTTTTTGTCAATATTCCGTATAGTAAGCACAGACTGCCATTTAATAAAGAAGAAGTACGATGTACAGGAAGCAATCAACACTAGTCTTCTGCTTTCGACCGAGTGTGCTTTACACGCTAACGGAGGTTTAGAACGGTTTAGATGCTGGAGACTAGATTGGCAATACATTTATGCTCATATCTATCGTGAGCATGACGCTTGTAGTAGAGATGTACGTATTGGTGATTGACCAATTGTGTTTCGACACATTAGGGATTGATTTGTAAAGTGTAACAGGCACCGGTGCCTGGCTCGCTGGCTAGAGTAGGCACATGCCCCTTTGTTTCGTAGCCTTCGAAACTGCACCTGTAGGATCACGAAGGGACATTCATGAAGGTTTCCCAAGGAGGCAACATCTCTTGCATAATTGATGGGAAGGTTGCACGAACAGGTATGATATGATAACGCTATAGTTGCAATGTGCTTAGCTGTTGTTTTCGCCTTTGAGCCCATTAGCGAGAAGCACGTAGTCGCGCGATGTGCTCCTTCACGTGCTAGATTGAAGCGACTGTGCTCCCTTTCCCAAACGAATGTGGAAATCGGTGCAGGTGATTTTGGGGCATATATATATGCAAACTTCCACCGCTAGGCGCATTTCTGAGCGGACCTAATTACGGATGAAAGTGAGGTTGAACCGAAAGATTAAAGGTTTAGAAAAGCATATTCTCCCTCCAACACTGCGATTATATATGGAGGCATAGGGTAGAGCTAGATTTTCAACGCCATCTATCCACTTAGTACACAGGGATATGTATGGAGTGGAATAGGTAACAGCTGAAGTCGGACGTAAACTGGACATTGGTAGCTACCGAATGATCAGCTTGAAGGAGTGGAAAGAATGCCCGTATGAGCAATAGAGATCCTAGTCAGAGCCCGGAGGGAATAGAGAAGAGAAAGGGACGAAAGACAAAGCGCGATAAAGAAGAACATAGAAGAAAGATTTGAAACGTACTGTCTTCATCTTCCTCACCTAAAAATTCCTTAATCCCTCAACAATAATAACCTCAACACCATGCGACTCGTACCATCGTAAATCTTGTGCCTCCCCTTCGGACAAAGTATATTACACTCACCCTTACTCTTCGCGTTCGCCCTCACCCATCACCACCACCACTACTAGCAGGATCGGCTAAATTATACCTCCCTATAATAATACTCCCTTCTAAACTACGCCTCTAGACTTAAGCCTCCACTCGCGATACACACACCTGTAGAATGCTATACTAGTCCCACTACTACTACTATATCGATTCAGTACGCGTTACGAAGCCGTCGGATCCGTATAGCAGCCGCGATACGTATACTTCATGATCGAGGCCCGCGCAGTCGGCAGCGTGACAGCCAGGTCGCGGTGGGCGTTTAACCGGCTGTGGTCGCCTTCAGCTTACGTACTAGCACCGGCGTAGGGTATAGTGTAGCCGGTTAAGTTAGACGGTATACTAGATAAGGGGGAGAGTCGAGGAGTAGTAGTATTCCCGGCCGAATTCGAAGCCGCGGAGGGTGTACTTATTTATAGAGTAGATGGAGGTATCGAATTGCAGTATTATAGTTAACGAGGTTGTGGAGAGGGCGGAGAGGACGGAGAGGAGTAGGCCTGCCGATGGTTTGGCGTAGCCTAGGTGGATTGGGAGGGAGGGTCTACTGGTAGAGGTGGTTAATAAAGATGAAGGGGAGAAAAGAGAGGAGCCGGGGATGATGCTCGTGCCGAATATTGATGTTAGTATAATGCTTGATGTGGAGGGTTGAGTTGAGTTTGTGCTTCTTAGTGGTGGTGATGTACTTGACGTAGTGCGACTGTTGCTACACTTAGACAGTAAAATATGAGAAGAGCGTATATTTGCAATGGATGTTACAATGTCGTGATGTATTTGAGGAGCCTCAGAATTCGCTCGGCGCCCATGTAGTTGTGAAAGCATTTCACTACTTAGGCACAGTCTCTATGGAGGCTTCTTGGATACTAAGTACCTTCTGCACCATCAATCGCGTCCGCCGTCTCTTTCGCACATTCTATAGCACCAACTGGATATAATCATGGCAGAGGGTGATGGAGAGGGTGTTTTGCCGTGCATCTGCTCCGAAAGGCAGTGAAAGACTGGTGTCATATTAATGATGCGGATTACCTTGTCGCATTCACGATGAGTGCGGGATGCTGAATTCGAACAGAATCAACACACAATTGAATTCTTGGACTTCTCTCATACCTAATCGGGTTTTCCATATATTCAATCACTCTTGCGGGAATGACTGTAGAAACTTGGTTCCACCCAGATCATGATCAGTGATTCCTGGGATGGCATTATCCCAGAACAAGTTGCCCATATTGGGTTCACAGAGTTCCTTCGAGAACCCGCCCTGCCTATCGAACTTCACACCCAATTCTGTCTGCTGTTCACTCCCTTTGATCTTCTTTCCGATCAGGAATTCTTCATCGATGGTGCCTAGAAAGATGACCATCATATCATCCATTCCATCAATTCGCCAGGTCAATCCACTTCCACAATTTGAGCAAAACGACCGAGTCGCAGCTTCACTGGACCTGAATTCCCTGTACGTCGCTGTCTTTGTGATATCATCCCCTAATTGAGATGGGTGAATCAACAAGTCGAAGGATAGCAGTGCACCCGTGAATTTTCGGCACATGGTGCACTGACAAGTGGAGACCTGAGAAGTGTCAAATGAGGCCTTGTTCCCGTCTTCAAGGCATTCCATACTTGAGCTGGCCACGCTGTACCTTCAGGAAACAGAACTCGATATCGGATGGAGCCACAGAGGCAGCCGCCAGTTATATCCGCTGGTCGAGCCGCCATAGATACTGATGCTGACCCGTAGATGTGCGAGCTTAAGATGAGCAGTGGAAATTCCTTTTGGGGTAATTGGTAAGTTCGGACAGCCGTCGGTTTTATTTATTCGCAAGGTTGGGTGGAATTGTGGTGTCTGGCGTGTTGTTGTCGAGAAGCATCAAGCCGGGCTCGTGCTAAGGGTCGCCCACCTTGTTTTATAGCACCTTTCCTCCCCTTTCCCCAAGAACGGGAAGACATCAGCCAAGATGGAAGAACAACTCCTCACTGGGAGAAGCAAAGTTTCTCAAGCTGTGCTGCCTGGCGGATGCCGCTTTCAAGGCTTGGCCAAGGCTTGGTAGACAACGCGTAAATCGAACGAGATCTGTCAAGGATGATAACATATCCTCGTGTTGATGAGCCAGGACAGGCAACAAGAAATGAGATGTCCGTGGTCAATTCCTCTCATTGCCCGTAGGAATCAGACGTCACAAGTTCCGCGGAGCCCTTCCATTTACTCAGCAACTTATTTCGCTTTTCGACTTCTTCTCGACCCCGATCCCGGCTTCTTCTCCTCACCAGTAGTAGCAGCTGGTGCAGCCGCAGTTGTATCCTCCTTTGTCTTGTCCTTCCCCTTGTCCTTCTTTTCCGCCTCCTTCTTTGCCAAAGCGCGCTTAACGGCACCTTCTTTCTCAAGCTGCTCGATTTGTTTCTCACTGAACTCCCACAGCCTCTTCGCGACCTCCTCATTCTGTACTTCAGGCCGGAGAGGCTCGTAGTCTCTACATTCTTTGATCAACTTCCCTCCCGGACCGCGTGCATATTCCGCCTCCATCGCGGCCAGCAGATAGCTTTGCGCTCCTTGGTTCGGCGACTTGAGAACCAACCACCACAGCGGCCAGGCCAAGAGATACATCAGCAGACCCCACAGCGAGCCGCCAGAAAGCCAACGTCGCGTACCTGGTGTGCGGGAGAATCCTGGATCGACGATCAATGCACGGGCGTTGTTAGGCTGCTTGTCTGGCCGCTTGTAGGCATCCAGATGTCTCTGGAAACCATATGCGAATGCCATGATTGCCAACTTGCTTCTGGCATATGATACACTTCCGGACTTGGTAGCAGTCTCGGTTTCCTTGAACTCCAACTTTCCTCCAATGTAGCTGTTGCAGGTGCTGAAGATAATTCGCACGTCACGGTCCGGTGGCTGTGCTCGGATTGCTGGCGAGAGGATACTCAGCAGATGGAAAGTACTGAGATAGTTGACTGCCCATTCCGCTTCCAGGCCGTCCATCGTTGTCTGGCCTTTGCTGAAGAAAGGAGTCATAATGTTCGCACAGAGGATGATCATATCCAGTCTTCTCGGAGGTGCATTGTCCACCCATTTCGTCGCGAACACACGAATGGAATGTAAGGACGAGAGATCCACCTGTTCCGCATATATCAATTCGTTATTCGTGACCGTCCGTAGATCTTCAATGTAATCGACGAGAAAGGGGTCTGAGGGAGTATGGTGCGTCAAGAGAATGATCTGGGCACCTCGAGTGGCCAGTTCATTGACCACTTCGGCTCCAATGCCTGAAGTACCTCCCTAGAAAAGTGATGTGAGCATCATCTTCAGCGTGGGGTGTCTTGATCACGAGAAAACATACCGTCACCATCACCACCTTCCCATGCATCACCCGCTCCGACCGACATCTCGCTCCGCCGAAATAGTACTTCAACAGAACCACCACTCCAATCGCCACGGCTGCTTGAGCGACAGTCCACAGGTACGGGATGTTGGCAACACCTCTGCCGAAACCCTCCGCCAGCAGAGGGATAGGCATGTTTGTGTATGTTATATCGTGTTGGAGGATGATAGACTGCGTGTCTGCTGGTACCGAAATCTGTCCGCTCGAGAAATAAAACTTAACACGAGTGTCAAGGTTTCTTGATTGTTGGGTTAGTGCCCGGTCGTCCCGCCTATCGCGGCTGGTGGGTGCCTGGAACGCTTAAGTGGCTTACCTAACCGCCACGCCAAACCGAGGGCTCTTAGGCTGTCATTATTATTTCACAGGGGCACGAGGGCTACCAGCACTGTGGCCTGTGGCTGGTCATCGCGTGGGGGATTCTGTGTCACTTTCCTCTCCAGTTCCGCACTGACAGGCAACATCGTCATCGAACATCAACACCAACATTCTCATTTCCCCCCAGGTTTCTCACATTTCCACCAGCAATAAATATCCTCAAAATGAGCACACCTAAAGACGAAGACGCCTACGTCCCCATAATCGACCAGCGTGTCTTCGGCGCCGGTATCAAACGCAAGCGCATCGACTTCGTGCCCGCCACAACCACCCAGCATGAATTGAACACAACGACGTCCCTCATATCCACGCAACCGTCAACAGCAGTGGGCAACCACTATCTCTCAATCGTACTCCCAGGCGCAAATCCCACCACCACGGCCTCCTCTATCACCACCTCTTCCCCCCTCTGTCCAATCTGCAAACAACCCGTCCAGGCCACCGGCGCTCCATCTCCATCTCCAGCCCCTACTGACGCCACCACGCCCACGCCCACGCCCACGCTGCACGAATCCTCCATAGCGCACCAACTGTGCCTGGCGCACTCACATCCACCCTCCCACCTGCCGCGCGCACACATAGGCGTGAAATACCTGACGAGCTACGGCTGGGACGTGGATGGGCGAGAAGGTCTCGGCGCGCGCGGCGAGGGCATCAGGATCCCCATCAAGGTGCAGGAGAAGCGGAATACCGCGGGGCTGATGGAGAGGGCGGACGATGAGGAGAAGGGGGAGAGGGTCAGGAAGAGGAAGGAGAAGGAGAAGGACAAGCGAATGGACAAGCCTGTCGTGCTGGATGCGAAGGCGTTGAAGCGGAGAGATCTCCAGGAACGGGAGCGCATGGACAGGCTGAGGCGGTCGTTTTATGGGCCGGATCTGGAGAAGTATTTGGGACCGGATGGGTGATGGGTCATTAGGGGTGGATGAATAAGAGGACGGCATGGTTTTGTGTTTGGGGTTCATCTTCATTCTCGGCCATCGTACCATAACCAGACGATACAGATTTGCTATTTGCTATCCATCAACGACACACTGACTAACCTACTTACAACCCCTGACGCCATGCTAACGAAGGAAAATTGAAGGAAAAGCCCAAGTCAGTCAGTGAGGAAGCGACCGCTAGTGCTTCTTGAACAGTCCGAGATGTTTCTTCTCCTTCTTGAGCTTGCCCTGGCTCTGTTTCTGATCCGCCGACGCCGGTGTATACGGTTGGTATGGTTTGGGCGATGGAGAAGGCGCTGCTGCAGGAGTAGGTCTCGGAGCAGATGCGCCGGTGCCCACTCCTGGGCGAACGCCGTTCGGACCACTCCCGCCGCCGAGGTTCATGTTCCTCATTGCATCGGTTGGTGGACCGCCGTTTGGTGGTGCTTGTGGTTTCGGTTGCAGTGCCTGTGGAGGAGGTTCGGACATCCAGGCCGGTAGTTTGGGTGGTGCCTGGTCGACTGGCAGACCTAATTGCTTCCGCCCTGAACTGAGCAGGCTGACTTGGCGTAGGAAATTCTTAGGCGTCACCATGTGTGTCGACGCGAGGAATACTTCCTTGCCGGCCATTCGGGACACCTCGTAACATGCTCGTGCTTCAGCATAGGTTGCGCCTCCAGCCATGAACACAATGATCCGTTGACGAGGTTTGTTCGATTGTGCTCTTGTCTGTGCCCATGTAGGCTTTCCCGCATTTCTTAACGAGCTTTGAGACGCTTGGTTCTGTGTGTTGGGGTCGTTCAGATGTGGCTTGACTGCTGGGAATGTGTTCATGTCCAAAGTACCCTGGCATTGTTCCTCGAGCATGTAGCGGAGAGCAGGTTCGAATCGTGATAAGCTGACTTCTTCCATGTTGCTGTTGGCTGTAGCCGTCTTTGGAAGAAATAATGGTGGGGGCAATGGCGTCGTATCCTTCAATGGTTTTTCGATCCTCGCTCCCAAAGTGATTAGGTTGTAAATTGTCTCTCCATCAAGTGGTGAGAGCTGGCCATGGCATCGAAGTTTCTCGACGTCTCCGCGAAGGATACCATTTCTGTACAATATATACAAAATCAAGAGTCGGACGCGGTCTTCATGGACCACACTGTCGTCGTCCAACAGCCTTGCCATTTGATCGGCCACATTCTTGGGCTTCTTGTTCTCTTCGTCGATGCCTGTAGCTAGTGATTGCTCGACGGAGACCACGTCCAATAATTTATGTTCCGCAAAGATTTTGGCACATTTTTCGGCCATGTCGATATGCAGTGAAAAGGCTTCTTTTCCTTCTTGAAACTCTGGCAAGCCTGCCAACATATCCTTGATTGTGTTGATACTAGCAGGTTGACCATTATTATCTGCAAATTGAGGATTTTTCGCCTGAAACTTGCGGAACTCCTCACTGAGTTGGACCAGGAGATCTTTCATATGCATGTGACGATGTGCAACCCATAGATTATCGCGTTCATTGATTTCCACATCCTTCTCCTCCTCGTCAGGTTCACCACGTCGGATCACATTTCTATAAGTGATTTTATCCTCGTCGTCCCTGATTGGGAGCAAGTCCATGGCGATTGCTTGATATGTAAGTTCATGCACAAAAGGTGAGGCTAGATCCATTGATCTATCGGTGATGAATAACACCGCTCGGGGTCTGACCGCCTGTGACTGGGGTGGGAAGTTGTTTCGCTCGTCTCGCGCATATTCATCCAGTGCTCCCTGAACAAAACTAGCAATATGATAGCTGAGTACATCAGCCGCATGTCTCTGGTGTTCTCTCGGCTTGTAATATCTTATGAGCGGGTATTCTCCTAGCGAAATACAAATGGACACGATTTTCTGTGTCAAGGTCTCCAGATGATTTCTAACCATAGAGTCGCATGCTGGGTGGTAAAGAGCATGAAAGCTCCACGGTTCCCGGAAGGTAACAAGATTAGCCTCCCGTGGGAAGTAGTCAATGTTTAAGGAGCGGGACTCGATGATTTGTCGTGCTCGGGATTCTGATCGGAAGATTTCTTCTTGCAACGGTCGAGGGAGTTGAGAAGTCCATATTAAATGTGATCGACGATATCTCTTTCTTGAGAGATCGGCTTTCAGACATTCAACGATATGAGGCTGTGGTGAGAGGAGATATATGGCATCAGTGTCGGACTGTTGTTGCCTGCGTTCCTCGATTTGTTCGATATTTGTGATATTTGCATTGAGGATATCATCTTCTTTAGTGACGTTGTATACAAGGCGTCTGCTCTGTTGATCCAAAATCAAAACCTTCCAATCTCGACCGCTCGTGGCTCGAATGTTGTCGAGTATGATACTTCTTTGGAGATCGAAGATTGAAGTTCCCATGGTGGTCGCGAACTGACATGGGTGATTAAGCGGGTTTTGTCATTCACATATTAATACCAGTCGAGCATTGTCCGAATAGAAGTCTGTTTCATGCAGCGCCGTAGTGGTCAGAGTGAGTTGTTGGTGCTGTGCACTGGGCAGTGCTGGCAAGTTTGGCTGAAGTGCGGGACATTCGAGTTTGGGTGTCAGAGATCAAGGACAGGACGGAGAATGTCGTCCCGCTACACGTGATGTCGCTGTCTCGCCAAGCTTTTTATCCCGTCTTCTGCCAAGTCTTTTGGACGCTCACTTTGAACCTCGATACGGGCGCATCGATGGACGACTCGCGAGTCGCCACCTATTGAGAACAGCGAGCCTTTGTATCTGATTCACGCCATAAGAACTGAGACAAATGTCAGCGGAACCATCCAATATCTTGAGCTCATCTGTCACGTGTCAATCTTTAGTTCTCGTGGCATAGATACCTGCCTAGGTAAGGAGCCAGGTTTCGGCCCTCCAATCACGATCAAGGCCACTCCTCTCTTCGCCTCTGTTCGGGTAGATGCACTACTTATACTAGAGATGCGACATGACTACCTCTAGCCTTCAGGTAAGAAGCTGCTTGCGGATGACCAATGTGACATTCGCTTCGACCTCGGACAGCCTTTCCTGATCATCTTTCCTGAATATCCACTCGCATCACGGTTGAAACGTGGCATAAGTTAACATAGAATCCACTATTGAGACTGTGCGTTATGGCTACCATCGGTCTGAATAGACTTCATTGAGATGATGAGTTCCAAATCAAACAATGTTGTTGTCTACATCTGGCCTCCACGTTTCGACCTACTCAAAAACTCCGCGATCACATTCAGCGTCAGCTGGGCTACATTGTTCTTGTAGCCATCCCATGCCAATGAAGGATACCAATTGATGCTTCCCACTGAGAACACTGCACCACCCTTGGTCTCATAATAGACCATATCTGAGCGAATGTCTCTTGTCTCGCTTCCTCTTGTCGCGAGGATCGGATACTTTGCACACTCACTGGCAATTCCAAACCCATCTGGATGTCCTGTGGTTGTAGCCACAATGACGCCATGGACAGGACTTCCTTGTTCGATGTCAAAGCTATCCAACTCGTCCCCACTAGCACCTCCACCAAGTCCATACTCACCAATCAATTCTCCCTTTGGAATGTCCTTGAACAGCCAATCGAACTCTGGCTTATCGCCCGCCTCTGTCCTCTTATAGGGAACACCCGGTGGCCTCCCCTGGCTACAGAATGCAACCCCAAACAGAGCATGGGAAGAGCCCCCCTGTGATCGCCAGAGACCCCCCAGTCTTCAATTCAAGCTTAAGTGCCACTCCCCAGGATCAAGCGAATATGACCGAACGCCTGACTCTCCTCTGCGGACTTCGATACGCCATGATCGCGCTGCGTCAGACGCAGTTACCCAGTAAAACCCATTACCATCAAGATACATCAGGTTTCCTCCTCTTTTGGCGTAGTTGTCATAAGAATTATACACCTCAGAGGTAGGATATTCAGGATGGCCTCCGGTGATAACTGTAGCATAAGGGAGTAAACATGAGACTCCGTGAAGATGAAGGCCGTGATCGGTAAGTATGTCATAAGGGAGATTATGATATTCCAAGAACCCAATCATCATCGATCCAGCACTGAGATGTCGAGGCCGGCCAAGCCCGTAAGAGAGAAACCCTGGCTTAAAATTCATGATAGGTCTCCTTGAGGTCGAATACGCATTACCAGAACCATCGCTGTGGACGTCGTACGTCGACAGACCTAAATCGAGACGTCAAAGATTTCTTTCAGAGTCAATGGTAGGGGTTGGTGCCATGTCACACAATGCCCCTCCAGTTCATTCTGAGGATTTTTTATTCGGATCACCAAGCTTATCATTGGCATATGCCAGATAGGTGAAAGTTGGCAACACAAGTGCGATCTTTGGATTAGTAGCCGTTGCATTTTGATCTGTTGTCCGAACGATGAAATTGATCATATCCGATATCAACTGGCGCCCGGCAGCTTGATTGGCTATCACCTCAACAGCATAGACCCCTGACCTATCAGTGGCGGGAATTCGAATCGTCAAATCCGTCTCCCACGCCGCATCATCCAAATCTTCTTCGTGGAAAGAATTGCTCCGTAGCCATATTTCGCCTTCGTCCAGGCAACCTCCGTGCCATCCCAATTGTATCCACAAATTCCTCGTGTTGGCGCGTTCACGAGAATACCATGATGGCCAGCCCCTGAAATGTCAATAATTGTGTCTTCTGGTATGTAGCGCCCAAAGTCATATTGAACTAGAATCCCTGTCGCCAAAGACTTAATCATTGGACTATGAATTCGCCCGTTGAAGAAATTCGTCACGCGAATAGATTCAATGAAGGGCGATTTGGCGTAGCTCCCAGCAAGGATCAGTGATGAGTGCGGGCTTGGATTCAACACGAAAGGATTTGATAGCGCGAATTCAAGTCTTAGAGTCGGTGGAATCTTTTCAACAACATGGGGAATGGGGTCCAGGACGATGAACACACTGCTCTGTGCTGGAAAATGCAATTGCAGTCCACACCGTCTCTTATAGCTCGGAGCGAAACCACTCTAAAACACAGTCACTGAGGCACCATTGCCGATCCAGAGCTCAACGAGACCTTCGGAGTTTATCAGTACTGCAAATCCTGTCTTGGTCGACACATCAAGATTCGAGATGATGCACTGAGTCCATTTGTTGCCCGGTCCGACGACATGCGGCTGGAAGTACAACGACACTTCCAATCCATCGGTGATATGCGAGCGAACCCAGTCTCGCACGATAGCATATGGTCCACATCGACCAACTTGAAATCTGCCCTTGCATGTACCGCTGGGGATGCCCACAACTTCCTCAAGTTTTTGCTTAGGCGAGTGTGGCTGGTCTACACCCTGAATTACTCGAACGGTGCGATAGGAATACTCTGTTTCTGTGCAGGAGACCTAAAGTCAGATCAGTATTAATTTGAGTCGTTTGGATTCGCGTGAAGTTCGGCTTGGTTCTGCGATCTAAAGGCGTATGATGAGTGTTCTTGAGACAACGCATGCTTACTTTGATCTCGACTTCCTCGCCTGGGCTGAATATCCACGGATCTGCGTAGCATGTGATTTCAAGCCGATAGTCAACGGGGATTTTCTCGATCGTAGACATCCTGCTTGCGTGACTCGGACTTATGGGAGAAAGTCAATTGCTTCGTTTGAATGACTATGCAATATAATTGTGCACTGGAAGGTATTATGTCAGCGGGCGCAATACTCTGTGTCGACTTATACTACCCCTCTGGGGAGTGTTCGGCTCTTCAGCTGTGAGATCAATCTCCAGGCCATATCTGTTATCCAGGGCCTGTCTTTTCTAGCTAAGAAGATTGGATCTCCATTCCATTTTCGCTCGACTCCAAGCTCTCTACTGATATCACACCACTATGGGTGCGCTACGGCTATTACTTGTGACTTAGCGCTCGGGTTTCAAACCTTCAAGTCTCCCAAATCAAATTTTGAAGAACTTAATCACTGCGGCCTACACGACTTTCAATGTAAACGATATTGTATTGGCTCTTATTGCAGAAGAATGAGCTAGATGGCTGCTCTTATGTCGGACGAATACCCCAGAACCCCGTGTCTCTGACGGTCATGCCAACATCACAGTTGTAGGTCTAACTTCAAAGTACCTGCTTTTCTGATCAGATCGATCCTCAGACACACGATTACAGCTTGGATTTGTCCAAGATCTGAATCACCTCTTTGGCACCTCTCTCCCCTGATCTAAGAGCACCGTCCATGTACCCCTTCCATTCAAAGGACGTTTCTGTGCCAACGAAATGGATTTTCCCATGAGTCGACCTCAGTGCATGGCCAAACCTTGTCATCGCACCTGGAGGTGCCACTGGACACGGGCAGCCTTGTGCCCACATATCCGGAAACCATTCATGTTCCACAATAGCCAGTGGCTCAGGTATAGCATCTGCGACAAACGGTTTGAAAACGCGATTGATTTGTCCAACAACTGCAGCAAATCGTTCTTTCTGTGTCCCAGCTGACAAAGCGAGGCCATCTTTGCCGGACACGAAGCAGGTTAAAGAGTACTGATTCTTCTCCTCAACGCTGCTATCGCGTGTGACGCAGACTGGACCTTCGAAGGATTGCAGTAGACCGCATAGACCACTTGGTCTCCACCATGGAGTGGCGTACAGAACCATCACCTTGACTTGATAGCCCAGTTTGTTGGACTGGCTGAGATTCTCCTTCGCGCTTGGCAGAGGTGGTGAGAACTTAATCTGTTTGTACAACGGCGTTGGGACCGATACTATAACTCGCTTGCAGCGGACGTCACCCCGAGCCGTGGAGACCAGCACGCCCTGTGGCGTCTGTTCAATGAGACGTACGGCGGAATCAAACATTATAGATTCTTTGTTCAATCGCTTGACCAGGCCGAACGAGAGAGCCTGGGTTCCTAACAGGGAATCAATAAACAGCCCGTTTGGTCGTGGCGGAGAAACCTTCTTACCTTGCGTGAACCTGAGATACTGGCCACCGTCCCTTTTGTCAGTTCGCATCTGCATCAAGCCGCCACCACTCTTGCAGTAGTCCAAGAAGAAAAGCGCACTCAAGTCCACTGGCTCCACCCCAAGCATTGCTCTCGTCCACACCCTGACGGACGCCAGTGCGGTTTCGCCCGCACCCTGTTGCTTTACCCAGTCCTCCAGGGTGCACTTGTCAAGTGCTTCGTTAGAAGCTGTAGGGTTGTAGATGTCAATATTCTGACATGCCTTCTCGAATAGATCACGAATTTCGACCATGTTTTCGACACCTCCCTTTTCCGCAAGAACCTGAGAAAGTGATGAGCATTTGACTTCCTGAGGGGATTAATAGCTAGTCAGACCATAACATACTTTTGGGGTACCTCCGTACGGGAATCTGGAAAGACCGCCACCAATATCCTCTTGAATAACATCACCAAGTGTATTTTGCTTGACCATTGACAGACCCAACGACTTAGCGAGCTTGTACACATAGGACTGGTTGGTATCATTGATCCAGGCAGCACCCAAATCTACAAACTTGTCTTCTCCAAGTGGATCAACGGACCAAGTTTTACCTCCTACCCTATCCCTGGCTTCGAGCACGAGGCAAGAATATCCTGCCTTTTGTACATCATGGGCCGCTTGAAGTCCGCTAAGGCCGGCACCGACAACCACCACATCTACATCTCGAGTTGGCAGTTGCTTTACTGCTGCATACGCCTCAATCTCAAAGATGAAGTCAGGTTCTGCCAATGCCGGAACTCCGATTGCGGTGGTTGCAGGTCGATGACCGTTCAAAAATTTGATCAGTGACTTCCGATATAGGCGGTTTTTGTGATCGTAGTTGACCATATACCATACCAGCTTAAACACATCTGGGACTGTTGCTCCTGCAGCCTCGAGGACTTTGTGGAGGTTGCGAAAGGCTTGTTCTATCTGCTCCTCAGGATCCTTTATGATGACGCCATTTCGATCCACGCCTACTTGACCTGATGTTGCCACAATTCGCACCGGGCCTGTTGTTGTAGCAACGTGAGAGAAGATCGGTCCTGACTGCCAGACACCATGAGGATCAATGGACACCACGCTCGATGATCTTGCGTCGGATGTCATAGTTGAAGACGTTAGTGAGTTAGAATGTTACTGCCAGGATCTAGAATTGTGATCCGGAGGTGGATAATTTATGATGAATACGCAATTTAAACCTCAAGCATTGTCTTCCCTGAATTGTCAGCTCCCTTGGACAACGGGCACGGCTGCCCCGATTCTGACGGCTATAATTCACAGACCTGGTTGGAAATCGGGTCCGTTCCAGCATTGCGAGCTAGGACAGTTTCCTGGGCATTTTGGTTGAAGGTTTGATACGCGGGCGTCAAAGGTTGGTTTCGTACTGCTGATCCCACCGATACGACGTACGCAACTTTAAGATTTCGGAGCCGAGAAGTGACGAATAAGAAGAGACGAATAAGAAGAGACGAGGGAGGACCTTTGGCAATTCCCTCCTGATAAGACGTTGTACATTACCGTCAGGTTGTCTAATTCATCGATTGGGGTCACACCTGCGCAGTCCGCCATACAACTGAAGATTGAGAGTTCCCTTCCGGGAACCAGTTAGTAGATTATCTCTAGGATGCTCGTGTACAAGCGATTAGCAGCGAATAAACTTGTGGAGTTTTGTATCTCACGATGCTACAGAGAATCCAGGAATCCATAAGACTGATCTTTCTTTCGAGGATTTTCGGGGTTCCTGGCTGTGTAGTAAACGCCGAGTCAAGTCTGCATCAACGGAGACTCAGATTGTCGCAGACTCGTTCTCACACGCAAGCCTTCGGCCCTTTGGTGAATGCATCTATTTTCATTGGTGATGGAGAGAATATTGTGATCTTTTTCCATGTCGTGGTTGCCATCATCATTGTGAGTGATTGATCCCAGCAGGACCTTGGAGGTGCTAAGGCTGAACCTCCTATCTTGTGCCTATGACCCACGTGATCGGCTCCCCCTCGGCATCTTTGGCCTCGGCTCGGGTCGATTGACAGATATTGCTCCAGCTTCACTACATTCTCTACACGTTTGACATCTTTGCCCACTACCATCTGCAATGAGCTCGGAGCCTAGTCCACAACTTGTACTTGCCGAGAGCACTCCTTTTCGCCGCCGACGGCAGTTGCGAGCTTGCAACACCTGTCACCGTAGGAAAGTTCGATGTGATGCGGTCGGCCGACAGCCATGTTCGAACTGCTCCGTCGTCGGTGCCGCATGCAGGTGAGTCAGCTAGGGCCCCAGGGCCTGGAGGAATATTTCACGGCAGATGTTCATAGCCTTCAGATTCGATGTTGTCGAAGCCTTATCCCGAAGAAGCCGGGGTGCGCGGAAGTCTACACCAGCAGACCCTGCTGGGCCATCAGAGATCACGGATATCAATTCTACTCGACCAGTCGTTGCGAGTCCTCAAACGACACAATTCGGCGCAGTCATACCAATAACCAGCACTCCGGAGAGGCTCTCGGAGGTCGCCATCAACCAGCAACTAGTCGACAATGTGCTGGTTGACTTTTTCCAGCATGGCATTGGCTCGCAGTCCTGGTCGCGGTTTGACAGGCTCACCGAAGCACGTATGTGCTATGTTGGCACATCAATATCCAACATAGCCAGTCTGGTCACTCAGGAGCGTTCTGGCGACAACAGTAGTCTACATTACCCAACTCCACAGGTCCATCGTATTGTGCCTTGGAAACCAGATTCTAGGTCGTATGCCTTGCAGATGCGGCAGAATTTGGAGTCGGAGCTAAGTTCACTTCCTGCAAAAGACGTCAGGGACGCCCTGATAGAATCTTTCTTCCACGAAATCCATCCAGGATTCCCAATTGTTGACGAAAGCGAGTTCAGAGCAAGCTATGCAGACCCAAACAATCCTCCACCACTACTTCTATTCCAAGCCATTTTATCAGCAGGTGCGCATGTGTGCCAACACCCTACAGTTGCTGAGTCTAGATCTCTCATCAGAACAGCCTTATTTCATCGCGCCAAAACGCTATGGGATTTGCGTTTTGAGAACGACCGGTTGACTCTAGTACAAACTGCCTTGATATTTTCATGGTACATTGAGAATGCTGACACGGTCAGCGCGAACAGCTATTATTGGATTTCCGTTGCCTGTGGAATTGGCTTCGGGCTAGGTTTACATCGAAACCTGACGAACTCATCGTCGAGTGTACTGCCGCAAGCCGCGAAAAACTTGTTCCGCAGAGTCTGGTGGACGCTTTTTCAAGCCGCAGTGGCATCATCACTTGATCAGGGTCGACCGCTATTGGCTCGTCCTGACGAGTCTGATCAACCTCCGCTGACAGAGGACGATCTTGTCGAGACCGATGGCACCCGGAACGTGAAGATTCGACTACAATACTGCATACGAAATAGTACTCTTTGCGAAATAATTGCTGACATCTTGACGCTGTTCTCCCCTGGCTCACTGCGAAAGAGTGGGGGTTTCGTGGACACAAGCATTATTGACGCTCGACTTGCAGCCTGGGTCATGGCGCTGCCACCCGGCGAAGACTATTACGATCGCACACTGCGTCTCAATTACAACACTGCTCTTCTACACTTACACCGGACTGTCATGCAGCCCGCCGAGTCTAGCCTGTCGGCCGTTTCACAAAAGCTTTGCAGCTCTAGCGCAGAGAGCATTATCAGCATATTGAGTGGCATGATCGCCGACGGCACTATCAAAAGATGCTACTTCACCGCCCTGACCGCACTCATGGCGGCGGCCATACATTTTGTGCGTGAGATGCGCCTCTCCATCGCCCAAACCAGTACACTGGTGGCACTGCAAGCACAGGCACAACTCGATGCATGTCTTCCCATCCTGAGAGAACTGGCCCCGTACTGGCCGAACGCTAGCTCAGTTGAAAAGCTGTGTCACTACCTCCGGGAGCGGATGAAATCAATGATGGGAGCTAATTTAGACACGAGAGCCTCTGGGGATCAAGGGGTTGATTTTTCAGACAACAGTTTCATTGCGGACGATTGGGACCATATTCTAGCTACCCTTCATGCCTCTGGTCCAGAGCCCGATTGGGTGAATTTGCAATCCAGCATGGGATTCTAGGCCAAGCCAAGGATGGATACAGATATCAAGGGTGCGCTACCCCGAGGCTTCCGGAAAACGACTTTTACTGATGTAAGTCGATTCGCGGACCTTGGAAGTGTCGACGAGCATAGAAAACCCAATTTAGGCCGCACAGCAGCGTAACACTACCCAGAACGGCGACAGTGTAGTCTATATTTCCATGTCAGTACAAGTCCACTAATGCAGTGGCTTGGAATGGTACCAAGCCGGAGATACTCACTCATATTTGTGCCAGTGACCGGCCGAAACGGTGGAAAAGCAAAGAACGTCACGAGGACTGGAATGCACAGCACTACCACGCAGTTGACAGTCCAACCAAGCCAGTTTGGCAGTGCGAGACTTCTGCCGGAGGGAAGATACTTGTCGGATCGGCGTTGAAAGATGAGCAGCGAAATCGGAATGAGGTAGGACAACAGCTGGTGCACGACGGTCGAGCTCAGAATTGCGTTGAAGGCTGAACGAGAGTCATGTCAGCAGATCATCACTCCTTTCACTATGGCTAGCCATGGAATGAAGGTCAGACTCACCGATTGATGATGCGAGGATCAGTACTCCCAGAATTCCGAAGACTAGCCAGTTCAGCAGGAGGGCCCACACGGGAACTTCGAATCTCTGATGAACACGGCCGATGGTGGATGAGAACACGAATCCGTTGTCCCTGGCGAAAGCCCAGACGGTGCGTGACGAGGCTTGGAACACGGCATTCAGAATGAAGAAGCCAAGGACTATGCCTGCGATGAGTACTGCCAGTGCTCCTTCGTCGGAGCGAAGGCCCTGCCGATTGATCTCAAATGGGATGTACCTACAGGTTGAATTCCATGTTAGTAATGTTTCCACTAAGACTTATGGGTTAGAGAAGGATGGTCCTCGATCTTACCCACTACTACCAACAATAGCTGTGAAATCTGAGATACTGTACATGATGGCGATGGCGAATGGAAACGCGGTGCAGAAGCCGACAACCACAACCCCAACGGTGACCCTCGGCACCACCCTGTGAGCGTTGTTTGCTTCTTCAGCCACGTGCAGCGCGCCATCGAGACCGCCGAACATGAAAAAAGGAGGCAAAAGTCCAATCATGAAGCAGACCCCATCGGGCCAGCCTGTCTCATTGATGAAGGTTGTCCAGACGAATTCGTTGGTGGCTTTGGGAGACGATCGCACCAGAAGTCCGATAAAGTCGGACACGAAAATGGCGATTGATAGGGCAACTATTTTATTTGGATAATTAGTATTTCATGCGTTTAGACTATTGATGTGTTTCTTACAGCCGATGGTATGTGTGACGTCCAGCTTCTTGATAAAGAAAATATTGTACAGCAATGCTAGAAGTCCAAGTCCTTGGAATATCAAGAACAATTGCCACGGATGCTGAGGACCGGGGGGGTCATACCAAGCAGCAACGGTAGCGATCTGAGTGCCGACGATGATCGCCACCGCCGCACCGGTAGCAATCCAGTAGAAGCAAGTGATGAAGCCGCAGACGTAGGAAATCGGACGACTGAGTCGTTGAGGAGCCAAAATCGAACTGAAATGGTATTGGCCTCCAGCGGTCGGATACACGCTTGCCAGCTCTGCGAGACTCAAGCTTATGCAGAGGTAGATGACGGTGGTGACAATGACACCGTAGATCAGTGTCATGGGCCCGCCCGCAAGCAGGGCGATTTGGACACTGGTCGATAGACCAGCCCAGCTGCTGCAGATGTTGAAGCATAGCGCCAGCATCGTCAGCGGGCCAATCGTCTGTCTGATGTCATTGTTATGCACGAGGGTGCCGTGCTGTTCAATGCTGATGTTCTTGCCCAAGCCATCAGATTGAGCTTCGACTTCGACGTCAACTGCACGTTTTAAACGAGCGTCAGCTTGATTCGTTTGCTAGACAGGCAATAAAACGTACGCGAACGGTTCTTGGTATTCTCAACATGGCTCGACATTCCGCCCGTGTGTGTTGACTTCAAGGCCTGTTCAGTTGCCGTGCCCGAAGGCCCGGTTGTTCGCTCGTCGGCATGCATTTTTGGGCATGTGTACCTAGAGTAGACGACTCCGCGCAAGAAGGTCGAATACGTTTTGGCGGGCAGAACATCTGAAGAAGCACTCCATGCCTCGACCTATGTATACTTCCCATCGCCACGCGACATTCGCATCCCTCGGCTCGGGAGAAGGAGATAAGCGTTTAGCAAGCTTTGTCGAAGGATCTCATTTGTTCATGTCTTTGAACAAATGCAACTCTAATAGATAAGCCCCTCCTTTGGAAGGAGGTATCCCCCGCATTTCATGCGATGGAGCATTGAACGGCCAAACTCAAAACCCCACGGGGGAATGTGGCTGCCTTGGGTGTGTCTGCAGATGCGCCGTGGTTGAAGAGAAACCCACCTTTCGGGTCCGAGCAGCCATTGCCGTTCATTATTGGGCTGGCTCTTGGTTAGGCAAACCCAGAACGAGAACCGAGGAGGTTTCGTATTTCGTATTGCTCGTTTAGATTTGGCGGGAGCCTGACACCACAAGGCGATGTCAAGACTGTAATATTATCAGGATGTGGACTGTTTCGTATGTCATTAGTTCTCGCATGACTTGACGTCGTACTGCCTGACACGAAGTCATCGTCATTGTTGATATTGTACATAAGAATCGTTGTACTCTGGGGGAGAAGCTGTAGTCTGTTCAACACTCATCAATCTTTTACCACCTGACTTCTGGTCGGAAAGTATCTCAGAAGCAATCACCTGTATCTTTGAAGTCCCAATGGACAAGCATTTCCCAGCTCCCGCTCTGCTTGCTCTTATCGTACTGACAGTTTCGGTTGTGATTTATCATGTCTTCGAGTATACGCGCCACAGCTTTCGCGCGAAAGCTTTAGGTTGTGGCAGTCCAAACAGATATCACAACAAACTCCCCTTTGGCGTCGACTATCTGCGGGGCGTCATGCAAGCGGATCGCGAGAATCGAGCGCCTCAGTACTTGTTGCAGCATTTCAACAAAGCAAAATATGGAACTTTCATTCAGCAATGCGCAGGAAGGGACTCCATTATCACGACAGATCCTAAAAATATCCAGGCTATCCTTGCGCTGCAGTTCAAAGATTTCTGCCTAGGTGAACTCCGTCGTCGGAATTTCTATCCCATGCTTGGTAATGGGATTTTCACGACGGATGGGGCGATGTGGTAAGTCCTGGGGAGCTGCTCGTTCCCTTTCAATCGTGTTCGAAATCAGTATTTGGTTTCAATGCTGACTTCATTGAACCTCAGGGAGCATTCGAGAGCGATTCTGAGACCACAGTTCGGACGTGGACAGGTGTCTGACCTCGAACTAGAGGAGCGGCATGTCCAGGAAATGTTCAATCAACTTCAGGTCGACTCATCGGGCTGGACAAAATCCATCGACCTAGCACCAATTTTCTTCCGTTTGACGATGGATACTGCCACTGAATTTCTATTTGGTGAAAGTGTCAACTCTCAAAGAGCACACAATCCGAACCACTCAACAGACTTGCCCGCTCGTGATTTGAGATGGTCTAAAGTGGGAGCCAGTTTTGATCGCGGGACAGCGATGCTCGGACTTCGAGCTCGAATGGAAAACTTTTATTGGTTGTTGAACCCCAAATCTTTCCGAGAAGACATTCGTGAGATAAACAAATTTGCCGATTTTTGCATCGATCAAGCGATTAAACGGAAACAAGGCGGCATCAAGTCCCAGCAACATTATGTCTTCCTGGACCAACTACTTGAGTCTGTGAGCGATCCGATCGAAATCAGAAGTCAATTGCTCAACATTTTCCTGGCTGGCCGGGATACAACGGCTGGTCTCCTGGGATGGACATTTTGGTGCCTAGCTCGTAATCCGGAGCTTTATGCCAAGCTGAGAGTCAGTGTCATCGAAAGCTTTGGTGCTTCAGATAAGGAGGACACCATAACTTTCGCAGGCCTGAAATCATGCAATTACCTGCAGCATGTTATGAATGAAGTCCTTCGACTGTATCCCTCAGTGCCGTTCAATTCGCGTCAAGCCACGAGAGATACCACCATACCACGTGGAGGTGGACCTGACGAGTCTGCTCCACTGTATATCAAGAAGAATCAGAGCATCAGCTATTCTGTGTTTGTGATGCACAGACGGAAGGATCTCTGGGGCCTAGATGCCGACGAGTTCAACCCTGATCGTTGGATCGGTCGAAAAGCCGGTTGGGAATATCTTCCATTCAACGGTGGCCCAAGAATTTGCCTAGGCCAGCAATTTGCGCTCACTGAGGCTGGATACGTGATAGCGAGGTTGGTACAACGATTTGAGAAGATCGCCAACACTGATCCAACGGATGAACCTTTGCACCAGTACACTGTAACCAGTGCACCAAAGAACACATTTGTGAGATTGTATCAAGGATAGTGAAATTGTATAGATAAGTTGGAATTGATGCTTGAGTTATGTCTAGAGCTTTTGTTAGTCGTCTGGGAAGTCGTAGTAATGAATTTGAGATGGGTAGAAGAGGTCGATGTGGTCGAGTGGAATCGTGCTGGGCTAAAGCGGCATCAACCAGGCGCTATTTTCTTCCAAATGGATTCGAGCTACTAAAGCGACAGTACGACCGACCGCGGAATTGAACCATTTGATTTTGGCTGTTCAGATCGATAACTTTTTTTGCAGCCATCAAACATCCCCAGGCACCCAACACCAATACCAACTCAGATTTGAAGAGAGTCTCTATAAATCTCAACCCTCGCTCTCTCCTTTTTCATCATTTTTCCTCCCAAGTGTGTCCCCTTATGGGATATGCTTGCTTTGCCGAGCGCATCTCGTCCCCGTATCCTCTGTTCCGGTCGAGCATTCCTTCCCCGTACTCTGAAGTCTAGAGCCTACAGCAATGGGCCACAACGGGGCTACAAAACGACGGGCCTCCCACGGGGCAGAAAGACCGATGGATTCACGAAGGCTCACCGGCCGGTGACCGGCAGACAATTGAAAGCACCCACACCATCTTTATCCCCAGATCAGTTGGTCGGACGCGTGCTTAGGACCGCCCTACCCAAGTTAAAAACGCGATTGGAGACGAGGAAGGCAACCGCAGATTCCGAAGAGACCAGCTTATTTGCCCTCGATCCCAGCGGACGTGGATGGGACACCTTTGAAGAAAGAATCACCAAGATCATCACTGAACCGGAAGATGTCATTACGTCGAAAGATTCTAGACTGCTGAGTAAGATCGGTCGAGCAGCAAGGAATAGCGGCTGGTCGGAAGAGCTTGTGTATGTTCTGCACCATGCCATGATCGACCATGTGCTCGATAACGGCTCCTACAAGGTCGCTGGAGAGGTGGGAAAGCCGGTTCCGACTGACCTGCGGTATCCAACAGAGTGGTATGCCGGGGCTCGACAAATGCAACGAGAAGTGCATCTTCACGTAGGTCCTACAAATTCTGGAAAAACCTACAATGCCTTGAAGAGGCTCGAAGAGAAGGGCAGTGGCTTCTACGCAGGCCCACTCCGGTTACTTGCTCACGAAGTATACTCGCGTTTTAAGGCTAAGGGGGTACCTTGTGATCTTGTCACCGGCGACGATGTTAGGTTTGATGAAAATGAAGATGTTGCAATTGCAGCGTCAACGGTGGAGATGGTGAACACTGCTCGAGCTGTCGATGTTGCTGTCATTGATGAAATACAAATGATTGAATCAGAAGATCGAGGGTGGGCCTGGACGCGAGCGTTTCTCGGTGCCAATGCCGCAGAGGTTCATCTCTGTGGAGAACCTCGGGTGATACCGTTGATTCGCGAATTGACTGCGTCAATGGGTGACACCCTGCATGTCCACCAATATAAGCGACTCAATGGTCTCAAAGTGATGTCCAAGAGCCTGCGAGGTGATTTCAAGAGTCTGAAGAAGGGCGACTGCGTGGTTGCTTTCTCTATTGTGACTATCCACGCGTTAAAAAAGCAGATTGAGGTGGACACCGGTCGACGTTGTGCGATTGTCTATGGAGGTCTCCCTCCCGAAACCCGTGCTCAGCAAGCGGCGTTTTTTAACGACCCAGACAACGATTATGACTATCTAGTCGCGAGTGACGCTATTGGAATGGGCTTAAACCTGTATGTTTGAACACCACCGCTCGATATAACGCCCTGCTAACATGATTTTTGTAGGAGTGTGAAGCGTATCATTTTCCACAGTGTGACCAAATTCAACGGGTCATATATGGAACAGTTGAGGATTCCGCAAATCAAGCAAATTGCCGGGCGAGCGGGACGATATCGCAGCGCCCATCAGGCAATGAAAAGAGGGGACAAGGAAACCGATGAATCCGCAAGTATAGGATTGGTCACCACATTCAACGAGTCCGATCTCCGAGTGATCCAGGAAGCCATGGACGAGGAAGCTCCGCCGGTCAAAAAGGCAGGTATTCTTCCCCCGGGAGACTACCTCGAGGAAGTAGCAGCAAGAATGCCGAAGGGTGTGCCATTTGAATACCTCCTCAAATATGTGTGCTCGGCAGCAGAAATGCATCCTCGATTCTCAGTTTGCAACATTACGGAGCAGACTGGTCTCAGTCGAGTGGTGGACGATGTCGATGGATTGACAATTGCAGAACGACTCGTTTTTTCAGCTGCCCCTGCGGCGAGAAACTCTGAGCGATTGCTCATAGTCCTCAAGGCTCTTGCTATGGCAGTTGGGAAACGGCTGGAATTGACGGTGGTCGATGTACCTGAGATTCAACTTGAGGTTCTTGAGCTTCCAATATCAGGAGACCGAGAATACCTACAAAAATTGGAAGACCTCCACAAATCGCTAATACTGTTCTTATGGCTCAGCTATAGGTTCGGCGGTATCTTGAAAGATCGGGACATGGCTACATATGCGAAGGAAATGACAGAGGAGAAGATCAACACCTGCTTACTCGAATTCTCGGCCAACCCCTTGCTCCGAGAAAAGGCACTCCGGAAGAGGACAAGCTTCAAGAGTATCACAATTGAGGGACTCGAAGGCACTGACGACCTCAATCTTTCGCAATTGGATGTTTCGGCACTCCCAGTGGACTGGTCCAAAACCTCAGAAGCCAACGTCGAGATAGAGGGCACGGTCGTTGATCGCCGTGTAGCTTCGGCGATCTAGGTGGAATTGAAACCGACAAACAAAGTCTGTATACTATCAATGTGTATCATCATCTGTGCATCTGCAAATATATTATTGTGCAACTCGAGCAGCCAAGCTGGTGACACCACGGCGAATAATCAACGCAGCGACCCTGGGGTTACACTTGGGACCGGAACTTTATACCGAACCAATGACCAAAGGATACCAAGCAAGAAGTGGCTCCATCCACCAAAATGGGATTTTTGATTGAGCTATCTAAGAATGGTACTCCGTGAAGTGAACCGTGGTCTACTCATAAAGAGGAGAACTCCTTGACAATGGCGCCAACGGGTTGAGCCCATGGTCTATCTGACAACGGTGTTGCCAGCAGCGCCGGTCGAGGGTTGAGTTTGAGTTTGAGGATTGGCAGCTGCAGCCTCACGGGCGAGCTGATCCTCGGTCTTCTTGTTGCCGTGAGAAATCATTCGATTGAGTAGACTACCAGGTCGGCCCTGATCATGACCACCCTTCTCGGCATCATCTGCTTCCTTGTTGACAAAGGTCGAGGTCTCCTCATCACCATCTGAATCGTAGTCTTCGTCAAAGTTGGCTGGAAGGTTGTCAGCTGTGATGTCATCACCCGGGCAGAACCCAAGCCACAAAGAATCGGGCTGGCTTGGAGCTTCTCTGCCCTTATCAAGAGTCTGGGTTAAACTTACGTTCGGGGTCTTTGTGACTGAAGCGTCGCTTGATCTTTGCTCGGATGTTCTCCATGATTGATGTGAGGGAGAATGAATATGAAAAGGCTGAGGTGTGGATGTGTAAGTGGTGGAAATATATAGGTGGGATAATGCTTGGGAATTGGCAAGATGGACCAGCTCTCGTTCACAGGAGAGAGAAGGAAAGTCATAGAAAGCGAGGCGGGGTTGGAGGGGGTTTTATGATGCATCCAAGCATACGCAAACCTCCCTCGACCCCCCCTCCACCCGTACAGCTTGAGGGTGGTGATCTTGGGATCTGGATGCTGGACCCTGCAGACTATCCCGCCAAGCCCTGATATTGCGCTAGTCCTATTTTGGTCTCTGGGTGCGGCGGGACTTTGATGATTCTGATGCACAAATTCCCAGAAGTCCCATCCGCTTTCTCCTCCAGTCGTTGGTGGCCATTCACGGCCATTGCAAGCGAGGCCCTTCTTTTCTTTTAGGCCCTTCTAGTGGCGTTCTAGAATTTGGAGAAGCCGCTGCCTTGTCTGTCCAATCCGATAAACTCATCCATGCCTACAGTACTAGACTTTGACATCTTTTTTCCCCCAGACAAACTACTGGCTGCACCACCGCTCCTCAAGTCGGCACAATCTACGGCCTGACTCGTTGGCCTCCCTTTACTTGGCGATGGACGACTTTACCTCCCTCGAGCTCCTCTCCCTGGTATCCAAAGTTACCTCGGAGCTGCAGAACCATCTAGGAATCAACGACAAAACTCTCGCCGAGTTCGTCATCGACCAACATGAAAAATGCGGCGGCAAACTGCCCGACTTCAAGGTGGCTCTGGCTGCCATGGGGGCAGAGTTCCCCAACAGTCTGGTGGAGAGTATCGACAGACTGATCCTGACCATGCACCCCATACACAAGGTCGTCAAAAAGCAGGCAACAGCGCAGAATGGAAACTCGGATATGGACGAGCTCGACGCAATCGGACGGAAAGCGAGAGTGTTCAAGGGTTTATCGGTCCCGGATCGTGAGCAGTTATGGGATGACTATGAGGATGATATGGTTGGTCAGAAGGCCATTGAAGAGACTGGGCCCCCCATACCCGAAGGCGAGGATGATGATACATTTGCACTACTGGAAGGCCTTGCGAGCAAACCGAAGAACGGGACGGGGGGTACCTCTGCCCGGAGTAGAAAGAGAAGCAGAAGTCCAGACCGAGACGAATATTCTCGGGACAGAAGACCACGGCAGAAGAACTGGTCTCGAAGTCCAAGTCCTCCTGGGGAGAAGCGTTCAAGACGACATCGTCACGATGATAATGACCGCGAATACGACCAACGGCAAAATGGCCACAGAGATCGACATGGTGACAGAAGGAATGGACATTCCAAGAGTAGTCGGAGGGATCACGACGAGGATGAAGATGATTTTCGGAAGCCTCCACGGAGAGAAGTGGACGATAATCCGATTTTGTTCAAGGTCTACGATGCGACAATCAACGGTCTGAAGGATTTTGGTGCCTTTGCAAACCTCGATCATGTCAAAGGAAGTCCTAGTGGTCTAATTCATGTTTCGGCGATACAGGAAGGGGCAAGAGTCAATCATCCTTCAGACCTCTTGTCTCGTGGTCAGCAGGTCAAAGTCAAGGTTATCAAAATGGAGAACAACAAGATTAGTCTTTCCATGAAAGAAGTAGACCAAGTATCTGGTCAAGATTTGGTCCCCTCGAGGCGAATTGCATCCGGAGCCAATATGGAGCGTCTGGATGGTCTTCCGTCAGATGGTCGTTATGGAAATCTCAGTTCAAGCGTACCTGTCATAGAAGACGATTACAATGCGAGATCCAAGAAGAACAGAAAGCGGATGACGTCTCCTGAAAGATGGGAAATCAAACAACTCATCGCTTCAGGAGCTATCTCGGCACAAGATTATCCCGATATTGACGAAGAATACAATGCAGTATTGAATGGAGAAAGTCAATTCGAAGAGGAGGAGGAAGATATCGACATTGAAGTTCGGGAAGAGGAACCGCCTTTCTTAGCTGGACAAACCAAACAGTCCCTTGAGCTTTCCCCCATTCGGGTTGTGAAAGCCCCTGAAGGATCTCTCAACAGGGCTGCTCAAGCAGGCACAAATCTATCAAAAGAGCGAAGAGACCTGAAGCAACAGGAAGCTGCTGACAAGGCAGCTGAAGAAGCATCCAAGGTCGATCTCAACGCACAATGGCAAGACCCCATGATCAATCCAGAACAACGGAAGTTTGCGGCCGATTTGCGACAAGCACAGCAACAGACTACTCGTGCTATCGAAGCTGTACCCGAATGGAAGCGTGCTACCCAAAACAAAGACCAATCGTTCGGCCGCAGGACTAACATGACGATCAAGCAGCAGCGAGAATCGCTTCCCGTGTACAAATTCCGGAAACAACTGCTCGAAGCTGTGGAAACCAATCAACTCCTCATCGTCGTTGGTGATACTGGCTCCGGCAAAACCACACAGCTTACACAATATTTGGCCGAAGCAGGATATGCGAACCACGGTATGATCGGTTGTACTCAGCCTCGCCGCGTCGCAGCTATGTCTGTAGCAAAGCGCGTCTCGGAGGAGGTAGGTTGTGAACTTGGTCGGGAAGTGGGCTACACTATTCGTTTCGAGGACCGCACATCCCCAGACACCAAGATCAAGTATATGACTGATGGCATGTTGCAAAGAGAGATTCTCTTGGACCCTGACTTGAAAAGATATCAAGTGATCATGTTGGATGAAGCTCACGAAAGAACAATTGCCACTGATGTACTTTTTGGATTGCTCAAGAAAACATTGAAGCGACGGGCCGATCTGAAGCTTATTGTCACTTCAGCTACACTAGATGCCGACAAGTTTTCCGAGTACTTCAACCAGTGTCCCATTTTCTCCATTCCCGGTAGGACGTTTCCCGTGGAGATAATGTACTCGAGAGAACCTGAAGAGGACTACTTGGATGCGGCATTGACTACGGTCATGCAGATCCACCTCACTGAGCCTCCTGGTGATATCTTATTATTCTTAACGGGAGCGGAGGAAATCGACACTAGCGCCGAGGTCTTGTATGAAAGAATGAAAGCCCTTGGCCCATCAGTACCAGAGCTTATCGTTCTTCCTGTTTATTCCGCCCTGCCCAGCGAAATGCAGAGCAGAATCTTTGACCCAGCTCCACCAGGAGCTAGGAAAGTCGTCATTGCAACCAATATCGCTGAGACATCTATCACCATTGACCAGATCTATTATGTGATTGACCCGGGATTTGTCAAACAGAATGCCTATGATCCAAAACTGGGTATGGACTCATTGGTTGTTACTCCTATCTCGCAGGCTCAGGCGAAGCAGAGAGCTGGTCGAGCTGGTCGAACGGGTCCAGGAAAATGTTTCCGTCTTTATACCGAAGCTGCATACCAATCTGAGATGCTTCCCACGAGTATCCCGGAAATTCAGCGACAGAATTTGGCTTATACCATCCTCATGCTCAAGGCTATGGGCATCAACGATTTATTGCACTTCGATTTCATGGATCCACCACCCACAAACACCATGTTAACTGCACTCGAAGAATTATACGCGTTATCAGCACTTGACGATGAGGGGCTACTTACAAGGCTAGGTCGCAAGATGGCTGATTTCCCTATGGAGCCTGCCTTGGCCAAAGTCCTGATTGCGTCGGTCGATATGGGTTGTTCAGAGGAACTTCTTACCATCGTGGCGATGTTGTCCGTTCAAACTGTCTTCTATCGTCCCCGAGAAAAGCAACAACAGGCAGACCAGAAGAAAAGTAAATTCCATGATCCACACGGTGACCACCTTACACTCCTCAACGTCTACAACGCGTGGAAACTGTCGAAATATAGCGATCCTTGGTGCTTCGAAAACTTCATTCAGAAAAGACAAATCGGCCGAGCAAAAGATGTGCGACAGCAGCTTGTGTCTATCATGCAGCGGTATAAGCATCAAATCGTCTCTTGTGGACGCAACACAATGAAAGTCCGCCAAGCACTATGTTCAGGCTTCTTCCGGAATTCAGCACGCAAAGATCCCCAAGAGGGATACAAGACGCTCATCGAAGGGACACCAGTCTACATGCATCCCAGCAGCGCCCTGTTCGGCAAACCAGCTGAGCACGTTATCTTTCACACTCTTGTCATGACCACTAAGGAGTACATGCATTGTGCGACTGTGATTGAACCAAAGGTATGTTCCGTCCGGCTATCTTGTGGCCACTTTCGATCCTTTACTAATATTTATTGCAGTGGCTCGTGGAAGCAGCTCCGACATTCTTCAAAGTCGCCCCGACTGATCGATTGAGTAAGCGTAAGAAGGCTGAGAGGATTCAACCTCTACATAACAAGTTCGCTGGTGAGGACGATTGGAGACTTAGCTCGCAGAAAAGGCAAGGTAGAGGCGGTGGTGGTGGTACTTGGGGTTGAGACTTGCTTCTCCCCCACCTTCTCATCCAGCTCTCGCAAGGATATCTTTGCACAAATTTATACCCATGAATCGATAGCGTATGGCCATCCCTCGACCCAATCATGAACTCCTTCCCCTAGATCGTAGGCACCATGCCTTAGCTCATGACCGTTCGCTCCAAAACCCGAGGATCCCTCGATCCCACCGCACCATGGTCCGACATCTCCTTGAAGATGTTCTTCACCGGCTTCAGCACGGGCGGTGCCTGCACCGTATCCCTGGCATTCAAGCCCCTCGACTGGGCCGTGCGCCCCTGACCGACAAACCCACCACCCCCTCTGGCAACACCGGCCTCCGCCTCCTCCCTTTCCCTCGCTCTCTCCTCCTCCCGTCTCTTCCGCTCCAACACCTTCCAGGGATCGCCCTCGTCCGCGACCTCGCGCCGCCGCTTCTTCTTTCCCTTGCCGCTCTTCCCGGCCATGACGCCACTCTCGACATCCACGCCCAACCACAACAGGCCCTCCTCCTCCCTCTTCTCCGCGTCTTCGTCCGCGGCCTCTTCCTCGCGGTCCCGGATCTTCGCCTCCTGCGCCCGCCAGTCCCGCTGCATGCGCGCCAGCCGCTTGTTGTGCTTCGTCAGCGGCGTCTTGATGTCCAGTCCCGGCACCGTGTTGCGCGTGCTGTGCTTCGGTACCCCAGTCAGCGGCAGCGATTGGTCGACCCGCAGTGAAAAGTCCGAGAGGCGCTCCCCTGGGAGGATCTTGGGGAGGGCATGGCTTGGTGCAGTCGCGGCGTTGGCAGTGGCGTGAGCGGTGGAGGGCGACTCTTCAGTTTGCGTCTTGTTCCCTCCATTGTTCGTGTTGTCCTTCTTATTATTATTCTTCTTCTTCTTCTTCTCCTGGCGCAGTCCGTCGTCAAGTCCACTGCGCACCCGCTTCCCCTCGTTCTGGAACGCCATCAGTCGCGCGAATGCCTTGGGCGTGTCGTCCTCGGCGCCTTTGCCTGATTTACTCCGTTTCCTGCGCCGTTGGTCATGTTTCTCCGCTAGTTTCTCTTTGCGCTGCTTATCTGACGTGAAGATCGATTCCGATTTCTGGTGCACCGATAATGTGCGGGCGCGCGCGTTGGGTGCCAGGTTGAAACTGCGGTAGGAGGTGAGCCATCGGTCAGACTTGAAGGGGGGTGGAAGGCAGGTTTGCAGGGGGTTCAAACCGTCAAGTTAGATACGTACTTTGACTCATCATTCTCGCGCTTTCTCTTGTGTTTGTGAGGCATCTTTTGTACTGTACAGCAGTGGGGTGTTGGTGCTAGACCTTGGTTGAAATTCTACAAACTAAGGTTCAAATGCAATAATGGAGAAAAAAGTTCAAGCGAGGCTCTGCGTGCGGGGAAATATTTGCGAAATCTTACCCCGCACTCAGCCTTGTCTGGTACATTAAATTAAGACACTCATCTTATGAAGCAGCCATTCTTTCTTGCACTCAAGCTACACATTTGCAAAGGAATTGCGCACTGAAAATCGGGACATCTGGCGTCCTACGTCAGCTCATCTATAGACTCTAGCATACGGGCTGGCAGCTTCAGAAAACTGTTCATCAGGCTGAACCTTGCAAGGGGGCTTGACACCTGGCTCAAAGCGGTCCCGAGACACTACCCGATTGCCGTTCGATGTTGCTATGCAGGACTGTATCCCGCGGTAGCACCGTCTAGTGTCGGGCAGAGCTTACGGCGGTGGTCGCCTTCTCGCTTGACGCCTAATAATGACTGCTGCCTTAGTGGTGCCCAATCGCCCGCTTCTTAGCATCACTCGTCCCATCAGGTGATACCTCGGCTGGCACCTCGGTTGCTTATTTTCGGTCTCGATATCCATTGTCAATACCTGCTGCTTGTGAATCAAGTCGCTGCTCAGGCAGCAGCAGTTGAGAAGTCTGCACTGCTAGCATCGCTCTCCAGAGTGGGATGTTGGACGCTAATTCGGTGCCAATGCTGTGACTTGAGCCTCAGGCAGTAAAGTAAATGCTGTTCTACAATCCATTCGGAGGCTACGAGCAGATATTCGTCAACCATCTACAAAGGTCTCTAACTTAAGTAGCCCACTGCCATCAGTTTAGAGTCAAAGTGTCAATTGGCAACAATGTCGTCCCCCAAAACACGATCTCACGACGATGAGATAAATAGAAACACTGTCGACAAATGGCCCCTCCCAGTTCGCTCAAAAACGAGAACCGCAGCGACTAATAGTGTTAGTCTCATGAAAAACACCTCAAAGAGCGCAGCTGATGACGCAGTGCAGCCAACGCCAACGAGGCCTCAAATCGTGAATCGCGGCTACCTGAAAGTCCCTTCTGACTACGCCGAAAAATACGATATAGTCAACGAGCCAAGCGCAATAATGGAGGTATTCAACCAGTCTGGAAACACAATTGAGAAAATTAATCAGCCAGTACAAACAAGGATGATATTCACGAAGGCAGAACAGACGATATGGATAGACGGGCCCACAGACGGTGATACGCTGACAGTTGATGACCTGCTTTACCTCAAGACATTCAAACACCATGATAAGGATAACGAATTGTGTCCCTATTGTAAGGTCATACATAAAAGCAGGTCTGCTTACCCAACGGATACGAAGCCCGATTACTGTCTGTGTAGGGAGTGTATCAACGAATACACTTCCACCATGTACTCCCTCGACCTCTGGGTACCAAGACCAGTTCTATTGGAGCATGATAACTGGAGGCGAAAATGCGTGTGCGTCAATAGGAAGCCAGATAACTACAAAAAGTATCTGACGCATCTGTGCAACGGTTATCCAGCAATTGCATACAAATCGCGCAGAGTCCAACCTCGCAAGAGCAGATCTCACCCTTCAGATTAGCACTTCGTGGCTGAGCATGAACGTTGGTAGTGATTTTTACGAATGTGCTGTGGGTTACACGACCATCGAAGCCCGTTTGTTCATATGGCGTTGAGAAAGATCGACTTCAAAGCACTGATGAGGGTTTTCAATGAACTGATCGTGGCATGCATATTGTGTGAAATAGCAGGTCGGGCTAGAGATGTGATAACCACGTGATCGAATAATTGAGTTACAATGACAACCAACACTATTTAACTGGTCTTACCTAGCCCCGATCTGCAGACTTGGTTAAGTTAGCCAGTTATCCAAGACATGCAAGGTTCGAAACATTGATATGATACGTTATCGGGACTACGTTGCTCTACCTTAAGCATATTGGGCTCAGAAGGAAGTCAGACTACTCGAACATCTCGAACCGGCGCTAATTCTATCTCCTCAAAGCATTTCAGCGTCGGTATGCATTCTAAGCACTCCTCAGGACAGTTCTCGGCCGCGGGTCTGTGTCTCTGGTCACTCTTGCATATTTTCCCTCGAAAATCGGGCAGCAACATTTTGACGCCCGACATTAGCCTCAAGAAAGCTTCAGCCAATACGACCGGTAACCTGGGCTTCTGTCAATACATAAGTAGGACCTACTACCCCCTTCTGATCTTCCCTAAGCCTCACGTTCTGGGGATTGCTACACGACAATCATAAGCAACACCCCAACGATAACATGAGTCGCGACATGGTTTCCTATAATCACGAGGGTAGTCCTCTAGTTCCAGCGCCAGCATATACGACAAGACCACGCATCATCAACCAAGGTCACATGAACATTGATCCCAACTACAATGCAGACATTGAGATAGTCAACATGCCTGGAAGCACGATAAATCTTACCGGGGCACAACCGACCCCGGTTTCATCGGAGAGTGGGCCGCGAAAGCCCCCATCAAGTGGTCTTCTCCCAACCCCTGCTATTCCCACCGCCATTCCGCAGTCGACTGCCGTTCCTCGATTCTACTGTCTATCCTGCAAAGCAAAGTACTTTACTCAGGAAAAGCTGGACGAGCATGTCAAAGGGTATCCGAATTACTGCTCGGTATGCAATGCCTGTCGTAAGCCCGACGGGCGAAATTATTGTTGCTGGAGCGGTGGCTATCGGAATTTCTGGAGGAAAGGTAAGGGCGGAGCGGTTAGATGATTTTGCTTTGAGTCATTGAAGGCCTGCGGAAATATTATGCTATTCAATCCTTCCTTCGATGTCTCATGAGCCACCAAGCGCTACTATTTTCTACATCATGTAGTAATCAATCGCTTTCGAATGTTCCCGCTTTTGGATTATGTGCCTGTAGAAGCGTGTAGAACAATCGTTTATACTTAACAGTCTTCCGAATTCCTGTAAGTAGGAAGCTGAGCACCCTTCCAGTGTGGGATTCCTACCTGCTCATCAGCCTGACCAAAACAATTTCCATATCTAGCTCACATGATCAATTGGCGGGCCAGATACTGTACTGGAAACATTACGAAACGGTATCACCAGGCAGAGCTATTGTAAGCTTTGCTTCGTCCCCGACGCAGGTCTAGTGCATTCAAAGAAAACCGCTGATATCAGGCATGTTCAGTACTACGCAGGGACATGCTTGGCATGCATTGATGCCTTATGTGCCTCGCTTATAAATTCTCGGTGCCTTGGGCAGCAAAGTTGACGGCATTCTTCTATTTGTCTCGTTCGGACGTACGTCCAGTCCAGTGTGCCTTCAACTACTCCGAAATTGCTTTAGTTTTTGTATCGGCTATAGATTTCCGGCTTCAAAGAAAAGGATCATTGATCAATGCTTGCTCAGCCGTCTTGCAAGTCGAAGCTATCGTGTTTAAAAGTTCTGCCTTACTGTTCTTTTGGTGCTGCCGCTGGCCTACCGATTCAAGCCTCAGATACAGCCATAGTGCTGCCTATTCTAGATGGTCTCTTCCCAAATGTTCACGCCACATCTCCTTTGTTCTCCAACACGTCTCGTAGACCTGACTGAAGCACATCAAGGCTATATTCTCACGGCTGTCAGAGACTTCAAACATCTCCAGTCAGGTTGAGCGGGAAATGTGAACCCTCAAAACATGGCCCAAGACACGAGGCCGCAAAATCGCAACCTCGGTAAGGGATTCAGCTTCGCCAATCAATCTCGATGGATGGTCAACCAGGACGGGAAGACCAGCTGCATTCCGAATTTCTCCCATATCTTCATCAAGAGAAGGAAGATGTGAAGCAGATACCACGTTTTGGGAGTATCTCAAGTGATCACTTGCTGATGGCATGTCGAGGCATGGTGTTTCTGCTGATCAAAGCATCACATGCCCTAACATTTATGTAGTAACACTGATACCTAGCCAATGTTGATTGGAATATATTCAAAGGAAAAGAAGCCATGGTGAGCAATATGCAAGGTATAATCCAATCGGACAGGGTTAAGCATTGGGTTTAATGTTTGTTTGTGAACAATTGTGTTCATATTGTCATTGGCATTGTTTGATTGACTATTCGCGAATATTATATACCGAAATTGTGTACGGCGTGCCCCAGTGCCATAACGCAATAAGAAGACAATTTACGGTCTCCAGAGAGCGCCGAGGCTCGAGTCGATTGTTAGATTGCAACATAATACCCCTGGAGGGGCAAGTGCATGTCTGTCAACCCTCCCATCCGAAGGGACAGAGTAGAACTCGGGAGTAAAATCATGCCACGTGTCTTAGCGTACGTCCCCACCAAGTTGTGGCCGGCTGCGTGGGTTTCTCGATTTCGCCATCCTGAAGTCGACCAGACCATAAATCTATGTCGTGACTACGAACAAACTGTAGCTTACACGTCAGACAAATGAAAAAATGAGAAACTCAGAAATCAGAAGGGTTACTGACCTTGATACGGTGGATAATCTTCCAACCGATGATAGGAACGAAGAAGATCGGTATTCCAATGTAGGCAGAGATAAAGCTTGATGTATTCCAATTGCTCTTCAGGAAGACAGGGAAACCAACAATTAGAATAATGAATATGCAGCCAATGAACCCGACCCAGGCAGTGTAGGGCTGGAACGGGCCTTTCCAGGGAATGGTATCTCGGCTCACTCCTTGAGCTTTCATTGCGGCATGATATCGGATGTAGCACAGACAGAGGGTTCCCCAGGATAATAATCCAGCGACGGTGCTGAGAGCTTGTAACCAGGTCCAGGCTTGTGATGGACCACCCTTACCAAGACCTATTTAAAGCAGGTTAGTGATCGGCCAGCAACATTCGATCTTTCAAGTAGTATACACTTACTTAGATAAGCTAGTGGCCCAAACAACCAGACCACGCAGACGGCAAAATATGGCACACCCTTTGAATTGACTCTACCAAAGATTTGCGGCATGGAGCGATCAGTTGTCATAGCCACCAACATTCTTGAGCTAGTCCAACAATATGCATTTCCTGCAGACCATGCGGAAACAAGAATGCAAGCGTTGACGATTGAAGGCAGTACCTTAATGCCAGCTTCTTTGATAGCAATAACCCATGGCGAGCTGTTTGCGTTTCCTGTTCCTGAAACAAGCGCTTTGTTTCTTGGATCCACAATCATTCCGATAAGTAAGGAGCCAATAATGTAGAAAAAGCCAATGCGGTAGGCAACCTGCCGTGCAGCTCGAGGAATAGCAAAATGTGGGTCACCAGCTTCAGCAGCCGTAATGACCACAATCTCGACTCCAATAAAACTGAAAGATGCATTCACAAAGGCTGACAAGAAGCCTAAAAAGTGCCCTGTTGGGCCCTCGATACCGTGAAAATTTGTCCATGGACCGGGATCGTGCCAGTAGCGAAAGCCAATTGTTTGATGCTTCGGTCCACCTCCACATGTGATAACAAGAGAGACCAGAATTAGGCCCACAAAGCAGAGGACCTTGATTGCTCCACCGATAACTTCGATGTCTCCGAAGAAACGTACACTCATCAGATTGAAAGCCAGGATCAATGCCAAACCAATACTGATCACCAGGGCTGGTGAGATATCAGTCCAATAGCCCACAATTATCGCAGCAGCTGAGACTTCGGAAGCTATGGCGATACAATAGGCGTATGTGTATGAGATCGCCAGTGAAAACCCAACCGCTGGATCAATAAACCGAGTTGCCCAGTGGGGAAAGGAGCCAGCAGTTGGGAGAAGTGTTGCCAATTCGCATATACTTTGCATCATGCACCACATCACCGTCCCAACAATGATATATGCCAGGAACAGTCCTGCTGGGCCTGCCTTGGAATAAGCGGCTCCAATTCCGACAAATAAGCCAACACCGATACCACTGCAGAACCCAATCATGGTAACTTGATAGTTCTTCAGGCGCCGCTGGGTGGCACCTCGACCACCAACGTTTAGCTGGAGTTCGCCTTTGGCCTGATTGTGGAGCTCATCAAAGCCCTCATCTGGCTGGATGACATCCTCATCATAACGAGTCTTTTCCGGGGAATGCCCCTTTGAGGTTGCATTCACGGTCTCCATATGAGAAATGCTGCACGATATTAGATGGATGTGATTATGATTGTGGACCACTGGGTCTGAAATGGAGGAATGAAATTTTTCTATGACACCGAAATGATTTATGGATCTTGAGCCATGGTTCGTTTGAATCTCGGAATCCGATAGACTTCCGGCGTTGTGTGCCAAAGCCTAAAGGATCAACCCTCAAAAGGGTATGGCCACAGGCGAAATCTTCCTATCAAGTGGATAACGAGTAGCAAGCTTCGACTAGTAGGCTTGTTAGCACTCCGCATCTGCTGAGTGGTTATGATCGTTGATGGTCCATCTGAGAGGGCAGGACGCCGTAATATGGCATTTTGCGAAACAGCGGGGACCTTTCTCCTAGACCCTGACAACCGTTTCATTCCAGGTTGCTAGTGGGGCTTGCAGGTGTCAGCAGCAAACGATAGCTTGGAACTTGTGGTTCAGCATGTTCGATGCCAGGTTCTTGAAATGATTAATCCACGTAACTGTAGATTACTGTCGAGTAATGGGAGTCCATTGACGATGAAAGGCTATGAAGGCTCACTGTCGATCTCGGATCGAAAACCCCGGAAGGAACGGCACGCGGAGTTGATGGCAATTCTTCCGAATAATCACGTGGTCGGCATGCTCCATTTTACAGTATTTATATTCCGCGATCACGGAGTTGGCAGCTTCATTTTCCTCCATGTTCTCCGAGGCTGAAGTCACTCAAGCAACGCTTCCATCGAAGTCCGACAGGCATGGTGGAGACATCAGATCACCAAGAATCTCGAAGCCGTCAAGCCTGTGAGTCGTGCCGGTAGGTGAACTATCTTATTGGCAGTCCCATAATCCTTGAACTGAAACCTGGATTAGTAGGAGGAAGACGAAATGCCCGGGTGAGAAGCCAAGTTGTTCGCTATGTGGCCGACTGAAGCAGCAATGCGTCTATCTTCCAAGGAATCACTACAAAGGTCCTTCGAGAGTAAATAAAGCTTCAAGGTTGGTTCCAGCTTTATACTTAAAATATTATCAGAAGTTCTCACCACAGTAGTACAACCAGGAGCTCTTCCAGTGCTAGAATTCCGAATATTGAATCTCAGATTAAAGATATTTATGCTATACTAAAGTATAGTTTGCCGGATCATGCTAGATAAGGACACTATGCTGACTTCATAGCTCCATATCACAGCCTGTTCCCAGCAACGATGCATCGCCAAGTCATGCTGCATCAGCACCTCATCAATCTGCAGAAACCGATATCAGTCGGGGTGTTAAGTTTGATCTCCCTTGCACATCTCAATTTTCTTGATATAGCACTACTGATTCATCTCTATCAAGCTGCCATCCACCTATCGAAGTGCTGGAATTTGCAACCCAGGTCTACAAGACCAGAATTCATCTTCAACCGTTGCCGCTCTTTAGCCTGACAAACCTCTGCAGCCGTTTAGCCGTGGCCACACCGTTCGTTCGCTGGTCCTTCTCAGCCCTGTGTCTGAACTTCTCTTCTCCAAACTCTCTTCCAGGATATGGCCCTGATGCTGCTCAATCCTACACTCGCCTAGCTCACGATACCGTTATGCGACTAGCTTCAGAAGGCACGGCGACCCTCGAAGTACTGCAGGCATTGTGCTTATTGGTATTGAACGATATGATCGGCCAGTTCATCTCAAATGTCAACTTTTATCACGGACCATGCTGACTGTTTGACAGTCGGCAATGCTGCACGCGCTTTTATGACAATCGGATTAGCTTCGAGGCTACAGGCACTTCGAGACTCAGATCGCAATCTGCAATCATTCTGTGAGATCCAAGTTGACAACGACAGTGTATCCCGATGCTACTGGAGTATTACCATCCTGGAACAAGTGTTCTCTCCACAACTGAAAAATGGTGCCTTCGAAAGAAGGCAGAGTTCTTCAAAGACTTATCCTCCAAGTGCACCTTGCCCACCACCAGTCGGAGCCAACGTGAATAACTCTTCTGGTCAGGCCGACATCCTCCCTCCAGTCCGTTCTATTGGAATGGACTCGAATGGTTTAAACGACCTTGGGGTCAACGCGTATGCGATTCGACTGATATCAATCTGGGGGGATGTCACAACATACCTTTCCGAAATCCACTCTGGCAAAGCGGAAAAGCCATGGCTACCAACCTCTGCGAACATGAAGCTCAACTTCCAAATGCACGAATGTGAAACTCAAGTATCATCTTCACATCTTTTCAGGCACGTACAACCACTGAAAAGATCACGCACTGAGCTTCTCGAGCACCAAGAATATTGGATTTCCTGGGCACTGATGCAGATTGCTTCCCACACAATTCCGGCAATTCTGAATCACCCATTCATACATTTGATAGCAAGGAGTTCACATGAAGGCAACCACACCATCCGCCCTTCATTCTACTTGCAGCAGACTGTCGACCTGGCACTATTCCATGCTGGGTGGGTTGCCCAATTACTATTGATCTTCGAGCGCTTCCCCTTTGAGATTACTAACCCTGTGGTTGGACACATGATCACGGCAACCGCAACGGTTTTCTGGATATTTCAGTTTTCGCGAGACATAGCGGTTTCAACTAAAGCTAAAGACGATCTTGGAAAGTGTGAGAGATTTCTTGGAAAACTGGCAGCAAAATGGCCACACATTGACCAGAAGGTATGTTCTCATCGGTCTGAATCTTGGTTTGGAGAGTTGCTATTGAACCCACCACTCGCCGGCTGGATACGTTTGTGGTACTGAACAGATCAATAGCTCAAAATTCTTCAGAAACTCCAAGCCAAAGTACGAGGAAGACGACCTGAAAATCAGGGCGGCAACGGAAGCACCACTGAGGAAGGATGGGAGACTGCCCCTACGACAGTCACAATCACGTTTCGCCCTTCAGACCTATGGGCACTGCTCGACTGTAATATATTAGGAATGACGGTTGCAAATTCGCCATCTTCTCCTGATCTTGCGACGGGTGAAAATGAGAACAATGCCAGTATCAGCCTCAATGTCCACGTGGTTCCGTCAATCTCAGAAGGTCAAGATGTTTCGAGACAATCCACTTTCGCACCGGCCGAGACATCGATCAACGACACCGCTGGACCCTCGGAGCCTGCAAGTGACGATTCATTTCTTGAACTTGGGGTGGTCGGAGATAATGTTCCATTTTTTGACGACCTCCTGTCACAGTTTACCGGCAGTTTCAACGATTGGAGTAATCCTCAGTGGTTACGAGCTATGCCGCAAATTCCAGAATAGCGATTTTGTAATTGATGTTACTCATCGCGCTGGCAGAATTGATTTCTAATTCAGGCCAACATTATATCTAGATATATCATCACAACCTTGCTTTCAGCTGCTCTTCCTCCCCAAGTGTCCGCCTTGGAGGGCCGCGCCGACTCCCGTCATTCACCATGATTGCCTTCCCTCCAATACTTGGACTAGGCAGTTTCCATTTCTTCTTCACTTCGGGGTCTGCCTTACCCTCGAAGCAATCGGCGATATACTTGCCCAAGACGGGTAAGAATTTGAAACCACTATTAGGGAGAAGCACGTACATGTCAGCCAGCGAAAACTTGTGGAATGCCACCTAATTTCGGAAAGTAACTTACTGTCCAGATCCGCCAGTAGCGATGAACAACCCGTTCACCGAATGATGATAATCCGCGATGAAATCGCCCGTAGGCGTTTCCGTATACCAGCACAAACGGCCTTTCACCCACGGCCTATCCGCTAAACTAGGAATGAGTTGTCTCAAACCGGATCGAAGGTATTGATCCGCATCTTCTGGAAGGAATGTTGATGCCGCATTGTTGGAGTCTCGCTTGGGCGCAGAAAAGGGACTCTGGCGGCTCTCACCACTCTCCAAAGATGCCTTGACTTCGAATCCGTGGCCGTGGTATGCGACCTTGAGCATGTTGTTTCCAGGATATGGTGGGAAGACAAATACCCCAGAGGTCACATTGATCGCGACAGGCATGTTGGCGAGTCTCTTGCCCTCCTCAGCAGTGAGTTGGATGAATCCCACGGGTTGTGCTGATCCGATGATGTGGTAGTCTAGATCATCGAGATATCGAGTAGTCCATGCACCTGTGGCCATGATCACTTTGGATGCATGGATCGGTGGGCCCTGCACCACATTGACCCCCGAGATCTTCTTGGTCTTGCCATCGACAATCAAGGATCGTAGGGTTCCTCGAGGTCCAGTAATGAAAGAAACCCCCAACTCACTGAGCCGGATTGCCAGCGCCCTGGTCGCCCCAGCAGCATCAGCCCATCCAGCATTCAGATTCATATACCCATACTTGACATCCCTCAAGGACTCTCCAGGAATATTCGCCTTCAGCGCCGCAAGATCGTTGAACTCGCGATATTTCTGGTTCTGGCCACGAAGCGTCTCCTTGTTCTTCTCCAAGTACGGATCGGCCACCGCCTCGGAGGCCAGCATGAATCCGCTCGGATAGTAGTGCGGCTTGAACACACTAGACGACTTCCATGTCTCAATCGCCTCAGTAGCCAGTCGCGAGTAGAATGGATCGACATAATCCGAGCGCACGATTCGTGATATATCGGTACTGCTGCCGTCGCGGACGGGTGGTAGATCCCTGTCCAGAACCGTGATGTTGGTGTAGCCTCGCTGCTGGAGGGCAAACGCCGTCGAAAGTCCGAACACGCCAGCGCCAACGATGATGATCGCCTCATCCAGGGAGGGTGTTGCGTTTGCCATGATGAAGATTAAACGTCGGACGGCGAGTTACCAAATCAAACGAGACGGTAAGTTTTATCAATGACTGCCCACTTCTCGGGCGTTACTCACGCCGAGATATATATCAATTGTGCGATGAAGCGTCCTTCACGATCCCTCGTCAGCCTAATCTTTTATTAGAAAAGGTCAAAGATATGTCAAGAGTCGAATCGTTATCTCCAAGAGTACGGAGCGGAAAGCGTCGGATTGCCCCAGTACTCCGGTATTCCGGAACATCGGAGTACGCCGTCAAAGGTGTTGCCCCGGGCGTCATGCACATATCGTCGCTAAAACTTGACCTCTCCAACAAGGTACTGGGTTTTTGGACCTACCGTTCTCCGACGATAACCATGATATGAGTTTTCTGATGCCAGTTGCTCCTCAACATAACTCAATAGATACCGTATTCATACACTGCCTTGACGGAAGTTAGCTAGCGAGCGGGACGTCTTGCGGTTTGAGCGCCACCACGAGCGAGGTTTGACAAAGTATATATATATATTATATAGATGTACTTTGGATCTGAGCGAAACATCAAAGAGGTCGAAGCTGCGAAGTGGGAAGAAAAGTCCTCACTTCAATGATCTCCTGCACGAGTAGATATGTTACTTAGTCTACGTGCGGATCAGGCTGCACCCCGCTCTTTCTACAACCAGGGGGATTGTTTGATGTGACGTGTCTCTTGTTCGAACAAGACAGATCTACCGTGGCAGAGGCGCTTTCACTGTTAGGAATCACATTATGTCCATCCCACCGGGCTTTTCCATTCATGTAGATGATCCGAGTCGGGGTTGAACATTCATGTTCGCCAGCAGGGTTGCATACTGTCTGATCACTAGGTAACACATCCGCAGTGACCGCTCTCCATTCGTGGGTATGACACCATCAAGCAGCCGGCGATTAACTTATGGTTTTCAATATGCGATAGTGCAGACTTACCGATACAGCTGCAGAAAGTCGTCGGTGATTCTACTTAGTACTTTCACTATAACCATCGCATGCGCAATGAGGCGCAAATATGATGAATATGTGTGTATGGTGATTCCATTGACAAGAAACGAATCGGGTTCCAAGCCTCGTGAGAGCCGGAGATGGATGCATGGAATGGTCCTGATGGGGTTCCAAGTTACACTTGATTCGCATGCAGGGCCCCGAAGCAACTGTACGAGTATTGTCTGGGGAAGGCGGGGAAAGCCTGCAGGGCCAAACACCGTGACCTGAGCACCGCATACAATACAACCAATCATCAATTTCCATGACAGCAAGGTCTGTGAAAGCCAACTAACTGCTGAACACCTCTCGTCGAATGCAATGCGAATGACAAGGGGGAAAAAGCTTTGACGTCAGGTGACGATGAAACGAATGGTGGGGATTATTACTCTTTGAGGTTTATTTACTCTGATCCGGCGTTCTGGCTTCTAGAGTGTAATCTATGGTGAACCTGATTTTAAGCACTGATAAGCACTCCAGTAAGCTGCTTGCGCTGGAGATTCAAAAATACGCAGATTGCTTTGTAGCACCAGGTCGGGTTGTCTGACACCCATACACCTGGTTGTGACAAGGGGAAACAAACAAAGAAAAGAGTTGCTCTACTAGTTAAGAGAGGTATTAAAACGTTTGCGGAAACTTCGTCATGCCAACGGCAGGTTCGTTTCGAGTACTACCTACCGTCTTCACATCCCAGCACTGACGGCGATAGTGATCACCGGGTGTAACTCCGGTATAGGCCATGCACTAGCAAAGGTGCTTTTGAAAGAGGTAGGCCAGGACCGTGTTTGAGCAACCAGCGATTTCGAAGGCCACTGGACGGGATTCGAATCGGTTGCTAATTTACTCTGTTGCCGCGAAAAGGGATACTATGTCTATGCCGTAGACATCGACGCTGGAGAAACCCTCCTGAGCCTTTCAGGGCCAAAGTGCCAAATTGGTCGGCTGGATGTCGCCTCGATTGAGTCTATCCGAGAGTTTAAGCTTGCGCTTGGTGATCAGAAGGTAAATGTTCTGCTCAATGTTGCTGGTAGGTTGTACAATGTCGTCATCTGAGTCGCTAAATATTTAATCTGTCTTGATTGTGCTAGGGATCATGCCTAACAAGCATTACGACACGCTCAACGGTCTCACACTGGAGGTGGCTAATCACACGTTCTCGATCAACACCTTTGGGCCTTTCTTCCTGACACAGGCAATCCTACCGAATGTTCTGGCCGCCGACAATCCGAAGCATATCGCTGTAATGTCATCACGAGTCGGAAGTATAGGAGATAACAGCTCCGGTGGGTCTTATGCATATCGCGCATCCAAGACAGCAGTGAACAGTCTTTTCAAGAACATGGCCATCGAGCTGAAGGAGAAGAATGTGGTTGTGAGCATGTTACATCCAGGCTTCACCAAAACAGGGCTAGATCCTGATGTCTGGAAGATGGAAGAGGCGGTAGAGGCGGACGAAGCTGCTGGTAAACTGTGGGAGGTGCTGAAAACGAAGAACATTGACCACACGGGCAAATTCTGGCACCGAGAGGGCATGGAACTTCCCTGGTGATGAAAGTGTAGAAAGTTTCATGCGAGTCCCAAAATATGAAATTGGTGCAGTGGGGGGAGAGGCTGAAAATGTGGTGGCTACCCACCTAGTTGTAATGCTATTTTCCATGTTTCGGTTATTGTTTGATTCTGCGCTGATGAGTTGCCGATTGTGGCCATGATGATGGAGTCGAAGGACTCGGAACGAGTGACATCGAGACGGCAACTGAGCCTTATTCATAGATGCGGCTCGTGAATTACGTGTTTCTCCGTGCTCCATACCAGGTTGCATCCGTACAGCGAGCAGAACCCACAAGGCGTGTGGTGTGGCAAGCGTGGAAGAAAAAAAAATCATGATAACTCCGAAATGCCTCGATTGTTAGGGTGGAGGTTATGGCCGCTATATGCAGTTTCAGCTGTGGAGTATATGGGCTTCGTGGGAGTCGCTGATCAGACACGTGATCGTTCAGAAGTCTGAGTTTCTTTTTCTCTCTTCTGTCAGCGACGTGAATTGACATGTTAGATGAACGTCTTTGAAGAGTATCACCGGATCTCCATTCAGATCTTCACGTTTCTCAGTGTTTGAAACCATAGAGACTCATTAGTTTCTTCAATCTTTCGAAACTCCGAAATTCTTTGGGAGAGTGTTCCTAGGCACACTTCCTCCCCATCCGGATGGCTCGTAAGGATCGCATCATGAGTGACTTTACCGCGTCGCGTCGAATTGCAGATTGTTGCCTGTAAGCTCGGAAACGAGAGACGCTTCGGTCCGGCAGCAGCGGACCTATGTTTGGGGATAGGATAGACTTGCAGGAGAAATGATTTCCAGTAGTGAGGACGCGACAGGGAGAGCCCGATTGATATGAAAAACAGCAGTCGTGAAACGGCTAGATGAGCCGACCGAGTCGCAGGCGGTGGTCAAGACGCGCTCAGAACCAACAAGCGGAGGGCTATGAAGGAGATTACTACGAAGGACGTCTCTACGAGCGTCACTAGTCTAAGAAGGTCAGCCAGTTTTTTAAGATGAATTGGGTGCCGAGATTGGGAAGTAACATTAAGGTAGGTCAGATGTGGGTTGACAGGGAGAGTGCATTGCATGAGGAGGGTCTGAGAACTCGGGAAGACGACTTGGCTGGCTGCTCGGCTGGTATTGCTGTGGAGCTGATGATGGTGTTGTTTAGCGACGAACGCGTTCTTGTTCTGAGTGGTTTGGTGGAGAGACTACTTGCCGGCGCCTACATGCAAGCTCACTTGGCGGTCGCTGGGTTCTCAAGAGTCAAGACTGCGCATCGTGCTATAGCTGGTGTTGGATGTTGGACTCTTGAGGTGGATAGGATATGCACTGCAGATCACCGCAAAGGTAGGATTGCTATTCCTCTGGGGTACTACGACTTCCTAAGGATCGGGCATGTCGCTAGCTATTTGAAGAGGTATCATCGCGCTTTAGCTAAGGGGAGATGAAGCAGATCGAATGCCATCCGGGAGGTTGCAACGACCGAGACCAGGTGTATTTGATGATTGGCACGGGTACTTCCGCTGGCGCATTGAGCATGGACAGTGATCTACAGTACGAATGCTGGGTTTAGGACGCGATCGCACCCCGGCATGACAAGACTTGAGCGACAAGGCCGAGCCTTGTCGCGGCATGCGAGAGGGTAGGCAGATCAGAAAAGACATCGCAACTTTGTTACTGGGAGTTTTGGGTGGTTCAAGCCATCTTGCTCGGAAGGCTGTCATGTCAGTGGCGATGCAGACAACGAAGCTGAGCAAAATATGACGAGACTGATTAGGGGAAGCGTCATGCTCGAAATACCCCGGTTGGCCCTGGGCTGAGAGAGCTCTTGAATCCGAGCCAGGGACAGTGACCTCTTTTGAGCTTGTATTTGTGAAGATGAGGATGGAATTTGACACCCACAGAGACTACAAGTCACAGTCTCACAGAGCGTTTGTTCACATGCCTTGTTCAGAAGCACCGTCTGACGTTCGCTGATACTACCTAGGTAGGCAGCAGGGGGTGGCGAATGGCCAACCAGCACGTGGAATAACGTTTTGAATGCAAGAGTTTGGTCAAGGGTTCTTCTGCATTGGCGTGTTGATGTGTTTCCTTTGGAGGCCACGCGGAGCACGCGAGATTCGGCAGGAAGACCTCAGAGTTTGCTGCAATGCAACGGTTGGGAAGGAAGGGGGTAGTATCAGGGGATCTGGAGACTGGAGGGTGCATGGAAGCTGACAGTTTCCAAGGATTCTCTAGAGATGTGATTGAGTCGTTTATCATGGTTGTTGAAAAGACCACTTGCAGATGGTATGGTAATCTACCTTGGTGCTGGGTGTGTATCGTGTCTAGAATTTCTCTGTATGGTCGTCTTCCTCGCCCTAAGGTGCCGAGTTACGACCGCGAATGAAATTAGGATTTCCTTGATCGATCGAACCTGGGAGGGGTTCGATCGTGAGCTCAATTTCGAATTTGGACGCAAGCCACCAGACTAAGAGCAGAGGGGATGCCGGCTATCCGTAAATGATCAGTCCAATGGGATATCATTCTCTGTGGAGGGAAAGTCAATGCCAAATTTTACTAGACTACGGGCAAGATTTGCGGCGATTATCCATCCATTCAACATGGTAGTTGGAGTCCGGACATGTTTTGGAAAAAAAACTCTGCTCCAAATGGGGTCGTACGAAGTACGTGAAAGGAAGAGTTAAAGTTAAAAGGCAAGCCTGGGGCGCGCTGCTACGATGGCCCCCATCGGCCTGGGCTGACCCGCGGAGTGTCGGTGGGTCCTAGGGTTCAACGATGATGACGGCAACCAAATTTTCTCTCAGAATCTGGCATCTGGATCCGGATGGAAAGATTGAAGAAGAAGCTGAGAAGAAACTTAGTATTTGGTATGGAGACTCCGGATGGAGTACGGAGTAATTGAGGGTAGAAGGCGAGACCGAGGACACGCTGTGGCGGGGAGGAGATCAGGCCATGCGAGGCGAAGGCGAAAGATGAGTGCGAGGTACTGTACCTCCGGATACTCGTAGGTATCTTTGATCAGAGGCTGCAGTGGACGAGTAGAGCATCTGGGCAGCAAAGAGAGTGTCACGCGTATGGCCGGAAAAAGCGACCAGAACCTGAAAAGCCACGACTAGCGGATGGCAATGCCGAACCAGCGCTAGAAAGAACCTTGGAACTCAGGCTCTGAAACATGAGACCCTATCGCATTGTCCAGCCTCCTGATTTCGGGCTGGAACATGAACTGTCCGGGTGTCTACATTGATTTATTGGCGCCTATGGAGGTCACACGAGACTGAGGGCTACGAGGGCAATCGGGACGAGTGACTTTGGGAAGAGGGAACAGCTGGAAAGTCTTGGAGTAAACACCTGACAAGCATGGCAAAGCTTTTCATGAGTGGATCGAAAGGTCGCTTGGATCTTGACTGCATTTGAAATGTGACCCCCAGCGGCAAGACTACGGTTGATTATCCAGCGGCTGACAATCATTGCCAGTGCCAGTGACTCTTCCCCCCCGCATCAAGGTGTCATTGCCAAGCAGCGGTGTTGGTTTCGTGGCGGTTTTTAGGCTCGGAGCTATACCTAGCTGGTGGTTGATTGATGATCGATCTATCAAAACAGCAGATTCCAGCCTCAGTCCGCAACAAGAACACCTGAGCATTGATCGTGAAGTACCAAGGACGAATACAAGTCTTGTCTTGGGGTCGGGCTGTGATTGCATCGGTTGACATGTCTTGATTGAGGGGCCTGTGTAGCACATACCTGAACTAGGTAGGTAGGTAGGTAGGTAGATCTACGAGTAAGTACCTAGGTCGGTACCTAGGTAACCGCTGGCATGACAATGATCAGTGGTGGAACCCAACCAGGCCCTTTCACCACTGCATCCAGCAGCCAGCATCCATTTCAGTATTTGCTCCGTGCCCTGGTGCTCACTGTCCATGATTGACGGGGTCGAGGGTCACATGCGAAATCAAGGTTGCAGCCAACTCCACCATCGCGGGCGGCCAGGAATCCCAACCGGGACAAGGGCCCTTGACTGTAAGGGTGCTAGCTTCGTGTCCTTGTCGGCATTCCATTCCACTGCCATCCCATCGACGAGGCTACCGAGTACCTCGTACCGTTGCGGAGTCTCCACTGTCCCATGTATCATCTCCAGCAGTTCAGTCTTCTCCATCAATCGAATTTTTCAAAAACAGAATCCCTTCATCACCACCTCACTAGCGCTCGCTACTCCACATCACCGGTTGTCCCCATGTCATCATTGGTTGCCCAAACCATGCCTTTGTACGAGTGGTGCTACGAGTACAACGCCAGTGCAGTAGTCGTAGTCATGGCCATCTTGCGCGCTCTGTGAACCTCACGACCACGACCAACATGATCGCCTCTGGCTCTTCGAGGCAGTCGCGCCTGTAGTGGCCTCGTAAACTCAAAGTCACATTGACCCTCACACTCACGCTCAGATTCCTGCCATATAAGCTTCCCTCCCTCCCCATCACTATCCAACCCTTTCTTTCCTTTCTCCCATTACCCTGTTACTTTTGGTATTCCCCATCCCTTCGCCTTCGCGTGGCACATCATCTATCCCAGCCATGGCTACCAAGGAAACCACCCCCCGCGCTTCTCGCAGCAACTCGGTTGCCCTCCGCACCACGGAAGATGTCAACGCCATCGAAGCCCCAGTCACCTGGAAGGCCTATCTCATCTGTGCTTTCGCTTCCTTCGGTGGTATCTTCTTCGGATACGACTCCGGTTACATCAACGGTGTCAATGGCTCCTCCATCTTCATCCATGCCGTGGAGGGCCCGGACGCAACAAAATTGTCCTCCTCTCACCAGTCTCTCATCGTCTCCATCCTCTCCGCCGGTACTTTCTTCGGTGCCATCATCGCCGGTGACCTCGCAGACATGTTCGGTCGCAAATGGATCATCATCATGGGTTGCATTATATACACCATCGGTGTGGTCATTCAGATGATCACTGGCATTGGTGATGCTCTTGGTGTCATCGTCGCTGGTCGTCTCATTGCCGGTCTCGGTGTCGGCTTTGAGTCTGCAATCGTCATTCTGTACATGAGCGAAATCGTAAGTCTGACAAGTGCCTCAATTCCGACCTCCAACTAACATGATCTCTAGTGCCCACGAAAGGTTCGAGGTGCCCTCGTTGCCGGTTACCAATTCTGCATCACCATCGGTATCATGTTGGCTTCCATCGTCGTCTACGCCACCGAGAAGCGATCAGACACTGGAGCTTACAGAATCCCCATTGCCATCCAATTCGCCTGGGCCATCATCCTCGGCGGTGGTCTTCTCTTCCTCCCAGACTCTCCCCGATACTTTGTCAAGAAGGGTAGACTTGAAGATGCGACCATTGCTCTCTCCAAGCTCCGTGGACAACCACGCGAGTCCGAGTACATCCAAGTCGAGTTGTCCGAAATTGTTGCCAATGAAGAGTACGAGCGCGCGTTGATCCCCGATGCTGGTTGGCTCCAGAGCTGGATGAACTGCTTCAAGGGCGGCCTCTGGAATGGAAAGTCCAATCTGCGCCGCACCATTCTTGGTACCTCGCTTCAGATGATGCAACAGTGGACCGGTGTCAACTTTATCTTCTACTACTCCACACCTTTCCTGCAATCCACTGGCGCCATCAGCAACACCTTCTTGATCTCCCTCATCTTCACCTTGGTCAACGTCTGCTCCACTCCCATCTCTTTCTACACCGTCGAGAAATGGGGTCGTCGCACCATCCTTCTCTGGGGTGCTCTCGGCATGTTGATCTGCCAGTTCCTTGTCGCCATCATCGGTGTCACCGTCGGGTTCAACCACACTCACCCAGATCCGGATGATGCCACCAAGAGTCTGGCCAACAACATTTCCGCCGTCAATGCTCAAATTGCCTTTATTGCAATCTTCATCTTCTTCTTCGCTTCTACCTGGGGTCCTGGTGCCTGGATTGTTATCGGCGAGATCTTCCCTCTTCCAATCCGTTCTCGCGGTGTTGGTCTCTCCACTGCGTCCAACTGGTTGTGGAACACCATTATTGCTGTCATCACTCCATACATGGTCGGAGAAGAGCATGGAAACTTGAAGTCGTCCGTCTTCTTCATCTGGGGCGGTCTTTGCACTGCTGCATTCGTCTACACTTACTTCCTCGTCCCTGAGACCAAGGGTCTGACTCTGGAACAAGTTGACAAGATGTTCGAGGAGACCACTCCGCGTACCTCTGCCAAGTGGAAGCCAACCAAGACTTTTGCCTCCACCCTTGCCAGAGATGGTATCTTGGAGAAGGAAATCATTGAGGCTACTGAGCGACGTGGATCTGCTTTTTAAATGGCTGATACTGCACAATCGTCACGGCTTGTTGAAACTGCATCTGGCGGATGTGAAGATGCTTGGACCGCAGCTCAATTAAGGAGTTGAGTTTATGGCTTATCTCGCTCGCTCAATCCTGACAAAGGAAACCGTGTGATGCGATACCAAAGTTGGACTACTGAACACAACGCATAATAATCATTGCAAAGTTGCATTTCTATAGGCTAGTAGTAGTCAATAAGATCTTGCATCTCTTACAATTCTTCTTTTGTTTTCTTACAATGTGACTAATGACCGTCCGGACTCTCTGTTGGACTTGATTACACTCCTCGTCTCAAAGCAATATTGTATAAAGTAGAACAGTCTCCGCGTTAATTATTACCACGTCAACATGCCCTCGACGCATGGTGTTTTAACATGATATCTCATATCTTAAAGAAGAACAGCTTCGGCATAAAGATAAAGTGCACAACATACCAACTAAGACCGACCAACAGCATCCTGCACGTTTATCAGACACTCCTATCCTCAAGAGTTTCGCTGTGCCGTAGAGACTGGCTGGTCCCTACTCGGAGGTATGAATCAACACCCCGCATTCTCCAAGAAAACTCAAGCATTCCAAGATTCTTGGGCGGGGAGGGGCCAAGGGGGATACTACGAGTAACTTACGAGTAGGTATCACATGCGACCCAAAAACCCAACTTAACTCGACCCCACCGAGACCAGGGTCCTATCGGGGTTGCGTGGTGTGCTGTGCCAGTGCCAGCAGTACCTTCTAGTACGTTTATGTTAGGTTAGGATAGTGATCGACTACGGCACTGACTGCAGCACCTGCAGGCAGCAGCATGCCAACGCTTCCCTGGTTGCCTTCCATGCATGATGGGTATGATATGATCCTCCGCGCTACATCGAGGCGAGTAACTTGGTCACAACGGAACGAAACATCAGTCAATCAGGCCATCGATGCATTCCACAGTCCACATCCATGCCTAAACTCCGGAGTACATAGTTAAGCGGGAAGGTGTCTAAGTAGACCTGTCTCGTTGACTAGCATAGTATGTTAATGGTAGTGGTTGATTGATTGATTGATTGATTGACTCGAGCGACGATGAATAATGAATGACGAGAACCATTATCATCATCGTGGTGACCTTGCTGCCGCACTGCACTGCACTGCACTGGCCCTCTTGAGGTTCAAGTTGACGTGGAGGGGTGGTGTGCATTCGGCATGGATACTACCTACCAGGCACCAAACCACTCGTAGGTACCAACCTAGGTAGATGACACTACTCTATCCTGCCCTACGAGTACGCTAGCCTTCAGCGTCTCGCCCAGACCAGATACATTTGGTACGAAAAGGTATCTACCTTCCGAGGTACTTAGCTACTAAAGTACTAAAGTGCCTATTCCGACTCAACTGGGTATGGACCACAGCCATACCATACACATACGAGGTACAGTCCAGAGGTGAATGTCAACCCCAGCGGACTTTAGGTTTCATCAGGCTGTGAAGTATCCGCAGGGAGGTCCACATTGATCTTCAAACCAAACCAAGTATTCTCCCCCAAGTTTCTGTGAACTAACTAACTAGATGGTGGACTTCTAGAAGGATTCACCGTCCCGTTCGTTGCAGTACTGGCGCCGCAGTAGCGTCCTTGCCGGCATCGAAGCTTTTGGATGGGTGGAAGGGCGGAGGGGAAGTCATTGGGTGGTTGCGTACTCGCTTGTTGCAGGCTGGCGGGGAGGGTGGCCTGGATGCGAAGGGAAGGGGAGAGGCGGACTGGAATATTACGGCGGTCAGGATTAGGATACTAGTAAGAATACCTCCCTGAGGCTTATCTATCTGCATGCCGTACGGAGTTTTGGCGTGGCTCTCCGCGGGGCAATAGTAAGGGAGGTGGTCGTGTCTATTGATCTACATTTTTACACTAACTAGGTACGATGTACAGTCCCCAAGGCGTCGCAGTCTGAAGTTAGGTAGGTACTGATCAAGTCATTTACATGTTCAGGTAACTATGTGGGTAAAACACGAACAATGAATGCTATGTAAATACGGATATCGGCAAAATTCTTTCTTCCAAGTTCCCCCACAAGCGATCTCCTCCTCAAGAGATACTGGTGATGCCATAGTGGGGCACTCTCCAAAGGGGTGATCAACTTGCAACCCCAAGAATGCTCAGTCAGGGTTCCGAGTCAGTTGGCTGGCTGCTTGTCTGCTTCTGACGCTGACCGACTGCATTCGCTTGCCTAATCCTCGGGTCATGGCCGGACACAGCACGGAGAAGTTGGCCTTGACAGAGTGCTTGTAGGCGGTGTCAGACTCTAGATTGCGTGCATGCATGATGTGACGGATAATTAAGCTTTGGTGGCTTTCGATTCATTGCTTGCTAGGATGGCTTGATTGATGGATACCCGTGCTTGTTATCTCGAATATCCGTGCTAACAGGTGCAATGACCTTATTTGTCTGAGATGCATCCGAACCTGCTCCGTGCGCGTTGGCTTCGCAACTGATGTCTGTGCGGGCAATTGGTTCGTGCACTTACGTCAACTATCATTCCACTTCCGAGATGAGGAGAGAAGGTTCTGAATGCCAATGCTTTGCTGTGGTGTTCTGAACTGTCAGCCTCATCATGTCCTCACGTCTGGTCTAGCTCAGGTGTTGTTGAGATGGTCCGAAGAGGTGCGCCTCAGGTGCAGAAAGAGCAGTAAAGACCAGGTAAGGTGACTTGAAAGTCCTACATGGAAGAAAAGTCGCTCCAGAAGTCATTTAGAATTCGTCAATCATAAAATCTGGACTTCGATGTATCGTCCAATAACTAAAAACCCCAGACATCCCATTCAGCCCCTTGAGCTGTAACTCGGAATCCATTCACTGAGATCTCCGAGTGGCAACCGAATAGGAAAGTCGACCGATACAAGAAGCAGAGCCGACAGTAAGTACCAGCCAGCCATATCCGCCATAAAGGTGGAAGCACCTGCGATGTACAATATCCTGGATGCTGCAGTATCCCCTTCAGCCGTCAAAAAGAAGGTGGCAGTCAAGAAGATGAAGCCACCAAACAAGCCCGTGAAAATGATGACGAAGACAATATTTGTCCGCAGCGAGCAGATCAGGTAGATGAAACACAACACCGCCATGAATAGCATGAAGAAGCCGAAACTCGCATTGAAGCCCTTGGTTGCAAGTCCCGCAGTGATGTCGGTCGGGTCCGGCGAATATGCGCCGAATGCATTGAAGAACGGGAGCAATGTTGCGCCATAAGAGAACCAGAATCCGCCAAACGAGGCAAACACCACGAATGGAAATGTGTTGCCAGCTACCCATTCCAGGAACCCACCAAGGAGCATCAGTACGCCGCCGATGAAGAAGTAAGCTCCGCTGTACGGCAAAACAATGAGGTCAGTATGTAGCACTGAAACACAATCGATCGTTGATCAGAGGGACCCACATTGAAGCAGCTCCATTTCCACCAGCTCCTCTCCAGCCCATCAGATCACAGGAAAGTGGGCTGAGCGCCAGAAGAAATCCCACAATGGCAATGGGAGTCGGATTACCGAATTGTCGATGGATGCCCTTGCCAGCAGCAAGCTCCTGAGACTTCAAAAACATTCTGTCAAACATATCCGCGGGGATCGACACCATCCCCGCATCTTGAAAGGGCGGTGGTGACGCGAAGGCCTGTGGGTGGTGTGGTGGTGGTGTTGGTTGCGGCGGAGTTGGTGGGAGTGGTTGATTAAGCCCATTTGCACCGTATTTCTCGTCCATGTAGAAACTCTCATACCTCTGAGCTGGTGGCATTGGTGGTTTGTAGTAGTTTGATCGCGATCGCTGGATCGGACCTGTGATTTCGTAGACTGTGGCCGACATCGTAGCTATCCGTTATCCTGTGGAGAAGAAATTATTCTGAGGATTGTTCGTCGCACGACGTAAAAAAGATTACACGATCACTTTGACGGACGAGCCTTGCGAGGGGTATAAACAACGTGCTCGATAGATTAGTTTGAGAACAAGAAGAAGAGAAAACACCCAAAGTTTTTAGCGAAACATCCACATCGACATTCTAAGACATTGATTTTGAACAGAATCTCGTATGTAAGGACAACCGGCTGTCTCAGGGGAAGGGCTGAAGCGAGCGGCAATCAATGGTTCAATCGACGCCAGAAATTGTCCCTATGCGGGATCTGTAACACCTACCGCCCCAGATAACACGAGCGACCAAGTCAATGGGCATGAAAAGCTCGCATCGACAACGGAGTACGGATAGGTAGTTAGCCTACCACATTGGCGGATAGCCGTTGTCTCAAAAACCCAGTCGGGCACGCGAAACTGTCAAGACTTCTTGGAAGTGTCATGGGGTTGACCTCCGTGCTCCGTGTACTTACACTTCCCCAGATTCTATAGCGTGAGCCTTTGTATCGCTTCTCTGCTTGATGAAACGACTCCGAGGTCCATGGCGCGAGGTTGGCATCGTTGGCGCGACATTGAGAGTCTCAAGAGTCTCGCGCAGCCTTGGCAGGGGGCGATCTTGGGCTAAGCGGTCGAATGGGATAGGGCCAAGATCATTTTATTGGAGTCTTTGACTCAGATGTTGAGTCGAGACCATCCAGATATCGTACTTGGTATCCGTACTCGAGTGAGGTTTCAACAACGATGTGATAGTGTCTTTTATTCGACGTATGCATTTGATGGTTAGAAGCGGTACTGGACGCCGGAGAACGGAGAAACAAACCGCCGCAAGAAGTACTGATAGTTGACACGTCAATGAGTATCCGTTGTCGATTCTACTTTCACTCCTACTTTTACCGAGTACCTCGTAGCTGCACAGGTAGGTACTACTACACTGCCATTTGTCATCCACGTCTTTGATCATCGTGCCAAAATTCGATGGTAACTCGATCAGAGGCTCGTTTGAGTGCCCTAGTCGGTTGTTGAACCCCCTACGAAACATCCACTTGTTTTTCATGTGACCTTCTGCAGCGTATGCATCTGTACTCAGAGCTAAGCTATATCAGGTCTCATGGTCAACGAGACTGTAATATTGTGGCCGGACTTCCGAAGTTCAACTGTCAGAACATTGATGGATGTCGCAACCAGGATCTCTCGATATGTCTACTTTTATCTCCAATACAGTCGCCGGAATGTCTTAAGAACCATCCCATGCAAGCCCTTCAATGAGACTCGAGAGTAACAACGACAAGGGCTTTCTGATGTCGTCCTCATTACCGTATGAAAAGGGTGTTCATGGTACGAGAATGCCTTGCTGCGAGGCAAGCCGGTATTGGGCGCAGCCATCTGCTTCTTCTGGCTAGCAGAGACTGATGTCCAAAAGTCTTTCCACGGGCTCGTTAAGTCTCTACTTTACGACGTAGTCTCTCAAGCCCCATTCATGGTACCAGTAATTTCCCCATGGAGATGGAGGCAGTGTGACTTGACCGACTCAAAAGACCTACTAGTTCGGACAACAACCGAATTTATGGGAGCTTTTGACGCCTTCCTTAATAATAGCTCCGGCTCTTGCAACGTTACTTTCTTTGTGGACGGTTTGGATGGATTTCAAGGGACCTTTCGAGAACAAAGTGCTCTCATCGCCTTTTTGAGAATGATTTCGACTCATAAAAATACCAGGGTATGCGCCGCAAGTCGTCCTTGGCCCGTTTTTTGGGGGCCCATGTTTACAACTTGAGAGACTTACGCATCACGACATTTCGTGCTTTGTGCATGATAAATTGAATGAGAACCCCGAAGTCCGATGTCTAAAGTCGTTTGACTGGGAGGCTTGCTCCGCGCTATCTGATGAAGTTGTCGACAAAGCACAAGGGGTTTTTCTCTGGGTTCACTTGGTTGTTCTTTCACTCGTGCAGGGTTTGGTTGAAGGGGATACAACCACAGAGTTGGTCGCTCGGCTTCGCGAAATACCGGAAGATCTCGAGGAATCTTTCATGAGCATCGGGATGGGAATTGAAAAGAAGCACCGCGCAGAGGCATTTTTACCTTTCAACATTGCGCAGACCATGCCGTCTTCAGATGTACTGTCTTTATCTTTCCTGGCTGATGCCTTCCAAGATTCCAGTGCCTGGAACATGTCTAATGGACAAGAGTTCGGAAATGAAGTGTGGGCCGTAGCTCGTCACCAAGTCGAACAGACGACCCGACGAAGTAATACCAAGTGTAAAGGATTGCTGGAGGTCCACTCGCACAGCGATGGCGGTCTCGAACCGTGGATGAGACCTTTTGCAGTTGATTTTCTACATCGCACTGTGAAGGACTTTCTAGCTTCCAGAGCAATGCCGGATATATTGGACGCATACTCTCCTCCTCAATTTGACGCCTGGACTTTGCTATCTCAAGCAACATTTGCTCAGCTCAAGATGATCGATTGTGTACACGGCAGTTTCAATGCACTTGTTAACATGTTTTTACAGCATCTCAGAAGCTTCGAGGTCGCCACGGGCAAAACTAGTGTCAGTCTGATTGATTATTTCGTTCTCTATGTCAATCCGTGTTTTTGTGACCAGAACAAGCAGGCTGGAAAGTATGACTTCAGCAGCTCCACAATATTGATGGGAATTAAATCTTGACCGGAAAAATATGCTTGCGAGAAGATAAGTACCAGAGTCTTCGATGTCGTTGATATATCCTTCGACCATTCATGGTCCCGCATATTTGGAAGTGAGTTTTCATCAACGAAAAACCACGACCCTTTGATCTTCCATGCTGTCAGACCAGTACCAATGCCCACCGTGATCGCGGCGTTACTGAAAAGAAATCCCTCCATCCAAAACGCCAAAACGCCATCATCAGTACTGCTTGGATATTATTGCTAGAGGTAGCAGTAGCCACCAAGAGCAAAGCATGTCTGGATAGTCATAGGACTGCAGTGGAGCTTTTCATCGAACACGGCTTGGCGTGTGACCACAGCTTCGAACTTCCATGGTGTGATCCCACAATACTCACCGTCCAATCTAGGGGAACCGCGGAGAACCGCTTGTCAGCATATTCAAACAGCTTCGAGACCAGAGCACCGAGAGAGTATCAAGAGTTCGAGTATACGGTTCGAACCTGTACCTGGTTGAGATAGAAATCTGCAAAGAATTCAGAGTATGTCCTCATGATTAAGAGACTATTTCCTGGGTTTTCAGACTTGAAGGTGGCTCAACTTGTCGACAGCAGAAAAAGGTGATGTACGTGTGTTTGTCGATTAGAGAACACTGGTAGCCTGAGTTCAATGCAATCGAGTGGGAAATGAAATGCATCAGATGTGCCCGAGGAGCTACTCATGCTGTGAGGAAGTTCGTCTGTATCGGACCGTCTCAAGGAAGGCCGGCACTCTGTTGGTTGAAAGTACCAACTTTTATTCCAATGTTTGACTATTGTACAGACTTCAGATCTTGTGAATGCTTTTTCCCGGTTCCAGATCTGAGCCATCTGGATATGTTAAAGCTCCACTGCCAACGAGGAATTTGGGCAAGTGATACACCCAAGGACCGTTGAGAAAGTTCTCAAACACAGCTCTCTTCTGCCTTGCGGCTACTGGGTAGGCTTAAGAATTCCTCGGCGGAGTATATTGTGTTATCCTGCCGACTGGTTCCCGAATCAGTCGTGATGCTTGTCACATCAATCGAGCCTTTGTCTACCCGCTAGAGAATTGTTAGCGAGCTGTCCCGCAATTCAAGAAACACGTCTTATCACCTTAAGATGTTGTTTGTGAGTATTCAGCCCAATATCTTGGGAAGCAGCGGTCCCAGCCCCTGAGGAAAAGGGTCCACTCAGCATGTTGGGTACCCTGCGCCTCTTTGTTCTATCTGAGGCATTGGGACTAGCAGCACTTCCGAGAACCTTTGGGAAGTGTTTCCGAAGGAATGGCTTTCCAGCTGGGAGACAGGCACAAATAATGGCGAGATGCACCTCCACTGTCCTGAGCATTTCTTGTGTCAACAGATCTCACCAATCGATGTAAGGAGATCATGGCGCTTACCACCAGACTGCTAGAATTGCGATGTCCCAGGTAATGTCTGTTTGGCCTTCCATTCCAATAGCCAACTTTGCTTTCACGACACTGACGATCAAAGTGCTGGGGCGTTTGTTAGTGCAGATCTCAGTTGCATGATGGACCGGAGTCTGAAACATACAAGCCTCCGGTCATCAAGATAAGGATAACCCCGAGTTTTTGCTTTTTCGGTAGCTGAAGATCTTTCAAAATGAAAATTGGCATGAACAGAAGGATAACATCTGTGAGGATATTCATTACACTTCCAAAGATTGCAATCTTAAGCCAATCGATACACGTCCCTGGGGTGAGATGATCCCAGTTTCTCCCAATGGGTCGGCATACGTATAGCCAGTCGAACGATGAAACCAGAATGTATGAAATAACAATGGCCATGAGAATGAAAATACTAATTCTAAGTTTGCCACGAGGCACAAACCGAAGAAATAGAGTAAGAACCGAGAGCTTGGTGAGCATGATCGAGAGACCGTACAGCGACTTGCAGACTGCAGTAAACTTGGAGCTGTCAGCTGCACCATTTCGAGACTTCTAGAGTGATTGTGGCAAGCCGGCTCGATACCTTTGCAACACCTGGATTAAATGTGCTAAATGGGACATCCCACAAGTGCCGACCCACTCCAAATTCGGTGGCTGGAGCAGTTCAGTCAGTCCTCTGTTTGCCAGATATCAAAAAGACAACTCACTAATGCATGCACACACCGAGAAGGCTAAAGCGAAGCACTAAATGTGTGATGATTGATAAGTGAGACTGGCCCAGGAGTTTTGGATCGAGCATACCCAAGCAATCACCAGCATATCTGATAACGTTAGTCAACGCTCTAGCGGAAGAGAACACCGACACTCTTACAATCATCTGGCCTTCTCTGGCGTGTTATGAAACCAGCAGTATAACATCGCAGTACGACGAATATTAAGGAGAGAACTGAGCAGACAACACTGGTTACAATAACAATATGCGCTTTCGACAGCGGATTGACAAAATTGGGTGTAATCCCAGGAGGAGGAGGAGCTGAGCCGACAACTTGCTGTCGCAGAGCGAGCATCATGCAATGGAAAGAATGGACTGCCGTTCACTGCAGCTGCATTGGTATTGCATCGTCAAAACTGCTACTGCCAGCGATATCCATCATTGCATAGAAGCTTGCCCGATGGGACTGAGAGCCTTTTACACAGCACATAGAACATTGCCAAGGCATAAAGCCCACTCGTCATGGCGAGATCCCAGTCGGTGTCCATGGTTCAAAGTCTTCAAGTCCGTGCATATCGACCGAACCACCAGTTCTGGCGCAATCTGCAGTGTTTTACGGGCTCAGGAGTTCTCCGCTCTGCGCATTGGCTGCTGGAAAAACCTTTCCCTTCGGCATTCAAATATTGGGAGATTCGCGTGGTCATGATCTGTAGAGAGATTTCATCACAAACATGTGGCACAGACACAGCGCCGCCCGAGGACTATTTTCTTGGCCTCGTATGACAGGGAAAACCCTAAAGCGCAGAGGGACGCGCTTAAGAATCACCCAGACATACAAAATCCAAGAGGAGGGATCTGATTTATATTATTGTGGGGGGGCCAAATCGCTAGCAGATCTCCTCGGTGAGTGTTGTTTGGATAGGGTTGGTAGATGTTCAACTCGAAATTTGGGTGTATTCAGTCTGGACCGTTCACAGGCGTACATGTCCTCTGATTGGTAAGGAAATTGAAGATCGATACCGTTCTGACTTTGCTATGACAAAATGCGTCTCGATTTGATGGACAGACGTGCAATCCCGTCTTGGGAGGGTACTGTTTTGCACCATGAGGATTCCTGAGGAAGGGCTCTCATCTCAAGTCATCGATCTCATCCGAATCTGGTTGCCATTTCTGAGCTGAAGAGGTTGTTCGTGAATAAGTGTGAAGTTTAATCCCGATTTCTTATCCCCGCACTTGGAACGTCAACATCGTGCCTTGTGGGATACGAGGTACCGAATTGATCTGCAGCAACCCGACGCCCCGGATCACCGTCTCTCAAAGACCAGGTTGCGTCTATGCTTTCGGGCCAAGCCCTTTGCCACCAAACTAGCGATGTGCACGGGGAAGTTGGTTCGAAACAGCTAGTGGAGGACTACACTGGTGATGTCTTTGAGTCTTACTTCGTAGTTAGCAACAATAAGTCAATTTCCCGTGATAGCCTTCTCTAGCTCTTGGCCATAGAGTTCTACCAGAGTGGAGCTGCACTTAATATTAGTCAACCAGAGGCCGATGGGTGTTATTGTCACAAAATAATGGACAGGGATGCTTTGATCGGAATTATTGTTCTGTTGCCAAAAGAGAAGAAAAAATTGGTGAATACCTACTACGCCAAATTCCATCACCCTAGCATTTCTCCCGGCATGTCCAACAAACTTATTGTCCAAACATAACACTCTTCGGCAATAGCGGAGGCATAACTTTCCAAGAGTCAATTACCGGATCGTTATCATAGACCTGAGCCCCCCATATTCAGCCCTTCGCTCTCTCCCACCAAGCAGCGAAGTTGGCAGGGACGAGGTTGTCCCTATCACCCCGATCTCCTTACCAAAGTCGTACGTCCAAGGCACGGTGCAAGACAGATTGTCAAGCTTCGGCGTAGGCTCGTCGAGGACTTTCCCCAGAATCATACGCTGTGATTCCTGCGTCACGCCCGTGAGAAAGTGGTCCGCGTTACGGAAGATCAAACTCTGGCTGTTGGCCAGGTTCTTCTCTCGGAGCGGGATGATGTATCCATGCAGAGCGTCCATGTAAATGTCCATTTCTGTTGCAGTGCTGGAGCCTCCCGTCTGATCACGCTAGATCGCGGCGGCGAGCGCGGCGTTCATGACCTCGAGCGTCGCGCTGTTGTGCTCGGGCGTGCTGATGTCAATGTCCCGGTACCATCCTCGCGTCGGATCAGAATTCTGGTAGTCGAGATCGTCTTTACGATCCAGGTATCTATCGCCAACAATCGGCATCCCATTCGAGACGGTGAACGGTAGAAGTGGGTCGCCGCGCCGGTCAAGAATCGGAGCAGGTTTAGATGTCGCGGGGGCCACCGGGGCTGCCGGGGCTGCCGGAGTGCTGGGAGATGTAGATGTCGTTGACTCACCCCGAGTCCTTCGCTCCCAAGTGACCCCGAGGTCGAGGGGCTCGATGGTGCGCTGGGGTCCATACTCATCATCAAAGCTGGATCCGTGTCGGACGAGTCGCTGCTCATCAAGGGATTTACGCCTTTCGCTTCCTCTGAACAGGCCAAATTACCAAGTTTTGTGGCTCTGAGCCATTGCTGGGGTCCTCATGGTTTGTCCCTCAATTGCAAAACTACTGTTGCCACGTTTGCGGAACGGGAGTCACATGTCCAAAATCTGTCGCTACCTTAAAACTTCCGGGACGCGATCCAAATTGCTCGAAGATTCGATGGGCGATATCTGTGGATCGATTCATTGTGCATCTTACAGGACTCAACCGCTGATTGGAAAGACGAAGCATCCAAAATGGGTGCGATATACGCACGATCCGTATTGACAATCGCTGCTGGGTGCGGTTTGATGGCGTCGTTATCTGTACTGACTCAGAGGAAAGAGATGATTTTTGAGCACTAGACGTGATGGCGAATAGCTCGTACATATTCAAACCATGGCAAACTATGAAGGTCCTTGATCTGGGCTGCCTAGGTACCCGATGCGTGTATGTAGGAATTTCAGGTGCCAATTGCTTGGCTTCCAAGGGTTTGATGAAGCTGAAGCGCTCCCAGTTTCATCAAAAATATCGCAATGTTATAATAGGGTCAAGCCTTCTTAATGAGGCTAAGTGCCCGGCTAGCTTGGGTTAGATTCGCCTACAGGCGGCCTGACACCATTTCGGCTAGTTCCTCGGCCCCCGGTTCAAACACGTTCTTCCCCACAGAACAACCGACTTCACCGTTCCTCTTCATCACAATCATCATCGAGCCTAGCCCCGATGGTGGAAAACGCTAGAAGAGCCGTCTGATCTGACATCGCTTAGCAACTCAACACATCAGGACCATGTCGGATCACGGAAGTGAGGAGGACTTGTCGCTGGCTGGCGAGCCTGACAGCAAAAGCTTGTCTCGACGGCAGAAGATGAGTGCAGCTCGACTTGAACGAAGACGAGCCGTGGACCGCGAATCTCAAAGAGCGACTCGGGCTCGGACCAAGGCATATATCGCGAACTTGGAACAGACCATCTCTGCTCTGGAGAAGAACAGCAACAATGAGCAGACGGCAACTCTGATGAAACAAATCCAGCAGAAACAAGCTGAGATTGACCGATTGAACGCTCTGGTCTCCAGTGTTCAAAAACTGTTATCGCCATCATCTGCTGGTAACCTCGAAAGTTGTGAGTGGATGCCTCACTTCAAGCAAAGATTTCATCCTCAGTTGGACGAGGTACTAATTATGTGCTTAGCGACCGACTCTCAGGCTGATGAAGTCTCAACTACAGCCTCGGAACATTTCGGTCCGCCAAGTAATGGGACGCAGTTGCCTCAGACGTCGGCACCACAAGCAGCGTCTGTGGAAGCGACGTCCCGCAAAACTACCTCGCTGACAGCGTTTGATAACTCTCTACACTGCAGATACGGCAGTAGGAACTATCTGGGGGCTCTCAATACGTCCATTGAGTTCGTGCAGGGGCATTCACGCTCATTCACATGTCCCACTTTGACCCAATCTGTGGATGATGATATTGCAATTCGAGCAGTCTTTCACGGCTGGGAGGCAGTTGAGGACAAGTACGATCTTGACCTTGGTTGGCAAATGTTGAAAGCACTGGACAAGGGCCTTTACAACCGGTCGGAGCCCATTGTTAGGCTCGCACACATCAGACTTGTAAGAGACACATTGATTCATAAGACCTATGGCCAACTACCGACTCGGCGTCCACTGCCAGGATACATGACCCCGACCGACACTCAGAAAACTATTGGTCATGCGGCTATAGCCGATTATTTTGCCTGGCCACAAGTTCGAGACTATCTGATTCTCACCAAGACCACTGTAAGTAATGAAAGAAGATCAGCTTGGTTCGCGACCAACCTACGTTTTGACTGGCATTACGAACTCAGAGACGTGTGCAGGAAGCACAAGGAAACAGGGACATACGCCTATTCGGAACTCTTTGACCGAAGTTTTGAAAGCTTATTGAACTGGTCTGTCGCACCAGAGTTCTATACCGATGCCTCAACGTCACCCTACCTGCCGGCCCGTAGAATTCCGATATCGGTTGATGGACTTCGGCTCTCTCGTCAACCAACCTCATCGCATGTCATCGAATGGCCCGAAGGACAACAGGATGACGAGGAAGCCGCACTGACGCCGTTGCCGCCAATTCCGACGTCAGCACCACTAGGCACTAATCTCAAGAGCACATCACAAGTCATTCAGGCCTCAGACCCTTTTTACGCCCGACTTGCGGATTGGCCAGAGATGAACTACATTACCTCCTCAGAATTCGGCTGGACTGGTTGAAGATACATCTCGAGCTAGCTTTTTGCCTTCCTTGTTAGTCTCAATGCATGTTGTGCTATCAAATCACGAAAAATGACAACCTCTGTGGGAAGATTGAGCACCGGGACCAGCTCCAATGGCTTCCATGAAGCGATTTGCGATTGTTTTACAGTCATCTCTATATCTTCATGCACCGCTGAGAATACGGATATTCCAAAAGAACCGATTACTATTCATCGACCGAGCACCTTTTTCAATACATCTCCAAGCTTTCGTTCAGCATTTGAAGGCATACCCCACGAACGCCAAGCAACGAAGCCATCGGGACGGACCAGTACTGCTCCCTTTGGTGAAATACCGGCAGCATATTCCCATTGACCGTCAGGCGCTACCAGCTTACTCTCGCGACCAACTACATATGCATCAAGTTCAACCTTCAACAGTGTTGCCACAGATGAAACAGCGTGGCACCACTCTTTGCCCTGTGTTCCGGCCATAATGACAAAATTTTTGGTGAATAAATCGAGGGTTGATATACGGAGTCCATTGCGCTGGACCCAAATGTGCGGAGCCCGAGACCCGGCGTTTCCGCAAAGCCCAAGAGCCCACGCTGGACTAGGGAGGAGGCCAGCAATCTTATGGAGAATAGGCGTGGTATCGTCTTCATCAATTGCTCGAGATGAATAAACATAACCATAACCCGCAATTCGTGGGAGTCTGCGAATGAGTGCCAGTATCGAGGGGATACTCTTCTTCAATGAGATTAGGCCATCCTCGCGAGATGCTGCCCCGGATTCATCTGAGACGAGACGTCCAATGGGAAGACGCTCGGCGTCATAGGTCTCCAAAAGGGTGGGGGCTGCTTGTTCATGCAGCACAGCTGCCAACTTCCAGGCCAGGTTGTGGACGTCTGCAATACCAGTCGTCGCACCTTGACCACCCCAGGGTGGCATCTGGTGAGCGGCGTCTCCAGCAAGAAACACCCGCCCATGCTGAAATGCTTCCGCAACTCGGACAGTGGGTTCCCAAGGCAAAATACTCTCGATCTCAATTTCGATATCCGATAGTCCGAGAGCCAGTTTCAGTAACTTCTCACAATGCTCCGGAGAAAAATCCTCGACTTTATTCTTTCGCGGATCATATGAAAGATGAAATATCCACCGATCATGGTTGTTTATAGAGGTGAACAAGCCTTTGACTGCAGGTTGGTCGACAAGGCACATACTGAATTTTCTTCCACGGACAAGCTCACTCAAGTCTGCATGGAATAGGACACTGAGGAGATGCCCAAGTGTCCCCGCGCCGGTGGTCTGCACACCAAGAATCCGCCGAATCGGACTATTTGCGCCATCTGCTGCAATCAAATATTTTGCATTGACAGTTGTCATAGAACCAGTGTTGCGGTCGCTTAGGGTTGCGGTGACCCCGTCTGAACCCTGATCAAAACCGATGCACTCCGTGCTGAACTGGACCGCGCCCCCTCGGTCACGGACCGCGGAGAGTAACACAGGCTCAATCATATCTTGCGTCCCACGGGCACCCTCGACCGGACCGAGATAGCTGAAATATGCCGCACCAGGAAGGAGGGGTGTACCCTTGTCTTCTTTCCGAGGATGAGACTCAACCACTTCCACCAAGGAGGAGCCCTGATATATTCCAAAACTGGGAGCAAGAGCAGCCCCTGCAGCACGAACCGCTTCATCGATTCCAATACTGCGGTACAACTCCATTGTCCGCCGATTGAGGCCACGTGCTCGAGGATGTGTGGATGTTCCGGATCGCCGCTCAACCACCAGCGACTTCACACCATGGGCGGAGAGGAAGAGAGAGGCAGAGAGCCCAACTATGCCTCCACCAACGATCAAAACGGGAAACCGAGTATCTGACATGATTTGTTTCAAAAGCTGCTCAACATAAAAGTCGCATTGCACCTATTCACGGCGAGGTGAACCATCTATTGCTATAGATCATACAATTTATTTATGCACGAGGAAATTGATGTCCCCAGAGGATGGACGGGAGGTTGCAATATATGTATTCAGCAGTAGGCTGAACACTATCCTAATCAGGCTGATCTCGCCGCGCTAGGCCTGCGGATTGACAAGCTTATCCCGCGCTTGTGGAGCATTACTGGTACTAGATGCTAATGAAGACGGGCGCGCCAACCTGTATTTGGAAATCCAAACTCCTAACAGGTGGTTCCCAAAGCGCTGCGTAACATATCTATCCCGACACCCCGCCGCTCCCTCCTTCAATGTTTCAAACTCGTCATCGATGGCAGACTCATAGCCCTAAAGTCGACGAAATCAGTCGATATGCTTTATATCCCTCACTACCGAAGGAACAACACCCAGGCTCCAGTATATCCACTCTAGCTAGTTCAGATGACATGACCGAACATTGTGAATCGCTGGCTACGTATTCGGGTTCAAGCTTTAGGGCGGCAGCACTCCTAAGATATTCAGAAAGCGCTAAGAGCACTAGTTCCCCGAGCCGAATTGTTAACGTCTACCTTTAGCATCAGGTCAAGTTTCCACTATCGACTCTCTGCGGTCGCACGTAGCTCACAAGCAGTGTCAGTAGGTTTGCATTCAACTCTGTCTCTGAGAAAGTACGAAGTATGGCTTCTAGACCAGACTCCCTCACTCTGAAACTTTCCACGAATACTCCCACACTGTCATAATCAACCACAGTGAACGACAATTCCCCCTCCCTAATCAACAGCCATGTTCAAGAAAGCCCTCCCAAGCAGTCCCAGTGCCGTGCGCAATGTCCGCAACGCCGGAGCAGCATTCATAGCGATGGGCTCCTCGGCGGCGCTGTTCTTCCACTACGTGATCACCTACGCTGTGAGTTGACAACACAACAAAGCTTTTCCATCACTTCCAACAAAGTACTAATCCTGTTCCCGATTCTCTCCAAAAACAGCCCTGCGACGGCCCATCTATGTATCCCACGATCGCCAGCGGGCTCTCCTACACGATCTACTCCCCCCGCCACCGACGCGGCCGCAACATCAAAGTCGGCGACGTGATATTGTTCGACAATCCCATCTTCCTGCAGCAGGGTGCGTTGAAGCGCGTCATCGGCATGCCCGGCGACTACGTCGTGCATGATCCGACGCAGAGCCCGACCGTCGGCGGCGCGCCCGTGCTGGGCATCACGGATGCAGAGGACAGTACTGCGGCGGTGCACCGCCGTGAGGAACCCGTTATGGTCCAAGTCCCTGAAGGCCATGTTTGGTGCGCCGGTGATAGTCTCTCGTACAGTCGGGACTCGAGGTTCTATGGCCCTGTGCCCATGGCGCTGATCAAGGGCAAGGCTCTCTACAATGGAGATGGGTGGTTCAATTGGACGTCGCTGAGGACACCACAGTTGGTGCCGCCCGTGAAGTATGATACAGGACCTGATTGAGTTGTCACGACGATTTCTACGTTGCATTCGAACACAAAAGAGTACGGAGATTGTCGAACAGCTCTTTCTCAGAGTCTTGGTAAACTGTACAGAAGATTACATTGGATGAAAAATGTTCTAATATACAACTCCCACCACACGAGCCATCTACCTGAAGCTGGAGGGATTGCGCCTCTTGTACGGCAATGGCTCCACCTTCTTCCTCTTCAATTCGAGATCGCCACCCTCGAGACCAGCTCTGGCCATGACAGCAGCAGTGTTCTCGTCCCACGTGGCTCGGAACAGGGAGGCCGAGATCGGTTTCAGGAGCTTCTGTCGGCTCATAAAGCTGCGCAGGGAGAACCCATCACGTTGGACCATTTTGGTTGCAGCTGCCACGTCAATGGGGATATTGTCCTTCTGTTGCAACACAATAATCGACAATCGGTGGTATGGACTGCCCTTCTGGGCATGTGGTGGTAGCCATGGCAAAAGCACTTGTGAGGTGGTCGCAAGGCCGGCGAGGTCAACGGTAGGCTGCACCGGGGAGATTTGTATGTTGGAAGCCAGGAAATGGCATCTTGAGTCAAAGCTGTCGGTTTCAAAGTTTGGCACATCTGGGTCAATGATGGCAATGGTGACTGTTTTCTCGCCCTTTTCGAATGCCTGGAGGGTGAGTCGGGGGGGCTGTTCACTCGCCAGGGATGGGACGAATTCTCCAGGTGGATAGGTGCGCTTGCCGAAGGTAATCTTGATGTCCAGGATCGGGTCGACCGCTGGAACAACGTCGGGTATAACCTTCATCTGGTTGATTCTCTGAACCTGGACTTTTCGTGGGTACTCTTGCCATTTCTGTTCGGCAAGATATCTGTAAATGGGTTTGCTCATGTCACCTATAGTCGTTAGCCATCGAAAATAGCAGTGGACCAAGATATTATACCTTTTCCATCTTCGAACCGTCTCTTGACGTTAGGATCGTTGATATCGGCCAGAATCTTCAATTTTTGGAGTTCGGCTTCCATGCTTCTCAGCCTTCGTTGCTTGGCCGCCTCTCCGCCTGGAATGGTGTTCGAATCAAGCGAGTTCAGTCTTGTGATACGCGCTCTTTCCACTTCGATCTTCTTGACCTTCTCTTCTCGATCCGCGACCAGGACCTTTCTCGCCTCCTGAAAACACTGGTATGGCAGTTCATCGAAAGCGATGCCAGGGGATTTCGCAATGGCGGCCCTTCGTCGTCGTGAGCCAATCAGTTGCTTTCCAGATCGGATCAATCTCCGTTCGAGGCGAGGTACGTAGGCATTGAGAGGGTCGGGGTTTTGATAGTACGAGGGTTGCTTCTGGGCCACGGCTTCCTGAAGGTTTGCATGAGTTGAAGAGAGGCTGCGGAAGGCCGTGGTCGGTTTGGGTGCTTCGATGGTCAATGATCTTAGGGAATGGAGCAGAAGGGTACTTGGTGCCCTCGATGGTGCCATCTTTGATCTGGCGGATAGCACCAGCTCGTTGGTGAACGCGGTGTTACTATGCTCTCGCACCTGTCTTGAGGCCGAAAAGTTGCAGATTCATGTCGGCCATCGGAGCTCTGAATGCTTGGCGGTATTCTGGCATCTCGCTATCGAGCTAGCAGCGCTAATACAGATCAACGTTACACTTATTGGCCACCCTTCAGCCTAGTGCTAATGATCTACTAATGTTCCATGTCGCAATTTCAATGTGATTCCGAAGGCCAATGTTATTAGACTCGGGCGGTCGCAATATCAATATTAGGAGCTAAATGATTCTATGTAGCATCGACCGCACGTGGATGTGTTCCTCGTCTGCGTTATCTTCTGGGGTCTCACTCTGGCTTAGATGGTGGACGGGCCGAAGCAAGTAACAGCAAAGTTGATTTTGTCGTTGCACCAGACCGAAGCGTGACGGCCTTGCACCGTGCTGCTTGGGCATATAGAGGCATTTTCGACCGCGTTTCCGATGGCACGTCGCCTCCAGTCGCAGTTCAACGGACTCAATATGCTTTGCTCGGAACCAAGATACCATGTACGAATTGCTCCAGCATTTCGGAGCATCACCAGTCCTTGTCAATGCCCAGGCAAGTGATACGCTTGGTTGTAGGACGGCATTGCACTTCGCTGTCGAACGTCGCAATGTAGGAGCTATTGAACTATTGTCGGACCATGCTTTTGATGTGAGGATCAAAGACATCGATGGCAAGACAGCCCTTGAAGTTGCCATTGTAAGCGCTCAACATCCCAGCTTCCAATGTGATGGACCACGTAATTTGACCCCGCTGCCTGGCAGAAGATGGCATTGCAATATCTGTGCAGACCATGATCTTTGCGGCGCTTGTCACGATACGTTGCCGTTCACGCCCTCAGACCACGAATACAATGAAATAACCTTGAGCGCAAGCTGTGTAGCGGCCTCCAGTAAGAGCCATTGGCAGGCGAATATGTCATCAGCAATACCAGGTCTGGGAAGAATTATCGATCTACTGTAAGGTAGACAGGACTTTGAGACAGCGCAGAAAGCGGTGGAGAGTCTTCAAATGATCGGGGACATGGTTACAGATCATGTGTAAAACAACACACCTCTTTAGTGGAACTGACGAAGAAACTGACAATGGGTACACGATTCTTCCTCCAGCTTGCACATGGTCAGGATCAAATTCGACAACTGTCCAACTAGCGGACCATATCTAGCAGATCTGGCAGAGTCTTTGTGGCAGCACCTTCCTCAGTCAGACCAAATTTGACACATGCGTACACGACCTCGGTGAAGACATCGTCCATGCGGTATTTGATCTGTCCGTTATTCAACTCACGATCAAGTAACCATCATGGCACCCTGGTAATCTCCATCAAAGGCACACCACCATCGCGAGCACCTTTCTTCACATTAACGCAATCTTTGACAATGTGTCGGAGGATCTTCCATTCAGCCAACTCAAGGAGGATCGTTCCGAGGCTATATAAATCCATGTGTTTCTGAAATGAGTTGGACCGATCGCCTAGGGTGGGTGGGTGCCTGGAAATGTCTGCCTCTGGGTCCGAGGATGGCTGCTCTGAGATCTCGGTAGGTGAGTCCTGGCGCAAGAAAGAAAATCCTGTGATGTATGGCTCTGCCCATGTGCCGTTGCTCTCAAAGAAGAGCACATTCTCAGAGCGCAGATCCTTGTGTAGCCAGCCGGCAGTGTGCAGGATGAGCACCGTTCAGCATAGTTGTCGTGCTATTGTGAGACGTGTTGTTACGCTGGGAGACTTCATTGCCATGTTTTCGCGGATGAGATCGTGTAAAGATCTTGGAGGCGGTAAACGGGGAGGAAGGCCAACTCTCTCATTGTTGTTCGAGTCCGCTATTTTGAGAGGATCATTGCCACCTTCAGAAACACGAGTCTATTGAAGGATATTTGTCTGTGTTGGGCTTGAACTCTGACATTGCCCAAAGCTGGGATAGCGGTCAACAAAAATAAATCGCTCCTCTTCCTCCAGAGATACAATGCACTGTAGAGTATGGAAGGTCGGGCTTTTAGGCTTAGCTAGCAGGAAGACAAGACTCTTGACTCGAGACACCAGCTTCCCTTTCATCCTGGGGGCCACGTATTTTTATTCCAGTCAAATCGGATGGTTGTCGCAGAGTGCGCAGCTCGTGTCGATGGTAGGCAAGCTGTTGGACACGTTGATTAACAAATCCCTGTAAAGCCTGGGCAGTTCCATTAAGGGGGTGCTTCGTCCTACAGCCATATCCGCCGGGTCTAGGTCATTGGTTTCAATGCGAGTCGCCTTGAGATCCGCCGCAACAGACAAATCGTTGCCAGTCCCCATCTGCCCTGACTCAGGCTGCAGCTTTAATGCCCGCAACTCACCCAAATCCCTACTTATCTGCACCACCCTGGTAAACACATCGAGTATCTCCGCCGAAGAGTCTTCGCACTGTATGGGGTCCAAAAGCGCCTAAAGTCCATTGACCAGTGTGCGGACATCCAAGACCATTCCCTCAAAGTTCTTCCTGTCCACGCCAGCCCACCACACACGTTTGGGCAGGTGGTTATTGTCCTGGATCAATTTCACACAGGTGAGAATCCGCTGCCGGAGACCGTCGGGGACGAGCTTTTGCATGAGTCCTGTCGGAGTCTTGATCACGCCTCTACCTGGTGCCGTTCTAAACGTCAAAGGGGTGAAAGCCGTAGAAGTCGAGTGTCTACCCGGCGGCTCCTGGTTCACCTATATTGGGGGCCAAATCCAGCATCATCCCTGACCAGAGCCTCGTGTAAATTCTGGACGAGCGAATTCACAAAACGACACGAATTCATTTTTACGGTGCGCCTGAAACCTGTCTTTATCCGTTCTTTGTGAACCCGACGATATCCGACGAGCCGACTTGCGGATAGATCAGGGATATTGGTGAATGACGTAGAGATCTGAGGATGTGGGCGCTTTGCTCAGTCATCAATGAGCTCAGCCAACTAAACTTTCACCCGACCAATGCCCCTTACCTGTTCCAAATTAAGGCTCAAATCTTAGGAGACACCCATGCCTGCTTTCAGTCAAGACGTTCGCAAAGCTCTACTAGCGCAGCTGGTACGATGTAGGTCTCCACATGTCTTGCCAGGGCGAGCCTGGTATTTTGCAAACGCAGTTGCTTGTCAAGGACAGAAGCGGCGGACCCGTCGGGACGATGGCAGGTGCGACTGCCATCTACGGACGTTATGTAAACATCTTAAAGATGCACGAAGTCTTCAATCACGTCGATGACAATAACCGTTCAACTTACTCTCATGATGCCGTTCCTCGCTTTCCCCTTGGAACCTGTTTCAGCGAGATCTTAAGTAAACCACTTTACATATTGGTTGACGTGGTTCAGTGACCCGCAGACAAGGCTGTCAGCAACCCCAAACTCGGATAACAGACGTGCCAGAGACTAACGATAAAATGGACTCGGAAAGCGAGTCAGAGGCGCCGAAAATGCCATTTTTCAAAAAATTGGTTTCGAGGGTAGACATTGATGTGTCTACTGTTTTCATGATGCTCAAGTATGCACACAAAGCCAGCGCATGACAAAGCTAACATGAGACAGAGGAGCAATTGCCCCCACCCTTGGATTGGCTGCGTAAGTGAATTCACATCATCTTGTTTAGTTCATACTGACTGGTATAGATACCAGAGTGATCGCTTCGCCGCCGAGTATACCACTCAAGGATATCTGATATCAATCATCGCAATGCTTTCCCTGCCAATTCTACCACGAGCAAAATTTGTCCAAAACATCACTGTCACTGTATTGAGTACATGCTTTGCAGCTGCCATTTCATTGTTGCAGATCCAATGTGCTGTCGCGGCTCGCCATTCCTCAGGACACCCAGTTTCATCCTCTACAGGGTCTTCAGGAAGTCGTGAAGCTCATGGATATAACGCCGCCGCCCATGCTACAGCAGGAGTTTGGCTGTTCTTTCATTTATACCTCTCCAACACCATCCGGGCGTATAGGCCACAGCTGCTCCTCATGACAATACAGTATTGCGTTTTCACCCTGATTGTCTCCACATACGCACCTACCTTCCCAACCATGGGAGCTGGAATGAATTTTATCCAGAGATTATTAAAGGTGTTTCTGACTGGGCAAGCCCTCGCTACAGGAGTAGCGCTGTTCATTCTTCCAATTTCATCAAGAATGCTATCTTCTAAACAGATGGTTGGAGTACTCAAGCTGCTGGAAAAATCATTATCAATCCATTCAGCCTATCTGCACGGGATCACCACTCATCGCGCCCACGACACAGATACGTTCGATGATAACGGATTTGCAAAAACTACAGCGAACAATCCCCAGGGATTGGCGTCAATTGAGAAAGCAGAGCAGGACGCAAAAAATCTAAAATTGTCTCTACAACAAGCATCCCAGTTGTTTGCGCAACTCAAGATTGAGATCAGTTTCGCAAAGAAGGAAATTGGATGGGGTAAACTACTACCAGAAGATTTCACACACATCTTCACTCATATACGACAGATCTTGCTTCCAGTTGCAGGGCTGTCGACTTTTGTGGATATCATGCAGTCAGTGAAACGTGAAAAGTCGGAAGCTGAAAACCTTATAAATGACACGAATACTATTGAAGCCATTCGACGACTTGAAGCAGAAGAATGGCGAGAATTGATTGTAGAATCTCGTGGCCCTTTTCAGGAAGTCAAAGCAGCCCTTGTTGGTGGTCTAACTCACATCACATACGTCCTTGAGTTGGCTCCTCGGCCGAAAGTTACCGTCAAAGACATCGAAAACGGTGCACAAAATCCACCATCTCCAGGGGATCCTGCCTTTGCCGCTTACCTGAAGGCAAGAGTTGATGCATTTCGAGAGCACCGAGAAGGCACCGTACAAAGATGGTGCGAAAAGAAAGGGATCGATGTCCCTGCCAAATTCTGGGAAGAACCGTCCGCTCATCTCAGGTTTCAAGAATCAGTCACCTTTCAAGAAGTCGTTCGCCAGAAGCAAAACCATCAGCAGTTGTATCTGGCGCTCTATCTCGAATCTCTCCTAAATTCTGTTGGGAAAGGAATACTTGACATGGTTCTTTTTGCAGATTCAAAGGTTCAAGATGGAACTATGGCCAAAAACAGATTCATCTTCCCTGGCTGGAGACGAATTCATAAGCTGCTCCAGAACTCCTTCAAAAGCATCGACGCAGGGGAGACTCTTCCACACAGTAACGCGTCAGAGATCTTTGTACGGGTGGGTGATGCATTGTCCGGGTCAAAGGACCCAGAACATCTTCCTCCGGTCGGATGGTATCAGCGGACGACCAACTATCTCCGGATCATCCCTGAATTCCTAGGATCAGCAGAGTCTGCATTTGGGTTCCGAGTGGCAGTGGCAGGCATGTCTCTTAGTGTTCTCGCATACCTTCGTCAGACCTCAGAGTTCTTCAAGGAACAACGTGGGTTATGGGCACTCATCATGATAGCCATCTCGATGTCACCGCATGCTGGAGCAGGCTTGCAAGGCCTACTCGTCAGGAGTCTTGGAACATTTATTGCGACAGTGGCGTCGATTGCAATTTGGTACATGGGAGACCAGAAACCTGCAGCCATTCTTCCTCTTTGCTACATCTACTTCGCCGTCTGCCTCTATTTTGTTTTCAGGCGACCAAAACACTTGATCACGGCAGTCATCTCTATCGTGACTGTAATCCTCATCATCGGCTATGAGTTGCAAGACAAGAAGCTGGGGACCCATCTGCTCGAAACCAATGGGCAGAAATACTACCACATCTATCTACTCGCACCATATCGACTCGTGACAGTCCTTGCAGGTCTCGCTGTAGCATTCATTTGGACATACTTCCCGTACCCAATCACAACGCACTCTACACTTCGAAAGGATCTGGGTGATACCCTCTTCCTTATGGCGAGGTATTACTCTAGCACCCACGCTACAGTCGAACACAAACTTCGACATGGCGCCTATAACTCTCTGCAAGACAAATCCAGCCCGATCCGCAAACTCGATAGCGAGCGAACGAAGCTTTTCGGGAAAATGCTTGTCATGATGAACCGCCTACGCGAACACTCCATGTTCACACGCTACGAACCAACCTTTGGTGGCCGATTCCCGCGCGAAACCTACGACGAACTAATCATTCATCTGCAGAGCCTGTTCAACTACATGGTACTGATCAACTACTCGTCGCAAGCATTCTCTCCCGACCTATCTACAAACAACGGCTCGACAGAAGAATCTCAATGGGTACGCGACTTCCGGGCGGTGACAGCGTCCTCACGCATCACGTCCCACGAACTCACGTCGACGCTGGTCCTCGTGTCCGCGAGCGTCTCGAATGCGCAGCCCTTACCACCGCACATCCGGGTCCCTCGCCCCGTCGACCTCGCGGACCAGCTCGGCGCCATCGACCCCGGCATTCTGAGTGTCAAACATATCCGAGAGCCGTGCTATGCCGCGTTCGCGGTACTCGAGGTCGCGAGTATTCTCATCATGCTCGAGATGCAGCAGGTACTGCGCAAGGTTAAGGAGTTGGTTGGGGAGGTGGATTTCTCAGTTCATTTCCTTTGTGATGAGTTGACAACGCATGGTTCGGATACGAGTCGGTCAAGTCTTTTGGACATCAACTTGAAGGCGACAAGCAGTGAAGGGGGAGCACTAGGAGCGAGTGACGAGAAGGGAAAGGCTGATTGATTGGTTGATTGATTGATTATTGAGCGAGCGAATGCCTCTCCCGTTGACTTGTCTTGATGATAGAGTGTTTCCCGTCCAAGACCCAAAATTTGTCTTTTAGCCATGCGATAATTATTCCACATGAATGACTGCATATATTTTCGAGTTCGCAGTAACCGACGAGTATCCCAGCCGTAGCTCGAGCGAGGCTATGTAGCAGTGGGACCAATTTCTCATGAGATGTATATGTTATGCATATATCTAACACTTGAAATTCCCTGATACATTAACCAGTCAGCATCGGATACTCATCCCTTCAAGTGATTTCCTGCGTCATGCCTTTTCGGTTTCGGCCCACTACTGGACTAAAGTGGTCGAACCGTGGAACCTCGCAGCATATCTAAGACTACAGTGATGAGGAAACCAGTGGAGATCAATGATATCCTTGTTCTGTCACTGGGAGAATGCAACTATCGTTGGCGCGGCGGGTGGTAGGAACGACACGTGTACTAGAGGATCTGTTGGCTGTCGTTCTGGTTCTTCTTTTCGATTATGTGTTGGACTGGTGTTGTTGTTGATGATGGCGTGGTTGATTATCATTGAATGGTTCTGCTTCACCCCCTGTGCGGGTCATGATAAAAGAGCGATCCGTTCAGGGTCAGGGCAGAGTCTTTGGGTTGGCTTATGCATAGGTAGCTGGGTAGGAGATATATGATCAGGTCCCCCTGTTTGTTACCAAAGGTTGATATTGACATGCAAGCGGATATGGATCACCGCGATGTCATGATGTACATTTGATAAACGAAGTACATACAATACATACATACAATTGGGACACTAGGAGCTTTGAACCTACACCTTGCTTTGCCTTGCCTTTGTTTTCGCTATCCTTTGCCTAGCCTAACCTGTTTCGCTGCCTGTGGTATCCCATGGTTATCGTCAAAGGTAAAAACAATCAAAAACTCAAATGCCGCACACCTGCGCAGCAATGATTGCTAAAGGCTGTTCGGCCGACACCGAAAACACCATGCAATGAAGAAATCCGACCTAGGTCCAGCCATAGATACTCTCGCTACACAGCCAAAGTGGGTGGATGTGAAAGTGTACATCATGTGATTACCTTTATGATATCATAAAACCTGGTGGAATAAAGGATCCGCCCGCGTTCCGCAAAATCGTCACATCTTGTTGATGCAAGGTACAGAGGTATCACACCATTCCTGACCGACACAAGTTTCTCTCCAGAGTATGATGGACAGAGAGACATGATAAATAGTATCGCTCTATTACTTGAACATAGAATCAAAGTCGATGTCCATGCTTTCCATATTGTCCATATTCATTATGCCATCATCGACAGCATCGAAATTCATATCGTTATCATTGAGGAACTCGTCAAACTCATTTGGCCCCAAAGTTGGAAGTCCAAAGTCGTTTGCGCTCATATTGGCGCCCACTGCAGGAGCTTGAGGTTGCTGCTGAAGAGAGTTTGCGCCAAAATCCAGAGTGTCAATTCCTTGCGTCCCATTCATATTGATACCGCCCAGATTGAAACTGTTGTCATCTCCACTTTGGTTTGCGTAAGACTCTAGGCCGGGGAGTAGTGAAGTCAAGGACGAATCTTGGGCGGCTGCCGCAGCTGTCGGGTCAACATCGAATTCATTACCCATACCCATATCGAAGCCCATGTCTCCGCCGGCGCCGTCGATCATCTCATTTCCAGATGGTTCTCCAAACATGGATACAAAATTGAAATCTTCGTTGCCGCCTGCCGGTGTATCTTGTGGCGTTGCCCTTGGGTAGTCCTCTAGAGTTAATGATTGTGTAGTCAATGGCTCCGAGATAGACATGGGTGCAGGTGGTGGGACTTGGATAGGCGCTGGAGGTTTCTGCTGCGGCTTTGGTTTTGTGGGCGCGACGGCTGATTGGGCCTTGATATCTTTCGATAAAGATGGTTTCCTATTTGTACCTGCCGGAGGCGGGGCGGGTTGTGTTTGAGCTTTATCAGCGGGCTTCGGAACGGCAGGTTTTTCGAGAGGTTTGGGGAGCTGTTTGGGGGTAATGGGAGGTGCGGATGTAGTAGGGGCGGTGGTAGCGGGAGGTTGCTGTTCGGCTTGAACGGCTTGGGAGGGTTCCTCAGGTTCGGCGGTCTTTACGCGCTTGGAGGCATGGTCTTGTAAAGAGTCTTGAGTCTTGTCTTGACTGTCTTTGATGTCGTCGAGCTTTCTTTTCGCAGAGACAGCGGCATTCTCTTCTCTTGCTTTGGCTTCCCTACGCTCCTTGTTTAAAGCAAGTTGCCGTTCCAGATACCATTTGGCGTCCAACAGTTGGATTTCACAATCATCTAGAGCATCCTGGAATTTCTTTGCGGTCTCGGCCAAGACGGCTTTTGTGGATTGCGCGTAGTTGAGGGGATCTTTCATGACATAGGCAATGCGCGTGACAGAGCCATTGAACATACCCTCAACCGTTTTGACCGGATCGTAAGGAGGTTTTACGGTGGACATGATGGCGAAGAAGACAAGATGATTGTGCGCTTGCCGTTGCGCTGCAGCAGAAGGAAAGAGAGGACCTGCGAGGGACGATTCCGTGTGTGTCGCGTAGTGAAAGTCATTCAGAAAAATGCCGAGAGAAAAGTCGGGGGCACGGTAGGGGCGCGATGGTTAGCGTAGGAGTAAAAAGGTGAAGCCGGAGGAGAAGGAAGTCGAAATGAATGAATGAACGAAAGAAAGAAAGGAAATGACAGGTTTCAGGCGGGTGGTGGTGGTGGATGACGGGTGAATACGATACGAGTTCTGGACTTGGACGTGAACTTGGTGTCAGTAACAATGAACGGTGGGAGAAAGCGGAGGGAACTCGAAGGGACATGGGCTGGGGTGGATCACGCAAGATCTGCAGACGACGAAAGAAGGGCCAACATGGCCATCAGGCATCAGACAGACACCAGGAGCCCTCGGCCCCGGCTTCCCACAACGGCGCAGCCAAATCTGTCAAGGGTCCTGGCGTGTTCTGGTTAAGGCTTTGGTTAAAGTACTAGAGACACAGTGGCTGACTAACCGTCCAACAGGGATGCTCATGGGAGGGGCGTTAGTTGAGGCAACCCCCGGAAGTTTAAGTACGGCACTGCGGATAAACTTCGACATGAAGAGACTCGTACGGATACTTGTGCAGGTGCTTCCTCCAGCGGCTCCTGTCAGTTGCACCTTTCCCCGTCTGTTCGTTCTGTTCCAGGCCGGGGGAGTGAGTGACTGAGAATAATATCCTGTGCGTACTTGGCACTCCGGAATATCTACACGGAGACTTATCAACTGCAGTGTCCCTTTGTGAGCTTAACGCTTAACGCTGGTGCGGCGGACGGATACACAGCCCCGAGAAGCTATCCGTACGAGTAACTGTTCCATGGTTGTCACCAACGCCTCCCCAAGGTCGTACCCGGGACTCCAACTTCTACAACCTGAGGTCGAGTTCTTAATTAATTCTTCTTGCTATCCCTCTTATTAACTTACAGTGGTATCTAAACTTCTTCCATCCCATCTCCCAACTTCCACCTCCCCTCCCACCTTCTTCTCACCTCGTTCTTTCCCTTTTCCATTTCTTCCATCTTCCTCATCTTGTCGCTTGGACCTTTGTGCATTGCAAGTTGGGCGTTGGCATCAAAAGATTCGAGCGATTTCTTATCCTCTCTGTCTCTGTCTTTTTCTCTCTCCATCTCTCCATCTCTCTATCGATTACTTGCTCCGAGTCCGAGTCCTCCACGCTTCCCTCTCCACTAGTTGGTTGCCGCCTGCGACACCTCTTCTCACGCAATCCCTCTAGTACCACCTCATCCCCATTTCTCTCTGCTCTTCCTCTCCAATCTCAATTTCATCTCTCCTCCATCGCCAGCCTTCTCTTTCCTCGCTTCGCCGGCAACTTCCTTGACACGTCCTTGCTGTCAATTACTCGGATTCACTATTCATCTTCTACTTAGCGCCGCGTCTTGCTGGGTTGGCCTTGAGTTTCTGATAGCGAATTGTCCAACTTCTCTTGTTTGAAAGCGATTTCCTTGATCCCACCACTCACCTTCCACCTCCACTCTGTCCGCCAACCATCCACGACCAATCATCATCACCGTAGCCACCTCGTATCAAATGGCCGAAAACGTTCCTCCTCCTGCGCTGCCTCAGCAGTCTCCGGCCACGGCAGCCCCTCCAGGCTACGAACAACCACCTGCGAGCAATGGCCACACTAGCGCCCCCATGGGTCCTCCTGCTCTTCCACCCATGGTAATTCCTCAGAACAATAACCCTCTTCCCACTGCTGTCGATCCCGACTCTGCCTTGTCGCCTGGTGGCCAGATCAGAAGAGCTGCACCTGAACCCAACAAGCGCGCTCTTTATGTGGGTGGCTTGGATCCTCGAGTCACCGAAGATGTACTGAAACAGATATTCGAGACGACTGGCCACGTCGTCAGTGTCAAGATTATCCCAGACAAGAATTTCAATTCCAAGGGCTTCAACTATGGTTTCATCGAATACGATGATCCCGGCGCCGCTGATCGTGCTATGAACACCCTCAACGGCCGCCGAGTTCATCAGGCCGAGATCAAGGTGAATTGGGCATACCAATCCAACACCATCAGCAAGGAAGATACCTCCAACCACTTCCACATTTTTGTTGGCGATCTGAGCAACGAAGTTAATGATGAAGTTATGTCGCAAGCCTTTTCTGCTTTTGGTTCTGTCTCTGAGGCTCGAGTCATGTGGGATATGAAGACAGGTCGATCACGTGGTTACGGATTTGTCGCCTTCCGTGACCGCGCAGAGGCTGAAAAGGCCCTGGCTTCTATGGATGGCGAGTGGTTGGGCAGTCGTGCCATTCGATGCAACTGGGCAAACCAGAAAGGCCAACCTTCCATCTCTCAACAACAAGCAATGGCAGCCATGGGCATGACCCCTACCACACCATTTGGCCATCACCATTTTCCTACCCAAGGAGTACAATCTTACGAGATGGTGGTTAACCAAACTCCCACCTGGCAGACCACTTGCTATGTCGGCAACTTGACACCCTATACCACTCAAGCCGATCTGGTTCCACTATTCCAGAATTTTGGTTACGTTGTGGAAACTCGTTTCCAATCGGATCGCGGCTTTTCCTTCATCAAGATGGACACCCATGAGAACGCTGCGATGGCCATTTGTCAGTTGTCGGGCTACAATGTCAATGGCCGTCCATTGAAGTGCTCTGTAAGTTGACCCTCTTGTGGCATGATGTCCAAATGCTGACAGAATTAGTGGGGCAAGGACCGCCCACCGACTGGCCAATTTGACACCTACTCCCCTCAGACATCAATCGGCTCAGCCACCACTCCAAGTGCCTACAATCCGGCCTCGCCATATTTCCCGCAATACGGTGGGCCAAACCCTATCACGCCACAAGGTATGTTGAACCGTTGTTCTCTCCGAATATGGCTAATCTTGTTCAAAGGCCCTAGTCCTGGTGGTCGCCCTAACTGGGATGGGAACCACCTCGTCAGTCCCTATGCCCAGAGCCCACAGTCGGCATTTCCTCAAGTGCCACCTTCTGCTGGTGGATATGGACGAGGTCAAAATGCCCCAGGTGGGCTGTACCAACCCCAACCATCTTTTGGAAACAACTATCCTGGTTATCAGACATAAGGTATTGTTACAGAAGGATTTCTAGTTTTTGATCAGGTTGATTCTGCTATTGAGCGATTTCGATGTGCTTTATGGAAACTTTGTGACCTGCTGAGGGAATCAGATTAATCCGGAAGGACTTGCATGAGAGCAGGAGTAGTGACTGCTTAGTAGGAAGAATCGGGAATTTTGTAGTTTTGAGGCAGGGACTCGGTAGTCCACTGGATACCCATCACCCGCGTAAAAGATGACTTAGTTTGCTTATCTATTTATCTTGACACTGACATCAACCTTGACGTTGATACCGACACTAAAAGTACGAAGACAGGGGGATGACGTTGGCCGGTGCAGGAGGGGTAGCTTGACATACCTATAGATAATAGAAGCACCGACATTCAAGACTTGCTCGGCACTGTCAGGCTTCAGCCTCGTGGACTTGTGGCTTCCGCCCTGCATTTCATCAACCCCACCTCCTTCCCGAGAATCGCGAACTGGCGGCACAAGCCGTGCCAAGTCCACCTAGGTCGTGCAAGGTTCACGCTTTTGCCCTGAGGGGTTCGCTCAAATGCCACCTCGGAGCTTGTCAACACCACAACTGAGGAACCAAGTAAATAACAAATATGAGAACTCCGCTTGGATAATGATCAGAATATCGCGTTGCTTAGTTCAGAAGATGCAACCCTCTGAGCTACATATTAAAATTTTCCCCATCATTCGGGAGCGCGAGGTCGAGGTAGCTTCTCCCAGACTATCATAGGACTACTTGAACTCGACATATCCCTTATCCTTGACGAAGGTCGCGTGCCATGGCACCTGTCCCTCATGCTCAATCAATGAGGCGTAGAATTCCGCATGAGCGTCTCCATCAAGCGCCATGCCCTTCATCTTGCCGTCGCTGGTACGTTCGTCGGTATAGAAGAACCTGTCGAGTTGAGGTTTGTCAGACATTATAGAGCAGAGCATAGCCTGACTACTGCGATCTGTGGAAATCTCTTCTACACTCGCTATAAATAGACCTGCTACTTACCGAACTCCATCACTCCGATACAGCGTGTCCGCAAGCCCGACCCAGTATGAGGACGCCGACTTTCCCATGCCGAGATTGACGGCCGCCGCAACGGGCAAAATCGCCGTGTTCATCATGTTGCCGGTGTAGATGAATGTCTTCCGGAGCTCCTTGGGCAACGTCGCCCAGCCACGAACGGCCTGTTGCGCCGCGATATATGCACTGAGGACGTTGACGTTGAAGTCCAACACGAGATTCTCCGCGGGGTTGGAGAATAGGTCGTTATCGTTCGGAGGCACGGTTCGAGCTCCTGCGTTGTACACGACTACGCTAGGGGGAGCTTTGAAGTCTTTCGTGACGGCGTCAAATAGTGCGGGAATCGTGTCGGGCTGGGTGAAGTCGGCTTTGAGTGTTAAGAAGCCTTCAGCGGGAATGGTGTCCGCTAAGCCTGCACTCCCACTTCGGGATACCGTTGCTACTTTGTAGCCATTGTTCGCGAACTTCTTTGCCACTGAGATCCCGACTCTCGGTCCTGCTCCGAGGATGAGTGCGACGGAATTTGTTGCCATATTGCTGTAAGATTTGACGTGGAGGTGAGTCAAAGGCAATTCGGCCTGCAGAGGATTTTATATTGCGAGCACGAGTGCAGAAGAATCACGCGTTTAAATGACATTGGCACCACTGCGGGTCAAGGTTCTGAGATAGCCGACAGCTCATGGAGGGCTCTGGATTGAGGTCCCTCACAGCGCGCGCGAGAGAGCTTGGTGGATATCGCCGACAATTGTGCCAAAGCCCTTACGACACTAACCACTTGTCTGTAATCTGGACGCATCCGGGTGTGCTAGACTATAGCTTGGTTCCGGATCTGATCTATCCCGATGGCGCGCGGGACCGCATTGGGTGTCTGCATGAGTGGTTTTCGAAGCCTGCAACCACACCAGCAACGGCCAACTCCTCATCAAGGTCAGATAATTACATGACAATTTGATTCCCTTCATCGTTGAATCAAGCGTGCAACAATCCAGGATTATATACCAGAACTCATTCATTGATTTTGATACTATGAACATAGCCATGGGCTACTTCAGCTACATTTTCATTGGAAAGAATCCAGACGTCGAAAAGACGAGGCGCGCCGCGTCGGATCACCATGCCAATATAGCACAGCTGTCGCAACTATTGTTCATTGTGGCAATTCCAATGGTCAGAACCGCCCTTGCACTATTGTGTCGTTTTATTTGCAACAAGAAGGAGCCACACAACCATGTCAAAACGAAATCAGAGGGCGGAGATAAGAGCAGCCGGAACGTCAAGCGGATAGATACCATTTCTATTGTCCAAGCCACGGACAGAGAATTGTGTCAAGAAGTAATAAAGCGACATGTTAGTTACGAGCAGTGGACGTTTGGACTAGGCTGGTCTGCTTGGCTAGGATTCTTAAGCATCAGAGGCACTGCACCTGGTGAGTAGATCGTTCTCTACTGGTCTGGATTTCCAAACTGATGATAAACGGATTATGTGCATGTCATCAAACGCCTCGGCCTGATCAGTGCCTCACAGCTGCCCCTTCACTATTTGCTCTCCATGAAACATCCGTACAGCCCTCTCCAACTGCTTCCCGGAACTTCAAGCCAGCAACTTCGCTCTTTGCACGTGGTCACGGGGAGAGTCATCATTATTTTCGCGAGTCTTCATGCAATTCTCTACAGCAGTGTGTTGCTGCGCATGGGTGTCTTTGGGAACAGCGTCTGTCAACCTAGGATTGCAGTGGCTCTCATCAGTGTGGCAATCTTTGCTAGTATTGCGTTTACGTCTCTGAGTACTTTCCGCCGCAGAGCTTACTCTTGGTTTTACAACGTACACTTGATCGGCTCTTCGTTAATACTGCCACTACTGTTTTTCCATGTCAGTTATATCAGGATGTATGTACTCGAATGTGCTGCAGTTGTGGCCCTGAATGTGCTTCTTAGGACATCCATAGTTCATGAAAACGCAAGGCGGAGGGAAAACGAAAAGCTTGAGTAAGGGGACTCAGAGACTTTGAGCTCAATATTAAATCATTATCAGCTCAAAAGAAGCGACAGAATCGAATCAATTGGATGTGTTGCGCGGTAAATCGTCAACCCCAATCGTAAAGCACGCCCCTTAAACATGGTCATAAGAGGTCTGAGAACGAGAAATCCCCACCTGAAAATTTAATTCACTGACTCATTTCGCCATATGCTCATTCGCAACAAGTAGTCAAGAGACCGTAAGCTTGACTGATCCAGACCTTAGGTGATGCATTTCGAGTACTCATGGATGGGAAAGGGGTGGATACAATCCAACGCGCGCGCGTCCCGATCGAGTTTAGTAGTCGATGTTCTCAGCTGCGTTGTCCAAGATATACGCCGCGCGCAATTAGAGGCCCCACATCAAGAGGTTGATCCCTTCCTGCTAGCTTCAAATCACCAACGCCGCAAGAGAGAATTGGGATATGTCATTGAGGGTTACTCGGCCGACTGTTAAAAATCAAACTACAGTACCTGGTATCTCGTACTGGAAGAGCTGCAGGATGGCTTTAACTCCTAGTTCGAAGTGATTCGAACTGTCACCCTTGATATTTCAGGGCCATTACACCGCAATGGTCACGGTTGCAGTCGCCGGCGGTACTGGCAACGTTGGGAGAACGATTGTTGATGCACTGGTACAGAGTAAAAAGTATGACGTGATCGTGCTCACGCGCAAGGTGAGAGAGTTGCCTCTCGCGATAACGGTAATACTGACCCAGCACCAGGCGAATTACGATGTTGACCCAAGTCGCACTACTTGCGTCGTCGACTATGGTGATATCGAGCAAGTCACCCGTTTACTGGAGAGCAAGAACGTTCATACTGTCATTTCCACGATCGCCGTGCTAGACGAAGCGACTGGAAAGTCCGAGCTGAGTCTGGTCGCAGCCGCAGCCATGTCAGCCACAACGAGGCGTTTCATTGCAAGTAATTGGGGCGGTGTTATCCCTTCAGACGAGTATGCAGCCGCAGTTCCCTTGAGACCGTTTTCCACGAGTGTCTCACTCACTGACAAAGATCACTCCGCATCCCGTTCCAAACACACCGCCTTGCAACGATCAAAGCGCTTGAAAAGACCGATCTCGAATGGACACAGTTCCAAAACGGCTACTTTTTAGACTATTACGGCATGCCACACGTGGAGTCGAACTTGAAACCGCTGACATTCGTCCTGGACGTGGCAAACACCGCGGCCGCTGTCCCTGGTACCGGCAATGAGATCATGACGTTCACTTACACTCGAGACCTGGCGAAATTTGTGGTTGCGGCGCTTGATTTGCGGGACTGGAGGTTTCCGATGGTTTGTTATAGTGAGAAGACGACGTGGAATAAGATGATTGCATGGGCTGAAGAGTCTAGAGGTTCGTGTTGTCAGCTTCCTGTGGTGCAAAGCTGACTGGGACAGGTGTGAAGTTCAATATCACTTACGATTCTGTGGAAAAGCTGCGAGGTGGTGAGATTGACGAGTTGCCAGCTCATCTAGCGGCGTATTCATTCGTTCCCAAGCCTGTTCTGGTTGGCATACAGTCCAACTTCGGCTTGTATGTTGCTTACGGGCTGTTTGACCTGCCGGAGGAGGGATCTTTAAATCAATTGTTTCCCGAGATTGGAACTTCGACTGCTGAAGGCATTATTGATTGTTGGAGGGGGAAATGAAGTGGCTTGGTTCTTGGATTTACAGGCACACTGTTGTAGTATAGCAAATCAACAAATTAAGCATATACTTATTTGCAGTACTATCAGTCATATCATTTTATTGGTAGAGAAGGAATAGAGACGCTCAAGCACTAGTGGGTTGGGTGCTTTGAAATGCATATCCCCGCACGGTTAGGTAACCCTCAAGTGCTCGATGTATATATTGAGTTGCCTCGGGCGTTGGAGAAGGTTGACGCTCTAAATCCTTTCCTGTAGATTTAAGAACTTCAAAAGTCGCGAACTCAAGAAGAATCTTTGATAATTGACCTAAGCCCACGGATTCCATCGCCCACCGATGAAGAGCTCTCGTGGTTGCTGGACATGTCGACTACGACACAAGAAGTGTGATGAAAAGGAGCCTATGTGTGGTGCCTGTGCAAAACTTGAGATTCAATGTTACGATCGACGGAAAAAGAGGCCGGAGTGGATGGATGGTGGCATCGGGCAAGTCGAGATGGCAGAGCAGATCAAGCGCGAGATAAAATCGAAGGCTCGTCTGCGCCGTGGAGAGCCTGCTAGCATTTCTCAATTTGAGACTGACTTTACAGTGACGCCGACGAAGGCGTTCAGAGACATGGCTCCGCATCAGTCGCCAGGTGGTGTTTGTGGACAAGAGACAGTTAGTAATACTACCATTGCGGATCCGACCTCTCATGGGATTGAGTTCGGCCCTCAGCATGAACCTCCAGCTGGTGCCCTGAGCGGAAATGCCCATGCAACTTATGCGTTCGAAGGGTCCGATGTTGTCCTCTCCTTGTTCTACCTGGAGAAGGTGCTTCCTTTCCTGTTCCCATTCTACAATCCTTCACTGCCCCAAGGCGGCAAAGCATGGATCCTGGAAATGATAGTGAAACGACCGGCGATACGACAGGCCATTCTATGCCAGAGCTATTATTTCTCTCTCGCTTGCGGAGAAATTGTTGGTGATACAACTTGGGACAGTCTGATGAAACGTGCGGAGAGTGCCTTCTGTATACTGCGAGAATCACTCAAAGTAATCGAAAATCTCGACATTGCGCAGAATTTGGGTTGCACTATCCGAGTTATGGCAAGCATCCTGCAATTACATCGCTTCGAAGTCACCATCTTGAGTTTCAAAAACTGGCAAACACATCTCAATGCTGTCGTTGGCCTTCTCGAGCAGCTCCTCGCAGACGAGTCGGGCTTCAGTGGTATCATCGATCGTTTGGGTCCTCCGACCGCTTTTCCTGGGCATGATTCACATCTTCCAAATGCGGAGCAGGCTGCATTTTGCTTCTCTTCTGCTCTGATCATCTTCGATGACATTATTGCCAGTACCACACTTCAGATACAACCGAGACTGTATAGCCATCATCGCAGCCTTCTTGGTAGTGAGGCCGAAAATGTTGAACCACCCGTTAATATGGAAGCCGTTTCTGGTGTGCAAAATTGGCTTTTACTGCAGATCAGTGAAATTGCAGCCCTGGACGCCTGGAAGATAGAAAGTAAGAGAGCTGGAAATCTGGATGTCTTGATGCTGGCGCAACGCGCTACAACTATCAAGCTATCATTGAAAAGAAGGTTAGCAGAGCTTGAAAACAGAGCAGTGAGTGTTATTGTTAGCTCGCTTGACGAGGTCGAGCCAGGTTCCAAATTGTTGATCACAAGGATTTGGGCACATGCAACGCTCCTCTATCTCTTCGTCGTCACTTCAGGCTGGCAAACAGCAAACGATGTCGTTCGGTATCATGTCAGCAAAATCAAAGAACTAATCTACCAGATCCATCCCCGTGTGTTGCTCCGCACGGTGGTATGGCCCTTTTGTATTGCTGGCTGTCTCGCCGAGCGTGCACAAAGGGCTGAGTTTGAACGACTGGTAGAAGGGCTAGAGCCTCCGAAAGTCTTTGCAAATTTGCGCAACTCACTAGAGATCATAGAAAGAACGTGGGAGCATGGGGAAGGGGGGTTCTCCGCAAACCTTGACATGGCGATGTGCTTCGGCAGTCTTGAGGACCCGGCGTTGCTCGTATAGCTGAAGAGGTACTTCTGTGATACTTAGCAATTTGAACATAGGATGCCAGCGGGATCAAGGGCTGTGTTTTTCAATATCTCCGTCAATTAAGTCTCTGCTCGCCTCGGGGCGTCTCCGGCGACATTGTGGCCAGGGTGAGCCACAACAGTGGCATAAAGCATCAGCAGCGTCGACACGAGAAATGAGAGAAATCAAATCATGACCTAGCGAAGAATTCGTTCATCGGACCCGGAGAATGAAGTAGTGATAAGGTTTGATGAAGACTGACTCTCCGATGTGGCCAGACAAAGGAATTTCTTCAAGATATCTATTCGTCTTTGATCTTTCCAGGAGAAGATCTCGCGTGCTCGCCCTCGGAATGATAACCATATCGAGTCAAGGTCCCGAGAAGAAGAAGGCGACCAAGCATGACACGACGCGTCAGATGTCGTTGGACGTGGTTGCGCGTCTCATCGATTGGAGTTGGTGACAAAGACAATATTCAGTCCACTTATCCAAATGACGGCAGAGCGAGCATTGTCTGCCACATCACTTGGCCGTAAATTTGAGTTTTGCCAAGCAATATTGAAGAATTGGCTTCGCACGAGGCTAGGCTTCGCAGGGGAACGAAGTTGTAAGATCAATCTTGTGAATTTCGGGTGGTAATCGGCCGCTATAAACTTAGGAACTCCACGCCTCAGACTCCAACCGTGAATTGTAAGAGACATGCTGCCCTAAGTCTGAGTGCATTCTAGGCCAAGTTCCCAGCTTGGCTCATACGGCGCTCAACATCTCCGTTTACGGCAGTCATCCGCCTCTCCCTCCTCAATGTCATTTCTCACTCGAATTTAACCCTGAGCGACTCACGGCACCTAGGAAATGCACTTGGTATCACGTAAGGTTATGACGAAAGAACCTAAAGTGCATTTCAAGATGCATGGGTATGTCATATCGCATCGTGGCTTGTCGGTAAGGAACAGAAAGTTCCAGATGCATGTAACCGATTTTTGCTCCCCAAGCTGCCACCATTCGCGATTGAAATGGTCAAGGCTGACATCTGATCATATTGCTACCTCTTTCCCCATTTTTGTGCTGGTTTGAGGGTGTATGTTCTTCGTCGATCTTCGCAACACGGGTTTTCTCCCTCTGTGGCTTTGGTTTTGTCCTCAACACTTCTTGCAATGGCGACCTGACGTGAAGCGAAGAGTCGGTCTCGAATCATGCGCAAAAGCGCATTGCAGTGAATCTGACACAAGATATCTCGAAAGAAGACCCCCACCCATTATATCAAAGTGATAGCCGAGATCGGTCATCACTTCATGCCCGTACCACTTACTTTCTCGACTCTGAGGTGCCCAGCCCTTCGTTGCAGGTAACTGCCTCGCGCTCCATCAAACTCGCGGCAGCTCCAGTTCATAGACCATTGCCTGGCGAGGTCCTTATTCATGTCAAGGCCACTGTGATCTGTGGCAGCGGCATTCACCTCTGACGCTCAGACTGCATTGGTCCCCTGACCGTTGATGGCGATTGCATTCTCAGTCACGAAGCGGCAGGGATCATTGTGGACGTGGGTGTGGGAGTGAAGCATCTCAAGCCTGGCGATCGGGCTGCGATTGAGCCGGGGGTGGCCTGTGAGACTGAATGCTTCCTCTGTCGCTCAGGCCAATACAATCTTTGGGAGGGCGTTCGCTTTGCTGGTGTCTACCCTCACCCAGGCACAATGCAACGCCTAAAGTGTCACCCCGCCCGCTGGGGACATCCTATCCCTGACAAGCTGACCTACGTTCAGGGTGCGTTGCTCGAGCCACTGAGCGTCGTCTTGCGTGCGCTCGAACTTTTCCGGATCTCTCTTGGCTCTCCCGTTTTGATCCATGGAGCCGGTCCAATTGGCCTCATTACTCTTGCTGCCGCGCGAGCAAGTGGTGCTCACCCTCTTGTCATTACCCATCTCGAGCCTAGAAGACTGGATTTTGCCCGTCGCTTTGTCCCTGGCTGCCAAACATACCTCACCCAGCGAAATTTAGATGCCCAAGGCAACGCCAACGGCATCCGAGCTGTGTTTGGGGTGGGCGTTCGCGACCAGAAAACAGGATCTTCAAAGAACGAAACTGCTGCTCCATCCACCGTACTGGAGTGCACTGGTGTAGAGAGCAGTATTGTGACAGCAGCCTATGCCTGCCGAAGAGCGGGCACGCTTGTCATCGTTGGCGTCGGCAAGTCAGTCATGAATAACTTCCCATTTATGCATTTGAGCTTGGCTGAGGTAATTGTGACATCCTTCCCCATTGCTCCATCCCGTTCTCAGTTTCGGACACTGACTCCTTTCCTCGTGTATTCATGTGCCTCTTACTACACATGCCAAAAGCCTACCCTGACTGGACATGTTTTCTTAACTAGATCCAACTCCGATTCATGAATCGTTACCGTGATACATGGCCGACTGGGATCCGCACACTTTGTGGTGGTATCCTGAACCTCGATCCCCTCGTCACGCATACTTTTCCGCTGGAGCGTGCTATTGAGGCCATGCAACTAGCAGGTGACGTTCCAAAGGAAGTATTAAAGTCCAGGTGCTCGATGAAGATGTCGATGTTATAGCCAGCGCAAAAAGTGTATGATCAGCCGCCCAACATGCCAAATGGTCGCTTAGTGAGGTCCGTGTGAGACCTTCAGGAAGATTTACCGGGCTATTCACACAAACCTAATATCAATACCTTATTCCAAGAGGAGAGAACCCCCAGCTCAATATGCTTCGGGAGGACATTTTTGGTGATGTTGCGCCTGGGAGGAGCGAAAGACTAAGAAGCTGTGGTTGAAAGACATTCTATTTCCTGTTCTCCAAGGTGGGTTGTGTATCTGTTCATTCAGTTTTATCGACATTCGAAAGCTGAATCTACGCTTTCCATATACTCAACATCGAACATGCGCAAGAGCCGCTGCAACTTGAAAGCCCCTTTTTGAGATTGCAGTTACGCGAATACTAATGCCTGTTGTGCCTATAGTAGCTCGGCCAAGCCCCATGGGATGTCAGCCACCTTCAGCAAGCAAGCTGCAATCTCATAGTCTAGGAAGTATAGCGAGAGCCCGAATTCCAGAGTATTAGAGAGTGTCTGCGATTTTCGCCTGTTTTGCTATCATTCAGATATGGACATCATGTGAGACTGTCATGACTCAAGAGTATGGCATGGATTCGTTCTGGATAATGCCTGGTGACTACGTTCTAATCATGATCACTCGCATCGGGATCGAGCTATCTTTGGGATAATCACGTGATTGGCGCCTACATGTTCCTAGTTGAGGATTGTTTACCGTCGGTTCTGCCAAAACGTGGCATTGACGGATAATTCTTCCGTCTATTGACTCCTCAAAATGCCCAGAAGAGGGTAGAGTCATCTCCTACAGTTCCCTAAGGGGACAAGTTAGGCGCCTAGAGTCCGACGTTCTCGACCATGGCGACACTCTTGCCGCTTCGCACTTCCCAGTGGATCATGGTCATCGTGGAAGCAGATCCTCGCTTATTCTGCAAATCTCGACTCCAGTATGGCGATCTATCAGACTTCCAGAAAGCCAAAATTACACAATGGCTTGGGCTTTATATGTCGCTGTTTCTTCGCCATCTCCAGACTTTTCAGTGATTATTGAAACACGACCTGGACAAGATTATTGTGCTTATACTTCAACCACTTTGCAGCAATGGCTCCGTCCTTTGAAGCATACGAGCAAGCAGCTGCTTCGCAGCCGATCAATGTCCATCAAGCAAAAATCAACGGCACACATGCCATCGATTCGATCGTACTTGATGAGAGCGAGAGACACGACTTGGTTCTCCGGGTTTTCAGATGTCTAATTGCGGATTTGTGTGAGCAATTTGGAGGTGGGCACCCAGGGTTCGTATATCAGCCGTGGCATTGTATTCATTGGCTGACAACAGCAGAGGCGCAATGAGTATGGCTGCTATTGGCGTTTCGCTTTGGAAATACGCAATGAGATATTCTCCGAATAATCCAGCTTACTTTAACCGAGATCGCTTCATTCTCTCCAATGGTTAGTATTAGTTCACGAAAGCATAGCTGCTAAGGGCCTGACAAATCACAGGACATACCTGTCTCTTTCAATACACATTCTTACATCTCGTTGGCTGTAAAGATATGACAGTGGACCAACTCAAGTCCTACCATTCTGATAGGACCGATTCAATCTGTCCTGGACACCCAGAGATTGAGAATGAGGGTATTGAACTTACCACTGGACCACTTGGTCAAGGAGTCGGCAACGCCGTCGGTCTCGCCGTGGCGACCAAACAGCTTGCAGCAACGTATAACAAGCCAGATTACGCGCTGGTTGACAACATGACCTGGTGTATGATAGGTGACGCCTGTTTACAAGAAGGTGTCGCCTTAGAAGCTATTCAGCTTGCAGGCCATTGGAAGCTCAACAACCTTGCGATCATCTACGACAATAATCAGATTACATGCGACGGATCTGTTGACATGGTTTGTACTGAAGATATCAACGCCAAAATGCGAGCTTGCGGTTGGAATGTTATTGATATCTTCGATGGAATCTCGAATATAAATGGAATTACCCAAGCACTTATCGAAGCCCGCACGAGCGACCGCCCAACATTTATCAACATCCGTACCATTATCGGTGTTGGAAGTGCGGTTGCAGGTCAAGCAAAAGCTCACGGCGCGGCATTTGGTGCAGATGATGTCGCTAGCATCAAGAAACATTTCTGTATGAACCCTGAGGAACATTTTGTGATCCCAGACTCGGTATATGACTTCTTCCGGGAAGCACGATCTCGAGGTGAGAAATATGAAGTGACGTGGGCGGTGCTGGTTGACTCATATACTCGAAAATATCCACAAGAAGGCGCGGAATTTCAGCTACGCGTGCGCGGTCAAATGCCTCAGGATTGGAACAAATTCATACCGAGCAAAGAAAATTTACCTACCACTCCGACTGCGTCTCGAAAATCGGCCGGTATAATATGCAATCCATTGGCAGAAAACATGAAAAATTTTATGGTTGGCACAGCAGATCTGTCGCCCTCGGTGAACATGTCATTCAAGAACCAGGTGGATTTTCAGAATGTATGTTATGCTTCTGAGCAATATTCGTCTGGTCTCTAATCACGTACAGCCTGAGCTCAAGACATCATGCGGCCTGAACGGGAATTACGCAGGTCGATATATTCACTACGGTATCCGCGAGCATGCCATGGCAGCGATTGCGAATGGATTAGCCGCATTTAACAAGGGCACCTTTTTGCCTGTCACGTCCACCTTTTTCATGTTCTATCTATACGCGGCACCTGGAATTCGTATGGGTGCGCTTCAGGGTTTACAACAGATTCATATTGCGACGCATGATTCAATTGGAACCGGAGAAGACGGGCCGACTCATCAACCCATTGAGCTTGCAGCTTTATATCGAGCAATGCCGAACCTCCTCTACTTCCGCCCTTGCGACACCGAGGAAGTAGCTGGTGCCTTCATTGCAGCTCTAAACGCCTCCTCCACGCCAAGTATGCTCTCTTTGTCGCGCCAGAACCTCACACAATATCCACAGTATTCTTCTCGCGATGGAGTACAAAAAGGCGCTTACGTGTTTATTGAGCAAGAAGAAGCCGATGTAACTCTCATCGGCGTTGGCTCTGAGCTAGGATTCGCAGTGCAGACCAAGGATGTCCTCGAAAGGAACCATGGCATCAAAGCACGAGTGGTTAGCTTCCCCTGCCAACGTCTTTTCGACCAACAGAGCAAGGAGTACAAACAGAGTGTCCTACGGTCGAAGAGCAAAGCACCGATTGTGGTCATTGAAGCATACGCCGTCAACGGCCACGAAAGATACGCCGACGCTGCCATCAGCATGAGCAGTTTTGGAAAAAGCTTGCCTGGTGCGGATGCATACAAGTTTTTCGGGTACGAGCCGCTTGTCATGGCTGAGAAGATTAAAGACCTCGTTGAGGAAGTACGGCGCGATGGAATCGAGTGCTTGAGAGGTGATTTCCGGGATCTTAATGGAACATTGCGTTTTGGAGCTGAGCATTAACTATACCACCTTCAGTCCTTTTGCTATCTTCATTCTCTCTACCGACTGTACATAGGCGCAATACGATGCTTGCACTCTTAGATCATCTGTTATGTATTTCAGTAACAACTTGCACTCTGGAGGTTATCTTGAACAAACAAAAAGTATTATTCAAGCTTTTGTATTGGTGTGGTTTTTTCTAGGTAGTCACCTTAGTTAATGCTACCTGGTTCTTTGGCGCAGCGTAAATCTATGGCCTTGATGCGAACTTGCGAGTCGGGGTTGTTGTTTCGAAAGTTTGACGAACGATCTTTCCAGACGCCGTTGGCCAGCTCTTGGATGCAAGCAATTTATCTGGCATTTCCGTAGCAGCATTTTGACGGAGACGCGAACTTTCCTCCTTATGATCTTCCTCTGTGGACATTTCTATAACGGGACAGGTACAAAATGTAGATTGCATTAACACGATACATTGCGTAACTCTTGGACTTGAGCCAGCACCACGTTTTAGTAGGACAACCGTTCGTTAGATATACTTCTCGACGAAGCCAACTACCTTTTTAACAAAGTCTTTAGGGCTCTCCTCGGCTGTCCAGTGGCCACTCTGATCGATCTTTACCAGCTCTACATGCTTATAGAATTGCCGGGCCTGTTCCTCGGCCACTTCCAGCAGTAGGCTCATCTCTCCACACAAAGCAGCGGCAGGCATGCTTAACTGTCCATCCTTTTCCAGCATAGCAACGTTATCTTTGGAGTCCTGTGGGAAGGCACGGTAGAGTTCAAACCCCGCCCTCATGCCTCCAGGTTGGGCGAAGCTGGCAGCATAGTGGTCCACATCTCGTGGCGTGATACCGAATGGGTTATAACACAGGCGGTCGTAGAAGTGTTTGATGTATATCCTCTCCTTGCCTTGGGTGAGCAATTCAGGGAGATCGAGCTGTTGTTGGAAAGTGAAGTGCCACATGCCGGGTGAATTCTTGAAGCCGGATTCGTAGGGCTTGCTGCCTGGTAAGGGACATTCACCGAACATGACTGACCGGGTATGGTCAGGATGGGTAGCGGCGTAGGCGTGAGCGACCATCCCACCAATATCTTGCCCAACAACGTGGATAGGAGATTTGATACCCAGGTGATCATGCACCACTGCATACAGATCGTGGGCTACGGTGACTTTGTCGTAGCCGGATTTGGGATGTGAAGAGTCTCCAGCACCCCGATAGTCCGGTACAATGACTCTGTAGCCCTTTTGGGCGAAAGGAGTTATAACATGTCGCCATTGATAAGAAGTATTGGGGTAGCCGTGAATGAGTAATATGACACCCTTCTCAGTGCCCCCAGCAGGCGGACAATCAATGTAGTGTATTCGGACTTGGCGCTCACTGTCGATGAATACCTGACCGTGCTGCCACGATTTATCATCGATCTCTGTGATGTTGAGGGAAGGCATTCTGAAGCTGGGATTTCAAGGATGAAGACTAGGACGGGAGGTAACGTCGTGATATTTAGTGTTTCCAGGAACACACCTCATTTATGCAATTTGTTATTGACAATTTCTATCTTGCTGCGTGTTTGAACAAGCGCAAATTTTAACAGGAGCAGCTATGGCTCACCCCACAAATCTCCCAAATGCGTTGAAGTAGAGTGACGAAGTTCCACGCACAGGTATCCGGTGGAGTCAGCTGGTTGGAAGCAGCATTCAGCACATAAAAGCTGAGACAGCTTGCTCTTGTCATCGATCAAGCGCATAGACAGAAACATAGTTGGTCGAGGCATCGTCACTCACTCCCGAGGGCGACAAAGATGTCAAATTTCACGATCCACATCAGGCTACAAAGCAATGATTTAGGAAGGTACCTAAGCTTTCTTGCGCGGGGTATGTCCGGGGTGACATCCTCCTTCTTACCGAGGAAGGGAATCTCAAGCGCACTGATCCCTCACCTGGGACTCCCCCAGCATACATGGGCGATCATGACGCTGGCGGGAGCACCGCTTGAGAATGCTACAGTGGGCTAGTCCGCATTAAATTATCTCTGCTGGTGTCCAAATACCCGTTGTGATATTGGCCAACCATGTCCCACTGGCACGAGTGCTTCTTAGGACAGTAAATCCTCCGACTCTCTTCGAGACTCTGTTAAGAATCCATACAAACCTATACAGTCTGCTGAGACTGTGGACACCTACACCAAATTCAGTGAGAAAGGTACTGATAATTATTGATTTTTTCACTGTGATTTAAACATTAGACATATCTTTAATCCTATCCGACAACTATCATTGACGCACGTAGGAAACATGTCGAGCGAGATAAAACTCTTCAAAGTCGATATTCCGAAGGAGGAGGTCGAACGATATCACCGTAAGATTCGGCAGACAAGAGTGCCAACCCAGGACATCGTCCCTGGCGCGGGGAGTGATTACGGCTTCACCACGGAGTGGGCCCGAGACCTCTATCAGACATGGACAGACAACTATGACTGGGATGAGGAGCAGAAAGTCATGAACCAGTGGCCTCATTTTACGACAGAGCTCGAAGACATCAACATCCATTTCATTCATCAACGCTCCCAGTCACCAAACGCCTATCCCCTTCTCCTCGTCCACGGCTGGCCAGGATCTTTCTACGAATTTCGTCGAGTGATCAATCCACTCTCTGACGCAAACTCTCCTCTTCCGTTTCACTGCGTTGTGCCTAGTCTTCCTGGATTTTGCTGGTCTTCGGGGCCACCGCGTGGCTGGAAATTAGAAGACACTGCGCGAATATTCCATGCCCTGATGCTTCGCCTGGGATATAAAGAATTTGCAGTTCAGACGGGTGACTGGGGCCACTGGGTTGGACGAGAGCTTGGAGCCAACTATACGGATTCGTGCAAAGCAGTACATTTCAATTTTGCCCCGGCTCCCCTCCCTGAAGGGGCAGAGCTGACGGAGCGAGAATCCAAAGTCCAGGACAGAGTGGATGACTGGTTGGAGAACCATATGGGTTACGCGATCATGATGCGTACACGCCCACACACGGTCGGATGGATGTTGCAGGACAACCCTGTAGGAATCATGGTATGGCTTGGAGAGAAATACAACGAAGCAGCAGATCCCGAGAACCAGCAGAAAGCAGAATGGAAGAAGCATGTTCTGACGACCGTGTCACTTTACTATTTCAGCAATTGTATCATGACCTCGAGCTTGCCATATTACGAGAATGTACGGCACGAGAACTTTGCCGAATTCGCCATGCTCCCTAAGAATAGGATAAAGTGTCCATTCGGATACACAAGCTTTTACTGGGACACGGAACCGAGCTCGAAGCGTGCCGTTGAGAGGACGGGGAATCTGGTGTTTTATCGGGAGAGAAACGATGGGGGCCATTTTGCTGCTGTCGAGTGTCCGGATGGCCTTGTGCAAGATGCGAGAGAGTTGGTGGGTATGGTTTTGGGGAAGAGTTTCTCTTAGTGCAAGGGTTTGCGCAGAAGTATAGTATCTATCTGTTCACTATCAGAGCGATAATTCTCGGCATTTGTGCCTTTTGATGTAATAAGTATTACAGGCCGTCTGAGAGAAACATCACTCTGTAGCGTAAGAAAGGTACAGAGCTCTAGGTTTATCTATAATCATCCTGGTGCTTGTACATAGATGTGACTGCGGGCTCTGGTCACCTCTCTATCGTAAAGGTCACCCTACCAGGACCTCCACGAGATAGTTCACAACGTCAACACGTAAGGTACAATACCCCCCTTCTTGCCGAATAGGTTTAGATCTATACAAATATTCCAAGAACATCAAATAATGTGGAATGAAGACAGTTAAGGTAGCTTGCAAAGTAAATGCAGCATTCTTCATATTGCAAAACAATGCATTTACAGCAAGCACTAGAGAGAATCGCCGATTCTAGACCCCAAAAAATTGATAAATGTTTAAATGGTCGATGCTAATTCCTCGAGGGAGCTTGTCTAGGAATTAGTTTCTATATAGTACAAACAGGTGAAAATAGGCTTCCTTTTTATAACAGAGGGAGGAATCGCCTTTCTGTTGCCAGCATTTCTTTGAAAATTCTGCCGAGCACAGGGCTGACTACTGCAACCTCACCAGGTTCTGAAGTCCGGTCTTGGGTATTCCACCTTCAGGCACTCTATCTCCGGGCTTTCCTTACCTCCTAAACTTTCTCGCTGTGCATAGGAGTATCCTTCCTCCCACTAGCTGACGCCCCTGATGTGACCGAAGCTCGTCGGCCTGTGGGACGACCATCGGGACCGCTGTAGGACATTCTGCGAGTAGCTGACTTCTGAGCCAGTCGTTCACGGACCTCTGGTGAGCGGGCAAAGAGCTCGTCAATCTCTTCCAAGGTTTTGCCAGTAGCTAAGGGAGAACGGGTTAGTCAAGGTTCTTGGAACGTAAGACGCCAGTGGTGAAAAAATCTTACTTTCGGGGCAAAGCCAGTAAACGTAAGCAGCAGCCAGAAAACAGCAGAGTAGGGGCCAGATGAAGGTCTTGGGACCAACAGCATTGATTCCAGTACCACCTCCAAAGACCATGACCCAGGTGGAGAACCATTCGCCTGCAGCACCGAGGCTGCCTGCAACATGTCGATATTTCAATGGCGCGATTTCAGGACCATAAATCCAACAGGTTCCAAGCCAACCAAAGGCGAAGACAACTTCGTAGAGGATGATAACCACCACGGCTGCCCAATTGGTCGCCATACTCATCCTGCTTGGCGGCAGAGTCGTGATAGCAACATACAGCAGCATGCAGATTCCGCAACCAATGGCAGACCTGATACAATAAAGAGACACACAATTAGTAGGTGGATCTCTTTGTAGCAATGGAACATCATCTTATGGACTTCACTCACCAGATCATCATTGCTCGGCGTCCAACTCTTTCAATGTACCAGATTGGGGGATACGATGCAAGGGCAAATGCGGTATTTAGTACACCAGCCAAGATCCCGGATAGCAGGGGGGAGTAGTTGAGGTTTGAGAAGATGGTGGTGCTGAAGTAAACCAGCATGTTAATACCGAGAAACTGTTGTGCCTGTAAGGTTCCGTCAATTAGCAGGTATTTTGCGACATGAAAACCACTTAGTATGATCACCTACCCAGTTGATGAGGAACGAGGTTCGAAGGCGGCGGCCGAACTGGAGTTCTGTGTTGTCCCAGAATAGAATCCACCAGTTGAATTTCTCTTCATTCTCTTCCTCTTTGAGGGAGGAAAGAATCTCGTTTTTGACAAGTTGCACAGCAGAGTGATCAATTGGCAAGGAGTGAAGACGAGCCAACACGCGGTCACCATCGTCGTTACGACCTCTTGCATAGTACCAACGGGGAGTATCAGGTAGCATAAACAGCAGTGTTGCCGAAAAGATTGCGAAGCAGCTTTGCATGGCCAAGGGGATTCGCCAGAGCCAAGGATGCTTTTCAAGGCCCTGTACAAAGCCCAGATCAACCCAATATGCTAAAGCTACACCCGTGATGAGAAGAGCAAGCTGATATGAAACCTCGGGACCTCGCTCTCTAGCCTCCAGGGACATCTCAGCCTGCACAAGCGATATATCATTATAATTGTTTCGCATAGAACAGCCACCAGAGGAAGAGGGGTCTGAGGGAGCTTACCATGTAAGTTGGCACAGCACTGGCGATACAGCCGATGCCCGCCCCGGTAACAATACGCCCAACAATGATCTGAGCAACGGAATAGGTTGAGGCTTGAAGAAGGGCGCCGATGCAGATCAAAAGACAGCCGATGAGGATTGTGCCCTTTCTGCCCACTTTCATACCGAAAAAACTGACGCAAAGTGACATGACACCGGCAGCGAGGTTATATATTGATGCAATAACTGGAATGATCATAGGACCTGTTGGGTTCCCAATCGCAGACAGAAACTCCGGTGTGGCTTGGATGCCACCAAGAACGCCTGGGAAATTAATCAGAACAGCATAAATACAGCCATGGAGAGCATTGTACCTGCATCCCATCCGTAAAGCATGAACGCCGAGCCACAAGCCGCGCTCATGATGCGATAAAGGGTTCGACCCTGGACATGATCTAACGCGCCCATTTTTGTGACAGTATGATGCACCTTTGGCAAAATAGAAATATCGATTTCTGGTTACCGTGGCCCTGGTAGATAATGAGGAAAGGAACTATATCCTGTCGTTGACCGAGTTCCACGTTACCTCCAATTGAATAGGGTAGACCAACTGGCAACTATTGAAGTAGTTGCATGGATAATGATAGATGTGGAGCACCTTTATATCGAACATCCGCAGTGTTCAGCACGTGGTGTACGAAAGCACCCAATTATGGAGATATGATCTTCGCGGAGAACATGGGCTCGAGCAGGCCTCGATCTGGGGAAAGAATGGAATCAGTGGGCGCGTGTCAATTCTGTTTTGGGTATATTTGGCCGCCATTTGTCAAAACTTATCTCAAGCGCGCGAGAGTTTCCGACTACCATCTGCCATGACTTCATAATTTCTGGGAGTGACAGACATGCACCTGGAGAGTTCGACTTTATTTTTCCACGCTCGGGGATCCACCAGTGGTTGATTCATGGGCTCCGCTATGACAGCGAGCAGTCCCACGTTTTTGACTTGCAAAATCATAGTCTAGATCACAAAATTTGTGAAAATCAGGGATTGACGCATTCCAGGCTTTCCACTCCGAGGATCATCGAGAACTTGATGCTTCATTAGAAAAGCGTATTGAAACTCCCATTCATGCGTTTTGCTCGTGTCTGAAAAGGTTTCGCTCTTGGATCACCATGCATCGAATACTCTTCCGACGTATTGTAGGGAGTCCGGTTGTCTCATTCAACACATTCCCCCAACGTGTTTTCTATTCTACAACATGTCATCGCCTAAAGCAGCCGAGATCGATAATTCCAGATCACACGCTCCCACCCGACGATGTTCAAGACGTGCAACAATCGGCGAGAAAGGCGGTTATCAATGACCTCTTCTCACTTGGCGGTAGAACAGTGGTGGTCACGGGCGCCGGCCGAGGATTGGGAATTACTCTTGCCTCTGCTGTTCTCGAGGCAGGGGCAGATGTTGTTTGTCTAGATGTATTGCCGGAACCGAGTGACGTCGAATGGAATGGCATCATGAAGACGAGCCATGAGACAGGTCGCCGGGCGACATATCACCAATGTGATATTACGTCAGAGGACCAAGTTCAAGCCGCTTTGGCAACCGCTGCTGCTCAGGCAGGCGAGAGGAAGAGGCCAATTCGTGGGTTGGTTAGTTGTGCTGGAGTGCAGCAGATGGTTGATGCCATTGATTATCCCGCCGAAGGGTTTAGGAGAATCTTGGACATCAACGTCACAGGAAATTTTCTCGTTGCGAAGCACGCAGCACGGTTGATGAGAAATGCAAACACGAGTGGAAGCATTCTATTCATAGCATCCATGTCGGGACAGATAGCGAACCGGGTTGGTAGTCTCGGCGCTCTCGAGTACATAGCTAACGCCACTATAGGGAATCCATTGCACGGCATACAACACATCGAAGGCGGCAGTGCAACAAATGACACGGTCTCTATCTGTAGAATGGGGCCGTTATGGCATTCGAGTGAATAGTCTCTCCCCCGGCTATATTCGCACCGCTATGACTGATCAGCTTTTGGCCGAGAAGCCAGAAATAGAAAAGACGTGGATGGCGGGTGCGTCATTGGGGCGGTTGGGTTCCGTGGAGGACTTCAAAGCGCCGGCGGTATATGTACTTGGTGATGGCGCATCTTTCATGACTGGAGCAGATTTGAGGGTTGACGGAGGCCATTGCGCGTCGGCTTAATTATTGCTAGGCGAGGTATAACATGATAAGAACTATAATTAACACAACACCAATATTGTAGAAGACATAAACTCGAAAGCGCCAGACGAGGTGAGTACCACAAGTACTTTTGTCATGGAGTATTACTTCTTATTCACCTTCTTTAGCAGAAGAGGTCAAATCCGAACATCTGGCATCTTGCTATAGGGCCGTACGCATACCCTTGAGCAAAGTAGCAACTCGGTAACTATTACTGACGAACAGCAGATGCCCCGATGTTGGTGGGAGAGATGACCCACAAATCTCCAATTTAATTAGCTATCGTTATTACAACGTGGTGGCCTTAGAAGTTTGACCTCGGGTATTCGAAAGGCTGGGACAGTTTACTTCCAGGCCGGGTGTTGGTTTTCGTGCTGGAGAATCTCCTTGGATCGGCATTGCCATTTTCAAGTTTCACTTTGCTCATCCACTTCCCCCGCACTTCCGCCCTTTTCTGTGCAGATTCATTGTCGAATATCAGGTTCACTTTCCATCTTTTCCTTTCGGATCTCAACGTGGGTCCTGGACTGCCAAGTCAGCACCTGCAACGAATACCAGCCCTATGACGAATGATTTTGCCCTGGGGAACCTATTCGTCAGCTGAAAGCACCGCGGGATTCGAAAGGTGGGTGGTCGTACACACAGCCTATCCAAATGGCTCCACCGAATCCTCCAGGTGAGAACAATACGCAATCTACATCTTCGGAGCGGGACCGGGACTTCGCGGTCTCGAAACGTAGTAGAGGCAAGACTGGATGCTTGAATTGTCGACGCCGAAGGAAAAAATGTTTGTGAAACCACGCCACTGTTCGCCTTCATAAAGCTGACCTCGTTCGAGGTGACGAAAGCAAACCGACCTGCCAGAAATGCACCACACGAGGTGATTCCTGTGAATGGGACACAGGATACACCTTTCGCTTAAGTAGCATCGACACTTATCATCATCCCATGGCCAATCCCAGGAATCCCAAGGCTCAGCGTGATAGCCAGGTCTGCCCTGCCCTTTGAATGCCGGAGCCTACGGGGACTAATCTAAGTACACCTTCCTAGATCACGAACGTCGGCTCTGGCAATATCACAGAATCCTCACAGCAAAGCGGCACTCAACATTCAGACACTGTCTCCCAGTCCTCGCGAGAACCTTACAATGAGCTAAGTGATGAAGATGCCGAGGAACGCCAAACTGATGACGACAATATTCCATTGGCGGAAGACACGAGAGCTCTAAAGCCTTCGTCGGAAGCTGTTGTCCCTTCTTCAATGCAAGAAGGGGTTATCTCAATCTCCCCCACCCTGCATCAACGCACCGTTCCAGCAGCCCAAACTTCTCCGTACCAAACTGCTGCTAGCGGCTCAACGGGCGGAACACGGAGTGCTTTGATAAACCAGGGTGATGGCAAGACAAATCTTGACTCCTTTCCACGCTCAGTACCCGGAGAGAGTACAGCCAGATCCCCGATAGAGATGACAGCGACACCGGGTCGCAAGAGTTTAGGCCCGTTCAACAGGGGCACGATTGTTCCACCTCGGCCTGCAATAATGTCTTCTGAGCTCGAAGCACTCGATTATCTCACAATTCAGGCGGATGAACTCAATATGTTTGCCTCTCCACCTGATCAGGCTCCGCATGTACAGAACTATCCTTGGAACGACTCAGACGTCGTAATTTCCCCCTTTGCGGTTGAATCAACCCACTCCGCTGAGGTTAGCGGCAATCTTTATCCGAGTGCAACTTACCAGCACTTGCATACGACCTTATATAATCATATGGTGGAGACAGCGCGCACCACGACTTTGACACGACAGACATCTCCAGATCCACTCTCGCAAGGCGACCTCCTGGCCTCTCAAGATGCCTTATCCTCCTCGGTGGATATCAACAAAATACGGACACCCGCAGGAGAGCCAAGTCTACGACTGCAGCCATTGAAACATGGCAGGTTGACCCAGCGAAGACAGCTCGAACTTTGGCGCAACTACCTTGACGAAATTGCCCCGTGGCTTGATATGTTCGACGGCGACCGAAATTTCCAGGTAAAGATACCACTGCTTGCAAAATCGGCTGACCATCTCCACTATGCTGTCCTAGCACTTTCTGCACGGCAAATGGAGAGAAAAGATCCTGACAAGCCATATACCGAGTCGTTAGGACTATATCAAGAAGCAATCCAGCTTATTGTCAAGGAACTTGAAAGCTTAGATACGTCGACGATCGCTTCCTGCGTTTTACTATGTGTCTTAGAAATGATGAGCTCGTCACCTAGGGCTTGGGGTCGTCATCTTAGTGGTTGTGCTATGCTTTTACAGGCAGCAGGCGTCAACGGTGTCGTTGGTGGAGTTCGACAATCGCTGTTTTGGTGCTTCGCACGAATGGATGTCTGGGGGGGATATCTTCAAGACACCTTTACCAAAATTCCCACGAACCGATGGTTTCTTCCCAGTGGATTTATGGTCGATGCGGTTAACCACTTCAGGGGAATCTCTGGACGTGATAGTTATGCTAACTACGCCGTCTTCCTGTGCGCCAATGTCATTAACGTGATATCAATTTCGACTGGTCCGGACGCGGGTCAAGCGGAACAAGAATCGAGGAGAGGAAACACCAACTCCGCACGATGGAGGGCGCTATTCGATTTGTTGGAAGACTGGTACAATGGTCGTCCAGAGGAGATGCAGCCACTCATGGCATATCCATCCACTGTCAATGAGCCTGAAGAACCGTTCCCGGTTGTTCTCTATGGCAACTCCCCAGCTATCAATGGCAATCAGTTATACCATGCCGCTGCGATTTTAATGTTACAAAATAAACCCAAAGACATTCGTCTCTCGAAATCGCCAAAATCAATCCTCTGGCATGCTCGGCAGATCTGTGGTACAGCTGTCTCCAACTGCGACCATGGTGCATGGATCAATTCTTTGCAGCCACTATGGATAGCAGGCAAAATTATGTCACACGAAACCGAGCATCGAGTTATCCTCGACCTGCTAATGAGAGTCGAGAGGGACACCGGTTGGGCCACCTCATGGAGAGCCGAGGACCTCAAGGAATATTGGGGTGAGGGACAAGGTTGAGAATTGCACAGAACAGCAGTTCCTGGATGATTTGAAGCTCGATGCCCCTATCCACTCCTCTTGGTCCGTGACATGCATAAGGCTATCGCCCAACGTTATTTTCCGGTCCGAAAGCGCGCCAAGTGAGAATTTCAATTGGCGCGGTCCATTACCCAAAAGGGTAGGACAACCCGCTGGACTCGGTGGAGGGCCTCGACAGACTTATGATTGCGAAATTCTGCAACTTCTCCAACCTCAGTCAAAGACAGGCCAATTGGAGTTTTCATTCACAAACTATTGTCGAAATCACCGCTTGTTTGGCCAGGTAGATGTCGTAGATCATTTCGCGCCACCTCACTCAAAACACATCGGTGGAGATTGGAACTCCAACCTCATGAGCAGTCTGACGACGAGAGTGCAGGAGAATACGTTCAAGATACAGAGGATTGCGTTCCGTAGGTCGTACAAGGGACTCAGCCCTTCATATTGCTTCTACCGCCCAGCTACGACCACTGAGGCCCAACAGACCGCAGATCCAACAGTCATAGGTCACTGCGCATGCAATCAAAGCCCTGTTGCAAGTGTCACGTTACATGGCTGAGGGTTAGCAACACACATCATCCTGCCTTTATTGATACAGAGCCTCAAGGTACGTGTAACTAGGAGCGAGAGAGCGATTCTTCCTCCCGTCCGTTTGAGCAGGCTGAGCTTTTTTTGGCCTTAATGGACCAGCCAGCATGCACAGACGCTCACCAGGAGTGGGAACAAGTTCGACCGCCCCTTACGCTGTACTCATTCTCGACATCACAGGCAAGCCTCTCAGGCTAAAAAGCGGGGATGAAGTAATGTGTGGACAAACTATCCGTTGACTTCTCTTTCATCTTGCTGGCAATCTCTGTACTTCTAGTGTCTTAAGAGAAGATCACAGCAGCTTTTGCTCTCAGTTCCTCCACTCCCTGAAAGTTCTGCCTTGCAACCACTTCCCAAATTGAACTACCTTCCTATCCATTCTGGTGAAATAATCCGCACCTGAGATAAGTAGAAATGTCATGACAATCAGACCAGGCACGAAAGCCCATGGCGAGTCTCCGAGGTATTTTTCTCTCATCGGCTCTTCCCAAGTCATATAGAAGCCCAACAAAAGCATCGGATGTATGGCATAGATACCGAAACTCAAGTCGCCTATGTACTGGCTGAACCCCCATTCCAAAGGTCGATGCAGGGCGGGGTATGATTCTAGCGACAGCACGAGGAGAAAGGCACCAACGGATAGATACCAATACTCTCCAGATGGAGCATCGTAGTACCACGGAATAAAACGCTTCAGAAAACCCCAAGGAAACTGACCCCAGACGCCCAGCTCTGTGTCATCTGGTTGCCCAAGGAGCAATATGCCGACAATGAAGAGAAGACAGTAGCCAATTTTGGCCGGAATCGTCTGGTTCCTGCTCTGACCCTCGAAGGGTAATTCTCGGGCGTCTGGAGGATTCTCGGACCACACTAAATGCTCTGAATTCCTGCTCAAGGAGAGGTCTGCCAAAAACACGCCGTAGAGAAACTGAGACACATAGAGCGCATTCCAGAGATAGCCCGAAAAAATGATCATCCAGCACACGATCATCCTTGATCGTGTACTGAGCTTGCACATAGCAGCACAGACGCTGAACACTACAACGCTCCCCCTGAATTCAACGGGAATGGTCCACATTGTTGGCAGGTATTTAGTGTTGTGGACTCCCCCGTAGTACCACCCTCTTATATCAGCAAAAGGATTGCAATAAAAGATGGTTTCAAATGACCAGTCTTTGATCTGATCGAGGAGGGATGGTTGATGCAAGCCGCGATCACCGCCATACCAACCCAAGCGAACAAGGATCAACGCAATGAATGTGGCCAAGACGGTAGAGCCGTAGAGTCGGAGGTAGCGGCGAAATGTGGAAGACGCGAGCCCCTGAAGGGTAGGGGCTGACTCCTGTCTCCGGATGCTCCTCAGCAGGCTGTAGCTCAAAACGAAACCAGAGATAACGTAGAACAGTGCAACCATGCCCTCACCGTTAAATACAATAGACACGAAAGGCTGATGGTGCCAGAAAGTGTGGAATCCAGTCCAGGTGGTTGTGTGGTAGACGTATACGATGAATGCGGCATAGCCTCGAAGAGCGTCCAGGTAGGATGTCGGATATAACTTGTCTCTGACCTTCATGCCCCCTGGCTGACAGAATCTAGGTAGCGCTGCAATGCATGATGACTTAATGAATAATCTGTACGTTTGATACATCTTCCATTTTGGGACTGTTTGAGGCATGGATTTTTCGGTCTCAACATCGTCATCTGTTTCTGTATTGTGATCACTCTGCACGCCACAGGAATGGTGTAACTGCTCGAGATCTCTGTCTTGTAGTTGAATAGCATCGCCCAAGACGTCGCCTGCTATGGCATCGAAGGGGCTCTCAGATCCCTGAAGCCGACTATAGCCAAGCATGTTGGAGTAATGTTGGAGCAGAATAGCAAGTTTAGGTAGACCTCATTGAAGACATGGGCGGGCAGAAGTAACATTGAAGTCTAGAATTTCTAAACATGCCTTGGGGTCGTGGACAATAAGACCGAAGCTGGGTGTAGGTTCATATTGGAACCCCCTTTTTAAATAGACATGAGAGTGACAGTTGATTGACAGGCGTGCTCCGGGAGGAACAACTACTGCCAAGCATCACCTTAGAATTCCACCGAACAGATATGAAGGGGGGGGGATCCTGCACAGACATAGAAAAGGACCTTTCAGTTCGTCACTCAACTGCTATTGCTCAGGAAGTCCATACAAAGGTTAAGTAATGGCAAAGTTCGTGAAGACGTAAAGCGCAAGGCCGACAACATGGTGACCTACCCAGATCCTGGAAATATTCTTGTTAGAGTTGAAGAGACATTCCATTACCTAGGAAGTCTTTTGCCGCCCCGGATGAGTGACAGCTTGCCGTTATTCGAAGTACGTTGAAGCCGTGCGTCATTTGAAATAAAAAGATGAATGAAATTACGCTTGCGCTGACTAATATGCCAAGACTTTTCATGACGCGACTCGCGTTTGGCCCTCGCGTCGGCACTTTGGGCTTTTCTCAATCAGTGCCACCTGCAACACCATCAATCAACAATTCATTCGGTGCAAGGCAGTGAAGCTCATCTACCTATCCTGCCTCCCTTCCCTCTTCCTGGACAGTCCAGCTGCTCGTTCCTTCCCCCAGTGTACCGCCGTTTGATGCATGCACGAGTCACCAACCTTGTCTTGCGCCCCTCTCTCGATGGTTTGCGGTCTCCCAAGTCCTACATTAGACCAATCATGCTCGGCCGTGCCATCGAGAAACATGCCACGAGTCAATTTGGCAACAAACAAAGTCCTTTGCAGTCCAATGCCTCTGCAGCCAATGTTACCCGCCCCCCATTGAAGCGAAAGTTCGACCGAACCATGAGTTCATCTAGCAATCTGGGCTCACTGCATGACCATACTTCCTTTGATGAGAATCGACATGACGGAATAATCGATTTGACTTCGCCGGCTCGCGAGAAACACACAGATATTGATTATCCATACCTCGGCGATCATTGCTCTTACCCTTCTCTGCCACCTATGCCAGGCGAGGCCGCAAACCTTCCTTCAAGCAGTGCTCCTGTACCCTGGTCATCATCTCCAGAATCCCATTTTGAACAGCCGTCAGCTTTCAGACCTTTATCACCGCTGAAAAAGGTTTCTTCAGTCGCAGAGGCGAGGCCTGCCAAGAAAAGAACCTTGCCATCATCCTTTGCAGCGAAACAGGACCTACCGGACGAGAATGCCAAGTGGCAAAAGAGTCAAAGCAAGACCAACCTCGTGGCCGGTGGCCTGATAGAGTCTGCCTTGGCTATGGGGGGGTCCTCGATGGCTAGAGGGAAATTCGATCATTTTGCTGCTTTGAACACCACAACTTCTTCTGCCTCAACCTCTCGAGAAAAGAGCTCATCTGTAGTGGCCCAAATGCTTGAGAAGGCATCAACGAATCGCCAACGACAACCAAAGCCTATTTCCCGAGTCTCGTCTGACCACTCTGTGAAGTCGATGATGGGCCCTGACCCTAAGAGTTCCAAAGTTGCAGATACCTTCCTCAGTGATGAGCAGAGATCCGTGGTCAAAGCGGTGATGGACGAAGGTAAAAGTGTCTTTTTTACGGGTTCTGCAGGCACCGGAAAATCCGTCCTCATGCGAGCCATTATTGCTCAATTGAGACATAAATATCGTACTGAGCCAGATCGTATAGCCATCACCGCATCCACGGGTCTAGCATCATGCATTCTCGAAGGACAAACCCTGCACAGCTGGGCCGGGATCGGTCTCGGTAAGGAACCGGCGCCTGAACTGGTCAAGAAGGTCAAGCGAAATCAAAAGTCAAGACAGCGTTGGCAGAGGACGAAGGTGCTGATTATTGATGAAATATCAATGGTTGACGGTCAGCTATTTGACAAGCTTGAACATGTGGCGCGGACACTCAGAAACAGCGGCCGTCCTTTTGGGGGCATTCAACTTGTCTTCACAGGCGATTTTTTCCAACTTCCACCAGTCCCAGATCGAAACACTGAAGCCAAGTTTGTGTTCGAAGCCACTAATTGGGCTACATGCATCCAGCATACCATCCTCCTGACTCATGTTTTCCGACAAAAGGACGAAGAGTTCGCAAAGATGCTGAATGAGATGAGATTGGGCAAGATGAGTCCTGCAACCATCCGAGCCTTCAAATCCCTATCGCGGCCAATGAATTTTCACGACGACCTCGAGGCTACCGAATTATATCCTCGTCGTGAAGAAGTCGAAAATGCAAATCAAAATCGTATGCGAAGATTGTCTGGACAGATTATGACATTTGCAGCTATCGACACAGGTGTTTCAGATCTAAATGTCCGCAAAAATCTTCTAGCAAACTTCATTGCTCCCGAGACATTAGAACTCAAGAAGGGTGCACAAGTTATGTTGATCAAAAACATCGACTCTCAACTCGTCAACGGATCCTTGGGAATTGTGCAGTCATTCATGGATGAGGGGACATTCTTTACTTACAAGGAGGATGAGCCGACATTCCTCATCGCACAAGACGATGGGCAGGACAAAGAGGAACTTGCAGCTGCCCGAGACAAGATCCAGGCTGCCCGGATGAAGGCGAATGCAGCAGGTTCAACGCGGTGCTGGCCGATGGTAAGGTTCAACCTGGCAGATGGGACATCCCGAGATGTTCTTTGTACTCCAGATGAATGGAAGACGGAGGCTCAAAATGGAGAAATCATTGCCAAACGTACGCAAGTCCCATTAATCCTAGCATGGGCACTTTCGATTCACAAAGCTCAAGGTCAAACTCTCAGTCGAGTGAAGGTCGACCTTGGAAAGGTGTTTGAGAAGGGTCAAGCATACGTGGCTCTCAGTAGAGCTACATCTAAAGAAGGTTTACAGGTCCTGCGATTCGATGAACGCAAAGTCATGGTCCATCAAAAGGTGCTTCATTTCTATTCCAAACTCCGAGGCCATGAGACACTGGAAACACGCCCAGTCACAACGTCAGTCGCGGAGCCAGTCAAGAAAGGCACCTTGGCACTGCAGAAAGGGCCGGCGAAGACGCAAAATGTGGTGGATTTTGCTGATGACGACTTTTTTGACGATCTGTCCTACGAAGAACTACTTGCAGCAGAAAAGGGGGTGCTGGGGGCTGCAGCAACCAGGTAAACGCCAGCAGACCTGGGCGTGAACATTGAGCGGTTTCTCTGGTCTTGCGCTGTTGTCAATAAAGACCATTGTTTATGGATACCCCTTTGACGCCTGTCAAGTTCAGAGGTGGATACAGAGCAGACTTTACAGACGTCACTATACGCTCCAGTATGTAGTCGTAGAGACGAGGCTGTGAACCCTATGTGCACAAAAATGTTTACAGCTCTACGGTCGATTGCACATAGCCAAAGGCAGTCGCGTCTTCAGATACGCTAGTCCTCATATGGACTAAGTGGTACGGTAGAACAGAGAGTCTATTCCGTACAGTCTGCAATCACAATTTCCGGTCCGAATTGAATCGAGGTCGAGTTGCGAAATCCTAAAATGGGGAAATGAAGTTGGGAAACTTTTGTGACTCTCACCACCTGAACCTGACACGACGTGCGGGCAGTACTTCACCATTTCCTTCGTATTATTCCAACATCGGTCAGACTTCAGTACACTTCCCAAGCATGTGTTGGGACAATTAAGGCCAGGCCAGCGCAGATCGATCAATTCTCGGGTGGCAGTGCTATGTCATAGTCGTCGCTAGAGTCCTCCTTGCTCTGCTTCACCATGGCCGACGCTTTTATTGGCTATACGATTCTTGTCACTCTCGCCCACCCACACAATGCTCAGATCCAAGGAGTGGTATCCGATGTAATAAATCAGAATCTACTTCTCCGTGACGGTAGGAAGTTCAACGCCCATTGATTTGAGATCAGATATTGACCAGTCCCAGTTCTCTTACTATGGAGTGGCCAGAGACTCCCCTCTTACACCATTGAATCTTCGACAATTGCCGACCTCGAACTTTCTCCCAATCAAGGTACAAGGCATGAAAATGATGAAGAGATCACGACGCCTGTGGCTTTCCCTCAACTTGAGAACAGATCAATCCACCCTGATCCGCGTCCGCAGCAAAATGTCTCGAGTTTTGTTGATCCTGCCATCATTAGCTACACACGACCTCCCTCCCAACCTCATGTTCCCTCTACTCAGAAAATCCCTCCTGTTTCCCCCATCATGATCGCAGATGGCGTTGTGAGCAGCCCGTCTGTCAGAATTCCTCACAATGGGGTACATGGAGGCAGCTCGGTATCAAGTATCGCGACTGCAATACATCGTAAGCACGAGAAGAGAAACACTTCAGCCAGCGCAACACTCACCGAGCCTTTCGATGCTCTAGGCTTGCGTAACGATATGGCCAAGTCGGACCAAAAGACGGCTGCTACAAAAGCATCCAAAGTGCGAGACGCACCCTCGCAGACTGGACCTGGCATTATCGACATGAAGGATGTCAACCATGGGCCACTGAAGCCGGCGAAGAAATCAGGAAAGGGCAAGGGATGGCGTCAGACACCTTTGATCGAAGAGGTCCCCAGACAGAATCAGAAGAAGGGTGCAAGAGGTCGAAAAATGGCTGAGGACGGTAACGGATGGGCAACAGAAGACGCCACGGATATTCAAGACTTGGGCGATTTCGATTTCGAGTCGAATCTGTCCAAATTTGACAAACGACGGGTTTTTGATGATATTCGCAAAGAAGATCAAACGCCCGATGGTGACCGATTGGTCAGCTTCAATCGAAAAGCGCGACCAGGAACCAATGGTGGTCGCAATTTGCACTACACTGAGAATGTATTGGACGTTCCGGATATCAAGGACAAAGACCGATGGAAGAGCGAGGCAGGGGAAACTGAGGACGATATACTGGAAGGGCATTATTCTAGTGGAAAGGGGTCACGGCGAGCAGCATCGAGAAAGCCATTGCAGTCCCGAAAAGGAAGTATGCTACCAGGGCATATTGATCGCACAGAATCACCTCGGCCGTTGACGAGGATCCACACAGCCTCACCACTGAACGGATCTATTTCTGGGATTCGAGCCTCGTTCAAGCTGCCAAATAACAAGCCATGCCACTGTTTGACACCACTGCAGATGCTTGAGATCGAGCAGCTCTGTACATCCGATCTTGGATTGACCGAAGATATGCTTTCGGAAAATGCAGGGCGCAGTATCGCAATGGCAGTCCTCAAAATTCCCGAGGTAAGAAGCGTGCTTGTGCTCGTGGGCAACCACAAGAGCGGTGCTAGAGCCATCGCCGCTGCAAGGCATCTACGCAATCGGCGATTGAGGGTGACTGTTGTGGTACTGGGTGGAGAACGTGAGGAACTCCTTCTCGAAGTCATGCGCAAGCAGTTGGGAATCTACAAGAAGAGCTCTGGGTACGTGGAGAAATGGGATGAATATCAAACCAAGGCTACAGCTGGAGGCCCTGCACCGGATGTGATTGTCGATGCTCTGCTCGGTATCCACGTCGCTTTTGAGGAGCTGCGAACAGACGACCAGGCTACAGTGCTAGAGATGACAAGATGGGCAAACCGGACTGCTCAAGTCCTCTCCATCGACATCCCCAGCGGTTTATCTGCAAGTTCGGGGTTACTGACCGAACATGATGGGCAGTCACTTGTGATGGCTAGCAAGCAGATCATCAGTCTGGGTGCACCCAAGTCAGGTCTGCTCCTTGCCATGGCTTCAGAGGTTGTTGAGCCCTCTTGGCAGGTTTGGGTGGTTGATATTGGTATTTCGGCGGCTGCGTGGAACAAGCATGGCTCGAGACGAAAACACGGCGTTGACTTTGGTGTCGAATGGGTGGTTCCCTTGAAATTCGCTCTTGGACCTTGAGCACGCGTGAGGACAGGCGCAAGATTCACCAGTCGTTCTGTCTGATCATGAATGGCTGAGGGAGGTTCCGAAGATGAATGGACAGACTCGTGCTATCGGATGTCCAAGCAGAAAAGCCACGAACACTGCCACCTTGATGGTTTCTTTTATTATGATTTACTATTATTGCTGCGTTCAAGCGAAAGACGGGAACCCAAAGTGGTTGCTGTGTATTAGTACAGCGTCGAGAGCTAGGTACCTACCTAGGAAGAAAATGCGTAAAAACGTTCGCACAATTGAAGAATCCTTTGTTGAGTGGCATTTGGAGAAAAGAAGTCATACACAACTAGACTCAACAGCTTCACGTGCAGGGTAGACAGTAATCAAAATACCACACTGGGTGACGTCAACTCCACTACTGCAACTAACTCACCAATGCCATCTTGACGGGCGGCTTAATAACATAATCTTTGGGTGTCGCTCAACAAACAGGGTAGCACTAACGAACACACAAGCCGAAGATGTAGAAACAAGATTTTAAGCGACTCCTTGACTTCTCTGGTGCAAAGCCTGAGAGTTCAGGGACCACCGTCCGCCTAATCAGTTAGCCTGGACTTGATGGGTCTCGGGCTTGGAGGGGTAAAGAGCTGGGACAAACAGAGAGCCCGAGGGGGTTCCTCGACCCCATGGTCTCCCCTGGAAAAGACCTCAATATTAGGCATCCCCAACTAGAGCTCGACGAGCACAAAAGTGGGAACGACTTCCACTCGATCACTAGAACAAGAACAAGAACAAAACACCATATCCAACATCACAATGTCATCTCATCCACTCCTAAGGCCGTTGATCCAGTCAGCAAACCACTAGCTTAGCTGGTGGTTACTGAGAATGTGTGTGGTGGGTGTCAGCTCAAATTGCTCGTGAGCCAGCGGCCACCGACCGAAACGAAACGCCAACACAAAGCCCGAGGCCGTGTGGTGCGGCTGAATCCTTGGGACTCGTACTCGTAATGTGCCCTCTAACCAGTCCTAGCCACGAGCTGACATACTGCCGCTGAGCTTCCTGTCTCTCTTTTTACTTCTCTTCTCGTGTTGCTCTCGTGCGCGCATACAGACATACATACATATCTATCCACATATATCCATACGAACCAGCGAACACAGCGCCTCAGAGATCGATATCAGCCACAAGTTTCCCTGTTTACCTGGAGTCTCTAGAGAATCCCGGGAAGGCGGCCAGTAGGACGAACCAGCCTGCCAGGACCATTCATTTGTCAGAAGGAGCCGGCCATCTGTAACGCTTCACAATCTTTCGTCTAAATCTCACCTCGGAATTCCCTTCCACATCCGTGTGGCTGTGCTGCGTGATTTTGCGCCGAGGATTCTGATCTGGCACTTCGACATCACAGTGCCAAAATTATATCAGAGATCTCAGAAACCCAGGACCAACATCGACGGCGTTTTCGAGTTCTCGTCAAAGGCGTTGCGAGGCGTCGGATCGCTCTGCAACAACGTTCGCTACCTAGCTGCAATCAATAGCCTTTCTGGTTACAGAATAACATCTCAGCCTTGGTCCCGAATTCGCCAAGCTTTGATCAAGTGGATCGCCGCTAGCGCGAACTGGTATCACCGATATCTTGGTTTCTGAAGCCATTGGCAGGTATTCGTCTCGCGATTAATCCGCTACAGAATCAACGCCAGGGGGTCAAATCAGTGCTAAGGCGCAGAGCGAGCTTGCGGGATATCAATACATTAGCGCGCAATTGGCGCATTTCACCCCTATTCGTTGACATTTGAAGTCATCAAGCAACACAAAAGTACAATCATCTGCTCCCGCTATAGTCGAGGATAGCAGCGGTCTCGACAAAATGGCCTTCCTCCAAACAACCCTAAAATCGGGGTACATCACAGATCTCATCCTACCTCGCCCACTCGAAGGGCAGACACCGGACGAGGTACTGAAAGCGGGGCTCGATGCCATCTTCGCCTCAGTACACACGCCCAACACGATGATCACACTCAACCCACTCGTGCACGAAGTCAAGCAACTGTCGCCATCCGACCCGAAAGCCGTGGACGTGATGAGTGTGGCGCCCATCTTCGGCCTGGCCGTTGACGCGCCGTACGCCGTCCTCCGCGACGGCGAGAACCCGGCGCTCGGCGGGTTCCAGCAGTTCGAGATCCTGGACAAACTCAACGTCATGTTCGGGTACACCACCGACCTGACGTATTTCAGCGCGATCCGCGCCACCAAGATGGGCATGGAGGCGCTGACGAATGCCGGCTCCGGCGTGGTCATTTACGGGCGCTGGGAGATCAAAGTCTCCGGGTCGCCTGGTGGTGAGGGCACTAGTGGTGGTGGTCAGGTCATCAATCTGATCGAGAGGAACGAAATCAAGACCAATGTCCTCTTGAGCTGGTATATCAAGGCCAGTCTCGACAAGAGTCATCGCGAAACCCATCGTAGGCTGAAGGAGAAATGGCTCAGTGCGATGCGCGACGCCGGGTATAAGTCCTGATATGACTGGGATTGAGTATTGAGTCTCTACCAGTGTTTGTTTAATGGTGGTGTGAAGCGCGATGGAGTCATCCGTAGCCTGCGCGAAGTGGCAGCGGAACCTGCAATGAAAAGCGGCTGTTGGCATGGTTGTTGAACTCACGAACACTGTTTGCGGCCAGGCGGGCGCTGCAAGGGGTGCATATATATCTGGGAAACGACATCGAGTAAAATCGGTGTTGAGCCGTTTTGCTCGTTCAAGGCGAAACGGATGGATTGGGCTGGATTATCCGTATTGTTTATGACACTAAGTTCTTCGGAATGCACAGCAGACATATTTCTACATCTATGTCCATATTGCCCGTTTCGTTGACGTAGATACCGGCTATGAGACATGACATGGTTAACGTCAGTTAATCGTCCGTTAACGGATCGAAGCGTCCAACGGGGCCGACAGTTAGAGCAGGATGAAATGGGGGTATCATTATTAAATGTGGTCATAAATCCGGACATTTGCCCTCCTCTCCAACGAATAAGAGTTTCATGATAATGTAAAGCAGTGTTTTGTCTTTCGTTTACCTGAAGAGGCATCTCGTTGCATGTCGTGCGCCCTCACCAGCCGGAGAAATCTCCAAACCCACCACCTCCTCTTCCTTTCGTTTTCTTCCGAACGGGCTCTTCAGGCTCGTCATCGACAAACTCCAAGATCTCATCGTCATCCCCATTTCCAGCATGGGCTTGTGACTGGGTATTGGCAAGCGAGGCTTTCAGATATCTGCCCACGCCACCACCGCCGTCGCCATCAGAGTCATTACTGGCGGCACCATCTCGAATACGTTTCCCCGTCCACGTTGTGCGATCTAGTTTCCTCGTTTCCTCGATCTTACGCTCTTTCTCATCCGAGTCCTTCTTGTTCTTCCAAAACTCCTCGAATGGGTCGATGAAGACCCTGGCTTCGAGGATCTGAATCTCCTCTTTCGGCCGATCACCGCTGTCGACGGGGGAATCTTCCAAGGCTTTCAGCGTACGTGTAGATTCCTGGCCTGATTCGTCATCCGGATTGAGGTCCACGTGGCCGAAGATTGTGTGTTTCCGGTCCAGGTGGCGAGCTGGCCGGTATGCGATGAAGAACTGGCTGCTGTTGGTGTCCTTTCCTTTGTTCGCCATGCTGAGCGTTCCGCGCGCGTCGTGCTTCAGTGGTCCTTCGAACTCGTCGCTGAAGTTGCGGCCCCAGATGCTCTGTCCACCCTTCCCGGTTCCTGTCGGGTCGCCACCTTGCAACATGAAGTTCCGGATGTTTCGGTGGAAGGTTACACCATTGTAGTATCCTTTTTGGATTAGCCGAGTAAAGTTCCACACTGCCTTTGGGGCGTGTTCTGGGAGGAGTGTCAGGTATAAGGAGCCAAGTGTTGTGGTCAAGCGGACGTAGCCCTTTTCCTTGACTCGGCCTCGTTTCAGGAGATACTCTTCGTCGGACATTAATGCTAGAGCTGCTGACGTGTGCGGTGTTACACCAGTAGATGTGAAGCTGGCAGCGGCAAGGCCGGTCGTGTGTTGTGTCGCGTTGTAGGGGGTCGGTTTGGACTGTGTATGATTGCTGGATGATTTCGTGTTCTTTGACAAATTTGTAGAAGACTTGGAATCGCCCCCTTTGGAGAGCTGTGCATTTGCCCTCTCTGCACGTGCTTTCGCCACCGCTTCCTTCGCATTCATGATCTTCAACTCCGCGGCACTTCCCAGCGATGCAGAGTTGATTGACGCTTCTTCTTTGGGTACACCCGAGTCTTCGCCGTCTTTCAGGTACTTGAACGAACTCAGATTCCTCAACTCCACGTTTTGAGGATCCTGCAAAGTGATGAGATCCTTGCGGGAGAACTCTTCATCCGTTACAAGGTCCCGCCACATTTTGGCCTTGATATTCAACCGCTCGACCGTATCGTAGGCAAAAACATTGGCCGAGCCGCCATGCCGGATCGCGACAATATGCGTGTTGTCAGTGAAGACCTTGTAAGTGACTGGATCAACGTATTCGTCCTGCGCATTCTTTGCGAACTCAAGCTTGATCAAATCCGCCTGTTTCAACGGTGTACCGTCTGTGGGGTTCGTCTCATGTTTCAACAGCCATCTTAGTATATTCTCATGGTCGAATATTACCCCAGCCGCGGTGCATACGGGCGTTACGAAGGGTTGAAGGCTCAAAGCGCAGAAATTGAATGGAAGTCGTTTGAAACCCGCCTGTGCGGCTTTGCTATCAGCACCTGCGCGAACACCGGAGCCGGCTGACGCTGAGTAGGCGTCGCTCGAAGCCCATTCCGAGTGCGTTATCTGCAAGTCTGATCAGTATGGAAGGAGAAACTCAAGGGGGTAAAAGTCTCTCAGCCTGCGGGTGGGAGAAGTATGGTGGTCGTACATAGAGTTTGTCCGTTCCTAGATGATGCTCGTCAGTGAACCTGATGCGAGCGAACAGAATACGAGCTAACCTTTTCCCATGGCTGCCTGTGAGGTATCACAATCAACCTTGCACTACCGAATGTCAAGAGCCTAGAGTTGCGGGTTGGAAGTTTGTCTTTGAAACTTCCAAGAAGATGTAGATTTCTCGGCTGAATTTCCCCTTTTGGTTAGCGCTCAGCCTCGCGTCGGAATGAGGCTGTAAAGTTTATTCCTAACGCTGATGCACAGAAAGAAACTCAGTCAATCTTCAAGTTCATCAATGTCACAATAGAAAAGGTAACAGATCCGACAGCAGGTTTCATATTGAATCGCCTACCCGATCTAACAACTGCTGTGCATGTTCTACCCCAAAGAGAAAAGTTGTACTCTAAAAGTCTATCTCTCACACCCTTCCACGCGCGTGTAAAATGAAGTAACCGCCAGCAGTGTTCATGCGTGAACCGGTATCCCAACGAATCTGAGTAGTTCAGCAGCACCAATTGAAATCCAAGCATTCTTCTCGTCTTCATTGATAGCCCAGGCAAGACCCAAAACTCCCGCAGAATTGACTCCAACTCCACGTTCGAATCCACTATGACGCCGCGGCACTAAACAAATCCAGTCCTTGGTAAGGATGACATTATGAGCCGTTCCCGAGTCAGTTTCCCGTTGTATTTGTCGGACCTTTTCAAGGAGTCGACGATGGGCTTCAATGACGGTGGTTTCATCTGCATTCGATGGTAATCGTAGCACGAAATGCTTGAGAGGAACATTGGCTATGTCGTCTGCTATAACGGTTTCTGATCGAGCCTGTTTAGGAAACAATTCAAAGCCTAGCTCTTTCTCGTCGGGATATGGCCAGAGTTGCATATGCTTATGTCCTTGGCTGGAACCTGAATTGTAACCACAGTTGTAAATTATGAAATATCGCTCTTTGGAGAACTTTCCCAGGACTGCCCAGGCAGCCGTCAAGTCGCTATCGTTGAGCGCTTCTTCCTGGGGATGATATTCTCGTGTAGTGATCAAGAGGCTGGGTCGGTAAAATGCATAGATATTCAGCAGAAGCCGATGATCCCTTCCCACAGCTGACAGGATCTCATCGGGATTTGGATCAAGGAATGGATTCTTGCCCTTGCCCGTCTTCCGTTCTGGAGCATCAGGTTTCGTAATTGGCTTCTTCTGCAGCGCTGGTGCCAGCCGGAGCTCGAACTGCGAGAGGATACACCTATATTAACGTCGGTCTCTTCATAACAGCACAGCCGTCTTCAGCAATTAAGCACAAGACTGGCCGGCGTACTGTGAATAGTTGCAAGTGACTGACCTTAAAACCCTCGTCCTCCAGAGTTTCACCAGTGGTTTCCTTGTACGTGATCTTCCCACAGGATACCAATTCATCGAATCTCGTCCATGCAGTTGATTCTAGATTCTCTGCGAGCTGAATTGAACCTTTAAGATTTTTATCCGGCTCATTGGCCTCGGGACCAATATCGCCCATATTTCTGGGGGTCCCCAGGGTTGAAATTTCCAACCGAGCCTAGATGAGTGAGTTTCGCCCTTGCGCTGGTAAAGGACGATGGTGAAAATGATTTGAGTAAGTAGGAATGGATCTGCAAAGATCTAAAGAACTTGATTACCTTTCTAGTCTGGTTATCCTCCCTTGCATTCGGGAGAGATGGATTAAATGCGATGCAAGCACTTTGTGATTGCATTACGAATTTACGATCACGTGTCAGTGATGCCACGCACTCATGGCATGAAGCCACCCCCTTTTCTCGGACCTCTTGCTACATGACCTGTAGAGACTTATGTCATCATCACCCACAATTGTCTTTCAACGTCGCGAGTGCCCGCGATGACATCATAACAATCCAAAGTGCTCGTAAAAGAGGACATCTCTGGGATGACTTCTGACCATCACTTTGGGATAACAGTCTCAACACGGCGAGGGTGGGGACCGGCTGGTGACTATCCACCAGAAGCTGTGGATGTAGTGACGCGTGAATCCCAGGGGCAAATGCAGGCCAAAAGACGAGGTAGGCTACCGGACGAAGAACCAGAAGCTCTCCCCTCTACGTTGAAAGCTAGGTGGGTTGGAGAGGATGAAGCCAACGAAAAGTCGAGTGCCGCCGATGGACACTCCCCAAATTTTGAGGACGACTGACAACTCACCACGAACTTCTGATGCTTTCAACAATATCACAGGGTGAGAATAGCTTATTGGCAGACAATCACAATTTCCATACTGCTCTACAAGGATCAATTCAATTAGCAAACATTCTGCCTCACCTTATCGAGCTCATCGCAGAACTCACGACAGATTTCCGAATAGAATTGGAGGGATGTACTAGCTGGATATCGAGCCAACTTGTTAGCAACCTGGATGTCCTACCACTTGATCCTGACATTATGAAAAAGGCAACCAAGAAAACACTGGATACAATGCATGTTTTGTAAAGCTCTATGCTGAAGATCAACCATAGCGAGAGCGCAATTGAGAGTATGGTACACCTAGTAAAGATATTAAATAGCCAAGGCTAAGCTGGGCTGTTAGGATGGTATGAAACGCCGTCTATAATGCGCACCCATCCTCTTCTCGCGCAGGTCTGCTCTTCTGTGACATAACCGCTCCCGATGCAAGTGTAACGCGATCCTTCTCCGATGCAACTACTCAGCAGTCTTGCTCTTCTTCGTACGTAGCTTCATGAGTAGGTACACAAGGGCATAGCTTGAGCACACGAAGATCGTGACAATTCCGATGTCCCTCCATCCATAGTACTGCTCCTTGAGGTTCATCGATTTCAGCCAGTCGCTTCCGTATTGATACTGGCAGACTTGACAGCCAGCTTGAGCATTAGGATTCAAAAGGTTGCTCGACTTGCCATAAGGATTGGCGAGAAAATCTGCAAGGTATTCTGAGCAGGTCTGGTTGGAGGGGGGGTCAAAAACCGCAAGCTCTTCCTCGCTACACTTGACCTCAATATCCCAGTTTGGAAAGATCAATAGGCCGCCCATGAGATATTGAAAAGGATTGATCCAGTAGACCCAGTAACGCAGGCCTTCAACAATTTGCTGGTATGGAACGAGCACGCCACAGTACCCGACCATGTTGAAGATTATAAGAGGATTCGCGAGTGCCGCTGCGGTCGCGTTGGGTGCATACGCTGCGATAAACTGGCCGATACCGGTGTAGAGGAACTCATATATCAACATCATCAGGAATGATGGGCCTGCCTTGCTTGAGTCGCTTGAGAACCCCACTGTGTAGTAGAACGTGAAAAAGTAAAGTGTCGCACAAAGAACGAGGTAGGGCATTTCTGAAACAATCATTGCCGTAACGAATGCTTTCCAGCTGTACATTCGCGACTTCTTCTCTCGGGCATCGTATATGTCACGTTTTTCGATAAACAAGGGTTGCAGTTGTGCTGTTGGGGTCGTTAGCAACACTACCTGCAAATCGTACAAAGGACTTACTTATAACCCCAGGAGCAACGAAGATAAATTGGAACGTCGCAAACATACGAAGATTCAATTCTGTCACGCTGTTGCCAACTTGCCAGAAGCTGAAACCAGTGAAAAGTCCCGTGACGATATGTAGCATAAATTTGTTGTCGACATAGTCTGGGTTACGATAGATAGCTTTCGACATGCGGATAGTGACAAGCTTGATCTGGGTCCATAAGGGCGTAGCGTATTCCTTTCCGTCATCATGAGCTAGGGAAGAGTTATGATTGGCTTTCGGAACCATGTTATCTAGTTCGGCGAGCATAGCGTCGTGTTCAGGAGACTCAAGCCAGGTTCGATGCCAATCCTTCTTCCGGGTAGACACGATGTCAATCATGTGCTCAGCGGGGTTCTTTCCTTTTGGACAAGCGGCGTGGTTGCGGGCGAAGTATGCGTTGAGTGTGGCAGCCTGATCTCCGATCTCTCCAAAGTAGGCAGTCTTGCCACCTCGAGTAAGTAGAAGTAGATTGTCAAACTCATAGAATAGTTGCGCGCTGGGTTGGTGGATGGTGACTAAAATAGCCTGCCCTGCCGCTGCAAGCTTCTTGAGGAATCGAATAATGTTGTACGCTGCCTGTCCATCTAATCCGGAGGTGGGTTCATCAAGGAAGGTGAGAATGCTGGGCTTAGCGACAAGCTCGACACCGATCGTCAGTCGTTTACGTTGCTCAACTGATAGGCCTTGTCCATCACTATATCCAATAAGGCAATCCTCAATATCATGCATTTCGAGGAGGTCGATGATGACGTCGACATAAGCTAGCTTCTCTGGTATTGAAAAGTGTTGTGGTTGGCGTAAGAGTGCCGAGAACTCTAGCGCCTCTCTCACAGTGCTAGAAAAGATTAGCATAGACTTGCACGCGATGAGATGAGACTTACGCCAGTGGCTCGTGGACATCAAGTTGTTCGCAGTATCCAGCTGATCGTTGGAAATTGAGTGGAAGCGGTGAACCGTCGACAAGTATAGATCCGGTAATTGTGCCCTCCGTTTTCCGCTGCGCTAGCACGTCCATTAATGTTGTTTTGCCGGCTCCTGACGAGCCCATCAATGCACCCAATTGACCAGGTTTCACCCATCCATGGACATCGTCTAGCAGCTGCCGAGGTCCGTTAGGGGTTGAGACTGTGTACTTGAGATTTTTCCACGTGAAAATAGAAGTGTTTTCAGCAAGGTTTCCGATCGTTTTCTCCTCGGTATTCGAATTGCTGGATGAGTTGGTTGCTGGTATTGGTGTCTTTTCTGAATCCTGCGACTCAATATCACTGGAGGGCAAGCGCGCCTTGGTAGCAAGCTCTCTAGGGACGGCGAGTATTCCTTTCTGCGATGAGACGCTCTGCCACGTGGAGGTACCGACAATCGTCAGAAAAACATAGAATGCCCACCAAACCCTATCACAATCAGTCTCGGTGCGGAACTACAGATGTATATCACTCACCACACGATGCCGACATTCCTCCACAGGTGAGAGTGATCGTAACTGAGTGCTTGTAAATACTGTTCTCCCGTGACAGTGGTAGCTCCAGGCAATGCGCCAAGCACTCCTGTGCATGCTTGATTCTCTGCAAAACCATAACCAGGGCCTGTTGGCACAAGATTAGGACCAGCGCAATTGATGACTGTTCCATGCATTTCGTTAGAAATGAGGGCGTTGAACGAATATGCGATCGGGTCAATCCAGTAGATCCTGCTGTAGTTAGAAACGAATTCAACCAGAGAGGTCGACTCACCAGACAAACCAAGGCTTCATATCGCCTTTGTTAATCATGTAACCGCTATACAAGAGGAATACCAAGACGGCTACGCCAGAGATCTTGCTTGCATCGTTGAACGTCCTGAATGCAGCTCCCATGGCTCGGAAAGCAGCTGTCAGACAAAATGTGACCGATATAAGTATAAACCAGAAAGTAAAGAAGTCACCAGCGGACATAGATAGTCCAACCATGAAATAAATCGGGAGGGAGAAGGCCGAAATCTGGAAAAGCACGATAGGGATGTCGACAATGATCTGCGCGAAACACCAGGCTGCAGGATGGTGGTATGCCATAGCCCGATGCTTGGTCAAGACACCTCGCCCAACGAATGAGTCAGTGACCTCCGATTGGGCCAGAAAGACGTTGAACACAATAGCGGTGAAAAGGGTTCCCCCGCGAAGAAAAGTTCCTGTAGACGTATCGGGAGCGTTGTAGAAAAGTGCGCCAACAGACAATGCCTGGATGATATTCGATCCCTGCTTGACGAACAGAACGGTTTTGTCGCCTCGAAGGATCTGCACTTGTCGAATCACACTTGCCTTGAGTTGGGACCAGAAACCGACTTGGTATGGGGTTCGCCCTGACAGGAATCCTGGGTGTTTCTCATGTTGTACCATTTCTGTAAACTTGGTGGTGAGCTCTTTAGTTGTTGTTGCTTCCGGATAGTGCAGCTGACTATCCATCTGTTCCTTGAGGATTGATCTCTCATACTGCGCCCGAATTTCCAACCCAGTTCGCGGGAACCGAGACTCGAAGCCAGCTCGGATCTGTCGTTCTGTGGGAACCGTGACTCCTATTCTTTGTCAGTAGCGATAGCTTTAATGGATTAGACACACCTGTCAAGAAGTCGCCGACGTTAGCGCCATCGGCACAGACAAAGCCAAGATCCTCGAAGAACGGTTTAGCGGACTCTTTGGGGCCGTAGTAGATCTGCTCCCCATGCTCAAGCACCATGACTTTATCGAAGACCTCATAGATGCCGTTACCAGCTTGATAAAGCGTGACGATAGATGTGAGACCGAAGAGATCTGTCAACTTTCTCACAGACTGGACGAACTGCAATGCTGTGCTTGCGTCAAGCCCCCTTGTTGAATTGTCCCAGAGGCAGATGCTGCCTTGGGCAGCCATGACCTCTAAGATGCTAATACGCTTTCTTTCGCCGCCTGATACCCCGCGAATGTATTCATTGCCGACTCTGGTGCCTTTCGTGTGCGAGACTCCGAGCATGCGGAAGAGGAAATCAGCAGTAGCCGCTCTAGCCTCTTCTGGAGAAGCGAAGCCATTAGGAGTACCATATGGTACCTTAAGACGTGTTGCGAAATCGATCGTGTCTCCGGCAGTCAAAGTCGGGAAGAAAGTTTCCTCGTCTTCGGCCATAACAATCTGACCACTGTATTGTGTTGCTGCGTGATGGAGAAGCGAGCCATACATGACTTCGCCATCAATTTCTTTGAAGCCTTTGCGTCTGTTGCCTAGGACCTTCAGAAGAGACGTGCATCCAGCCCCTGGTCGACCAAGCACAAGCAACATCTCGCCTGGCTTGACGCATCCCGAGCTATTGTTAATGATTGTCTTTGTTGATGTAGTTGCAAAGTTGTCCTTCCTCAAGAATTTGGGGAAGAACTGCGACACGACGTTCTCATTCACGGTTCCACCCGCTGCTGCGCCTCTGATTGTCAAATTTTTCCATGTGAGTCCAAGGCTCCGGTTCACTGGGATCTCCGTCGCTAGCCCTGGCAGAGTACGCCAGTCAAGCGCATCTTCCTCATCTTCAGGCTCGCTGGCTCGGCTGTAGGTCCTGCTGATCCGACTGCGAAGTGTTGATGGACGCCGTAGCGGGTGAGATGTTGTTTCCTCGATATCTGCGTGCTCCTTGCTAGGGACGGAGTCCATCATTGCGTGCTGGTGATGGATAAAGGCGTGTCGACTTGTACTTGAGTGACTTGAAGCAGCAAATGAGTACCCTACTGCCGACGAAGCAACAAGGCCTTGTTAATATAGCTCAAGACGAAGCATGCTATATATGAATATTCGTTCTCGCCCTCGTAGTCGGCAGCAATTGCTCCGCAACTCTAATCGCAGCTGATCAAACATTGAAAGAAATGTTAGATAATCGTTCAATGAAGGACACCAACCATCATCGCCCTTCAGGATCTAGATTTGCTCATCGTGTGAGTGCACGACGTACGGAAAAGGGGGACAGTTCTCCACGCATCTCCTTCACGTGCTCCGGAGCGGTTCCAGTATCAGCCCGCATACTCACAGTGAAGCTTAAAAAGCTGCTTCCTATTGGTGGGTTGATGTTGATGCGGTTGTGATTAACGTTACGGCCGAACGGCCAAACACTGTTCGCCAGTTTTATTTTTCCTGCTGCCCTCCGGGCCAATCACATCAGGCTCCAACCACTCGCACTAAGATATTTAACTTCTGCTCATAATGTGTTTACTGATCTCTCCATATGCAGTGCTTTCGTAAGTTGGGGACCTCTGACGTTAAGACTTACAGAGATTGGTACCTCAACTCGTGATTAGTACCAATGCCAATTGCCTTCGCAACCTAAATCTATGGGGTCATATCCATAAGAAAAGAACGTTTGGTAAGTGAGCACAAATGGCCATTGCTGTCGGGGTGACTTTGTGCCGCGAATCTCGAAGTTTGGAGAATTGGAGAGAGCTCAGGCTCAAATGGTTCGTAGGCATCTGGAGACAATCAGGAACCTTAGTTTCCGAAGCCAAGCCTACTCGAATTTTGGAGTTCAATCGGGGGTGGAGTGCGATTCTTGGCATTACAGAAACCGGATGGCCCCCATGGACAACTGCACAAAAGATATGCTTCGTTTGGAGCTCCGAGATTCGGATCACTGCTGCAAAAGCCTATAGAACTACTGAATCTAAAATAAGACGAGACGCCTAAAGGGTTGTCCAAATCTAACACAGAAGTCACAATTCATCTAATCTTTGTCTATCGGACAGAGACTAGTTAACAATCCGAGTCCGATTCCTAACCTGTCTAAACCCGAGACAAATCCGCTCAGTCTTGTCCGATATAGAGTCTAAAAATCACGATCTCCAGATCTAAAGGCGCTGGCATGGTCACGTACATTGAAAACTGGAGTATTTAGTCAACGCTCCGTTCGCATGCCCCAAAACTGCAAAAGATATGCACTTGGATAGATCAAGTAGAAGCGTTGATGATATGGGGCGTTTTTTCGCACCATGGCGAGCATGACTGGACATCTCCTCTTATGTGGAGATTTATGGCCGATGCCGCGACTTTTGCTCAGACGAAACTTCCACCAGTTGTCTGGCCCGCTCATCAGCTGTGAGGTCGCTCTTGGCTCTGCCAATGTGGAGGAATGCGGCAATTATAAGAAGCGAAGTGGTGGCGCAGCCAACCCCTAGGTAAAACGGGCCGCGATATATGTCCGAGTGCTCATACCGCTGGATCATATCCGCCACACCCAGGAAAAAGCTGATTCCCAAAAAGATTTCGCTATTGATGATCGCTCCGGCCAGTGCTTGCCTATTCTTTGGGAGACTTGTTGTGATGAAGATGTTGGCTACACCATAGGTGATGTCCACTCCAAGTGTGGCTCCCAGCATCGCTGGAAAGACATAGGCCCAGTAGCTTGGGTTTTTCGCGGGGATGACGGCGAAGAGTACAACACACAGCAGATAGCCGAGACCAGAGATTAGTAAAGCCATCTTGCCTGAGATTCTATGCAAAGTGAACCCACTGACGACAGCCAGTATAAGCCCTCCAGCGGCCATCGGGGCGAACCATGCTGCAGCGAGCAGGCCATGGATGTGAACAACTTCTTGAATGCTATTCAGTATTAGTGGGTGTGTGGAGTTCGATTTGACCAGAGTGCTTACTAGAATCCAGCGTAGATGAGATAGATGCCGAAGACGCCAAATGACAGGAATAATGACACGAGAAGCGGTACCATGCATGAGGTTTGGAATAGATCTGCGGGCAGCAAAGGCTGCTCTGCAACCCAACCTTCTAAATAGACTGCGATGAGCAAGCAGAGGCACCCAAGGATGAAAGTGACATAGATTTGAGGTGCTGACCATCCGCGCGCGGTGTGTGCGCTGTCGGTCAAGGCGTAAACAATGAGGAGCAGACCTGGGACCAATGTGCATACACCCCACCAATCCATTCTCGAGTCTTTGGTCAGCACCAATTCCTGTGGTGCAGCTAGAAGGGCGAGAGGTGCAACGACAAAGAGGATGATTCCTCCGATCCAGAAGTACCATCTCCATGAGAGATACTGGTCAGTGATGCCACTCGAGAGAATACCAGCGAAAAAGCCGACAGGTGATAGAGCGCCGTAGAGGCTGAAGACAAGGTTTTTACGCGGGCCAGGTCGATAGATGCTGCCCAGGAGCATGACTCCAGATGGGAGGAAGGCGGCGGGCCCGAACCCTTGAATTGCTCGAAAAATGATTAGCATGGTGTAATTCTGGCTGAAACCGCAGACCAAAGACCAAATTGCGAACCAAAAGAGGCCAGCGATGAAGACGCGGTAGCTACCCCAGACATCGGCGATTCTTGAGAATGGCAGTAGAACCGCACCGGCTACAAGAGAAAAGCTACTTGCTGGCCAGATCCGTTGACCTGCTGGGATCTCGAGTGCTTTTGCGAGGGTTGGTGAGATGAGTCCGAAGCCGCTGATGAAATACTCCTGGAAAATTGTGAGCGAGGGTATGAGGTATAATGCGACATAGACTTACGGCCATGAACATTGATGCGAGGAGCGAGAAGCAGAATGCTATTTCTGCGAAGGCTGTTGGGAAAGACTCTGGCCGTCGTCGTCCAAGCTGGTCGAGCTCATCCTCCGTGAGTGGGATAGTACGTGCAATTGATATTGTGTTTGACCCTGACGGTTGATCAGAGGGTGAGTCGCGTATGCAGCTATTGGACTCAAGGTCTGGAAACATGGATAGTCGAGCACGAGACACTGTGAAGGCGAAGGCACTTGAGAGGGAAGGAAACGGGCAGAACGCTATTGACGTGGATTTTAACAGCCATCTCTCGATTGATGACTTGAATTTTATAAAAAACAGCTAGCTAGTGGAAAGAAAGGAAAGTTGAAAGGCACGAAGCTCAGTATTGCGGTGGATACGCAGATAGCCAGGGCAAGTGAGCTAGTCCTGGACAGGCAGCCAAGACACAGGCTTTGCTTTAGCGTCGACTGATGTCATCAGTTATCGTAACGTCTTTGGCACTCCCCGTAGAGCTTTTTCTCTGTTACCGGGTCTTTCTAAGTTTTTCAAGACCTTTCGTGAAGTCACGATCCACCCGAGGGGCGCTACTATTCACCCATATACTCGAAGCAAGTGCTCTCCTTGTAAGCGATTCGCTGCATACTTGTGATGCCCGAAATCTGATCAATATTGATGGCATTCGGGACACTGTCGAATCAATACCTAATGCTCTCAACTCCCACCCCATCTGCAACACGGCGCGCAGTAGACGCCTTGATTGGTGGAGCATCTGGTTGAAGCTTTCAAGCTTCCTCAATGCAATCTAATCTTCAGAAGACGGAGCGCCCCAATGGGCCTTGTCACAACTGTCGGCAAAATCGTCACGCTTGTGATCGCTCTTTTCCATACTGTATGAAATGCTCATCAACAGGGCGGGCATGTCTTGGATATGAGCCTCGTCTCAGATGGACCGATAGTGTCGCCAGCCGTGGAAAGTTCAGTGGGAAATCATTTGATGTCTCGACGTCAACGGGATCGGATGGTGTATTTCCACCTGTATCATCTCCGCAACGCAAAAGCACAACGGATATTCTGCTGTACTTGACCGCCACGAAAGCGCCTCCCAACCCGCAGCCTTCTTCCAATGAGACCGTGGAATTTTATATGTCATATTGTAAGTGAAGGTGCATGGTACGGAAGCTCTTGACTGGTTACCTGACTTGGAACACAGATGACAGCCATGTATGCAAGGATCTCGTTCTCGAGGACCTGCCCCACCGTAACAGCTTCCGCAACCTCCTCGATATTTCCCGCCACCAACCCATGCTTCGTGAGATCATGATCGCCATTTCGGCTTTACATCTTGCAAATTTGACTAATACAAAGCACTTGGTAGGTGTTCAGTATTTTTCACAGTCTAGGTCAATCGGTTCCCCGTACAAGGATGCCCTCGTGGCCAAGTCGAGAGCACTGTGTCTGCTTGCGGATGGCCTTGCCAAGATGTCAACATCGAACGGAGACGTGTTGTTGGCGACAATCATGCTCTTCATCATGTTTGAGATGCTCGATTCGGGGACCAAGGAGTGGAGATTCCACACGGAAGGTGCGAGGCAGTTGATGGAGTACCTGCACGGCAATATGAGAGCGGAGTCGGTTTGCCTCAAGGATTTGCGGGCCTCCTTGATGTCCACCTGCATAGCGTATACACATCATTGTTGCCATCATGCAATACGCTGACAAAGCATACAGATACAATATTCTTGGAACCACGTTCACAAAGTCTTCGATTGATTGCCGCGATTGCATCAACCCATCCATGGTGCAAGACGAAGATCTTGCGAACACTTGTCTCTCGTGCCCGCCACCCCTGCTGCGTATCATCCGAGACGTATCGCAATGCTCACGAAGAGAGAAATCCGAGCGACTGTCAGTACGAGATGCCGACCGCCTCGTATCTCTTACGGCCGCGTTTGACGTGCTTGCATGGGTAAGCTCTCTTCAGCGAATCTCCGCTTCATTCGATATCGAGAAGCGCCTGCATGTCGGAATGGCGTACAAGAGCGCAGTTTGCATCTATGTCATGCGAGCAGTCTCACCCGATGCAAGTATGTCCGAGCCACTCGAGGGGTGGGTTTCGGACATCCTATATCACCTCTCATTCATCCCTCCAGGTGACTGGTTCTTCAAAGCAACATGTTGGCCTTCCTTCATCGCCGGAGCTGAGACGAACAATGCCACGCAACGCGAAACCATCATATCGCGGCTCGAAAAAGGACTCATGGACTTGCCATGGGGATATCTAGCGAATGCAGTTCGTCTGCTGCGCAACATATGGTTGCAAAAGGATGGAGGCGGCAGCTTGGACTGGCTCGTGTCACTTAAGGAGGCGCAAACGGATTGGTTAATTGCTTGAGGCGCCCTTATCCCTGGAGTCTTCACGCTGGTACTCCAAGTCTTGGCAATCCACAAATAAATGCGAATGGAGTAAAATAATGCTGCTGTGGAGGAAGAGGAGGAATATGATGATAAGGACTTTTGGTCTAGTAACGAATGTTGTAGAACAGGTTGACTTGAACCCAAGTTGGTATCGAATTCATGGACCTCTGCAATCTAGACTGCAGCAACCTTATCGGCAGGGATTAAAGTGCGTGTTCTTGACAGAGTAGCGAATGAGGTGGAGGTCTAGTCTTTGTCTCTTCTCCTCCTCGAAGACTATTCTGTCACCACTTGGACCGATATCTTTATGCCGCACTAACATTTGGCGGGGTTAGAGCCTACGGGGATCTCCTCTTCGAGACAATATCTTCTCCTCCGGGGTAAGTTATGGGCGATATTGATCGTGTGGCTGTGAGATTATGGCGATACCAAGGGGCCGGAATCGGAGGTGGAGGTGGTGCGTCCTAAGCCGAAGGCAAACCCTAAATGCGGGATCGAGTGGCGAATCATGCGCAAGACCCCGGGTTCTTGATCAATGGTCAGGGGCTGGCTTTTAAAGACGCTCCGCCAGCTGAATCTCGTCGCGGCCTTTCACGGTAAATGCCGGGCCCGGATCTTGAAAGCAAGATTCTTTTCTGACCCCAGCGTTCCTGAAAACGTCCACCTGCCAGCAAGTGGACAGAGCATTATCCTGTTCTACCATACAAGCACCTCAATCAATATCAAATAGCGACTGCTTTTCTAGCATTTTCGACGATCCCGAACGCAGAGATTTCTACGTACGTACTTGCAAGAAAAAGAGCATCTTGAACATGGCAGCGCTCGTTGGCGAGAGGAGCATAATCCACCAAGATATTCCAGCGGTCAATCTGCTGGACAAGGCCACAACGAGTCATTACGAGACGGTGAAAACCTATAAGCATTCAAGTCATCCACTGAAGACCGCCAGGCCGATTCGGATCATTGTAGTAGGAGCTGGGTTGAGCGGCATTGCGGCAGTCAAATTGTTCAAGGAGACGTTTCCAAATGGGGATGTGGAACTCGTTCTATATGAGAAGAACACCGATGTGACGGGCACATGGCTTGAGAATCGGTATCCTGGGTAAGTTGACCGTGAAGGAATTTACTCCTGACCACCTAAACATGCACAATTTACAGCTTGCCGTGTACTTGTCATCGTACTAATGCTACCAACGAATATATAGCTGTGCTTGTGACGTCCCTGCTCATGCATACACATACTCTTGGGAGGGGAATCCAAGCTGGAGTCGGCCCTATGTAGGAGCGGTGGAATTGTACGAGTATTTCAAAGGCCGTGCCACTGCCTATGGTGTGGATGAGTTTGTAAGACTCGAGCACAAAGTAACCAACGCCAAATGGGATCAACGGTCCGGTAAGTGGAAGATACAAATTACGAATCTCCAAGATGGCACCGACATCACGGATGAAGGCGAAATCCTGATCAATGCTACTGGATTTCTCAAGTACGTTCAGACTCTGTGTTGCTCGCAACAATGGTTAATTGAGTAACATAGCTCTTGGAAATGGCCAGATATTCCGGGTCTCCAGGAGTTCGAGGGAAAATTGCTACACTCAGCCGATTGGGACCATAGGTACGATTTCAAGGACAAAACGGTTGTGGTAATTGGTTCGGGAAGTTCCGCTATTCAGATTGTTCCTCAGCTGCTATCAAGTATGGAATATTTCTTCGCACAGAGTGTCTTCAAATAGCCGTACGTGCTAACAGTGGCAGGTGTAAAACATCTATATTCGATCAATAGGTCAAAGACTTGGATAATTCCGGAGTTTGGGGCTGAGTTCGCGCCTGAAGGCAGAACATCATTTTTCTCAGAATCTCAGAAAGACCAGTGGGCGAAAGATAAAGACAGCTTTCTCGAATATCGAAAGCGTGTTGAGACGAGTCTCAATAAATACTGGGAAATGATGTACAAAGGCTCGTCTTTACAAACAATGGCCTCTGAAAACTTTCGAAAAGCTATGGAGGAACGCCTGCAGCATAATCAGGAGTTGATCAGCAAGCTTGGTAAGTCGTGTTTCCTAGCGACACATCAAGAGTCTCTGGTTCTGATCGAAGATATAGTACCTGATTTCGAAGTTGGTTGTCGTAGACCAACACCCGTACGTGTTCAGCGGAAGCCTTTTTCAGCCCGATCAGGCGATACTGATGGGCATCTTTTAGGGCCACGGCTATCTCGAAGCACTTGCTGCACACAACGTCACCGTGAAGACAGATGCAATCGAAACTGCAACTGCAAATGGTCTTCGATTGGCCGAGGGTACTGTGCTAGAAGTTGACGCTATAATCTGCGCAACCGGATTTGACACCTCCTTTCGTCCGCCGTTCCCAGTGACAGGCTTGGAGCAAGACCTACGAGAGGCGTGGAAGGACGAGCCTCGCTCATACTTATCGATAGCAGCGGCTGGAACTCCAAATTACTTTAGTAAGTCTTACTTTCGGCGGACTGGACCTTGAGCCTTGAGCTACCCTAACACGTGTGATTACCTTACAGTTACCACTGGACCAAATTTTCCTGTCGGCAACGGCTGTTTGATTCCATGTCTCGAGGCCAACATAAAATACGCCTTTGCGGCTGCTAACAAAATCCGACATGAAGGAATCAAATCGCTCGCACCAAAGCCGAGTGCTGTGGATGATTTCCAAGAGTACAAGGATTCATTGATGAACGATTTAGTATGGTCAGGCTCTTGTGTGTCTTGGTTAGTTCGGCGAGCCTATTATTCCTACTTAGTAGGCACATTCCTGACCCAACTAACCTCAATCAGGTACAAGAACGGAAAGAAGGATGGCAAGGTATGGGGACCTTGGCCTGGATCGGCACTTAGCTATCTCGCAATCATGTCCGCACCGCGATGGGAAGATTACGACATGATTTATCTCAAGGCAAACAGATTCGACTATTTCGGTGATGGTAGAGATGGACTCTTAGCAGAAGGTGGAGATCTGGCTTACTACCTGACGGAGCCCGGTGCGTTGAAGCATTGAATTGTATTGGTTCTTTAAAACCAGTCGAAATATATTCTATACATTATCAATAGAGCATCTGTTAGAGTCACTGCTGCTGTGGCCTGCCTGGCTTATCTTTCATGTGCGGCTATAAGCTTTCATCAAAGCTGCTACCAAATGGAAGCAATGGTGGCGAGTGCATTATAGGCGTCATGTTCCGAATGATCTAAAATTCTAAAGGGTTTCGGCAATAGGCCGACACTTGTTGCGGAATCTCCATCTTCATACAGATTTCACAGTCAAGACTGTACCTTGATTATAGGGAGCTCATTTTATTTTGTACTGCTTGGAGTCTCTAAGTTTGCGCATTTAGACCGCAGGTCGCTGTGTCGGCGAACCTCGCTCACTGAGACAGATGCCACAGGGCATGAAACGTTGTAATACTGGCCGTGGTGGATTTCACATTTCGAAATACTTATGACATTGACAGATACTAGTGACATCATTGTCTAAAGTAGCCTGGCCGCGCTCAAACCACCCCCAGGCCACGTAGACGTCGATAGTAACCTACATAGAGCTCAAGAAGGGATTGCTATGTTCCAGCCACAGCTGTCAAGATGCCATGAGTACGATTGGAAAAGTTCGTCACAGGTGTGAGGTTAGCTTAGTCTTCCTGAGTGGATGTCCACCTCCTGGGCCCCGAACTCCGAGTATTCCACACTGCACGAGAGGACCTGTGGTGGTAGCGATCGGGACCGAAGTGTGCGTCAGATGGTGAGCGTAATGCATATTGCCGATCAGTCGGCTACGATCTTTCCGCGTTAAGAATGATAACAATCTTGACAGGGCGATGTGTCGTGGTCGAATCTTAGAAGTGTACTTATGTTAGATGGACCTAGATGGACTTAAGTCACTCAAGATTGCAGGCTAAGACTGTCCATTTCACCTTCCAGTTTGAGCTCCATTACGGCTACTTCGATAATAAGAACAAGAACAAGCACAAGATAAAGAACAGGAACAGGCATCATCTAAAATGAGCCATTCGACGGACTCATCTGACAGGAAAGTCATGTTTGTTGCACACCATAATCTTGAAATCATATGCCAATTCGCTTACTCCTACAAAGCATCCTCACTGGCGCGGGAGGTGGCATAGGTCTTTCGATCGTCACTCAATTGCTGGTGCAGCCTTCAGTTTCGCTCGTGGTTGGCGTAGATTTGGCCATTTCGCAACTTGAGGCCCTTCTCGAGGAACACTCGGACAGGCTGTCTATTGTTCAAGGAGACGTCTCCGTGCGGGCAACGAGTGAGCGGGCTGTGCGGGAAGCTCTGAGTCGCAAGGGAAGGCTCGATTCGATCATCCTCAATGCAGCTATCCTCAGCCCCTTGGGTCGAGCAGCAGAGACATCGGTAGACGATTGGAAACGGCTCTTTGACATCAATTTCTTTGGGCTCTTGCATAGTGTAAGTGGCTCGATTCCTATTTGTCGGACCATAGACATGCAAAAGCTAATGTATGGATGAATGGCCACGAGCACCAGATACAAGTGGCGCTGCCCCATCTACGTCAAACGAAAGGACAAATTCTCATGACCTCGTCTGAAGTTTCGTTGACTCCCTATTCGACTTGGACGGCATATGCTTGCTCAAAAGCGGCAATGAATTGGCTTGGTGCTTGTCTCACAAGAGAAGAAGGGCAGGTGACAATTCTGTCCGTAACTCCAGGTATCGTGGATTCTGGAATGCAGAAACAGGTGAGAGACCAACGTAAGTGACACAGTTGCCACTCTCGGGCTGCTGTACTGAAGTCGTGACCAGAGCAAGCAAATATGCCTCTAGAGCAGTACAATTGGCTGTTGGACCTCCATACACAAGGCAAGCTCCTTCGGCCAGAACAGCCCGCTAGTTCCTTTGTGCATCTGGTGCTTAGCGGGATCCCCTCACGACTGAATGGTCAAGTCGTAGGCTGGGATGATGCTGAGATCTATGCCGGCACATGAGCTGCATAAGCCTTCTCGTGCAAGATAGGAGGGCTTATGTTGCGCAAGATCAGGATCTTTGACTATGTCTTTCTTTTCTTGGCCACGGGGCGTGTACTGAGGGACGTAATTACCTTGGCGAGGCTATGGGCCATACCCCAGCTCTTTTGCCGATTTAGTAATGACGCTGTTTGATTCAGGACTTGTTGCCTTCCTTTAGGGCAACACAATGACGGAATTCCAAACAGACTTGGCTTGTCACTACCACCGGTATCGATCCAATCCATATGTCGGCTGGGGCCACTTGTAGGAATGACTCCGAGCTCGTCGAGCTGGAGTGAAGGACCCCGCAAGGTAGCATCAATTTGAGGAAGTAATGTGGACATACAAGCTAGCACGACGCCCGCATGGAATATGATGAAGGACTGCAGAGGCATCTGACTGGGGTACCGCCTAACGAGGCCGATGAGCTGGGAACTGTGGAATGCCACCTCTCTCGTTCTTTTTGTGTCCTCCTTCGCCCACTGTTCCATGCGTATGCTTATCTGTTCTGCCTCTGTATCGTCGCGGAGATAAGGGAAAATCAAGTTCATCAAGTCACCAGCACCATAAAGATGTGCAACGTGGACTAACTGAGTTCGATGTACCAAACGTTCCATCTCTGGTCTAGTGTGTGTGTCGGGTATATTCGGAATTGGAGCAATCATCTGGTCGATTGTTTGCAACAGTGCCAGACGTTCGTGCTCGTAGTTAGACTGGATAGTAATATCAATGGTTGGGTCTGATCGATTTTCCTTCAATGTCCAGAGCTTCCTAAGCAGCGTCAAAATAATGATGGAAAGATGATCCTCTTCTTGAATTTTCTCGAAGGAAATGGCAGTACCATCGAATAGTGATTTAAGCAGGGGCCGTAACTGTACTGTCGAGGGCATATTTCGAGACCACGGATGCAGACTTGCCCAAGCTTCTGCAGTCTCAGCTTGCCAGTGGTCATCCGAACCAGGAAGTTTGAGTTTCATGTCCCCACAGCTCAGAAATGGTCGATTATTGTGTAAATAAGCAACCGAGGTATCGTACTTGTAGATAGCCCATCCCAATCGCCGTATTGTCTCCTGACGAATATAGGATCGCCACCTCTCGTCAAGAGAGCTTGTCACAGAGGGTGTGGCCTGACTGCTCTCCAGTGAGAAGATCCCCATACATTTTGCGTGATGAAGCAATCCACTACGGCATGATTCACTGAGCTCGAAGAGCCGTGGACTTCCACTACAGTAGCCATCTTTTGATAGCGGTCTTTAGTCAGTACTGCTATCAAATCATGGTACAGAATGGGAGGAGCAGGGTTTTGCGCTGCTTATGGTAGGGACAGGACGAGGCAGAACTTACGAACTCCTTGAAGTAAACGTGTGGTGAGATAAGACCGCGTCCGAACGAATCGATGGTCATGTTCAGCCATGAAGACTAGAAGACGACGAATGAGGTCAGACAGCGTCGTAGAGAATGCTTGTGCGCCATCAAACTCAGTGTAACAGGCTCCGATACAGGTCACTGCCAAAGTCACCACGAGATCCTCAGCAGGGTCGAAGGTTGGCAGGTGAATGATGGCGAGCGTGGGTGAAAAGTGTGCGAAATACAGATCGATGCAATGATCCAACTTCTCTTTGGAAGGGAAGTATTCAAGATTGAGAGACTGTAAAACATTGTGATCGAAAGGCAGGTGGATGCACCGTTGAAGAGCATAACAAGTCTCATCACTTGTGGGTTTTAGGTGATAATAGCGATCTGTTGGGACCGTTGATTGCGCTGTTGTGCCCAACGCTGGCAGTGTTATGTGTCTTTGTGGAGGTCGGGGAGTCTCAAGCGGCCACGGGTCTCCATAGCTGCGGGTGGCCTGTGGTTGAGGGATCAGGAGGCCGCCAAATGGATCCTCAGACCGAGACGCAGCATCTTTCTTGCCAGCATTAGTGGGTTCATAGGAGTGATCCGTGCACGAGAGAGATATCATTTGGGCTGCCGACAGGTTATGATGTTGAAAGGTTCCACCATCAGGAAATCCTCTAGCATCAAAGAGACTTGATTCCCATTGTAGATTTTCTGAGCTTGTCGTTTCCAAAAGCCAATCAAGGTTGGAGTTGAAGTCCAAATTATCGAAACCGGTGAATAGCAGATCTTGCGTTGGGCCAGTAGGCATTTCCAAGTCCAGTTCCATGCTAAGCCTCTGGTCTTGGGCTTGCGAAACATGTCTGGTATAGCTTTGGTTGGTACTATTTTCCATCATGAAAAGACTCTCACTGAACGGTGAGGTCTCCGTAGAACAAGCCGTGTGTTCCAGCGGAGACAGCACGGACGATGATTGTGGGAAGACAGGCAAAGATACATGCGATGCCTCTCCGGGGTTGACGGCGCTTGCGATCTTGGACTGCTGCGTCCGTGGCTCGGTAAAGACGCATGTAATATTTCGTTTCCGACAGGAAGAGCAGTTTGGGCGTTCGCCGTTACAGCGAATCTTTGACTGAGAACACGAGAGGCAAGCTTTTCTTTTCGACCCAGAGTGCAATCGAGTCCTGTCATGAACCTGCATGTGTCTCGCTAGTGCGTCTTTTCGATCAAAGGGCCTGGAGCAGACATCGCAGTGGTATCTGGCATGTCTTGACGAGTCGTCGTTGATGGGCATCTTTGCGCAGATCGCCTCAGCCGATATTGCAACACAGCGAGGACGGGATGAAGGATTGACTTGAGGGGCTCCTTCCCGGCCAGGAAAACTTGGGGAAAGTCAGCCGTTTGCCCCTCGTTCGCAATATGGCGCGGGGCTGAATTCCGTTCGGGGACCTTGGGATGCAACTTGGGCGCTCCACAAACTCGAATTCCTCCCCTTCCCAGCGTGACCCCTGGCACCCCCTGGGGAAGCCTAGCCTGCTGACTCATCTACTCGTAGTACCTGCACGCGCAACCTATCACCAAGGGAGATGGGACTCCTCGCTTACGTGGTCTATATCTAATATCTGGCCCAGGACCCAACAATGGTTCACGTGGAAAGAGTCTGAGTAGAGCACTGACCAGAAGCTGCGTCGAAAACTTTGTCAAGAGTGCCAAAGAGGGCTCCCTCGTACCAAAGTCGAGCCTCGGAGTGAGTGTGGTTTGCCAAGTCCGAACCGCCCAATGCTTCCCTCTAAGTGCCACTCTTTCGTAAGCTTCAAAGCTGCCAGGGCTGGTCTCGAATTCTCGCGGCTTTACGTAACATCAGCTTCCAGTGAGAGTGGACTACCAGTGTGTAAGGTTCTGCTTCCGACCATACGAGTATGTCTGTGATAAGACGATTCAGACGATATGCATCATGGTCATTCGACGACTACCTCCGTGTCACGACAATGGCTTAAGATATATATGCCTCGCTCTGTTCTCACCTTATTTGGTATCTGTGTAGCTATTCGGAACGCTCCAGTATGGAAACAGCCACGCAACAGAGCTTACGCGGGAAGTTGGCCATTGTTAGTGGCAGCTCGATGGGAATAGGAGCGGCTATATGTGTTGAGCTTGCATGCAGGTCGATAATACTACCTGCCACCGATTGCGATTTGGTTGAAGGTTTAACCGCCTGAATGACTACAGCTGACTTATTATCCACAGAGGCGCCCAAGTCGTGGTGAACTATCCTTGGCCTAAGGAAAAGCACGATGCAGACCAAGTACTCGAACGCATAAAGAACGCAAATGGCCGTGCTTCGGACGACTCTTTCGCTGTTGAAGCAGACCTATCCACGGTCGAAGGACCCCAATCCCTGGTCAATGAGGTCGTTCGGCTCACTGGCAGAAGGATTGATATTCTCGTCAATAATGCCGGTATTGCCATTATGCGGCCTTTGACTGACGTAGTGTTGGACCAATGGGATGCTCAAATCAATCTTAACGTGCGAGGCATGTTGCTGCTCACACAGGCGGTCGTCCCGCACCTAGCACAAAATGCTCGCATCGTCAATCTCAGCAGTACGGGCGCAAGAGATGGATATGCCGGTTCAACAGTTTATAACGGCACAAAATCTATGATAGAATCATTTACTCGCTGCTGGGCCATGTAAGTGCTCCAGATCTCCGCATACGTCCAGAATTTTCTTGCTCATTCAGTTTTTCTTAGAGAATTGGGCCGTACATATGGCTGCACAGTCAATGCCGTGCAGCCGGGTCCCACAAGGACCTCTGGCTTTGAAGGTGCAGGGCCCGCCTTCCTGACGAAAATTCAGCCTATACTGGATGCAACACCAATGGGTGCGAGACCTGCCGAGCCCTCTGAGATAGCTTGGGCCGTTTCATTTCTGTGCGAGGGCAGAAGTGGTTGGATTACTGGAGCGTGCCTCCCGGTCAATGGAGGGTTTTCGATGCCTTAGAGGCCAGGACTATCACATGGTTGGGCGCTACGCTTTTATGGATTATGGAATATGGATACAAAACCTGACCAGACTCTCAAGGTTTAGAACTTAGCGTGTCAGTGGCTGCAGAGGAGTATGTCAACCCGGCTCATCCGCTGAGGTAATCTATGCTTTCCACAATGAAGACACTGCAAGCTCGAGAACATCGAAAATACTCCATATTACAGATAATAGACATCCTAGTGAAATGACGTGTGGGCCATAGCGACTCAGCTGGGCCGAAGACTTGCTGACTCAAGCTATTGCGTCTAGAAGAGAAAGATCTTGAGTCGAGAATCTCTCTCTCGAAGCTGTTTACCATAAATGTAAATGAGGAGAGCACCAGCGTCAATGACGAATACCAATCCGGCAATAATGCAAAAGACTGTCACTATTCCATTTTGGACAAGCCAAGGAATCACGCCAAACCCCATGCCGAAAGATACCACATTCTTGAAGCCGTTGAAATTCTGTTGCACATGATTAGTACAATTGTACCACGATGCCAAAGAAAAGAGATCCATACCACTAAACAATCAAAAATGACTGGAGCATAGCTGTCCATCATATAAGGTTGAGCAACTGATCCTATTCCAGTCAGAGCAATGCCATTGAGGCCCGCACCTATGGTAGGTACAATCCAGTGCAATCCATTGTGGACACCAAGTCCAAACATGAGAAGGCCGGTCGGAACAAGGAGTGCCGGGAACAGGACTACTGGCAGACGCATTTCTGGCTCGAACACCCCGCCATTACGTCGACTAGACCATCTGGCCAATCCGTCGTTCAGATATCCACAGAGGAAAGAGCCGAGCAGATTTCCGATGCAAGGACTCAGAAACACCAACCCCTGCTGACCGATGCTGAAATTGTAGGGTGGAGCACCCATATATACCGGAATGAGAGTGATCAAGACTACCACACTGCGCCAAAGGGAACTGGGGTCAGCAAGAACACATGTGCGTGCGGGCCACAAAGATATACTTACGCGCAGATATGAATCGAAAAGGACAAGACCGCCCAGATGACACTTGGATAAGCCCAGGTAGCCCAGGGTCGGACGAAAGCTCCCACGAGATTTACGTCTTTCTGAATTGGCGACCACGGTTTTAGCTCGCTCACATAAGATCTCTTTGCTATTGTGGGCATGTCAGAAGCCGAGGGACTCTGCACCACGTTGGTAATTGGTTTGGAATCGGGGAAGTGAGATGTCGTATGCTCTGTCTTATGCTCTGGCACTCCGTCAACGTGCTCAGCGACTCCGGCCACATCAAGTGCTTGGTGTAGATCTCTGGGATATGAAGTCTCTGGAGTGAGAAAGAAGATCAAGATCACGTTGACCCCGCCCAATATTGCGGTAAGCCATTGAAACCAGCGCCACCCAGCACCTTGAATCAAATGACCGGAGATGACTGGAGCTAGCGAGCTGCCCAAGCTGAGCCAAACAGCTTGAACTCCAGTCTGCGCTCCTCTTTCGTGTAGGAAGAAGAGGTCATCCACAGTGCCGACACTGAGTGGTTCACTGGTCCCAGCTATTGCGCTGTCAGAAACGTCCAACCTGATCAAGTCATAGAGCTTCAGTGAGGTCGCGTACCTGCCCACGACGCAAAAAACCTTGCCAGTAGCAAAGAAACGAACGACTTGGCGGTGGCAGCCCAGATGTTGCAAACAAAGAAGAATACAACACAGAAGAGCCAGACTGGGCGTTTTCCGTACTTGAGCGCGAAAGGACCAAGAAAATAGCAACCCCAAAAATTGCCCAACAGGCAAGCTGAGATCAACCAGGTAGCTTCTGTGAGAGTGCAACCAAATTCCATCATGACTTGTCCGATGCCTGGGGCGATGCCGGTGATGGCGAAGTTACACAAGCCAGACAAAAGAAGGACAGACCAGAATGCTGCAACCCTTTTGATATAGGGCCAATTCTGCGTCCAGTTAGTAGAGTGTCATAAGTAGCATGTGTTGTGGCCGACCAGCGGGTCATTGGGATCATTATGAGTGGGTTGTGGAACCAAAACAATTGAGGATCCCTCTTTATGCTGCAGAATTCCGTTTTCTGTCGTCGAGCATTAGCACAATCGAATAAGAGAAGGGTCGGCCATGACGATCTTCAGTCTTACCCGAAATTAGCTGAACAGTCCCATGACTGTGCTCGATTTCGTTAAGAGCGAGGAGAGGCATATTGAAAAATGATCAGGATGGTCGGATCGGAGACTCAGCTCTGCTTTGCTCGTGGTATGATATTGCCTCCCCAGCAGACAATGGCATCACTTTATGTATCTTTTGTGAGTGTGTCCTCACAGTGGGCGAGTTCTCCACGTTTCCCCATGTTTTCACTCCACCATAATCTCCTCCACGCCTTCAAACTATGACCGAGGCCAGATTCTATATCCGGTGGTACAGGGCATGCCGGGAAGACTAATTCCTTCAATTCGAGGGATGGATTCGGAACGCCGAGTGGCTCATGGCTCCCCGATCCTATTACAATCAAGTTTGCCTTTTCCGCCAATTCGATCACAAAGCGGGTGAGTGATTGGAGGTTCCCGATGCAAGTCGGCAGAGTGCGAACGCGTGAGTGCGACCTTGGCTTGATCTATGCCTTTATTATCTCAATCGCTAGACTTGACCCCCCAGAAAATACCAAATTACAATCAATCTTGAACAACTGCTTCATCAGTCTGACAAAATGCATTCATCCGACAATAAACACACACCCATGACGCCAAAGGCGGCGAGCATTCCCCAACCACTCAAAAGCTTCAGCACAGGGACAATTGGCACAGGCGAGTATGGTGCTCTCACAGGATTTACTCAGGACCAATTGCTTGACAATGAGTTTGGTCCGGTGTCTGCTGTACCGCAAGCAAGACGCAAGAAAGTCATCATCGTTGGGGGCGGGATAAACGGAATTCAACAGGCTACGGTTCTCCTCAACGATGGGCATGTTGGCCTGAATGATATCCAGATATTTGACGCCTTGGATAGTTACGGCGGGGTTTGGCAGAAGAACAAATACCCCGGTTGCGCTTGCGATGTACCAGCTATGATCTACACTACGTCGTATAATATCAACAAAAGTGAGCCCAAGTTTTTTTGTCCGTCCCTGGTTTTCAAGCTAACAAATGGTTAAGATTGGACCCATTTCTACGCCCAGAGGGCTGAGATTGAAGAATACTACTACAAGTTCGCAGTCCAGTATGATCTTCCAAAATGCACACAGTTCAAGAGCTTCGTCAAAGCGTGTCACTGGGATGAAAAGCTCATGTTGTGGCATGTCGCCGTCGCCAATAAGTTCACGGGTGAAGTCGAGCATTGGCTCGCTGATGTTGTTTGTCAGTGCGTTGGGACTTTTGATCGACCAAAATGGGGCACCACCCCCGGTCGAGAGAATTTCAAAGGAGTTTCCTGGCACACTGCACACTGGCGTGGCGACTATGACTTGAGGGGCAAGCGTGTGGCCATGATCGGCTGCGGTCCAAGTGCGGCCCAAATCATCCCAGAAATCGTCGACAAAACAAGCCACTTGACAGTATACATGAGGACACCACCAGTGTGTATTCCCAGAGGTGATTATGCATATTCAAGGTATGTTCGAGATCTGCTCATTAGAAGAGTTGGCCACGATACTGACTGATTGCCAGCTTATTCAAATGGGCCCTCAAATGGGTTCCAAAGTTTGCTTGGCTCGTCCGATTACGCATGAACTTGCGCATGATGAAGATGGGACGTAAGATGGCCACCGACGGAGATCCTGTTAACGATGCAATGACGCAGCAGGCGATTCAATTTATGGAATCTCAGATCAAAGACCCTGAGCTACGCGAAAAACTACGTCCTAAGTCTAAATGTACGTTGAATAAACTGGCTATGTAAGCCGGTTAATGGCGTTATCAGCATACTAATCTATTTCAAATATAGACTATTGCAAACGACCTCTACACCTTGATCACTTCTACTCAGCTCTCGCGAAGCCAAATTGCACTGTACTTCGTGAAGATTTGGTTCGCTTCACAGAAAACGGAGTTTTATCTTCAGACTCAAACACCAAGATTGAAAGCGAGCGTAAATTCGACGTCATAATCTTCGGCACTGGATTTAATGTGGCCCAATTTCTGGAACACGAAGAAGTTCTCGGCCTCGGTGGTCTCGACCTACAGCACAAATGGAAGGAACATCCCGAAGCTCTTTATGGTCTCGCGACCAGCCAATTCCCTAATATGTTCTACTGCTTTGGCCCCAATTCAGCACATGTTTGGTCAGCACAGCAAGATAGCTGGGAGCGACAGGCAAGATTTGTATCTAAAGCGGTGAAAGAGATGGTCCAGCGGGAGAGAAAAGGGATTAAATTTGCCATGCATCCTAGGAGAGATGTGGAATTAGAATACAACGCACAAGTACAGAGTCGGCAATCTGGGACTTTTGTTTGGGCTAGAGATGATTGTGTGACTTACTACAAAAACGACGATGGCTGGAACACATTCACTATGCCCTGGACTTGGTGGCAGTTCAGGAGGATGCTGAGAAAGATCTTTTGGAATCAATGGGAAGTAATCGAGAAGCCATTGAAGATTTGTCAGTTTTAATTGGTTCAGGACAGGCAAGGTTTAATGGGGAGAGCGTCATTGAGGTGCGATTGACTCCTGGTCAACGGTTGAGGAAAACTCTGTGGATCAAAGTATAGAAATCGTGGATTGTTTAGGAATTCTGTGCGTTCATGGTGCTTGCCACTACTTGGTGGTGTGAAAGAAGCGGTGTTGTGGAATCAGATAATGGCTTAGCTCGATCAATGCGAACAACGAGGCAACAAAGGTTCAGCAGCAGATTTCAAGGGCATAGTAGCAATGGTGAGTTCAATTCTGATTAGAATTAGTGACACAGAATGTAGGGTAAGCTAGAAATCATGCTAGCAGGCTGTTACTATGTATCAGCTGATCGAGAATGCTCATCTCATTTTTGAGAATCGATTGCTGTCAGACATAATGACAATCATCTTCGTTTCCATCAACACGGACACAGTACCACAATACTTCTAAACAAGCCTCGAGACTGGCCACCAGCGGACTGGAGCCGGAACTAGTGGACATGCGATCTGAAAATTGCCAATATCGGTACAAGCACTTTGTCCTAAGATACAAGCATGTGTGCAACCCTTAGAAGGGGAAGGCCAATCGTTGTCACTGCCCATGAGCATGCAAAGATATAACTTGGACGAGATAGTTATCTTGACCTGATGGCACGAAGGAGATGAATAATGAGCAAGTATTACGGTCCAAGACTCGAGGTTCGATTAATGAAATCGACCAACAGAAGCTTCGAAAGCTGGAAGCTACTTTACTCAATAATGACCTTCGCATCTGGTGCCAGATTTCAAAAGAACGCTCAAGATGTCAAATTGACTATGTTCAAGCCACTGTGACTGGTTCGATGGCCTCAAAGTCTTCGTTTCTTGTATTCTCCCATTGAGGCAAATGATATCCAGGGGGGCATGTCCCAAAAAGAAAATCAGTCCTCATTGCTGGACTGTCGCTATCATTCCCCTTATTCTTGAATTTCAAGGCTAACGACACCACATCCAAGTCGTTCAGTCCCCACATATCACCTTTTACAGTCTGGAAGTACTCTTTTTTAAAGGCCTTCTCAAAACTTCGATCCGAGAGAAAACCCTTGATCGCGTGCTGTTTCACACCGTGGCTGACAATTTCGTCATAGTGACGCGTTTTACCCACCAAATCACGCTTGCGGGCTTTGAGCTTTTCCTGCTGCTGCTCGCTATATTTGCCGTAAGATTGCATATGAATATTAGACACTAATAGGGAACACTGTACGACATAAGAGCCACCTTGTCGGGCTCGAGAGTAAAGTGCGTGGAGGACGCCGGCGGTGCCTGCATGCCCGGTGCTGATCAAAAGTGTTAACTGTTGGACAGAGAAATTAAAGATATAGACGCTCACAGATAGTCGGCGTTGGGGCCGGGAAATATGTGAGGCTCATCATATCCATGAAAGCGGCCAATGTTGAGACCAATGCCGCACACCTAAAACTTGAGTGAGCCTCGACGAGTGCGTCACCAAACTTCAAGGGACAGCAGGATAAAGGCATCCGGCGAACTCACCGTGTCTGCGATTTGTGCCCATCCTGACCGGGTCACCCATGGGCCTTTCCAGCCGTAGCAATTCTCCTGGCAATATACGATTCCCTTCTGTCTGTTGGCCACCAAACCTAGGACTGCATCCCGGCCAAAGCCGAGATGTTCCAACACTGCAGGTCGGTATCCGTCAACGAACACGTCCGCTTCTTGAATGAGCTCAAGCAGCTTCTTTCGACCCTCGAAAGTTTTCAGATTGATGTCCACACATGTTTTACCTAGACAACCGTCCATGAGTGTAATAGGAAGTTCGGTGTTGTCAGAACAAGACACTCGTATAGTCGTTGCACCCAGAGCCGCACACACGCGTCCAATCGTTGGAGCAGCGATTGCTCGTGAAAGATCCAGAACTTTAATCCCAGAGAGAGGACGACGGTCGGAGGGATCATGAGGAACATTTTCCCAAGATACAGGGGGCTGAGAGTAGTATTGCTGGTGTAGGAGCTTGTAGTAAGGTTCGTCCTTAATGGCAATCCCGTGTGGCAGGCTTTTAAATTCTTCTTCCTCGTAGCATACCGTCCCAGGAACGCGATAGACGTTATTGCTCCAATTATCAAGTGTCGTGGAGTCCAACCCAGCCACCAGTTCAGAGTACATATCGAGAATCTGACTCCAGGTGAGATTCTCTTCGTTATGTTGAGGGATTTTGAGCATCTCGATGACAGGAGTTGGGTTCATACTACCATGCAGAGCGTACCACCGCCCGTCTTTCGATTTGTAGATGTTGGTCGCCAATTGGCGATATAATTCTCGGGTTTGGCCGTGATCCCAGCGCTGAACAGCATTCATCATCTTTGGACTGCCTGAAAGCCACTCCTCCTCATGACGCACGAAGAGGGCAGCTAGACCATTCATCAGAGCATGAGAGACATCGATTTCGATGAGTTGCTCGTCTTTGTACCGGTCTCTTGCAATGGCGACTGCTAGTAGACCGATGTAACCTAGAAGACCTGCTTGAGCTTCTGCGCATTTGTATGGGACGGGATAGAATGGCTGGGTTTCCTCTCCCACAAATTGGATGTTGTCTATCAAATCGCGAATTTCAGACGGTGTATTGAGACGAGAGTCATGTACAATTTGGTAGTATATCCTCTTGGCTTCGCTTTGGAGGGTATAAGGCTCTCCCTGGGCGGTACATCCGTTCGTCATCATCTTAGCTCTAGATTGTATCAATGTCAACAGGGAAACCTGGCGGTTAGGTATTAATTGACACTTTTACTCAACATGAGGCGGCATGTGTTTTGTCTCAAGGAACGTGCAAGCAGAAACTTGATGAGGTTGAACCCGCCTGAATTTGATTGGATCGGTCTGGGGCGGCGTTCGGAGCTCAGATGATGTTCTGACCCGCACTACGGAGTTGTTGTGGCCCGGAATTTCTTCCTTTGGTTCATCGGAGTGACCTCCCCCCGGGTTTGCACATGGCTCGTAGGACGACCCGAGGCATCCGAATCTCGTACTCGAACATTAAGTGGTGAAGTGATCAATCCCGTGGATGGAGGCGTCGAGAGGTCGAGGCGGACGGGCTGTGATCCAAGCGATGCTGTGTGAGAATTCTAACACTACGATGCGGGGTTTCAACGCTAACATGGAGCACTACTATCATTGCCATTTGGTTTCATTTACATGTGGATTCTATAATTCGGCGAATCCGTTCTGGAGCGCCTGGAATCAAGGACCTCTCCTAAGAAGCATGATCCAAGTGCATCCTTATTCCCTGCTCGTCGCAAAGTTTCAAGATTCATCATAAGCTGCATGAGAAAAGCGTACCAGATCGCATCACTCTAGAACGTCCATGTGCGGATGACAGGTTCTTGCGATCCTGAAACGTTCAGTGGGCGGAACTCAGGGGAAGACTAAGCTGGAGATTCCGACCTCGCGCAAATCATAGATACATTGTCAATCACTGCTAGAGAATTCTATGAGGCTGTGGTAGTTTGTGTCAAGATTGAGCGTCCAAGAAAAGAGACAGCGGTTTTCAAGGCTCGTTCATATTGCGTCCGAACAGCCGGATCTTGAGTATCTGGTCTGGCTGCAAAGCCATGAGACATACCAGGATAAATCTCAAGAGTGGCTTGGACGCGCTCCTGGTGTGTCCAGGATTTCAGGTCGTCTGCGAGAGAAGTTGGAACCATTTCGTCGTCCCCAGCCAATCCCACATACACAGGGACTTGGATGTCTTTCACGTCTTCTTGCGTTAAGTAACTCTGCCCATAATTAGCCTTTGCCATGTGAGGCCTCACATCAGAAAGATTCGACCACTTACCGGATGGAATGACGCTGCCACTTTCAAGTACTGCTTTGCCATCCGAAAAACATGTTTCCCACCAAAACAATAACCGACCCCCAAGAACTCGGCGTCAGGATTATCTGACCGAATTTCAATGACAAGATCTCGTAAAAGCTCACTGACTCGATCGTGAGGATGCTTCGTTAACCATTGTTCGATGTTTACGTTGCGGATTTGAGTTTTGATATCCTCTGGCCAGTCATGATCCTCAATGGCTACACCAAATATGGGCTTATACTTCAAGATCACTAGTGGAAGAGGATCACCTATGTGCTCCATTAGTTCAAAGAGCTTCGCGCGGTTGGATTAAGGCTGCAAACCCTCATAATAATCTGGCACGATGGTTTGCACACCAAGGTGCTCAGCGAACAAATCAGCCATGATGAGATTGTGCTTAGCGAGCCCGAAGCCGTCTGGAAGGACAAGAAGCACATCCTTTGAGGATTTGTTTTGGCCTGCTGAGGAGATGTAAACATTTAGTTCTCCTAGACGAGTAAATCGACCTTTGGGCTTGTACTGATCTATCATGGTCAGTTAGAGCTTCCCGGAGTTGCGGATTGGTTGTCTCTGGAATGCCAAACCTACCTGGTGCTGCGTTGCCAGTAGCGCAACATCCCGTAGAATTCTCCATGGCTTGAAATCGACAGCCTGGCGATTTGTATGCCCGGTTCTGAAGATTCGAAGCCGTTAGGGAAATCTGGTGTCCGTCTTATCCTGTTTAATGCTTTGAGTTCAATTACTCGCCCTCTAAGAACTCTTCAAATGGAAGCATTTGAAGTGGGGTCAAGAATAAATGTCGGAGGCTTGATGTCGTGTTCTATTCGGATCACGGGGTGCCTCCGGAGGTTTAGGAGAACGGCTACCAAGAATGGCCACGAAGAATCAGCTCACGTGGACACTCCGTCGGCAAATTCGGCCTTGGTGACCCCAGAATCCAGAGTTTGATCTTCTTACAGGAAGCCTTGGTGTCCTCGTCGTCATACGAGTTTCTCTTATCTTATCTTCCCAGCATCAAGCATGTCTACTCCCCAACAAGTTCGTAATTTTTCGGAGCCTGAGGACAAAGCGGAATCGCAAGTTGGCACAGTTGCTGAATCAGGCAAGATGAAAAACTTGATTCAGGCGAACAAGGGAAAGAGCTAAGAGGAGCAAACAAGCTGCCTACTGAGCAATCCAACCCGCATTCCTGAACAGAATGCGATTGACAGTACTTCAAAGGCTATTAAACTATCCTACTAGCAAGGGGCATTCACCAAATGATCCAATGATGCCCTGGGAGCCCCTTCCCTGAAGTGACCCAGTCAAGTGAAGAAGGAAAAAGGGAAGAGAAAAACTGTTCTGGGCCGCTCCAATATGGAAGTGGAGCGAATGATCACTCTACAGCCGAATATATAGTAAATGAATACAAGCAGCATAAGATAGAGAAACAGAGACTTTGATATCACCCATTTGGATCTTAAGAATGACCCAGCCCGTCAGGGTCCAACAATACTCCATTACACGAAAATTGGAGCGCGCCTTTTCATGACTGACAATGGAATTCAGGGAACGTATATGTCTCTGTCACCAGGATTAGTAGTTTTATTCCGAGAGGCATCCTCCTTTTGCTCAGTCTTCTCTTGAGATCTGCATGGACACCTGAACTCTTGTCGACTCTTTCGAAAGCTTGCGGAACGGGACAAGTGAACTTCTATGAAAGTCTTGAACATAAGGATGGGGGAGGCGTGGCAGAGTATGCGCTCTGCAACGGCAGCCATAATTATGTGCTTAAATCCATGGAAATAACTTTCTTGTTCAATTAATGAGATCGAAACGAGTGTAGGGGACAGCAAACTCCACAAAACTCGACGGTGATTGCTCTCCTACCTCGAGGCACAATCACCTTTGAAGTGAAGTGTTTCAAAAGCGGAGAGTGGGACGAGGCTCGAAATGCCTCTTTGGCAGCCGTCATATGGCATCCTCGGCAGAGTGGGTAGGCGTGCCTGATATTGGGATGCACAGACCATACATAAGTAAGGTTGCGTGTAATTTGCCAAAACTATGGATGTTTGCTTCGAATCAAGTCGCAACCTTCTTAAAGAACTGCCGGAATGCCTTGTTACATTGATGGGCACTATCTACTGGTTGCTGATAAAGCTAATTGAGGTGTGTGCGATTCATCATGTCCTCTAACCATGACACTCGGTGATAGCAAAATATCCCGGGTAGGATGTCGTGCGTTCCGCGACTACCCCGTGGTATCCATCCCACTTAAGTGATGTGGGGAGCACGGGCGAAATTGGTGACACGGAGGGCGGCGGAGGGCGCGTTCACCGTGGTCATTTGGTACGGTGCACGATCCGAACGCCTCGCAACTCCTTGTTCTTTGGGTCTGCATGATGTCCGGGATTCAAATATGTGAATCCTTGAGACTGATTCGTCCACGGCAATGGGAGGCACGAACTAGATGGTAGGTGGCCTGTGACTCGGGCTTATCAAAACCACCCGTATGACATACATTCGAACTTGCAACAGGTCCAAGTCCGTTTGAGTACTTGCAGTGAATCATCCATTTATCCGACGAGAATCAACAAGAACGGTTGCACTCAACCCACAAATTCACACAATTCAACCTTGTGGAGGCACACAGAAACAGATTACATTGTACCCAGAGAGAGCATCATGGCTGAATATAAAATTCATCAGGCCACAATTGACTCGGTCAGGAACAAAATCGTGGTCTTAACAGGTAACTGAAACACGTTACGCTGGTGCTATTTGCGACTTGCTTACAAAAAGATTTTTAGGTGGTGCTCAGGGGATTGGTGCAGTTACGGTGACCCAACTATATCAGTCTTCCGCCCATGTCGTCTTCTGTGACTGGGACGAAAAGACTGGTTTAAGTCTTGTCGAGCATCTTGAATCCTCCGTCCAATCTGATGGCAGTGTGGTATTTTTGAAAGTTGATGTTCGAGATTACCATGCTTTGTGGTCAATGTTTGATGCAACGTATGCCAAACATGGTCGAATCGATATGGCGATGTGTTGTGCTGGCATCATTGAGCGACATGGTTACTTTGAGGTCGACAAGCTGAACCTCGAAAGCGCAAAGGAGGTGAGTCTTCCTATCTGCAGCAGGAGACACTTGGGTTAAAATGGACAGACACCCACCGGGATCGACGATGTCCTTGATATAAATCTGAAAGGCACATTGTACTTTGCGAGGCTGGCCGTCGCTTACCTGAAAGAAAATCACAAGTTTGATGCGAATACCACGGATGGAAACATCAGCTCACCGAAGTGCATCACATTTGTCTCTTCAGTGGCTGGGTTCATAGAGGCACCCAGTCTCTATTCATATGCATCCTCTAAGCACGGCGTGATAGGGTTAATGCGAGCCTTGAGGGCACTTACACTCCAGTCATATGGACTGCGGGTGAATGTTATTTGTGAGTATTCTCTTCGCCCAGAGTTCTTTTGAACGGTGCAGCAATGGTGAAATTAATTCAGCTGATGCAGGTCCATGGGCAACTGACACCCAAATCTTCTCCGAAATTCGCGATGAATGGAACAGACAAGGCATGCCTATGAACACCGCCTCGGATGTAGCAAAGTACATCATTCAAGCGACTGCAGATCCAAAAACCCACGGAAAAGCACTGTACGTGGCAGGTGGTAATGCTGTTGATATTGAAGAGGGTATATGGAGGCTTGAACCGCAATGGCTGGGAGAAAAAAATAGCCGGGATTTGAAAGCGGGCCAGGTGATTATGGGCGTGGTGAGTTCTGTTCCCCAAGTTACTGGCCTCACGTACTGCGGCGGGACGATACTGGTACCTTTGGGAATTATTCTATACTAACAGGAAGTTAGGACACGAACTGGGGGAGGACTAGGGGGAAAGGGTAATGATTACGAGTACCGGCATTCAGTATGAAGAATGGCTGGCTCGCTGTGCGTTGTATCTACACTAGCCACTAGATGCAGCAAAATAGGCTGTTGAGGTTAAGTCTCAGGCCTAACGAGCCCAAAGAAGACGTTTCTAATGCCATCACAAAGCATAGATAGCTTCATATTAAGGAGATGGAACAAAGCGACCATCGCAGCCAACAATTCAGGGTGGCGCTGGCCTTGAAACAGGCCGAAGACTTACCAAATTTAAGTTTTTGTTTACCGGAGTAGATTATCTACACCATATCCAGTGCTAAGTAAATTCCATTGGGTACAGGTTCAGTTCAAAAAAAGAAGATATTGTCTCAGTCATAGTCCAACTTCTACTTATCAGCCAGCAATGGAATCTTGCGCTGATGCTATTCGGTGACCCGGATTGATCAGAATTAAGACCAAAGTTTCTAGAGCACAAGTGCCTTCTCTTAAAACTTGCACCATCGCTGTTGGGCGACGGCATGTCGAAAAATGTTACTCAATCCATCAACACTTACCAGACAGCTTTGAATGTCTCGAACATACACAAGGTTGCCCCGGAAGTGCTTCCTAGACATCTACCTTCTACTCTACGAACCCCTGACCACATCAAATCCTTCCCACTCAGCATCCCCTTCCTCCAGCACGCGGCTAGTCACACGATCGTATTCGTCCAAACCAGCCAGGTATATCAACTGTTCGACAGGCTTTCCCTCTATGTTGGATCTGTTGTGCGCCACAAGTTAGCATGAGTTACAAATTATGGGCTCGTGGTAAACAGCAGGCGTGGCCACTTCCACCCAAAAGCAGAACTTCAGGATGGCGTGAGTATGAGGCATTTTTGTACCAGTGCGTCCCTCGAAGACCCGGTGTGATGACTTACCCCATGTACCAACTCTTCGACTCCGGGAATAGAGTCTGATCGCTGAACTTCTGAATCTCCTCCCGCCAACGCTCGGCGGAGCTCTTCTGTGCATCAATATACTTGACGCCTGTTTGTTCCATCTTACAAATGGCATTCGCAACCCATTCGACCTGTATCTCGATGATGGCAGGTCCATTTGCCAGAGGTGTTGGTGCCTGCGGCGAGTAAACCATAAAGAAATTAGGAAGTTTTGGAATCGACAAGCCTAGGTAGGTATATGTGCCCGTACTCCATCGCTCTCTCAGTGGGACACCATCTGTGTCAATTAAACCTAAATCCTTGAGGCTACCAGTGAGAGCGTCGTATCCAGTAGCAAAGATAATAATATCGAACTCCAATAGCTTTTCTGAGGTGCGAATGCCCGTCTCTTCAAACTCGATAATCGGTGTTCGCTTCAAGTCCACAACCGTAACGTTATCACGATCCAACATCTCGTAATAGTTCTGTTCGAGGGAGCCACGCTTGGTTCCAAGCCAGTGTGGCTGTTCCAAGGGTACCATGATGTCACGCTTAAAAGGATCCCTGATCCTTTCGCGTGTCTTACTTGCCCAAAACTGATAGATCTCGCGATTTAAAACGCGGTCGACGAAGAACTCCGGATAACAAGACAGTAGAAAGCTAAAACCACCTCTTTTCCATAGCTGTTCGTAGTATGTATGGCGTTCTTTGGGCGTAGTTTCGTGATAGCCTTTTGGGGCTGCATGGTATGGAAATCCCGTTCGAGATCTTTTAGCAGAGTAATAGAGTGAATGGTAATAAGATTTCATCGAGTCTTGCTCTTCCTGGGTCAGCTTGCGTTGCCTCATCGGTATGGATATGTTAGGCGTGCGCACAAATGCTGTCAAGTCGCAATCTTCTTGTGCTATTTCTTGTACAAGTTGCACCCCCGTCGCACCCGAGCCGATTATTGCAACTTTCTTGTTCTTGAAGTCGAGGCCGGTCTCCGGGTATGCAGCGCTGTGGATTAATTTGCCTTTGTAGCTGTCAAGATTCTTGAAGTCTGGGAAATGTTTTTTATAAGATGAGCCTGTTGCGGAGACGAGATATCTTGCATTGGCGAGGCGACCATCCTCGGTCCTTACGTGCCAGCGAGCCTGTTCCGGAGAATATCTAGCTTCCACAACGATCGTACTGAAATGTGCATCTTTCCTCAGGTCGAGAACCTTATCGACATGCTTGAAATACCGTCTCAGCTCTGCGTGATCAGGATAACGTTCTGTAAATGTCCAATCCTTATAGACCTCGGGAATTGAAAGGCTATAGAAAGGCGTTTCGCTGTCGACTCGGGCGCCTGGGTAGCGATTCCAGTGCCATGTCCCCCCGAAGTCGGAGCCCGCTTCGAAAAGAGTCACACTAAGTCCGAGCTGACGCAACTGGTACAAGCCATACATGCCACCGAAGCCGCCGCCAATGATGAGAACATCGGTAACAATGTCATCAGAGGAGCCACTAACGCCATTGGTCTGTGAAGTACCATTTGTCACGCCATTGGGGACGGTAAAGGGTTCAACACGAGACGTCTCGGATTCAGTCGGTAGATTAGGTATACCCGCCATGATATGAAAAAGCGAGCGTGGCGGCCAGTTCACACGGCAAGTTATATCCTCGACCAAAAGATCTGGGGGGCCAGGGGGGACAAGAATAACCTGAATGCGTGAAATTTGAAAATTCCTGAATAAGGGAGACTTCTTACATCTTAATACGAAAGCTTCCACTTCAAGCACCACGAACTACTAAAAGGTTGGTGGCATACGGACCTAACTGCACCACGTGGGTGCGGTGATTCTCGGTGCTACGGACCGCGATCCGACTGTCAAGGCCCACAAAAGAGCATCGCGGCCTCAAGGCACGCTTCGAAGCTGGTTCTGCATCTTGGGAGCACCGGTATGGCCAGCCAAAATAGGTGACACCCGCTCTGCCAGCTTTAAATCCACATGCGTGAGACTATGGGTCTAGAAACATTGGACGGAAAACCGGCTCCGTAAAAGATGGTGTAGCAAGATGAGACGAAGTCCGGGGTTAGGACTTGGGGGTTCCCATCAAAAGCTTGTAACAGTTCCATTCTATAGACTTTTACGGAGTACATTCTACCGGACAGATGCGGGGAAACAGTAGTTGCACAGAGGATTCCTAAATAATGTGCAGAGAACACGGTCAACGAGAAATGCCGGCCAACGCCTTGCGTGATTGGCTCGGACGAGACGATGCATGAATGGCTAATGACTTATGTATGAGGATGGAAGATATTTGGCCGCACAAAGGGAGCAAGACCCAGTCATCTGTCAGTAAGCACGAGAATCGCAGCATTCACTATAATCTAAGTCAAGAATGGTGTCCGTGGTTGTTATTGTGGTGTCGCTTGGGGCTGCTTTTGCACTTGCTGTCCAAGCGTGGTCTTCTTCTCTTCGCAGGTCTAAAGCCACGCGACCAATTCCTGGGCCATCAGGTCAGTACTGCACTGACACTCAAATTCCCCTGTACATGCATTTCTATGAATACAGTTTTCAGATATTTCGTATGAATGAACTGACCACTAGAAAGGGCTTCCAATAATTGGTAATCTGCGCGATATTCCCACAGGCTTTTTGTGGTACAAGTTTACTGAATGGTGCGACAAGTATGGGCCTCTGGTCAAGTTCAACATCGCAGGTCACGATCATTTAATTATTAATACTGAGAAAATTGCCAATGATCTCATGAGGGAGCGTGGCAACATCTATTCATCCCGCCCACAAATTCCCATGGCAGCCCAATTGTTATCCCAAAATATGCGACCTGTTCTTCTGCCCTATGGCGATACGTGGCGAAATGGACGAAAGCTGATGCACCACCTTGCTATGCCCGCAGTTGCCAGGAAATACGAACCAATTCAAGAGCAAGAATCTATCCGCGTTCTCCACGAGCTTCTCCATGACAGCGCAGAATACGAACAATGGTTCGAACGCTATGCCGCTGGTTTGATTATGCAACTAGCTTTTGGCCAAAAGATCATTACCGGCAAAGAAGAGCCTGTTCGTCGAATTTATACTATTCTAGACCATCTGTCCCGTCTGAGCGAGCCAGCGGGGTATTTGGTCAATATTTTCCCCATCCTTCTGAGGCTTCCGAGCTGGCTGGCGCCTTTCAAGAAAGAGGCTGCGAGACTCCACGCTGAAGAACTAGATCTATTTTCTTCGCTGGTGAAAGGGGTGGAGGTCCGTCGCAGCAAAGGAGATCCACATGCTGGGAACACCTTCACTAGCAAGTGGCTTGAGGACAAATCTGCATATGGTTTGACAGATCCCGAGGCATACTATGTTCTAGGAACGCTCTTTGAAGCTGGCGCCGGGACGACTGCTGCCGCCATGATGTCTTTTGTTCTTGCTATGGTCCTGTATCCTGATAAATATGAAAAGCTCAAAAGTGAACTGGATACGGTGGTAGGATCAACCCGCCTACCAACATTCGAGGACTTCGCCGACCTTCCCTACATGCGAGCTTGTGTCAAAGAGACTTTACGATGGCGCCCAGTCACCCCTACAAACATACCACACGAATTAACGCGAGACGATGTTTATGAAGGCTATTTGATAAAGCAGGGGACGGTTATACAAGTCAATCAGTGGGTAAGTGCGCGATCTGGTTCTGAGCAGAATGGTGTATCCTCCTAATTCTCTGTCCAACACATCTTTGGCTTCTGTAGTCTGCATAATCATCCTTTGACTCCTTTGTTAGGGCATCCACCGCGAGCCTGAGCTCTACCCGAAGCCTGAAGACTTCCTGCCAGAACGATGGCTTGAGCCTTTCTACCCAACTTATCGGGAACCTCTTGAAAAGTATCCCAATCTACAGAACTTTTCTGCATTTGGGTTCGGAAGGCGAATCTGTCCGGGTTTGCACATAGCTGAAAGAAGCCTCTACCTCCTGACGGCGCGTATCTCTTGGGCCTTTGATATCAGTGCGAAGCCTGGTGTCACCTATAGAGATGATGACTATGTACCCACAGGTTTGGCACAACCAAAGTGGTTCGATTTCCACTTGGCCGCAAGAGATGACAGGACGAAATATGTGGAGGACGCCTATCAAGATTCAGAATGGCCACGCTTACAGACTTGAGACATGGATAACATGGGAAGACTATCAGTAGTCAAAACTACAACTTTGCAGGCAAATACTCCACAGCGTTCTACCAGGTCATCGACGATCCGTACACCGCATAACAGCCGTGATGTGAGACCACAAATACACCAAATCGAGAAGAAAATGAGCAAACTGAGCAAAGATTGAGTTAGTTACGACACCCTTTTACCATTGATGAGAAGACATTCATAAGTGCTAAGAAGCCCAAGGTCGATGCTTAAGATATCCAATACTTCGTTCAAACCACCTAAAGATGGCAAAGAGCTGAGCGCTCTCCAAAGTAGATTTTGATAAAGATGCCACGAAATTCATTCATCAGCGAGACCATGTGTCAGATTAACTATGTTCTAACATATTGTTATGCACCCCTACTGCACTGAGGGCTTTGTTGGCAGGTGTGACTCTCAAGTAGCACACCAACCTATAAAACCTACAATCCTCTCAGAACATTCCTTCTCGCAAGATACTGTTTGGCAAAAAAACAATTCAGTGTCCTCCTGGGGGGATTCTTTGCTTACAGCACTTGAAGCCCGTGGGAGCCATAACCACTATCCATTCAGTAGTATCACTCAACCGAAAGCTAACGAACTGATAGTGCTCAACTCCACCGCAATGACCCCCAAACCACAGCGACACAAGGCTTTTCGGGCGCTAGGCGTCCTGAAATAGTCTGATTACTCCTGGTTAATCCAATGTCAATCCTATGGAGGCGTACTACGAAACTTTGATCACATTTGTAACCAATGCGAGTTCAGCGGGCCATCCTCAAACAACAAGGTAGTTTCCGTTGGTTCCGCACCCATAGGCAGTATGTCGAGGGTCGATTTTAGATGCGAAAAACCACCGCCGTCCATTATGCTCGGTGCAACTCGGTTCTGGATTTCGGTGTTGGGATCCGAGTGACTTTCGCGATGCTTGCCCATCCTGCGAACCAACGGCGTGAGGAGCATGGGGTAAAGTTTGACAAGCTCGGGGAACTGCTTCGGAGTGTGGTCCGCGGTCAGTGCTATTTGATGGATATCTACAATACGATCAGCATGAACAATCCAAACATAGTCTCTAAGTGAACCATACATAGCATGATCCGGCCTAGCTCCCAATTGTCCGCGAATTTCTGAAGCACAAGGTTGGTTAAGCTCCCAAATGATTGACAGGTGGCCGGGCTGACCGCGTTGGTGTAGGGAGTGGCAAAGATCGGACAGAGTGCGCTGGCCCAAAAAGGGTGTGCAGTTGACAGGCAGTGGGCGGGCCACATCCTCAAGACGGCGGATGTTTCGAGTGCACGAATGTGCTCGGGGCTGGAATGGTCAACATCAACATCTGAGTGTGTATGTTGGCGTGAAGATTTCAAGGCACGGATCATATAGGAAGCGACAACCAGCAGAAGATGAGTGCCTATGATCCAATTATTTGCTGTAGTGCCGTTTTGGGACTCCAGATATGTTGACTGCAAATGAAAACTGGGTGGCAAAGAAAGTTGTAAACATCCAACCTCGTTCTGATAGCATTCGAATTCGGTATCAGCAGGCATCGGGGCCAAAAAAAGTCGGTCATAAATTCTGGATAGAAGATGGTTCGCAACGAGGAACCACGCTCGCGGAGATTGGTTTGGAGAAGAGCACAATGATACCCAGTCAACTTCCTTGTCAAGGATGACTTCCGAGTCGACATGAGTCCCAGCATACCAGGCTTGATTTGAGATTGGTAACCTCACCGAAAAGTGCCGTCGATCAATCCCGAATGGACGTTTTAGCATTATGGACCCGAAGGTGTCCAGTTCCCAGGTCACCCACCAGGCCCGGCGGCGTTCTTCTTGATCGGTGGCATCCAACGGGAAATCGGACGTGGTGTGCTCCGCGTCCAGGTGGGATATATCGAGTTCGATGGCCAAGTTGATGCAGACACCTACCAAGATACGGCCTTGGAGAGACAGGCCGGATGTGTAAAGGTAGGAAGCAAGGATGAGACAACCCTGCAGATAACGGAGACTCGGCTCTTGCGGAGGGCCTTGCTTTTTATAAACCTCTCTGGCCTCCTGTAGATAGATTTGTTCTCTTTCCTGGAGTGGTACTGCCCAGTGATGGTCCAAGGTCGAATACCGAGCCGCGAGGGCGAAGATGCCTAGGAGGGTGAATACATCTTCGGGTGTGGCATTAGCCAACGCGTCCGGCCCAGGGGCCAATACACGGGCGCAATGCTGCAGGAAGCGAGGTTGGTGAAGCAAAGGGAGCCAAGGCGCGACCTTGTCGAAAAAGACCCCAACTAAGTGCGAAGCCAATTCATGAGAGATGACCCATGTTTTTTCCGCCACCGTGCTAGTCGTTGAGCACGCTACACCTCCGTGACCTTCGGAATGCTGGATGTCGCTATGGGCCACAGAGGGTGCACCAAACATGTGACAGTCCACGAAATCGTGGTTGAAAGAAAATTCCTGGTCTCCGTATGATACCGAATGCGTGGATGCGGCACTTTCTTGCTGCGGTGATGCATTTTCGGCCAGGGTCACGGTCGCTTGCTCAAGAACGCCAGGGTGTTCCTCGAGCAAACGTGCTAACAACATCAAGTGGTGTTCGTCCCGCTTCGCACGTGTCCGTCGCTTTGCATCCGAGATGCAAGGTCTTTTCCGTTTCGTAGGAAATTCACACGAGCTTCCAGTTCGTGCGCAAAGTCCACATCGGGGTCTGGACATATCGCACTTGGTCTTCTTGGAGCGGCATTGCAAGCAGGCCCTGTTCAAGAGCGCTGGCGGAGCATCTTCCTTCTCAGGATGGGTCGACATGGTTGGTTGGCTGGAGGCGTCAAAGACGTGGAGCGGTGATCAGTGCCAGTGGGAGCAGTGCCCAAGATCTGGGAAAAGACTTGAGGTTGAATGCGGGGGAGCGGAGGAGCGTTTTCGCCACCAGACACCACTGGCACCAGGGCAGTCTGCCGAGGCACCAGCGTATTGCTATTGCAAACATGTCAACTTGCTAAATAGTGTGTTTGTACCAACTGATCTCAGCATGAGCCATAACCATCACAGCTCACATAAAAGATTACGATTACTCATAGATCATCACTTGCTGATATTATATTGTAGTGGAGGACTCGTCACGGGATAAAGTGATTCCGGAGGCTTCGGACTCCTTAGCTCTACTCGTAGCCAACTGGCACGACCTGGCAGCTCCCAAGCAATAGTTTGCAGATTCTATGCCTAAATGCATCCAGCTGGTTTTAGACTCAGGTCAAGTGGATCAGGAGTCCTCAATCGAAACCCCAGCAAGAGTACGGACATCTGAAATGGCCGCGATATAAGACGCTGAAGTCTTGGAGGGTCGTAAACTCGCAGGACCTCGAGGGGTGTGCTTCGCGGGTGACTCCCCGGGGCTCCGCATATTAACTGTTAAACTGGGGTAGCTTGCCTTGGCTCTCGCCAAAACCCGGTCCACATCGGTTTACCGTGAATGTCCGTCAAGTTCTAGAGCTCAGGACGGCTCAGGTACTCGAACATGGTGGAGTATAGACTCCTTGGTTGAGAGATGATAAACATACATTAGAGCAAAAATCGTCTTCAATCCAGTCTTGATGGAATCCACCACTTCTCCATTTCTTCGCAGCCTGCGATCGCGCGCGTGAATCATCTTCAGAGGAGCCCTCAATTTCAAATTTACTGTACAGAACAGTGCTCAGCCCTCATCCTCACCCTGAATTGGCAATGGCTTCTCTTCAACGAGCATTGACACCGACAAAGTTTCCAGATGTCGTCGAGAATATTGAGAATATGCCTCGACCGCCCAAGACAACGGCGAACGGCATAGTGCTGGTTCCACAGCCTACTGACGACCCCAAGGACCCACTGGTATGCTTTTCACCATGCAACGGACTCCTCATATTTACACAAGGCTGACCGACAGCATAGAACTGGCCTATGCGGAAAAAGTTAATGAACCTCGGGGTGATAGTCCTGGCGTCATTTGCCTGTGATATTGCAAACGTTGCCAATGCAGCCAGTGTTGCTGCTCAAGCAACCGACTACAACAAGACTCTCGTCGCTATTAGTTACTCTGTAAGCAATTACAAGTTTAATCTCGTTCCGGCTTGTAAACTGACCGAGCGACTCGTTCTTGCTCAGATCTCAGCCAGCGTAGCCGGTCTTGCAGTTGGACCCCTCATCTGGACTCCCCTGGCTAGGAAATTTGGAAAATGCCTACTCATCTTCTGGACAACGCTTGTTCTACTAGGCACATCAATTTGGGGTGCACTTTGTACAAAGCAGGGCGACTACATATCCTTCATCATGTCCAGAACAATAGCAGGTCTCTTCGGGTCAGCTTCGATTACGCGTGAGTCCTCAACGGAGTTCTCCATTTCGTGAATGATTGCTTACACATGCCATAGTCGGCGCTGGTCTTATCATTGAGACGTTCTATCTCCATCAGCGTGGAAAGTGCTTCACAGTATACAGCATTATTCTGCTAGTCGGGTACTTGTTACCCTCCTCCATACGTTGTCGTTTACTAATAATTACATCTAGTACGGTCGCGGGTCCTACTTTCTCTGGTTTTATCGTGGCATACTCCACGTGGCCAGTAGAATACTGGTACAATGTTGGATTAGAGGTTGTCGTTCTCATATTAGTGCCCCTATGCATGTCAGAGACAGGCTTCACACGTCCAGGAGGTCCGATCTATCCTCCACTGCCAGAAAATTGGGTACAAGATCGGATTGCTACCTTCATTACAGGAAGGGTCGTACCTCAAACTACATGGCGCCAAGTCGTAAGTGATAGTGACTACACTATGATATCCACGATTTTGATTTTGCTCTCTAGCTTTCTGCTGCTGGAACCCAATTTGCCATTATGGCGTCTCCTGTGTCGCTACTTGCTGGCGGATATCTTCTCATTATGTTCGCATGGCCCGTGGCCGTCAACACTTTGTTGGGCGTATTTCTCCAGACACCAGTCGAACTCGGCGGATATGGCTTTACACCTGAGCAGAATTCCTACTGTAAGATATAATAATCATGAGCACTGGCCGTCCTCGCTGACCATTGTCTACAGTTCTATTCACCAGCTGGATTGCGATTATAGTTGCTGAAATATATGGACATCTAGTGGTTGATCGATTCGCACTTTACATGTGTAAGCGGTTCAACACGGGCATGTGGAAACCAGAGTATCGGCTTCACTCTCTGTGGGTTCCAGGTTTGATCCTCATGCCCGTCGGACTCGGTCTGTTTGGTGCATCACTACATGGGCACTACCACCCTGCGGTTCTTGCTCTAGGTTTGTTCGGCATTGTCTCGTCAGCCGTTATTGCCGTTCCGGTATTGGATACCTACGTCGTCGAATGCTTCACCACGCTTGCTGCCGAAGCAAATGCAGTGATGAACGCTTGGCGTATAATTTTCGGGCTTACGATACCATTCTTCATCACGCCTTGGATTGCCAGGGTTGGTATCAACTGGGTATTCGGCTCCATGGCATTCTTCAGTATCTTTGCCTTCTCATTCCTGATTGTATTGATGGTAGCGGGGCATTCCGTTCGACGTGCGACATTTGGACACACTGGAGCAGACGAAGAAGGCATCTCAATGACTGTGAATCTTCAGGACATGAGTCAGGACAAGCCTTAGCACCACGGTGATATCCGTCTATATCACCCAGTGCCAGGCAATTTCTTTACTGCTCGAGATGACTGTGCTCGTGGTCGCCCCATTCAGGAGTTCACACCAAACAAAGCTATTGTGCTTCACCGTCAAATGTCACTCACAGCCGATGGTCGAGGATTTAGAGAAGAAGTTGACCCCGGCGTTCAGTCCTGGAGCGAAGCCATATCTGAACCCTTTGCTACGGAGCAGTTAATGTAGTTACTGAATTCAATATTGAACATGCCGATTCAATTTCGCTAAGTAGTTGGCCTCCAAGTAACTGTAATTTCATAAATCATATAAATAAATCCTGAAAGCTTCCATCGAGGTTTATTAAGATGCAGCAAAGCCTGTTCATTTGCCCAAGAACGTCTCTCAATAATTTTATAAAGCTGTCTCCGAAGACATTACCTCTACCCGTGCCTTCGTGCGTAGATGAGAGGAGTAAAGTGCACAATGGTAGGTGTGACCGACTATGGTCGTGCTTTAATCGTGTGACTTTCTTCAGCTCCACTCTTTATGACGGATCCCACTCCTAGTATTAAGGACTCTTGACCACAGAGCGTCATGTAGATGTTCCTTCGGCCTATTTAACTATGTCAATAGAGAACTGACAGTTGCTATAGTCATTGTTGATGGCTGACGGGATGTGTTAACGTACTATTAACCTATTCGCAAACTCTCTTATTCTTGCTTGGCCCACAATACGGCTCATCCAATTGAACACTATATTGGCTCAACAAGATCACCCACTACCGTGTATACGAAGAGTTCTCTGCATATGGTATTGTATTTCATGCCTCATATAGTTGCAGAGGAGTCCCCATCAATTGTGCCTTGATTTGTAGAGCGACAAATCGACTGAAATATCTCGCACAACCAATATCGCCCCCAGTGTACCACACGCCTGGATCTATTCGACGTTAACATTAGGATTCTTTTATCGAAACTGTTGACATGACAGTACTTACGCCCTGTATATTTGAATGCTCCGATGAGTTCACCTTCAGCGTTCAGCCCCCAAAAGTCTTTCAGCTGAGCTTCAACCTCTGGTCCCACTATCCGACCCGCTATGGTGCGCATGTTCTGGACAAAGCCTGTAGTGAAGACAATGACGTCTGCCTTGAGCTCTGTGCCATCTTCGAGCACAAGCCCGTCGGGCGTATAGCTTGCGGGAGGGGACCCTGATCTTACCCTGATCTATATGTTGTCTTTAGTGGGAGAACCGCAACAAACATTAGACATTGCCTACCAATCCCTGGCTGATCTTGGCAGATGTGCCCACATCCATGTAGTGTCCGCCCAGCCGATCAAACAAGACGTTCGCAATATCTCCGTATCTTTCGACATTGAAACCTGCCATTTCCAATGCATCAAATCGTTCGCTATCATTTCGGGCCATAGTATGAAGATACTTCATTGCCATCTGACGACGAATGGACACAGGAAGGGAGAGGTTTTCCCGATCAGCTTTCTCGGTAGGTACATCGGGATTGTAGGACGCTAGAGTGCAGTTCAGTGCCATATTATCTTGCACAAGGACGCGATAACCACTTACCCTTGATGAGCACCATGTAGTGCTCAGCTGGAAGAACCCCTTTGAGGATGTCAGCTCACGGTGCGGAACCAGAAAGATGTATACTGCACATGTTCGACTCCTTTGTACCATGGTGACCGATGAGAGCCCCGCATTTAACATGTCATCGGCGACATCGTGTCCTAAGGATGACTTGATTAATATTATTCCGAGGTGATGGGTGACATGTTGCTACCGGTATTCGCTGAGCCTATAACAACTCCGTGGAGTCCTTTCCACTGATGAGAGTTGTGATAGTCAGAAGAGTGCAGAACAAGCCCTTTAAATTGTTCCTGGAATTGTCAGACACTTCGCCGGCGAGAGAAAGGAATGGCATACTTGATTTGGTAAAGATGGCATTACGGGCTCCCGCCCTGCCGAACCACTAGCAAAGACCAGGTGACGTGTTGTCAATATGATGTCTTCCGTCCCCCGAACCAAATGCGAGGTCCATATCCTTTTCTCATTTGACCATGAGCTTGAGACGAGTTCAGTTGACTGCCAGACGTTCTTGACCACATCAGCCTTAGCACCCTAACCTGCCATGTGGAAACTTACAATGCCAAATCTGTTTACATAGTCCTGATGACCTCTAGCAATATCTCCTTTTGTCAAGAATTCGGGGTACGAATCATCGTATGTCCGGTAAAATGGCAAGTGTCCTGAGGATCAAAGTTTAGGACGATGCCTCTAGCTAGTTATACCGATTCTTACCGAATTCTCGAGCTGTATGAACTGCCCCAGGGTTAGTTTTAGGTCCATAACGATACTGTGCGGATAACTCACGCTTTGTGGAATCATATCTTGAGTTCCAGCTGTCTCCCACCGCCTCAAACTTGTCAATCACGAGATAAGAGACATTCAACGCTTGCAGCCGGCCTCCAATTCCAAGTCCCGCTTGACCGCCACCCACTACGATGACATCAAAATGCTGCGTAGTTTCCTGCTTGGTTTCCCCCTTTGCCCGGCCATCGACACCATTGGTGGTCTTGTTAACGGCTTCTGGTGACACCACAGGATCCAAGACATCGACGTTACCATAGCCTTCGATACCTTCAAGGGTAGTTCGAATCATCCAGATTTTCCACCCTTTATTCTCATCAAAAGAGATGGAGATAATTCCAGAACATCTACGGTGAGGCCCACCAGAGTGGCTTTGAAAAGTAAAATCTGCATCGATCCAGGACGATTCGTCGAGTAGCTTGAAAAGGCGCGCTGTATTCGGAACCAAGGTCAGATCTATCGCGCTCTGCTGGATGAATGTATTGTTCCATGCTTTTATAATGCCTCTGGCACTGTAAAAAGTCCGGAATGTGCCGGTTAATGCTAGGGAGTCCCTCCAGATCACTGAGTCTAAGAGATCCTCTTCAGAGAGTGATAAGAGACGTGACAGTCGAGACAGAGCTACTTCTTCAATGTCCACATCTGCAGGAATCTGAGTTGTTGGTAACGAGCCTGGCAAGTCACTGACTTTGGTCTTTCGAGCGTGCTTCAGGAGCCCGTTTTTAGAGCTGTCGCTAATGTTTGGTATCGCCATGTGATTTAGAAGTGATCGCTAAAATATATCTTTATTGCATGTAGACTTATCTGCTGTTCTATAACATTTCTCTTTGAATCCTTTGAGAATCTATAACTTGCCTTCATCTGTAGGTCGCCACCCGGAGATCCGTCAGGCCTAGCATGGTTGAGTTGAGCGCCATACCGTTGTGGCTCTCCACAAAATACTGCCGGTGGTTCGCGGTTTTCCGGCACAGCCTTCTTTCTTTTGAGTTTCATTGTTTTCAGTTTGGGGTTTGTACCGTCATTTTCTGGAGCAGGCGGGCCGTTTCCGTGCTTCAGCCTTCGCCCGGGAAATGTTTACCCGCTCCTTATGGTTTCAATATACTCTGGTATTCAAACTGGGTGTCTTTGAGTCGTCCGTACGAATTTCAAGAATGAGTCCGCGGCCTGCTGCACATTAACTCCACTACGAGCTGTGAAGGTGCAGCAATCAAGCGGCAAAAGCTTGTTCTTTGGATCGAGCCCTAGACGGCTAAACCATTTCACAATTGCCCTGTAATCTTTCTCAGCTCCTCTCCAGCCTTGCGTTGTTTTGTTTCTTCTGAACAATATTGGGGAGTTCATTATCATCTTGACAATAGAATGGATCAACTTTCCGCTCTTGGCCGATCAATTTGGGAGGTCATCCCCAAGACTCTCGAAATCTATGGATCTCTTCTTAGCCAGCACTCAAAAGACGCGATTTTGGCGACCGAATATGAAGTTGCAAGTTACGGTCCCGACTCTCGTCAAAAATTAGACATCTATACATCGAAGTCTAGTACATCACCCATTCTGATCTTCCTATATGGTGGAGCCTGGGTCGAAGGTGACCGAGTCATAAAGGATATACCGAATGGACTCGTGTATAGAAATCTAGGGTACTACTTTGCTGCAAAGCACGGAATTGAAACCATTATACCTGATTATCGATTGGTCAAGCATGGTGGGAAGCATCCTTCTGGTACTGAAGACCTTGCTCTGGTCCTAGCATACACCAGAGCAAGATATGGTGACAGAAGGTCTTTGTTTGTTATGGGAAATTCTGCAGGAGGAGTAAATGCCGTGTCATGGCTCGTTGAGGATGCATTCAAGGACAGTCGTAAGACAAGCAAAGTCACTGGTCTCATCAGTCTCGGATCCTTGCTGGACTTTGAAGGGCTGCCTGCACCAATGCCAGCTGTACTTAAAGGCTACTTCGATGAAGACTTTGTCCAGAAGTCTCCTCTGGCACAATTACGCCAGTCAGCACGGGCAGGCACACTAAAAGAGAAAATGCCAACACTATTACTTCTCTGGAGTGAGCTGGATCCAGATTTCATCATAAAATCGAACAGTGATTTTAAGACTGAGTTGGAGAAGAATAGCCTCAAAGCTACCGCCCTAGAAATCAGAGGCCACAATCATATCAGTCCACCGTTGGCTCTTATGACAGGATCGCAAGCCGAAGAGGAGTGGGGCGCATCAACTGCTGAATGGATCAAGAAGCAAAGTGATTAAGAAGTATCTAAGTTGGTATCTAGGTCACTTTCCATAGCTGGTTACGTAGCAAGTGTGAGTTTATAGAGATATATTACATATCCGAGAACTTGGTCTGCAGCGAATCAATCAGTACAGTGTTCAACATAGTGGATGGACGAGACCTAACATTGAAAAGATGTCCTCACAAGTCAAAACTGAGTCGACCTACCACAACAGCAACTCAGGAGCACTTTCCCTTGCACCTTAACTCGAGTATCCCGGGTTACGGGAATATTAATCTTGGTAATCATCCAGTAAGAGTTTGAGTGAATGCTACTACTACCAGCGTAGTATCAAGGTCTTTAAGGGCATGCCTCTAGTGATTGGACATTAATTTAGCGAGGGTGTGCTACCGCGACACCGGCTGAAAGACTATCAAGCTCTACGCCATGCAAGAAGTGAGCGGAGTAGAACTGAGACGCCGAATGCCGTTGCGTCGAATGGTGGAAGCGGTCCGGGACCCCCGGTATTTGGACCCCAAAAGAGAATGAATCAAGTACAGAAAGGTCTTGAACCAAATTTGACCGTTCATTCCTGCAAGAAACGTCGAAAAATCAGACGAGTTAATGTCCGTACATCACCAAGAGATCTGCTGCCCAATATTCCCCAAGCTGTGGCTTCTAGCTCGCACAGCAAAAGCTCCTTCGATCAACGCCCACCATGTCTGATGACAGAAAGGTTGTCGTTGTAACGGGTACGTGCATCTATTTACCTTCAATGGTCGCATAGACTTCAAGTCTGAGTTCAAACAGGAGGCGCAAGCGGCATAGGACTGGCCGCCGTCCGTTCCTTCGCCGAACAAGGGGCTCATGTATGCATACTGGACGTCAGCCAGCAAGGTGCCAGTATTGTTAAGGGCCTCGCGTCAGAATACTCTCAGGCTTCATTCTCGTTCCACAACGCCGACATTACAGATTGGGATGCGCTAGCTCAGACTTTTGAGCAGATATACGTTGAGCAAGGGCGCATCTGTATGGTCTACGCCAATGCAGGTATTTCGCAAGAGGTTCCATTCACGATTCTTGAGGAGAAACCATCTAAGCCACAATTGCCAACTTTGGAAATTAACTTGATAGGGACAATCTATAGTATGCCGCAGATTCACCTTTCTAGGGTTGTCCAAAAGCTAATGTCACTGGTAGCCGTGAAACTCGCGACTCACTATCTCATGAAGAATGAGATAGTCAATAGCGCGAAGGCGCCAACCAGAGGCTCCATCTTGATAACAGCTTCAATCGCAGCCCTGTATCCGTTCCCAATTGCCCCAATCTACGCCGCAACGAAGCATGGTGTGGTCGGATTGGTGAGGTCACTCGCGCCGCATCTCGAAAAAGTCGCGATTCAAATCAATGCTGTGGCACCGGCATTCATAAGTTTGTTATCCTGTCAGAATGTTTGAGGTATCATTTCTAAAAGCGCTTCAGAAACGAATCTTGCGGCGGATGGGTTGCAAAGTGTCGTGTTCAAGAAAGTCGTCTTGACCCCAATGTCAACCCTGACTAGAGGAGTGCAGCAGCTGGTTTCGAATCCCTCATTCTCTGGGCAGCTAGCTGTGGTTCATGGGGACAACGTGACGATGAGTTTTCCGCCAGCGTTTGTAGACGAGGATACTGAGAATAACATCGAAACTCTTTGGAAGTTGGGCATTGGGGCAGCCAGTACTTAGCCAACCTGTAGGTGGACGTGCATCCCTTAACAGGTGATTGTGACACCTTTTTGCCTATCGTTAGCGGTTGGGAAATGCAGTGTAATGCTATGTTCAGATATGTATCCAAGTTCATCCCTTCACTTCAGAAAGTATTGAAAATAGCTGGCTACGACACCCTTGTAAGGCTCGTCTCTGATGTAGATTAAACTCAAGAAATTGTCAAAAATGTTACCAAAACCCACAATCGCTTCGGCTTTCTCTTTGCAAACCGTGGTTTGGCGAACTATTGGTAACCGTTTCAAAGGAGGATCAACTTGGCCCAAAGCTAAGTAAATTGGACCAGGGATCTCAACGATAGTGAAGTCGGACACTAGGAGCGGCAAATGAATTTGATGACCAAAAGCCCATGTCTGGCGGTCAAGTACGGTAGGCACGTAATGATGGTGAATTCATCAAATAAACCCAAATCTGGAGGCAGTGTTGTGATTACTAGATTTTGCACAACCTATTTGTGTTCATATTCGGACCTTTATGTATGACTTTATGTATAGTTGTCACACATTATGAATTTCCCACACTGGGCAGTTTTCCTTTTGCTTCCGTTGCGTAATCTTATTCGCGGACCTACCGAGCAAAAGTCCGTGGACAGCCGCATGCCTGTCGGGGTTCATACAAGGCAAACGAGAGTTCTACCGAAGAGATGTCTTTATTTCTTTCACTGATCATTTAATAGACACTGATGATGTAATTGGTACAAATATCGACAGTCCAGCTTCCATCGCCTGGACAGAAGAACATACTTGATACTGCAGACAAGAGGTACATGTTTGCACTGATAGTAGCAGGTAGTGTATTGAACCTGATCTCGCTTTTGCGAATAGGTCGTCAGCATCCTCCCCTGCCCCAGGGACCACCCAAGATTCCTATTCTCGGCAATGCACATCAGATCCCCCTCGATCTTAGGGAGAGCATATTCACATCTTCTCTACCTTGCTAAGCCTTGGATTTTACTCCCATTTCAACTTTTTTCATCTCAGCCTTGGGCCGCGAGAGGTAATGCTGCTGTGACAGCTTGCGACCGCAGACCAGGAAATATCTATCGTGTAGCCTGCACGTTCAACCATGAAGGCCTTTACTCTCGCCACTACCCACGGAATCCAAAATTCTCGTTCCGACGATATAGAAATCCCTGATGAATAAGAAGTTTCGACATCAACAGGTGGACTCATATTGCAAGTATTTCTCTTCAATCCTCTTCTTGCCTTACCTTTGGGTTTGGCTATAAAAACCCCTTTCGTCGCACTAATACCCCGGGGCTCCTCTTCGAGGTTTGGTCACAGTTTCTCCGTGCGTTCAGCTGTCAGGCGGCTGACAACCGACCATGGTTCATCTTCTACCGGTTGTACTAACCATCGATTCAGGTTGGCACTAGTTCTTGTTCCTCGTGATTCAGAGCCATTTGAAATCGTTCCTGGGACCATCGAAACTGCTGGATTTGCTTGCAGGTAAGAGACACACCTTGTGCAACCACAGCTCGAGTTGGACGACTCGTTGCTGTCATAAGGCTGACTGCAAGTGGGCGTATTAATGTTTAGCATAGCCATGTAAGGTACCAGGGCAGCTTCTTCATCTTCTTCCTTTATAATATCCAAAGATTTGTCATGGAACATAGAATACTGTATCCCGGCAGCAGTATTGGGTGGCAATTGGGCGTTGTTGTCACAATGAGAGAACTCTTTTCTGATAATGGGATACTCTTCTCCTTCATCAATAGTGATGCTAACATCATTGGGTATTGAATCATCTCGTGCAGCCATGATAGTACTAGATGTTCTTGGCTCCATTTCATCAGCGCAGTCCTTGGACGGCGGGCAATGCGTGTCAGAGCAATGTGTGAATTCGCCGAATGGCTCAAATAGATGTCCGGGAGACAACGTGTCATAACCACCTTCATGTGTGAACGAGTTGAAATCAAATGCATCCAGGCCGATGACATTGTCGACCAGACAGGATGGTTCATATTGTCGTTCGATATAAGGCTCAAGCCTCTGCTTCCATTCTGAGATTCGCCGAACACTACCACGCAATGTGCCTTCAAAATGTGCTGCAACGTGGGAAAGCCATTGGCGCCAGTCGTCGAAGCTACGAGCGCAGAAGCCGCATGGGCGTTGTTGTGGTTTCAGAAAATAATGCGGTTGTGGCTTCGAGTGTATATCCTCCCTACTGTGAAGCTTCTTCTGGTGAGTTTGGAGATGACTCATTCGGCTGAGAACATGGTCGGGGCACATTGGGCACTTCCACTCCTCGAAATTGAGTCTCTCATGCCGGATCCAGTCTCCTTTCCGGTGGAATGACTGCCCGCACTGATTGGTGCACTCAAAGAGCTTCGAGTTCCGAGGCTGATTCTGGGTACTACGATACCGAGAATTTGAGTCCAGACATCGAGCCCGATATTGCACCAGATCGTGTGACGTAGGTCTGCAATGCACATAAGGATTATTTCGCGCTGAAGGGCTCAGTAAGTTGACCCTAAGCCATTCCACTAATATCTCCTGTGGAGTACAGGTCAAGATCTCCAGACACCGAAGCTGCTGTCCTGCTGGCAATTGGCCAACGTTTTGAAAGCTCCATGCTAGAAGATAGGGAATAGCGTCCGGTTTGAGCTCAGGTAATTTTACTCGGCCTTCAGTCTTCTCAAATTCGATGTCAAAATCGTTCTTGGAAACCACTGAGTTTATCGTTGTGGCAGGCGACAAGTCTAGGGATTCCCCGTTTTCGCTGCCAGTGGAATTTTGGTAGGATGCTAGAGTATTTGGACTCCAGGGAATACTTGGATCTCGGGCTTCCTCACTCCGCTGGGGGGTCAGAAGCCTTGGGTCAATTGTCTGCGTGTCATTATCAACTATTGCATCGATTCGAGGGGAGTCTACTGTTCCTCCAAGAACCACCACAATTCCTTAATGACTCGTTGTCGCGTGGGCTTATGTACCTGATACTGCGATTGAATGACAGTAGCATCATGTTTAAGATTGAAGACCATCTGGCTTCTTAAACACTGGCAACTTCACATTGAACATCCGCCCTCAGGGCTGCGAGGGCGAAGCGGGCATCCGTGAGTGACAGACTATAGTACTAAACTCAAGAGCTAACAAGCATGGTAGAATATTTCATTTTGTCCGTCCTACGAAGCACGAAGTAAGAAACCCTACACGAGTCTACGGCGGAAATACGAGATTGGGAGCGGATCGTGCGTGTCACCGCGTTCAAGTTGGGTGCCGAAAGTCTGGATTACATAAACACTGACAAAGCCAAACATGTGACTGCTTGTTAGACGGAAGGATTCACCGTAGCAACGCTTAGTACGGTGAACCATATTGCCCGTACATCACTATCTTGTCTAGATTAATTTTTGGGAGGACGTGTGAGGATCGATCTCTCGTGACAATTGTTTCTGCGCATTGCAGCTTTTTGGTTTCGCTTTCTTTCCTTCTTTTCAGGCCAAGCGTCCTGTTCCGGCATCGCCATGGTTTTCACTCGCTCCCTCACAACCTTCTTGCGCGCCTCGAGACATATTGCGACCCCAGCTCGAGGTGTCAACCCCGTCAATAGAGTCTTCGGTCACGACAGATTCGGTGCCAGAGGATATGCCGCAGTCTTCAATCGAGACAAACCCCATGTCAACGTTGGTGAGTTCCTATAACTATATCTGTCGCATTTCATAGCTAACAAGGATAGGAACCATTGGCCACGTCGATCATGGCAAGGTAATCCGCTTTTGGTCCGCATCCTACACCCCAAGCTCACATATCTAGACTACCTTGACCGCCGCCATCACAAAAAGACAAGCAGAGCAGGGCTTTGCAGAGTTCTTGGACTATGGAGCTATCGATAAAGCTCCGGAGGAGCGGAAACGTGGTATCACCATCTCGTCTGCACATGTCGAATACGAAACACAGGGACGCCACTACTCGCATGTCGATTGTCCCGGTCACGCTGATTACATCAAGAATATGATCACTGGTGCTGCTCTGATGGACGGTGCTGTGGTCGTGGTGGCTGCAGGTGATGGACAGATGTAAGACCCCTTCATGTTTTATCAGCCGCTCTCCTTCGCCTCTAACAAATATCTGCAGGCCGCAAACCCGAGAACATTTACTCCTCGCCCGCCAAGTCGGTGTCCGGAAGATCGTGGTCTTCGTCAACAAAGTTGATACCGTGGACGATCCGGAAATGTTGGAGCTCGTCGAGATGGAAATGCGCGAGGTTATCAGCAACTACGGATTTGAAGGCGATGAGACACCCATCATCTTTGGATCTGCACTGTGTGCCCTCGAAGGGAAGAGACCAGATATCGGCGTGGAAAAGATTGATGAGCTCTTGAAAGCTGTGGACACCTGGATTCCCGACCCAGTTCGTGACACCGACAAGCCTTTCTTGATGCCTATCGAGGAAGTCTTTGGCATTCCAGGACGTGGAACCGTTGCATCCGGTCGAGTTCTCCGTGGTATCCTCAAGAAGGACTCTGAAGTTGAAATCATCGGTGGTAATGGACCGGTCATCAAGACAAAGGTCACCGACATCGAAACATTTCACAAGCATTGTGATGAGTCTAGAGCTGGTGATAACTCGGGCCTGTTACTTCGAGGCATCAAACGTGAGGACCTCATCCGTGGACAATGTGTCGTCGTCCCTGGAAGCGCAAAGGCAGCCAAGAAGGCTATGGTATCTATGTACGTTTTGACGGAAGAGGAAGGTGGTCGCAAGCACGGCTTTGGCACTGCCTACCGACCAGTTGGATTTATCAAGACCGCCACAGAGGCTATTGCGCTCTCATGGCCAGAGGGTGTGGAAGATCCTGAGCGAATCGTCATGCCGGGTGACAACGTCGAAATGATTATGGAAGTGCTCCACCTGACGGTGATGGAACCTGGAGAACGATTCAACCTGAGAGAAGGCGGTAAGACAGTTGCCACCGGTATCATCACGAGTATCGTGGAGTAAATATTGGAACCATTATCCTAACGAAAGGCATGGGGTTGGAGCAAGCCGGTCCGGTGCCGGCCGAGAACAAAAATTGTATCAAAATGTATAACGGCTTTTGTACATGGATCAGGAAAGCGGGCTTCAGCAATTAGAACCTTTGTCCCACAATTCGGCAAGGGCCCAGATCAGAAAAAGCTGCAGATACCTCTCTACTTCAATTCGACCATATAATCATACCACAAAATTTATGTTCATTATCCCCGTGCCGAGCCTCGTTTAACGAGAAACACTGCAAGGCAGCCTGTGGCTTTGAGAATCGACACTGCCTGTTACGACGGTCTAACGCACTAGGATCGACGCCAATAGGCAACCTGAATGGTCTGGCAGTCTTCCTGGCTACCTAGCTAGATCGCAAAACAATCACATTCATTACCGAAAGTTGGAATGTCCCGGGCACGGCTTAGTGTTGACTGCCGTAGAATATGGGAATGTCTGCAAGTCCTGGCGCTGTTCGCTTTTTTTTCTTTCCAGGGGTGATCGTGCACTCTACCCTTGTCAAGTTCGTATTAATACGTCACATGGACTTCGTACTGGCGACCTTTGCATGCACTGGAATGTAAACAAATCACAGGTCCGGCGTATGCCACCGAGTCCGCCTTTGTCCATATGGTTCGCACAAAGGTTCCAGTGCTCCACTTCTGGCCAACTGCCTTTTCTACAAAACACTTGCGCCGGTTTTATTTGAACCCTGACGCATGAGGAATGCTATCATGGACAGCATATTCATTGAAGCCTCGACGTTTGCGGAACTTTCTTGAATTAGTGGTTCAACTAACAGAGCTCGCCGACTCTTTGTCTCAGCTATATATACTGCTAGGGTTACGTCCATTCTATTCGACTCTTTCCAGTATTCTTTGGCTGGCATTCTCCAACGTCCCCGATTTTTTAGCTCGTGTTCGTGTCTATACTCGATGGGGGACTCATTGGAGGAGAGATTCAAGGCTAGAGAGTATGACCTTTCACATCCAGAAAGCCTTTTCGAGCTTGCTCCTAGCAATAGACGACTTCCTGAAGAGTGGAGGAATCTTGGATGGACGACTTCACACCGTTGGAGGGATCCACATGATGAATTATGCTCGGCCTGTGGTTGGACTACGTACGATCAACTCGGGTCCTACCTTCCCCGGGTGAGGATCACGCATACCCGTGGGAACTCTGGCTTATGGTCTTTGGGTTCTAAATGGTTGATAAGGGATCAACCAAACGATGGCGGACTCGGAAATGAGTACACGACATGGAAGTTTCTGCGCGAACAACCAGGTCTCAATATTCCACTGGTGAAAGAGATGAAACGTTTTACAGATCCCGAAGATCCCATACAGTTCACATTGATCTCACGAGCTCCGGGCGTGGAGTTAGCTTCGATCTGGTACACCTTATCTCCAGAACAAAAGTCTGGATACAGAGATCAATTGGTCAATGTCCTTAAACAACTCCGACAATATACGTCACCTTCTCCCCAAAAGATTAATGGCGATAAACTTGATGATGGTGTGTTGATCTGTAGGACCATTCATCCTCCCACCTGTTTTAAAATTGGATCCACAGATGAAGAATGGCTGGAAGATCTATCGGAAACAATGCGTGCTGGAATATCCGCTCAATATGGTGACTCTCAAGATGAGGGACTCGTTGAGAAGAAACTCCAGGAAATGAAGGACAACTTCCCAAGCGGAGCACCATATACTCTGACCCATGGAGATCTGAACCTCACCAACATTATTGTCAAGGATGACAAAATCCAAGCCATCATCGACTGGGAGCAGTCAGGATACTGTCCTTGGTGGGCGGAGAGGTATCTTTCCAAAGTTGCCGGTGGCGCCTATATGAACGAGCTCTTCGAAGGGGTTTGGGAGAAGGTACAGCCCGAAATCTCCGACAGTGCCTTTGCGCTGATCATTGAAAAAATTGTGCCGGTCCGCAAAGCTTTGAGCCGAGCGCGGGTATGGCATGACCACCAAAGACATGGCTTTTTGCGACCCCCTTTTTGCAAATGCAAGCCTATTGGTGGCATCATTAGAGCACAATTCCTTGAGCCGTTCACACATACAGTGGCAGATTGGAGAAATCAATCAGAGCCAGATACCATGGACTGGATCGTTAACGTGAGAGACCCAAAAGTGGACGAAAAATGTGACCAGAGTACTCCCACACCGAAACCGTCGCCAGCTTCGGCACCTTGGTTTGCAACAGAAGTGCCGCCCGGAAAAAAAGAATGAAATGATCAGGAAAACACAACGCACAAGATTGTCAGGTAGACGCATCCAAACTAAGCACTTGTCTTTTCTAGGCGCGAATCACACGGATGTTTGACAGATTCGACCTTTTCCCCTTCAACGGTGTGCTTGGTTGTTAGACTCTTGATTGTTACAGTCTAACACCAAACGGATTTTTCGCTCCTTGTGCGCCCCTGGTTTCTTTCGTATCTTAAATAGATCTAGGGGTAAACTTCCCACTGTACTATATCGGATTCTATTCAACTCCGTCGATCAGGAAGTCAGATCAAAAACCAGGATAAAGTCCCTTTAACCAATGTTAGGGTGAGGAACACATTTAGAAAACATATATGGATTTGCTTACGGGAAATAAATTCGTCGGCATCCAAAGTCTCGTGAACAACTTGGTGGAACAATACCAGATCATCCTTCCAAGCTTTTGTGGTGATCTTGTCGTTGTCGTTGGTGCTGCCGCCTTGGACCTTTTGAGTAGTATATCTACACTGTGCTCCTGGAACTTGCACGAGGAGGTATTTGCTGTTCTTGTCGCCAATAAAAACAGCAAATCTCCCACTATCATCTAAGCTTGCCAGGGCGTCATTGAAGAAGGATGTGCTCGTTCTCATGAGGGGTGGGGCTTCTGATCCGAATCCGTAGAATGTCCAGGTCAGCTGGTTTCCGCTCTCATCGATCGTTGGTAAAGTTAATGCGTTACAATATCCGCATTGATCTGCATATGATGGGTTTTGATGCGCACAAAACAAACACTCGAGACGACTGTATCTGGCCATTTTTCGAATATCGAGTCGTCTCTTCAACGCGCCGGCCCTTCTCTTATGATGTTATGTCCAAGATGCTTGTAGATTGGCATTCTATGAAGATTCTTGGGCGCGTAGTAGCATTGGCTCAATGTTGCCTCTTATAACTCATGATAATTTATAGTAGCACCCCTGCCCTGTCCCTCCATATCATGCCTGATAGAGATGTAGATCTCAGACTTGTGCAAAGTCGAGCTCAGAAACTTTAGAACATAGTCTCACATGAATAAAAGAAGAAATGTTTTCAATAACAAACGGGGTATCACTGAGACAAAGGCTGTGAGGCTGAATGAAACATGTAGAATAGTCAGTGAATTATTACAAAGAGTCCGAGATGAGATGATAAAGAACGATAGTTAAAGGTGTGCATTGGGTGTGACTCTACTCCCCAGAGCTTGGGATTCAGACTGGGCCATAGCTCTTAGACGGTTTCTTATCCAGAATCTCCGTTGCAAAGTAGCACGACGTTCTTTAGCCACCCACACAATGACAAGATGCCTAAATATTGTTTTTGTCGTGGCATCGCATTGTTCCACCATGCTTTGACTTGCTTTATTTCACCATAGGCTGTACCGAAATACCAAGAAAAACAGCTGGTAAGTAGATGGCTAGTAGAACACGGCTAATCTCTGTATATGACTAACTCATCAGTATACCTTACATGAGGGTGCATAGAAGAAGGATAAGTGTTCGGAATAGTACGAAAGGATATCCTGAACACTTACCTCGTTTGACCCTAGGTACTATTCTGAACACTTATCCTTCTTCTATGCACCCTCAAAGCGTGTCGAAAAGGGGTCAAAACTAGTATAATTTGGCTACAAGATGTGTAGCATGTAGCAATGCAGACGACATAATTACTATTAATAGTATTTTACATTTCTCAAAGACATTTACCTGAGCTGTTTGCGTTACTCGACTAGGCTTAGAATATATCGCTTGAAAAGTCGTCCTGGGGCATTGAGACTTCAACTCGTCTGTCCCTTAAAGAATGGGTACCGTCGTACAAGATTCCGGTCTCTCTTTGAATTCCAACATTGTTAAACAGATTGACTGTTCCAGCAATGGAACGAGGGAAGTCAGTCAAGCTTGTTCTAGCCTGCTAACTGGTTTGCTGGTCGGAAGGGCAAAGAGTGAGGAGCGGAGTCTGGCTGATTTCTGCGTTACATAGTCGCCACAGCATTGATACTGATTAGGTCAAACCTCTTGTATTCAAGTCTCTCTGCAGCCTGAGGTTGGATATCTCTAGCCAATCTAATATTTCAGTTTTTCGCAATGGTCATGAAGGCGCCCTCGAAGACCTGGAAGAATTGGACACTATGAGCATACCTGGCAGCGATTTTCGTCCTTTGAATCGTCCTTCTCAAGTGATGACAGAAGTTGATGAGTTGAAGATAAGTTGGAAATACCCGAGGAGGTTGCTTGTGCTCAGGCCAAAGAAATCCCACGATACAGTGGCCATGTCTTCCATCCGTAATGTCTGCAGGTGACTGAATTCTTTTTGATATTGCTTGGTTTGAGTTATGGTACTAAGGTCGCTTCTTACAAGCGTTCAATGCCATGCCGTCGCTTCTGGAAAGCATAAGCTTCCGAGCTGGCAAGCAGTATCAAGATATGGTCATTGAATACCGAGTCGAAGCACTGACAAAAAGACAATCCAGCCGATAAAGACCTTGAAAGCTTGAAGCAGTTGCTACTTAACCGAGATCCAACTATTCATCTTGAGGTGCTTCTACGCAACAGCGAAGACCTAACAGATGGGACCAAGTAGTAAATCATAGCATGAATATCCAGCACCCATCAAGGAGGACAGTGGACAGAAGAAGCTATAAGAGGGTTATTACGTAGGCAGTTTGTTGGGCTCCGAGAGAAGAAACATGAGATATGATGATGCGTTAGTATCGTACGAAGGTGCGGGGAGGATGATCTAAGCCAAGGGAATATGTGAACCCGGCAATTGAGGAACCCACATCCCTTCGATAGAGGAGGTATACATCTTCGCCATGTAAGTGGGTTCAAGAATAAGGATGATATATCTTTGATGGCACCCGGCTTGACAGCGGAAGTGAAATCGTGCAAACTCAAAACATCCATGAACCTGTTATATCTTCTACTACAAGCTACTAGTTCCTACATAGAACCGGGACATTGATACCTCGATAGATCCAGGTTTCGAGGCTTGAACATTCTCCAAGCATGGAGGGCCAATGCCAATGCGGGGCCATCAAATTCACAACCCCGATACCACGCCCTCTCAAGGTCTTTGTGTGTCATTGTCTCGAGTGTCGACGACAGAGCGCATCCGCCTATGGCATCTCGGCCATCTTCCCTGTCTTCGAGCCATCATCTGCTTCCACAGGACCATTGGGATGGGAAGACACCGACAAAATCAGTGTGTTTAATCACATCACGCCTAAAGGTCGCACCAAACGTTGCTATTTTTGTAAGAGCTGCGGGACGAGACTTATCCATATTCATGAGGGTGCGAAGGCTTGTGCCGTCAAAGCTGGCTGTTTAGAAGGCATTGGACCCGATATGGTCGCGGGTGCGACGCATATCTGGACTAGCAGGGCGCTTGTCCCAGTGCCGGAGGGGAACGAGGCTTTCGAAGAGGATCCACCTTCATGAGGACAGAATAGACAACGACAAGTGAGAAGGATTGTGAGGGACGCTTGAGAAAGCGCAGTGGGGTGGGGTTAGGATATCAAAAGTACTTCCATTGAGCAGTTTCCTGACATGATTGTATGCCTGAGTTATGTTTGGCTTTAGGTCGGTCCAATAGTTTGGAGCATTCGCCTCGATGGGATTAATGCTATGGTGTAACTTTTGTCTTTTCGTACAGTCATTGCGTGCCCTTTGTACAATAAGTAGTGGTGGTAGATCCCACTGTGACCTGAAGGATACCTGGCAAACTCCTCTCCGTTCTTGAGATGCCTTCCAGCATATCTGTTTGCGCTGCTCACTTGTCTATGTCAAGCGATTCAACTTGTACTGGCCAACACACCTGCGGTCTCGGCTTGTCCACCATCTGCCAAAGCATCGCGCTCTGCTCTCCGTCTTCTCTTCTCAAGAAGGATCTCTTTCCGCTGTTGCAGGAGTTTAAATTGTCTGTCTTCCACCCCCTTCATCCAGTAGCCAAATGAACCGCCCACGCCGGCGAACAAGGGATAGACCCATAGGGCACCGCGCTGGAAGAATGGCCGCATTTCAATGCCAAGTTGGAGGAACCGCGTCGCAATGCCTATGGTTGCAGCAGGGTTAGCGCTTGCTCGCTATGATGGTAGCAGTCCGACAAAAGAGCAAGCCAGAAAGTGATGCGATGACCTACCGAATCCGGCCCAAAATAGAATCTTGTGAACCATGTTGAAATTTTGTGTATATGAGCCTGATCTTGCTTTTTTCGTGCCTTTCAAGTCGGAGTTTCACAGGGAGAGTGAATGGGCGCCCTCGGCGCGGCGGATGATCTTAAGTCAATTTGAAGCTCTCCTTGAGCTATTGCAGGGTATAGAGAGGGTCCTGGGAAAAATGGATGCCTGTTTTCGAGTGCCTTGTTGTTGTGTCGTGGTTGTGCCCGGAAATTGGGATTGCTGGGGTCTCAATCCGTGAAGCTTGCAAGTTGCATGGATATGGGATGGGGATGGGGCACGATTGCAGTCAGGGCTTGGAGCGAATCGAGACAAACTTGATTATTTTGCTGGACGGGACGGAGAATAATGTCTCCGTAATCTGCACTTTGTCCGCTAAACTTCCGCCCTACACCAGCTACAGCGCAACTTTTAGACGCGACGTGTAGCCTACAATTTCCAGTCCAATCGCGTTGAGTGGACGAGTCTCTATGAATTCATCAAGTGCGCAGTCCCACCTGCAAGTTGATATTCGAGGCTGGTTCAGCGCAGTATCTGCACTGTAACACCTGAAGTACCTCATCTTAATCATGGCGACCACGAACGCCGTGATGACTGATGCTCCTTCGATGGGTGTCGAGTCCGCAGGTCCCTTCTCCCTCCGCCAGCGCTTCAAAATCTCAGATCTACCTCTCGTCAAAGAGAAGCGTTCCGCCATTGACACCCTTCTTCTCAAGTTCAAGAAACAGGGGGGTTACGATAGCCTCCGCAAACAAGTCTGGGCTTCATACAATACTTCCGATGCAAAGACTGCCCTCACACACCAAATTCACGCCATCGCCGATGCGGAGATCGAAAAGGACACGAATCTTCTCGCCCGTGAACGTGGCAAGGCTGCAACACTCATCCAGGGCGCTGTCGATCGCAGTGGTCTATATCAAGATGTGGAGTCAAGAATTGACACAGAAATTGCCAAACATTTATCTATGGTTCTAGATGCTGTCCGGGAGATTCGAAAAGCAGATGTCGGTCTCGAAATTGCTGCGCAGGAGGAAGCGCAAGGCAGCAAGACAGATGATCAGTACAGAAAAGAGACAGAAGGTCGGACCGTTGAGCGGGAGAAAAATCGGGCAAGAATGGATCAGTTGCTTCGAGAAACAGCTGAGCTTAAAGCTAAAATAAAGATGGAGGAAGAAAGGAAGCGCAAAAAGGAAGAAGCTAAGCGTGAAGAAGAAGAGCGGAAGAAACGCGAGGCTGAAGATGAAGCACGGAAGCTTGCGCGGGAAAAGCGCAGGAAGGAGGAGGAAGAGCGTGAGGCAGAGAGGATCAAGGCTCGAGATGAACGACATCGAAAACGTGAAGAGGAGAGAAAGGAACGTCAGGCTCGGTATGAGCGAGAAAGAGACTCGGAAAGAGACCGTGGGCGTGACCGTGACCGTGACCGTGATCGCGATCGATCGCGGGACCGAGATCGAGATCGGGATTCCAAACGAATTTCGACGCGGCGGGATTCATATCAACCATCTCATGACAAAGAAATGAAAACACCTGCGACTGAACAAGAACTTGAAGCCGCTGCACTTGAACTACTGTTGAGCGAGGGCAAAAAGCTAGCCGAGAAATCCAAAGAGCGGCGAGAGTACGATTTTGAGAAATCAGAAATACACCATAGCTCCCGGAAGAGTGCAGGGACTGATCACTATCCTAAAAAGAGAGAGAGATCGCGAGACAGCTATAAACGTGGTCACGAGCGACGAAGCAGATCCCCTATCAAGAGAGCACCAATCCCTCAGCCGTCGAAGTTAGAGAAAGCAGATCCTCCTCGCCAACGAAGCCCCAGCAGAGATCGTGAAGAAGGTGAAACCCAAAGCCAACAAGCCTCTCCTGTGCCTGTCAAAGACAGAGAAAAGGCTCCAATCCGTGAACGCAGACCTCGTTCAGCATCGCCTGCAGGAATCGACCGGTACGTCCCAGGCGGTGGTACTCACCGTACGGCAGAGGAGCGAGAACGCGATCGGGACCGCCGCAAGGCGAGAGATGGTGATCGCGATCGCGACGGTGAATCACGAAGAAAGATCGATATTCATCGCGCGGACCGAGATAGAAGTCGCGACCGGGAAGGGGATCGCGACAAAACCCGTGATGAGCCCAGACGAGATCGGGATCGGGACCGAGACCGGGACCGGGACCGAGAAAGAGATCGAGGTCGCGATAAAGACAAGGGCGACAGATATCGTGCACGAGACTATGACAGAAGTCGAAATCGGGACCGTGATAGAAGCCGTGACCGCGAACGAAGTCCAAGGCGTCGAGACGACGATCGCCGCGATACCAGGAAAGAGGCCGGACGTGAGGACAAGAGAGATGATCGAAGAGACGACAGAAGAGACGACCGCAGGGATGATCGAAGAAGTGACCGTCGGGATGACAAGCGAGATGACCGACGGGGTGACAGAAGAGACGATCCCCGCGACGACAGACGTGATGATAGGCGCGATAGCCGAAGAGACAGAGACAGAGACAGCCGCCGCGATAGAGAGAGAAGTCCTGGCCGACGTGATCGAGATCATGTTCAGATTGATCGGTATGTACCTGGACGCTAGGAACGTCAAATGGTGAATCATCAGGTTGCAGTCAGTGATCGCTGGAGACCTCCCGGACGCCCAAATGGGGCTGAGGACGATTTTGACGGGGTTGAAAAGCCCGGCATGGTCGAGCCTGCATCAAACAGCTTCTCTGAATGCTTGCGATAGCTCAACTCAATATGCGACGTGGGTCGCAAGTCGGGAGAAAGACTCGAGAGAATTGTCCGCTCCAGGATGAGAATACTCCGCAGATTGCTCCCCAGCTTGGTCCAGATTGATATATGAGTGAAAGCTGGTCTTCGCGAAAAGGACATTCCCAAGATATGATCGTGCTCTGCGACAGTTGTTAGCTCAGCAGTCTCCCAATGCCAGAATTTTCCCCATCTCTCACCCTGAGTGATGGCAGCCTGCAACTCGCCACCGCAGCACAGAATACAAATCTCCTCCCACAATTTCACCGCCCTCCCAGCTTCTGGCCGTACCCTGATCAACCACCGTCCTCCGTCGCGATTCTCTTCGTCCTCCCACAGTGGCTTGATCCCCGAGCGGAAGATGTGGATGCTATCCTTTTGTCGGATCTGGTTCCATGGCATATTGTTGAAGATGCGGTAGAATGCCGCAATGTCAGAGACATGGTCGATCAGCAATGTCAATCGGTACTCCTCGAATGGATCGGGCTTTGAGTGCCACACAGACCAGACATATTGGAAGGGAAACGGTCGCAGCTTTTGGATCAAGGCTTTGTGCAGTGAGGAAGAGCGGCGGGGTAGAGATGGTCGAGTCTCGGTCATGGCGTCGGTGTTGGCGCTCACCACTGGTGGTGGTGAGGCTGGCATGGTGGTTGTCATGTTCGAGAATGAACTTTTTTCGAGAGTACAAGCGAAGTGAATCTTTTCCGAGACTGAAGAAGACGAGGTCCTACTCGCTTGAGACAGCTAAAGAACTACCCGCAAATGGTATTTCAGGAGAAGAGAACAAGAAGCATTCGAGAAGTCGTCGGGTTCACGCAATCAAAAAAATCCCCATCCCCCATGTCAGGTCCTTCTACCTTTCCCGCCTCGGGCAGCTGTGAACTTCACAGAGCAACCACTGACCCCAGGGCCGGGGGGAGTCGTCATCATTCCTTGCATAGCCGACGAACTTAGCGCCCACGTTATCGTGATTGTCGAGTCTTGCGAAACGTGAAACATTACATTTTTAGATAAAATGGTGGAACTCAGCTGGTGCCAGGCTGGATTTACGCGCTCGGTCTTGGGATACATGTTGGATGAAGGGCTCTTATTCGTTGGGAGGAAATGCGGCTGGATGGTAGTGCCGCTTCAAACCTAGATTTTGACCTAACCTTACTGGGCATATATTCTGCCGCTTTAACATCTGGCACGGAACTCTGGTGCTACCATCCTCAACGATATGTACTTCTTCGATAATGTATTTCCCTACGTCTAGCTTCAGAGTATTACAAGTCATGTGAATGTTCGCGGGCTGAATCATAGGAGAGAAGTGTAAAGTCGCGTTGTGACGCTTCCCAAGCCCTCAAAGTGGCGGGAACGAACCCGACCGAGTCAGAGATTTTATATTGCAGCCCAATTTCGAACGACGGACTACTCTCACGCAAGTCCAGTCATCTACGTCTACCAAATTACGCCCGGCATATACTAATACTTCTCACACCATCAACTCTTATCTCCTTAAATCAGATTTTACAATCGAATCAGAGAATCACTTTGGTTCCTTTGAACAATCAATCTAAGCCTGTGCTGGACGCAATGGCAACAGGCGGGCATTGTGTCAAACCCAAGGATGTTGTAGATGATGACGAAACCTCATCCTCAGGCAGTTCATCGGACAACGATGATGCCATTGAGGAGCATATCCCATTGAATCACGGAGTGAAAGAATCATCTTCGTCTCAGCAGATTCCAAACCTCTTGACAAGACCGATGGCAGGGCCGGCATCAGACCTAAAATCGCGATTGCGGGCGTTTCTCCCAGAAATCGAAAAGGCGAATTCCGAGTTGGAAGACGCTGACAACGTTAGTAAGCAAAGAATCGATAATGTTCCAGAGGACGAAGAGCATTATATCGAGATGAACCTGGAGTTAGGAGTGTTGACTGAACGCAAAGGAAGGGAGGAACATGGAGAACTCAAATTTCGAGAGTCAAGTTCAGAGGACGAGAGTGAAGATAATCTTGACGGAAGCTCCACAAAACAACCATTGCCAGTGGATGGTACTGCGGTATCACAATTGAAAGGAGAAAAAGTGCAACAGAAGCAGAGAAGCAAGATCGAGGAGATTGGGCCAAATGGCGTTTAAACGAAGTAACGAAGATGGATTTATCAGTTCAAAAGCTCCAAGCAGGAGGAAAAGTGTGGCACTATTAGCATGCCTTGGTATGTGGCAGTTTTACAAATACTCTGATGACGAGCTTCTGCTTGTGCGGTGAAGTTCATCGAACATGTATCAGTCAGTCTGATTTTTTACTGCAAGAACAAATTGAGGCTGGAACAAAGGAGGAACATGGTTCTGTGATTCTTCCGAGTCGCACCTGCCGCCAACTTCACAAGCCTGCAACTCCCCAAAAGATCGATATCGTCCATCCTTCCTCCACACAAACGGCTCGCACGTGCCGTTGACACGTCTACCACTATAAGAATCTCTGACAGTATGATAATTACTTAGGCAATGAGCTGGTGTCCTTTCAGAACAAGAGATCCCCCAGTGACTGTGGTCCACCGGTTCATCCGTACAGAAGATTGCCTGCAGCGACTGTCGTTTGAGGTACCCATTTCTCCTTCCACGTGGCAAGAATCCAAGCACTGCAGATACAACCAAGAAAGAGAAATGCAGTACTGGATCTGAGTCGAAGTACTACCTCATGAAAGAGAAGTGCATATCACAAAGCCAGTAACCGCGGACGCATCAAAAGTTGGGAGGTGTCGTGTCTGAGTCGGACAGGTGAATTTACCCATACCACCCGAATTATGTCATTGTTTGGATTTAACCCAAAGCGGCCAACCCTAGTCGCCTGCGGAACCACCACCTCCACTTGGTCTGCGACCACCTCCAAGTCTCTTCATCTACACTGCTTTGCAAAGTCGATATTCAACAGTATTAGCAGAGTGTATACGCCTCCTGGAACAGTCTATAATCATGGTGCCACCCGCCACCAGGGCGAAGACTCCCACAGCATCCTCGGCCTCAAGCCCGTCTCTTCGATCCAAGACACCTGTCAACATCCCGATGGCTCCGTCTTCTCTGAATCCTGGCGGGAATGTAAAGGTGGTCGTTCGAGTAAGAGGCTTCTTGCCTAGAGGTCAGGCACCCTGATTCATATCTCAACATTGTCGATGGCTAATCAACCGTTCTACAGAGATCGCGAAAGATGCACAATGCCTCATTGAGATGAACCCAGACACACAGTCAACGAAGCTGATAGCACCTCCGACCTTGGACTCAAAGGCCAACACGAAGAGAGTGGTGGAAGACAAGACGTTCACATTCGACAATTCGTTTTGGTCCCATGATACAGCGGACGAGCATTATGCGACACAAGAGGATGTCTACAATTGCTTGGGTGAAGAATTTCTTGATCATAACTTCGAAGGCTATCATACCTGTATCTTCGCCTACGGTCAAACGGGTTCAGGCAAGAGTTATACCATGATGGGTAAAGATGAACAGCCCGGCTTGATTCCACGAACCTGCGAGGATCTATTCGAGCGAATTGAAAGCAATGAAAGCGCAAACATCAGTTACAGCGTCAGAGTGTCCTACTTTGAAGTCTACAACGAACACGTCCGTGATCTCTTCCAGCCTCGAACAGATCCTCCACAGTATCTCAAGATTCGGGAATCGCCAACAGAAGGACCATATGTGAAGGACTTGACGGAAATTCAAGTCAAGAATTATACCGAGATTTTGAAGTACATGCGTATGGGCGACAATTCCAGAACCACGGCCGCAACCAAGATGAATGACACATCATCCCGGTCTCACGCTGTCTTTACAATCATGTTGAAACAGATCCACCATGATTATCATACTGATGAGACGACCGAACGACTAGCGCGTATCCGTCTCGTGGATTTGGCCGGTTCAGAAAGAGCAAAAGCAACAGAGGCGACCGGACAACGACTCCGTGAAGGGGGAAACATCAACAAGTCTTTGACCACCCTTGGACGAGTGATTGCAGCTCTTGCAGATCCGAAGCATGGTCGGGCACAGGGCTCTACCCGAAAAACCCGCGATGTTGTACCTTACCGAGACTCGATCTTGACGTGGCTACTGAAGGATTCACTTGGGGGCAATTCCAAGACTGCCATGATTGCTTGCATTGCACCTTCCGATTACGACGAGACGCTCTCGACATTGAGATACGCCGATCAAGCCAAACGCATTCGGACTCAAGCTATTGTCAATCAAGATCATGTTTCTTCGGCGGAGAAGGACGCGCAAATAACCGAAATGCAAGAAACAATCAGATCACTGAGATGGACACTCAATCAACAGCAACAGAATGGAAGTGTATCAGTGATGAAGGCCATGCAGGAAAGCGCCGAGGCACAGTCTGAAAAGGTTCGAGAATTCACATCGAAGTATGAAAACATGTTGCAAATCATGGAAGAGAAATTGGCCATCTCCGAGTCCAAAATCCGACAGATGGAAGAGGAGAAAGAGGCGTTGAATCTTCATCTCAAACTCGTGCTCGATGAATTGAAGAACCCGATCATTCTCCATGAGGAGACAGAATCAGTGGCGGATGACAAGGAGAGATCGAGAGGGTCAACGCCCGACATGATCTACGAGGACGACACTGCATCCAGCGATGAGGCTGATATGGAATCGGACTATGATGATGATGAAGCGATCGAGATGGCAGCAGAAATGGAAACCCTGATCTCGGACCTCGGCATGTTCAAAAAGAAAATTGCCGCCGACCACGAAATGTTTGGTCTTGAGATATCGGTATGAAGGTGGCGGAAACACGATTCGTGCTAATCCCGTCTAGACCAAGATTAAAAGTGATGATTGTAAATGATGGATTAGTAGATAGCAAGCGTGGCGTTTCTTGGAGCTGTAGGGTAGGTGCTATCAGCTGCAGGGCACGATAACATTAGCCAGGAATGTGGCCGTGATTAATATCGTTTTTGGAATCCCTCAAGGAATACATCAGTAAACCCGAGATCGATGGTGGCAGCCGGTAGAATTATATCCGGCATTACCTAGAGGATAGAAGCGCTGGTCGTGTGACCGCCAAAACAACTGCTGTACTTTTGTGCATGCATATCTAATCAACTTCCATGATGAAAATGTCCATTTGAAATTAAACGAAGGACACAATCCAAGAGGCGCAAACTTTCCTTTTGATGGGCTGATGATCTAAGAATCCGGCCACTACATGTTATTACGGGCGCACCGAGTGATTTTACTTATCTGGACCTCTCAGAGAGGTCAGCATTGGTGTATGTACATGTTTAGCCTTATCTCTTCCTGTCGCTTATGTTGACCTAGATTTGATAAGGGAGTTCGATCCTGATGTACGTACTCTTCCAGCGTTCTAAATGCGAGATGGATAAAGTGGCTGACAGGCACAGATTGGAGCGTATTCGTCTGAATGGCCAGCCTGAGGACACCCGGGAGAGCGGCCAACGCCTAGGTGCGGCCAAGGTGTAAATGCTACGAATCCTGTGGCCGTCGTTATCTATTGTGTCACGAAAACTGTTCGTCTGGACCACGGCCAAAGGCCAGAGGGCTTGGGTGACATTGAAGGCCAACGGTTTGTTGGGCACGGCCAGCATCCCCCACATGGAGCTTGACCTATCTTAGCTACGTGTTCCTTATCTTGCCAGAACAAACATCTGTCATAGGCCTGACATTCGCTATGGCGCCAATAAAAACCGAAGCCTTCCCAAGCTAAGCTTTCCATGCTTATCAGTGCGTGCGGCTGGACTTCGACACGAAGGGCAAGGCGCGCAGCGATCAAGAGGTCATAGGCACGCTCCATGGAAATATTTAGATATGGGCCGGGATACCATGATTTCATTTGGGCTTTCTCCCCTCTCACTTGTTACGTCTCGTCGTACACCTTGGATTTGACCTACGCATACATCGTCTACTCTCAAGATGGCGTCTGCCGACAACAAGGTCTACTATGATGAGAAGACGGGCTCTTCGGGTGTCGAGCCTGTTGGTGTCGGCAAGGTCTCTACCTTCAAGCGACGCTTGCCCCACTTCAGCCTTGAGGTTCGTCAGGAGGAGAGCAGTTTCGCCAAAACAAAGAATGCCTCCAATGCCGACTTCGATCCTATTCCTCCGTCAAAGCGTACATGGAACTGGGCCGCTTATGTCGCATACTGGATGGCCGATGCATGGGCTGTTTCTAATTGGGAAGTTGGTATGTCTGCCGTGATCTGATCTAGTCACCACGTCAATTAGAGGCATGGTCCTAACACTCTTACGCCGTATAGCGTCTTCCATCATCGCCGTGGGTCTCAGTTGGAGACTGGCTATCGGTGCCTGTGTTCTTGGTAATGCGATAATGGGTCTCGTCATTACCATCAATGGTAGAATGGGTGCCACTGTACGTTATGGCCACTTCTCAACCCGTACATCCCAGCTTATATGGAATAGCTTCACACTCCATTCCCAGTTCTCGCACGCATGCCCTTTGGCTACTACTTCAGTTACTTCGTTGTCCTGTCTCGCTGCGTTCTTGCCATTGTCTGGCTCGGGTAAGTTTTATCTCGCTGAATATACTCACCGACTCGGAGGACTAATAGCATCTAGTGTGCAAACCACGACTGGAGGACAATGTATGACGGTCCTACTGACAGCCATCTGGCCCAGCTTCAAGAACATCCCCAACCACATTCCTGAAGACCAAGGCATCACGACAGCAGGCATGATTGGCTTTCTCCTATACTTCTTGCTTCAACTTCCATTTCTGTGCATTCCTTACACAAAGGTATGTTCTGACAGCCAACATCCTTCTAACCATTGGACTAACTAAACGATCACAGGTTCAATGGTTCTTCGCCTTCAAAAGTGTTATTGCACCGATCATCTTCTTCGCGATTTTCGGTGATACATTGCACAAGGCCGGCGGCACCATCAGTAATAGCACAGTCATCACTGACGGCACCAAGTTGCATGGGTCCGCTCTTGCATGGGCTTTCTTTGCTAGTGAGTAATGATCTCCATTGAAGTGGTCGCTCTTTCTCACTAATTCTCCCTCGCAGATCTCAACGGAGTTTTGGGCAACTACGCAACCTTAGGCTTGAACATCGCCGATTTCTCGCGGTATTCAAACAAAGTCAGCGCACAAAATGTCCAAGCAATCGTCATTCCCTTCATCTTCAGTGAGTTGTTCACCATTTGTTGTGCCGAGGTGACTTCTACTGACCACATTGAACCATAGCGATTGTGGGTCTGCTTGGTATTTTCACTGCTGCAGCCGCTCAGACAGCATACGGCGAGATCATCTGGAACCCGATCGAAATCATCAACCTCTGGCAAGCATCCGGGTCGTCTGGCGGTCGTGCCGCTGCTGCTTTCGGCGCCATTGGCTTGATCATTGTCACCATTGGTATCAACATCTCAGCCAACTCTATCAGTGCAGCCAACGATCTCATGGCTTTCTGCCCCAAGTATATCAACATTCGACGTGGTCAACTTCTTGCTGCGTTCATTGGCAGCTGGGGTTTTGTCCCGGTAAGTCGAGTTGCGCTTGAGAAACAAGTCTTACCATGACTGATTACAATACACAGTGGAAAATTCTCGCATCCGCCGCAAAGTTCCTTGCTTTCCTCGGTGGTTACACCATTTTCTTGGGCCCCATGACCGGCATTCTCATGTGCGAGTATGTGCTCCTTCTCAATTCCATATTTCCTCTAAGACCACTAACTCATGTTACTCGTGCAACAGCTACTTTATTGTCCGACGTGGTAACGTGTCCGTCCCCGATATGTACGACTTCCACGGAATTTATCGCTATTCGCCCAAATTCGGCACCAACTGGCGTGCGGTTGTTGCTTTCTTCATTGGCTGCGTCCCTCCTCTCCCAGGCTTCGTCAACAATATCGTCGTTGCGGGCCATGGTAAAACCAGTGTCTCCATTGGTGGTCAACGACTGTATGTTCTTCCCTTCCCATCTCTTCACTATTGCGTTGGTTGGCAAATGGTTTGGTGCAACCACGATATACGCATAAACACTACGAGTACCTCCCAACTAACACAACTTTGAATAGTTTCAACATCGGATATCTCTACTCCTTCGTTGCCGCTGGCCTTTTCTACTGGGGCTTCAACCGCTTCTTCCCGCATCTCGAGTCAAAGATGGATCATGCCGAGACAGGCGAGGATATTATTGCAGCCAACGACGCGAAGAACCTTGAGGAACGTCGCGCTAGCCGTGTTGAGCGCAGACCAAGTCTCGTTACCAGACTATTCGAAGTTTAGATGCCGCCTGTAAGTCGCCTTTATCGGTCATGAACCTTTGGCTTGTTGACGGAGAGGGAAGTCCATGGAGAGTGTATCTAGGACTATGTAGAGCGATGGAGGTGTCAACTCGTTTCACCATAGACGTCACATAATCGCGCATACTATTCTCGAAAAGACCTATAGACGGATATTGTGCCTAATTTCACAAATTATTGAAGTGCACCATATCTTACCAGTTGAACTGGCTTAAAACGACCAGATGACCATCAAGACCAGCCAAAGCGGCAAGTAGATCAAGAATGTAAAGAGGCAAGATATGACACTCAAAATATGTTAGCGTGAGATCGGCAAAGACTTGGCAAAAGTGGGCATCATGAAGGCTTCCTATTTTGTCGACTTTTGAGTTGAACAAATGTCAGTCACGGTTGGAGAGATTCTTGGACCACTGTTACAACGATGACTCAGTTTTGCCAACACTTCAACCACCACAACCCTTTCTACCCAGCCAGTACCCTGCAATAAACCGTTGCATCCTGTTTACGACGATTGCAGAATTCCAAAGCCAGGAATGGTCCCTCCAAAACCGTCACGCTCGGGCTCAGGCTCCGGAACCGCGCCCCTCAATCCCGCTGCTGCAACTTTCACAATGCCTGCAGTGGCTGACCCTGGCCTCGCAAACGGAGCGCTTCAGCCCGAACAATCCAAAAGCGAAAATGGGTCCGTAGCGGCTGCAGCGACTAAGGAATCAAAGAAGGGCAAACCCAATAATCAATCAAAGGCAGATACAGAGCATCGCAGTTCGACTCCCCCAGATGTTGCCGAAGCAGGTGCGGGTGCGAAGTTGACAGGCGCACAACTGAAACAACTGAAGAAGCAGCAGGCGGCGGCCCGGCGTGCAGAGAAGGTCGCTGAAAAGGGTGCTCCGGCTGCCACTGCTGCAGCGACTCTCAAACCCGAGATGGCAAGACGACCGTCAACGACCAAAAGGGATAGCGACACGGGGTCTCATCATAAAAGGACTCTATCTTCGACGGGAAAAGCTTTGCCGCTTCGCGGAGCGCCTCAACAACAACTGCAGGGACCAGGTCAGGTCAACCCTGCGCCGGAGAAGGAGAAATACAAGGATCCGAAGAGGGTACCTATGTTCAGCCATCTATACCCCAAAGAGAAGAAAGCGACTCTGGCCGGTGCAGGGCGTGAGATCCACCCAGCAGTACTATCCCTGGGGCTCCAACTACGCGACTATGTGATTTGTGGAGGAAACGCACGCTGTGTTGCAACCTTGCTTGCATTCAAGAAGGTCATCCAAGGATATAGCACTCCGCCAGGTGTTGCTCTCTCTCGCCACCTCCTGACTCATCTTAATCATCAAATCGCTTACCTTCGAAACGCTCGGCCTCTTTCCATGAGTCAGGGCAACAGTATTCGATGGCTCAAGAACCTTATCTCTACACAACCCGTTGATCTGACCGATAGTGAGGCTAAACAGAGCCTCAGCCAGTCTATCGACCTATTTATCCGCGAACGAATCACTCTAGCCGATGAAGTCATTGCGCGCGAGGCAACCGCGCGTATCGATGATGGCGACGTTATCCTTACATACGCGAAAAGCAGCATCGTGGAAAAGACACTGATCACAGCGCATCGACAAGGCAAACACTTCGAGGTTATAATCGTTGACTCTCGACCAATGTTTGAAGGCAAGAACCATGCGCGAAGTCTCGTGCGTGCAGGTCTAAAGGTCCGCTATGCACTGCTGAGTTCTATTGCGGATATCGTGGATCAGAATTCAGTGACGAAATGCTTTCTCGGCGCCAGTGCAATGCTGGGTAATGGTTCTTTGTTCTCACGATCCGGATCAGCCATGGTGGCTATGATGGCCAAGGAGTCCAGCAAGACGAAAGCACGCGCCGTGCCGGTGATCGTATTATGCGAGACCGTCAAATTTACCACCAAAGCAGCACTGGACAGTATTGTCATGAATGAAGTTGGTGACCCAGATGCTTTGGTAGAAGTCTTCCAGCCGGATATTCTGTCTTCCACCGGTCCATCACCCGCCGCAGGAAACGCGTCATCTGGCGGGAAAGGAGGGAAGAAGACCGGCACAAAAGACAAAGACGACGGTAATGCGGGAGGCGATGACTCGGACGAGAAGAATCCTGGAGGAGGGAAGGGCTTGGAAGGGTGGAAGGACCAGACGGGTCTATATCTGCTCAATCTCATGTACGATGTCACGCCATCGCACTTCCTCGATCTGGTTATTTGCGAACTAGGCAGTCTGCCTCCTACTGCCGTCCCCGTCGTTAATGGCGTACATGGGGATGACCAGGCTTTGGCTTGATTTTGATATATTGTGCTGGCGGCTATTCACAATACTGGGGGATGAGAATGCTGAGATAATGTGTGAATGTGAAGCGGTTTCGGACGATTTAGGACTTGAACTCCAAGTCTTATGTACGAGAGATAGAATACTCTGTGACAGCGGGTTGAACCTTCATGTGGTATTTCCCACAGAGGCACTGTTATTCCTAACAACACGGCATGGGGCGGCATTCATTTATATTTCACACATTCGATGCCGTGCATCGGTCGCTGACGGCTCTCACTGTCCCAGGTACCGAATCTTTTCTCTGTTTCTGCTAAGTGTTCTATATAACTTCTAGATACGTGCAATCACAATGCATTCACGGTCCGGCATAGATTACAACCCCATCCAGGCCCCGAGAAAGGCTAAAAATGCAGTGCAATCTAAGGAGCAAGACCGATGGCTGCCTATAGAAAAACGGGTTCGACCACTTTCTCGCTTCTTCCAAGACGATTATCTCCATCCTCAGCACCACCATCATCAAGGCCTGCGCCTCACTGATTCATGCCGAAGGACCGTCCCACCTCAAATGGCAATGGTTCGGAGCAGCCACGGCCACGGCACGATTTGAAGATATTTGGCGAAGCGGACTGAGGGCCGTGGGCATGCGTCAAGTTCTTTGCTGTCTCTCGAATTCACTCATCTGGTAGGCGCGATTGGTGCCTTCCTCTCCATTCTGACGTTGGCTCTGGATCATTTCTACGCAGCAGCTCTTACGCTTCGAGGACTGTCAGACACTAACTAAGCACGGATCGACAAACCACGGTTCCAAGGTTGAGCTTCTATCCCGAGACCGCGAACTATATAGGTTCGGGAGACTTCAAGATAGCGACAGCACTGCTGCCATACATATATCAAGGGTTTTATCGACCGGATGATGTCAAGTCAATCCTCAGCCGTCCATCTGGAAATTGCACTTTCGAATGACACACATTCGCCCATCGCCTATTGTGCGGTTTGTGAACATCTCAGTGAGCTTGTGACGGTCACGAACCGGACGATGGAAGACGAAGGAGAGTGATATTTGAACACAAGCATTCCGGGCATTAGGACATGTGCTCTGGCTGGGTCAGGTATCGCGAATTCCTCGCTCTTCGAGATTCAAGGTTAAGAAGAGATCGAAAGCCCAGGCTACTTGGACGGGAAGGGGTGACAGACTCATCTCATCGAGTGGCACGTGCAACGCCATGAGCATTCGGGACTTAGATGCAAGGGCGAGGCTGATACGAGCGCATTTGAGGCATCGTGATGGGGAGGATTATCTGGCCGGTAATACGTAGTCAATGTCAGAGTAGCATGAAATTCACGTCGCTCTTCCTCGATTCGGAAGACTTCTTTTTCTTGAAGCATGCATTATTCAGTGACCCCTTGAGATTTTGGGCGGGATAGTTCCTGAAGAGCTCCTGCAAAAGAAGATATCACCGAACAATAGAACAATGACAGACTAAGTGTTTTGTTCAGGAAAAAGGTTTGGAAATCTCTTCGAATTTTTACGTCTTTTCGGGTCAAACCACCATGACCACAAGAAGCGTAGGTCTAAAAAAGGGTGTCGCTTTCCGATGGTGATGAGAAGAAGAGACCAGACTTAGCTGCATCGCGTTCAAGCTCCCACTGAATTTGCGAGCGCTCCAGGTCCACAGTCGGCGGATATGGGCACCTCGCACTTTTCCCTCCCCCCTGAACACGTCGAACTAAGTTCTCGAGATGCACATCCCATGTTCAAGCCGTCAACCCATCTCGATGTGCAGATAAAAACGCCATCCTTGCCGACGATCCTTCGCGCCTCTCTCCTCCTGGCACAACATCGAATGTCGCATTGCATCGTCGTTGTAAATGATTTACCGGTGCTGTTGGGCGAGAAAAAGAATTCATGTCAGCCTGCAATTTCCACAAACCATCTCGGCCGTCGAGGGGAGATGAAAGGCCAGGAGTCCAAAAGGATCTGACGGCGGTGTGCATACCTTGATGAAACCAATATCCTGGCTCTTTTCACGGAAGCATTGACGGCAGATGTTGAGGCCATATTTGCGGATCAGACCGGCTTGATGGGTGCAGACACGGCTATACAATAGAGGTATTCTCGTCAGCAACATGTCCGTCATATTCGAAGAGTCTAATTCTTCCTCTTGATTGCCTTCTTTTCCATGTATTCGATTTCGCTTCGGGTAGTCCGAGATTGTGTGAATGGATGGGCGTGGGAAGTCTTGAGAACCTACCAGGATCGGGATCCCTTGCCGAAGGTGCGAGGTCGCGAGTACCAGACGCTCTCGTGAGACATGATTGCGAGATGTGTGTTGTCGAAAAAGTTTCGGGGTGGGAAATTGAGATCGGACTGTGTGTGGGAATTTGGAGTTAGTCTGGCTAAGCCCACAAACAGTTGCGGTTCTTCCAAGATCGGTAGACTGGGGGGTCTAGAGTACTGATTCTCCAGGAGGAATGCTCACCTTGTCGTCGAGCGCGAAACTTGAGCGTGGAAGCGATTGTCTGGTCGAGAAATCGTGGCTGCGGTGACTTTGAGATTGACCATGGATTTCTGAATGTGGGTTTCGGCGCCAAGAGTTTGTGTTCGACACGTGACTTCGGATAATCTTTTCCGAATAATTCCGCTGATTGGTGTTTTTGATCCGACGAAGTTGACAACGTTCTGTGAGTTCAAGCCAGTTTCAGGTCTTCCATCGTCACTATTAACAGTATGTCGACGACGACCCCAGATCCTATATATTCCGAACTGGAGCCTACAACACTACCATGGCAACGCGCATAAAACGAGTCCCAAGTATACTTCCTCGGAACAGTCGTTGCGAGTCCCAAGTATACTTTCTCGGAAAGTCGTTGCACAAGCTTGATGGAAAAGACCCTTAAAGGATTTTATCTCATGCTTGTCCCTGGGAGTTCAGTACTTCATGCCTAGGTGTACAATTCTAGCTAGGACAAATTACTCTCGGTGTATTTATCCGAGTAGATGATCGAGTATAAGCCAGATCGTCACTAAAATCCACATGAAGTTGTTCTGGATATCTTTAGAAAATATCTTCAGAAAGAAATATGGTCACCAAGGGTGAGCAATGCTAAGCCAAAACCCATAGTGTGCATACCGCACGCTCATTACCACGCTTTTGAACCGTTGACTCCGCCTAGAGTGTACATCATATCGATATTTTTCTTTCAACTGATGTGGTTTGCAAGGGATGGTGTCGTTTGCTACCGATCAGACGCATTGGTCTCCACATCCGTGTCACTCTCATCCTGATCAGACGATTCATTTGAATCAGAGGCGCTTGCACTCGTTGACGAACTCTTCGTGTTGCCATAACCACCATGCTCAGAGGCGCTTGAGCTGATGAATGAGTCTTGCATGGCCTGTTCGCTGCCATACACAGGTTGTCTCCAATATCTCGCCGCAACTTGTTCTGCCCTGTGGGTCATATGATCCACATAGTCTTTGGCTGATTTGTTAAGCAGTCCCAACATGGAATACTCCCAGCGAACGAAGCTTATTGTTCTGACAACCCATTCCGTCTCAAAGCTTTCGAGTACTGGGTTATTGATTCGCCAGTCACAATTAGGGTCGTCGTCTTGCTCTTCAATCTTGCGTTTAATGTGGTCATAGTCTTCGAGCAGATTGAGCAATCTGCTCGCACTCCATTGGATTTGCCCAGTGCACCTGAGCCTTTCGAAGTCGGCATCGACCATCTCCATGTATATACGATAGTGCAGTTCGTGCTCGTCGTTCATCTCCTCCTTTCCAAATATGGCCATCGTCTCCATACATTTGATGACATCTTGGAGGATCTCCTCCCGATGTGTTTCTTCCCTCTCTTCTCGCTCCTGTTCCACATGTTCATCCAAACCCAGGGTACCGCGGCTAGTGCAGCAAGAGCGGAGCCATAAAGTCTGAGGAGACTCGACAATTCGGTAACTAGTGATTCCATTTCAGATGATTATGAGAAATGTCGAAATGTTTGGACTTGATGATTCCCGGAGCTGGTGTCCCTTGAAGATGTCGATTCTGGTTGGATGAATGATATCTTTGAATGCGATTGATTGCACGGTATGTGTGACGCAAACAATTTTTCCACAATGAAAACGAGCTGTACGCAGAGTAAGAAAAGTATACACGAGGGCAAACAGACCCTAAATGTACCAGAACATTATACTTTGCAAGGCTACGGACAAGTCATGCTGTGGGTCTTATCTGGGATTTACACCTCTACCAGTACACTTTGAATCTGTGTGAACTCTTTTGTTTTCCGAAAAATGGATGTCCTCTTGGTCAGTATTCATCCTTTGGTGGAGAAAGAGAAGGTTCCGCATAAATCGAGGTGCACCAAAGTTGGGCCGGCATGCTCCATTCCCGCAATCAACTGTATCACCTTTCTGCTCTACATTCAAATCAAGCAGTTGAATCACGGCAGATGAGGGTCTCGGTACTATTATTGGTTGTTGAAGACTGCCTATACCATCCTTACCACTTGATCTGGATGGTTCTTAGGGCGAAATGTTACTCAGAAGTTGATCAGACATAACCCTTAAGATCTCACTCTGCTGCCTATGTCACTAACCAGTTCTCTGGGCCAGTGAACAGCGGGTGCTGCAATCAGAACAGGTACAGCATAGTTCGAACCAGCCAAACTATAGGCTGATAGCCTTCTGGAACTTGGATATGCTTTTCGGGCTTCAAAGTTACCTATCCGAGTTGCCTAGTACCCACCCAGGCGGTATATCGAGACCCCACATGCCAAGATTTAGGTAAGCCATGCGGCTGACAAGGCTCGCAGAAAAGGGGAATGGCGAATAGGACTCTTATGGCGAACGACATTGCCAGTTGCAGACTGAAGAATAGATTCTGTGCTGCCTGGATGATGGTTCTACATTCGCTCTTTATTGAGTCTCACAATAAGCTTATTGGGCGATACAGCCTGCCACATTTGAGAGAGCGATATAAGAGACGAGAACAGGGAGGTGGCTTTGAAGGGTAGTATCACTTTTGAGTTGCCCATCACGAGCCTCTGATATGGACTCTCAATATCTCTTTAAGACTCCTGCCATATTTCGTGATCATCTAGGCATATTCCATTCTTCTGGCCCCTTCATAAAGAGACTCAATCACAATGACAGCAATGTTAAATCCACCCAAAGCCAGAACCTGCTAAGATCTAGCCCGCAGTATGTGACTACGGCTATCATCAGTCCACAGCTGAAGTGGTGATGCGATCCGGAAAAGGAATGCAGAAGAACAACTTTAGCACGAATATACGAGCCGTAGAGGCACACCGCGGAGTTCATCGACTCTCCCAGAACTTACATTGCCGAGGTCCACCCCTGAACCCTCAACTGATATGTGTGAGTGGCTAGGATTTATGGCCAAAACTTCGGAAGGGCTCGACTCAAACGTTTCTATATACTTCTAGTAGGTGAAAAGTACCCTCTGATACTCAATGCCTTGTTTCAACCACAAAAAAGAGGAGTTTCACTCCGAATCAATGCTTATCAACAACTGCGAGATTAAAAAAAGACGAACATAAAAACAGATGCTAGTAGTCCAGGGTACGTGACCACGCTTGGCCCAAGTGTTTTGATCTGATCTGAAGTCTGACTGTTCAATACCGGGGCAGGTGCAGCTGCAAGCTGACAGTAGCGTCGTCTGCATCTGCATGACCAACGACTGTTATCACTTCCAAGTAGATCAGAAGGATTGGACAACCTTTATTGGCAAAGTTCTCGCCTATGAAAGTTTGGCCATTAACTGCAATTTGAGAACGTCAATCTCCAATTCATAGAATCTGAAGTGTGCAATGCATAGATTACCAATTTATGCGCCCATCAGTGATGTTCTTTCAAAGAGAGAGAACCAGAATCATATTGCGTCAACCTAGTGCCAAGCACGACTTCGACGTGGCGTTTTGCCGAGCCGAACCAGGTCCATATCCTTTGCTATCTTCCCCCACTCCACAGACTCCTAGCTTCAACTTTTGTTATCGACATAGTCTCCCGTTCACGCCACAAATATCGACTTCTGGGGATTACACTTATCAAGAAGTCTTAGTCGGGTATATCCAACGCTTGGCTGGAGCCAAATCAGGATCGTACAATGGCTATCAATTTATTGGAACTTAACTGAGGCCATTGGCACAGTTTCTGGCGATCATGAAAGAGAACATGAGAGGAGGCAACACCCGCTACCTCTTTTCGAGGCTAAAGCCTCTTGCGAGAAGTCAAAGAAGTCGGCGATTGGGATTAACCCACAGCATAGAGCCAAAAATGCTAGGATCCACGCGGTGTTCCGATGTTTAACTTGAGATGGGATTTGCTGGTGCTCGCGTAGCTGCAAGCTCCAAATTCGCAATCACAACCCCAAATCACGATGCTTGACGTCTATCAATTCAATACCAATTAGACAAATCAGCTGTTGATGGAGTTTCCCTATCCGTGTTTGGGACACACCACCCAATAACGCAGTCCATTTACTGTCCACGGAAAATGTCTGCACATCAATACCGCTAAACAGCTAGATCCATGAGCTCATCTCCGTCGCCTGCTTCTACCAAGCTATCGAGTGGAGATACCGCGTGCTTCTCGGTTATCATGCGGTCGTTACTGCGATGAATAAGTATGCCGTCTTCTCCCAGAAATTCCGCTCTCCAGTCGTTCAAGCAACCCGAGATTTTGAAATCCTGGAAGTGGTAAAATGAGTGCTCCACAAGCATCGGTAAACCCGTTAGGGACAGGACCAGATCCTGACAAGAAGGATGCCGACAAGATCGCCGCCTCTCCTGCTGTCGAGTTTCCTTCAGAGACCTCATCAGAAGAACTCCATTTCGCGACACGCAAAGAAGGCGTGTTGCCCGATGAATACGATGAAAAGCGACAGATTACTGGATACGACCCAGCCCTCATGCGTGCTCGAGTTCTGTTGAGTGCCGAGGAAGAAAAGAAGCTGCTCAGACGAATTGATTGGCGACTTATCCCGCTATTGTCTGTGATGTATATGGTCAAAACTATTGACGCCATGAATGTAAGTCAATGTTCTTCAATCAGAGATCTAATATATCCTTGGAGTAAAGATGGGTTGAGTGCCATACTAATCGGTGTTTTAGGTTTCCAACGCGCGGATTATGGATAGAGGAACTCCGAGAAATATCATAACCGAGTTGCATATGAGCGCGAATGACTATAACTGGGTTGTTACCGCATACTATGTAAGCTTATGCCTATTCCTGTCCCCAATGGGGCGAGGAACAAACCGCAGAATGATGGCATCATTAAAATGTGGCTAATAAACACTGTATAGATCCCATATATTCTGGCTGAAGCACCCTCTAACCTTTTGGTGAAATGGATGTCACCTTCTAGATTCCAGGCTCGGATCATGGTAAGTCAGACCCTCGTCCTCTATCCACCTCCTCAGTTTCACCCAGCTGCGATCCCGCCAAGGCAAGGCTGAACAAGCACGCTGACTATTTTGTAGATTACCTGGGGTATTGTGCTTTGCTGCCATGCTGCACTCAAAAACAAAGAAGGTCTATACGTTGTTCGAGCGTTCCTAGGCTTCCTCGAAGCTGGGATGTGGCCAGGAACCATGCTTCACATAACTTATTGGTATAGACCTGATGAACTAGCTCCAAGAGTTGTGCTCGTCACCCTACTTGGATGCTTCAGCAGTGTTTTCAGTGGTCTTCTTGCATTTGCTTTCAATGGTGTAACAGCAGGCGGACTTTCTGGCTGGAAATGGTAAGGCGAAACATCCATTATGGTCATACTTTTCTAACATCGACGCAGGCTTATCTTGAGCGAGGGTATATTCACTGTTGTTTTGGGCTTTGCAGTACTCTTCTTTCTGCCAGATTGTATGTCTCTGTCCGAGTGATTATCATGCCTCGAAGCTAACGGGTTTTCCAGTTCCCGATACTGCAAAATGGCTCTCAGACGATGAAAAAGCATTCGTCACAGCCAGATTGCCAATCAATGCACCAAGATCTGCCGAATCGGACTTCAATCTAGCCGAATTCATCCGCACCCTGAAGGACTATAAGCTCTGGCTCTTCCTCTTGTGCTGGGCATTCTACACCATAGGCACGACTGGCTTGGTCTTTTATCAACCCACCGTGATCGCCAATTTAGGTTTCACGTAAGTATGAACGGATAACATGTCTATTCACAAGCTGACATGATCCCCAGATCCATCGGTAAAGCTCAACTCTTGAACATCCCTTCAGCTGTCTTTGCCTGTGGTTTTACAATCATCTTCGGGCTTTTGAGCAGAACAGGCCGTATTCCACAGCCTTTGATTCCTTTGGGTTTCATGATTGTCATTGAGGCATGCTATGTGGTACTTTATACATTCCCCAATACCGGGGGTGTATACGCAGCAACCATCTTGGCAACTGGTCTTTCCACAGCATGGTAAGAATAAAGGCTGCAAAGCAATTTCTAAAGTCATCGATTAACGCTTATCATAGGTATACCATGATGTGGCCGTGGCGAGTACAAACCACTGAAGGAGCAACTGGTTCGGCATTCGCCATTGCCTTTGCCAATAGCTATGGGCAAATCGGCGGTGCCATTGGTGCTCACTTGTTCAACTCGAAATATGCACCCAAATATGCCACCTCTTTTGGGATCGCAATGGGATTTATTGGTATGGCCATCATCATGAATCTCATCACTTGGTACGCAACGTACCGGGTTGACGTGGAGACTCGCAAGCTCAAGAGGCAGAGAGTTAAGGCCGCGAAACGCAACTTGGCACTGTTGGATGACGTTGACATCCATGCGAATAAGAAGCCAAAGGCATAATGTCACAGTGAAGGGACCGCATGGTAGTGTCGTGCCACGATCGTCAAGGCCGAATCATGATGGTTAGCAAAGACAACCAAGGATTCAAGGTCATCAACGCCACCAGCCTTGCATCATTTCCCGAAGTGTAGGCCCATAACTAAATCGCTCGAAACAAATTGCAAGCAGTTCGAGCTTACATTTAGAACCCGGAAGTATCTCCCACAATACAACATGAAGAGCTCTCGAGGACTTGACCTGATCTGATCTCTATTTTTATTCTTTGCCGTGTCAGTATGTCGCCCGCATTTACTCAGCGTTCAAGCAATCAATGCTAAGTTCTTGCATCAAGTTGCGGGACTCTTCTCATTTCTAAAGGATGTGTTCCATTCCAGGTACCTGCCCTCGTCGCATAAGTAAAACCCACCAAGCACAGATCTGAAACTAAGCTGCGGTAGAATCAGCCACGTTGCTCGCCGATGCTCACTCCTACATGTGTTGTTCAAAGATCTATCTTCATAGTATTCGATGTCAACTGCTTCTGTACATCGGAGGAAGAATTTCCCCGCGATCCGTCAATCCCGTAGTTTACCCGATATCGAAATCTTGGCGTGAATTTTCTCCATGCGGCTTCAAGTTTTCTTGGGATTGGAGACATTAAGCCCGTGAACCACACCACTTGTATAGTGCACCTTTGGATTGTACTCAGCATAGTTAGAGATTCCTCTGTCTCTTGTGTTGACCATGGCAATCCAAAAGAAGCACGGCAAAGGCCGTCTCGGTATGTGGTTCATCTCTTTTCACTCCACCGCCACCACTTCCAACGCAACTACGCCTGCGACTTCTGACTGACCTTTCTTCCAGATAAATGGTATAAACTCGCAAAGGAGAAAGGCTATCGAGCCCGAGCCGCCTTCAAATTGATCCAGCTGAATAAGAAATATGGCTTCCTCGAGAAGAGTCGGGTTGTGCTCGATCTCTGCGCCGCACCCGGTTCATGGTGCCAGGTTGCAGCAGAGACGATGCCGGCAAGCAGTTTGATCATTGGTGTGGATTTGGCGCCGATAAAACCCATTCCAAGAGTTATTTCCTTCCAGAGCGACATCACGACCGATAAATGCCGAGCGACGATCAGACAGCATATCAAACATCTAAAGGCCGATACAGTGCTGCACGATGGTGCCCCAAATGTCGGTGTGGCTTGGGTGCAGGATGCTTTCTCCCAGGCGGAACTAGTCCTACAGTCGATGAAACTGGCTACAGAATTCTTAAAAGAGGGAGGCACATTTGTCACGAAGGTCTTCCGATCCAAAGACTACAACGCACTACTGTGGGTGTTTAAACAATTATTCGCGTCAGTGGAAGCAACGAAACCGCCATCCTCGAGAAATGTTTCGGCGGAAATCTTCGTTGTCTGCAGAGGTTTCAAAGCGCCGAAGAAACTCGATCCCAAGTTTCTCGACCCCAAACACGTCTTTGCCGAAGTCGAAGCCCCTACACCGAATAACGAAGCCAAAGTATTCAATCCGGAGAAGAAGAAACGCAAGCGAGAAGGTTATGAGGAGGGAGACTGGACACAACATAAAGAAATCCCCGTCAGCGAGTTCATCCATACAACAGATCCGATTGCCATCCTGGGCACGGTGAACAAACTGAGCTTTGAGCAGACAGACAACGGCGATCTCGCTTTGGCTACCCTAGACAGACTACCCGAAACCACGGATGAAATACGGAAATGTTGCGAAGATCTGAAGGTGTTGGGCAAGAAAGAATTCCGAACTCTTCTGCGGTGGCGCTTAAAAGTGCGAGACAAGTTTGGCATGTCGAGCAAGGCCAAGAAAGAGGCACAAACTGAGCAAACCGGTCAGAAAGAGGGAGAAGAAGTCGCCGAGGTGGAATTCATGGATGAAGAACTTAAGATCCAGGAAGAGATCAAGAAACTCAGAGATCAAGAATCCAAGGAGAAGAGGAAAGAGCGGCGGAAAGATAATGAGCGGAAGCGGAGAGAAATTGTCCGTATGCAGATGCACATGACGACGCCTCACGATATTGGATTGGAGCAACATGGCCCCAGCGGAGAAGGATCGATGTTCAACATCAAGGCCGCAGATCGCGCACAAGAAGCGACGAGAATCACGACGGGCGAAATGGAAGATTTGAAGAAACTGGAGTCCGATGAGGAGGAAGACGATGAAGACGACGAAATCGAGTCTGACGATGACGGTGACAGACTCGAAAGAGAGCTTGACTCCTTGTATGAATCGTATCAGGAACGGCGAGAAGAAGCAGACGCCAAAGCTCGCGCGAAGAAGGCGAGGAAACAAAAAGAGACAGACGAATGGGGTGGTCTTTCAGAAGAAGAGGACAGAGATCAGGGCGGAGAGGCAACGGATGCGGAATCGGACTTTGACGACGATGGCACTGCATTGCGCAGTTTCCCGAAAAGCGAAGGTCTCTCGACCAAAGCAGCCATGTTCTTCGATCAGGACATTTTCCAGGACCTGGGTATTGAAGACGATGATGACGACGACAAAGACAGCGCGATTGAGATGGACGATGAATCATCAGATCAAGCTGCTCAATTGAAGTCGAAGAACTCCAAACTGGAGAAGGCAACACAATCAGCGGCAACCGAGACCAACAGCAACAACAATGGCAAACCTCTCAAATCGGCTCTCAAAACTTCTTCCATAACCACGACCACCCAACCAGCCTCGAATAAAACAAAAACAACATCCAAATCCAAATCCAAACCCACAACCTACGAATCCGACTCCGAGCACGAAGAAACCGAAGGCCCCAATGCATCTTCAACCACCACGACCACGCCCACGCCATCAACCCGGCCGGAAGACCCACTCCTCCCCTCCGGCCACCTGGACATCGACATAATCACGGCGGAAGCGATGACACTAGCGCAATCACTGGCATCGCGACAAGTGCGGCCGGGCGACCTGATCGACGAGTCCTTCAACAAATACACGCTGCGGGACACGGACGGGCTGCCGGAATGGTTCCTGGACGACGAGTCCAGCCACTCGAAGCCGCACCGGCCCATCACAGCGGCGGCGGCGGCGGCGATCAAGGAGAAACTGCGCGCCCTGAACGCGCGCCCCATCAAGAAGGTGCGCGAGGCCAAGGGTCGCAAGAAATTCAAGGCGGCGCAGCGGCTGGAGAAGTTGCGCCGGAAGTCAGCCCTGTTGTTGGAGGATGAGGGCATCAGTGAGAAGGACAAGGCCAGTGGCATTGCGCGGATGATGGCGAGGGCAGCCAAGAAATCTGGGAAGCCCAAGGAGAAGGTCAAGCTTGTCGTGGCCAGGGGTGGGAATAAGGGCATTAGTGGCCGGCCTAAGGGCGTCAAGGGAAGGTATAAGATTGTGGATGCGAGGTTGAAGAAAGATGTTAGAGGTGAGAAGAGGGCGAAGAAACGCATGGGTAAGAAATGATTGTTGAGCCGCCTTTGACTATATGCTTGTGTGTCGTGTAGAACTCTTACTATGATGTAGCGTATAGATGAGGGTTTGAAACGTTGATATGAATACATGGTATCTATGTGCACTAAACAAGAAAGTAGAAGTAATCCTCACTCCGATAAGTGGATCCTATCCAAGAGGAAACCGTTCTGAACAGCCGACCCCCCTTTGAAGCTTGTAAGCCAAGCTCTATGTGCTGTGTCTCGTCTTCAAGATGTACAACAAACAATTCTTCCCCCTCTCACCTGCGGTCGGTCCAAGCGCAAGCCATGCCAAAATCAAGGATCAGGCCATGCAAATTGGCGCAGGGTTGAATCCGTTAGGTCTTGTGCGCCGATCGTTCTTTAGTTAAGCCTAGGTATTGAAGACCCATGAGCTAGCCGACGTCCTAGCTCAGAGGTACCCTTCGCATGGACATCCATTTCCGCAAAATAAAAAGTTTGCGGGACGCTGGGACTTCTAGCCTGTACAAGCGTGTGGAGAGTGAGGGTGGCAAATGGTTGGAGTGCTCAGTCGCCATGTTCTTCTCGTTTCAAGGGTCGCTTGCATGAAGACTCAAGATTGGTGACTTTGTGTCGGGCCGCTGCTATCATTTACCAGCCAGCAACACCCCACAAGCCCTTTCTCTCGCCCTTACCCTCCGAAGCATCGAATTTATCCAAGTCGCTGCCATCGCCAGAATAGCCAATATGATCTCGGTTGTCATCCATGATTCTCCCATATTCCAGAAGCAATCTGAACATGTAGACCTCGATGTCTTCTCGCCTCAATGATTTGTTTGCCCATTCACGGCCTTGTTTTGCCAGGGTTTGAGCTTCTTTGGCGTGGGGTGCAATATAGACTTGAGGGTTGAGATCATGTCCTTCAGTAGCATGTTCCATGTTTGGTTTTCCATAGCCGACGAAGTATGTCATCAATGCATATAGATCATCGTATCGATTGTCGACAGGGACGAAGTGTCGCCATGCGAAAAGTCGACTATCGTGCCATTCACGGAAGATTGTGGCTTTGAAGCCGAGGCTTTTACTTTGTAAGAAAGCATGCCATCGACCAGAGAAGGAATGACCATCCACATCGATCAAATATTTCGATTTGAATTGTGAAGTGAGTGAAACTTGTGGTTTCCACGAAAAGACAGAATCGTAAAAGCTGCAGTTTGGTACACAGCCCCAAGCTTCAACAAAGCCAATATCTCCATGTTGCTCAGCAAACTGATCAGGTTTGAATTTATCAAAAGGCTCATAAGTGGTGTTTTGTTGTGGTACTTCGAATCTCTTCTGGGTCAAAATCTTAGCTTTGGCATTGGTTTCCTTGGCATGTGTTCCGTTGAACAGTTGGACCAGGCGTTGTCTGTGCATACGTTGCCAGTTATCGTCGGTCTGAACACCTCCAGAAGTAACACCACGCCAAATGATGTTATCTTCTTTGTCCCTCCAATCCAAATCCTCTTCAGCATTATAGTCATATCTGACATCATGTAGATAGTACATGTTTGCTGGAAAGAGAATGTCATTGTTGATGTTGACTTTGCACTCTCCAAAGATAGGAACCAATTTATGGGAAGCTATAATGCTACTTGCAGAATAGAGTAAGCCGTGCAGGTCCTGAATTGCTGGTCCAACCGTGCACAGATCGGAGGAGAGGTTGAAATTGTTGATCAGCCCGGTGGAGGATTCCTTGTAATGCTGATCTGCCTGGGCGATTGACATATTTGACCTTGCAGGAGATTCTGGAGGACAAGCCTTGGAGGCAACTTCCATATATTGTTTTCCCGGACGAAAGAACCAATCCTCGCTGAGTCTAGTGGAATTGTCCATGGCCATATCTTCGATATCCATATCAAGTAGACCAGGAAGCTTTTGAGTAAAGCTATCCACAACTTCTGGGGGCATGACACGGGATTTGTACTCCTGACTTAGCATTTGTTGCATATCTTCCCATGGAACTATCAGACGTGGTTGATCAAGCCTATTCATGGCAATATCCATGTCGGGGAGAAATTCGATGAAGGTTTCAATGACCTTGGCCATTGTATCAGATCTCCAACTTCCATTATCGATTCGAATGACTTTGTGATTACGAATATGAATGACGGCCACGCCAAAATTGGCATTCTCCCACATGTGGGCGGCATGGACGCGAATATCGGAAGGCTTAACGGCCCAGAATGGTCGTAGGTCGTCCATAATCTGATCAAAGTCGTCGACATTGACCACGTTTTTCTTGCGAGCGAACTTGTACCAATCGGTAAAACCTGGGGGAGGATGTCTTCCATATCGACTCCTGTACTTCTCGACAGTTTGTCTGAAGGTCGCAGAGGCACCAGTTTCATAGATCCTCCATTGTTTATCTGCCTCTTCCATCAAATGCGCAATTGGATGTAGATCGAAATGGGTGGTTGCAGCGGTGGGTGTAGGTTGGATGTGTGGTACAGCGGAACCAGATTGGGCAGCCTTTGCGGGATCGGGATCGGGATCGGGTGTAGCACTTGGGTGAGATTGAGGAGGTACAACAGAGACAGGATCCGGACCCAAGTCCCAGATATCATCCTCATCCTGACCTATAGGTGGTTTGTGTTCGGTAGGGGTGAGGTGACCCGGGATGGGGATATGAGAAGCGACGTCTTTCAGGCTATCACCACCAAAGGCTAAGCCGTGAAAGACAATGTAGAAGGCAATGATGCCACCGAGAAGAAAGAAGATGCGACGCTTATTGAGCTCTATAGGACCCATGGTGAATGATTATATAAGGGATGGGTTTTTATAGAGTGTTACCGAGACATGCAGGATGCCTTGATTTGTGAGAGGAAGAGTTGGAGCCAGCCAACGATTAAGATGAGGGAGGCATGGAAGGTGGAACTTGTGAAGCAATCGTAGTTTGTACGGAGTAAAGAGGATTAACAAGAGAAGTATGTAAATGAAATTCCAGGAGAACCCTAGGGGACTGACTCTTGTCTTGGGTCGAAGTAACAGTGGTTCAAGTTGCAGGTGTTGAACAAATGGGACAAAAAATCTGGGGGGGCGCACCGGCCAAATGTGGAAAGGATTGGAAAGGGCCGAGGAGGGACGGATTGCAATCGCCGTTCCTGCCCAGGGGCTTCCTTTGCTCTTACCTCGCCGGCAGCTTCCTCAACTTGAAGGTTGCACCTTCCTTGCCGTGCAGTGCTCTCCCGTTAGTCTCCACTCGAATCTTGGCGCAGCATTGCATCTCAAAGTTTTGTATGTGAAGGTACGTCGTACTTCGCAGACAATCCCAGGCTCAACCTTCAATTGCAGCCTCAATCGCCATACCCAGACCCCATCAGGCGGGAGTCACTCCTGTTCTGTGGTCACTACAGCTTTCAACATGCCTCCTCGACTATTACCACGGCTATCCCAACCTATTTCAACCATCGCCAACTCAATCACCACATCTTCATCAATCCCATCCTTTCTCCTGCCATTCCTCCATCTTCAGTCGCGAAATGCGTCCATCCTAGGATCTCTCTCCGATCGACCCGGCGCATATAGTCGAAAGATCCGACGTGGAAGAGGTCCCTCCTCGGGCAAAGGTGGAAAGTCTGGTCGTGGTTCCGATGGTCAGAAACAGCATGGAGGAGTTCCAGGGGGTTTCAATGGTGGTCAAACTCCCGATCATATCGTCCATGGTAAATATGGTTTCAAGAACTTGTAAGTTGAAATCTGCGGAGATGACATCGCAGTGTTCATTAACATCGATTCCAGACATGCTGTTGAAATGTCCCCCATAAATCTCGATCGGATACAGGAATGGATTGATCAGGGTCGTCTCGACGCTGCCAAACCCATCACTTTAGCTGAGCTGTCTAAAAGCCGTGCCGTCCACAGTATAAAAGATGGCATCAAACTCCTTGCCAACGGAGCATCCACCCTGAAACAACCCATCCACATTGTTGTCTCTAGAGCTTCTCAAACCGCCATCGCCGCAGTCGAAGCTTTGGGCGGAACAGTCACCACCCGTTTCTATACGCCCTTGGCCATGCTACGAATCCGAAAGGGAGAAATGCACCCATATGTCAGCATGAAATGGGATCAGACAGGAATCAACCGACCCGCTTTGATGGTCGAGGGTGCAGATCAACTCGAATCTCGAGTCAAAGCCATGGGCTATGAATATCGTTTGCCGGACCCTTCAGGGAGAAAGGATATCGAATACTACCGTGACCCCAAGAACAGAGGTTACCTGGCTCATACCTTGGAGGAAGGAGAAAACCCAAGCTTGTACTGGAAACGCGTCCTCAGCCCCGAGCAGGTCAAAGTCCTATTGCACAAGAAACAGCGTGGTACCGCTGCCAAACCAGGTATCGATTTGGAAAATAAACTGTGGTAGTGAGCATATAGTAAGGATGGAGCCAAAACTGATGGGTCACTCTGTCATCCTGTAACATTAGTGGATAAACCGTCCGGAGCCTGAAGTCGACATTTCAAGCTTCTACAAGATTTCTATAACACCAAACTGGGAAAGCAAATAGAGCCTGTCACCAGCATCCCGCCGGTTAGTTTTGCAGTGTGTATGTATTAGTAAATTATACATAACAACCAAGGCATCCAAGATCAATAACAGAATGTAACCATCCTCATGGGAGGACCACTCCTCAAATGCCCCCAAAAATACATATACAGATAGAGAGATACTGTGAACTACGCTTCATGTCCACCATCTCCACGCGAAGGAAGCACGCGGAAAACAGTCTAAATGCGTGACATGTGATGCGGCATGTTGTGAACATCAAAGGCTCCCCTTCCCCCAGCTGGCAGACATGACCAGTACAGTACATACATACGTGGGAAAATGCCCGGGGCTCTTGCCACTCCTGCGCCACCATGTTGAGATAGGTATCCTGGCAGCGAGTCGCTTATCCGCCATTCCTACTGTACACATACTAGGTACATACCTAGGCATGTATGTACGTACCCAAGGAAAGTCCAACAGGCGAAAACCCGCCTATCTACTCGTAGAAGAAATCCACAGCTCGCACCCAACTTCACGGGAGAAAAAGAAAAGCAAGAATCCAGCCCAACCCAACAGACATGCAGAAAACAAAAAAGAAATGTCTCCTCGACAGGGAGTCGAACCCTGGTCTCCCGCGCTCGTTCTCTTGCGAATGACAAGCGGAAATCATGACCGTTAGACCATCGGGGAGCGAACTATCAACTGTGTCCAGTTGATGATGGTGTTGTAGAATCATGTGTTGATGATTGTTGGGCAAAATTGACAATTTTTAAATCATGTGCAGGTGGGCAAAAGTGAGGTGAGGCACGTGCTCTCCGCCATTCAAGCCCGCCTAACCGTATCCAGGTAAGTAATGGGGTAAGTGCTGTATATACACATGGCTAACTAAGCTCCATGTCATCTACGCTTTACACATAAATCTGTACATCTTATCGTATCGGTATCAGATATCGACCAAGTTAGAACGATCTCTAGGCCAGCCTTTGGAGAGATGTAAAGATCCACAACGCTGCATGCAAACGTGCTGAGCAACTAGGTAGACACGGCAGGTTCTGTTGGTACAGCAGGTACCTGAGGTTGGGTAGGTTAGGTAGGTATGCAACATGACGATTTTCTCTACAAATTCTCTACCTGGGTAATAGTAGGTAGTTAGAGCAACGCTTTGCCCGTCCCATCCCATCCCATCCATACCATCAAGTCCACAGCTCGCAGCCGCTTCCAATCCCAATCTCCATCCCCGTCCTCTGCCCATCCATCCCCACATAGACTCAGGACTCAGGCGAGCTCAAGAAACAGTTCCCACGACGGATTCCAGGTCTGCTCACAACACTATTCTGTTCTCTGCGATATCTGCCTTCTCCTCCACCGCACTGGAAGCAAGCAAAGGGGGAAACCGGAGCACCGCCCGAGTCCCCGGGGACGGGGCAAGGGGGGACGAAATATAAAGGAAAGTTCTGATGGGACAAAATACAGTTTAGATGCCCGCGCGACAAGTTGGCCGCAGAGACGATTTGAAATCCAGACAGGGAGAGAGAGAGAGAGAGCTACAGTATAGAGCAAACATGAAAACAGCGCGCGGTCGCAGTCCCGGATTGGTCGACTTTGCAGGTTTCGGATATATACCAATCGTTTTACTCCCGTGAGACGTCGCGGCCGAAGAATTTGGCCTTGACCCAGTCAAACATGACAAGGACGCGATTCCGAGCTAGAAGATTGGAAGATACATGTTAGCAGCCAAACTCAAGAAAATACAGTCGAAAGGGAGACCCTGAAGAAGGACAAAACTTACTGCTAAAGCACATGCTCAAATAAGCGCTTTTCCAGAAGAGATAGGTCATGGTGCCACCCGAGGCGATATTGCCGGAGAACCAACTGACATCGGCAACAGCCTTTTCAGCACCAATGTACGCGAGCGATCCCTGGTGAGAGTATTGGAAAGGACCGATCTGCTTGACGCGCCGGAGCTGTTTCTGGCGCTCGGTGATTTCGGCGAGAATGACTTTGCGGTCGTCTGGGTTGGCGGTAGATTGCTTCGCGCTGAGCTCTTTAAGCTCGGTCTCGTAGGCGTCAGTCTTGGCCATGGTGTTGAACAGGCGGGCGAGGAATGCGCCTTCCTGGGCGGCCACCTGGGCCGTGGGTGCATAGTTGGCCACTGCGCAATCGCCGACGGCCCAGATATCCTGTGCACCATTGACAACCAAGTATTCGTTGACTTCGAGACCACGGCGGGCTTTGGCCTGTGCGGGGATTTGGGACATCAGATCCTTGACGACGGGGCGGAGAGCGTTGCCGGTAGCCCAGACGAGGAGACCGTACGGGATCTTCTCGACGGTCTTTGTACCGTCGGGATTGTTGACCTCAGCTTCAATATATTTATCGGTGACGTTCTTGACCATGGTTTTGGTGCGGATCTCAATGTGTTCTTCCTTGAAGCTGGACTCGGTGTACTCGATCAATTGTTTGCTGAACATGGGGAGAACATTGGGTAGGGCTTCGACCAGGGTGACGTGGAAATCATCTTTGATCTGGGGAACCCATTTGAGCAAATCCTCTTGGAAGAAATCTTGGAGTTCGCCAGCAAATTCCACCCCTGTTGGTCCACCACCAACAACGACCATATGAAGAAGTCGTTTGATCTCTTCGGGGGATTGATCTTTGAATGTTGCGGTCTCGACACAATCCATGATTTGCTTGCGGATTCTTTGCGCATCACCCACTTCCTTCAGGAAGCAAGCATGCTCGCGGACACCGGGGATACCAAAAGTGGCGTTCTCAGCACCGACACCGACAACAAGCATATCGAATGGGATTTCAGTCTCCATGGAATCGCCCTTGACATCGGAATCATCTTGAGCATAAATGACCTTTTTCTCGTAATCAATTTTGGTGCAAGCAGCTTCATAGAATTTGACGGTGGCTTTCTTGTGGCGCAGGATGTTTCGAATGGGTTCCATGATGGATCGATGTTCGATAGTACCGGTTGTGCAGGAAGGGAGCAGCGGGGTGAAGAGGAAGAAGTTTCTGGGGGAGACGACGATGACATTGTAGTTTTCGGTGTCGAGGTTCTTCAACAGAGAGACGGAACCCCAGCCCGTACCTAGTGGGAAGGAGTTGGTTAGCTCATGAAGATGTCTCTGGTTAGTGATGAGGATCACGTACCAAGGACGACGAGGGTTTTCTTGTTTGGATCGGGCTCAAACTGTTCAGCCGGGTTACGCAGCTGCCAAATACTCCAACCGATCCATCCGACAAAGGCGGCGGAAGAGAGATATGTGATGCGCCATATTAGACGAAAGAATCTGAAGCGCTTCTTTGGTTTGGGAGTTGGGGAGAGCTCGACCTTTGGAGCTTGGTCGGCGAAGCTGCGGCGGAAAGAATGTTGGAGAAGAGTCGGTCGAGGAAGAAGGGCGGATTGTTTGGAGATGAGAGTTGAAGGTCGAAGTCTCATGGAGGATGCTGTGGTGGCGATGGAGCGTGTGCCAGTGCCCGTAGCAGTAGCTGCCAGAGCCAGGCATGATAACGATCTGCCCGTACTGCGTGACGCAATGTTGGTCAAGCGCAGGGGGAGCTTGCCCGTCATGGCGAGGATGGTTGTATGAAGGAGAGGAATGAAAAACGAGGAGGCCCTTATGGCGAGATCATGAGTGCAGGAGTGTAAGGGGTGAGAAGGGAAAGACAAAAGTGGTGGGAGTGGAGAGCAGTGGTGGTTGACAGGAGGTTGTGAGATGAGATGCTGAGATGAGGAGTAAGTAAGATAGAGAGATGCAGATGGCAGTGGATGTGACGCACTCTGGCTGGCAAAGACCCTTTTTCTTTTCTTTCCTGCTTCTCGCCTCTCGCCTTTTCTTTTTTGGCTGAAGCTGAGGCGTGCACTGGACGGCGTGTTGGTTGGAATTTATTTTATTATGGAGCTCGGGCTGTTGTGGTGGGTCGACGGGGTGGAAGTGGAAGTGGAACTTGAAGCTACGGAGAGGGATAGGGATACAGAAAAGCTGGCGTGGTTTCTGATAAGCGTTGAAAGGGTGGCAATCATTAGAAAATTCATACGGATATTGATGATCTGCTTTGGCCTCTGCTTCAGCTTTCAGGGTCTTTGGAAATCCAGCTGAATAAGTGGGGGTGACTTGTCAACTAACACACTCGTTTATTCTTAGTGCATCAAGCTTCTTTTATACCGACAGATATCCGTAGCTATGAGATAGCGATAAGTCGGTCGGATGGTCGGACTAATTCACAAAAGCTTCAGGGACCTACAAAGTCAGGTCCACGGAGAGATGGAAGTGCCTCTGGTCCTCTGCACGTGCACAGGACAAATGGACATGTGGGAGATTGCCTATTATTACCTTTGAAGATGATACAATAGAATCCTCAAAGGTTGGTCAATTCGGTGCCCGTGATTCTTATTCCCATTCTCGTTTTCGTTTCCAGCTTGATCCTCATCCCCGGATCGGCATAACTCTCCGTAAACAATTGCCATGACACTCCAGGATGCTCATGCTCATCGGGCTCTTGCTATACACAGAATCTGTACCGACCCATATAGACATTGGACATACTTTCGTCCTGCGCTCTACATGATGGCAATATTGATATTAAACCATATGTATCCCGAGTTTCTCCGATAGCCCTGCAGTTTTAGTATTTACACCGTGATCTTGACAATCTGCGAATATATTCTCCGAATCTCGCATGTCATCAAACTCTTGATATCACAAATTAAATCACAACTTTAACCACTCCCCTTATTACATGTCTTGGATTGTTTTCGGTATGGACTTGATTTGGCTACAGTACTTCAGTTCTAATATCGGACCGGATCCCCTTGTGCGCACTGCTGCTGCTATCTGCTCCTTGCTCCCTGCTATTCGCGGCTCATCTCATCTCATGTCGTCGTCGCCGCTGGTCTGAGTGTCGGTTTGTCCACCATATTCGTCCGATCTATCCAAGATCATCTTTCACCAATTGCCATTGCACAAGATCCAACGTCCAACACAAAACAACACCACCTGGGCGACGTCGATCAATACTCAACAGCTGCTCCTACCCCTGCCCTGCCTCACTCGCGACCACTCGGATCAAAACGCCCCCCGATGATGAACTGAACATGCACCCCCCATCCTTCGCTAGCTCTCACTCACTCCCTTGTTCCCATTTTCTTTCTTCTCCGACAAGAGTTTCTCTGCTTCGGGCCCCCCTTCAGGTGTGAGCTCCGGTCCAGGTTCTTGATCCTCATTCTCCTGTTCTTTGATCACATTCTGTTTCAACTCTTCCGAGTCTTGATCCGAAATCGCGGTTTCTTGAGCAATCCCAGAATGTCGGCGTGCCTCGGCCACAATCATTTCTACCTCACTGATGGCACCTTTATCCTTGTTGCCCTCCGTCTCGACTCCAATGTCGATCTTGGTATTGTTCTGCAGCTTTTGTGAATCAAATCGAACAATCATCACCGACAGATTGTCGGTGGAAAATCGTGCCAGTGCATATTCCACCAACATTCGAGATGCTTCCTGTGGATCTTGAACCTGTCGAATCAAATCTACCGCCTCCTGGTCGGAGCAGACATCCCACAACTGGTTGCCCGTTAGTACTTTGGCACGCGAAATTCAAATGGGAAGGCCACTTACTCCATCACAAGCGAGTATCAAGAATTCATCTTGATCGGGCTGGATCACCGTTTCCGTGGTATATGGATGCCCCGTGACCAAATCTTTCAGATATGAATCACCCAACGCACGCGTCACAGCCAACACTCCATTGACTCGGTTGTTCAATATTAGCCCTCCCGCCTTGGAAATTCGGCGCCCTTCATTCTCATCCATTCCTTTGTGATCATATGAAAGTCGGAGCGCCTTTCCATTGCGGCAGAGCACAATGCGTGCATCTCCCACATTGGCAGTATAAAGTACCCTTTGTCGCGTCGCCTTCTGTTTGGCTTCCTGAATCGCTGCCGCTGCCGCCTCGGCCGTCGAGTTGGATCGTGGTGTCGCATCCTTGGCTTCCAGTTTCTCTGCTTCTTTGGCCGCCGCCGCCGCAAGAGGCGCAATGGCTTGCGATCCTGTAGCTGAATGATTGGTAGGAACACGATCTTCCCACCTCAACACCGCCGTAATGGCCGTACACCCACTGTTCTTCAAGGGCAGCTTTTCTAATTGCGTATCTGCCGACGTGTAGGTCTGATCGAGTAATTCGGGCACCGCAGTGTTGGGGTATTTTCGCATCAAATCCTCCAAGATGACATGTAGCTTTTTCCCGCACCACTCGGCAGCAAATGTGCCGGCATGCCCATCAAAAATGGCAAAGTATCCATTATCCGTCTCGGCGACGTGGTGAGCAGTCTCCGACGGAACAGTGGTCAGACTGGCTCGGTCCTCTATCGAGGTTTTCTTGGTCAAGGATGCGTCCGAGGACACCACGGGCGCGGGAGTTCCCAGGAAATTGTAGAGATAAGAGTGGGTGTCTTCCATGGTTCGGCGGCATTTCTTGTTCTTGTCTTCAGTCACCCCAACACGAAATGAGGAATTGGGAGTGGGTTGTGACTCGCCAGCCGAATTGTTCAAGGAACCTTGAGGCACGCTCAAGGCGGCGTCGGTCTTTGAGAGTTTCTGCATTGGGGTTTGAGGACCGTCTCGATCGCCGTGGATCAACGAGTTTTTGGCCTGAGTGAAGATCTCTTTTGCTTTGGCACTGCTGCTCCTTCGCTTTTTACTGTCTGTGGTGGGGGAAGCGGTGCTGGTTTCGTCGCTGGCCTGTCGAGCCAGAGACTCGTTTTTGGGACTGGAGGGTTGGTCGGAGGAGTTTAAGCTGTTGATAGGCGAGGCTTTGTTGCTGTCAATACTGATTCTGGAGCCTGAAGTGTCGGAATCTACATCCTTGTCTTTCTTGTTGCCAAAGACACGATTGAGAAAGCCCCCATGCGCGGAGGTTCTCCGATCGGTGGTGCCCGCCAGCTTGAAGATTTAAACAAAGGCGCAGGTGTGATGGAGAAGCGATGCGACAAGGTTAAGCGCTGGAAAGAGGCTCGGTAGGGTGTTGACCACGGCAGAAGGTTGGAAGCTGTGGATGGAGGGGTGGATGGGAGATGATGGTGGCGGAGTGGAGGTGTTTCAACAACTGGAACCAGAGGTGCAATAGATATAGATGTAGGGGTAGGCAGTCACAATGGTGATCAGAGCGGGAAGTGAGTGAAGTAAGGTGGAGGGAGACAGACAAGGCAGGTGGGTGGACGCCAGCAACAAAGAAAGACGTTGAGACAGAAAAGAGTGCCGGAAGCCTGTTACTGGGTTGGAGGGTTGCGAGGTCTGGGGTAGGGGATATGATGTATGAGGTGGGAAGAATGAGGTGTGAGGTATGAGGTATGAGGCGTGCAGCTGGACTAGGGCGGTCGGTTGGTAGGTACACTTTCAGGGTCCGTGGTCAATAAAGAGGAGATCTCTGTTGTTGATAGTGGTGGTGATGGTGGTGGATGCCCGTGGCGACTGGTGGGTTGAAGATGAGAGGCGGGAGGTTTAGTCGGCTAACAACTAGCGACAAAGAGAGGAAGTTCTCTGCCCTTCAGATGAGGGGGAGATACATACGAGAATGGACTGGAGCAATGGATGTAATTACCGTCATGGTCATAATAAGAACTGCGTAAGAAAGGACGAAACAACCCCAAACGATGGTGCCTGTCGCGGGCGAGTCTGGGGGGAGGGAGGGGGTGAAAGGTAAATGGCTGTTCCCAGTAGAACAATCGTGGCTTTGAGGCGGTGCAGATGTTTGGTGTGTCAGGTTGGTGTTTGACACGATTCTATTTCTATTCTAATTGACGAGATGTACCTCGTACTATCCCTCTACAAATAACAACACGTACAATCAAGTTGTCAAATAGATCGTGGAGTTGTCGTTCATGTTTGTCAAGCGTGAGGGTGAGTTGTGGGGAAGGGGAACTTGGGAATGGGGGGCACAGATGCCTTCATGGGCGCTTTGTCCTGTGGGTGCCCGGGTGCAGTCCAAGGCCCTCAGGCTCCTGACCTTTACCGGAACCCCATGATTCCAGCCACCATCCAGGCACTGTCCAGGCACTGATTCTAGGCCCAATGCCTTCCCAGAACCACAATCATGAGTCTCCCCAGGCACCCTCGGCTGCTAGAGATCATCCTTGGTCGATTTCTAGTTAAGGTTACCTAGTACCCAAGGCATCCAAAGAACCCAAGGCCCCACTGACACAAGTGAGTTCCTCTCATCCGGGCCCCAGATCAGTCAAATAGCTCCAGAAACCCCGAGGCCGAGGCCGAGGCTTTAGGTTAATTGTTATCACCTATGTCCATTCCGAGTGCTATCTAGCTATATACGCTCTGTGCCCATTTTGATATTACAAATCCTCCATCCAGGTAGTTAGGAACGTAGGTGTTGAGTGAGGGAGAGAAGGGCTTTCAAAACAAGAGCAAGATAGATACGTCCCTTTTCCCTGTCCTTTCCTTCCCATTCGTTCCATCGTTCAAAGTGGAGAGGTGTGAAAGATTGCAATGCAAGCTCCTCCAAATGCGCTCAATCACACAATCATAATGATCAACATTGCTCGGTTCAGTCTCATGCCTCATGATGCTCTTTCGTGTACAATCCTGACAATGTTGACGCTCTCTCAAGACACGTACGCTCCAGCGGCTCCGGGTATCGTTCCTTCGAGGTCAATCCCGGACACGCGTCTTCGCGTCTCGCTAGAATCTCGGACCAGGTTGCCAAAGTATTTTCGGGCCACCTCACTCTCCTTCTTGATCTTGGTCACGTCCTCTTTCTTCTTTCTCAGTTCTTCGACACCGCTCTGCAGATCACCACTGAGTCTCTCAGCCGGGAATCGCAATACTCGTCGCACTTCTGATGCTATTCGTGCTGAATTGCTGTGTGTGTAATCCATCTGAGACAGTGTCGCCGACAACTTAGCTGCCAGCCGTGGTGGAAGTGTTTGTGGGATAGTCGATAGAATATAGGCGACTGCCACGATCGCTGTAAAGGACATGTTAGCGTTGTGCTACCTCCAATCAATGAGCAACGAAACAACTTACCAGCAGCCACAACACCCGGCACAAACAGCCTCCTCAGATTTCGACTTCCCACCACTTTGGCCGCTCCAAAGGCTCCATCTATCCAACCCACACCACCAACGGCCCGAGATCCAACTGTACCCACCACTGTGAGAGCAAGACCCGTGCCCACTGTCTTTTCCTGTCGTTCCCACAGGCCAGCAACATCGAAAAAGTCCAGAAGCTCCACATCAGTATCAACGGTTCGCACAAGAGCGTCTCTCCGCCGTTGGAACATTCGATCGGCTTGGAATGTGAGGTTTTCGTAGCTGTCTCCAACATGTAATAGACCAAGTGACTTGACCATGTCCACACCCTTGACCGTTTGACTGCGACCGTAGTTCTCACATTGTGTCACTGCTGCCGAGATCTGATCGAGCATGGCTATCCTTAAATCCTCCGCATACTGGAATGCGGACAACAGGCCAGGATACTCAACCCCCAGGTCACCGTTACCCACGTTGCTGATGGTGCTGGACAATGTTGAACGAGTATGATTATAAACATCATTCGCCGTAGAATCAATGTCCTTCTCCAGCTGCTCCGACACGACACTCCGTTGTTTCGATCTTTCCTCATATTCAGGCTCAATCTCCGAAAGCTCCTTCGATACCCTTTCCAACTCGGAATTGGCCACATCTCGGTTGACATTGGCCAACACGTTCATGTCTCCCAAACAATTCATCAAGTACGTCTTTGCCGGCGCCAATTTCGATCTAGCTCGCTTCTCCAGGACAAACCTTCGTAAAGCACTTTCGAGCATTTCAAAGTCTTGGATCTTTTCCTTGTCTTTTCCTTTTCCTTTACTCGAATCATCGTTATCATCATCGCCTGGGGGCGACGGGTCCGCTCCGCCCCCTCCATCACCTCCACCGGGCACTGGTGCTGGTTGGGTGGGAACAGCATTACTAGAAACAAAGTGAACCAGTTCTTGAGCCTCTTTGAATGTCTGTGGACTGAGGTGACCTAATTGTTCGAGGATGAGTTTCTGACACCGTTCCTTGTCTCGAATGTTATCAAATCCATTCACCACCATAAAGATATACGCCTTCTCATGCGCGGCTTGCCATATGAATTCCTTGGCGGATAGTGTAAAGTGGTTGGCGGCAGACACCACAAAGACAACCACATCAATCTCCTCCTGGCGGGCAAACACCGCCGTCGTTTTGACCGAGTCAGAATTGAGTCCTGGCGCATCGATGAGAGAGATATCAACTACACCGTTGTTTAGTAACGACTGATCAATGGTCCGTACATCTCTGACGTAAACCTTGCACTGAAGGTAGCGGTCGTTGTCAACAACAATCTTTTCAAGCTCATGTAAGGGGAAGACATCATAGGTGCTTTCGTCATTCCGATTATAGATGGCTTCTTTGTGGACGGCGTGGACTTCCTCGAGACCACCATTTTCTTTGGCATCCAATACCTCACAGAAGATACTCGTGCAAGGTTGTTGATCTTCTGGTAGGATCTTCCTCCGTAGCAGCGCGTTGCAGAACGTCGACTTTCCAGCGTTGAGATCACCCGTTACCAGAACTTTGCTGGAGGTGTCTTCTATCCGGTCGCGCAATGCAAGTAAATGGCGAACACTTTGGCCAATCTTGCCATCGAGTAGAGAAGCTATCGACTTCTTTTCCAGGGAATGAACCAGCTCCGTCTGTGAAAGCGCGCCAACCTTGAGATCTAATTTGAGTATGGAAAATTCTTGCGCAATTTGAGGAGTGATGAGCCTGGGTTCAGGTGTGGCCGTCCGCTGTGCTATTTGGCTAGATTCGGCTGAGGATGAACCCTCTCCTATTGATGTACCATATCTTCGAAGGGCACCAGGTCGGCCGCCTAGTTTCTTGAGTGCGAGGTCGTGGGGAAAGTCGGAGGTGTCTCTTGTGGATTGGGTTTGTGTTAATGATGGGCGGGGTTCTCGTTTATCATCGGCGGATCTCTGGACTGAAGGATAATGAGCGGGCCATTGTGCATTCATTTCCTGGAGGGATTTGAGAAGTTCGACCGTCTGGCCAATGGCTTTGGCCAGGGCGACACGATTTTGGTTGTAGTAGAGCTGATGGACATGGCCTGCTAGAGCCCTCTTCTCGGTGTCAGACATATGCGCAGCCTGGCCGTTGATCTGGGGAGTGTGAGCAGGAGTTGGACGATCGACCAGCAGTTGATCCTCCCAAGACCGCATTTCGCCACCGATTTGTTGATTGTCTCCCGGCATGCTTCCGTAGCCCGAGTCGCGTTCCAGCTGTTCGACCAATGCAGCAGCGTGCGAAGGTTGAATACCAGATCCAACGGTCATGTATTCAGGTCGGTGTGAGGGAGGGTGGATGGGTTCGGGGGAGGCCATTTGTTCGTGGATGTTCTGGTCTTTGTCCTTGGCTTTGCCTTTCTGCGGAGATGTGGATGGGGTCATGGCGATAAATTGAGGGATGGGATCGAGTTCAATGGCGAACAACAGGCGATGGCGGATTGTGATTGAAGGGATGAGCCATCAGAGAGTCGTTAGGATGGAGTGCGAAAGAGTGAGTTGGTGGACGGTTGGTAGAACAATCAACAAGAATAACAATATCGTTTAAGCAGGTTGAACCAAGGCAGGTGCAATTGCAATTCTGATGATCACCTTACCTCACTTGCACTGCACCTGCCTTGTCTTATCCGTTGCTGCCGCTTTTACTGTATGGGGACCAATAATTTATCCGAAGCGCTTCTGCTAACTAAATATGGGTGCCTGCCGCCCTCTAAGCGTTTGGTCACCCACCCACGTCATTTGGTGTGCAGGCCGGCTTTTCTAGGCTTCAAGTTACTGACTCCCAAGCCTGGAGATCCGCCAACATCAAAAGGCCTGAGTGCTGCTGGTGCAATCTGATGTCCTGATATCGACCACAACCACATTCCACCGATAATAACGCCTCAATCGCCTCTGATAGCCTGCACTACCCTTACGTCCAGACCAGCCAACACTACCTCTCTCATCATCCTCAACTTGCCTACCATGAATGTAAGCCCACTCACCAATCTTACCCTCCCCAACCGCAACCCCCACTAAGCCGCAATTCTTCTACCCAACAACAGATCATAGAATGGGCCTTTGGCAAACGCATGACGCCTGCCGAACGGCTGCGGAAGCATCAACGAGCCCTCGAGAAGACACAGCGAGAACTAGACCGCGAGCGGGTAAAGCTAGAGAACCAGGAGAAGAAACTCGTCGCCGATATCAAGAAGAGCGCAAAGAACGGCCAGATCGGTGCCTGCAAGATCCAAGCCAAGGATCTCGTCCGTACAAGGAGATATATCCAGAAGTTCTACCAGATGCGTACTCAACTACAGGCCATTTCTCTGAGGATTCAGGTGTGTCTTGCTCCATGTCCGACCCTTGCCCTTCGCACGGCTAATGATGTGGCTCCCACTAGACCGTTCGAAGCAATGAGCAGATGATGCAGTCTATGAAAGGTGCCACAATGTTGCTGGGCAGCATGAACAGACAGATGAATCTTCCTGCTCTTCAACGGATAGCAATGGAGTTTGAGCGTGAGAACGATATCATGGATCAGCGACAAGAGATGATGGACGATGCAATCGACGATGTCACGGGTTTGGAAGACGAAGAGGAAGGAGAAGAGGTCGTGAACCAGGTTCTGGACGAGATAGGTGTTGACTTGAACAACGCGGTAAGTTTCAGCCATGTATCGTTATCGTGCTTTACTGACATGACACCCTTACCAGCTCGGCGAGACCCCAACAGGCATTCAAAAAGCAGCAATTCCCGAAGGCCGTGTCGCCCAAGCCATAGGAGGTGGCGGCGAAGACGATGATTTACAAGCAAGACTTGACAGTCTTAGGCGGTAGCAGTTCGTATGCTTTTTACATCAGAGCCACGCTGCATTCACAAATCACCATAAGCACGGCGTTTGGGCGTTCCAAAGTTGAAGCCTTGCAAAATCTCTGTCCCTGAGTTACTTGAAAAGACTAAATCACTCTTGACCAAGTTGTTCACAAAAACACAGGTCCATGAAAAATGGATAATAGTAAGGGGGCGTGTAATTCGCTTTGAGAATTACACATAAGAGTAATATTATATATACTGTACCTGAAGCTGAACCCTCCCTCTTCCACACCATAATCAACCATCGAAGAACTACCTGAACATGCCATACCCATCAAACTCCGAGCTCCCGAGCTTCAGCATAGGTAAGAGTCCGCCACGATATGCAAATCACCCTCCACTCCTATCCTTTCCCTTCACGAAGGACAAAACCTATCAACTACCCCGACACAACACAACCCACCGAAACCAGAAACAACCCGTCTAGTTAGCATTCGCCAACACAACATGGATGGGCTGGCCCAACGGCGCACCAACGTTCGAGTACGCGCCACGGATGTTTCCAGGGGGCGAGTAATTGCAAACGGTGAAGAAAGGCGTGAAGCCTGCATTGACCAATCCACCAGGGCAGGTGACGGTTGCACAGCCGACTTGGGTGGTGCCCTTCCAGACGATTTGGGTGAAATGGCCAAAGTTGTTGAAGTTGGTCAGGTCGATGTTGTCGGTGTCAAAGGGGCCTGGGAAGTTGCTGAATTCGCCGTTGTACATATCGTTGGTGATCATAACGCCCACTTGGTTGGGTGTGTATCCGGCGCCAATGTTTTGGCCGTAGCCGCCACCATCGACAGCGCTGGGAGGAGGGTGTTAGTTCTTGATATTGGATGGTGAGGGGGGAGGGGAAGGGGGTTGTGGAGACTTACATGTTGTGGGCGTAGATGCAGGATGAGGCAATGGTATTGGCGGTGGCGGCAAGGCTGGGAGACCAGGTAAGATCAACAGCTGAATGGTTGCGGCGGTGGGAGTTGTGTGCGAGCAAGATGGCGTCGATGTAGTTCAGGCCGCGAACGTCGTCGATGACAATTGAGCCTGCTGCAGCGGTGGTGCTGGTAGTGGCGGCAGCGCTCGTAGTGGTGGAGACAATGACTGCAGCACTGGAGGTCGTGGTGGTGGGCTGCACAGCTGCGACGGAAGATGTGGTGGTGGTGCTGCCTCCAATGGGACCAACATTGACACTGCTGCTTGAGCTCGCGGTGGTGCTGCCACCAATGGGGCCAACGTTGACGCTGCTGCTGCTAGTGGTGGTACTGATGCTGCTCGAGCTGGTGGTGGTGCTTCCTCCAATAGGACCCACGTTGAAGCTGCTGCTTGAGGAGCTGGTGGTGCTCACTGTGCTGGAGCTGCTAGTCGTGGTGCTGCCGCCGATAGGGCCGATGCTGAAGCTGCTGCTGCCTGAGCTTGTCGTGCTCAGCGATGAGGAGCTAGAGCTGGTTGTAGTGCTTGCTCCCACGGGACCAATGCTGAAGCTGCTAGACGAGCTGGTGCTTGAGCTGCTGGTCGTGCCCACGCTGGCGGAGGTGGAGGAGGTGGTGGTGGTAGAGGTGGTTGAAGAGCTACCCCAGGGGTAGGTAGGCCCAACGCCGCTGCTGGCCTTGCTAGTCGACTTGGTGGCAGACTTGGTGGTAGACTTGGTGGTTGTCTTGCTAGTGGCCTTGGTGGTGGATTTTTTGGTGTTGGTCGTGGCTAGCCAGTCAGCCCAGGGCTCATGCTGGGGATCAGTTGGAGCTGGACCATAGACAGTCTCAGTCTTGGTGTGAGATCGAGTCAATGTACCACCATTGTTATCATCATCGTCGACCCAGTCAACCCATGCAAGATGATCAGTAGGCTGAGCACCAGTCCAGATTGTCTTGGTAATGACGGGGCCCTTGGTTGGGATCAGCTCGATCTTTACACCCGTCTTGGTTGTCATAGAACCAGCGGTGGTGAAGACAACGACGATTGGACCAGCCTTGGTGATGGTCTCTCTTGGTTTCGTCCAGCCAGGGTCGATGAGTCCGGTGGCATAGTAATGCTTGATTGTTCCAGTCGGGTCACCTGCTGCGTGAGGCTGGGTAACACGTACTTCACCATTGCAGGGGCAGATCTGCACTGTTCTGGTAGCCGTGGAGGTAACAGTTACATCCTTTCCGAACGGGACCCAGTCAATCCAAGAGCCAAGTGCCGTTGAGCTACTGGCGAGCACGACGAAGGCACTCGCGGAGACCTTCATCCTTTCTTTGTGGGTTTGCGATTTCGTATAGTTTGGAGAGTGCAGTACAGAAGAGCTTCGGCTTCAGAAGAAAAGTAATGTCGCAGAACAGCACAAATGACAAAGAGTGACTATGGTTAGTACGCCTAGTGCTGTGAAGGTGAAGTAAAAGAGTGACTCCTTGAGGAACAGAAACTTAGGTTCAGTGCGGCGGACGGGAGGTTTATGTTTCCCAGACACCCTTCCGGGTTGATATTGCTTGATCGATGAGCCATGTCCTACTTGAGGCTTGTGAAAGGTGTGTTGGCCGGTAAGCCTCATGAAATTAGACAGGTTAGATGGACTGCTGTCATTACGACTCACTCGAGTCGAGATCAGAACAGTGCACTCGTGAGGTCTGTGAGTAGGAGAAGACCCACCCCTCATAACAGTGTATACTGAGGACATAACATTGACGAGTGACCTGCTTTAAGCAAGAAGTTTTCCTCAGCCTTGGCATTGCTAGTTGACCATCAACTGAAGATCAGAAGCATTCTGGATGAGAAGCTGACTGTGATGATATGATGTAGTGCCGCGAGCTAACTGAAAATTTTAGCAGCATGTATCAGGAGATCAACGAGAGGGTACTTGAGGACATGTTGCCAAAAGCGACGCCTTCCGGTACAACTTGACGGTTTAGCTTGAGCTTACCTATCACCCACCATGGAGAGGACACATTGATGACAAGTGACAGTGACCATGATATTAGAGATTGGCGACCCCTGGGCAAGGAATTGGTTGGCTTGTTGTAATGGGGGAACCACACCAAACATCTCTGGTACGAAGTGGCTGTCAAAACTGTCAAGCCAAGACCTCAATCTGTGGCTTATGAGTACGAGGGGTATGCCATGTTCAAGCTGATCTCCTTTTGGCCAAATGTAGATTTAATAATGGGTATTGTAGTAGCTGCAGCTGAGATCCTGGCTATCCACACGAATCCATGTGGAAAGTAGACTAGAAGCCACACGTAGCATTGAACTCATCGTGGCAAGTGCCAAATTGATGGACAAATGATCATGGCTGTCTCTGGCCCGAAGAGTTGCTTAAATGGAGATAAGCACGATCAACAACGGAGCGTCTTAACACAGATGTTCCAATCATGGCTGCACAATGAATTGTGTCATATCTCGGTGCTCAGCGGATCTCAGGGCAGCCATCCAGTCGAATAAGAGGGTTACAGACAGGCCGTGGGGTACAGCAGGTAGAAGACAGACCACAAGAACAACAACACGAGGGCCATCATCTCGAGGCTCAATCTCAATAATCTTCGGGATAGAAGAGAAGGTCCGGCAAAGAAAGGAGTACAGCAGCCTCAAGTACGAGGTACTCTCTCCATGAAACTAAGGTTGTCACCCGGGGGTTGTACCAGTGTGGAGCAATTCATCTCAAATCCCAAGGTCGTCAGCTGGAAGAGAAAGAGGAAATGCCAAGACCTAGTACCGGAAGCCGGAAGCCGGATCAACTTGAGGAATTGAATTTCTCCGATTGGCTGATGTCCGACTCCAACAACTCCCCCCTCCGAAGTCGTTTGATGCTCTCTATGAATATGCCTGCTAATTCGGTTCATTTGACCATCGTCCACTGTAAGTGCTTTCACTATGTCGCGCATCATGCCATCATCTCCGATCCCTCCTATTGATAAGTTAACAGGCAGAAATTAGCGTAACCCCTACCTCTCGACCATCAGCACCTATTAGGGCTTGCCGAGTGCCATCTCGAGATGCATCTGTTTCGCTTGAGGGAACATGTCTGAACGGGATCCATCCGGTCGCAACGAACGCCCATTCCTGTATCCGTGGGTGAGTCTCTCACGCTACACCGTAACGTTTGAATCTAGACCAACCCTTCCAGAATCGTCGCCTCCGGCATCTTCATGGCATCTCATTGCGCAATGTCCATGTCACTTCAACCAGTCCCAAGGCTAAAGGGAAGACAACTGCCGACGACGATGCACCCTACAATCTTGTTTCTCCTGCCAAGCGAGCTCTACAAAACGATACAACACCCTTACATCATTCACGCTCTTTCTCTGACTTGATTACATCCGCGGAAAGTCCTCCCAATCCACTTAGTCGTCAAAAGGCAGCTACATCATATCAAAAGAATGACACCCCTACGAAAACACGGCCAGAAGGTCGGCTTCGAAGAAGGAGCACTTTACACTGGACCTCTGCCACCCCACAGGCTCGACAGGCCAAGCTAGAGGACATGGTTGTCAACCGTCTGGCGGACGCATGGATATCAATTCACGCTCCTGGTGTCGATGAGCCTATCTACATCACTGAGGTGATTGAACGTTCTATGAACCCCAGCTTCGCCTCCTTCGATCTGGACAGCACTGGCCCCTTGATTTCAAGATTCGACCAGTGTATTGTGCGCGCCTGGGCAAGACCTACGAATGCTGAAGAGTACTGCCTTCTTGTGGAGCTAGACGTCAATCTGAGGTCTTTGCAATACATCGGACGAAATCTGGAGAATTTTCATCATCCACTGCCGCAAAATTGTATTCTACTCCATCTATCGGACGGTATCTACACGAGTTTCACCGATCTACCGGCGGATTATCCAATCAATGTCCTGCAGCATAAGAACCAAGGAGAAATCTCTTCTCGACCCAGCTCATCATTCGATGCTCTGATGCAACTTGCCAATTTGGATGAATGCATACAAGATGCCGTCAAAGTGCGATCACAACTGGAAGCAGACATTAACAAGATCTTGGAAGAATCTCGGGAAGGGGAGGGCAAGAATGACGGTGACACTGCAATCATTGATGTTGATGAGTCTCAGATCAAAGCTGCTTTAGCTACCGAGCAGAAGCAAGTGCGTCAACTTAAGAAGCGACGGGACGAGATGCAGGAATCTCTAGTCCAACGACGTAAAGCACATGATGCGGGTCGAGAAGATGAGGCCGAGGCTAGGCGTTTGATCGAAGAAAAGTCCTTGGCCCACAAAGAGGTTGAGGCGGCAAGAAAAGATATCGAAAAGGAGTCGATCGGTCAGATTCGTCGTATTTGCGAGTGCTTACTTGTCCTGTTTCCCATTGAGCCGATCAAAAGTCGTACGTTGCAGTTCACGATTCGGGGCATTCATCTTCCCAATTCGGTCTACAATGACACCAATCGCGACGAAATCGCAGCAGCTCTTGGATTTACCGGTCAATTGGTGTATCAATTATCGCTATACCTATCAGTACCCTTGCCATACCCCGTTGAGCCTTATGGATCTGCTTCATACATTACAGATCCCATATCAGTTGGCTTGAGCCAAAGACGATATCCACTACATCCCACCAGCGTACCCTATAAGTTCGAGTACGGTGTGTTCCTTCTCAACAAGGACATTGAGTTCCTCATGAGCAAATCCGGTCTCAGAGTACTTGATATTCGCCACACTTTACCTAACCTCAAATACTTGCTGTACGTACTCACTGCAGGTACGGGGGAGCTGCCAGCGAGAAAGGCGGGCGGGGTCAGAGGGCTACTGATGGGTGGTCGGCTGACGCCTGACATACCACGAAGAACAAGTGAAGATAGCATTCGAAGTCAGCCTATGCTAGTCAAACGGAACTCGACTGATCTGAGGACGAAAGCGAATGGATCACCAAGAGAAAAGGTGGATGGGACCATCAATAACGATCCATTTGTGAGTACGTCTCCTATTCACGGACTTCCTCACCGATTCCATATTCCTAGAATACAGGATCAATGAAATTGGGGTCTGAACATGGTACGGAGCTGGTCAGGGGGAAGTAGCCCTCTGGCCCGTGATCAATGAATGACTGTGCATATCCAAACTACCCTGGCCCATGTAATAAATCAGTAGAATGAGTAAAAGCCTCGGCGTGGATTATGTTTTGCCAAGACGCGAGTGACCTCGAAGTTGGAACTTGGAAGCGGTTATGTTCGGTTCCCCAGAAAGTTCTCCAGCTGCGCCCACCACCCACTTACCGGTTCACAACCATTCGAGTTTCCCCAGACTGTAACCGTCAACTGCCAGAGCCAACTTGCAGGTCGCAGGTCATCACTGAGATTAGCCCATGGCCATGGCTTACACAGCTTCCTCTCAGTTCCCCGAGTTGGCTCGGACCGAGAGCTATTCCAAAGATTCATCCTCACCTGAGCCCTCCGGCTCCCAATCGCAACCCCGCGATGGCCGTGGTCCTCATCGCCGTGGTTATCAAGCCTGTCAACGCTGTCGAGAGCGCAAGGTTAAATGCGATCTAGGAAGTACGCCAGCCTTGTCCTCCTATCTCCCCCACGCTCTTTTGGCCACTAACCAATTGTTTCGCCTCACCAGGTGTCGATGCTCCTACCGAACCACCATGTCGCCGATGTATGCGTGAAAGACTACCCTGCGAATTTGCACCAACTCGAAAGAAGCAAAAACGATCTGATGGTACAGCTCGCCATGTACAGACCTCCGCTTCCGAATCCTTATCGCGCAATGGCAATACCATGTCACCAACCATACCGGCGACTCTATCACCTCGAGTTACATCCAACGGTAACGGTTTCCCCCGTCAGACCTGGTCGCCCCATTCATCCAAGCCATCAGTCACTTCACAGCCACCTGATTCTTACCTTCGCGCAAAACCCGGTGACGCGCTCAAGTCCTCCGAGTTTCAACTGCACAATCCCGTGGCAGCCGTGGCATTGAATGGACCCATGTCGAGCACCCAAGACAATATCATGCTTCTTGTTGATGCCGCCCAAGCCTTTTCAGAAAATGCAACTCCAGACTACAAAGAGAGCCCTCTCTCGGACCGGGTTGGAAGAAAAAGGACTCTGTCTTCACTGGGTCATGGAGGTCCGGATATGCCTAGTGATGTTGGCAAATCTCCAGAAGAACAAGCCGAGAAACAAGCGGGGTTCGATGCCTGGTCCAAGATGCGCTTCGTCCGCAATGGCTGGTTTACTGCATGGGAAGCGATGCAATATGTCGAATACTTCTACGAGAGACTTTCACCGATGACGCCAGTGGTATTCCCCGACTACAGATCCCCCATGAAGCATTACTCACTCCTCCTCAATGAGCCCATACTGGCTCTTGCCATCCTCGCCATCTCTTCCCGCCATATGCGACTTTCTGGACACGCAGGACTGTCTCGATCATATCTCATCCACGATAAGTTGTGGAACAACCTTCGCCGACAAATAGAACGACTTCTGTGGGCCCAAGAACAATTTGGCGGCGGGTTTTGTGGTGGCGGGACGGGAACTGGGCTGCGCGAGTCTGCTTCTGGTCAACTGACGTGGGAAGGAAGTCTCCGCACTCTAGGGACAATTGAAGCACTGTTGGTTCTGACCGACTGGCAACCACGTGCTCTACATTTCCCCCCAAGCGACGACGGTAATGGACTTCTCGATCGTAGTCTCGTTCCTTCTATTGAGGAAGAGAAGTCGTACTCTCGAGTTGGAGATGCCAAACCTGGTCGGGACTACGACATCGCCCCTTATGCCAATTGGCTAGAGCCAGCATGGAGATCTGATCGCATGTCTTGGATGTTGCTTGGGTTGGCTCAAAACCTTGCTTTTGAATTGGGAGTATTTGATACCAATCACTACAACTGTCGGCATCAACATGGTCCTGACTCTGAATGTGCAAGGAAACGACGCATTAGGCATCTGGTCCTCATCTATGTGGCCCAGACCAGTGGTCGAATGGGCATTCAGTCCTCACTCAATGTGGAAGATTGGGAAAGTGACAGTATCTGGGATCAGACGAGCAGGACACAACGCTATGGAAATCCAGAAGACCCGGTCGATATCATGCAAGGCTGCTGGATCCATGTGGCAAGACTGATGAATCGAGCCAATCGCGAGGTCTTCTCCTCTCACCAATTCACCAGAGAGCTGACAGCAAGTGGACGGTACAAAGACTCGATCAATCAATTCCAACCACTATTGCAGAATTGGCTTAACGTCTTCAGGAAGGCGAAAGAACATATCCATCCTCTGATGCAGCACATCCTGATGATGGAATATCAATATGGGAGGCTCTACCTGAACTCACTCGGTCTTCAAAAGGTCGTCGAAACTTGGGTAGAGGGAGGCTCTAATATGAAGAAGTCGAGTCTTGCCAAGGTTGCCGAAGAGAACAAAGTGTATATTGACGAGGTCACTGATGCGGCTTTGACAATACTTCGTGAAATAACGGATGGGATCGCGCCAAAAGGCTTTCTCAGAGATGCGCCAACCCGAACATTTCTACGAAGTTTGTCCGCTATCATGTTCGTTCTGAAGGTTTGTGATGGCTCTTTTTCCCTCTCAAGACTCGATTGCTAACAGCTCTTAGCGTTTTAGTTTGGGAACTCATGAAACCATGGTTCGAGACTGTCTCCACCAGCTCGAGAAGATCACCACTGAGATGTCCAAACAAGTGGTAGATGATGTTCATCTCAGCGCGTCGACTGCACGAATTGTGACCAGTATTGTCAAAAACGTGAAGCAGACACTGATTCGCGTTCAACTTCCAGGGACCGGCTCAGCTGGGCCAAGTCGTGAGGTGTCACGACCACAATCACCCAACGGAGAACAGACGTCAACTGCCGCGCAAGCTGCAGCGAACACTCATGCAACGACGTTGGCTCAACAGCTTAGCCCTGGCTACTACATGAATGATCCTCTGGCCGGTATTCAAGCGAAACCGATGGCAGAACTCGAATCGCAGATGTTTGTCCCTCCACCAAATATGCTTGTCGGGGATGATATTCTCGATCATGCACTGCCAGCTGATTCGAACATTGATCCTGCGATTGCCGACTTCTCGGATTGGTTCGCACTGCCTCTCGACAACCTCTGGCATAATTCTGATGCGACCGTTGATCATGGTTTTGGAGGTATCGGTCCGACTGTGGGCAACCAGGATATGCTTGAAGTTATCACGAACCAGGATTACAGCTTGATGCAGTGGAAAGCTGATCAGCTTGGGGGCTACGGTGGATTGTAATGATACTGGGGTAGGCTATGCTGATGCTGCAGGAGGTGAATTTCCTCCTCACGAGGCCAAGGCCGAGCCCTTGTTCGACTGGTATGACTGCTCTAGATATGTCGAGCATCAGAACTCGAATCAAAAGTTCCCCGATCTGGGAAAGGCAACCAAGCCGCGTGGACGGACTGTTTGCTCCGCCGGAGAATGCCAAGAAGTAAATTCAAGCTTAAGATAAGGTTTAGAATGAGACCGGATTTGATTGGCCATATCGAAACACCGGATCATGGTGATACCGTTCCGGGGTGAATTAACTTTTCCAGGCAAGTGCAACCTCGCCAAAGTCGCCCCGCAGAAGGAGAGACGAAGACTGCCAACTGCGCCATTTTCATTTGATGCTCACACCTTCAAGTTGAACCACTCACTGCACACTCCCAACCACGACGCTCCAGATTCCAACCTCGACTACTCTCAGGCCTGTCTCCTACATTGCACACTGGTCCTTCGACTCATCGCCGTGATATACCATCCGCCAACTTATCACAAACCCTTCCCGCCCGTCTCGCCTGGATCATGGCCCACTGATCCTATCCGCGCGTTCCCTCATGAAGTCGTCCAACTATACGGTCGCAACCGCCATGTCGCACTCGAGATTATCCTCAAATTTCTCCCAACGGTAGCGAAGCCATGTCCCCTACCGCTACCACTACCGGCAATGCCCAAGTCACCGCTCGTCAGCTATGGGGACAAATGACCACGGCCGTTCAGGATGCCGAACGAGGTGCCTGGTGTACGCCTCTGATCCTACCCAGTGGGGGAATCCTTGTCTTTGGAGATAACGACACGAGTACGCTTTCGGCGCGTGTGACTTTCAAACTCCCTTGCGAAAACCCCGAGTCAATCATTAGCCCTGACACCACTGGCAACTCGTCGGTAATAGGATTTCAAGACCCTTTCTATGCCTCCATATCGCCTCAGATCTTCGCATTGGCCGCCGCTACCGTCATCAGTTATATCCTTGTCATTCTCATCTTCATCACACCAAGGACTTTTGTCATTGGAGGGCCTGGTGGAGGAGCTGGGTTTTTGGGTCGACGTGGAATGATACAGGGCTCTTCCAATATTATAGGTGTCGGCCGGAGGCCTCTACTTCAGAAAATCGCCACGCTGACAGTTGCTATCTCTCTCACGATCGCTACCGCCGACACTTTTAGTGTGGCTAAAGATCAATATAATCAAGGATATATGGATTCGAGTCTATTGGTGGATGATGTTGTGGGAAGTCTTGAGATTCGCATAATCAGAGTCATTTCCGACACTTTTCTCTGGCTGGCCCAGGTTCAGACGCTAATTCGACTGTTTCCACGGCACAAAGAGAAAGTCACCATCAAATGGTTGGGTTTCGCCATGGTTTCTTCGGATACAATCTTCAGTATCCTTGACTCATTTGTCAGTCGCAATCCCCGAACGAGACCCAGAAGTTTTCAGGATGTAATTCCTGCATTGAATTACTTATTCGAACTCGCAATCTCTATAATATACGCCTCTTGCGTGGTGTATTATTGCCTGTCGAAACGTCGATATGCTTTTTGGCATCCAAAGATGAAGAACATTTGTTTGGTGGCGGTCATTTCTCTCGCCTCTGTTGCTATACCTGCTGTATTTTTTGTTTTGGACATATCTCAACCTGATGTTGCTGGATGGGGTGAATATATACGTTGGGTGGGCGCTGCTGCGGCAAGCGTTGTGGTGTGGGAATGGGTGGAAAGAATTGAATCCTTGGAGAGAGATTCGCGAAAAGATGGCATTCTCGGACGAGAGCTATTTGACGGTGATGAGATGCTGAACATGACACCGTCAGAAGATGCGAGTTGGCGTGGGCAAGATCCCAAGTCGGGTTCTGACGGAGGTTTCCGCAAGAGTATGACGAGACCGATCACTCTTCAAGCCAGACGGCTACATGCACGTCTACCTCTCCGCAAACGACGGAAGGCTGGCCCGTCGGATGGAATCACTCCTGGTACGGATGCTGCGAACTCCAATGGTACCAGGATTCCTCCCAATGCTCAGCTCATTGTCCCTACCGAACAGATTGTCACCCCCAACAGGAGTGATACTGGCAGTGCCACCAGTACCGTCTATGCTATTCGATATCACAACCTCACTAGTCCTTCGCCCAACTTGCAACATGATCTCCAACCTCCACAGCCACACCAGAATCCTATGGTTGACATTCCAAAACCGGTTGATGAACCTTCAGGATCTGAGATATCTCCTTCTAGCACTGATAAGGATATGGCAGTTGAACAACAGAGAGCTCGGATTAGTGGAAACCCCGACACTCGTCACCATGGGAGACAAATATGGCAATCAGTCCCCAATCCATTCAAACGACGGCGAGCAGAACCACCGGCAGAAGTTGCCGATGCTCAAATTGCCAGTGGTGTGAGGCGCTCACCAATCGATAGTCGGTTGAATATGCGAGCGCGTCTTGGTGCATTCGCTGCTGCCCAGAAAGATCGTTTGACGAATCGTGGCAGTGTATCAGTTGTTCCATTGCCTGTCACTGTTATCCCTGCACCAAAGACAAATGATCGAACCTGGTCTCCTGATGATCTTCGAGATGAACCATCTCACGAGTCCGTGCCTATGGACGACTTCGGCCCAGAAGCTCGGCAGCAACAGGCGCAGACTTACCACGAAGAGCCTGCCTCTGGAGTGGTCGTTATCCCAGTACCAATCCAAGGTAGGACTTGGTCCCCCGACGATATAGCCAGTCATGGAACAAGTCAGACTCCACCGACTGGTTCAAGTTCAAGAATCCAAAGACCTCCGCCAGTGGTTACTCGAAATTCAATTGGTTCAACGAGCGACACTATTGTGCCACAAAATGTTTATACCTCAAGAGGATCCCTGACTATATCGGAAAACGAGGCCCGAGTAGTCTCAAGTCCACGAAGGTCAACTTATAGTCGAATGCCAGCGAGTACAGTACCCGAAGAGCCACACAATGCAGCCGCTCAAGGTGTGAAGACTCAAGAAGAACCCAGGGATACAGACACCGCAACCTTGAATGCCTCTGAGAGCACGTTTGGCTCGCAAGAACTGTCACAAACACCTGGACCGCACAATGGTCCCACTGACGCCTCTCCACAGAACGATGCAGCTGTAAACTCTTCTGCCGATGCACGCAATACTGGTGGAGGCACGAATTCTCAGTAGCAAGACTTATGTCGCAAAATATATATGATTTATACGTTCACCTGATTGCCACGTAGGACACTACACTATTCCTTAAGCAGTCGACATGTAAGAGTTAAGACTTCTCGTACGATTGAATCGCCTTGCCGTAGAGTCTGAATGCGAAATTGTTGGTGTGAGTTGACGGAGATGATGGAATCTTGTCCTGGACTATTATCGCTCCTCACTTGTCCACCTCGATTTTCACTTTAGATAGCCCAAGATCAGGGCACTGTGGGATTAGACCCACACAGGCCGTTAGCTGGTCAAAGTCAAGGCTGACGGTGTGTGGCACCGATTGAGAAAGTGACCAGAGTTGACCTCTTCTTCCGATTCACGTTGAATTTCATATAAATATATTCTAAACCCTTATTCACTCGACTTCTACGAGCATACGGCACTGCATCAGCACTATCCCATATCGCCACTTTTTGATCTATGCGCTAGACGCTCTATAAACATACATCTTTGGCAACGGCCCCATTGACAGATTCCTTCCAGGCATCTGTGTTGTATAGATGTACGAGGTAGACATGTTATTCCAATGTAGGGTTAACTTATTGTAGCACTACGGCGGAGCGTTGAGCCTTTCCAAGTTCGAGCGTCAGTCTCTCGGGGAATCATTCTACCGGCGGATCGACACGCTAGAAACCGAGTCCGAGCAGCCTCAGGGGCGAAAAATAGATTGCGGACAAGAACGGGAGCCTGCTCCCCAAAGGCACAGACTCTACGGTACTGCGCCCCCCCTATGGGGTGCCTGTATGGCTAGTGCAGTGCCCCCCGAAGCTTTGCCCTTGGGATAGCGAAGTTTTAGGCGTGCTGGATGCGACTCTAACTAAGCTCTGGGGCCTTTCTTAAGGACTCAATGTATCGCGGAGCATGGTCTGCTGGTGCTCTGAAAGCTCTAATAAGGAATAAGTACGAGCACTCGTATCATGAACACCAAGGAAAGGCGATGCAGAAGCTTCGGCCACTCACGCACAATTCTAAGTATCATTAATTCTGGTGCCTAATGAAACACCTCTCCTACAGGCTACAGATGGATGTGAAGTTGCAACGTCTCGCAAAGAAAATACGCGTACGAGCCTAGCTTCAGGGAACTCTTGGGCTACGTAAGTCAAAACCTAAACCCAACCACAATCCTCGGTAGCATTCCCCATGCACAGCCCTGCCATTCGACTGCGCGAATTCCACACCTTAGCCGCGTACGTACTCGTAAGCTCTTTTCTCTGCTGTGCCCAGTGATACCCGTCTATCAATCCTGAGCACGAGTCCCCAGAGTATGATGGAACTTCTCGAATGCGTTGTTAACCGCGCTTCTCGGACCCGCTGGACGCCCGACTGTCCGTCCGTGGAGACATCACGGTTCGGCTTTTACCTCGCTTGTAGGGAGCGGAATGGTAGGTGCCTGTTGTATCCTGCAGTGCCACATTTGATGCGTTGTATGCTACCGTATGTCTCGATGGGTTGTATATATCATGAGCGCTGCTCGATGCTTCCTGCTTTATGTTCCCAACCATTCCAGAACATCACTACACCAAGAGACATAGCTTGACTATTCCATACCTAACATCCCAGCCTCACCATCCACTCAACTCTAGACTAGCTATCTACCAATCAACACCAACTCCAAACCATCAACCATGGGTCTCATCAAAGCAGCCATAATAGTCGGCGGCGGCGCCTACGCCATCAAAAAGATCTCGGCACACCGCGAGCAGAAGAAACAGGGCCGCATGGCATTCGACCAGAACATGGCTTCGGGCCCACACCAGCCACAGTACCGAGACTATCCCGAACAACCGCAACAACATCAGTACTACGATGAGAAGCACCAGAGCCGCAATGAGAAATCCCGTGGCCTAGATGCCGGCGCCGAGCAGTACACCGACTACCCAGCAAGACAACGACAGCAGCAATACTCGCCACCCCCTCAAGCCGCCGTACACCCCTACGCCCTAGAATTCGTCGACCGCCGCGGCTCCTCGTCACCACAACAACAGCAACAGCAATGGCGCCTAAGTAACAGCCACAACGCCCCACTACCACAGGGTCATGAAAACGGATATTATCCGCCGCCCTCGTATCATCAGAATGCGTCCATGGCCGGACAGCGCAATGTCACGTCTGGGTTCGTCGAGCCCGATGAGCTGTCGTTGTCGGATGCCCACAGTCAGGGTCCGAGCGCGTGGGATCGGAAGGGCAGGAGGGAGAGTGGAAGTGGCACTCCCGCCGGCGCCGCTGGCCTGTCGCCCAAGGAGTATTTGGAGAGACATCTTTCGAAATGAGGACGGCTGAGTGCTTAGTTGGATTGGGTGGTTTTGCCATGGGGGTAGAGCATATTGTGATTGGGCCACCACGTGTAAATAGTAGGGCGTTTTGGCAAGTCATGGTGTCTCGTGCAATGGTTAGCGAAGTCACAACTCAATTGTGCTAGAAATGGAAAATGAATTTCTCATGCTTGAAATACTTCGACAGGGAGACGCAGTGAATTTCCCAGAATAGCATGAATTCAAAAAGATTCTCTCAGGAATACGTGTTGACATCATCACTCAATTGTGAACCAAGGCAGCCCCAAAGCTCTCCTGTTCAGCCCATCACACCTATCCTACATACCTGGGTTTCTCACAAACAGGTACACAAGGACTAAGGAAGTTTTCGACCTCTTTTTGTACCCCCGATACTTGACGAGTCGCCCGATGACATGGTCAGCACTTTCTTCACTAACTCTAGGTCTAACGTTTTGCACTTCATGGATAATGCCATTCGTTGAGCATACCCAACCGTCTTGCGGATTTGGTCGTCGGTCAAATGGAGGTCCGCAAACTCTCCTACGGAGCGAACTTCGTCATCGATTTCTCCCGATTCGTACCACTCCAGGTAGGACGAGCGGTGGGATGGAAGAACTCCAACTGGAAAGCCTGCCAGTGACAGCGCTTCCACCCAAACTTTCATTCGATGCACTCTTGATATCGGCTCTGAAGGTATTTTCAAATCCATCAGTGGACTGAATACCGAAGATTTCCATGTATCACTATTGGCGCTTAGAAATAGCGGTCCATTGAATACCCGCAGGAAGTCAAGGACGATGTCCGTCAGTGATGGTGAAAGGGCTTTGCTTTGGTCCGCTCCTGTCAATTCCACGTTGGTCAAATGAAAAATACAGTTGAAGGTTTCTGCGACATTCCCGAACGACTCGAGCCTCTGGCGAAATTCTTCTGGGCGCGGCCTCGAAGCCATCTGTAACCCCAGGTTCAAGCGATATACAGGCCGTTTGGATGCTTCTGCAAGCAAATCAACAATGAATTTTTTTCCTGTTCCAGGTCGGCCGGATAGGAGAACCCTTGCACCAACTCCAACTCCACTCGATACTTGTTTTCCAGGGCCTGACGTATCATCCGAAAGTACCGAAAGAAGCAGGTGTTTCATGTCGGGTTTAACATCCAATGCACCCAAGGGATCTGCTACCCATTCCACTGGCTCTATTTGGCAAACATGGAGGTCCACCCCTTTGCTGAGAATTGGACTGAAGCTTGGATATGTCGCAGGTAGGAGTGACAAGAACTCTTCGTACGCAGCCCGATCGTCAGCCACGGGTTTTGGAACATCGACTGAGTGTTTGTCTGAAGGAAAGTAATTCCTAAAACCGAAATAAATCCTCTCGATCGAAGGAGAAGGGTTGATGAAAAATCTGTTTTCCTAAACCGCCCTCAGGTTACTGGGTAATGTAGTTGATGGTGATGACTTACAGGTGAGGTTGTCCTCAGTCCAGGAATGCGACCACTATAAGAGACATACTTCAGCTCTTGACAGGCTAGAAATTGCGCTCCTCTTTCAACAAGTTCAAGTCTGGTCCTGTCGCTTGTATACTGTAGCGGATAAACGAACAGGTCGTTAATCTTGAGCTTTTCAAGTACAGGGGCTAAGAAAGACCGGCCTTCGGTGACGAGGGTAAATCTATCGCGCAAACAAAGCTTCTGGACGTTCATCGAAATTTGTGCCTCACCCCAACTTTGGTGACCAACATTCAATGCTGAAGATTGCCGGTAGGCCTCCATATAACTTATTAGTTCATCGAACACAATGCTTTCGATAGGTTTGACGAGCTCCTTTGGATATCCATCTTTATTTTTTGAGTTTTGAACCAACAGAACACCTGGATACTACGTTCAGAGGTGTTAGATGCGGAAACTTCTTGTTAATGACAGAGGAACATTGTCACTCATGGCACACTCACGAAGATATATGATAATCGTCGACAGTCAATACAGCCTTCACCAAGCAGTTTGTCAACCTGTGCGTACTCTTCTGCCATACAAACCCCGAGTCTATCAAGCAGAAGTACCAAGTGTTCATGCGAAATAGTGTTAGTGCTGTCCTCAAGAACCTTCCAGGATTTCCTTGAATGGTACAGCCATATGAACGGCCCTTTCAGTTCATTCTCGAGGGTGAATTTGGGACGGATTGAGAGTAGCGCGTCGTCCCAGGGGAGTGATAGAAGAGACTCGCACAAATCTTGAGACAGAAGGCGTATGGAGTATTCGGCACACGCGGTCAATGGATTGCGATCTTCTCTATAGCAACACTCATAATCATGAAATATGATGAACGACAAGGAGACGTTTTGTCTGAGATATGCTTCCAGATTATGGAGCGAGCGCCTGCCACACAAATGACCATGCCGGTCCTTCTGAATGTCCCGTTTCAGCTCTTCCTGCTGAGAGGAACTGGTGTCGAAGAAGGTCCATTCGGGGTCATGAGCAGTATTGGATGGCGTGACTGGCGGGTCAAAGAACAGTCGTGAAGAGTTGCTTCTATGGCATTTGACCCGCTGGAGAAGATGATGGACTTGGTCTGGAAATTGAGTGGTTTGGTCGGCTTGCTGGTGGATCAAATTCCAGTCCTGCAGATCGGGAACCGTATGACCTAGTTCGCTTATGTGGGCTTCCTTCGTTTGACAGGAGATTGCTGGTACGATTCCCTCAAGCAAGGCCTGTTCGTGGAGTTGTGACAGTCGGAAAGTTGCGGCGTTCGAGACAGCATCAGTGCCCGTCTCGCACGCTTCTTCCATTGATGTCAGGGTCTCGACATCTATTATGGAAGCCACGTCTTGACTGATAATCTCCCGTTGTCGTCTGAGGATGTCCGAATATCCTGCGAATGTTGTAAGTCTTTCCAAATCGTCTATCAGTTCCCTCAAATCCTGAACAAGTTCGGCAAACTTTTTCTTGTCTCCAATGGCCCACCGTGCTTTTGCGGTCAAGGGGGCTTGTTCCTGTGTCTTGTCAAGCCGAGACTTGAATTCACGGAACTTGTCTTTCCACAAAGTCGCATTTAGGTGCATTCGACTGATAGGGCCGATGGCATGGTCGGGGAGAAGAAGCCTGTTTCCGGTAGCTGAGCATTCTTTTAAACCGTATCTGCGAGTCAGAAGTTCTTCATTCTGTAATGTTATCATGATGTGGTTGAGTGTTCGTTCGATACTCGACCGAAGTTCAGCCTCATCTAGTCGAGAATCATAGTCGTGATCTTCGGAATCCATCAGCCCACAAGCTTGGCCCCATGCTCTGAGTCGCAATCTTTGATTAGAAAATTTCGTTTCCAGTAGATCATAATCCTTTCCCAAGTATTTGCCTTTCTCAACCAGTTGAAATCCTTCAATACAGGTAGAAAACAAGCCGATCAAGCCGACAGCGCCGATTGCCACGCCCACAGGCTCCATGACTCTATGTGAAAAGAATATCGTGGTTGAAAAGGTGCACACTAACTCTAAAGGCTAGGTTGCGAGAATTTGCAATTGTGAGGAGGGGCATAATGCGAAGCTCGTGGATGAGGCTGAGACTTGTTGGCTATGCAAAAGAGATACCTAGAACCAAGTTTAGCGCCCAAGGCATTTTCGGGGTGCATGAACAAAAAGTGATTGGTATTCGCACCCTCTCAGAATGCTGACTCCGCATCATGAACAGCGATATCTGTGTCTGCCTCGCTTAGTATCCAATAGAAGTGCCGTAGCTATGACTGATTGCCCTTGAAGTACCATGGACAATGACTATTAGCACAAGTTGAAAGTCCATCAAAATTGAGCACCAACTCATCAAGCACAAGAATCCAAAACCAACCCATGCAACATCATACACCCGTAATTTCCTCCCAAAATCTTTCCACGATTTTCCAATATCTTGGGCCATCCAGAAGCACATGGCCGACGTGTCTGCTTGTCACAAAATCCTCCAACTGGATTCGGTCCTCTCCAATAATGGTTTTTGCGTCTCTTGCATGAGCTTCTACATCAGCCGCAGGTACAAGTCTGTCAGCCTGAGAGTAGATATAGACACGCTTGAGATTGCCCTGCATAAAGGCGCCCTGTGGATCGTTCAGTCTCCTCCTCAACCACAAAGTTATGTTCTCGATTCCAAGAACAGTGTCGACAGCCTTTCCAGCCCCAATATATGCCCACAGAGCACCTTGCCCTATCAGACGAAGCGGACCTGATTTGGGGAACGATTCTGAGATGGCCTCATGAGCACGTCTTGCATTGGGAAGTGATGGAGTGCTGTCAAGGATAAGTGCTGAGATTGGCAAGTGTTCTCCCGTAAGTGCACGATACGCATCTGTAAGATTTATTGAACTGAAAGAGCCACCGTTTGAGAATATATGTAATAATATGCGCGGTTGTTCCGGATTTTTCATCTCTACCACCTGCCTGGCTGCTGAGACAGCCGGCTCTAGATTACTCGCCAAAGTCGCCTTCGAACGCCAAAAGAAATCGCCGCCATTCTGCTTGAGAACCAGGATAGGAGTGTTCGGAAACAGAGTCTGATATGTGGAAAGATATTTTCGGATGTTTCGCGATGATGCACCCATCCACGAGCAGAAAATGAGAAGATCTGGTGCTTTTGTCTGGCCCTTGTCCTCTGCTTCTGTGGAGGGGACGTAATGAAAAATCTGCTCTCCTAAGCGTTGGAATTCTTGAAGATAGGGGTCGGACTCTAATTCGCCCGAATGAAGCTCGGGCTCTGGTCCTGCGAACTCCATGTTGCCAGGACTCGGGAAGAAAAGTGTCCAAGATACTATCTTCCACACTCAAAACGGTTTATGACCTGAAAACGAGAATCTGGATGCAGAAATGGATAGAAACCTGCGAGAAACAGATCAAAAATTAACTTAGTCAGACGCCTTCAAAAATCTATAGTATAGGAGGTAGGATGAAGCAAGGTAGACGCCTTCGTGATGGCTGTGATAAAGGAGTCCGGATGCCGAGGCGGTTCTCGACTTCCCCGAGAGGAATGTATCCCGAGTTGCTAGTGCCTCACTAGGTAGTCTCGCATGAATGATCCACCGTATCTCAATGCCAAGCCTCTTTACGCGACCCTGTCGCGTACGCGTGCTTTCCCGCAACTTTTGAGAATCTGAAGCCCGATCGGTGCAATTCATGTATTGAGAGAGATTGTCGAAAAGGACCTCCAATTCTCATTGTTCAACCAACGAGATAGACAACATGGATGAAGATTTCGAGAAATACCTTGCGACCGAAATACTTTCAGAACAGCGCACAATTTCCTACAGAAATGTTGCAAGAGCACTCAAAGTCCATGTGAATACGGGCAAATGCATGCTCTATGAATTCCACAAGATACAGAATGACAAGAAGACGAACTCAATATATGCAACATACCTGATATCAGGAGTCAAGAAAGATCAGAAACTTGCTCTCCAAAAGAATGGCACCACCAATGGCCATACTCACGGCTATGACGAGGATGAACCAATCCCTTCGAGCCCCCCTCCATTCACCAGCTCCATGCTTGAACCTACCCAGAAAAGCAGTCAGAATACTCCAGCGGATGACGAAGTTCGAAACTCGGTGCGAAGCGTGACGCTGACAAGAGAAGAAAGATTGGAGTCAGTAAAAGAACAATATGAGACCATCACATCAATACACATCTACAGTCTATCACCCGCACGAATAGAAGATCTCGTCACCCTGACTGATATTGGCCGTGGACTGTTCACAGACTCGTTCTCGAAGGAAGACCCACTATTGCAGAACAAGACTTATGGTGTAATACAAAATCCTAGCGTTCGAAGGCGAAAAGGCGTGCGACCCGTCGAGCCTGTTGAGCCACCTCCGAAGTTCCAGCCCGTGAGAGATGAGCCAAAGAAGCCTAACTCATTCTTTCCCGCAAAATCTACAGCGAAACAGTCTGCTCCTGTAGTGGAATCAAAACAGGAAAAAGAAGACACCGCAGCATCTCGACCGAGCTCCCGCGATAGCACATCCACCGCAGGTTCCGCCAAACCAGCCACCCTGAAACGTGACTCTTCAGATCTATTCAAAGCATTCGCCAAACAGTCGCAGCAGAAACCCAAGTCCACACTGTCACGGAAGCAAGATGAGGACACCAAGATGTCCGACGCGCCAACTTCAGATCAGGATGAGGGAGAATCAGAAGAGGAGGCTTTGTTCCTCGACACAGGGACTCACAAGGCAGGAACGAAGAAACGATCCAGTGACGTCAGGAAAGAACGAGACGATCGAGCAGCCAAATTGCGAAAAATGATGGATAGTGATGATGAGAATGATAGTGCTACGGAGCCAAGCAAACAAGCCAGCAGTGAAGCGCCCATCAAAGCGAGCGAGAAAACAAACGGAGATGCTTCCGATGAGGAAAAGGAGGATGTCGCGTGGTCCGAATCAGACACGGAGAAGAAAGCTCAGAACACTTCAAAGCCGATACCCAGTGAACCATCAGGTCCAAAACGTCGTCGTGGTAAACGCAAGATCATGAAGAAGCGAACCACAAAAGACGAAGACGGATACCTAGTCACAAAGGAAGAGGCAGTTTGGGAAAGCTTCAGTGAGGATGAGCCTGAACCAAAGCCCGCACCAACGAAGCCTGCTTTTGGCAAGCCACAACCGACCCCGAGTCAAGGCAAAGCGGGCGCGAAAGCTGGTGCGAAGAAAGCTAGTGGAAATATCATGAGCTTCTTCGGGAAGAAAGCATAGGGCACTTATCTAGTGAAAGGGTGTTGATGACAGTGAGCTTTATTATTCATGTTTGCATGGTTTCAGGAAATACTGGATAGCGATATGGGTTGCATCGCATTGCACGATTGAATAGCTGAGCAAGGTGTCTTGCTTGTATAATGATACGTATGACACTGTATACCTCCTTTTGCTTCATTCTAGGGATATCATGCATTCACTCATCTACGCCTCCCATCCACTCCCAACCACATACTTCCCTTTCTTGCTCAGGACCAACCTGGGCTTCTCCTCCGCGAGCCACAACAGGGTCCTCGCGAAAACACTGTTCGCCCAAGCGAACCAACTCCTCGTCATTCCGTCCCCGGTACTGCCCACGCCGCGATAAACATCCACACTCTCATTGATCAACCCAAAGACACTGACATTCTTGACCCGCTCCAGACAATCCAATATCTCCTCGTCGCTATCACTCGTCATGGCCTGCACGAGCACACTCATGGGCCAGGCATTCTTCAGCCCGATATGCGGGCCGCCGATGCCGTGAAACTTGGGGCCAGACAGATAATACGGGTTCCCGCGCTGCGTGAGCACCATGCGCCGCGTGTTCTGGTAGATGCGGTCGTCGGCGGGCACGAAGCCGAGCAGCGGTAGGGACAACAGGCTCGGCACGTTCGCGTCGTCCATGAGGAGGTTGCTGCCGTAGCCGTCGACTTCAAAAGCGAAGACATCGCCGAACTCCGCGTGTTTCACCACGGCGTAGTTGTAGATGCCTTCGCGGATGACTTCGGAGCGGCGCCGGAGGTCCGCGGCGACTTGGACGAGGAAGTTCGCGTCGGATTCGGACGTCGTGGGGGATTTGGCGGCGTGGGTGAGAACGTCGGCGGTGCGGCCAAGCTCTACGGACATCATTGCGTTGCTGGGGATGAGGAAGCCGAAGGTCGTCGCGTCGTCGGAAGGGCGAAACGCTGAGCGGATGAGCCCGGTCCTGCCTGCGAGCGGGTTGCCAATGCCGTTGAGATTCAACGTCTCGGTGCCTGTTCGAGTGGACCGCGAGAACGTGTACTCGTTGGTCTCGAAATTTCCTGTCTCGCGGTCGAATGTAGGTGTCGACTGCGCTTCAATCACACGGAGCACTTGATCCAGTGCCTTGTACCAGGATGGCGTGAGGAAGTCGAGGGCCCCAGTCGCGGCGTGGTATTGGTTCCCTAACGACAAGAAGTTCGCGAGGCTGTCAAGCTCATACTTGCATTCGAACACCACGCTGGGCTCGTAGGCCGGGTGGACAGTATCGTCCATGCCGGAATGGACTGGTGGGAGGCGCGAGGGGTCGGGTGGTTGGAAGGCGTTGCAGTAGGGCGAGGCGATGATAAACTCGGCCTGCACATTGATAGCCCCGAGGAGGAGATTCTTGATGTCTGGAGCAGACTTCGCAAGGGCCTGATACTGCGTGAGCTGGTTCGTCGAGTCACGCAGCCACTCGGCGTTGATGTCGCCGGTGACGATGAATGAATATGCTCGGTCCTTTTTCCATTTATCCCTGTCTCGGGTGTACATTCGTGGCGGAGGTATCTGTGAGTTGAGGCCGTCAACGTGCCACAGTACGGTCGTGTCGAGAGTATTTGGGAACGCATTGCGGAAGATCTGCGCCAGGTCTGGGTCTTTGAAATGTGGGAAAAGATCATCTATTACTCTCTCGGCTGCTGGAGAGCTGAACTTGCGACAGTTGGGATGTGGTCGCTGGTAGGGTAGTTGGAGGGGGCCTTGACTGAGGGGCTTGCTGTATATCTATTAGTAGAATACGCATAGGGTCTGGACGGGCGGTCAAATACTGTTTATGTCGAGCATAGTCTGTGTAGTCGGGACATAAGCTCGAGAAGACTTTCTGATCACCGTCAAGTGCACTATCGTAGACCGGGGAATCGAGCTGGTCTGGAGAAGCTGCTTCCGCACATGCAAGGCGCAGAGCAACTGGTAGGCTGAGGAAATTGCTCCATTGTGAGATACGCATATCTATAGGGCTATGCGACAAGCGCGGCGTTGGTTGTATTATATCATGGACGCTGAGAATGTAACCATGAGTTGGGTGCAATGAGATTGGGACGAGGCTGAGAAACTCTTGGACTGCGGAGAAACCTCAACGACATCGGGGATTGCATAACTCCGCTCTTCCGGGGTCCAGTCTTTAAGGATCAAACAACTGAAGCGGCTAGAGGTGTTGGCTCTCTGCTTTTCCCTACTCTTCGCATGGTTCCATTGAGAAGTTTACATGTTCTGCTCCGAGACGGCTGCGTCTTTCAACGTCTAAAACAAACAGTGCCTTCCCAGACCTCCCTCGCCATGGTCTAGAATGAAAGTATTGCCTTTATTCGATTCTGAAAAGCCTGTTGCACAATACCAGACTGGAGAGCGATGAGCTCAAAGCCATGCGGTACTCCAGGGTACAGGTGGAATTCGCAGTCGATGTTCTCTGCCGCAATGCGACTCGCATACAACATGTCCTCTTCCCGGAAGATATCCAATGTCCCCACATCTATGTAAGTTGAAGGCAGGCCTTTTACGCTCTTTGCGCGCGCAGGTGCCGAGTACTCAGATACATCTGCATCGGGGATCCCTGCCTTGTCCTTCCCCAATAGCGCCGTCCAACCGGTGATATTATCATTCAAACTCCAAGAAGGTTGAAGCGCTTCAATGAACTCGATGGGCTTATTGTTCCGGTCATCGAGCATAGGATAAGTCAGGACCTGCTTTGCCAGTGGTGGACTGAGACCTTCATCGCGTGCTTTGAGTGCCACTCCCGCTGCGATCCCACCGCCAGCACTTTCACCCGCGACCCCGATTCTTGCTGGGTCAATGTTGAATTTCACCGCGTTCTCCTTCAGCCAAAGCAGTGCTGCGTAGCAGTCATCAACGAGAGACGTGCCTGTGACTTCGGGTGCGGAGCGATAGTCGACGCTGAAGAACGGCACACCTGTCTTCTCGACGATCATTGCCACGAGGTGCTTAAACGTGTGAACATCGGCGACGATCATCCCGCCACCGTGCGCATGAACGACGGCCGAGGTTGAAGTGGTAGATGTTGCGGACTTCTTCCGAAATTCGTGGACTTCAATCTTGTGGCCATCGTATGATGCGACGTGGTGTACAGTAATTTCAATATCCGGGCTCAAGGGAACAGCATTGGCCAAGGGGACAAGTACTTGTTTGCAGCGCTCTCTTCGTGCTTGGATGTCGTGGATCGCAGGTTTAGGTTGAGCTGCCAGAAAAGGAATGAACGGTTCAAAAGCGGCTGCGAACTCTGGATCGAATGGAGGGGCCATTTTTATGGAGATCTGTGTTGCTTTGGTAAGGTTGTTGAATCTAAGTAAATGCCACAGGTGGTAGACAGAAGCCAAACGGGATTTCTAGAAAGCGTTCTCTGCCACAGTATTTGATATCCTCGGAAGAGGGGCAGATTTGGAATTATGCTTTTGTCCATTGCACTGCCGATGCAGGACCCATCGAGCATTTATAAACATCGGTCTATTCTTGCCCCGCGTCGGAGCCTTTTTAGCATTCAAACACATGCCGAAGACGAGAAAAGAAGGTGAAACAGCAGGCATCATCCTTTGCTCTCTCAAATCTATCCAGCTGTCGAAATAAGCGTATGCATTGAACACTACAAGTTGCGCCTCCAACTCATGCCCATCCAAGCATTCACCCAACCCAGCGCCTCGGGCCGAGGGGGCCATCATGACCACTGGCTTTCTGTCGACAACTTTGGGCAAAGCCCGCCGCCTCACCCTGGTGCCTTGGATTAAGACCCGATTTGGGTTACTCTTATGAGCACTCGTACGTACCTCGTATGGCTCAATCAAGAGTCAGGGCAGATTGTGGGTCCTCGTGGCATAACTTGGCAATGCCCGCGGCTTATGCGTAAGCCAGTAGCGAACTCTACAGTATTTCTGGTCCACCTACTCCGTAATTCGCCCCCGGATATTGCCCAGTTAGTCCATTAGTTGGGTCAGCGAATGAATTCATACCCATGGCGTGCCCATCAGGTATCCGCCTGGATCACTGCCTTTGTACGACGTAGTCACTGATGGGGCGGCAGAAGCAGACATGGTTGCAATAGTTGCGAACGAGGGGTAGCTCTGGGTTATTGCCGGTGGAGGCAGGATACAAATCAGCCACCAGCTCTGCCATACGAGCAATTTGGAAATACCGCGGCCGAGCTTAAGCAGGTCGCACAGCATCCAAACCTCACTTTACAACTTTGAAGTCAGTGATATCCTTTTTATTAGAAGCAGGTACTTGCGGTGGTTTAATCAAGTGGACGATGGAAGCCGAGCGCAGTCCTTCAAAAACAGTGCCTTTATCGGTGTCGAGCCGGATAAAGTGGCTATGGAACTATCATTTTTCAGCTGTGGCAAGCGATGCAGTAGGGTTTAAGACTTGTGCCGTGAACAGGGACAACGAGAACGATGTGTTTTTAAATAAGTGGTTTCTAAATCACTGAGGAACTCCTGCTGGGGAACTCTGGGACTTGGAAGTGCACTCAACGATTTGTGCTCACAATCAGAAGGGGTCCTTAGTGACGAGCACACCTCTCAACATCTATGGAGGCGTCTCATCTTCCCTCAACGCTATAGCTGTGCTGCTATAAACATAAAGTCTCATCCATCCGAGTTATCTTTTTGAGCCCTTGGCCCGTCGGAAATTGACGCCTTCTTCGGGAAGGCATCATAAAGTGCCATATTCACCGATATTGGTCTCTCAGTAGCTCATTGTCGACCATCGCACGTACTCATCAATCATCTAAGATGCCAGTCGGTCAATTTTACAAACCTCTGGTTCTCTGAGTCGGAATTGGAACTACCCAGCGTTACAGGGGATGTTGAAAATCGCTGAATGTGGGTATTCTACTTATCAGCCGCAAGATACACTGGCTCGACCACTGCGATGAAAATAGCGGAGCCGTGACAATACTAAGTGACCTTGGTTCAGCACTCGCACAATTGATATCAAATTCCCATACTTCTGGAAGGGAAGCTTGACTATGAAGCCCTTTTAAGATGTCTATACGGCCGTCCTCCGGAACATGGATATCCGGCTAGCGTCGAGGGGAGTCCACACCGCGGATGCAAAGTAATCCGACCTCATGAAATCGTAGGTGGATTCGACTTAGATAGATTTATATAAGTTGACTTTGACTTAACTTTTGTTGAGAAATTTTAGTCGCGACTTCGACAAGATCTACGGTACGGGTCTTGTCGCACATCTGATTCATAACCCTTGCGTGCTTAGACGAATCTGGAGACATGGCTGGGTAGAGCTTGTTGACCAGATGGCCCATTCCTTCAACCGCACATATGGTCCCTAGCCAACATTTCCGGAACGGCCGCCAAACAAACCGTCGTCAGTGGGCCTTAGATCTAGTCCTATTATGAGGTGGAGCACCGAGTACTGAGGTTCAAGGTGCAAGTGGCATCTCTCTCCACGAGTGCTGAGTCGAAGAGCTGTTTTCTCGTGACTGGCCTTCTCGTCGTTTTGCATGTATGCCGAAGTGACAAAGAGTTAGTTATGTATCCAGCAGTTGTGCTCGTTAAGACACTATAATTGGGTTAATCTTTCATCCTCCAAGTATTTAGTGCGGCGCGCAATGGGGCGACCAGGGCGCCGAACAAACTTATACAAGAATATCTATCCTGTTATCACTAGACATTGGATTCATGAGACGTTAAAACCCCCGATGAAGGAGAGACTAAGGTGCCAAGTCCCTCCCTTTAGTTAGGACAATGTACTACCCTAACGGGCTCCCAAATGCTGAAGTCTCAGAGATACCTAAACAGTCCATCCATTTTCAAGCATTTCCTCGTAGAAATGCCATCGTTAAGTAGATACACTCAACAAAACTTGGATGGAATTTAAACCCAATGTCTTCCGATATCTACATGTTTCATTATCATTATACTGCGCACCAGCCTGTGCTTTATTCCTTCATGGTCTAGACTGAAGTTCTCTTAGGAAGCACCTCCGACAGAGACAGATCACGTCTTCCTCTAGCGTATAGAACCATAGATAACTCTACAACCTCTATGCTAGAGCAGCCTCTGCTCCGTTGGTGGCTAGACATGCTCGTGAGTTTTACTTGAGCGAAATTCGCCCGGACTTGCCTGCATTCCAGCAAGTGCGGACTTCGCGCCCTTTCAGGACATTGCCACATTTGAAGAACACGGAGGACTAGGTCCGCAATCTTCAATGTACAGAGAAGACACGGTGTGCGATGGGCTTCTGTTGAATATCTGTGGTCTCCAACAGCTGTAATTCAAGTGCATTATCAAAAATTTTCGACGACACCAACTCCTGTCAGATCTTTCTATCTGCTATCCACTTCGGAATGACCAGCGCTAACTATGTTGATTCCATGATCTTTCAGCCTAGAAAAACTTAAACTATAACTCAGTATGATTAGTACCGTCTGAGCCCAACCACATCCTCGTTGAATCATCTCTTACATGGAATTCCGGGAAATTGAGGGTTGTGGTCTCTGCCCTCCTTCCATGGCTCATGCAGGAGCGGAGCTTGATATCTTTATAAATGCAAGCTGAAGCTTGAGTTCGCACAAGGGGGACAAAAGCGAAATTCGCTTATTGGCCTAAGATCGCCTCAAATATCCCCATGGGGTAGCGCCTCGGGCAAAGGCAAGGGAATTAGGTTGTGGATCTCACTATAAGTAATAATAGGTGGACCTTGGGTTCTGGGCTATTGTGCTTGAAGCGAGAGAAGGGAGCACTCTGCTATAGCTTTTGCTATTCCCTACCTTTTACCTTATTTAAAGTGTTAAGCGCGTTGTCAGGATTTATCCCCTTTACCCATATACATGATGGATGCTCCACTTGAGGTCAGCAAAGATATAGCACTGTGCATCGAGAATACTGCGTCAGATCATTTCAATAACCGAGAAGTACCCACTGACCTCACGCTATGGCAAGCAACGAAAAGGTGGCCCAAGGTCACGCTGTACTGTCTAGCGTTGACGAGTGGAGTGTTACTTTGGGGTTATGATGCTGCAATGGCAGGCAACCTTGCGGCACTGGATCAATTCAAGTACGAACTTCTGTCTCTGTGAAGGTGTAGGCAATAAAGAAGCTAATGTGTGATAGGTATGATTATGGGGTTCTTCACGGTAAGAAATGGATTATTCCCTCAAAATGGTTGGGCGGTTGGAATGCCACCGGTCCACTCGGGACCATGCTCGGTGCGATCATCTCTGGTGCCTGCCTCGATCGCTATGGGCGACGGATCAATCTGGCAGCTGGAAGCTTGACCACAGCTGTTGGTGTTGCCATCATTTGGGTATCTCAATACGCCTCGAGAGAGGCGAGGCCCGGAGTTTTCATGCTCGGCAAAATTGTGATGGGAACTAGCCTCGGCGTTGTGGTGACTACTACCCAAACATATATCTCTGAGGTGCTGCCTTCGGTACTCAGAGGGCCTATTATAGCCTTCTTTCCTCTTTTTTATCTTTTTGGCCAGCTTATCAGCGCGATTGTCGCCTTCGCTGCCGAGAAGAAGGAGGGTCCTGCAGCCTACCGACTGTGCTTGATCAGTATGTGGCCTTTCGCAGCTCTCCCACTTCTTTGCGCCGCAATGATGCCCGAAAGTCCAGTCTATTTGATCCGACGCATGATGCTTGGGAGAGCATTCCAGGCTCAGAAACGTCTCGACACTAACAAAGACGACACACAGGCTAATGTCAACCAGACTCGCGCCTGGATCATTCATGAGCAAGAAGCTGCGCAGTCTGACCGAAGCAGATATGTGGACTGCTTCAGAGGGACAGACAAACGGCGAACCTTGATTGTAATCTTCGCCACCATCATCCCTCAACTCTTTGGCCTTCCCATCCTTGGGGATGGACCGTACTTCTTGCAAGTGACCGGGATGAACAGCAGAAACAGTCTGATTTATCTCATGACAGGAATTGCTGGAGGTATCGTCTCGACTATCATCAGCATGTGGCTCTTAACGAGATTTGGAAGGCGACCGCTTTCGTTAGTTACCCCTACCATTCTGTCCTTCCTGTGGTTGGGCATGGGTGTTGCTGGATGTTTTGAGGCGGAGCCAGTGCCGTGGTAAGAAACCCTGATCCTCGACGTTAGCTCTCCCGGGAAACGCTGATAATTTCCCCATAGGTTTGTCGGTGCGACTCTCAATACAGCTGTAGCAGTCGCCGCTCTGGGTGTCTGGCCTGCGTCGTACGTTGTCGCAAGTGAAACCTCCTCCTTGCGGCTCCGCGCAAAGACTCAGGGGATCGGGTGGGCTTGCCACAGTGTTGCCAACCTCGTCTTCAGTCTGATACCACCCTTCATCTACAACACAGATGCGGGAAATTTACGTGCTAAGATAGGATTTGTCTGGGCGGCTATTGCTGGGCTTGGGACTGTCTTGTTCTACTTCATCGTTCCCGAAATGCTGCATCGCACTCCTCTTCAACTAGACCTCATGTTCGAGCAGAAGACCCCCACCAGAATGTTCTGCGCCTGGCAGGGACATGGAATTGAACAAGCTATCGTTGCCGAGGTGGATGGCAAGCAGGACAGGGAGTGAGAGTTCTCTAGATCAACGTGCCTCCCACATTTCTACCAGGTCCATCTTGGGAATCGCCAGGTAATTTGGGCTTGTATAATCGTCCTTTTGGAATGACCATATAGTGCACGCTTCTGTGCTGATTTCGCCAGGGCACCGAATCCAAGAACAATGTTTGAGCCTCAAAGTGTACACTCCCTTCAATGCCGCTAACGTCCGTGTGCTCAAACTCCCAAGTGCTTTGAGCTGTGTGAACCACTAGGCTGCTGCTGGCATGTAATTCAGGGGATTGACAACCACCTCCGACAAAGAAAGAGGGGTTTTACCATTGAAATTGGGATAGTACAATAGATCACTCGGCTTTTGGCTACCTGAGGTGTTTGGCGCAGAGCGACCAATAAAGATCTCCTTCATGTCAGAGAGGCTCTCGCAACGAGAACTATCATATTATCGCACCGCTTACAACGAACTTGAAGACAATGAAGCAGTTGAACTGCTGTCGTCTCCAGCAGGTCGCCATTTTTTGGTCACCATCTTCCCGTTTCGGTTAATCACAATCCGATATTGGGAATGGATGGGGGAGAGCGGTGGTGGCGATTGCTGGATCTGAATATTACGATCTACCTCCTCTGGTGGTAGCTCCCGAGGAGAATGATGAATCTCGACAGTCGCTGGATTTGTATGGGACTGATTTTTCGTGGGATCATCTGAACCAGTGGCCAACACTTCTGAAGGTTCCACTGGCATGATACCCTCTTCTGAAGAATGAACCTCTTGCACAGGTTCTCCGGGTTTTCTGGCAGATTCGATGGTCACCGGGTTTGTATCTTGCTTTGTGCGACAAATCCTGTGAGAGAAAACCCTGTCTTCGTTTCCCCCCTGTTCACGTCTTCGAGGTGGTGGTGAGGGATAAGAGCGATCGTGATAATTATATGGGTTATGTGTGGTCCTGGATTTGGTGCTGCTTTTGCTACCATTACTAGTATGGGCTGAAAGCTTCTCCTCCGATGCGATATCTCTCACGATAGAGGCTGAATCGGAGATCCGCTCTGTTGCCAACTGCTGTACATGTTCAACGATCTCTCGTATCAGTTGAACTTGGTTGGCCTGGGAATGGAGCGAATTGCTGGGAGTAATTGTTTTGAGCTTGAGTAATGATTCATACTGCTGCTGTTTCTCCTTAACTTCTTTCTCAAGCATACTGATCTGAGCGGTGTGGGCTTCTCTATATGTATATATGAGTAACTGAAGAGATGTATACCCCTGGAAGAAATAGAGGAGTCCAGAACTTACAACTGCTTGAATTTTTCCATAGAAATCGAGACCTTGTCTTTCTGCAACTGTCTGATCTCTTCCATAAAAAGCTGCGTATTCGATATCCCGACGACCAGGTTCATAGTTGATTTAACGGGCTCAAGGCTGGCAAAAAGTTCTTTCATATCCCGTCCATCGAACAAGACCCACAGCACTCTTGCTTGTACACGAGAGAGAGCTGAGACTCTGGGGTTACCAAGAGCGGTTACCCGACGCAGGTTGAGCTGAATTCCTCTCATTCGACCTTTGACCATGACTGAGATCTCTAGCATTAACCTTCGAAACCCAGGATCCTTTGCTGGACCAAGGCGTTTCTCGAACATTCCTTGCATTGTCTGTCCGAAATAATGGAGCGTCTGCGAGAAGGTGGAAACATTCTGTTGCAAGCTTTGGAGTTCCTTCTTTGCTCCACGATAAGACCGGTAGCTCCTGACACTGACGTCCGTCATTTGCACAGAAAATTGTATGATGCCTAGAATTGCGGCCGCACATTCAACTCCAGTAGCCATGATAACATTACAGAGCGATAGCTTTGCTCGTATAGTGATAATCGTAACCACAGAACAATCAATGTGACCGCAAATGGGCTTAATAGAGTATTAAACCATTGAATGCACCCAGAGGGATTTTTCAAAGGTCGAAACCCTTCCACTGCGTTCGAAGTGCTGCATGTTTGAGAGATTGAAGGTGCTTTCTCCAAAGCCACAATTGGGCAAATGACAAACCACCCATGCTGAGGCCGACAAGTCAAACGCAATCATTTCGTACACCGGTCACACATTACTTCTGCATTGGGGAAATCCCCAAAAGATCAGGTGTCTGGGCGCATCGGATAAATCAAAAGCGACACGCAAAGGCCCAATCAGAGGAAGATTGTAATTGGCGGGAGTCACCATGAGTTCACGCACTCAGAGTTCTAGTGTTGAAGGCGACAACTGGCCAACCGATCGATCACCGTCGGGCACTATAGTAGGTTCCAAGAGCGTGTCTGTTAAAATATGAGCGTTGATCGCATTTTGCACTTCAGGGTCAGCCTTGAACCATCTCGAGGCAATGCGACAAATCGAGAGTGAAAGTATAAAAATGCCATTAATCCAGGGTTGCCACTGTACCCAAAATTCTGTTCTACCTGAAATCAGAGTTTTGATCTAATCCCTTCCAGGCGGAATTTCACGTCCTTCAACGCTTTGGTGTTTGGTTTCCATTCATCAAACTGTGCTAATAATTCTCGCGCCTCGTGCTGAAGTTCGGTTTTGACATAATCTTCTTCTAGAATGCCTCGCATCGCAAAAGGCAAGATGTAGGGATTTCCAGGATTACTGGTAGTTGGTCGCTTGGAAACATCAATATCCTTGAGTGCATTCGTTTCCAAGGCAAATGAAATGGCCAAGTCGTAAACGGTATCGTCTTCATATATCCGCGAATGCCCTTCTCCCGAGTACAGGCTTCCCGCAAGAGGAGGTGATAGTTCCCGAATCAAGCCATGATCTGGCACACCAACATTCCGCAGCTTTAGAGCAAATCCAACAAGATGTGACAGAAAGTTTGGCGCGTGGATCCGACCATCAATGAAGACTGCTCGGTAGATATGTGGGTGAGTAATTGGGGCGAAAATGGAAGATTCCATAGAGACGAGCTGGTCGTCTATGCTCCCAGTATATGTCAACCTCACCCCGTGCTTCAAGATTTCTTCAGTCGCTGCCATGTAGTCGAGGGAAACTTTGCTATTGGGGTCCGAAAACTCAAAAAGCTCACCAGCGCTGCCGCTGATCCATCTAGATTTGTATTCTTGGAAAGGCCCCATGTTGACACCTGCCATTGCGCATATTCCGACCCGAGCACCACTGATGCAGCCAAAAGCAATCAGCTTTGCAACTAGCATGATGGCAACTGGAACTCCCTGGCTATGGCAAGCAATCATGACAAAGTCAGATTTGCGGATCTCATCAATCCAGTTCAGAAGAAGTTTCCAGAGAAGTTCGACACGTTCAGCGATTCGACCTTCACCTTCAAGAGCTGCACTCTTGACTTCACAATGGTAGCCTTGCTTTGCTGTCCATCTCTTGATTGCTGAAGCCGCCATATCGGCAAATTTGATAGAGGTGCCAGTCGGTTGACCCAGGACACTTCGAATCAAAGGAGCTGGAAAATACCCATGAACTCCAATTGCAAGTGCATTTGCTATCCGTGGTGGGTCTTTAACAATATGGAGGTGCTTGAATTCGGGCTCCTTCGTATAGTAAAGTAACCTCGCAAGCTGTTGCAAAATAGACGGATTTTCTTTGTGGCTAAGCGTGTCTTCTAATCGTGGCAATAGTGCGTTGGGAACTTCCTTCTTGGATGGTGCAGGTGAAGCAGCCCTAGGAGTGTCGACTTGAACAGGGTCTCTCGCTTTGGCAACCGCATTTGAAGACTCAGCTTTGGTGGTGGATGTACTTGATTTTGTGGTCTTAGTTGATTTTGGTATTGAGGCTGCACTGTCAGCAGGTTCTTTTTTCGCATCCTGTTTCTTAGCAGGACTGCCTTTCACTTCAGTAGATGTTGAGTCCTTGACTTTTTTGGCCGGTGTATCCTTGGTGGGTTTTTGTAAAATAGGCTTCTGCTCATCGTCCTGAAGGCTTATGGATGCTCGTTTGGGTCTGGCTTGTGAGGGGGTATCAGAGATAGCAATTTCACCAACGTGCGGCTCCTTATCAGACTTTACTGTATTTGGTCTGTTCCGATCCCGCGACCAGAAGACCCATCCCGAAGACTTTGAAGAATCACCAGGAAGAGGGGGTGGTGGAGATGTTTCTAGCGAGGAGGCCTGGGATACATCTTTCGGCTTCGGGGTGCTCGGGATGTTCAATTTTTGTGCTGATTCACGCTGCGGCGGGTCATTAGACGTGTTGATAGTCTTGGACTGATTTTCCTGGTCAGATTTGAGTAGCTGGGTGGACGTTTCGTTGTTCCACATTTGATACCAACTCCGTTTGTTATTTGGCTCTGCCTGTTCTGCAGCCTCCTTCACTGGTTCCTCGGGCTGTGGGACCTGAACTGAGGAGGTAGCTGCAGTATCTGGCTCTTTGACGGATCCATGGATCGGTCCATTGATGGACGGGTTCAACGTGTCCCTTTTTTGCTGTTCTCTTACCGGCTCTGATTCAGTAGATTTGGCATCTGGGACATCCTTCTTTGAAAGCCAAGCAAGCCAACCCGCCTGTGTCTCTTGTGTGGTTGGCCCTTGAGGTTCTTCTGGGGGTGATATCTCCGGCTGTGATTTCGGACCCAGATCAGTGCTCAGGAGGGGAGTGCCTTCGTTATCCGCCTTTGGCTGATCAACCAGCTCGTCGTTCCCGGACTTCTTTGGGAGCCCTGCCTCGGGCTTTGCTTGACCAGGTTGTGTTGGGCTTTTGGGAGTAGCATTGACGATGGTGGTGGTAGCGTTTGCTGGTAGTGATCGATTGGATTGGTTCGAAGGGGACTTTCCCAAAGTCATGGCTATTGAAGGGGAGCGCTGTGGTTTGATTTTGTCCCTGATCACTGCAATGGTTTCTTGGGTCGCACTAGCGCTACCAACGCCAACGGATGAGGCACTTTCGCGAGCGACATTCGTTGAGGGTGCGGCTTTTCGAGGCCATGTCCGGCTGAAGAAGGACTAGTTACAATTCCGTCAATTCAAATCAAAAGCTGCGTTGGGAAGACAGAGACCTACTGAACGAGCCTCCGATTTCGACGTGGGCGATTCAATATTATTCGACACGGCTACTGCAGGTGGAGGGTCTGGAGGGAGAGGAGCTTGGGTCGCGTTCACCTGGGATGATTGGGGGACCTCGGACGGGTTGGTCTTTTGTCGTTTCAATGGTCTTGCGGGCGCCATGAACCCTCAAAATGGGTCGACAGCGTGGCTGCGAATTTGTTGGGCGGGACAAGTGTAGCCGTCCGAGGATGTGTAGTGGGGAATGAGGACAAAAGACGCGGCGGTAGAAGGGCTTGGTTGAGGCAGAGATAGGGATCCAGGTAGGAAGAGATAGAGATAATCGAATGAGATCAGGCGCAGGTGGGTGTTGTTGGTTGGTGACTTCCGTATTGACCATCATGTATGTCATGTGTCAGGCTGCACCTTCCTTTATGCCTGGCACCTACGATCCCGCTTGCCAATTACGTCACTACCGGCTGGCCTCGGCACACTTGCCCATATGGTTACCCTACCCTACGGTCTAGCCTTGTCCTTGCAGCCTCACCAGAGTTCGCTTGCATAGACTCATCAAGGTTAAGCTGGAAGCTCGTGGTCACAACCAAGAAAATGGAATCAAGGTGAGCCTCTGGACATGCATAAACCTCTGGAGAAACGTTCATGTTCAGCTGCTAGACCTCATGTGCCGCTACTACGAAGGTCAGCACCCTATAAAACCGCAAGACCAATATCATATTTCTGGGAAGAATTTCCGAGTGGGTTGAGCAGTACAATCCCCTTTACAATGTGTCCACTCGAACCTTTTGTCCAAATTCCTTGTCCTCTGCAACGGCATAACTATGTTGTAACGTCCTTGGGTGCGTCTTGCCGAACTTTCCGATTGGAACCTTTTCCAGGAACAAATGGTCAATCTCTTCCAGGGTTTTTCCCCTACACTCAGGAATGCAGGTTAGAGAGAAAATAAAAGCACAAAATGCCGTCGATCCAAAGATGAACCCGACTTTGGAGTGCAGCCCTGCATATTTGTCGTCCAACAAGTAGGGGATGCTAAACGAGACCGTGAACTGGATGGCTATATTGAAGATGGAACCCAAAGCGTAAGTGGCATCCCTCAGCCTTGTTGTCGGAATCTCGGCCGCAACGACATGTGAGAGAGGCGCCCAACCAAGCGAAAATCCCACTCCAAATAATGTCACCATTGCCACAATCCCTGTACCGATGGGTTTTGTTTGGGGAGTCGTTGTCCCCAGACCGCCCATGGTGAATAGGACAGCGCACTGGACAGCGGCACCAGCAGCCATCTGGGGCACGCGGCCCGTGACATCGGTCAGTAACTGAGTGATCAATACCATGACGATGTTCAGGGCCGTATTGATAGAGGTCATGGTGAACGGGTTTACTGTGCCGATGGATTTGATGAACACAGTACCGTACACAGAAGCAAAGTTCTGACCGGTAAGCTGAAGGAAGATATTGACTCCGATAACAATCAGAGTTCGTTTGAAGTTGGCTGCAAAGGGTCAAAAAATCAGCAGAAATCCATGGAATCAGAATTGCAGAGTCATACTGCCGTAGAAGACTTCCTTCAAGCTCCCTTTGTCCTGGTCAAGCTGCAACGACATCTTGATCTCCTCCATCTCGGCATCAATTTGAGCCTGAGTAAATTTACCCTCTCGAAGACCTTGGAGGGATGCTTTTGCTTCCTCTTCTCGGCCTTTGAGTAGCAGCCATCGTGGACTTTCATTCATGAACCAGACCCCAACTGCGATGATGCTTGGCACAATGAAGAACAAGCCAAGTGGTATTCGCCAAGACCTATCATCTTTGATCGTGCTTGTACCGCGGCAGATGAGGGACATGATGAGTTGTCCAAGCTTGAAATCGCCATTAGCTAGTTGACAAGGATTTTCCAGGACCGAGATAGTGAAAAACTCACCAACAAACCTGACTGGTAGGTCCCGACCACAAGGCCTCGAACAGGGGCCGGAGTCAGCTCCGACTGAAGAACCGGCACCAAAGCCAGCTCCATTCCAATATACACATATGCAACGATCCGCCCAACCAACATTTGCTCTTTATGCTGAGAGGTGACTAGTATTATGGCTCCGACCATGGCCCAGAGACACATTGTGAACATGGCAATCTTCCGGCCGAATTTTCGCGAGATGATATTTCCAGTGACTAGACCAAAAGCAAAGCCTATGTAGGTAAACGAATTCAGGAATGAAAGGAAGTACGGCTCGATTGCGTACTTTTGGGTCTTTGCGTTCAGGACTCCGAATTTGCGAATGAATGGATCCATGGCCTGAGTATTGCTGAAGGCCGCTTGGTCCATGCCAAAGTTGACCTGAGATAGCGCTATGAGTGAACATGCGTACAGAAGTCGTCCATTGAAGCAGCCTCGAACACGAGCCATTCCACGGCCTTTGTCGGCGCCATCTACCACGAGGGCGTGATTCCTACTACTCATTGTGATGAATAACTTCGAGGTCGAGTGAGGTTAAGCTGATTAGGCCATTGATTGACCAGAGAATGGTAGGGTTGATTGACGATCGGCTTGTGGTGCTATCTGCTTCGGGATTCATCATGGTCAAGTTGTCAGGGTATGAGTTGAATTTATGCTTCCCCATAAACATAACCATCATTCACGAAGTCGATCACGACTTTGGGGACACACATCACGCCTTATAGGTTGTGGGGTGTAGAAAGCTGAGTTAATGGGCTCTGGAGTGCTCGACTCGAGGAAATTGGACAAGATTTTGTCACGGGGATGGACGGGGAGACGAATTCTTATGGTGGGCGGGGATAGACGGGGAGATAGTTGATCTTCTGGTGGGTCTGCGCACCCTACCACAAGGCCTAGTATGTTCTTCCGGACCAGGTTTTCTATCTTAGTCAAGGTATGGTTCACACGTAGCTCTGATCTATTCAACGAACTGAGAGCAACAACCATAGCCGGCCTGAGTGACAATATACTTGCGAAGCCACTTCGATCTCATCGTGAACGACTCAACATTGCTCAGCAGGATTTCACGTAGCCTACCACATCATTTTCTTTCTATCCGAGAAATTTTGCATTAAGATGGGATCTTATAGCGAGAACAAGAAGCCGAACTTCCTCATTATAGTCGCCGATGATCTAGGATACAGCGATACAGGATGCTTTGGGTCGGAGATCGCGACTCCTGCGCTGGATAAGCTCGCCCAGACAGGTGTCCGACTAACAAACTTCCATACAGCATCTGCTTGCTCACCAACCAGATCGATGTTGTTTTCCGGCACAGACAACCATATCGCGGGTCTAGGCCAAATGACTGAGCACATGGGCGGCAGGTCGATTTACCATGATAAACCAGGGTACGAGGGATATCTTAATTTTCGAGTCGCTGCTTTATCGGAGATTCTGCAGGACGGAGGATATGAGACTATCATGTCAGGCAAATGGTAAGTGATGGTCGTTGTAGGATATCTACCGAAAATCCCCCAAAATGCAACTTGAACGGTATTAATCCCTCGATGTTGCATGACTGACGCCAGCCTTTCTACCATGCAGGCATCTAGGTTTGACGAAAGAGACTGCTCCTTGTTCTCGAGGCTTCGACAAAAGCTTTGTCTTTCTCTCTGGATGCTGTAATCACTATAATTACGAACCACAGCTGGACGACCCGAAGCATTCCATCTTTACCCCGATGAACACCACCAACTTCTGGATGGAGGACCAAACGTACATTGACCGGACCAAAGAGCTCCCGCAGGACTTCTACTCAACGACATCTTTCACAGACCAACTGGTAAACTACCTCTCGGATCGAGATGATTCAGACAAGCCTTTCTTCGCGTACCTGCCCTTCACGGCTCCACATTGGCCTCTTCAAGCCCCAAAGGAAGTAATCGACAAATACAAGGGCATGTACGACGACGGGCCGGCAGCACTACGGTCGAAGCGTCTCCAACGGTTGATCGAACTTGGCATCGTCCCAGCAGACGTCGAACCCGCACCAATGACACACGACCTGTGGAACACACTATCCGCCGAAGAGCGAGCCAAGTCCGCCAAGTCAATGGAAGTCTACGCCGCAATGGTGGACGTAATCGACACCAACGTTGGACGAGTGGTATCCCACCTCGAGAAGACAGGCGAGCTCGACAACACATTCATCCTCTTCATGTCGGACAATGGCGCAGAGGGCGCCCTCCTGGAAGCCATGCCGATCATGGGTGGCGAAACGACCGTCAACGCCATCATTGACAAGTACTACAACAACAGCCTCGAAAACATGGGTGCCGCGGACTCGTATATCTGGTACGGGCCCGAATGGGCATGTGCATCGATGGCGCCGTCCAGAGGCTTCAAGACATGGATCACCGAGGGTGGCATTCGTTGTCCATGTATCGTACGCTTCCCACAGCTCGACCGCCCAGCAGACTTCCAGACCAATTCCTTCGCCACCGTCATGGACATCCTCCCCACGATTCTCGATCTCGCGGGCGTCGCGCACCCCGGCACACAGTATCGAGGACGTGAAGTTGTGCCTGTGCGTGGCTCGTCCTGGGTCCCTCATCTGCTCGGCAAAACGCCCTCTTTCCACGACGCGCAGAATCACATCACGGGCTGGGAGTTGTTTGGGCTCAGAGCAATCCGCAAAGGCGACTGGAAAGCACTCTTTCAGACTGCGCCCAGGGGTAAAGATCGCTGGGAACTTTACAATTTGACTTCTGACGTGAGCGAGATGCATGATCTTGCGGAACAAGAGCCAGAGATCTTGAAGGAGTTGGTCTTACATTGGGAAACCTATTACGCCGAGACGGGCATGTTTGACCCGGGACATGAGTTCAAGTATGTGAAGTACGCGTAGTGCCTGAGCTAGATTTGTCGGTGCTTCAACCGTGTGGATTTCAATGCGATTTTCTCGGTGTTCCTCGCGCTGTTCTATCTGAGCTACTAAGAGTAGTCAAGTGTTCGGAAAGAAATTGTGAGTCTGTCTTCAACATGGGCAGGAACCTCGGGGCACCTTCTTTAGCTGGGGCTGTTAATGGCCAGGCCTTCTCGCTTGCAGATGGTGGCAAACGTGTTTTCCAGGACTTTCCTCATAAGAAACACATCTCGAGCTTCAGATTCCCACTTTAGTAGGGTGCTTAGTGCTACTCGGATTAGTTGAGGCCAATTCTCCGGCGGTCGAACCTCACCAGCTTTGACGACGACAGCAAGAATCAACAATGCGCAGGAGAATGATCTTCTTAACACGAACCACGAGCCACCATGTCTATGGTGATGGATGGCTTGGAGGATGATGTCGCGCGAAATATTCAATGCCTCCTGACTAAGCTCGAGAACTCGCAATGGCAGATTCTGAGGATGATGGAGATAGACGTATAGGAGTGGACGGAGGGTATATTCCCTCCATTCAAGAAAGCGGGTTTGTAGATGAAACGAAAACTCGGTTTCTGGCACATGTATGGGATCGAATCGGATCGCATCTGGCAGATGAGAATACCACAAGCCAATCTGCGAATCAGACTCGGAATGCTGTCGGACTAGCAGGCCGATGTTTTCGAGCCAATATTCCTCACCTTTGTGGTAGAACAGCCAAATGGTGTCGTTGATTGTGCGTCGAAGTGAAATTTCGGCGATGTAGAATAACCAACTACGGTTTTGCTCGGAGCGGTCATGTTGAGGCGATTGAATGGCGGCATTATCCAATACTTCTGCGGAGTCCGAAAGATATGCTGGCGGCGTGGGAAAGAGGTCTGGATATTCCAAGTCCACAAGGCTGCTGGGTCGTAACCCCAACTCTGGTACTAGTTCACTGGCCATGGCATCAGTACAGTCATAAATATTCGGGAGAAGGGCCGCACGTTTCTGCCTTGTAACAAGTCCAGAAAACACGCTGTTCCAGATGATGAGTATTGTCTAATCTGGAGCCGGAAGGACGTGATAAAGGATGATTCAGTTGGATAAGGTGCAATTGGAGCCTCGTGCAAGCTTGTTGAATGTATACCCAGGCCTCTAATGGTCGAAATGAGTGCCTCTCATAGATCGACGCGAAGAAAAGACATTGGACGCCCAAGAGAGACGACCCGATTAGAGATAGACGTTTCTTTGCGGCCAGGTAGTAAGCCTCAGCAGCGTCATGGTCTCCAATGAGGGAGGTGTACGACGAGCGAACAATACGTTCTGAAGGTGTTCCATGAGTGTCAAAAGTCTGTGATTCGTATGGCTGCGTACAGCATGCAAGCGCACACGCAAGTAGCTGCACGTGAAACATTAGCTCCGAAAGGCACATCACGGGTGATGAAGTGTGCGAGGGTTCAGGGGAAAGATACCACTAAGCATGACGCTCCGTTCCAACTTAAGCCATGCTCCGTCACATCCCTGGCGTATGCCAATAGTTCCTCCTTTTCGAGAATTGGGTTTCGTGGATACACATGAAGAAGAAAATGGCGACATAGAGGAACAAATGCATCATCTTGGAAGCTCAAATTGGTGTGTATCCTAGAAGCTGCTGATGAACTGCCAGGATCGTGGACACTAGAGTTCTCTGGAGACTCATTACTGGCATTTCGCTCGAAGAGAAACAATTGGCTGGATAGCGCACTAGGTGGGATGATTCCTCTGAAGATCGGCCAAATCACTATTGATTCACATCGAGTTGTTGCAGATGATTTCCAGAAGGATGTTTGCCGAGAGTCTGTTGTTTGGGATGGCACTATGGTGTGAGCTGGGTAGGAATTCTCAGCGCTCAGGAGCCTTGTCGAGATGGGTCCATTTCTAGGAGACGAGTGGTGGACTGAGATATCATTTTCAACGTCTTGCTTCTGAAGCAGTTGCTTGATGTCAATTAAATGGCTTAAGATCTGTTCATTGAATTGGCCTTTCTGGCCATCGAAGTTCCTTGCATGCCCTTCGTCTACAGACGGGACATGGTCATCGTATACACACTCGGCCTGGTGATACTCGCAGAAGCCGCAGACAGGTCTGACGTTGTCGCACTTTGTCTTGCGCAATCGACAGAATTGACAAGCAATTGCCACACGTTTGCGACGAGTCAACGAGGCTGGAGTGAATGGTCGTTTCCTAGAATGTGACAACGCCGTGGCCTCATCGTTAGAGCTCCTCTCCATATATACAGACTATTATGGGGGGCGCCTAGCATATCGCTCCTATCCGTATACACAATGAAGTGGATGCGAGAGAAATTCAAAGCATGGGGGTAGACGGGGAGAAGTTCGACTGCCGAGGTTTGGAGGTGTATCTTACGTGGTAGAGTGCCCAAGACGCTAGGATCTCCGTAGGATTGATCTAGAGCGAGAAGCGTTAATATGGCACTACTAGCGGCTCAAGCACCTGTTCCCGGCATGGAGAAATGATATTGCGAGTATCAAGGGTAGCCCTACCAAAAAAGCATCGGGTTTACAATATCCGATCCAAGTCTGTTGTTCAACGAAGAATCTTTATTTGCACCTTCGTTGCCGCTACGAAGCACCTCAGACTAATACAGGCCTCATCTGCTTACTGCGGAGGATCTTTAGCGCGATGGCTAAAATGACCAAGAATCCTAAGCCTAGGCAGAACCCTCTAGGTATGTCGTGAGGATCGAATTACCCGCACAAAGCAATTAATAGGACATCAACAGCGAATCCACGATCTCGAGCCTCCAAACGAGCTTCTTCACCGTCTATAGACATCGACAAATCCCTCAAAGACGCGCCTCGCGCATCGGATGCTACACCAGTTCTAGCGCCAAAACCCTATGGCGGAATCCACAAAGCAAAGAGGAAGCAGAAATCCTTGACCAGAGGGCAGAAGAAGAGACAGGAGAGAGTGTTGGCTCGAGCCGAGGTGGTACAGGATCAACTGGCCAAAAAAGTCGACGTGTCCCAAGTGCGGCTGAAGAGGATCCGTGAGAGGAAAGCCCAATGGGATGACTCTACCGCTGCAGCTGCAATACTCGAGCAGAGTGTTCAAAATGAAAATGCCGATGAAATGGAGGGTGATGGGTGGGAAGATGAAGAGATGGAAGAGTCAGGAACCAAGGTGGTTGATAGTGTCAAGCTGCCTGCCTTTGCTTCCACCACAAAAATGGTCATCGTCGATCGCACGGCGTCGTCACACAATACTGATGCAGAGGATGATATCGACACCATAACCTGAACCGCCCCTACTTCCTTGGTCTCAACTGTGTGATGAGCCTCTCAATCTCCACCAACTGCTGTCCATTGGCCTTATCCCGAAGCGATTCAAGAGAGTTTAGGTCCTTGGCCTTCAGTGCTTCCTCTCCCGCCTTGACAATCATTCCACACTTCACCCACATCTCAATTCTCTCAGCTGGTTGGAGTGTTGTGCATTTGGGAATGAACGACGATGCTAAACGAGTATTGCCTGCACCTAAAACTTCGTTATAAAATGGCTGTTGGATAATGTTAGCAGGTGACTCGAACCTCCCAAACGCAGGACAGCATACCTCCCAACCAATGGGCGATTTCTTTGCCCTCCCGATTTCTTCGACTTCTCCCCACAGCCGAGCAGCGGTCAACGCACGAAGTCGGATCCACCACCAAGTCTTGTCTGGCACCTTGAAATCACTCTGAACTTTGGCTGCCCGTTTGCTGTACCCGGACCGAATCAGGCGGAACATGGTCTCGTTGACACTCAATCCGACATAACTACCACTGCTATCTGTGATATCCTTGTCAAAGACTTCCTGCATTTTGAGCAATTGAGTAGCTTCTGTCAAAGCCTTGGAATGGAGCACAGCTGTTGGGTCCTTGGCATCGGTGAGCAACCTGATGGCCAGTTTGACTTTGTCGATGATTGCCGAGACTTGCGGCTGCTGCATCGCTTCCTCGAGAAGAAGATTGGAGCCTTCCACCGGCTGGTCGTCCTGGTAGAACAAATCTCTCAGCAGTTCCTTGTCTTGTGCTCTGGCAGAGCTCTCCACGAGAGCACCGGCCACCGGCTTGTCGCTAATCGTGCGGAAGAAAGCAGCCAATGGCAACTTTTGTTTCAACTGCAGCAAAACAAAGAATACAAGATCTGTATCTCCAGAATCAATAGCCTTGTTCAACGCGATTTCGTCTTCTTCCATGTTCAGAAGAAGCGGGACCTGCTTTCCTGCTCTCGGTTCGTGGTTCAAGAGTGTTGTCGCAAGGTGACTGCGACCTTCATCGTACGCAGCTCTGGCAATGACCTCGAATGAGATCCCCTGCTTGCCCCGAAGCCGATCTACAACAATATCTCTGATGGCGTCGTCATCGGCAGATGATCCCCGCACCTTCTGGCTCGCCCAGTGGACGTAGATCTTGTTGAGCGGAAGGTGCAAAAATTCGGACAGTTTGATAGCAAGCAGGTATTCTCGCCGGTTGACCAGTCGTGCAATCAGTCGTTCTGGTGTGAGCCGAACATATTGCTCATACGACATGTACAGCCCAATGCGATAGTCGCGAACAGCATTGAGAACCCTAAGATCCTCACACATGTCTACAAACTCATCGCTGTTGTATAGGTCCAGAACCGATTTTCCGAACGACGCCGCTCGTAATAACAATTTCTGCAAAACCTGGTTGAACTCGTGTCCGGCAGCGCGGATACAGGTCTCCACAGCCTCAGGTAGATTTGGCTTGATGCGTTGAATATTCTCATCTGCTTTGGGCGACTTCTTCTCCAGGAGCTCAACCGAGTCGAGAAGTACTGATGCAGGTGAATTCGAGCCGAGCTTGAACACTTCTTCCAATGGATCCGGCACCTTGTGTAGAAACTCGCAGGTCTCATTGGTGATCAGGCGCACACCGTCGATGTCTGGGACCACATGGACTTGATCGTCATAATAGTATTTGACTGCTGCGCCATCTGGTCCGACCATATGGATCTCATCTTCCCATGCTAAGATGACAGAGTCGTTTCCACACCAGTATATCTGATTCGGTGTAGTCTTGGCCTTGGAGTTGTACTCGCTGTACTTGTTCTGGAAGTCGCTTCCCACGACCCAGACTTTACCGTCTTCCGTAAATAGTGCCGCGAAGCGGCCATTTGGTGACACGCTGACGTGCATGAATGGGCCATCTGACAGTCCTCGATCTTCAGCTTCGCTGACGTCCACCATAAAAATGGTCTTGCCTATTGCGAGCAGCACTTCAACCGATCTGGACAGCGTGTATGCAGGCGGAATGAGGGACCAGGAGTGGACCTCGCCATCCGGAGCATGAGCCAGAAGACGGGGTCGCGGTTCTTCAAAGGAGGACACCGCAATCAAGGCATTGTTAGAGAGTAGCGCAACAAAACCATGCGACCAGAAACGGCACGATTTGACACCGTATTCATCGGCGCCATGGCCAAGTGAAAACGGGTTGAAATCCCCGTGCAATCCAGAGTAGCAATGCACCGTGCCATCCTCCGTCACCACGATAAGTTTCTCGTCATCCAGCCAGCCCAGGCCTTTGATCGAGCCCTTATCCCAATTGATGTTGCTGATAAGCTGGCCCGACGACGAATAAATGTCGATGGTTGTTTTCAACGACTGGCCTGTGCGGTAGCGCGTTATCTTGCTTTCATCCCTCCATAGTGCTATGACGAGTTAGGGCCACACTGTCGTAGATGAAGGCAATGACATACCAAGAGCTCCACCGTACGGAGCACCGACTACGAGATAGTTCTCAAGCTCAAGGTCCTGATCAAAGACTGATTCGTAGATTTGTGCCTTTTGGTAGAATTGGTCGCCGATCTTTTCCCAGCCTGCCCTGGGGTTGACACTGGTCATTTGGAACGATGGTCCATAACATCAGCGTATCATGATATGGGATGATGAAGATGAAGAAGTTGGTGGTGATCTTGAAGGCAACAAGATGTTGTTTGATGTCAGCCAATGAAGTCAGGGCTTGGCACATATCTTGGCGCGACCTCGCCTCATTCAAGTTGAACTCCCGAGTTGTAGTGCCAGCAACTTCCATCTTGTACAGATTTATCAAAGGCGCACAAACCTAGGTCAGAAATTCCTTGATACTTCATGTCATTCATATACGCAACAAATGTCTAGGTATCCGAGGTTGATGAAACAACTCGGAATGATAGCTGAATGACGCGTCATCAACGACCATGGATGACCAGGCACTCCTTGAGAGGATCGAGGATCTGACTGATCTGGAGTTGGCCGTGCTGCTAAGCCTAATAGCACAGCAACATTGTATCATCGAGACGCGAGAAGACGCTTTGGATGATCTGGCGGCGGAACTTGCCCTAGTAGGATCCTCTTTAACCATTGAACAATGGCAGACGGCTTACCATAGATAGATCGTCTCGCAAGTCTTCAAGCTGAATTATGTCGTCCTTGAGCGGGAAGATTTGGATTCGGTAGCTCGTTTTGGAGAACTCATCCTCAATCGAGACATTTCTGAGCCTGGGATTTCAAGCAACACTTCAGAGAGTGACTACAACACTGTTGGCCCTACTATCCGTTCCGCCTAACAAGAAACTTACTTTTGCCCAGGGTGGAACCCTGCACTCGAAGCTCGCAGGTATCAATTTTCGTCAATCAAGCTCGGTTTCTCCATCTCGACAAGACCTTGATAGTCGAAAGATTGTGAATGTAATCATCGCGAAGGAGTTCAATCTCGCCAAAGAGGATGTTCAAATCCAGACTCTCGAGGTAAGTAGCACTATTGAGATATGCGGTCTATGCTGATTCCCGAAGATCATCCGAAAGCGACGAGTATACAGTCGAACGACCGTCCATGCAGCCCCAAGAGTTTTCCTATTTGTACCTTTGGTAACATCCTCTTCCAAGCATATCAGGCTCACTAAACACCTTGTAAGTGCAACCCTTAGGATGCTGCTATATGTCTCACATATCTAGAATGATCGAATATTCATGTCTCACCACCATGAGGTGGAAGATGGGTTCCTCAACTTGGAAGAGCTAGATAGCCACTCCGAGGACCATGGATCTTCTTATTCTATCGGGGCGCCGCCAAGCGTAAGGTACCGGGAAGCTATCGCGGATCGAGTCATTGATCAAGATGTAAGTATTGATCATATGGCTTGGAGATGAATGCTCACCATGAAAGACTATTGAACTACTACGGGCCCGAGGACAGGAAGCGACCATCACTCCAGAGATCAGAAGATATCTGCAGGACATTGTTGTGTTTCTACGCATAGAAAGAGGTGTAGACGGGGGTGTCTCACCATATGCCACGACCTTGTTGTTAGCTTTGTCAAAGTGAGTGTACCCCAGAGGCCGGCCGCGTAACAGACTGACAGGCTCGCAGGTACCTTGCCCCTTTCCATGGTATCGACTACGTCACACCTTCACTGGTCGCACTGGCGGCTAAGAAGATCTACCCACACCGAGTTGTGATGGCCTCCCCGAGCCGAGAACGAAGCACTCAGTACGGGACAGATATGGCTTCCGCAAGGGAGATCCTAAGCGATTTGGATCCAGTCAAGGTGATCCAGAATGTCTTGGACACTGTCGAATGTCCGACTTGATTCATGCTGTAAGGCCGTGGACGAATGAACAAGGTTGGAATCATCATTACTCGCATGAATTTTAGGACTTTGAAAATGGTCAGCCAAGCGAGTTCATTGATAGCTCTCATGACACGACGACTTGCTTAAATTGAAACCCTAAACCACAATCATTCAACGGTGCATCAAAATGGGAAGCTTGGCGTGTCAAGCGCAGCAAGAGCAACACGAGAAATGTGCTATCTTTTGCTCCCAACTCTCTGAGAATCGAGCCCAACGCGGGAGTCTTAGATGCTGGAAGTTAAGCATTGCAGAATAACAGATTCTGATTTTCGGACCACTTTGTCCCCTTGAAAATTTCAATAGCCACGACATCACCAGGCAACTCACTACAGTTTGGCTCAGCCAAAGGCAAAGGCGAAGAGACTTTTCTTTGCCGTTACAAATTCCTCAATCCGTCATGTCTCGACAGTTATGGGAAATATTGCGCTCTCACCGTTTGTGGTCGTCACCCTAACTAGGTTGTGGGAGGTCGATATCCTCTTCAAGGTGAAAATCTTCATCGGACTTTAATAGACTTGATTGACCTTGTCCAGGGACGCCGAAGATTGTCCTACGCAGCGTCACAACTTTTCCACTTGGGCAAGGAGTACTGCATGACTCATGGGGTAGTGCCTCTCATCGAGAGGTCAACGGCCTGGCAAGTGTGCCATATTCAGACGACTTATGCCTTGTCTATCGTCTACCTGACTGGACCTGTATACAAAGGAAGGCTGGGTCATTTCGTTGCGTGAGCATCGGTATGATCAATGATGCAACGCCTCCATGTGCATCCAGACTGCTTCCAGCGTTTAAATAACGTTCCTGGAGGATATTCAACAAAGAAAGGATTTGGTATCAGCTACACGTTGTCGAGGTGAAATTAGGACGAGTCTCATGCGTGTTCACTTAAGAATCTCATCCCACCTGTTGCACTCCCATTTTTGTCAATCAAAGTGCGATCATACGTATTCGAGTTTTTGTGTACAATATGCACTGAACACGAACCTGTCGGCTTTGTTCTTGTGCAATCCTGTCAAGTGCGCTGAGCGTACTCGCAATCTCTCTCACAGTGCCTCTTGAATATCCAACTGTGCTAATTTGATCACACCACTGCCTTGATCAGGTCAATCAATGAAGGATCCTATAGTCCCCGAGACCCTAACTTTGCGTTGGGTTCATTGAAAGCGAATGGCTGGCGTGCCAATACAGACCCCAGACTTTGTGATCCGGATACGCCGATCATCCTTACAGCGCGTGCCGATGTCGGCATGGAGAAACTAGTGGATTTGTTTGGGCTGATCATACCTATACCTGTCTTAGCAATCCGTCACCAAGGCATGCTATAGACCCTGAAACCCGCTCGCCACTATCACCTAATACTAAAAAAGAATGATCTTCCATACTTGGCGGGCTGGCGAATATTCATTACACCTAAGGAGATATATGGAGTGCTACAAAGGATGGACACCAGCCAGTCACGCCACGTTCCAGCCGGTCTTGCAACGGGGTTAGTTTCTCGCAGGAAGCACAAAGTTCCCAGATGACCGAATCTCTGTCACTGTTCCTGTCATTCTTCATCCATCTGCCTTAGCCTCCACCCTTGTGGTTTTCATTACGAACTTCGACCTATCCGACGCAGATAGTATGTCGAAATCAGCTGGAAACTTGGACGGTGGTGATGATAGAGTTAACGAGAGGGAGCTGGTATTTGACTCTTTAACGGCCACACAAGATAGGCTTGACGAGGCCCAAAAATCTTACGACCGTTCCAAATCCGCATCTTTACAAAGAAACTCGATCTTGAACAAGTCGAACTCAGGTGTGCCACTCGCAGGTGAAGGGCATACTGAAATTGGTGTCAGTAGGGTTGAGGCTTTCAACAAGGTCTTGTACCAATCTGGGAACTCGGGGAAAATACTGTTATGGCTCTTGGGTAGCTCGATTGGGCTGACAATGTTTGCCTATGCATTGGACCAGGGCATCACCTCCACCATCTTCACAACCATGGCTAGTTCAACATTCGGACAACACAGCTCACTCGCGGCTGTTAGTACCGCCAGTCAGATCATTCGGGCCGTGAGTAAGCCTTTCATTGGCAAGTTGGCGGATATCACCTCTCGCCCTACCACCTATGTTGTGATTCTCATCTTCTACGTTGTTGGTTTTGCTGTGGCGGCCAGCTCAAGCACCTTCGCAGCTTACACAGTGGGAATATGCTTCACTTCGGTTGGAAAGTCAGGACTCGACCTATTGAGCGACATCATCGTTGGAGATTTGACGCCTTTACAATGGCGAGGCTTCTTCGGTGCCGCGCTGTCGATTCCTTTCGTCATTACAGTTCCAATCAACGGTTTTATTGCCGAGGCCTTTGTCGACAACTGGCGATGGGGCTTAGGTATGTTTGCAATAGTCGTGCCTATTATGCTTGTACCCGCCATCATCACACTTTATGCCATGCAGCGAAGAGGCGAAAAGATGGGCATGGTCACTATGGCTGCATCAAAGCGACAACGAGTTAATGATGGAGATAACTCTGAGGAGACCACAGCTTCCGTGGATTTCTACTACTGGATGAAGCTTCTGCGCCAAGGGCTGATTGATATCGATATTATCGGACTCGTTATCCTTGGAACATCGTTTGCACTTATTTTACTGCCATTCACCCTTGCAGAGGATGCAGATGGTGGTTGGTCCAATGGAGGAATAATTGCCATGCTCGTTATTGGTTTCTTTCTGCTGACTGCCTTTGTGCTTTTCGAAATGTACCTGGCCTCGAAGCCGCTTATGACAAAGCGCATTCTCAGAAATCGTACTTTTCTGGCCGCGGTCAACATTTACACCTTCAACCAGATGGCCTCAGCAACCCGCAATACCTATTTCTCTTCGTACATCTACGTCATTAAAGAGTGGTCGACTTACGAATGGACCATATTTTTAGGCATCACAACCATGGGACTCAGTATCCTGGGACCCATCGTTGGTCTCATCCAACGACGGACTCATCGATATAAGTCCATGATGGTATTTGGCGCTGTGGCGAGGCTGATCGCGTACGGTTTATTGGTCCGGGCCGATGGACGCATGATACAAGACACCGCCAGGCTGGTCGTGGCTCAATTGATGTTCTGCCTGGGCTCTTTCAATGTCGTTGGCGTTCGTGTCGGCAGTCAAGCTTCCGTGCCGCATGAAGACATGGCCTCAATAATCGCCCTGCTCACGCTGTGGTCGACTTTGGGCTCGTCTGTTGGCAGTGCCGTCTCGTCGGCCATCTGGACGAATCGAATGCTAGACCGGATGCGCATGGAGATGGCTGGAGTCGACGAAGCAACCATATTGAAGCTCTACGGAAGCATCAGGAAGCTACGAACCGGCTATCCCTACGAGGACCCAGTCAGACAAGGTGCTATCCGGGCGTACGCCTACGTCAACGGCCACATTGCCACTACTGCTCTGCTTTTAGCCGTCGTGCCCTTGATTGCCACATTCTTCATGCCTGACTTCTACCTGGGCAAGCAGCAGAACGCTGTCACGAACACGGGTCTTGATGGCGAGGCGGTTGATGTGCACCACCGACAGCCGATGCAGGGACGCCCTGCAGAAGCAAATAAATCGCTCCCGCTGTATCGCAGGTGGATTGCTGCTTACTATAAAGATAATTAATAGAAGCTTTTTGGCAAAGTCAAGAACAAAAGTTGTCGATCTCTTGGGTTTGCAGCTAGTTAGATCCCGAGTCACCAATCTTTATTTCCACTGTCTCCATCGTGACATCTTCAATTGATGGTACTGGTGAATGAACTTAGATGTCCACTCCCACCACCTCACGGTGGGTAGAAGCATCAGTCTTCTCCGCAGTATGATCGACAGTCTTCTCATTCTGACCATGCTGCTTGATAACCAGCTCACCAGCATTCGTACCAGTCTGAATATCCTCACTATAGACCATGACATCATCATGATCACCAAATAGTGCCGCTATTTCCTCGAGCGGGAGTCCATTCGTCTCTGGAAGCGCGAAATAGATCCACACCAGACCAACAGCGGTAACGCTAATGAAAACCTGTCAAGACCAATCAGTATGAAGTGTGGACATCGGAAAGTGTAGCATACCATGTAGAACTTCCAACCAATATTGGCAAAAGCAGTGCTAGCGACTTCAAGGTATACCAAAGAAGTCAATGCTACGGTTGCTGTACAGATGGCCATGCCCTTTGCGCGCATATGAGTGGGAAAGAGCTCAGCACAATACGGCCAAAGCGGTACGTCAATTCCCATTCCATAGAAGACTTGGAATACATAGCTATTTTTCTTGTTATCAATTGTCACTCTGAACGGGCACGGGTGGGGTCGCGGGGAATCACTCACAGCATGGCTACCGCGGCACGGATCCCAACCATATTCGGATCGACCTCTGGCACAGGAGTTGCATATGTCGCCACCAATGCCGCTTCGATACACAGTGTGACTAAACATCCTGCGAAGCCAATCAAGATCAATGGCCTTCGGCCGACTTTATCGATAATCACAGATCCTGATGATTCGATTAGCCGGTAGAACCGAGGGATAGATATTGTTCACTACTTGCCAACGATATTCCCGGCAAAACCCATGGATATCCAACCACACTGTAGCTTGAGCTGATCGAGGGGACCATATCCCAAAGCTCTATACAGGATCGATCCATAGTTGTTTATGACTAAGATGGTCAGACCTCGCCGTGATAATTTTCATCCTAGGTTTTCGCTCACCAAGAATAGCAGTACTTTGAGACAGGAAAGAAAATCCTGCAACAATAATCGCACGCTTTCGATATGATTTCCGTGTGAACATCTGGGACCACGAGGCGTCCAAAGTCTTGTCAAATTCGCTTTGTCTTTGCATCTGGTAGAATTCCGCCATGGCGAAATGCTGTTCATCTGCATGCGAAACGTCGTGAAGTTTTCGCACTACCGCCTTCGCTTCGTCGACGCGGCCGGCCATCAGCAGATATCGGGGGGACTCTGGAACAATTAAAAGACTGGCAAGTGGGATCAAGCTAAAGATGACTGCGAGAGCAAGAGGTCCTCGCCACTCGAGAGACGATCCGCCCGTGTCGTGGAAGGCCAACCCCATGTATGTTGCGAAGCTGTAGCCGATTGCAACACACACTCCGTTCATGCCCGCGAAGAAACCTCTCATGGCTGGAGGAGCAAGTTCGGACGAGAATACCGGCGCTGTAGAAAGCGAGTCAGCTTGGCCACTGGAATTGCTCTCATCGGATACTCACTGATTGTGAGAGCGCCCCACGATGCCATTCCGGCGAAGAATCGAAACACGAGAAACATTGCGACTCCTTGCGAGGCACAAACCAGTGACCCGCTGAAGAGGCCAATGCCTGACACAAAAAGCACGCCCGCTTTGCGACCCCATTTGTCCATGATGTATGTAACCATGAGTATTCCCAAGCATCCTCCAGCCTGTAACGCTCGTACTTAGTCAGAGTTCTTTCAATCTCGAATTGTTTCCCTCACCTGGAAAACACCAGACATTGCTCCGATCAAAGCATTGCCCTGGGACGTGAATTGGCCTTCAGCGTTCACGACGTTCATGTATGTCAAGAATGGTATTTTGGCCAGGGTCACTCCGATGACAGATGCAGGGTACCCGAAAGCCACCTGGCCCATGCAGATAACGAAGCATATGAAGAATTGTTTCCATGTCCATTGACCTGTCTTGTCAAAGGCCATTGTCGTCGACGTTATAGAACGCAGGTTCACGGGGTAAGGAGATGCAGGTTGAAAATCAGCGATGTTGGAGACGTGTCCCGCAGTTTGTTATATACATTAGGTACGAAGCATTGAGATACGATCAGCTTAATGCCATAGACGTAAAGCCGAGACCCGCTGCCTTCAACCAGCCAGCCTCTCTCCACACCCCACAGAACCCCAAGCTCCCGCATTTTCAAACACGTTTCCCTCGTACCGGGCGGACCGGCGTGCAAAGTCACCTGTCTTGTTCTGCCAAAGCCTTCACAGCTTTAAGTTCTCAATCAATATGCTGCACAAACAAGGGAAAGTGCTGAAAGTGCTCCTAGTTTGGGCCCCTGATGTTCTCTTCGCTTGCCAGTCGAAAGCTTGCCATTTGTGGAGTATGTTGACCAGCAGAATCACTAGTGAGAATAAAGGATAGCCCTGGGGTTTGTGGAGGATGCTAATTCTGGCAGCAAATATCTGATTCGTTCTGAGATAAACGGAGGTCATCGCTTCCCGGATCGGTTCCGGATTTAGTTCAACATTAGTGTAACTCAAAGTGTAGAGCTTTTGCTGTGGTACATGAGATTTTGATTGGCGGAAGCAAAAATCTACGACCACAAGGATATCAGTAGTCAAGGATACTGCACGAAATCCAACGCTAGGTCTTTGAGAGCGCAGAACCCCAGCTCATGGCGTGGAAATCCTAGACTGCCCTTGTGTGGAGGACGCTAACCTTGATACCATCTCCTGGGTCTTGGCCCTGGCGTGAAAAGCTTGGACAACGACTTCGAATGCTTTCCTCGGTGTACGTCTCGCCAGGATAGTCTTCTGATGCGAAGGTGCCGAAGATGAAATATCAAGTGTCTCGACCGAGGCTGAAGCTGACCCTTCGCCATAGTACGTTGCGCGCTTTCTGGGATAATCTCCCTTTCGTCCTTGCTATGCTGTCACCCGAACCGCATAGGAAGCAACGGTTCAAAGTTCACAATGTGTTAAAAACAATCGTACACAGCGAGAAGAGGCGGATCCGCAACACCAAGCTTCCCATCGTGGGGTATAGCAGGCAGGAAGCAGGCAGACACCGACCTTGAAAAAATGGGATGCCTTATTGGTGACGAAAACTCCAGCCATCAACATGCCTTAACGAGTTTCTCCTACCAACATCTCATCATGTAAAACTTTCTTGATCAATCTAAGCAGGCAACTCTGGTATTTCCAATATGCCGAAAGAAGTTTTTGTCGAAGCCTTGGTCGTCGGTGCTGGATTTGGGGGAATATATGCAACCTATAGTCTTTCACAGCTAGGGTTGCACGTCAAGTGTATAGATGCCGCAGGCGACATCGGAGGAACATGGTACTGGAACAAGTATCCTGGTGCCATGAGCGATACTGAAAGCTACCTTTATCGCTACTCATGGGACAAAGATGACTTGCAGACGTACCCATGGGCCAATCATTATGTTTACCAACCGGAGATCTTGGAGTATCTGCGGCATATCGTTGAAAAGCACGACCTCCGAAAACACATGGAGTTCAAAGTCGAAATGAAATCGGCAACATGGGATGACAAAGTTGGTCGCTGGGGTGTCATCACTTCCAAGGGTCTCATCTTCGCACGATACTTAGTGAACTGTTTGGGTGTCTTAGCGCAGCCGACATATCCTGAGATCTCTGGCATAGAGACGTTTTCAGGCCGCATGATTCATACTGCTAGGTGGGACGACACGATAGAGCTTGTAGGAAAGAAAGTGGGCATCCTCGGGAATGGCTCGACTGGAATCCAAGTCATGACCGCAATCGCGCCCATTGTTGCGGAACTCAAGTCATATCAGCGCCACCCACAGTATTCGGTACCTAGTGGGCAAGGTCCTGTGTCTCGAGAGTATCGTCGGAGTATCAACTCCAGCTACGATGAGATCTGGAAGAATGTCCTTGGATCTGCTGTTGGGTTCGGCATTCCCGAGGTTAGTCGAAAAACCATGGAGGCGACTCCTGAGGAGCGCCAAGCAGCATTTCAGGAGGTGTGGGATCGTGGAAATGGGTTTCGATTCATGTTCAGTGCCTTTGGAGATCTTACAGTCGACGAAATTGCTAATGAGGAGGCTTGTAAATTTATACGGGGCAAGATAGATGAAATTGTTACGGATCCTCGAAAGGCCGCCATCCTGAAGCCGACTGATCTATATGCACGACGACCTTTATGCGACACCGGCTACTACCAAATCTTCAATCGCGAGAATGTCGACGTTATAGACATAAAGGCAAATCCTATTTCCAGAATCACCGAGCACGGAATTACACTCTCTAATGGTGAGCAGCATAAGCTCGATATCATTATATTTGCTACCGGCTTCGACGCCATTGAAGGCAACTATCAGCCACTGGGAATCTGTGGTCGCAACGGCACAACTATTCAAGAACACTGGAAGAATGGCCCTACTGCCTATGGAGGTATATCATGCGCAAACTTTCCGAACATGTTCCTCGTGTCCGGACCACAGGCGCCCTTTGCCAATTTTCCTCCCGTGATTGAAAGCGAGATTGAGTTCATCACCGCTTGCATCGAGCATGCAGAAAAATCAATGCACGATCAGCAAACAGAAGGAAAAGTCAGGCATGTGGCTATAGAGGCGACTGAGGATGCTGAAACGGGCTGGTCTGCGTTGTGTGATCAGCTTGTGGAAGGCTCGTTGTTCAAGAAGACGAGTAGCTGGATTTTTGGTGCCAACATTCCGGGTCGTAAACCCACGACTAACTTTTACTTTGGTGGATTGGGCAGCTATCGCACTTGGTTACAAGGCGTCATTGCCGATAGCTTTCGTGGCTTTACGTTTTGGCTTGATTAGGGATGGCCACGTGAAGTAGTAAGTTTTAGGAGTCTATTCCGATATCTATTCCTGGTAACGGTTTCCCCCCCTAAAAAATATATGTTATACAATTTGCGTGGCCGTACACTATTTCCAATCTATCAGTTAGTACAATCATATCTCCTCACCATAGCTTAGTCCGTTTCGACATAAACGACCTGTGGGCTTGGGATCTTCCTTATTCAATATATGTGGAAACCGTGGCAGAACTTGTCTCCAAACGATTGATGGAGTCCTGAAGATTTTTCCTGGCAAGTATCACAGCTTTGGAACTTTGAGGCAGTTCTGCTAGAACTCGAAGCAGTGTGGAGGAAAGATGATAGAAAGCTTCATACTTTATGTTGCCTTGTCGGTATTTGCGGCTGACTGCATTGTACGCAAGCCTGACTGACGCGACGACGTGGTGGGGATATGGGTCTATTGCAACAAATGATGTGACAATCAATTGATGGGAGTCTCCTGAGGGAGATGTGTCATCAAAGTTGGTTTGTGATTCTGTAATTGCTGTATCAACCGCGTATTTACCTTCGAGGCCAAATTTAAGGTTGTTGAAACACCCATGTTCAGCTTCGAGGCGTGCGTCTGTTACTTGCGAGGATAAATCTGTGCGCTTGGCGATATCAAGGGCTTCGACCAGCATCAGGATGCCGAGGTAGTAATGCATGATCATCTCGTACCAGTATAGTCGATTCACTTGGCTGAGAAAGTGAAGTTGCCTTTCAATGGTGTTGAGAAGAGGGTGGATAGTGGTTCTGAAGATATCAAGTGCATCGAGGACGGCTTTCCAAGAGAAAAGCACACTCTCTTCCTCAACGCCTTCTCTGAGCGCTTCTTTCACACTTGCGATTGTTCTCCACGTGTAGATTATGCAGACAGCAACTGCCGAAGTTATCTCCTGGGCGATCTCATCAGATACTTCGAATCCCTGCTTGCGCCACACTTCGGTTCTGGACTGGAAAGATCCAACCAGAAATCCTCTGGCAAGGCGCCATGATGTCTCCAAACAAGCGCCTTTCAACCCAGAACTCAAAGACGATCGAAAATTCAACGTCATCGAGCTGCAAGTATCCCAAGTAATTGCCGCCCAGAATGCCCTGCTTTCGAGACTTAGATACGAGTCTGAGATATTTGGACTTGGAACAGGAGTCGAGATAGAGTCTGACCAAGCTGAAGCTTCTGAGCAATCAAAATTAGAGTTACGCAGACGTTCTCTGAGCTGCTGGATCTGCAAGTATGCGGTTTGGTTGCAAACCACTCCACTAATTCCGTCTCGTTCTTCATCCTCAGATAATCCTGTCGGAATGGCAGTCTGGCTAAATAGATATAGTGCAAGAACAGAGCGGTATGACTTGCGATTTATGATCCTAAGCATTTCTCTCCTGGTTGTACGCCAGCAGTCTCTCGTAATTTGGTCGTACGGTACCATGAGACTATTGCCTTGCTCCCCAAGTAATGGAAGCCATTGGGCCGCATAGGAGTACATTGAACGACGTAATGACTGGTCGATCTGGTCGTTTTCTTCCTGCCTGGCAGCTGCTGTGGATATCTCATCGGCATGGTCGTCGAGTTGATCTGCCATACACGCATCAAGCTCCCTAAAGAGTTTCGTGGGAAGAGTACAAATATCGCTAGTGGGTTCACGTCTAATTTTGTAAGATCAGCCTGTTTTTGAATCCCTGAGAGTATCTTTAAGCTCACAAAAATGGACAGCCGTATCTCCCAACCCAGCGACCAAATATGGGTCCAATCCCATGGTTGAAGACGAGGTCTGAGCACTGTGAGAGTAGCTTTTCGATGTGCCCGGAAGAGAAGCTAATCGACTCGGAACTTGGTATTGAATCGATGTTCAATAGTTCACAAGACGCTGAGCTAGGTACGTAGTTAGTAAAGGCGGAAGGAGTAAGGATGTATGTGCGCTGACCGGTCTTGTCGTACTGAAGAACCATGCATGTTAAAAATTCTCGTTGAGCCATCGACCTGACCTACGGGCACGTCTGTATTTGTTGGATGCCCATAGCTGGCCGGATCTAGTCCTGTCTGCGCGGAATACAGGTATGGTAGTTCTCTTTGTCGTGCTGGTGTCTTTTTGATCCACTAATATGAGTGAAATCGAGTCAGAACCATTATCTCTGAGAACATCGATAGTATAACGGCAACCCGTGATAGAGTCCATACCTCGAATGTACAACTTCGGTTTCGTAATCTACATCTCGAACATGAGCCGTTCCATCTAGTTTCTCCAGGCTGATAGCCAGCTTTCGAAGCGTCACATGCGACGCGAGATTGGCGGCAAGAATCGCAGCTTGAAAACTGAGTCCTGCGTGTCGCTGGGACGTATTGCATCGCTAAGAATAGGAGGTCAAGAAAATTGTCACTTCACATGAGGAAGAAATAGAACCACAGATCGATTCCGTGCGAAGTGTGCGTGGGGGAGGAGAAGATTTAACCCTCGAGACGATTGACTGCGGGGACGGAACACCCCGCGTTTCTGGGCCAAGTTCGGTTGGGTCAGAGCTGAATCCATCGCGAAGCCCCCGAAAGGTGGATCTCAGGCTGCCTGGGGGTCTCATCTAGTGACAACAAGACAGGAAAAGGTCTATCGACTGGCAATATTACCTTAGGCTGGCCAATGTTAATTAGCAGGATCATACTCAAGACATGTAGAGTCCACCAATTCTTCCAAAGGTTTTTTAACGAGAAAGTCTGCGCTTATGTATCTCGAACCGCAGCATCTATGCATGTTCTATCATGAGACTTCGATGGTATCTCTATTTCTATCCCACCATAGGGCTGTCATTTCGTGGTTACCAGAGCAGATGTCGTTCTATAATACTGCTTTTAAATCAGAAGACTTGCCACCAAGGCCTTCAATCCCTCTTCATCAAGGAGTTTCAATCCTAGCAGTTCATTGTCCAGATGGCCAGAGAAATCGCACCCGTAGTCCGCATTCCAAGAAGCAGCGACACAGAAACCGTCCATCGCAGCCATGACATCGCCTTTCTCTAGAGCAACCAAGCTTTCTTTCCTAAGCTCTTCAGTGTCTTTCTGCGAGGTTTGCCACTGTTTGCCAACAATGTTCTTGACATAACCAATCAACTGATTTTGCGTGACAACTGCTGAATGGATGTAAAGGAGACGATTTGCAGTTTGTTCCTGGTTGTGTATGACTGCTAACACCGCCTTCGCCACGTCGATCAATCTTGTGGCGCTGAAAGGTACATCTCCCCCATTATACAGCTTGGCAGTATGCTCTTTGAGATTTATTATAAAACCCACCTTCATACCCCAGTCCAGGAAGAGTCCGTTGGCAATACCTGTCCAAGAGAATCCGGGATTCTGGCGAGTCTTATCCTTCAGATATTTCTGAGTTGCTGCTTTTGGCACGCAAACAGGTAGTTGCATACATAGCGGGTTCAGTGAATCCATACCGAATTCTGCTGGGATGAAGCGTTTGACACCCGCATAGACAGAAGCATCAATCAACCGGTTTTGGCTTCCGATGGCTAAAGTAGAGACGCAGGAGACGACCACTTCAATGCCTTGTAATGCTTTAGACAGCGATTGAACGGATTCAAAGTCGACCTCCTCAATCTTGAGGTTCGGATGTCTGGCGAGCTTTGATGAATTTCCTCCAGTTCTTGAGAGAACAGTGACCGATACACGCGATTGGAGAAGGGCGTCGAGAATCGGAGTTCCAAGGTTGCCCGTGGCACCTGCCAGAGCTACCTTGATCGGCGGCATTATGAGGTAGTGGTTGTTGGATTCAAAATTTGTGATTAAAGTGAAAACAGCCGATGTTTTCCTTCACAGACAGACAGACGTGCCTGTCTATACTGACTAAAACCTTGTGTTGTGTTAGTTGACACTGAGGGCTACCGACACTCAATTGAGAATTTTATTTATGAATGAAGTACATAACAGGCATAAGACGTCTTACTTGCGGCGCGCGTTTGGACTGATATTTTATGGGTCAACATACCGTGCATCCTGTTATGCTCAGATGTGTGAGTTCGAATTAACAGTATTTGTCATAGAATTACGTTGAGATTACTCAGGGCAAAGTAGACAATGATCATTCTGGATACACTGCTGCTCTTGGGTCTGCTGGAGTGGGTATTAGCGTCGGTTCTGATCCGATCCGGATCGACTTATAGTTCGATAACATTTGTGGCAAACACAACCTAGACCCTATCTCGCTAGTCCCGTCAACTCCTGTCGCCTAGTGAAGCTAGCCCGCAGGCGAGCCTGTTGTAGACGAAGAAGCTTCACGAGGGTGCGCACTTGACCCACTACGCTGTGACCTGTTCATTTCATGTCCATTATCCTGCGGTCTAGACCCCACTTTGCTCACAACGCGACAAGTTGCCTGTTGGATGTGCTTACCGAGGACAATCAGCTAGTTTGACTAGAATATTTGTGCAGAGCCGAGATTTTCGAATTCAAGACTGTAGATCGAGCAAAGTTCTGTACAAGAGCCAGCAGACAAGATCGCTGGCGGCACCACCCTTCCAGGATGCGGATGTTGGACAACTAAATGCTGTGCCACAACGCCTGCTGAATTGAGAGAGATATGAGAAAGGTTACTAATTGTGTCCATGCACCCTGGGTGTGGGGGGAGAGCCGCACTGATTAAAACTTGGGATCCTGGAACACATGTTAAGTCTATTATCAATCTGTTGAATGATCCTGTGAGTGAGTTTCCATTGTCTCATGATATCTCGGATATCGAAGGACTGGGCTCCATCAGCGAGTAATCTCGCTGATCTTGTTGATGAACTCGCCCTAAGTGAAACTAGTCGTGGGTATTTTCATTGCCATAATGATGATAAGGCAGTTATTGATGGACAACCGGAGCCGACGTTCGCAATGGCTCGGCTTTAATGGTAGACAATAATACATATATCGCAAGCCATGGGACGAGGAGTGGGTGTCCAACCAGGAGGATGCAAGCACGAAAGGCGTGTCGGTACATCATGACTATCATGTATGATAGTGGGTCGGGCGAATGATGCGACTGTTGTAGCCCTTCTTGCGATACATGAACTTTGCAATGTTGATAGGCGCTCTATAGCATAATTTCAACCTGAATATAATAATTCTCCTGCATTCAGCAATATACTGCTTGTGGATCAGAGCATTGCTTCGTCATTAATGGGGGATAGCGAACTTGATTTCAACAACTCAGGAAGTGAGGGTTTCACCTATTCGAAGGTCCATTTATTGCCAAATTCTTGCAGTCTTAGTATTTCGAACTAGGCATTTCGCTGTTTTGTGGCTGCGATTCACCTTTCGTGCTAATTGTGCTTCGACGCGAACAAATCCGGAATGCCTATATAGAAACACGAGTCATAGAGCATTTGGTGAGTCTACGCAAAGTATCATGACTCATGTGCCAGTCTCAGCCATCTGATGTGAGGAAATGGCCCATATCGGGTCAAAGGAAACTCACCTTGGGCTGTCCTTCGGTGTCGAGAGATTCAGCCCAGCTCTACCATAGCTGCTTCCTTCTCAAGAAGAAAGTCAAAAATGAAATATGTTTTTTTCTGCTCCGCAATCTACGCCTACATCTTACAGGCTCTAGGTTGGCCACTTGTTTCACTACTTTTACGGTGTGATGTTGATTTTAAAGTGCAGTAGGAGATCTTGCAGGTACCTATGTACCCAGGTTCGACACGGAGCAGATACCCAGGTGGTCATATATTTCCGGAACTGTGGAGAAATTACTAAAAAAAATCCTGCAAATTGCGGGGGAGGCTCAAATTTCGTCAAGCTTGATGGCTGCCGGATAATATTATTGCCCAAGATTCTGCAATCAAGGTTAATTCTGCAACTTCTCCTAACTGCGACAATCAATCGTATTATAGACTCAGAATTAAGACCAGGAAGCATGCCAGCTCGAAAGAAGTCAAAAAGTGCTCTTCAGTACTTCAAATTGCGAAGAGACTACCGGGCGAGCCTGCCACCGATAATTTCGAGGTTCACAGGGTATAGGCTACCTGGTACCCAACCACCATATGAACCTTTGCCATTCCCACCGTTCACATGGTTGAAAAAAGTCCCAATGGAGTACGAGGTCTGGGTTTTCTCCTGGATAGGTGCGTTCTGTAGCATTCTCTCCATAGAAGCAATCATGTCGACCAGCACCGCTTTTCGTGATATATATCACACCCCGACAATCATCACGTCATTTGGTGCGTCTGCGGTTCTCTTGTTCGGACTTGTCGAGTCTCCACTGGGACAGCCACGCAACTTCGTTTTCGGTCACTTCGTCTCGGGTCTTGTTGGAACGGCAATCACTCGACTATGGGTGTTGAATGTAAGCTATCACGGGTATTTGGAGAACACCCAATTTCACTCGTCAACATTCGTGAATGGAGGCCTGTCGATGGCAACCTCACTACTTGCCATGCTGGTAACTGGGACGGTACATCCTCCGTAAGTGTCTGCTACTTCTCGGTTTGAGGCGTAGTTAACCTTTCTGTATAGTGCTGGTGCGACAGGTCTTAACGCAGCGGTTCAACCACAGGTCGTCGTAATCTCTTGGCACTATCTACCAACACTCCTCGCGTCATCTCTGATCATGCTCGGGTGGGCTCTCTTCATAAACAATCTTGGTCGTCGTCGTTATCCACTCCATTGGTGGGCACCAGGAAAGACATTCGTTTGTGTTGACGAGACTCCAGAGATGGAAAAGATAGAACAGCAAGACTTGGAATTGGAAACACTCGAAGAGGGCGATTTAGCACAAGAAAGTGTTGTAACCTCAGGGCCCCCAGGAAACCAAGGCCATTATCAAGCTACATCACCCCAATGAGCTCTGAGCTTTTGATCTGGAACAGACAGCTCGTGGTTATCGACGTCATGCCGTTTGAGCTTTCGTCATAACATCAAACCTAGCACTCTTGCCGGATGTATGAAGGGATTTTAGATCTCACGAACAAACTATGCGGACACTTATTGAACTACGAAGTGTCTGCTTTGTGGAACAGCGAATAAATTGCCTGTCCGTGAATCAAAAGGCGAAAGAAAGCCTCGGGACGGTGATCGAAACGTTCTTCGATTGGTTGCGAATGAGACTCAGTGAAAGAAGACACCCACAGGACCAGCCCCGCGCAGGCCTCGTAAGGCATTATCTAGACCATGAGGTCGAACGATCCTGACTGGCTATTCCAAAGTCAGAATGTGAAGTGCCGATATTCTGAAGGTTTTGGGGGCTTGAGCGATTGAGAGAAAGACTGCGACATAGCCTTGCCACATACAATGCTTCGGACCCAAATTCGCTTACTAACGGTATATTATTCAACCGGGATGGCTTACCACAGCTGGACAGCTTTCTTCCTGCTCTGTAACAAACAAAGCAAGGATTCAACAGTGCAGTCTGGCTGAACCCTCCAATCTGGAAGGACAAGAAAGTTGAAATCACAATCGACGAGCTATTCGAGGAGAAATCGAGGGTGGCGCCGCGCCACAGCCCTGCGTCTTTACGAATGATGGTGCTCCACCTGAAGCATCGAATGAGAGCGCGGACGTATGTCACTTGTTGCATCAAATGAAGTACAATTTCATATTATACTATTCTTAGCATGTTCTGCTGAGAAGAACCAGATCGATATCTTACTGTATAGCCAACTTTGCACTTTTTCTTTGATATGTTCTACATCACTCACAACTCTGATTGATCTGGGCAAAACCTGGCTATTCTTTAGCTGGTGAACCACTTTTTCAGAAAGTTAATCTGCGTCAGGACATTGTTTTCCATCGTCTCGCCCGCATACGAATCGAAATGCCCTCCAGGCAGTAAATTCAATTCTTTCGGCTCTTTCGCTCTGGCGTATGCGGCAAGCGAGAGATCTGGAGGTGTTAAGGTGTCCCTTGTCGGAACCGTCATCAACAGTGGTGTCGGTGAGATCTTCTCAATCAGTTGTTGCGGCTCATAGCCGCGGAATAACTCCATCCTATCAGAAGAAGTTAGCCACAATAGCGCACGCAACATAAGCACGCTCGACTGACGTTCGGATGGTCACTTGGTTCTTCCATGTCGATTTTCTTTCCCATTCCATGAAGAAATCGTAGACATCCTTCCCATTCAGAGCGCAAACACCGAACGGTTCCTCATGTACGATTGGTAGGTAGCCAGCCTCCTTACCCTCCAGTCTCGCAAAACGATCTGTGTGGAGTCAGTCTTCGCGCAATTGAAGAGATTTCTCGGTGCTTTAACGATGTCTAAGTACCTGCTGAGAACAGTTTTTCAAGTTCTGGTACCAGATCTGGACGGACCAAACGATGAAAATTGTCCCATCCGCTGACACAAGGTCCTTGGCTGAGGACCACCTTGACTCTTCGATCAACAGCAGCAACAACTAAGACATGGCCGCCAGAATATGATGTTCCCCAAACCCCTATTTTGTCTGCATCGACCTCGGGTCTCGTCGAGGCGTACGTGATGGCATCTGAGTAATCCGAGATTTGTAGCATAGGAACGATCTCGCCTCGAGGCTGGCCTGGTACGTGATCACTCTCGCCAAATCCGCGGTGATCATAAACCAGACAGTTGATTGCCAGCGCAGAAGTAAACTTCTCCGCGTAGAAGTCCAGAGTCATCTCCTTCAATGCGGTGAAGCCGTGAGCCATGACCAATGTCGGTAACTTGCCGGAGCCAGCATTTCCAGGAGTGTAAAACCAGCCTCTCAACGTAACACCATCAGAATTCTTAAACTCAATGTTTTGCCTCCCCATAGCTGTGACTGGTCTGCTTTGTGAAATATCAAAGAAGGATCGTAAACGTGATATTGACTTATCTTAGACGAGACTCAAAAGCACAATTCGTGTCATTTTTATATTTTGCAGAGGTTGTAGACCTTTACAATGCTACCAATTAGCCGATGTTTGAACGACAATCATGTCAAAAAGCCGGCCCGATTCGCTGGAACAGGCTTCATTCGCTTCATAATGGTCGCAACCTGCAAATGCCCACTGTCGGCTCTCTTGCGACGCAGAACTGAAAGAAAAACAGGACAAATCCCGATTTGATGATGATGAAGCTCAACCCTCTTCTCTCTTTTTGCTGGTTCTGCTTTGCTTCGTTTCCGCCGGAACCGGGTTACTAGTATGTTGAGGTTAGGTTCCGCTCTAGTTTATGTTGTAGTTATGGTGGCTTGAGAGACCGTCTACTCGGTAGTGTTGTTTTAGTCATTTCTTGCCTCTACGTCATCGGACGGCTGAAAGGGTTGGCAGCCTAGAAACGCCCCTGAGTTAGGGGTATACGGTGCCGAAAGCAGGGTTCGCTTTGCAGCCCAGGGGGCACCCTCAGCCCTTGTGGCCTGAAGTGCGGGGGTAGCTTTGCCCCCTAACTTAGTGGTGAACATCTACAAGGAAGCCACCTTCTCCCTCTAGAAGCGTTCACAAAATCAATCGGCTCTTTGATTCCCTCTTGTATCTGCGTCTTATGGGATCCTCATATCTATTCCACTGTCTTAAATCTCAGCCTGATCGACTTCGTAACTTCCACTTTATGGTATAAGCTACCTCGGTCGATTACGAATTTCATTTTTAGCCGCATTGATATGGACCACAGTTCCGCATGAGATAGCTGTCTAAGTATCTTGAAGATCCTACCGTGTAACGAACTTTATTGTCATACTTTTTTTGTTTTGATCTTGAGGCCAAGATAGCTCCTTCGTAAACCCATCCACAGTCCCTCAGCTCTTCTTTCTAGGCGCCTGAATGATGATCCTTATACAATTGCTTGCGATGCCAGGTTTCTTTTTCACTCCTTAGTCAAATCTCGTTCTATCACACTTCGGATTCTGGCATCCTGCAAGATGCTCCTAAGCAAATTGCAAAAGATGCGCACAGCACAAGGTTGTTGGTTATGATGGTCCATCATTGTTTCAAGGTGGTTGGCCCATCAATTGTGATCCATCGTCGATTCGCGGCCAAGGGGCTTCGCCACCGCCCGACAGACGCCTCCTCGGCCCAATGATGGCTCCTTGGGGCTGTGTCCCTTTCCATTCCGAAAGCAGTGTTCGCTCAAAAGAAAACCGAAGCCCTTGCAAACCCATCGCAGGAACGGCCAGGTACATTCGTCAGCGAATTATTCTTGCAAGATGGTCGACCTTTCTACAAATATTGACAAAACATGTACGACCTTACAGCATAAACTGGTAGCCTACGACGACTACTGGGCATACAAGCGCCCTTCTCAAGAATGGTCGGCTAATAGAAACCAATTCTCGACACTTTGTCCAGGTTCTCACACCAGTTATCTCCGACCTGATGTCAGTCAACCTTTCTTATTAGTATCATCATTCTATGGCCCGGGTAATTTTGCTTGCTGGGCCCTCCTCCTCACCTCCGTCTGCGTCAGTTGGACTATAAATCCATCGTGTAGGAAGAAGGACTCAATCACAAGCGATTTCATCATGGCCTTGTCTCTACCTATCGTGGCTGCGGCGCATTTCTATGCTCAGATCTTCAAACAGAATAGGAGTGGTAATACCAACATAGCCACCTTAAGAAAACTGTTCACGAACCCCGACCAGGACAACGTGAGAATTGTTGCTGCAATTGAGGCTCCTCTTACTATATGCGAGGACTTCCTTGTGTGGGGTGCATTGCTCTACTACCTGGCTTCTAGAAGACGTCAATCAAAAAGGATGACTTCAGTACTCGTCGTTTGGATGTTGTGTGTGTCGGTGGAATTGTTCCTTTCGAGTGACTGGGTATCATTCCAATCAGGCATGCTTTTGCGTCCGTTCATATTCCACCTGCTACCTTTCTTCGGCGTCGTTGTCTCCTCGAGTCTGCTTACGGCAATCATTTATTCCATCGAGGTTATATCTGGTGTACTCAAACGAGCCAGGACCACAGCAACTCGTGAGATTGAGTCTGGAACACTTGTTGAAAGGCAAATACTATGGCCAGGTCGATTTAGCAGTTGGATCTCGGTTTTCTCGGCATTAATTGGAGCCATTGGTGTACTTTGAATCAAATATGGATGGCTTCTTCCGACTTTTGGTTATTTTACTGTCAGGCTCATGCCTAAAGGGGATGTACGCATCTCCGACTTAGACCAGGCTGTTGCACTAATGGGTGGACTGGTCACACTTCTCTTCAGAGTCATCGATGCCATCAAAGAGCGAAGAAAGGCAAAGGCAAGGGCTCAGTAGAAGTTGATCTCACAAGCAGACCGACATCTAATGCTCATTTCTCCAATAACTCAGTCCTGATCTGAGCTTCGCGCGGCTTGGTTTGGTGCAAGCTTTTTGGACAAGTACTCCTCCTTCATGAATAGGTCGCTGACATCGCCGCAATCCCTGACCTTCCCCCTCCTTGATCATATCGGCCAACACTACTTGAAGAAGTCCGACTTGTCGAATTTCTGGAAAACCTCCGTTTGAGCAGCAGCATACTCCTTCATGATTGTGTCGTGTCTCTTCTGCGATCTTACCGTGAGCTTGATCGGAAACTCGTACGGACACGCCGTCAAGCCTTCCCTGTACCCTGTCTCCATGCTAGTATCAGGCGTGAATGGCTTCCCCGTTTGAGGATCATCTCCTTTCTCGATATTGAAAGCCCACACTAGCTTCGAGATGGCATGGAAAAGATTCCGATCCGCCAGGTGAATTCCTGGGCATAGCCGTCGACCCATGCCTAAAAAGTGTCAGCGATATCAAAGTGTATACGGAGAGCAACAACAGACCGTATCCATAGTGGTCGCGTTTCTCGTAATCGGCAGAATTGGCATATTCCGCAGCTAACAGTGGATGATCCATGTAGTGAGATGGGTCGAACTTATGGGCGTTGGCGAATTTTGTCTCGTCTTGATGGAGGCCCCAGACATTGACAAACACCACTGTCCCCTTCACGAGTAATTTACCGTCGACGATCTCATCTTAATTTCAGTTCATGTTAGCATCTAGACATATTTTGTAGTCGACGAAAAGCTTACCTTCAGACAAGGCATGGGGAACTGCCAGCGGCGCGACAGGCCTCCATCGATGAGATTCTTTGACCATAGCGCAGATGTAGGGAAGCCTCTCATGGTCCTCCCACGTCGGGGTCCTGTCTTCACCCACAACAGAATCCATTTCCGCTTGTGCCCTTTTGAGTACACTGGGATCCGTGACCAGAGCTTGAATAGTTGAACTGAGAACGGAGGCGGTGGTATCTGAGCCTCCTTTGATCGTGACACCTGCAAGCAAAGTGACTTGATGAGTTGTCAACCCATATTTCTCTTGTTGGTCTAAAACCCGGTCTACGACACTGTCAATAGAGCCTATAGACTGTCGTCGTCTGATTACGGAGCTTAGCAGACCGTCGTAAAGGTCGTGTAACGCATCGTGGACTTCCTTCGCGCGAGTCACCCAGTTGCCGAGAAAGCGTTCCGGAATCCATTTCAGAAAGGGGAAAATATCAACCGGTGGTGTAGCACCGAATTCATTTATTCTTGCCCAGATTTCGGCGGCCTCGATGAGTTTTCTCGTGTGCGGTGCATCGATCGAGGGAGACCGGATACCATAGACTAGTAGAGTCAGTAATTGAACTGGCGATTCTTGAATTTACGTACCTATGCTCATGATGATACTGTTGCTGAATCTTTTGAGGTGGTCAACCCAGTGATCGGCACCGTCAATCATGTCATGCAGCAACTGCACAGCCTCGGCTTGCTGCAGTTTGACATGTTCTTTATTGCACAAGGTCTCGGTCAAGTCTTGATGAAGGAGCTTTCTAAATGTTCGCCATGTGGGTGTATTATCCATCCACAGCATATGGTCACCTTCGGTGATGAGTTGCTGAGCCACCATGCTGACTGGACGATTACTGGAAATCGCACTCCTTTTCTCGAGCAGTTGTTTGATGATGCGTCGATCGGTGAGAACCACGGCATTTCCTGAGCCAATCTTCAAGGAGAACATTCCTCCATATTGTTTCGCCCATTCAGTGAACCTACAAGCGGTCAGTCTATGGCCAAGATCACCGTAACTCCAGTATGTCTACATACTGGAAGTAAATCTTTTGTTTCGGAAGTTGATGCAAATTGCCAATGATCGGTAACGTCGGTGGGCCTGGGGGCACAATTTAGTCATGCGACAGGATCAATCATCTAGTCAACGTACCATCAGGAAAGTTACGACCTCTTCTGCCTGTAAAGAGAACGGCATATAGCAAAAATCCAACTAGCAGGACGGCGGTACCAGTGATCAAAAAGGCCATGTTTCCTTCCCTGCGTCTAACGAGAGCGTAGTACCTTCCAAGTGTGCTCAAAAAGGAGTTCCAAATGCAATATATTCTCGAGTCTCAGCATCGGAATCTCCATCTGGGAAGACCAAAGCAAAAATTGAGGTGGAGTTCGACATCATTTGGCGTGAACCGGGGATTACAAAATCTGGAGCCGAACTGGGGTGACATGATTGTCCACTTAGCCAACACGGGGCGAAGAATATCACACATGAGGGGTAGAAGCAAATATCGTGAGCGGGATTGGTCGGACGAGACTTCTTTTCTTGTCGTGTTGGCACCATTTGTGAATTCAACGGAAGACCTTGAACGCCACGGAGCTAGCGGGTGAGGTTCCGCATTTGCGGGTGTCACCCACCGCGTACGACGGCGAGGAGTTTTGTGCGAACGGATTACTCCACAATCCGAGAAAGAATGTCATAGAGACCGAGGGAGTGAATTTGTAGGTGATAAGAAGCAATTTCGTAGCAAGTGACTTTGAAATCAAGAGTCTTCGATTGCCCTCGACGTACTGAGGAAGTCGTTTGCAGCTGTCAGGAGTTTATTGAGCAACTGGGTATAGTAGATAATGATGGTATCATGCATCTCTTACTTGGTACCCTAGAGGTACCATAGTCCCTGTCGACTTATACTTGCTTCCTAGATGTAGAAATGCGGATGCAAGAAACACCCAAGTCGGCTGGAGTTTCCTATCGGTACTCTAGCTTTCCACCCCGCACGATGATAGACTGGCTTGCAGTAAATCGCTGAATCGCTAAATTAGCGATTGTCAATTACTAGGAGACATCAAGACTGACTCACTCTTTCTCGAAATTTCGGGGGCACTTGAATTGCTCTGTGTAGACTATATTCATCATTATTGATATGGAAAATTGTACATTGCGGAACTGGTTGTCTCGAATTGAAGATTTTGCTCTATGCTCTCGTACCATGAGCGATAGACTGGTCCTGCACGCGTTCTGAAAGCAGAGGCTCCGAGACTGATGGCCGAGCGAGCGAAGATGAGGCTGGTCTGCCTATTATGGCTCCTGTGACAGACGTCCGTCTGCTTTGCGCCTCTTCCGCTTCGTTCGCTACCAGCTCGACTCCCCATCTCTTCGTTCCTGCCTTCGTGACAAATTCTCCGAGTATCTCCCTGGCATCAGAGTCATACTTAGCCCCTCGTGATCCTTTATCCTTCACAAGCTCTATCAGCCGTTCACTGCCCGATACCATCATTATGACATCGGCAATCGTCTCAATACGCCACCGCAGTCTAGCCTTGTAATTTTGACTCCTGTAGGTTAGCGCGACGGTCGTTACTAGCAGCCACAAAAGTATCGCTAGTGCAATTGCCGCCGCAACTCTCGACATTCGTAGTACCTCTATGGGCTGTAGCACTTCGACGGTGACCATTTCACCTGCTCGTGGATTGGCAGGAGGATCCACCATTGATCGGTCCGCAACGTCTGTCAAGTCTGTGGGTAGTCGCTCGTCGAGTTTCTGAAATGCCCAGCCCCCTCCCGTGGTTGTTACAGAAGTACTCGCAAAGTGCTGGAAGAAAGTCGAAAAAACTTGTTGCGCTTTTTTCTCTAATATCCCCTTGTCGAGTAACGCAGTAGGATCGAAACCGACCAGCGAGTACATACTATAAGACATGTAGTCTAGATTGAATCCAGGCTCTCGGATGTTGAAGGTCTGGTCATCTAGTGATTCGATGTCTGGGTAGCCCGATCGTGCGGTGGCAGATAAAGCGGAGGTGTCGCTGGCGCCGACCATGGCAGCTAAGAAATAGGCCCCAGAGCTGACGGTGATATTGACGGGATATCCGTTAATGTCACTAGGGTATTCTTCGTCGGCAATATGATATGAGAAAATGTCGGTCCATGCATTGGGAACTGGTATAGTTTCAGAAGTTATCGTGAAGTCATGCACCTTATGTGATGCTATGTCGACTGTGACGTGAGCGTTCGCAGTCTCAAGAATAGGTCTGCAATTCAAAGCAGTCATCTGCGGCGGTTCGTGCCATAAGAGGCGCCGAGACTCGGCTGAAGCATTTGCCATAACAAACCCCTCCTGAGGCGTGCCACGAAGCCATTTGATGGTGATGTTGAAGGGGTAAACATCAGATACCTCAGGGTATAAGCGTCCAGGAGGTCGATTTGCTGACCAATAGCCTACAGATGCTGGTCCGAATGCATCTCCAGTGCGATTCTCACAACAAGCGAGCTGTGGAGGTTGAACGTAGAAAGTTGTGGAGACATTGATGCCTCCTGCGCTCCCACAGAACATTCCAAGTCCAATATTGGGATTATCGGTGGAGCAAGCAATCGTGCCCAGCTCGTAAGCAGTCTCCAAGCTAGGGTTGACAGTAGTATTCCAGTACGTGCTATTTGTGAGATTTTGCTTCGTTGTCCAGTTACTGCTATCGTCAAGATTGTCATAAGGTGTACACTCCAGTCGTGCATGGACACCAGCTGTGTCGAGAATCGCAAGAGTTGCTGAAGGAAGAGGTGCGCCTGTTTCGTCGGCTGTCGATGGGTCTTTGCCTATGTTTTGTGTGACTCTCGAAGGAACACTGCTCAGGTCGACTGGAGCAAAACTCCAACCGTTTGAGCTCCAGGCGGGCTCTGACCCATTCAAAGTCAGCTGAATGTTTGCACCATACATCCAAGATGTGGTCTGGTTGATGAACGTTTCTCTCAGAACTTCGCCTTCGTATGCGCTAGAATAGAAGTCGTGGTCGTTGAAATGCCCCACCATGAGCAAAGGCACTTGTCGAATCTCTAGTGAAACTGGAACATCAATTACAAAGCTCCTAACACTGTGCGTCCTTGACCAAAGTGCAGACATTGCGATGGTAACTATGAAAGTGGTCAGCGCGGCTGCGAGACCTGTTTTTCAGGTACTTACATATTTCGGCCTGGAAGGCTCCACACGTGACTAGGACAAGAATCCACTGTTTTCGTTTGAGAGCTCTTGCAGCTGCCCAGAGCATATATGATGATTCATAAGACAGACCAGCTCCGTCCGTCCCTTTCAGAGGAAGTTTTGCCAGGGCTAAGAATGGCTGAAGTTTTCTGATGCTCGAATCGACAGAGCCCCACCACAATGCAATGGATGAGGCGAGTAAGGTGGTGAGAATGGATGCAGGATTGATAGCGTCAAGTTGCATGCCAGCAAACTCAAATCCAATCTGATACACGAACGCTGTTTGATACAGACCATCTGTTTCAGAGTAGCCTAATAGCGCCGCTATAGCAACAGATATGGCCAACAGAATGAAAAACAAGCACGTAGCAGGTATGAGGTGAAGGACCCATGGTAAACTGCTCTTCTTCTTGACCTTTTCAATAAGTTTGGTTGTGTTTTGAGGGTTGCGATGACCGGAATCAAAGATGTAGAGTACGTTGTCGATATTTTTGCACCAGAGGTCCTTGATCTCCGCCAGAAGCCCTGCGGGTGTGAGGATAGATGGATCATTGAGTGGTCGTAGGGTGTTTAGATCCTGCAACACGAGACTGGCAATGTTGATGCTCGTCGCTGGATCGGCATGTAGCTGGAGGGGACGCCTAGAAGGCCGCGAGGCAACAAATGTGACAAGTAGTAGTATCAAATTGATGGACAGAACAACCTCCAATGTAACCGCAGCTACTGGTACCACGACAACTCGGCGACGATTGGTTCTCACTTTTCCAACTACCTGAATTCTAGGGTCATCCAAAAGTAATGCTGAATCGAAGGTATCACGCAAGACCTCGCCCAAAAAGCGTTGCTTGAGTCTCGTGGCCTTCGACAATGACATTTGGTCTTGCACCAGATCTCCCAGCGAGTATTCATAGCCTGCGGCTAGCAGTGCTCCTGGACCTCGTAGTTCGATGTAATATCCAGAGAATAATCGTTGAGGCCACGATGTCGTGTTGAGAAACAGTGTCTGCAAACCCGGCACGTCTAGGAAATTGCTGGGAACTGGCTGACGTGTTCTCTTGTAGGCTTCCTCATCAATTGACACCACAGATTCGCCTGAACCGACCGATACCGTGACAGTAGTGTTTGCAAGGTAGTAATGAGCTGAGCAAAGGGATCCTTTGGCGTGCGCATTTGGATCAGGTGCAGGAATATTGTCGTTATCGACGAACAGCGCAGTTGCATACAGCATGACATCATCTCCCACGCAACCAGAAGTGTTAGAAGCCCATGCATCATCTGATGCGAAATCTGATGGGGCAGTCCATGAAGCAAAGGGTACATAAGAGGTGGAATTGTCAACAGTCATTGACAGCCTGCACCCAGATGAACTCTCAAAGCTGATGAATGGAGCAGCATCCATCGTAATTTCAGGATTACGATTTAGGGAAACCTCAGCGAGATCCAAAGCCTCACACTCCAGCTCTGTGTTGATCACTAGCGTCTCAGCACTCCAGACCTCACTCCCCGTGCCAACGAATGCGCCCATGGGCCCCTCTTTGACGTCAGCTGGCCAGAACGGAAGGATTGCGTAGTTTTCGGTAATCCAGGCAGATGTTGTGACATTCTGGAGGACGTTTCCAATTGTCCGGAAATAAGTCGTGGATGAGGCAGTTGCCCGAATCGGCAAACTCGAAGATAACGACAATTGACCGAACGTAGTATCCTGGGAGAAGACGACATCTTGGGTCACTAGGAGAGTAGAGGAAAATGGTGATAGTATCAAAAATCCAAGTATGAGCACCGAAGATGAACAGAACATGGCAAAGCTAAAAGCCTGCTTTCGTTTTGTGCTTGGAAGACTATCATAAAGCGTAGCCCACCAAGCTCCGGGAACCCAAAACAATGTGTTGATCACAGGCGCTCCAGCTTGAGATGATAAGCGCGCAAATGGCTCGGATCTTTTGACATCGTCAAGGATTACAGTTGTCGAGAAGACATAGGCAACAGCAACCAGAGTTGGCACAAACCGGGAAATAAAATAGGTTCCACTGCTCCCATCGTCATCGGCAAGTCCAGACTGTGCCTGGGACGTGGCATGGAGTGCAATCACAACAGCCAAAATCACAAAAGTTGTGGCAAGGACCACACATAGATATTGCCATTTCAGCGACCTCGGTAACCATTGCGGTGGTGATTGATTAATCTTCGTGCTTTCTTTAGATGGCGCCTCATCGTCCGCAGAGGATCCTTCTGGACTTAACCTCGTATTTGGGTGTGGTGCGATGACCTGGTTTACTTCATTTTCGGGGTGATGTGGTTTTGATAGCCCTTCGGCTGTCGTCTGGGTTTTGCTGCCCATATCCGAAATCGTTCGGTGTGTCCAGGGTACAGTCAAATAAAACAAAACAAAGGTCAGCTTGCCGTAAGAAAAAAGTCCATCAAATTATGATGATTTCTGTCGATTCTGGTAGCCGTTGACGGAAAACCCCGATAAAACGCATTAAAGGCTGCTTACGTTCACCAAGGGCGAATACCAGTGTCTGGGCTCGAGAGAACCGATGTTGTTAAGAAAGGCTCGAAGGCAAAAGGCAACATAACCCAGTGGCGCAGGCACAGGCATGCAGGCTGAGACATTTCCAGAAGTGCACGTTCAGCAGACAAGGCCATCTGGCAGGCCTCGCTATGGACGAAGGTGACATCAAGAAGCATCTGATGTACTGCACACATGTTTATTGGTATGGCCTATGGGTGGCCTTGAATGTGGATGTGCCCGCCTATTTGCAAACGTTTGATGCCGAGTGATTAGCGCAATCATGCGGGAACACGATGCCAAATGACGGTACGGATCGTCCATCGGCCCCCAAGATTGCAGGGGCTTCTTACGCATAGCCGCCCTCCTCATGGACAATCAGTCTTAGCAACTCCTTCCTTTGGCTAGCTTTGCGAACCCGCTTAGTTAGACGAGGCAAGATGCTACGCTTGGCGCTGGGACGGAGGGTCGACACTACAGCAGGGAGAACGCACTCTGCAATATCATGAACTGGATTTCAGTCATGTCCATACGCGATCGTACAATGGATCCTGTGTCATCTGCAGTCAATAACCTCTAAAGAGAGACGAATCCCCAGAAAGGGTAATAGGTCATGTATTACAGCTCCCGATACTACTGCAGTTCGCTATCCCTGAACTCTACAGGTGTTCACAGGCACTGCTAGATATTCCTTGTACTTATACCTCGAGAAATTCCTGATTTACTAAGCTCAACCGGCCTATTGAATGTACTACAGGACTTCCTACCATCTCTTTCCGACCAGACGGATGTCTAGGGAAGGTGGAGTTCCATATGGTCATACCTCGCCGATTCACATGCGTGCAAAGGCTGTAACAGTACCTACACATTCAACGTAAGATATTTAGCTGCAAAGCAGGTAGATGCAAGGAAAGTAAACAACTCTCACACAGCATGGTCTCTATCAAATCTCCCCAGCACTCATTTCCTGCCGCCCGCCTTTCAACTGTCTCATGTTTCACTTTCCAAGGGACAAGTGCGTACAGGAATTGCATGGTAGACTCACTGCGATAGGATGCCATCAGCAAATGTGTACGCAGTGTCGACTCTATTCTCGAGCATGGCTTCCCTGTCGATTGTGCTTCAGAAAAATACATGGGAAGGACAATGGGGAGGCGAGTGTACTTGACCAGAACTTATACATCTTTCGCGAAGGAGTCAGACTGCGTCTGCCCATCGTTATCGCATTTCATAATATGGCCTACCTTCCTGGCTATCAGATCAACGTGTTGGACCGGGGCAAAATCGGCTCTACTAGCACCAGGTATCCTGGTCATCGAAGGATACATGTCATTCCGAGCGACGTTACAGTTCCCAGTCAAAAATTTACTTGATCCCTGAAAACAGCGACCAAACGCCAGTGCAGAGACAGACCATATACGCAATGTAAGAGGGGGATATCAGAACTTAAAAACCTTGCGGCTCGTATAAAACAAGAAGGCTTCAATTCCTTGGGTGTTGCTCCATTTGCAACGGCCTTCAATCCGAGTTACCCAGAACCAGCGCATACTTATTGATTTGACGTAGCCTTTGTTCAGCTCCCCGTGGCAGCTCTTAGTAATCTGCCCCAAAAAGATACAATATTCAAGATGCCTGTGAAGCATATAAGCACCCCCTTTCTTCACCCCGTTCCTCCAGAGGGACCACATACTGTCACAGTCCACGTTCCAAGCTGGCAAGACTGCATGCGCCTTCGCGATGGCGACCCTACCCTTCTGGCCGGCATGAAATTCATTTATCCTCGATTTTGCCCAATCGGGCCAACGAAGGATGTTAGCCTCCAAGTATTCCTTTGACTTAAGACATTCTCGGCTAAAATACTGCTTAGCTGTGCTTCGCGATTCATAAAATGCTTGGGATGCCTCAAAGTATCGCCATACTGGTCCTTGTCGGGCCAGATGCTGTAATCTTTGCGTCTGAGTATGGTACATCGAAGGACCGCAAGGAGCACAGGCTTTCCACCACAGAGATCTCCTACAACACAGTCGTTATCAATAACACACTCTTATATGTGGTCTCCTACCCAGTTTCAAAAGCGCCTGCTATGGTAGGGGCGTGGCAAGATCCTGGTCTTATTGTTTCGACTCGTCTAGCAGAGTCTCTTTTCCCATATATCAAAAACACTACCGAGATGCTGTGGACAGGCGGATTGTCCGATCTTCCGTCACCGACATGGCTAGCTGAAACTTCAGCACACCAAGCCCTGAAAGAACGTATTTGTCTACTCATGGACCATTCTATAATTCGACAGGACTTCTCAACGACAAAGACTGAAGATGTCTTTCTCTACCAAACTGGCATGGCAGCAATATATTGGACGTATCAGGCAGCGATTACGCGCCGTCCGGGAACAATCCTGGTACTTGGTGCGGTAAATCACAACACGTTTCACCTGTTACGCTGTTCGAAGTCCAAATTTAAGCATTTTGGTCAAGTGGATGGAGACAATGATCAGTTGAACAGAGTCGAGGCATGGCTAGACGAGGAGGCCGCCGCAGGTAGGGCAGTAAGTTTATGCTTTCTGGAATTTCCGAGTAATCCTCTCCTTGTGAGCTTGGATTTGAGCAAACTACGAACACTTGTAAGTCTGAACACTGCACAGCATATCTGCTGTCTTTACACTAATCCTAATCTTGGTGGAGGCCAACAAGCACAATTTTGTTCTTGTGGTCGACGAGACAATTGGCTCGTTTTACAACGTTGATGTCGCCCCTGCCGCAGACGCTATCGTTACGTCGCTCACCAAGACATTTTCTGGATACGCAGATGTAATGGCAGGGTCTGTAATCCTCAGCTCATCATCTCCACGCTATGGCGCTCTTGCCAAGATTTTCAAGCTTCGCTTCCGTAATGAGCTGTTCTCTCTCGACGCCACTCATCTGCTTAAGAACAACAACGATTACCTCACTCGGTCTGCTGCACTCAACAGAAATGCCGCGAGTCTCGCGGCTTACCTACACTCACAGGCAGTTAATTCGAAGTCACCAGTAACAGACGTGCTATACCCACCTTACTCTAGCACTTTTGCCAATTATGCCAAATTCCAGCGCCCATCGACACCTGATTATAGCTCAGGCTACGGCTGCCTGCTTTCCGTCAACTTCAAGACTCAGAAAAGCGCTGAGGCCTTTTTCGATAACCTACACTTCCACGGTGGTCCACACCTTGGGGCACATCGCACGTTGGCTATTCCTTTCAACGCCACGGTGTGGGGCAGCGATGTGGACGAATACCCGTATCATGTCGGCTATGGATTGCGAGAAGCACAGATACGCATCAGTGTGGGACTTGAGGAGACGGATGAGTTGCTTCAGACAGTACGAGAGGCATGCTGGCATGCCGAACGACCGAAAAACCATGTTTTGACACATGGTTTCGGCGGGACAAGCCATTGAGCGAGGTGGGAAAAGTGCTATTCAAGTCTACCATGTTGATGGCGCATGTAAGGTGCTCATAGCAAGGAATACGGGGAAACATGCCCAGGTGGTTCAGATGAAACTTTTTGTTTTGCTGAACGCTACCGGCATAGGAACCTTTGGAAACTCTTATTCGCCTGAAACGCGGGGTATAATCCACTTAAATTGCTTCGCGAGGGAAATTCAAATTAGTCCTAGTCCTTATCGGGCGAAACTCTTCGAGGGAGTAAAGGCGGATGAGTGTTCTACATACAACGGAGGATATCATGAATAAGATTAACTTCTACTGAAGTTCGCACCAGACCTCATCTGGCGATACTATTCGAGGAGTAATAAGTTCACGATCTCGGAACTCTCCCGTATGTATGAAATGGGACGTCCATGGCCGATACACCACCCCGACCTATCCACGGCGGGGAGAGTAGGTTTCTGTCCAACACTGGAGGGAGAAATTTGAGACATGTGGGACAAGTTCACAAAAGAGGAAGAATTCATTGTCATTGTTCCCAAAGGACCCGTGGGCCTGTCCGACCTCTCTCGTGGGTAACGGGGAGATTCTGCTGCATGCTATTATTCCGACTCGTCGCGGCGGAGAAAAAAAAGACAAGAGCTGAAAGGCAATCCTACCCTTGAAAAAGTGCCATTGCAATCACTGGGATCGCTGTATCTTCACTTGTATACAGTAGCTATGATTCTAGAGATGTTTCCTGTCAAACTGTCGATTTTGTTGGTCGCTGTATGCTGTGGCGGTGTTCTCCTCCGTCTCCTATACACAGTCAGTGGCTTTATTTGCAATGGAAATCTACTTCGTGTCTCAAACTAACTTGCGTAAAGGCATGGTATAATGTCTTCGCCCATCCACTACGCTCTGTTCCGGGGCCAGTGTTGGCAAAACTTTTCCCTCAGTATATGAGTCTAGCCATGATTCAAGGTCGTCGCGCATTCGTGAGTCAATTTAACAAGGGGAGCAAGGATTATTTTGACCTTCTGTCGCTAGTCTCTGCTAAGTCTGCATAAGACCTACGGGCCTATCGTCAGAGTCGGGCCAAATGAAGTCTCTTTCTCAGACTTTCGAATTTACAGACAAATATACAATCAAGATGCCAGTATTAAAGAGGAATCATTCTACAAAGCTGCATCATTGCTGGGGCACGACAACATTTCAAATATCAGGTATGTCAATGAGACACGTTTACTCGTCATTGTTGACGGTGTGCTATCTTTAGGGACAAGTCGATGCATTCCGCAAGGCGCAAGTTAATGAGCCGCCCGTTCTCCCAAAGGTCTATCAATGAAAACGAAACACTTATCACAGAATTGGTTGAAAGACTGATAACTAGAATATTGGCGACCGCTAGGGAGTCACCTGCAGGGACGACCGATGTTCTCCTGGCCGCCAAGCTTTTCAGCTTTGAAGTGCTGTGCAGGGCGGCATTCAACAAGGATATCTCGTCGCCTTCGCCAGAAGCCGCAATAAAGTTCTTGCACGCAATGGAGGATAGTCCCGCAATGCTGATCACATCTTCGGTCTTCCCTTTCCTGAGAAGCTGGGGACTGGGTGCATACCTTCCTGGCTCAATAGGCCACGCCTTCCGACAGTACAAGTTCTTCGAGCAGTATACTCGGCAACTTTATCGCGAATTTGAGTCAGAGTCGAAAGGAGATAGCACAGAAAGATTCATTGGGACGCCTCTGTTAAAGAATGAGGACTCATACCTAGGCCGCACGCTAAATGAAGATGAGGCTGTGGAAGAATCAATGAGCCTGGCGTTTGCTGGGAGCGGAACCACTTCTGTCACAATCATCTATCTTCTCTATGAACTCTCGCGACCTCAGAATCGTCGTGTCCAACTAAGTCTCCGAGAGGAACTCAAGGGGGCCGGTACTACGCTGGCAGATGTCAAGGATCTACCCTATCTTGATGCCGTCATCAAAGAGACAATGCGCTTGCATCCGACAATCATCTCCACGCTTCCTCGGACCCTCACGTCTCCATTACTCGCATATGAAACGGTAATACCAGTAGGGACTACTGTCGGAATGCAGAACTATGTTCATCATAGAGATCCTTCTGTTTATATCGACCCTGATGTTTATCGCCCCGAGCGCTGGATTGGTCAGAGCCAAGGTAATGATGTGGACAAAGCGTTCACCCCATACAGCTTAGGGCCTCGCAATTGTATAGGCCAAAACTTGGCCAACGCTGAGCTATTGCTTATCACCAGTGAAGTTGTCAGACGGTTGGATCTACGCCTTAATGCCGGTATGATAGAATACGATATGGAGCCGGAAGACAACTTTGCTGCCTCTCTGAAAGGAAAGGAACTGCTTCTTGATGTTTATGCATTACCATAGATTCTATGACAGAACCAATGCCTTAACAGGTAAGGCATTTCGATGGCCGTATGTGTTCAATCGTTCTCTTCTGGGAGCCGACTGTAGCTTCCTAGAAAGTCATATGCTGACCAGACGGGGAGCGTATCTTTCTTTTGCAGCGATTGCGCTAACGTTAACGATTGTGAGATTCCAAATGTATTGCCAATAAATTTCAGATTCTCAATGACCCACTGGATAAAGCCATGGAATGGTGTGCCTGGACAACGGCCAATGACATAAAGAGGCCAAATGAGTGAGTATGCCGAGCCCTGGAATTGCAGCACATTTGACGCCGGATTTCCTGGTCCTAGAGATAGCGCTCTGGTATGAATGTCTATTAAGGAAGAGCTTTCAGTAGTCGTATGTAGTGTTGACACCATTCCAAGGCGAGATTCGAACCATGGCCTCAGAAATCCTGCCTGTTGTGGGACTGTTGCACAAATCTCAAGCGCCATCTCGTTGATGGCGTCCATACTGCGAGCTGCCACAGACCGAAATTCCAGAATATTTTTTTCCGTATCCAAGCCTGGCCTATCCATTTCTAGTGTCTGCGCATATGCCATTTCATTGAGGAGGATTCTGTTGGCTCGAATCAAATTCCAAATCAGGGCGATCCGAAAGTCTTTGTGAATCTCACAGCGTCCTCCCGAGGCCGGAAACTCAGTTTTTCCGATATATTGGACGTCAAAGGAGAAATTCTCAGGCATGTTGTGCAAAAGATTCTCGAGTTCTTGGTCCAGTTGCAAAGCCCAAGCGACAATCTCATGAGGACCACGAAAATTTCCGGATCTCAATTTCACGTTTAAGTTAACCATCCGAGACACAATACTGGACATGATCCAGGCGGGCCGTTCCTCCTTCTTCACATTCCGTGACATGAATGTGTGCAGCGCTATGATATCACTCGATATCATTTGACCTACCTTCGCAGAATTGACCAGGTTGCGGGACGCCATGTGGCGGAACAGCCGCCTTCCCAATCTCGACTGGAATTGCAACAGCCCCTTTGCCTTGAATATCGCAATAGCGCCGGTTAGATGAGCTGTCGTCTCATAATGCTGACTATCACATGTCTCCGTTCCGGCGATTGCATCATATCTGTCAAGTAGCAGTGCTACCAAAAGAGTGTCATCTTCCGTCGCGAATGGGGAATTGAGCTTATCGGACAATCGTCGTACAGCAACACTATAGGCTTTGAGTGCCTCTCTTTGTACAACAGGGGAAAAGTGTGCCTTGGACAAGCTGATGAGTCCAATTGCACGTATAGCAGAAGCAACATGTTCGCTCATGTTGACGAGCACATCGCTTCTACGCAGATATTCGAAAGTGCCCACTGTGCCACAAACCTGCTGAGAGTAGAAGATCCCCTGCGCCGCATCGTCCAGGGAAATGTTGATGGAACTAATGGGGCTGATGATGTTAAGCTTTTGTTGGCCATTTTGGCATTGTAGGGGTGGTGGCGCAATTTCCGGCGTTGCTGAGACTTTCAACGCTGAACTCGATGAGGGCTTTCTTTTTTGGCGATTTGAATGAACCTTTGACCTGATTGTGCGAGTTTGGTCATGAAATCTTAGATCGAGCTGATTCCTATACCCAGGACAGGCAATTCCCACGCGTCGGCATTGAGAACAGCCTGTCAGACACCCATCGCACTAGATGCACATTAGTCCACAGAAAATGAAGTATGACGCCAACGCAACATACTTTGATTCTTCTTCCGATGCAACTCAAACAACCCCGCGACGGCCTGCCCCCATAAACCATGTGGGATCTCGGGAAGATGTAGGAGTACCAAATACTCTGATATCCGCTTACGTCTGTGGATGCGGCGACCAGAAGGGTGACTTGAGCGCATGAACCATTATCGACTGATCGTGATAATGTGATCACGACAGAAAGAGTTGTCGTTTCGTTAAACTATCCGGAGGGACATCTGGAAGGTTGAGGGTAGGGTTCAACAACAAACCTCGGTTAGAAGCGATCCGATATCTCCATGCGACTAGGCTGAAAACGATGAATGGCTCGTTATCTATCCCACCTTGCCACCAGATAAGGTTTAATGTTGAGAAATCAGAAAAGATCGCCTGCGGCCATGGTCGAATGGGAACATTATACCACAAATGGAGAACGATCTGAGACCTTTCGGATATGGCTCGTGTGGATGTTGCACATTCCTGTGCTACATACACAACAAGCTATAGCCGCTAGCAACGAGATGTTGATTCCCCAGATGAACAAATATAACCCTGTCTCAGCCGCGACAAAGTTCAATTATGCTAAGCACAGGAAAATCCTTGATACGTCAGATCAGTGCAATCACATACCGAAATACTCAACGAAACTCGGTCTCTCGGTTGTGTAAACGATATGGGAGAAATACTGAAGTCCATTGACTCCCAGGTGATTGAAGCAGATATATTGATCCCTGGACGGGGAAGCCCCATTCACAATGCAGTTCTTGTGTATCGGAACAACCGCATTGTGTTTGTTGGTGACCGTGACGACGTGCCGAAACAATATCAAAGAAGTGAGACTATGCGTGTTGCTGTGCTGATGCCGGGAATGTAAGTCTCAATCGCATTGTTGAGAGACTTTACGAGAGTGAGGTATAAGTAGTAATGTTTGACCAGGTGGGATTGCCATATCCATTTTCAGGGGCACCATGTATATTCAATTGAGCACATGTACAAAATCCCCAGATCTCTCGCTGGAGCGAGATCTGCGCGAGACGTTGCTGCAACGCTGAATGCTGGCTTCACGTCCTGTCGTGAGCTATGCGGCTTCGGGATCGAGCTGTCACAAGCTATCAACGAGGGTGCACTGGTGGGGCCTCATATCTACTCGGCTTCATCCTTCATCAGCCCAACGGCTGGTCACGCTGACGCACATGGAGTTCCGATCGATCATTTCACTCATTCGAACGCGAGTGGCGGTAGTTTCTGTCTCGCTGACGGAGTTCCGGAATGTCTCAAAGCGGTTCGTTTGCAGCTCCGAAAGGGCGCCAAAGTCATCAAGATCTGTTGCAGTGGTGGTGTTGCTAGCGAGGAAGATAACCCCGAGCACCAACAATTTTCAGATGAAGAGATCAAAGCTATTGTCGAGGAAGCGGGCCGTGCGGGGCGACTCGTGGCCGCACATTGCCATGGAAAATCTGGCATCATGGCCGCCCTCCGAAATGGAGTTGCTACGATTGAACACGGAACGTATCTTGACGACGAGGCCATAGACCTCATGATTCAAAAAAGAGCCATTTTGGTAGCAACCCGTACCATCATTGAGGCGGGGCTGGAGCTGGCAAAAGCATGGTCCCCTAAATCTCTAGCCAAATTGCAAGTAGCAGCACCTGTGCATAAGAGCGCCTATTCCAACGCCATCACCGCTGGTGTAACAATCGCCCTTGGTTCCGATTTAGGAGTGAGCTACCAAGAGAACGGCAAAGGAGGCACGCTGTTGGGCCACGGGCGCAACGGTCTTGAGCTGCGCCATGCGGTTGAGGCAGGCATGACTCCATTACAAGCGATTGAAGCGGCGACAGCCAACGGTCCTCTCACACTTGGACCTCAAGCCCCGATGTCAGGCCAGCTAAAGGAAGGCTACGAGGCTGATTTTATAGCAGTATCGACGAACCCTCTAGAGGATATCGAGGTACTCACAGACCCAAAGAACATCACCCATGTGTGGAAGAGTGGCAAGTTATTCAAGGCACCGGGAAAGCCCATTACATACGCTGGGCTCGCTTAGCTCATACTTGTTAGATGACTTCAATTGATCAAACTCAGAAGGGGTTTCATGTCCGCACACCCTGATCCGGTTTTCACCCATCCTTCCAAATCTTTTAGACTAAAACTGCTGCTGCTGTTTGTAACAAGCTATCTGTAAGCATAGACGCCCTGATCTATTCGTTAGAACAAGCTCTCAGGAGACCACTCAAACTATTCATACGCGAAGGTATTCCTGCCAGGAGCCTCATATACATATGGAGCCCTTACACTCAGGAATACTCAGTATTGCACAAATCTTGAGCTCATTCATCATGATTCCTCTGATCGAGGATATGTGTTTAGGAATATCTTTTTTAGCATTGAGATGCAACCAACGTTCTGTGATAATACTGCACTTCCTATGTCCTGTGTGTGTTGATTACAGGTTTCGCCCCGATCGGCAGAGCACCATTTCCATACCGCAGTCTATGAGATCAGCAACCGTCCGACTGCAAGCTTTAATGTTATGCCTAGTGCTGACATGGAGATGGCACAACATCCCGATGGGAGCTGCGGACGATTTCACTTGCGAATCATTTGACGAAGAGATCTGCATTCATTTAAACTACATTACGCTGCTACCTATAGATTGCAAATTCACACACCACTCACGTTTCGATTAGACCTTAGAGCGGCGGCATCCCATTTATCGAAGCATATTTCGCCTTACCGACGAAGCGAACAAGTCTATGAGTTTCGGGCAGTAGCAGATATTGGTGAACATTAGGCTAAGGCGGGAAACTCCATGTTTTTGTAGAGTGCAAACCAACTTGAACAGCCACGATAATGGATATTCAGAGCTTCTATGGATACGAAATATCGCGATAATATGCAGAATAAAATTCTCTACCGGTACAAATCTACGGCAAAGGCATTAAACTAGCCAGGTACAGCAATGAAAACGGCGAAGGAGAACCCTTGAGCCTGCATGATAGAATTCGCTTAACTAGATTTCCATATAAGTCAACAGTGGTAGACTGATAACATCGAAATGCGGTAAATACTCCGGCAGAATTTGGCAGGTTAGGCAACAATCTTACCCCTCCCGAGCATGACAACAAATAACTAGTGGGAGGTAGCAGCGCTCCATGCATACACGACTAGATAAGAGGAGTCAACAATTCTTGATGATAGTCTTCTTGACGATCGAGATTGTGCTCCTAATCACTAAATAAGTCTTAGTCGGAGGCTAACGAATCGTTTGCCCAAATCGGACAAGTTAGAAGTCCCTGCATGAATTAGTGGGGATTCGGCGTTGAAGGCGAGATCGACACGAAATCAACTTTAGCACCTGTGAGCATGGCGTCTATAAAACGAGTTCCCTGCACAGCGACGGGCGCAAAAGGATTAATGTAACTCGACCTCAGAGCCTTGCAGCGCTTGCCACAGAATCGTGACACGGAACACACCAAGCCATCAGGAAAAGATGAATAACAACGTCAAGTCACCGGCTGTCGATGAAAGTGCTTATGTAGCCAAAGATGTCGAGAGGGGTCAAATTAAAGCTTCGTCTGGAGAACTGTCTCGAGTATTGCAGAGCCGGCATATGCAAATGATAGCTATGTGTACGCAAGATTCTCAGAACTGTGCGCTTTGATCCGGCTAATGACTGGATTTCAGGTGGCGCAGTCGGATCTGGGCTATTCGTGGGTTCAGGCAGTGCGCTCTATACCGGAGGGCCGGGAAGCTTGGTGAGAAGCGCCTGAGACGATGCATCAAGACTCGGTGGGATGCTAACAGGTGTCCTCAGTTGCTTGGCTTTGGGCTCGTGGGCGTCCTCTTACTTTTCACAATGCAAGCGCTTGGGGAAATGGCCGTTATTTTTCCCGTCGAAGGAGGCTACTTTCAGTATATAGTGAGATTTTTGGATCCTGCTTGGTGAGTTGCATCGAAGAGATGACATTTCACTTCTGTGCGAGTGATTGACCAATCTCATACGCTGATAGGGGGTTTGCTCTTGGTTGGGATTACGCCCTTGGATATCTCATCACCCTTCCGGTCGAAATTACTGCCGTCGGCATCACGCTCCAGTATTGGCCTGGAGCAGCAAATGTGAACATCGGCGTTTGGATTGCAGTTTTTTATGTTGTCCTGGCTGTCATCCAGACCTTTGGCGTCAGAGGATACGCGGAAGGTGAATTAAGCAGCCATCTCCATGTTGGCATCAACAGTAGCACTGACCTGATGTACAGTTGAGTTCACCCTAGCAATTGTCAAAATCTGCGCAATTGTAGGATTCATCATCCTAGGAATCATCATCGACTGTGGAGGAGTGCCGACTCAGCACACTGGCTACATTGGTGCAAAGTACTGGCACAACCCCGGCGCCTTCCGCAATGGTTTTAAAGGCTTCTGTTCCGTTTTTGTTGCAGCAGCTTTTTCCTTCGCCGGCACGGAATTGGTTGGACTCGCTGCTGCAGAGTGCGCTAACCCGGCAAAGGCGGTGCCCAAGGCATGTAAACAGGTGTTCTGGCGAATTGTGGTCATATATTTGGTGTCGCTGTTCATTGTCGGGCTGATTGTTCCGTCTAACTCAACATACTTGCTCGCCGCTCATGGCAACGCCACCAAATACTCACCGTTCGTCGGTGCTATCAAGTCAGCTGGGATCCGGGCTCTTCCATCGATTTTCAACGCGGTCATAACGCTGTCCGTACTGTCTGTTGCGAATTCGGTGACTTACGGCTCAAGCAGATTACTACATGCTCTAGCCATGCAAGGCATGGCTCCCAAAATTCTGAGCCGAGTTGACTCGAAAGGTCGCCCTATGTAAGTTCAACGATCCATTCAAAATACACACCGACATTCAGAACTTGGTTTCCCTAAGGATCAGAATGACTGCGAATTAAGGTACTGACACCAATAGATGGAGTATTTTCCTTTGCTTCGCCTTCGGCCTTCTTGCCTTTATTAACGAGGCTGTGGAAGGGTCAACAATCTTTGCTTGGATGCTGGCTCTAGCCGGGCTCTCTAATTTCTTCACCTGGGGAAGCATTTGTGCAGCACATCTTCGCTTTCGACGCGCTTGGGGCGTCCAAGGGCGCGCTACCAAACAACTCCCGTATCGGGCGACTATCATTGGGAGTTGGATCGGCCTTGTTCTTAGCATTCTTTGCATTCTTGCCACTTTCTATGTGGCTCTCTTTGTGAGTGGCCACAATCTGTTCGGTTGACGATGACACTGACATTCTCGGTTCAGCCGCTCGAAGGAAAACCGAATGCCGAAGTATTTTTCCAATGGTTCCTGGCCGCACCATTTATTTTGGTACTTTACGTTGGCTGGGTACTTTTTACTCGGCGCTGGAGGATTGGAGTCAGCAGCAAGGAGATGGATATTCAATCGGGTTTGAGAGAGGATGTCTTATTGTTGAATTCGGATGACCAAGAGTATCATGGCATGAAAGCAATTCTGAACTCCATGCTCCATGCGCTGATCTGAATGTGCCAAGTCTACTTAGTATAAAATTGGTTGTGTTCCAGTCGAAGCACGAATGTACCGCGCTCACGAATCGACTGGTGATTTAGTACAGATTTATTGACTACATGCTACACCAACAATAACGAGCACCGCTACTCATTCCATTATGAGTATAGCATAAAGGGTAGGTTTATATGGATTTCGATGATACACATATGTAGATAAGTTCACCTCCAAGAAATAGACGCGCAAAGTATGAAATTTCAGGTAAACGTTTCCGTTAGGTAGTAATTAGTTTTGAGTACTAAATATCTTTATGAAACTATTGTAGTAAAGTATCGCGCTTCAACATAGTCGGATACTCGGAGTTCATGACTAGGCTACCGTGGTTCGCATTTCCTGTGATTCGTGCTTCGACCATAATACGCATTCTTTGTGATGTGCGGGACTACTAACCTCAAGTCCGGGACCATGTCTAGCTTCAGATTGTGAGCACAGAGTCGACGCCGCTACATGTCTAGCTAATTCAAGTGTTCCTAGCCACTGCCATTAAATTTCGCATGTTGACTCGCAAAGTCGCTGACCTGCCAGCGCTAGTTCCGCATATTGCGATTTGCAACATAATCCTGATGGTCACAATGCTCCACATTCCAAGCACTCTCCGCCTTCACCAGGTCAGAGATGAACATGGACAATTTCTGGTTATGTCGCGTGTGTCGGGGATGTCGGGGCTCTAGACCGATCTGTGGATGGTCTGCGCCTGGAAGTCCTTTAGCTATATAGACTTTCATGGTGGGGCGTGGGACCCTTATGCCAGTAGACGTTGGGAAGTCCCACGGTGATGTTTCCCGAAATACTGTCAGCAGTTCGCGCCTCTCGAGGTAGATATATCTTGGTAACCAGGACTCTAGCCGTGGTCCTCAGGATCATCAACAAAGTCAACTTCCTGCGTCTCAGTGACAATCGCGACGCAGATACTCCAATATGCCTTTCGGTATCCTTGAATGCAATAAGCTCGAGATTGTGCCTGGCACAGGCAAGTCTATGAAATCCCTGTATCGAAGAAGTGGCTAACTTTGACATGTCTAGCTTTCCTGAATGATCAGAACGAGGTTCCTCGAGAATATGCTGGCTTGGATAAGAGCCAACTCAAACATGGCACAGGCAGATATTCTCATGTCATCTTAGTACCGCAACCTTCCGATGACCCTAATGACCCTTTGAACGTAAGCAACAGTGTGGACAGGAATGTTCAATGCCTAACATGAAGATCCAGTGGCCGTGGTGGCAAAAGGAGATGATACTTCTGATTGTCGGGCTCTCATCAGCGATAACAGGTGCCTACGGTCCTATGCTCTCACCAGGTTTCGTCCAAATCGCTGATGAGCTTCACATCTCCGTCACCGCTTTGGCTCAGGCTACTGCATGGATGATTCTCGCCTGTGGACTTGCACTCTTCATTCTCAACGCCCTGGCCAAGGTTTACGGGAAAAGACCAATGTACCTTTTCGCTATCACTCTGCTGTTCATCAGCGCGCTCATTGGAGGCACTGCCAAAAATGATCAAATGTTCCTGACCAGCCGTGTCTTGGGAGGCATTGGCGGTGGTCCCTTCGAAATTCTCATCCAGTGCACAATCGGTGACCTTTATTTTGTCCATGAGCGCGCGACTCGAATTGCATTCTGGAATTTGTGCCTGTTTGTTGGAATATCCCTAGGTTCTATCATCTCAGGATATGTAATCTCGAACATCGGTTGGAATTGGTGCTTCTGGATATCTGCCGTGTTTTATGGGATCGCCGGCTTGCTTATCTTTTTCTGCGTACCAGAAACGACATACGAACGAAAAGATAATGTGGTTTTGAAACCTTCGGTCGAAGAGAGATTTGATGATGAGAAGGGCGTACTACGATCGACAGTTGCTGTGCATCTTGAACATGACGATCAGCACGGCGACCCATTGAACAGGGCGGCTACCGTACCAGAGAAGATGTCCTACTGGCGGTCTCTGCGACTTCTCACCGGTCGTCACAGCAAGGCATCAATTTTTACAGTTTTCAGTCGCCCTTTCGTCCTTTTCATGTACCCGGCCATCGGACTAACCTTTCTGACATACGGCGTCATGATAACATGGTACGTTGCCTTCTCCGTCGTCGTCGGCATCATTTTCGTTGCCCCGCCATACAACTTCACGATCTCACAAGTCGGTCTCGTCAATCTCTCACCTCTTATCTTCTCTATCATTGGCGAAGTTATTTCTGGTCCACTCAATGATGCACTTTGTTTATGTTTGACCAAGAAGAACAAGGGAATTTACGAGCCAGAGTTTCGTTTAGTCCTGATGGCGGTCGTCGCCCTTACTGGTGCAGTGGGATTCTATGGCTTCGGTCTGACTGTCCACTACCAAACTCATTGGGCTGGGCCCGTTCTCACTTATGGCATTTGCAGTCTCTCACTTGCGTTTGTCTCTACCTGCATGTTTGGGTACGTCCTTGACAGCCATCCCAAGTTGAACGAGGAGGCTTTTGTCGTTATCAACGCGCGAGCCGTCCTGGGTTTTGGACTGTTCTACGTGCTCGCGCCATGGCTGATGACATCTGGCATACTCAATGTTTTTGTGGTGTTTGGCAGTATCACACTTTTCACCTGCGCCCTGATTATCCCCTTGTGGATCTTTGGCAAGCGTTGGCGCAGCTGGATCGCCAGGAACGAGTTACTACAGCGTCTGACTAGTGATACATGAATGTCGTTTAAGAACTATATCTTGAAGAAAGACTTTTCAAAAGGTCAAAGTTCAAGAGGGGCTCGAATAGTCAGTAAAATGAGGCTTCCCGTGGGGTATGGGAATCTGCCTCGTTCCTGAGGGATTGCGGAAGGAACCCGGGGACCACCCGGTTAATCCTGCCAATTTTGTGAGGCAGAGCATTTTTCACGTTTATTCTCCTTATCTTCATGTTGCTACCGCTACATCGCAACTTTAGGAAGACAAATAGCATGGAACAGCCATACTGAGATACTTATAGATTGATCATAATAGTCCTTATTATTTGGCCGATTGCTCAAGTACGCTGGACAAGAGCACGAGAGTCCTCAGAATCTCAAAGACTTGTTCCAGAACCCAATCGGAATCGTTCATCGGAGAGTTCCCACCCCCATAGTGCCAATCCGGAACCCCAGCTGAGGAGGTGGCAGTCTCAGTGCTTTCTACGTTCTCCACACCGGCATATTCAAACTTCATGGGGGTGGCAATCGTCCACGGTTGAAATATACTATCTCTGCCAGTTATGCGATCATCACGTAAGGAACCGGTCAGCCACTACCGCGGCCTGAAAAGCTTCGGAACAAGGCAGTCAGTAAAGGATATATTCCTCTAGCAATAGTCTAACCTTTAGATGTATGAACTTTGCTTGATCTTATTTCGAGCTGATCTTCAGGGAAATTAACGAGCAACGATGACACACAATGGGATCACAAACGGTTTCCACAGCGATGAGCCAACATACGAGATCAAGGCAGATTACTTGATTGTCGGAACCGGGCCTGCTGGCGGATCGCTTGCATGCTTTTTGGCGCAACATGGTACGAGGAAGAACAACCAATTCTAGCAATTTTGACTGACGATGTTGCTTTTGTAGGGTTAACGGGCCTGATTGTGAGCCAGGATCCGGGGAATGCAGATACACCGCGAGCGCACATCACCAACATGGCAGCGTTAGGCAAGTTCAATACTTTCCAAAGCCATAACTCACTGCTTGTGGCTTTCGATCATCGATTAACTCCCAGCAGATTGTCTGCGTGACATCGGTGTCGACAAAGAGTGCTACACAATAGGTACACAAGGCGATACGATGGTCCATACTCGCTGGTCGAATAGCATGGCTGGGGAGGAGTACGCACGTATTTACTCTTGGGGCAATGATCCGAAACGAAAGGTGGGTTTCCCGACTTGAGGGCACGCCTCAAAGCGCTCAAAGGCTTTTAGGAAGTGAGTGAGCTGATCATCATCGTATCAGGGCGACTACGAGCTGGCAAGTCCTTCGGAGCCACTGGACCTTCCACAGACACTACTCGAACCCTTACTCATAAGGTACGCGACACTAAACGGATTCAAAGTCCGGTGGGATACGAAATTTGTGTCCTTTAAGCAGGAACCTGAAGGCGGAGTCACAACGACATTATTCGACAAGGTCACGAATCAAACGTATACAGTCCGCTCAAAATATCTGTTCGGATGTGATGGAGCACGGAGTCCGATTGTCCAGCAACTTGGTTTGCCCATGATTATACGTCCTGGTCAGGGTCGTGCGACCAATATTTTGCTGGAAGCTGACATGTCACATCTCATGGAGAATCGTATGGGTAATCTACACTGGGTCTTGACTCCGGACAAAGCGACCTCGGAACACTCTTGGATTGGATGCTTTCGAATGGTGAAACCGTGGCACGAGTGGTTGTGTATTGTCTTCCAATCGCCAAATGCTGAGAAGAAGATCTGGCAAGAATCTGATTATGTCGATCGAGTTCGGGAATTAATCGGGGATGACTCGGTCGACTTCAAGATCAAGGGCATCTCGTACTGGAACATCAATGAAACCGCGGCCGAGGAATACTCAAGAGGCGACGTCTTTGCACTCGGTGATGCTGTGCATCGACATCCTCCTAATCACGGATTGGGATCCAATACCTGCATTCAGGATGCTCACAACCTGGCGTGGAAAGTGGCATACGTTGATAAAGGTGAGACGCGGCCCAAAAGTTGCACATAGTAATGAAACGGGAGAACTGACGGAAGATCTCTTTCCACTGTAGGATACGCTGGAAAAGAGCTCTTAAGCAGCTATAACGCGGAACGCCAACCAGTCGGGCTTGACGTTGTCACGCAGTAAGTACCATTTTCCTCTCATCTACGCAGACTAATCCTACTCACCGCAATCAGGGCAAATGCATCACTCCGCAACCATGCCAAAATATGGCAAATCCTCGGCAACATGGAACCGACGATCGAGAAGCGGATGAAAAGCTTCAACGTGCTGAAGGAAGACTCCGAGGCCGGAAGAGCCCGCCGGCAGGAGCTCGCCGAGGGACTACGACGCATCAACCGCGAGGAGCACGGTCTCGGTATTGAGATGAACCAGCGCTACACCTCGTCCGCCGTGTTCAAATCCGACCAGGGCGCGTCGCCGACCTTCGCCACCGACTCGCTCGAATACTACCATCCCACCACCTACCCCGGTGCGCGATTACCGCATGTCTGGCTCACGCGCACAATTCCCGAAAAGCCAATCTCGACGCTCGACCTCGCTGGCAAGGGACAATTTGCATTGTTCACGGGTATAGGAGGGCAAGGCTGGAGAGACGCAGCACGGAAGGTCTCGGAGAAGCTCGGTGTGCCTATCAGCGTGCATTCGATCGGTTTCCGACAGGAATGGGAGGACCAGTATCTGGATTGGTCGAAGATTCGAGGTGTTGAGGAGTCAGGCTGTGTGCTTGCCAGACCGGACTATTTTGTCGCGTGGAGGTCTCAGCAGTGGGAGGCTGATAGCGCCGAGAAGTTGGAGACGGTTTTCAGAGATTTGCTCTCACGGAAAGAATGAGGGGATGCCTCGAAGTTACTAGGAAAAGGTGTGAATCCGCACCGAAATCCATATTTTGATGATATTTAGGTGTAGACAGCAGATTAAGGGTGATTGCATCGGTATCCAACTAAGTTGCTGTTTTGTGTAGGGCAGTTGCGCCGATATGTGGGCAGATAGTCTGCTTAAGATCACTTCTCGACTGCACCTGGGCAAGAATTCAAGCCATTACTTTTTGTTAACGTTGACTTCAGTGTTTGCACAGTAGATTTGTAGCTAACTAGTAGCATCTAAATCATGTTACTGTCAAGGGAACAACAATAGTGTCGGAAGATTCCATTCACTTCGGTTATCCGGTCCTATGACAACTCTATCCCAAGAGAGCCATACGATCCTTCCAGTCTACCAAGAATCCTTACATACGGGATACCAACGAACCAGCAGGGAACACGTTACCATTTATTCGGCGCCTGAATGGTCAGTCTCCAATCTCAACTTCGTGATGAGATTGTGATGATGCCAGTAGTTGCGGTAGCGCTTGCCCCAGATGTACATGGGGATAGCAAGCAGACACGACGCAGCGGTGATGCCGGCCATGATTCCGCCCATGTGGATCGTGCCGTGCAAAAAGTACCAGTTGATGATGTAGTTCGTCAATCTAGGTTGCGAGTTAGCCAGGCGAACAATATGATCACATAGCATGGAACGAAACATGGAGACTTACCCGTAGTAGAAGAAGTTCTTGAAAACCATGTTCATGACGAACAGTTCCGTGCTGTGCTGTCGATAAGCGTCGAGAGACCACTGCGTTGCAAAGGTGGCGGTGATTATAATCCCGAAGAGCAATAGACCCCAGATAAAGCAGATGACATAGACGTTGGCGAAGTTATGGACTGCATAGCCCCAGCCGACGAGACCTGCGACCATGATGACGGCGCCCGGGCCGACCGCGAGAAGGCAGAATTCAGGCTCGTAGACACCCTTGTTGCGTCGTGTGAGGGTGCGGGTGAGCGGGCCGGAGGCCAAGAAGGACACGACGGAGCCGAGCAGTCCACCGATCAATGGGCCTGCGGAGAGGTAGCCTACCGAGGCAGAGCTCAGGAGATACGGTGGCGAGGCGAAGATGACGCCGGAGATGATGGCGATGACGACGTACCAGGCGATGATGAGACCGGTCATGATGATTTGGTAGAGGGCACCCAGGTTTAAGAGGATGGCCAGGCATGCGAGGGTCATCTTGATGATCGAGTCGTCCACGAATGATCCATTGTAGAGTGCAAGCTCTTGCCAGTAAGTCTTCGGTGCAGGGATCACGGAATCTGTCGTCGTGGTGCGGTGGAGGTTATCCGTTTGGACCGCGTTGATGCTGGATTCGTTCGATGCGGCCTGGCTTTCGACGTGCGCATGCTTTTCCGGATCATCAGTGGCCGACTGCTCGTCGCGATTCTCGACATGTCGAGCGGCTCGGGCTTCGATGCTAGCGAGCTTCTCGAGATTTTCTTCTGACCCGAGTGTATCGATTTCGTAGATGGCTTTGCGTCGATACATGGTCTCTGGGCAGTAGAAGATGACCATCAAAGTTTGAAGTGCGGCGAACGGAACATAGACATGGAAATTATAGTTCCACCCAAGATTGGCTGTGATGACGCCTGCAATGATCGAGATACCGTTGGACACTGCGCCCAACAGGAACATTATCATCGCCACCCTCGGACCTCTTTCGTGGACAAAGAACAGGTCACCGATGGATGCTACAGCGAGAGATTCATAAGCGGCAACTGCAACCCCTTGAAGGATGCGGCCTGCAAGGAGCGTGTTGTAATCTGAAGCGACCTCGGAAACGATGATGCCAATGGTTCCAATGATACTTGAGAACACATAGGCGGGTCGTTTGCCATATTTGCGGCCGATGGAAGAGGCGAATGGACCTACAGCGCCTGTCGTAAGGAGTAGATAGCCACCTAGCTTGGCAACCTCGGTAGGAGTGCGTTTAAGGTCAGCGGAGATTGCTAGGATACCAGCATTGAGAATTGGGCCCTGTTTGTCCTATGTTAACTTGGAAATTGATGTGTATGTCTAGACTCAGACTTACGGGGACAACGCCGTGAACGATGGTTCCGAAAAAAATGACCGCGAGGATGATGTGTTTCTTCCACCACGACCAATTCAACGGATCATTTGGGTCCTCGGATGGCTGCGGTGCGAGGATGATATGTGAGTTTTTCCCAGCAGCATGCTTCAAGCGGCCGGTCTGGACCTCTGAGCCAGCAGCCTGCTGGTCCAGAAGCACCGTTCCTGGTACATGACTTGTAGTCTTGGGCTCAAGGATTCCAAATGCCATGGTTGTCGCGAATGAAGAACGAAGGTGCAAGCTAGAAGTCGCCTAAGATCAGCTGCTTCCGTGTAGGGGATGAATAGTTTTATAGCAGACGCGCACACAGCTTCCCATATGCTCAACACATTGGAGACGCTAGCTTGTTATCTACCAAAAGTCGGTGGCCTCGGGCCCCAATTATTAACGTGGTAATCTGGGGTAGGGAGCTAGCTACAAGGCTTGAAGTAGCATCGCAGAGAGCGGCCCAGGATCTTCGAACTTGGGGTTTGGGGGTGCAATTTGAGCATACCCCTGGAGTCCACAAATGGGGAAGCGACGGAAAGAGCAGTTTGTATTGGGCAAAAGGGTTTATACTGGGGCTACAACTTGTCGAACGGAACGGAAGCAGCTCAAAATCGTTGAAGTAAGGGAGAAGAGTGCGGGCTAATCAAGTTTTATGCATCCATTCGCTTATCCGTAAGCCGCGAAATCGTCGATTGGTCCTTTTGGATTTCAGCGGGGATCTTCAGTGCTGCACATTAGTTAGTTGCCAGAGGGACGAGGTAGAGAGATACGAAATATGGCACCTAACTCAAGGTTGACTCACAGCCTTGTCTCCAAATAAAAAGTAGCCAGGCCAGAATGTGGGGCTGGGGGAATGTCCTCCACTCCCCAATTTATCCTGTGGCACAAAAGTTGGGGTAGGTTGGGAGTTACACGAAACTCTAACTACACAGACAAACATGTTCAGCGTGCGCACCTTTGAATATCAATCTAATTCTTTCAGTGCAGTCTGCACCTTTGATCTCTGCGGGTCCACCCAGTCTTTTCTAGTTTCGTCAGCTGAGAATGGCGGGCCCGGCAGTGTCGCCAGGAAGAATAAAAAATCCCGTGGATTTCTTGGACGTAAATGCGACGACACCTCGAAACTCCGAGATGCATCCAAGCCGTGCTTGGACACTTCCATCAAGGAGCGTCTGGCATCAAGTCTCCCATCGCTTGACAGACGTTCAACAGTAGTGGCAGTGCTCATAAGGTCCAAGAAGCAGTCCCAGACCAGTGCGTCGTAGTGCCCAAACAACAGCAAGACTCGATGCAAGACTCGACGTCAGTGTTCCTCGATCTCAGTATCTGTCCTACCCTGTAGACGTAGTATCTGGACAATTCGCATGCGTTATCGCGAAAAGTTTTCTCTCAATACAGGACGATTGCTTAATGAGCCAATGGAGTTAGACCCTCAAAGAAATAGGTGATATCGCCATCTTATTTTTGCCCGATCGAGATACGGCTTGGAGATACTCAAATCACGGCCATAGATCTTACTCCGAGTCAAGCCGGATTGAGAGATGCGGCAGTAGATTCTGAAGCTCCGAAACTGCTGCAGACATGTGCCCTTGCAAGTTGTGCATCTGAGCAGCATGCCAGGGCTTTGCACAGCCTTGGGGTCAACTTAGTGACCGAGGGGTGGGACCAGCCCCCGGTATGTATGACATACTTTGGAGAGGTGTAGAAGTGTCCCATTGGGCATGAGATAGAGTCAAGGTGATCTTTACTCCCTAGGTACCGGTACATATCTGCAAGAATAACTGTAAGATTGGAACAATGAGTGGGATGCTTTTTCTTGGGCAAGCTGTAGAATCAAGCACACTTTCCCCACGCAAGGCTCTGGGATTTCGGGGATCGGCAAGGCTGCGATGCGGAGACAGCAAAACGCGTGCCCGGTCTGTGATGTGGGGATGGATATATATGCACAATTCGGCAAGTCTAGAACATCCGAATTTCTTCTTACTCCTTTTTCCCCAACGGTAAGGTTCTTTGGCTTTCAAGGGTGATTACAAGTTTCATTGCTAGCTTGTATATCGGGGACGCAGCCTCAAGAGCAAGAGTCGCCGTTTAGGTTTTATTGTGCCCGTACATCAAAGAATTCTCCTCATGCTTAGTGGAGCACAGTTCCATGAGTGCACAGCTCACGAAATCTGCATCACCCCAGGATATGAGGCATATCGATGTCTGCCTGCATTGGACAACAGACTTTGCATTCGAGTGGGATCTTGTATAATATCGACTGGATCGGCTAATGAGAGCTGTACGACACAAGCATGAGTGCACGCCTTGAACAGGAGCGAAATTTGGTTGTGGACTGGTGGAATTATGGGAAACATCAGCTAATGATGGTTCGAAAACCGTAGAATTAGGCGGTGGATGCTGCTCTGTACAAGACAAGGCAACAAAAAATGCTCAACAAAACCGAACGCTCAAAATGATGCTTTTGCTCTCAACAAGATCCCACCCTCTGCTCAGACGAAACCAGCTCTGACAGATCCCCAATTTCTGGTCCTGCATTTGCTCTTCATTCGACATGTCATGAATCATGATTGAGAACGTTCATTACCTCCAGTAACCTCCGGAATTCCAGGAACCTGTAGTTGCATTGCATCAGATCTGCCCGCACTTCCATCAAAGACGAAAGGACCGGCATTATTTCTTGGAGTGAGTGGACCTTCGCCGGAGGCAGCTGCTTGCTCAATATCCGGGGTTTGGGTTCGTGTTCGTTGGTTCTCTAGATGCGCATGCATGTCATCCTCATCAGGCTGATCGGGCATGTCTATGTTCCCATTCATAGACCGTACTTCTGGAGAAGTAGCATTCGAAGCCTGTCTTCGGGCAAGTAAGCCGCCACCTCGTAGAGAAGCCGCAGGGTCGCTGGTCTCTTTCGGAGCGGTGACCTGTGGGGTCACTGGTGCAGGTAGGTGTGGAAAAGGTGTGGTCGCAAATGGTCGTTGCGGCTGATGCACATTGGTATCAGACTGTCCGGTAATATGCCCATTTGTCAGTGCACCATTGGCAGTCAAGGAATCGGTGTTGGCGGCGTTATTGGTCTCGGCTTCTGCAGCTGGGCTGTCCTCTGTGCCTTCCATCCACTCGTCAAGATCGGATTGAGCAAGATCGACATCAGCTGCGAGGTCGGAATACGCACGACAATTTGGACATTGAAATTGCGGGTAAGTGCTGTTCTTGCCTTCTAGAAGAGGTCGAATACATTTATAATGCCAGACATGTGCACAAGGGGCAACAAACAGTGCTTGACAGGGCTGTGCTGCCGATTAGTTTACAAAGGTCAAAACTGTTGAAGAACACATACCAGAACAGATCCTAAGCAGATTGAACATTCCCCACTATTCGCATCAGCCGATGGCTGGTCTTTGGCAAGACTCTGTAACTGCTGGTGACGGGTTTTACTGCGACCAAATTAGTTTCCTGATCAGATCATGGGTGTTGGGGAGAAAGAAGACATACTTGAAGTTGTTTGGTTTCTTCTGCCATGCACGATTGCACTCGATTCTGATCTTGACACATCGAAAGATCATCTCCTCACCACCGCGGAAATCAATTCCAAGCTGGACGATGTCACCATCCTTGATAGGGAAAAGCCGAGACTCGGTATTAGGTTGGCTCAGCCTGATATGATTGAGAAATGTACCGGAAGAACTGGCGACATCCTTGATCTGCCACTGGCCATCGACAAAGCAAAACTCACAATGTTTGCGACTGACGACCTTGGACTTGAAACCAACAGGGGCATCGGAAGGTGCGGTGGGATTGGCGCTGGGGACACCCTCACGTTCCGAGTAGCGACCGACTCGTATGATGGAAACCTCACTCGGTAATGTGCGCGAGACAGGAGAGAACGTCAATGAGGGTCTCCCATTCCTTATCTCTTGGTGGGGGTGAAAACGAATGGTAGGCAGGGACGTTTTGGGCTCGTCGGCATCCTTGGTGCTCGAGGCGTTTGTATTTCTTGCAGACTGAGAACGCTGAGCCGACGGTCGGGATGCTCCCTCACTGTTGGTGTCCCCAGCAGCTACCTGCTGGTGACTGGTGGTGTTTCTCCGGAAGGTAGAAGTTCGATGTCGAGCCATGTCTTCGTGTTCGTTATGATCACTGGAGCTCGTCGTCAGGGTAGGATCTGATGTTCGACCTGCTGGTAGTGGAGGTGAAGAAGGGCCAGGTGCGGCAGAGTCGGAGGGAAAGGCAAGAGGACTGGTGGGTTCGTTAGGTCGGGAGTGACTTCTTCGTCTCCCGGTAGAAGTAAGATTTACGGCAGGAGCGGGCGGCGGACTGGGTCGTTGGTCGTTGTTGTAACTGAGAGATCTCTGGAAGTAATGTCTGGGAGAACGGGATGGTTCGTTAGGACTGGTGTTTCCTGAACGACTATGAGACAAGACACGCAGATATGACAGTCCTCGGCGGCGAGTGGAGGGCGTTCGGTCGAGACTCGAATTGGCTGCACCTGCTGGGGAGGTGACAGGGGCAGGCGGGGAGATCATGGGATTCAGATGTGGCCGTGAATGCGCAAGTGGATGCGGCCTTGGGATGGAGGAGAGTGAGGTTTGAGGTTCGAAGGCTGAGAGGTGACCGATGACCGATGACCGAATAACTTGAGCGAGGGTCAGGGTTGTAGGTTTGATGGTTGTTGAAGGGCCTGACTTTGAGAGTTTGGTACGGGTGTGTTGGTGGCTTCAGGCTGCAGGTATTATTGCTGAGGTTTTGGTCAGATCTGGGTACCGAATCCTCAGCGAGGCACCCACGAGGGCTCCGAATAATGTTCTTTAGGCTGCCGGCTGGTGCAAAAGGGCCCGAGACGGCTGTGACTTTTAGGGGCGGGTTAGGCGAAGACGACGGTGGTTTAGGCGCAGGAAGGGGGCCCGAGAGATGCGGTCCAGGTGTATGTCGGCCACGAGTTCTTGATCATTCTCTGTATATATTTGACAGGCAAGATTGTGGAATCTTTGAGGATCAGAAATCAAAGGCAACTCTCAAATTCGAGACATGCCATCGCTTTAAACCGTAATCTCGAGTGCTGCTCGTGCGAACTCGTAACTCTCTTCGTTGGTTGCTTGTCTGGATCGAGTTGGTACCTGTGAGCCATCGATGTCATCGGGCATAACAAGATCGCCTTGGCCGGGGTTGACGAGACGAGTTGATGGCTGTCCCTGCGCCTTAACGCTTTCAACTTTCACTCTTGGGGGCTCTTCGATCGTAGTCTTAGTTTGCCGAGCAAGAACTTTTTTTCAATGAGCAGACTGCTTACATCGATTACCAGTTGTCGTTTTTATCACTTTCATATATCTAATGTTCTGGTCACGTGTCTGGTGTACCTCCATACTTAGCACCGTGCCAAGCTGCTACCTGCTGGATTAGTGAACCTAGTGGCTAATGTACTCATTACATAAGCTTACCACGTGACTTGTACGTGCCGGGCTCCAAAAACCTCAACTTTCAACACCGACGGCCGTTATTCCATTTCATCATCTTCCAACCAACTCCTCATCTCCATTGTCACCAGCATGCGCACTGCAGCTGTCAGGGCCCTGCATAATGCCAGGCTGGCTGGGAAGCAATCAACACCACTTGTTAGACGTTATGCCACCGCGGTGAGAGATCCCAGGCAAAAGGTAAGTCTCGTCCTTGTCAATATGCTAGTTGGCCCCTACATTACCTCGATCTAATGACTCTATCGACCACAGGATCCCGCAGAGTTAGACCGTATCACGAAGCTTCCAAATGGACTCCGGGTTGCTACCGAATCCCTTCCTGGCCCCTTCTCCGGGGTTGGGGTGTATATTGACGCCGGATCACGATATGAAGATGATTCCTTGCGTGGTGTCAGTCACATTGTCGATCGCCTAGCCTTCAAATCAACCAAAACGAGATCCGCCGATGATATGGTAAACTCCCTTGAAACCTTGGGTGGAAACATACAATGCGCCTCATCAAGAGAAGCCCTGATGTACCAGTCTGCGACGTTTAATTCTTCCGTCGCAAATACCCTAGGCCTTCTGGCCGATACCATTTGCAACCCTCTCATCACTGAAGAAGAAGTACAACAACAATTGGAAACTGCAGATTATGAAATTCAAGAGATTTGGTCAAAGCCGGATCTTATCATTCCCGAACTGATGCACATGGCGGCTTACAGGGACAACACTCTGGGCCATCCGTTGTTGTGTCCCAAGGAACGGCTCCCTCTTATCACTCGCAATTTGATTGAAAAATACAGAAGTCAGTTCTACCGTCCTGAACGTATGGTGGTGGCTTTTGCCGGAGTGGAACACGACGCAGCTGTTCGTATGACCGAAAAGTTCTTTGCCGACATGGAAAAGTCCAAGCCTGAATCACAACCCACCAAGTCGACAACGAATGTCAATTCATCCTCTCCATCAAATTTACAAATCCCTTCTTCTCAACCACAATCTCCACCCACTAAATCATTTTGGAAGGGCTTGACCAGTTTTTCCACCTCTGCTCCTCATCAAGCCACTGTCTCTCCACTAGATCCCTCTCTTTTACAGCCATCGCCTGCTTCTTTACTCACACAGCCTTCACATTACACTGGTGGTTATCTGGCCCTCCCAACCCTCCCGCTTCCTCAAAATAACCTTTCAATACCACTGTCACATGTTCATATTGGGTTCGAAGCACTCCCAATCTCCTCGGAGGATATATACGCCCAAGCAACGCTTCAAACATTATTAGGTGGCGGTGGCTCTTTCTCGGCCGGCGGGCCTGGCAAGGGTATGTACTCGAGGCTATACACAAATGTTCTCAATCAACATGGATGGGTGGAAAACTGCGTGGCTTTCAACCATAGCTACACTGATAGTGGTCTCATTGGGGTGGCCGCTGCTTGTGAACCAGGTAGAGTCGGCCATATGGTCGATGTCATCTGTCGCGAACTACAAGCTTTGACATTGGATTCAGGCTTTGCAAGTCTACAAGTAGCAGAAGTCAATAGAGCCAAGAATCAACTCCGGTTCAGTCTGTTGATGAATCTCGAATCCCGACTAGTCGAGCTGGAGGATCTCGGTCGGCAAGTCCAGGTCCATGGCCGAAAAGTGGGTGTCAAGGAAATGTGCGACAAGATTGATGCATTGACTGTGGCGGATCTCAGAAGAGTCGCCAAACAAATCTTCACTGGCAAAGTGGACAATAAAGGCCATGGTACTGGTGCCCCAACAGTTGTTATCCAGGAAGGAGAACCTGCCACCGGCAGATCTACAAAGCCAATACCTTGGGAGGATGTACAGTCAAGAATTGCAAGGTGGAAGTTGGGAAGACTGTAAATTTCATGGGTCAATTTCAATCAGGTATGTCGCTGGCCTGTTACTGTATTACTAGCCCTTGAGGCACGACTTGCCGGGATCTGTGACACATATATCTACATACAATCACCTGGCAGCGATGTGACCGCTTGCAAATACCACTCTTGATCAAATGGACCGATGGATCTGCAGGATCTTTTTACCTCGGGCAGCTACGAAGGATGCCCCTTACCATTCACAGCCTGCCCTTCCTCCTTCGTCTCCAGCTCGCAGCTTCCCGCGAGGTGCAAGAAGCAAGTGCCACCAGTTTTTGTTTGGAAAACAAACGATCCGGGGACAACTTCTACCATCGTAACGCATGCTGACTGCTTCGTCACGCCTCTTCAGCTGTTTCACCACATCTTTTGCGTGCATCAGTTCCCTATTCACAATAATCAACGCATAATCTAGTCATCACTTCCTCGGCGACTTTGTTTGCATAAACCTTGCGCACATCTCTCGTTCGAATGGACAACTACTTCTTTGACCACTCTTTACTACATACTCAGCTTGATGTTCTATCTTGGCCAGTGGAATCATACTGCGCCGCGTGGAATTCAAGCATACAACAACTTGTTGGGTTGCAGTCCACTTTGTTTCCAAATCCGATACACCTTGACGCCATGCCTGGTAAAAGCCAAAATCCAGGTAAACGCAGAAAATATCGCAGATCTTCCATTCTTTGCCACAGTCATCCTTCAGTCCCCGAAGCCATACCGGATAGCCCCATTAGCCAAACAACAGGAACCCCAGCGTCGAGACTTTTTGACACACCAGGCTGTGATGGCCCCTATACTCCAGCAAGTGCATTCAGTCCATCTCCTCTCAGGAACAAACAAAAAGCTTCACAGTCCACCGAATCTGAAACTCCAATATGCGATGCCTTGGTCCGGGCTGGTATCATACCAGATCGAGGACCCGTCAGACCGTGGCCAAATGATCCAGTGCTCGGAAAGCCGGGATGGAAAGTACCATGCGAGATGAATGGCATTCATGAAGCCATGAATCGAATCCTTTTCAAGCAGGAGTTGATACGTGCTGCTGATGAGGCCGAGCGTCAAAGAGCATTAGAGAAACAATTTCCAGGGGCGCGGTTCACAAACTCAGCAAGTAAATGAACACGCACCAAGCACCTTACTATTAGGTGACTACATTGCTTACACAAACGCTGCAGATCAAAATCCAAGTCCACCCAAGTTTTGTATAGACAGTCATTATTTCCCACCTCTTGGACGAAGCGCCTCACGGAAGGCGACTTGTGGCAGGAGGATTGACATAACAACCATGGCAGGAAAAGACATAGCAAAAGGAGCGGCGGTTGCCGGGAATCGAACTGGTTAATACATAGCTAGCTCAAATTGAAGCATACTTTCATTGACCAAGACAAACTTGCATTTATGTATTCTTGTTCTTCTTTATTTGGTCCCCACGGCTGTCCCTGGTGAGCAATGTAGCCCAAGCCATACATCCATGATCGCAACTGAACAATCGCTATCTGGTAGCCTAGTACTCCATGTATGGAAAAGCAGGGGATGTAGGCTCGTTGATTCTACGATTCGTAAATTCTAGGATGAATTGTCGTTGCATCAGCGCCATGTACCTACTCGCGAACAGGGCATGGCAAGCTTTTATATCATTGCGAATGGTGGCAACCTCCGTACGCGACTGATAAATGACTGGAACTCACCACTTGGGGTACCGGGTTGATGAGCTAAAAGAATACACCGCCGTTGCAGCTGGGACGCTGTACGCTGTGCGGGACATGTGAGTGGTACACGATGGTCTTGCGCTTCCAGGCAGCTAAACCCCCAAAAAACAAGTTCTGACATGGGAATTTACGTAGCATTAGGGGTTTGCCTTGAAAACTAGGAATCAGACTGGACTTTGGACTAGAGGCAGCCTGGGCGAAAGGAGAGCGGAAGTGAGAGAGACAAGCAAACGAAGAAAGGAACAGATTGAAGTATCATGCGCATCGCGATTTGATTTGATAAGTCCCAATGGCCCAGCTCCTACTACCGGAGCTGTGTCGACAGAGCGACGACCTGATCAAGCAGGGCTTTACTTTCGCCCGCCGCGTTCTTGGTGACTTTCTCCAACAGATGCTCGACGGTCTGTCCAGGATCCGTGATAGCAATGCCCTGCGCGGTCTTGATGCGTGCGACCTGGAACGCGAGGAAGAACTTGGGCACTTTGATCGCGAGATTCCCACCTTCGCTGCGGATCCCTGCCTCGGTGGCCAAGTATAAATTCAAGTCCGTCTGGAAGGTTGCGAGGTTCGTCGACGCCAGCGGGTTGGCGGTGGCGAAGGTGTCGAGTGCGAATTTCAAGGGTGTGGACGACGAGGTGGCGAAGTTGATGGATGAGAACGAGACGCCGCCGCTGGAGACGTCCGGCACGTTGCCGATGGTCTTCGCCGTGCCGCACGTGATGCCCCCTTGGATGACGGCGGCGACGTCCGCAGTCTCGGCTGGGAGGATTTCGCTCCCGACCAGGAAGCAGGCGGCTTGACGTTTGGCGACTGGTGTTGTTGGTGCAGCTTAGAGATCTTTTGTTAGGGGTCATCTTCCACGGAAGCATTCTGTCGTGCTTACCCGATCCGGGCCCAAATGTGGCTGCCAAGAGAGCAAAGCTCAGAATGTTGATACCGTTAAAATGCATATTTGATATCTCAAACGCTCAAACGAAAGACTAGATAAGAAGCGACCTGCGCGAACGAAAGGAATGTCAAGGACGAATGAAAGCGAACGGAAGGAAAAAGTCCCGAAGCAGTGACCAGCACAAGCGATGATATGAGATATGAGAACCGTGAGGCGTGATGTTTTCGAGGCAGCTTGTGAGTGGCATCGATCTTATAAGGAGTGATTGAACGTTCCATCTGGCCTTCCATTTCCCATGAGGTTACTCGATAGCCGAGATGTCTCACTTACTGAATCCACGCTCCGCGTGAAGAATGATTTTACCATTGTTTGACCATAATTGCCAGTTGGGCTAACGATGGAGTAGGAGGTGATTCTCAAACACTGCGTGCCCGAGCCTTGTCAGGTGGTATGAGGGGAAGATCATCACAGCCTGGTGGGCACAATTGGATATGAAGGATTTGTTTGCTCCTTCTGGGGCCTTTTATCGTTGAGATGGGGACGAATGGGCCGAATATATCATACTGGGTATTGTTCGTGGAGAGATGGCATTCCAGACCGCGATGATCGAGATGTCGAGAACTTTGGTCTTCTCCAGTAATGGCCGATGTTTAGGCGAAGCGAAGGGCAGCAGCCCAAGGTTGTTGGTCAAACCAAACTGAGACATGGGCCTGGTACAAGATCCACAAAACGGGTTTCTCGCTAAATGTTTTCCTGGCCAATCAATAGACCCGATCAGATTGGGAGAAAAACAATGATTTTACTCGGAGCCTCGGCGCCACTTGAATGGTTGCGCATGCGCATTGAATGCTCGGCGATGCAAATTGCGAGGATTGGAAAATGCTAGACGTTGGAAAGTATGGATATGGCAATCAACAGTCGTATCATCGATGAATAGTCAGCACGGCTTGATCGCTGCTATCGAGCAATTATGGGGATATCTGTACCCTGGCAGCGAGCACGAGGCGGACTAGATAAGTCTAATGATCCTTCTTGCTCACCCAGAAGGACGGAGTTCCGACCCCATCGTCGTCATACCTTTTCGAGGCCATATTCGAACACGGGGTGATAATGGTCGGTTTGTTTATATCGAAATGCCATTTTAAGAGTGGTTCGTTCATGCACCAGTCAACTCTTCATGCAGGTCGGACATCCGGCAGACTAGTTCAGTCTGTCTGTGTAAAGTCCCGGTCCAGCACGGATCATGGGACATCCGTACCAAATACTACTGGTGGAGATGATCTGGCGGAAATGCTTTGGTGTGTGAACACTGGGCTAAGCAAGTTCAAGAAAGATCGTGTGATTGAAGGGATGCCCAGCCTGCACTGTTGAATTCTGTGACTTTTTGCCGAGTAGCCCATAGAAAATCGACCACTTGGCCGTTTCGAATCAACGGCGCTGAAGTTGGGGAAGCAACCATCGTCATTTTTGCAATCCGATGGTTGGTACCAGTACTTCGTAGGACTTGGGGGGAGACGATTGATCGCTAGCCATTGCCTCGAGTCCACTTGCGGCCATGACCCATGAAGAAAGAGGCCATTGACTCAGCGGAAGAAGGTGCCTGTCAAGTTTTAGAATGGGAGTTGAAGCAGGGGAGACCAGACAAGCTTTATCAAGTGGAGGGAAGGCGGCGGCTAGGCGTCAACAGAACGACTTTTCCGGTTTATCAATGGAGGATTCGTGGCCTTGCACGTGCTCGACCGCCAAACAAGGCAACGCTAGTTTCAGGGGAAATGCGACCGAACACACCACTTTCCCTGCATACTTTTGAAAGGACCCTATCTTTTACAAGGTACTGAGCGTTCTCGTTGCGCATGAATAAAAATTAGATCTACAGATTTTTCAACGTTGACAGTGGAGTCGTACCATTCCATAGAAACCTGGCGGACAAGATGATCTTTCGACAGAGTACGAGGTACCTGGTAGTTATCGATCACCCACAAGTGGATCTTCAACCTGCTATCCACAGTCCCAGTGGTTGAGGTGACCATGATTTACACCTCGCTAGCGATAAGATGTGTGGACCCCAAACCGTCAAAGGCAATTTTACTAGCCAGCGATCAATTTTCGTCAACCGAATCAACAGGCCACCAACGCGTCAAGCACAATCTCGCCGTCTATCTCGTGTTGCTCATGTCTGTCAAAGCCCCAGGTTCCAGAAATGGATGGCTCCGTCCTTGAGCCTGGTTTATCCGGTAGCGCGTAGCTCGCCTGTCAAAGGTGTCAACCAAAAATGAATGGCCCTTTAACATACTCGTATCCTGCATCTCTGCTCAACACTTCTCCAGTATTGTACCAATATCCTCACATTCGACGACACTATGAGGCACGACATCTTCGCTGCGCTGGCCTTGGGCGCAGCAGTGGCACTCGCCGTCCCAGTTGCCGATGAGTCGTCTATGCCGCATGTGCTGCGGACACGCAACATTGTCGATGAGGTTGACGACTCATACGACTTTGTTGTTGTCGGGGGTGGCCTGGCTGGTCTCGTGTTGGGTGCTCGTCTATCAGAGGACAAGAACCATACTGTTCTTGTTCTTGAGGCCGGTAGCAACGGGGACGAGTATCGAAAACGGATAGGTGCGAATTGCTTTTCTCACCAAATCACGCTGTGTCGCATCGCTGACATGTTAACAGATACTCCGGCATATTCATATTTCGAATCGTTATGGCCAACACCATTAAACTGGAATTTTAATACTACTCCACAAGCCCATGCCAACAACAGTGAATTGCCATGGCCCCGAGGGAAGGTGCTTGGAGGTATATCTCCATTCTGACATGTGGATAGACCAGAGGGATACTGATGCATCATTCTTCACAGGCAGCTCAGCCATCAATGGGTTATATATGAACCGACCAGGTGAGATTGAGGTCAATGCATGGCAAGAGATGCTCGGTGACATGGACGGTGCCGACAACTGGTCTTGGGATTCGTTCTTTGCCGCCATGAAGAAGAGCGAAACCTTCACTCCACCCACGGCTGCTATAGCTCAAGAGGCTGGGATTACTTGGGACGCTTCGAGCCACGGAACCACAGGTCCCATTCACAATTCATATCCTGGCTAGTATGTCAATTTCATCTCAACCTGTCGCCTATCCGGCTAATCAACTCCCAGTACATTCCCTCTTGTCAAGCAGTGGCTTGAAGCGACAGAAAGCCAAGGTGTGGCCAATTCGGATGATACTTATGGTGGTCAAAATTGGGGATCCTATGTTGCAAATTCTGCCATCAATCCTGCCAACTGGACCCGCTCTTACAGTCGATCGGGTTATCTTGACCCTCTTCCACCTCGTCCGAATTATGCTGTCCTCGCCAACGCTCATGTCACACGCGTTCTCTTCAATTCGAGTTCTCCCAAGGGCAACTTGAGCGCAAATGCGGTGGAATACACACGAGACAATGGGGCCACCAAAAGGATCGTCACGGTGAAAAAGGAGGTCATTCTAGCTGGTGGCACTATTGGCAGCCCTGCTGTTCTTCTCTACAGCGGTGTCGGCCCCAAAGATGTGTTGGCCAGTGCTGGAGTCAAGCTCGTCTCTGAACTTCCTGGTGTTGGCCAACATCTGCAGGACCATTTGGTAAGCTCTCCTCGCATGCACATGCAGAAAGCATTTCTGACCGAAGCAGAGCGCAAATCTCCAATTCAGCACCGATCAAGCCACTGCTGGTTCAATCTATGATTCAAACACTACAGAAACAGTGAGTCAATTCTCGGTCATCCATTTGTGTGATTTATTTTAACAAACCACTAGTACGACCCAGCATTCCTCTCATATATCAATTCCGCTGTTGCCTATGTCAATGCAAGTGTTTTATTCGGCAATGGGGCCGATGGTCTTCACTCCAACATCAAAGGACAAGTGGACCAGTTCACATCTCTTATGACCACAGATTCAGGCGTTATTGCCGGTAATGAGGCGATTTACACCACCACGGTCGATAAAATCTTCACCAGCCCTCTCGGCCTTGTCGAACTTCTAATTGGAAATAATAATAATGGTACAGTCAATATTGGGGCTGCTCTTCAACATCCTTACAGCTTTGGTCGCATCTACATCAATTCGTCCAACCCTGTGGATTACCCAGTGATCGACCCCAACTATCTGGTACACCCTGCCGGTATGTTTAATTTTTTCCACTCGTGTTCAGATGATACCATATACTAATATTGATACAGACGTACAAACTCTCCGCGAAGGCCTCAAACTCGTCCGCCGCATTGGAACCTCAGGTCCATTGAGTGCCAGTCTTTCCGAGGAAATCTGGCCTGGCAAGGATGTCCAGACCGATGATGAATGGGATGAGTTCCTCCGAGGCTCAGTATTCACCGAATTTCATCCTTCTTCAACTTGCGCCATGCTTCCCCTTGAACAAGGTGGAGTGGTTGATGCAGAACTGCGCGTTTATGGTCTGGCCAATGTCCGTGTTGCCGACGCCAGCGTTCCTCCTATCTCCTTCTCGGCACATCTGATGGCTTCAACATATGGCCTAGCAGAGCAAGCCAGCGACATCATCCGTGCTTATCATAATCGACCTATCTCGAAATCATCCAACAATACCTCTTCTTCGAACAATACATCAACACACAACTCAGACGACGACAACTCAAACCAATCGAGTGGTAATTCTAATACTAATTCGAGTGACAGTTCGAAGGGCGATTCGAACGGGAGTGTTGGGTTGACAGTACAACCATGGCCGGTATTACTTGCTGCTGCAACATGCGTTGTATCAGTACTTTTTGTTTAATTTTTGAATAACCCAGAGATGCTTAGCGATGCATCCGTTACATATTTCTAATTCATGAACATTCGACACAATCCCGATTCCAGACCGAACTCTTGCATTCGTGAACAGCTACCGTGGCACCGAGAATTCCGACATGGATAATGATGCCAAGTTCTCCTCTCTGCCACGACAAACGTTTAAGCGGAGAGTAAGCAATCCTCCATATGTATGACTGGCGGAGATACAAACGTTTATACCCATCTACTCTCTACGAAAGTCCCATTCTAAACCGAGGCGAGGCTTAGCTGATGAATGCCGAGGGAAGAATGACGACAATGGTCGGATGCCAATGCAGAAAGCGCATCCGATACCCGGTCAAACCCCTGGTCTTCTATTCGCTCACATGCCGGTTCAGCCGCCAGCCACCAGGAAAGCAATGAGAAACAAAAGGTAACGTGACCCAGCTGAAACTAACTTTAGATCCCTTGAACCTACTCCACGATGAATAAGTCAAGGCTGAGGTCGTCGTCATCTCTTTGACATCTCTTGCACACATTTTCTTCTGGATTCTTTTATCGTACAATTTCCGGCCTCGAAACATCACAAGCACATCGTGAGAGCCCTAACTATCCGACCCATCCCGGCATAGCAGACAACCAACAGGGAACAATCACACCTCAATAATGGTCATCTTCGGAGGACTAGAACTCGTAGCTGCGGGCTATGTTCTCCACGAGCTACACAAAGATGACGAAAAGCCACGCAGCAGCGAGGACCGACGTCGACGCCGTCATCGTCACGACTCACAATCTCATTCACACTCACATCATCGTCGCGACTCGGATAATCGACCCCGGCCACCTCGACCAGAAACGCTCGCACTCCCGATCATGGCGCCACTGAGGCCGAATAGTGCTCCGCCACAGCAGACATTCCAGCCTCGTCCTGGTGGAGGTGGAGGCGGAGGCGGACCATTCCCGCCGGGACCTGGGGGACCATGGATGAATCAAATGCCCATCCAGCATCAGCAACAGAGACCACCAAATCCACCACCCCAAGGACTTCCCCATCCGCAGACTTGGCCACATCCCAACGCCAACAATGGACCACAGAACCAACCGCCGAACAGGCCGATGTATCTGGCGAGTGATTTCCCACCAAACCCGCATCAACAACAGCAGGCACCCCCACCACCACCACAACAACAGCCGCCTCCCGGCCCAGGAAACCTCGCACATCGCCCCACGATGCACTTCGACATGAAGACCGGAAAATGGCAATTGGACATGCTCCCGCCCGAAATGCCACGCAGCGACAGCATGCCCGCGGGACTCCTGAACATCCCCAGCTCGCGCAACCGGAGCGCAAGCCTGCAGCCGCCGCCGTCACGATTGCGGCAGGAAAGCCACCGTGGACACGGACACGCACGCGGCTCGTTCTCCTCGTCCGGCTCAGACTCGTATTCTTCTGGGTCTGACTCGTCCAGCGACGACCGAGATCTCGCGTACGGCTCTTTGCCTGGCGAGCGAAGGCGGCGCAGAGGACCCATTCAGAGGATCGTGTCGCGGGAGAGGGCGCGTCCAATTCCCCCGCAGCAGCAGCAGCAGTTGGCAGGAGGTGGCGGTGGTGGGAGAGACTACTATGGGCAGAGTTTGGGGGCTGGTGGGAACGGAGGCGGGAGGGGCTCAGCCAGTATGCCTGTTGAGATGCCGCATCAGATGCGGTATGAATTGCAGGGATGATGGGATCCAGTCACGAAGAGAAGATCCGAGAGTGCCCACCGTAATGAACGAACGACTTTTTCGACAGCGAGATATCGCGGGCGTGCGTTTCGTTTTATCGTTCTTCCTCTGTGGGCGGAGGGGAATGAGCAGCTCGGAAGTCCATGATTAACTACTAGTAACGAGGTCTGCCTGGGGCAGAATGCACGTTGTTACGACTGGAAAAACGCCGATAATAAATTTGATATAGTATGCAGTGCAATGCGGTGCTATGCTGTGCTGTGGTAGCATTCGCTGGCCGACAAGTAAATCTAATCTTGCATGTCATTCCCACTTATGAAAATTGCATTCCATTCATTCCATTCATGATGGCATCGCGTGCCAATGCCAGAAATCGTATCTATCTGACCGTTGTTCAAAAAAAAAGAATCCCTTCCCTAATTCGTCTTCAGAGTCTTCTGTTTCTCCGCATCCCGTCCGCCACGATAACCTTTGACCAGCAGACCCTTCCGGACCCTCACCAAATCGACATATTTCTTGGCAACGTTCTCCCGCTCACCATGCACGCCCAAATCCTCGAGTTCCTCTTCGCTCCTCGGCACCCAGAAGGGATCGACGTCGTCGAGCATCTGGAACCCGACGAATTTGAGCATCGGCTGCGCGAGCCCGGAAGTACGCTTGCGGATCTCCTCGCTGAAGCCGAACGACTCGGCGACTGGCAGGGTTGCTTCGATCGTGAAGTAAGGGGTTCCTTCCAGCAGGGCTTCCGAGAGGATCGAGCCGCGACGTCGCGTGAGTACCGAGTACACCCGTCCCAGCACTTCCGGTGTTGCTTGGATCGTGCAGCTGTACATTGCGAGCAGGATGCGTGGAGACCAGTCGAGGAATGCAGACCGGATGGTCTCGCGTACTGAGGTGATGAGTTCGCCTGTGAGTCGACCTGATTCCACGGTTGTTGTTGAGGATTCGCCATTGGATTCGTCGTGGTATGTGATCTCTTCTAGGAACACAGCAATGCCTTGTGTCGGTTCACGGCACAATGGGCCTTGGGAGGTCGACAGCTGGAAGGCGTATGCTATTGTGTCTGAGAAATCGTATGTTGGAGAAGAGTCAGATTCGTTGTTCTGCGCTTCGCTGTCGTGGTTGTGTTTGATCTCGTTCTGCTCCAGGAGGAAGCGTTTGCATGTGTTTCTCTCAGTTGCATCAATAAATAGATTTGGCCCGATGCGTCTGGGACCAAAGGCACAAATCTTGGAGACGACTTTTTGCCATTCTTCCTTGTCCTCTTCCACCTCGTCAAATGCTTTCTGTAGCTGTTGTCGGAATTCTTGTAGTGAGAGATTGCTCCGTTCATGTCCTGCATCATAACCCAGATCAATGGCGCCATCCTCGTCGACATCCTCTGCATTCTTGATTCCATCTTCTTGCGCTTGCTTCTCTGCATAGAGCCTCCGGATTGACGCTCCATTCTTTATGAGGAACTCTGTAATATTCTCCGGTAAAGGCCGAACTCGAAGTTTGACAGAGACAACCTTAGATGCTGTGACAGCTATAGCTGCTCCTCTAGGCAAATCTTTATGCTTGGGAGGTTCCATCTCTTCTGCCTTGACTATGGTCTCTCGATACGGCACAATAGGCTCGCCGGGTTGAATATCGCATTTCGCGAAGCGTTCTCGGAGATCTTTCAGACATCTTTCCAAATGAAGCTCTCCGGCAGTAAGAATGACGTGCTCACCACTTTCCATCTGTTCATAAACTGCGCATGGATCGCTCTGCTCCAGGAGTTTCAAGCCCTTGATCATCTTGTTAAGATCCATAGGGTTAGTGGGCTCAAGCGCAACTCGAACAATTGGTTGACTGAAAGATGCAACCCCTGCCAAGTTAATACTACCTTCAAGTTGAGAGCATAACGTGCCTGTTTTAAGAATATGCCCTTCCAATCCTTCAATACCGAAGACCACTCCAGCAGGTACTTTCTCCAAGGGTTCCAGGCTCCGGCCCATCAGAAGATATAATGCGGTGATGGGGACTTTTCGTGGCTCGGGTGATGCATGAGGAAATGCAGGATTGAATTTAGGTGGCAGTACGTAAAGCTCATCGCCCACGGAAAGAGTTCCAGAATATAATCTGGCAAACCCAATTAGGTGTTCGGGGTCTTCTGGCTGTTCTGGTGTCAGGATCTCATCGACCTCTTCTCCTATTCTCGTCGAGTTGAGACCATTTGTGATCTGTCCGACGTCCGTTTCTCCATTGGCTTCCGCCTGAGCTTTTGCGATTTCTGCTCTCTTTTTGCGGGCCAATTCGCGCGCTTCATCCGCAGTTAGAGCTGTGCCTAATTTCCTCCGTTTGGAGGGGAGTTCGCTCTCTGGGATGGCAACCATTTTGCTAACATACGCCACCACTGGCGCAGTTGCATCAGTCTTGAAATGAACCATTGAATCTTTGAGAGTCTGGTCCACACTTTTGGTCCCAACCACCTCGTCAATCATCTCTGGCAAGCGAGTAGCCTGAGCGATTGGCGGACTAGGGAGATATTCGATAACGGAAACCAGGAGCGCGGTTGACAGGGGAAGCCATGACGAGAAGAGAGCCTGTAGGACAGCCTTGGTATCTCGTGATCGAGCGATGTGTGCTGGAAGACTAATGGAGAGAGATTTTGTGATTTTCTCTAACAAAGCTGGATCTCCACGACTGCCATTGATGCCAACCGTGGCATCATATGCTTGCCATATAGGTTCCAACACCAGTTGAACGAAGATTGGCTTCAGATTTCTTCCTTTCAGATGCTTTTGACCGAGGACTTTCTTGGTTTTTGGGTCCAGATAGAAGTCACCCCAAAGGACTTTCTCGAGGATAGAACGCTTGATGCCCAGCTTCTTCTCATAGATGGCAGCGAATTGCCGGACGGTCAATGCCCACCCGTCAATTGCACTTGCAAAGATAACGTTGTTCTTTTCTGGGGCAAAATATAAATCTTCATCATCACGCTCTTCATATTGTTGTTCCACATCAGCTTCAGAAGTGGTGTCACTCAGGGCTTCCTGCTTCTGCTGCTCCCGGGCTTGTTTCCTCTGATCGAGCTTTTCTCGCCATTGAAGATCTTCTTCCATGCGCTCACCTTGAAAGAACCCCCCAATAACAGCGTTGACACCCTCGAGTACTCTCTCAAGATGCAAATACGCCTCAGCAGGAGTCATTTTGAGTTCAGTGATTAGTCTGTCTATTTTATTGATGACTAGTAAAGGTTTCAGTTTCTCGACCCACACCTGCCGTAGTACGGTGACTGTCTGAGAACATACACCTTCCACTGCATCGACGAGAACAATGGCAGCGTCACAAAGTCGTGATGCAGTACTGACTTCTGACGAGAAGTCAATGTGACCAGGACTGTCTATCAGATTTATCAGATACTCCTCTTTCTTTGGTTCTGCGATATCTTGCTGCCTCCGCATCATACTGAAGTATAGACTGATGGCACTGCTTTCCATTGTAATACCGCGAGTCTGTTCGTCGGGTCTGGAGTCCAGGTAACGGATCTTGCCTGCCATTTTGGGTGAGATTATCCCATTCGTGGCAATGAGGGAGTCAGTAAGAGAGGTTTTGCCATGATCGACATGAGCAAGAATGCAAATGTTGCGAATATTGTCTGCATTGGACTGCAAGGCAACAAGCCGCGATGGGGGAATGGCAGGCATGATGAGGGTAAGGGTGGTGGCGGTGGTTCAAGTTGTGTCTAGGCTGTCCTGCAAGTCAGAGGGCGGAAAGAGGTGATGTATATAATGCCTTGTCTACGCTCTGGTCTCATGCCTTTTAATCACCCACACTGGCAGTACAGTGCTGATGCGATTTCTAGAACTTGTCGCTCAATGTGGCATCTGGAATTGTCAAAAAAAGAATTGAGGGCAGATAGCAGCCCGAATTGCGGCGGACGTCATTCGGTGACTCAGCTCTTGCTTAGCGTGTTTTGTCATTGGCCAATTGAACACTAAAGGCCACCGTGACCGGGTAACCTTCCACTTTGATGGGCGTGGCTTTCGGAGGAAGGCACCCCTCCACCTGGTAAATTCCCCCCCATTGTCAGAGCCTAAAGGGCCTGAAGCGGGAGCTGCTATCCCTGAATCCCCCAGGCTTCTGTTTGGGGCCGAGGGTGTAGGAAGTCCCCGACAGCCACAACTCAGTGAAGCATCCAGGGGCGCTCAACCAAAGTTTTAGGTGCCAATGTTGGCCAATTACTGCCCCTGCCAACCCCCTCCATGCCTGTATCCGAATTGCAGTTCGTGTCCGGCAATCCCCAGTAGCCCTGCAGGTCGCGATCTTCACTTCCAAGATTCAAGATGCACTGCCACTGCCAATACCAGTGCCAATGCTAATGCTAATGTCAAACTGAAATCCATGCCATGCGTTTCTCACGGCGCTTCGTCTCGTCTTGTTTCCAATCCTCATGTGTAGACCAATTCACTTTGTGTCTGAGCGAGTCTTCTCATGTCCTCAGATCAATTAGCCTGGGCGATATTCAACGGACACGACTGCAATGCGGTTAGCATCCCACAGCGCAGAGACTCGATGATGAGATGAACTATCCAAAGCTTCCACCCGTCCTCAACTACTTCTCAACTGGCCAAAGATGGCCTTAGACCCCTCCAAGCCACCGAGCGTGACTGGATCGCAACCTCACTCGACTGAGCAGGACTCACAGAGAGTGATGACAAGCAATGAGATGGACAACCCTACAATATTTGCGATGGACGCCCAGTCGCAAGGTGACCCTGGCAGAGTTCGTTTCTCGAGAGAAATGCCGGGAACGAATCTCGACATTCCCCCGCAGACTGGGACAAATAGTTCAGGGTTAAGGTCTAGCACGCAAAAATCTCCAAATCAAGCTCGCAATCGGGGTTACTCCCTCAGGAGATCGCTCTTCTTTCATAATATTCAGAAACAAGATCCAGATAAAGGAGGCATCTACGAAATGGGCGCGCCCAAAGAAAGGATGGGGATCGAGCAAGCTTCGATTGATGAGAATGCGCTGGGGAAAGGCAGGACCGGGGAGGCGGCAGTGGTGACAGAATCAGGCTCCCTGAAAGGGACAAGGCTTTCAGATCCGGGCCTCGAGCTACCACTCTACCGGCGTTGGCTCTCTAAGCAGAATTCACGAAAAACTTTGAAGCAAAGACTGTCAAAAACTTATCGCGACATTCATGACAAGATCCTTCGATCTAATGCTCTTCCACATAGCGTTGACGGCAGGAGTGTCAAGGTCAACATTCTACCTGGTGACGGACCCATCGATGACCGGACGGGGAAACCATATATCAACAACTTGATCATTTCCTGCCGTTACACTCTTTGGAACTTTGTACCTCGCCAGTTAGTCGCTCAGTTTGGCAAATTGGCCAACTTCTACTTTCTGTGCATTTCAATCTTGCAGATGATCCCCGGCCTAAGTACCACTGGCACCTTTACAACCATTGTACCCTTGTTGATTTTCGTCACAATCTCAATGGCCAAAGAGGGATACGATGACATTAGACGTCATCGCCTCGATAAGGAAGAAAACGAACGATTAACCAAGGTTTTGAAGCTCCGTGAAACTGGAGACGACGGTGCTGATACCGTCGAATGGCACGAAAAACACTGGCGAGAAGTCAGAGTTGGTGATGTTGTGCTCCTGGAGCGTGACTCTGGTGTGCCTGCTGATTTAATTCTTCTTCATGCTGACGAGCCGACCGATACCGCCTACGTTGAAACTAAAGGATTGGACGGTGAGACGAATTTGAAGTCGAAAAAGCCACTTCCGGACATAAGTGAGCTCTGTCAAGACCCAAACTCCATTGCCAATTGTAGCAACATCTTTGTTGTCGAAGACCCAAATCTTGATTTGTACAAATTTGATGGAAGAGTGCATGTAAGCGGCCGAACGCTTCCACTGACCAACTCGGAAATCCTCTACAGGGGCAGCGTCCTCCGTAACACACCAAAAGCTGTCGGCCTCGTCATTTACTCAGGTGAAGAATGTAAGATTCGTATGAACGCGAATAAAAACCCTCGAGTCAAGGCACCCGCACTGCAAGGTAAAGTCAACCGGGTTGTCATTGTGGTTGCTGCTCTTGTGTTTTTCATGGCCATCATATTAACTATCGGTTATGTTATTTGGCGCCCAAGGACCGAGCCCGATGCATGGTACCTGCAATCGGCCTCTGTTCCCATTGGTCATGTTCTAACCTCTTTCATCATTATGCTCAACACCATGCTCCCACTGAGCTTGTATGTCTCGCTCGAGATTGTCAAGGTCGCTCAAATGCTCTTGATGAACGATATCGACATGTATGATTCGGATTCGGATACTCCAATGGAGCCGCACACCTCGACCATCAATGAAGAACTTGGACAAGTCAGTTATATCTTTTCAGACAAGACTGGTACACTCACCAACAACTCGATGAAATTTCGAAAGATGAGTATAGCTGGTACTGCTTGGCTTCATGACGTTGATCTCCAGAGAGAGGCCGAAGAAGATGTTGGGAATGCGAAATTGATCCATAAAAAGCGTGCAAAGGGCAAGGAATCTGCTCCACGGAAATTGAAGGTGTCAAGCCCTGGACTCTCACGCAAATCGGATGTTTCAGGTTCCTTTGAGCAATCCGAGAAGCCTGAAAACATTCAACCGAATGTACCTGGCGAGGTACATGCTGATGCTGATATACCCAAAACCGAAAAACTCTTGAGCTATCTTCAGCACCGACCACAGACTGTTTTTGCGCGGAAAGCCAAGTTCTTCCTTCTTTCATTGGCAATTTGTCATACTTGCATTCCAGAGCATGGCAAAGATGGCTCGATCGCATATCAAGCTGCATCTCCCGATGAGCTTGCACTTGTTACTGCTGCCCAAGATATGGGATACATCGTGGTGGACCGGCAGTCCAATACAGTGACTGTCAAAACAATTTCTGGTAGCAATGGCGACGCTGTACAAGAAAGCTACGAGGTCCTCGACGTGATTGAGTTTTCTAGCCTACGAAAACGAATGTCAATCATCGTGCGAGTGCCTGATGGCCGCATTTGCCTCTTTTGCAAAGGTGCCGATTCCACCTTGAGAAAATTGTTGCGACTGGCAGATCTGGCAGCGTCAAATGTGCAAGACGTTGAGAAACGAGCGAGTCAGAGGAGAAGTGTGGATGCACGACACGCCCTCCGTCGAAGAAGCACGCAAATGAGTCAAGCTAGCTCCTTGCACACATTTGAGACTGCGGCGGGACGTCAAAGCACTAGTAGCATTGATAAGACTATGTCAACACGTGAAACCATTGACCACTGGCTTCGAGACCGAGAAGCAGATGTTGGTTCGCCTTCAAACCGCCGCCGAAGTTCTCAATTCTATTCACCTAGACCGTCTCTCCATCTCACTTCTCCACGCATGTCAGAGAACAACGCCGTTCGTTCATCATTTCAAGCAAGTCCTCGCGCATCCTTTCAAGGCGAGTATCTGGAGGATCTTGTCGATGAAGGCCTTGTTGTGAACGACAATACTGTATTTGAGCGCTGCTTCCAACATATTGACGACTTTGCCACAGAAGGTCTCCGTACTCTTTTGTACGGCTATCGATATTTGACCGAAGATGAGTATACAACTTGGAAGGCTATCTATGCCGCCGCTGCAACTAGCATTGTTGATCGACAAGACAAGTTGGAGCGAGCAGGTGAGATGATTGAGACCAAACTTGAGTTACTTGGAGCTACTGCCATTGAAGATAAATTACAAAAGGGGGTACCTGATGCAATTGACCGCTTCCGTCGCGCGGGTATCAAGATGTGGATGCTCACTGGAGACAAGCGTGAGACTGCGATCAACATTGGACACTCTTGCCGCCTGATCAAAGACTACTCTACTGTCATAGTACTTGATCATGAACTTGGAGATCTTCATGTAAGAATGGCCAAGGCTTACTCGACGATGAAAGACAGTGAAACCGCTCATTCTGTTTTGGTCATTGATGGCCAAACCTTGACTATCATTGATGCAGACGCAGCATCACGAGCTCTATTTACAGACATCGCAATTCGGGCAGACTCTGTCATCTGTTGCAGAGCATCTCCCAGCCAGAAGGCGTCCTTAGTCAAGACTATACGGACAAAAGTCAAGGGATCGGTGACTCTTGCCATCGGAGATGGCGCTAACGACATTGCCATGATACAAGAAGCCCATCTTGGTATTGGTATTGCTGGTAAAGAAGGTCTTCAAGCTGCCCGTACCTCGGATTACTCAATAGCACAATTCCGCTTCTTGTTGAAGCTGCTTTTGGTTCACGGTCGGTGGAACTATGTTCGTATTTGCAAGTACACGTTGGGAACATTTTGGAAAGAAATGATTTTCTACACTGTTCAGGCACTTTACCAACGATGGAATGGATATACCGGAACAAGCTTGTATGAGCCTTGGAGTCTATCCATGTTCAACACTTTGTTCACATCCTTGCCGGTCATTTTCATGGGCGTCTTTGAGAAGGATCTTTTACCCGCCACTCTGCTCGCAGTGCCTGAGCTCTACAATATTGGTCAAAAGAACCGCGGCTTCAATTTCAAGTTGTACTTCTACTGGGCAGTCCTTGGCGCAGTTGAAGCTCAGGTGGTCTACTTTATCCTCTGGGCAGTTTACGGAGAAGCTATCTTCACGAGAGACCAATCACTATTTGCTTATGGGGTGCTAGCATATAGTGCGTGTGTCATCATCATCTCAATCAAGCTCCAGTTTCTTGAGCTTCACAACAAGTCGATAATGGCTGCCATCGCTATATTCTTATCTGTGGGTGGATGGTGGTTATGGAATCTCCTCCTATCTGTCCTCTATCCCGCAGACAAGAATCCAATATACAACGTCAACCGAGCTCTTCTAGACCGCTTCGGACGCAATCTGCTATGGTGGATTGCCCTTCTACTTATCGTTCTGGCGGTGTGCGTTCTGGAATTCTCTATCAAAGCCATCAAAACTACAATTTTCCCCTCAGATGTGGATATATTCCAAAGGCTCGAGAAAGACCAGGAGGTGCGCAAACGATTCGAAGAAGCATCCGCGGATCTCCTTCAACAAGGATGGGACCGGGGAACCAAAAAATCCAGTATCGAACTGGAGCAGGAAACCGCAGCACAGATCGAAAGAGAAGCACATGTCCAACAGCTTCTCGAGAAGCCAAGGAATACCGAGGAACACCGAAAGCCTTGGCTCAAGAGGCACTTCTCAGCTGGAGGAAGTACCACAACTGGTGCAGCGGCCGAGAAAGACAACAAGGCTGGCCATCGCAATGCCGTTGAGGATGGAACGGAGATGGGACAAGTGCCCAGGAAGTCTGTCGATGTTGCAGAACTCTTCAGCAAAGGTTTTGGAGCAGTCCGGAAAGGACCCGAATTACGATGAACGGAAATGATATACTGGGAGAGTAGATGCATGTACCTTCCCTGCGGTACTCGATATTCATTCAGTACATACACGCATATCTATATATTTAGGTAGCCATTTAGAAGATACCCACACACGACAAACGACGCAATGAGATGCATGCCTGCCATTAAAAGATCCCTTATGAATTTACATGTTGAATCATGAATGATTCTTTTTTGACTAACAACTGGGATGAAGATTTGAGTAATGATATAAGCGTCTCATGAAGAGGGGGCGTGCGACTCAACTTGTCAAAATTTACTTGTAGCTGGACATTGTCAAAATTTCTGAATATAAATATCCGAATCCTCAGGATAATATTCGACTGCCCTTTTGGTACCAAATAGAACAACCTCGTCCGCCGAGCTACCGCTCACCACGGGTTTTACCTCAACTCTCTTATCGACACGTCCGAGAATAGTCACAAATGAAAGCCTACATGCCGATCTCCAGATCGATATATTCATATTACAGGTGGAGGAGACGATGCGTGCATGCAAGAGGAAAGCCGTCCGAGAGGTGGGTGGGTGGGCTCGGAACAACACCGAGCATACAATGGACGGAGCTACATCTACATAGCTACTACTAACTAGACTGAAATTATCCTTGAGTACAATAATGCATGAGGCCATCTGAGTATCTATGGATGTAACTAGTTGTTGTAATCCGGATACAACAAAAGTTGGCTGCAGGGTGCAAGCTAAGGAGAAAGAGAATTGAACGTCGTGGAATATAATTACAAGCATCGATTTGGGCTCGCTCGGCCTTCACGCCCAGAGATTTGCTGCAAAGATACTCCATTATTATGCACATTAGCAGTTCTCCTCCTACAATACTTTCCGTTGCCATTGGTTTTATGTTTATTGATACAACCAGTCCAGACGGTCTAACAGAGCTTTTCGATCGCAGGCTTCAAGATAGCAGATATACTTGAATGATCAAGAGCATGCGCTTGCATTTTATGATGTACGGATAGCGGATAGGCATGGCATAGTTTACTCCAAGAGGCGTAGAGTTGAACTCGCATTCCGACACCACGTTGCGAAAATTCCTTTTTTTCGGAACTTTCTCCACTGATTATGTATTCGTAACGTTAGATGACGACTCGCGAGATGGATACATACCAGGGAAGAAGATGAGAGTGACTACGGAGAATTGATGGATCTTGAGAACAAAGAATCAAAATTGGGGAATTAACTAATAATATCACTCTACCTCGTACGCCATAATATGGATATCGGCTCGCTCGCTCGCTCGTTGCGAGTTTGCGGGTCTTCAACTAACCAGGCAGTCCGGCTAGGAGAATTCTTTGTTCAAATTCTCTGTGCAATGCTAGTATCATCGACTTCAGGGACTACGAGATAGTGGGCTGTTGTCTTCGGGTTTCGTTTTCCTTCCCTGGGAGACGGTTTGGCTTTCATGCCGTTCTACCTGCATTGTGTCTCGGGTACCAGCAGCGCAAGTGTCTGCGGTACCTGTATGCAACATGCAGGGTGGCCCAAATTTATTTCTGGAGAGGATGTAAACTCTATGTGCAATGTGCATGTAGGCAATCTTGTCCATGTTCGCCTTGAATGGGCCGAGTACAGTACATGCAGAGGTAAAATGGGTTGCGGCCTAGTAACTAGCAGGCTCTTGACCTAGCTTATCAATATATTGGTGACAAGCGAGCGAACCATGCCCGCTTAACAGGCGGGATGCTAGGCATGTCATCGGCAACTTCTAGGTGTTTAGGTGGGCCATCGAGGTGAGACAAGGCCCTCTCAAAGGGGAAAGAGGTAAGATTTTGGGGCTCCAGAAAAGGAGGCTCGGTGCACGTGCTTCAGGATTTCTCAGGTGGCTATTTTCTCAGGAGAGAAATGTTTGAGGCAAATGTTGTTGGTTGTAGATCTTGAGGCCGAAGAACGCGATCGTAGCAATAGGATTGGGGGTTGACTTCATATCTCACACGTTTGCGAAACATCTTGGTCCGTATATCCAACCCCATCCAGCCCCGATGATTGTGGTGCCAGAGACGGGGTCAAATGAAGTTTCGCCAAGGACTTGGGCAAAATAGAGCAAGTACGGAGTATCCGTAGCAGAGTATCGAATGAAGAACGGAGGAAGAAGGGGAAAACCAAATGCCTTTTTCTCTCAGCCACTATTGTGATACAGTTGTGCCTCATGATATGCAGTTTCAGTTCCTTCGAGTATGAGAATCTGTAACCTTGAGGCGGATGTGCATCACGTTCCAATGATTGGCCATCTGAGTCATGGGGCGAGACGTTTGGGAAAGGAGGTCGTTAATGTGTCAGACTCGGCATTGCGGTGAGGCGGATACTTCTACCGTCATCTGGAGATTTGACGAGGTCAGTAAACGCGCGGCGTAGCTTGTATGTATGCACTGCGCATGATTCCGAGGCATGGTTTTCGGAACGTTGGGAATCGATGCTTAGAGTGAAGAGATAATGGACAGGAATGGGAGGCGATGGGTGTCCGGATAATGCTTCAGCTGCCAGCGGCAGGCAGGTGTCATGGTAGATTGCGGCTGCATCGTCGATGACACACGCGCGTGACACGTGTTAGGCATCTAAGATTGAATTAAAAGTCGTGAAGAAAGTGACATCGCGATTGGAATGAACCGCCAGAGCTCACCTTGTTCTCAACGACTTCGTTAAACGTCTTGCTCCGTATTTCAGGCGATATCAACCATGCAACTACCCATATTTCCATGCTCATGCTCATCCATTCCAGACTCCAGTTCCTTGCCAGAACCTCTACTAATCCTTGAACCCTGAATCCTAACGTCAAAGTTCAAGTTGAATTGGCTTTCAGAGACTAACCCGTGTCGACCAACCCCACCGTGTCTTGCCAAGGGTGTCTCTTGTCTTCCTATCACGATGACTCGGTACCTGCGTCGTGCCTGACTTGGGCTTCCATCTGTCGGTGGGAGGAGACATCTAATTCGATGAGGTCATGCCACACCGAGTTAACCCCTGACCAAGCTTACCCAGGTCCACTTTTACATCTACTGGCTATGACCCTGCCTATGACTGATTGACAACCAGTGGCCAGGATCTTGACTGACTCGGCCACAGGCACAACAAAGTCCACACTTGGACAGGCCTGTAACTGGGGAACAGGCAGATAGTGCTCAATGTTACTGAGCATTTCCTCAAGCTTCTGGCGAGAGGTACGCAGACAACGCATATCTCTACGCGTACGGCATCAGGATGATTTAATACTTGTTCGTCCACCAAAAAGAACACTGACCTACACTCGAAGGATATAAGTATTCAGACTTCAAGACGGGGCAGTCAAGTGATTTTTACTCCGTGCCTCGCACAAAATAAACTTGACCGGCTATTGCGCAATCCACCGTGCAATGCGCCGTCAGTTTTCTCTCCTATCTCACCCTATCACTGGTCACGAAGCTTTGGCATTCAACCGTCTCGTGCTTAGATGTCACCAGTCTGCATCAGGCATCATTCTTGACTTCACAGCTGCTGCCGACATTGTGATGCTTTCAAGAGTCATCGCGTTCGCGCACGGATACTTTGATATACACATATTTTGTGTCTAGACAAAGAGAGGCTGGGTCGAGTTCGATTTTTATCCCGCGAATGCAATCCATCGTAGTGCCAGATTGTGGCGACCTTGGCGTTGGCATGTTGTTAGCGCTACCCATGCACGACATGCACAATCGGTACAAATGTCCTTACTCTGTACGGATAGCGTTGGTAAACGCGAGCTGGATTTCCTAGAGATTTTAACCCATGACACACCATTCTTTGCACATGTGCAACATAAGTGCAACTTTGAAACTCGCTGGTTATGGCAACAACGTAGAAAACATCCGACCTCTCGAATAGCTGTTCGTACAGGGTCGTCAGCGATGCATCGTGTGACAATTATGGACGCGCCACCATAATCGGGGATTTGGCAACAGGTGACAATCAGGCTGTCCTATTCCAAAGTTTTGGAGACACTCGTCCAAAACACGGGGGCACCACCTCAAAATGGTTAAGCGATGGCTATAGATTGCCTGACTGATGACTTCGTCAGGTGCCGCTCTGCTGGCCTGGTGGCAAATCACAGCCGCTGCCATGTTCACTTGACAGCGAAACTGTCCTGCCACTCCCATCCAATCATTCTCCCTTGGACCTGACCTCGATGAGGCTTGCAAAGAGTTAAATGTTATTGGTCCCAGTCATTGGTTCTATCGTAACTGAAGAACCAAAGATGATTAGACGTTACAACACACCACCTCTCTCGACATTCGTCTCCAAGATTCTAACTGGTTGCAACAATAACGGCATTGCCTATGATATACGGGACACTCGTCAAATGATGGTGAGGGAAAAAGGGAAAAGGAGGGGGATCTTCGTTCGGATCGTGGCATGGCCGGTGACCCCCCTGGTCCGTGGTTGCGTTGCAAAGGATATCCCGGAGTTTTTGGGGTCTTGGCCGCTCGAGCTGTGGCTTTACTGCTGCCTTTCCCATCCTGCTTAGGGAGTTGGCGGCTGCATATTGAAGCGTGACTTCGTGTCTCGGACGCGTGCAGACAAGGTTACCGTTATGCACAGACGGCAATAGATTACTCCAACTATTTGCCAGTCTGCAATACGGAGCACCTCAGTCTCAAAAGGATGACTCTGAATACCAGGCTCCCATTTCTTCTTTCGTCACAACATGCACTTTAGCCCGGGCTGAAACCCCATCAGAGACCACTCTGCCAAAGAAGCCGGAAAAACACTGGAACGGGCAAGCTCTGCTCCGTACTCGTAGGCTCTATCTAGCGCGAAAAGAGTGAGACGGACACCATCATCCATGTTGTGACATGGATTGTTTTGACATGGCTCCTCCTTGAGAGGTGTTCGGCGCGTTCAGACAGGGGGTGTTTTGCTGTGAAAGGCTAGGATGGTTGAGGCAAGAAAAGGTCAACCAGGGCCCTTCGGGCTCCACTTATAACAGCGCCTAAGCTGTTTAGACCGTGGAGCTCGAGAACTGGCCTCACGCTTGAGAAGCGTCAAGATGTTCTTCTCCAAGCTAATGACGCCAACTGCAAAGGCACCAAACCCTATCCAGGCGCGGTACCTGAAAAACGGGGCATGCCACCATTGAAACCACCTGGGGGGGGGACCTCCTAAGGCTCCTTAGGCTCCTGAAGGCACTCGGTGGCTTGGACCCACCGCCTGGGTACCTGCACCAGCGCTTCTGCATGGGCTCCATTATGCTTCAACTGGCCACCATTGACTCGCTGGATCGCTGCGGGTTGCTCTCTGTGCAGGCAATGCAGAATGAAAAAGCCCCGATGTCTGTGTGGCTCGATGGGCTAGAAGCCGCTTGGTGCGATACTCCGTCCTGGTGGTGCCCACTGCCCAGTGGTTGAAGTGCTGCACTGGTGCCGCTCCTTACTGCTGGCCTTTGCGGCCTTGCTGGGTCTTCGGTTCGTTCGGGCTGCAGTGTCTCCCTTTATTCTACCCGTGCCCTGCCCTACACCTTTCCTCGACTCCTCTTTCTCTTTCCTAACCTCATTGTCGCCATATCATTTTCCTGTCTTTTCTATCTCTCTCACTTTGTTTCCTTTTATCTCGTCTTGTTCTTCAACAACTCGCATCGAGCGTGCCTTTCACTCCTTCAAGGCCCTCGACCACATTCCTTAAGCTTGTTGCTTTCTATTCAACCAATCCGGTCCTTACCCCTTTTACAAACCCATAGCTACGGCTTCACCATTACGAAGATCTTCTTGATTGTAGCTGCTTGGATCGGCCTTTCAACAGACTCTTCAAATTCACAGACACGCACTTACGCAACTACCCAAAGCCCCAAACCAAATATCGCCTACGTGCACTCCACTCCTTGCAATCGAAGCCAAGCGAAATCAACCTAGAATTGTCTTGAGCCATGGAAACTCCTGTCAAGATGGAACAATTAGGCATGATGGACTCCTCAGACCCAGCCGATATTGACTTCGACCTGGACCCCGAGTCGACGCCATCCCCATTGCCAACCGAGGGTACACCCGGTAGCTCGGGTCAGAATCCTTCCTCCGCTCGCCGTCCTCCACGAAAGAGCACCCTCACACAACAACAAAAGAATCAAAAGAGACAAAGGGCTACACAAGATCAGCTAGTGACCTTGGAAACCGAGTTCAACAAGAATCCCACACCAACTGCTGCTACTCGCGAGCGCATCGCTTCAGAGATCAACATGACCGAACGCTCGGTACAAATTTGGTTTCAGAACAGGTAAGATCTGAATCTCGATGGTATTGCAGGGTCTGAACTAACGTTCTCCTAGCCGTCGACGAGCTAAGATAAAGATGATCGCCAAGAAAACCCTGGAGAATGGCGACGACTGTGATAACATTCCAGAATCCTTGAGACAGCTGCTGGCCATGCAGGCAATGGAATCTGGAAGACCATTCCCTCGTCAACTTATGGGACGCCCTGAAGGTCCAATGGCACAGTATGGTAGCGGTGGGATGTTGATTGGTGACCCTAATGCCCAAGGCAAGACTGGTATGTGGAGCGTGAATATCCATTGATCTGCCATACTAATGTATTTGTTCAGTGATTCACCACTTCACGTGTCGATCCTTGAGTATTGGTACATGGCGCCGAGTCGGACAGAATGCCATGGACTTGGTCATTTTCTACTCACCTGACAAGGCTTGCATTACCTACTACATCAATAACGACTCCGCAGGCTACAAGATCGAATTTCCCTTCGCGTTCATTAAGAGCATTCAATTGGAACCGGGTGACACGGTCCCCAATGCAAATGGCTCTCCTCCCAGACCCGGTGGTCTCGTCATTGAATTGAGTAGGCCGCCGAATTTCTTTATGGACTCGTCTGGGTCGGGTGGTTTCTTTCAATGTGGTGACTTCACAGAGGACCAACAAGCGTCGCAAATTATGACCCATCACTTGGGTGGACATCCTAAGGTGCTGAGTGGACAACTCGCCAAATTGGTCTCTCTGGACTCCTTCCAAAACCGATTCAGTCCCTTCGATCTCCATGCTATGCCCGCTTCGGCTCCTGTCTCACCGAACATGGGCATCGTCCGACCTGCATCCCAACCATCGGTTCAATTTGCACGACCTCATCCTCCGCATGTTGGCATGTTTCAGGAACAGTTCGGTGGTGTCCAACAACATCTTCACCCTGGCCGTATGCATGCTGGACACAAGCGACAAAGAAGTCGATCAGTACCTATCGCTATTGATTTCTCTATGCTTCACGGACCCATGCCCACCTTCCACCTCCAACAGCCATCGCCACAAATGGCGCCTGAGAACCACAATTTGTTCCAACCTATGCCTCAACACCCTGTTCAAGCCATTGGATCCAATCTTCAGATTGATACATCTGCTGGATATGGTCTAGATTTCCGTCAAATGCCCATGTCTGCGACTGCAACTTCACCATCGGAATTTGCCAGCCCTGGTTTCTTCCCAGCCAACCCAGCACATGCACCAATGCCCGCTTCAGAGTATGGAACCCCGCAGCAGTTTAACATGCCATTCCTTTCACCCTCTCCAATGCTAGATCCCAATATGGTGCCCACCTCTGTCTCACCTCTTTCGCATATGGCACATCACGATCCTGTCATTGCTGATCAATCGCCACCTCTGTCGGCTCTGCACAGGAGCGCTTCAGCCGACATGTTCAATATGCACCATGATCATACTGGGATGATGGATGAGACCCTAATGCTGGGGGAAATGTACTCGAAACAAAACCTGAACATGCCTATGCCTAGCCCCGCATTTGATGAGCACAGTCTCATGATGATGAACGACATGGCAGAATTTCACACTCCCAGAGAGCAAATGTCCATGACGCCGTTTGGAACCATTGACCCCCATTCATTGCAAGCTGGACTACACCAATCACATGGCTGAGAATGTTCTTCAGCTCAGTGGAACAAATTTGAAACGACCTTTACGCATCCCCTAGAATTTTCACCAACTTTATACAAATCTTCTTTCCCCCAACAGAAATTGAAAATATTGGTCTTTCAATTTCCCCCAGCACTGTCCGGACGGCGCTCAATCATCATCTCGCCCTACCTTTTGTTACATATCAAATATTTCTTGTTAGTGTGTGCGGCCTTAGGATGCCTGCCGAAGAGGAACAGCGTCGATAGCTGCTCAATTATGTTCTTTACCTTCTCCCCAAAAAACCTATTTCAACAAAATGGGTTTCTCTGCTTCCAAACAGCTTGTCTAGTAACGTGGTTATGTATCAGCAACGACATCTTTTGCCTTTCTCCTTTTCGTCCGTTTTTTTCCTGGAAAGCTTTGGTGGGGGATATATTGGGGACTTGAGCATTCGCTTTGATTTACTTGCCGCTTTGTTATAGGTCTGGTATAGTCGAATAAGGTCGGGAGACAGGGAGAGAAACATCAAATGTGATGGGGACAACAAACCAAAACCATGCGTCTGTTGTGAATGGAAGGATGGCTTGGAACGCATATCGCTTCCAGCCGTTGGAAGTTGGACCCTTAATTCTTGACTTCATAAAAGTTTGGAACAAAACACACACAAGCACATCTCCTCCAGGTTGTCGGTGGAAGAACCTGTATTAGTGCTTGGTCGTTCGACTCCGAGCAGGATTGAGTGCACAGCAAAAGAGGGCGATGGAGAATTAATCTGTCTCTTTCTCTTTCAATTCGATCGATATACAATGCAAATGTCTTTCTCGACTGTTTGGTGACATAATAATCCTAGGTGCCCTTCCTGTTTGTTTCGATCGTCGAATGGGCGTGAGAATGATATGCCCAACCCATATAGGTGGTGTTTCATCCATCGATGTCGTGATCTCTTGAGAGGTCCATTCGGCATGATTTGGAGGACACCAGACGCTGTGTAGGCTGGGATGGGTCAATAGATAAAACCCAGGCTTCTCTCGGAGGCACGAGGAACAACATGTTTATATCTATTCCCAAGCACCAGGCCCTGAAATTGCATTTCATCCCAAATGAGTCAAAAACAAATCAATTAATCAAACAAAAATTAAAATGAAACTCGAAGCTTCAGGCTTCGGGTGAGATTTGCTGTTTGATCTTCGTCTATGGCTACACCCGCTAAAACGGTGGTGATTTTGATTGAGTGGGGTGACACGGTTTGACTATTGACCTGGCTTAAGGCCGAGGGGGCTTTTAGTTAGGCATTATCACAGCTATCACCGCCTAAAGTGACGCAGGCGTGGCCCAGGCAGGCAGGCTATTGTTACTCCAATCTCAACGCCTAATTGCCTTCTCCCTCATCTGCACGTCTCCCTCAGCCCGCAGCCTTGCCCTTGGATTTGCGCCTCCTGCCAAATTTGCCGTTGAGATTGGCTGGGGGTCCACTTTCTGCGTGCAATGGATCTTTCTTTTCGTGAGACTGAGATCGAGATTGAGATATCAGCAAGATGCAGGGTGATTCGTGAGGCTGGAGCATTAAGGGTCTGCAATTCATCGTGGATAACTCAACACTCATCATTGCTGAAACTTCGCAGTCCATGGAACCCGTCAGGAGATTGGGGATTCGTCTTCTGAGGTTGCGCAATCGACGTTTCATGATGTGATATCTCTCTGGCCGGCGACTGATGGATTCTGGATTTCATCCTTCTTCCAATCTTATTCTATAGATCTCAGATGTGAAGACTCCTAGAAATCGAATTAAGTTTGGAGATGCTCATGCATATATATCGCTCTGATAGATTCTCAATCCAACCATGTTAGGCCTCAGACGCCAATAAGGTACTTCGTATCAATACTGAGGAGTTCATGATGGGTTCATTGATGGGCCAGAAAATCGAGTGGATATACCTTTGTGCTCCCTCCCCCGCATGCTAAATCCACCTGAGCTTGGAGGACAGATTGTACATGGCGGATTACAGAATTTATCGACGATGTGGCATAGAGTGTCCTTGTGCGCATGATTTTGGGTGATCCTGGTGGACATCTTTTTTTCGTACCCGACCAGCAAGCAAAAGCAAGCTCGAGAATTGAGATATCAGAGCCGAAGCACCTCTTGTGGATTTCGACCTACCCTGTCCCTGCACTTCTCTCCTGTCGCGGGCGGATGGTTCGCACATCCTCAACAAAGCAACGAAGACTGAAGAGCGCTACATTTTTGGTCCCGCCCTGCGGAATGAAGGACGACTGTACATTGACGAAGATTTGGCCTGTAGATCGCCAGAACGCTGCTCTTATCTCTGTCCTTTACTCCACGTTATCGGAACGAAGAATTGGCTGTCAATTCGGACAGACAGACAAAAGATCGCTCCTGACGATCATGAGCTTTACCAACATCTGACCAAATCCAGTCCTCAATGCAACCCCACTAGTCTTAGTCGAAGTGAAGATTCGTTGACTGAGGTTCCCTGACAGGGCGCCTAGCTCTTTCTTGGGTATTCTTGCCTAGGGCTCCATGTCATTATCCGAATCATATTGATGCTCTTCGCCCCATGCCTATTCGTGTGGCTAAACAACGGGTTGCAGGTAGAGGTCATCTCTGCATTCGATAGTCATAGGCATGTCCAATCAACTTGGCAAGCCATCTATTCGCATTTCGTTCGATCATGCGCCGAAAGGTTGAAGAGTTCCCCCATGTAACGTGAATTTTTAACGACGGCCCCCAAAGTCTCGCCCGTCTTGCAGTAACTTGGGTTTTCGGTTTCTGTCTGGATGGTCTGGTTGGCTGAAAGAGTGCATTGGTGTGCTTGAAGGGGCGATTGGAAACAAGCCTAGCCCAGCAGTGCCGCCGACGGATCGGGGCTGAGCCCGCGATGGGCAGTTTGTCATCCCCACCACCAGAGATCCAGCCTCATGGCGTTGGATGAAAGACGGTCCCCAAAACCCTATCGATCCCTTGAGTTCACATGCTTGCTTGCTCGCTTCTTCCCGCATCGCATATTATTCAGCCCTTTGCGCCTTGTTGACACCTCCTTCGTGTTCTATCTTTCGATCCACACAAGGACGAGAAGCTCTTCAACGCCTGGGGCCTTGCTCAGTTGAGATCAGTCATTCTCTTATGAACATCATTAACAACACAAATGCATTCCGATACTAATAGCACAGCCATCAAGTCTAATGATGTCGTTCTCGACATTGAAAGGCTAGAAAACATTCCTGAAGTTGGGAACAGTTCACCTCCCACACTGCCACCGCCGCCACCACCGGCAGCCCTGCCTCCAGCATATCTCCCGACACCATCGACAAGCGACTTTGTTCTGATCGAAGTCAAAGAAGATGCCGCCTCAAAATGGCAGTACACCGAAACTCCAATCGCAAATAACAGGGTAATACCACATTTCATGCAAAGCCTAGGAGACCTTGATGCCGACACACGTAAATCACCCCCATCCCTAACTCTCATAGCTTTTGACGCAGGAGACAAGACTGCAATTCCCGCCGACACAGGTTACATTATCAACAACATTTTGGAAACCCTTGATCTTACTTTTTTTCCCGTCCCACCAGGCCTGGTTACCTTTCATAGTATACCAGCACGCCTCCGCAAGACATATAACTACGATGGCACCACCGATGGTATAGTTCGCAAGAACAAGTTTATGACACAACGTTGCGCCTGTCTCATCTTCGAAATCGCGTGGGCTTACTCCCCTCGTTCAGGGGCGGTTTGCGCCTTTATGTGGATAGGCAGTCCAAGCACATCGCCGCCAAACTACGCTGTGTGGGCAAGGCGCCTGCTCGATGATCTTCAGTCTCATCGTCAATATGCCTCTCATCCTATGCTTCTGGGTTTGCTAGCGCACTGGCAAGGCTTTCTGGCAATTCGTGATATGTTTGGCCCTACTCTTCTCGATATCGAAGCCGTTATGCAGGCCACTGGCTTCTGGTACAATGTGGACTGGAACACTGCCAAGCCGGTCATCACTGAGCAGGAACTCGGCGACTACTCAGCAAGGACAACCGGTATGGCTATCAACATTGGTACGATTTGTGACGACCTCTCAGGTCTGCGTGAGCTGGCGGAGTTCACGATCGCAGAGTGTAATCGGATAGAATTGGATTGCGACGCCAAAGAGGATGGGGCATCTCCTACTAGAGAGCAGTTACAGTTGGCTGAGGCCAGCCGTTACATTAGGGACCACGCGACTAGCCGTGCGCGACTCACTGGCCAACTTTTCACTCAGGCCAAAAGTTGGGAGCACAAGTCAGTCTTGGTGGTTCAGGGGCTCTTCAGCCTTATCACTCAACGTGATCAGAATCAGAATCTGCGCATCGGACGAGACACACATATCTTGGCAAGAGAGTCCAAGCGAGACAGTACAGCCATGAAGGCCATTGCGATTGTCACGATGTTCTTCCTACCAGGCACGTTTCTGAGCTCATTGTTTTCCATCGACTTCTTCAAGTGGGACGCATCGCACGGCAACGAAGTTGTCAATCGGAGAATATGGGTCTACTGGGCGTTCACGATACCTGTGACGATACTGGTCGTGGCCTTGTATCTTATATGGGAGAAGTTCGCCATGAATCTGTACACCAACAGACTGCAGAAAGAGAAGGAGGAAGAAGACGGCCAAACGGTGCCCGCCATAGAAGCTGATGTCAAAAATGCAAAGGGGCCGCAGCCGGCTTACCACCCACCACCCTCGATATACACTACGTCAAGTCAGCTTTCAGTGAGGGATATTCCCCCCTCGATAATCAGCAGGATCAATCCCGCTCCTTCAGCCCGCTTGGATCACACAGAGAACTTCGGTCCTGGCGCTCCCAGTCGGAGGTCCACGTGGCAGTCGAACTCTTGAACAGTGGTGCCATGATCGACAAGAATCCAATAACGGATTTGCTCCTGAAGTCTCAACTCTGCACCATGAAGACCTGCCGAGCCACTGTCGCAAGAGATGCAGAGGTTTCTCCATATTAGTTCGACATGTGCAACCAAAGCAAGCAATACCATCTGCTCTCATCTTGATCAATTCAAGTGATGGGCCTCCCATACCCTCTCCTCAGCAGCTGGTTGACGTCTACCGTCATACAATGGAGCATCTCCCTGAACCCGGTCTTCGGACCGTACCGAAGGTGGCGACCCTCTTTGCGATGCTGCTTCGATGTACCATCCCTGGGAGCAACAGATCACCGAGTATGAAAAACAGACTACCGGAATGGCGATGAGCTACGGAAGACGACTTTGCGGCTATTGAAAGGCTTTTCGAATCTTGGTCAACTGCTGCTCAAGAGGTTCGATTATTCGAAGTACTGCCAAAGTAGCATGGCTAGTCAGCTGGCAGAAACCCTCCGGTTCGGGCACGAAAGCAGTATCAGTTGAGAAATCGCTTGCCGTGGTCAAGTCAGTCTCATCGACATATTAAATCTCGCCAAAACGGAGATAGCCCAAACTCCACTCGAATATCAAGACGTAACATATCTCCTTTCATATCAATGTGCAGAGTTACAGCACTGACTTAATGACGAGAAATATGCCTAAAACGTGTTTGAGAGTTGCAGTATCCTGATCCTTAGATCTACGACTAGGGAGGAGTCTGGTATTTCAAGACTGGTTGCAAAATCCACAATGACCACGGCGTACCACGATACGACTTTGAGTGGCAGGCTAGGATCAATCTCATCCCGACACGTACTAGGAGTAACAAAGGACTTTACGCAGTAGTTCCCATGTTAATCAGGAGACATCCTAACGGTAGGGGAGAGCAAGCGAGCTTGGGGAAGAGCGGTTCTGGACTGCCTTGGCAGAGGCGGACAATGAGACCTCGACAAGCCCACCCTTAGTGAGCCGCCAGCTCATCGTTCTAATTTCTTGATGTCTTCTCTACCTACTTCGTCATATGATTTTGCTCACAGCGAGCCCTCTGTAAAGTGGTTCACTGTAGATGCAACATAACGGATAGCTTGACAAAGGCTGTCCTCTCCCATGTCCCTCCTCTACTACATGGCTGGCGAGAATACTGAACCAGTGGCTGGAACCCCAAGAGCTACAACACTTGCCCCTTTCCAAGCGAAATGAAGCAGCCGAAAGCCCGTCACCGCAGTGGACTTGTCTTTCACACAAATTTCGCGTAACATCCCGTCTCTTTTGACCTTACTGATACAGAACATTTTCTATACAAATGGTGCACAGCATTTGCTGTAAAATCGCTCCTGTTGCCCACCCCGGTTTCGGGTTCACCATGGCCTCTGAAAAGCTGCCAACACAGGTTAGTGAAAAGATGTTCCGGATCTGTACTCCGTAAATCCGATATAACAAGGGTCCTCACGCTGCCTGCTCCTAGTCGTGCTGTCGTCAAATCCATTAACTCTACCTTCACTCATTGTTGTCCATCATTTGAGAGTTCTTCAGCTCATTCCCTTCTCTTGGTTGGTGAGAATGCGTGCACAATCTTGGGCATATGGGCTCATTGCCTTTTCTGGCGCTTTTGCCAGTAAGCTAGAGAGTCCGAACGATGGTTCTTGCGCAATTGTCGTGACTGAGAGTTATGGTCAACCTGTTTGGAACCCAACAGCTGCGTTGCCTGAGCAGTCAATCTTCTGGTCGGCCTGGACCCCTGCAGCCCATGGTAGCAGCATCTTGAAGACGAAAACGTCAGCAACCGCGAGCGGAAAACCTTCCTCTACCAAAACACCCACAGCTTCGACTACAGGATTTTCTGGATGGAGTGGTCATCAGGGGAATTCCGGCATGGACCCCAGCAAAATTGCCTCCTACCGCGAAGTTTGGTCAAGCAGGCAGGCGCATAATCTAAAGACATCAACTTCATCAGCTGGAATTGGCCAACAGCCATGGTCTGATTGGTATCAAAGCACGAAACCTTCTGTCACTACTACTACTTCCTCCTCAGGAACGGGATGGCAGTGGCAGACGAAGAGCTCGATCATTTCAAGTCACGCAAGCTATACTCGCAGCCAGGGACGCACTAGCAGCATCTCATCAACAACGGCAGCACATTTTTCCTCTACTGGGCCCCATTCATGGCATAGTAGCCCCGTATCACCTACCAGTCCTAGCAGCACCAGATCTTCAGGTGTCTCATCTTCTTCGAGCGCCACTTCATATTCATGGCCGCATACCACAATTGTCTCTTCGACTCGACTTTCTACCACTTCGACACCTCCATCAACAAGCAGCTCAGGGACTACAACCTCAACAATTACCTCGGAAACAACCTCCTCCACGAGCACTTCCTCGGAGACAACTACTACAGCCTCGACCACAACATCAGATGCGACCACCTCGACCACAACATCAGCTACGACCACCTCGACCACAACATCAGATACGACCACTTCGACCACAACGTCAGATACGACCACCTCTACAACCACCACCACGACAACGACTGAAACTACGACCACAACCACAACAACAACCGCAACAACAACCACAACTACGGCGCCACCAACACCTTCGTCGTGTAATATCGAAGGATATAATTCTGGAGCTCCAGTTGAGGACTTTTATGATTCCTCCACGCCCGTTTCATACGCAGAGTGTCGCCAGTACTGTACAGTTAATCATCCTGACACAGTTTCCGTGGGATTTGGGCTAGATTTCGGGACCACTTATTCTTGTGCCTGTTATAATTCCCCGGTGGATGATTACGTGACGCGCGGTAGTACCGGATACTTCTTTTCGGACGTTACTTGCCCTGTCTCTGATGATTCGACGACGTCGACTATCTGAAGCATATTTGAAGTTGAGCATGGATTCAGATATTGCCCCATGCTCGAATGGGGGTTAATGATGCTTGGAATAGAATGGGAATATGAGAATCGTGTAATGCATGCTAACTTGCAAACAGTGCAAGGTACTGAACCATCTTTTGATAGCCTGGTGTTGTGGTCCTCCGGTTGACGGGAAGGAATTTGCTCTATCGCTGTCGAGCTTCATCCTGAAGGTTAGGTTGGTGCATGTTATCACCAACCCTGGATTGTGTTGCTCATTTAAGGGTGGTGCAGACGGTACAATTTCGCCTTCTGGTTTATGAGATAACATAAAATAATATGTAATGGGGCTGAGATAGCCATGAAATAGCATATGAGTATCATACTCTGAGTCTCGGATCCCCTTACCCTCTGCCAATCGTGCTCCACTGGATGAGGCCGAAACACCTCCCATACTTAGATCCCTGGTGCTCTCCAACATCAATAACCCTATTACCAATACAGTCTTCCCGCTTTCAAGACTCCCCCTTCGTCCCTGACAAAGGATGTTCCCGAACAAGGCTGATAGCTGGGCACGAGTCTTCCGTAGTGAGAACGTTCGGCGCCCCATCATTCATAAACATCAGGCTGCCGGTCGTATGATCGACTCGCGTACTTTGAGATACCGCGTCAAAGTGGCTTGGACACGGGATAAAACACATCCACACCGTAAAGGACTCAAAGGGCATCTCAAGCAGTGCACTTCAAAGGGCATCTCAAGCAGTGCACACCCCCGGTACCGCGACCTTGGTAGCCATAACATAGAACTCCTCGGTCCCCTCGGGAAACCCATGATGCACATTCTGCAGCTCCGGATTCTGCAGCATTTCCCGATACGCGTTGACCGACTCCCACACCACGACCATGGTGAAGATGTTGTTGCGGTTATCCTTGTCCGGGCAGCCGCGGTAGAGTTGCGCAGAGATCAGCCCGTGTTGCGTCTTCATGAACCGTGCGACGTTGGCCCATTGGTGCAGAAACGCTTCCTCTACGTCCGACGACGGGAGGATGAATGTGTTGATGAACGTGAAGGGCGCGTTGGGATCGTACGCTTCTAGTTGGCTTTGCGTCGAGACTAAGGAGCCTGGGAGGCTCTTTTGGGTTGGCGTTTCGGACATCTTCAACTTGATTGTCCCCCGGTTTGGTTCGATGGCGTCGATTGGTCCTCCAATATCCACGTCACGTTGAGGCTTTGAGATAATGACGGACCATTGGCTAAGATATGCAAAGGCGATTTTAAGTGAGCTGCTGCGACAACGCGGAGACCCGAGCAGCGCCAAGGGAGGGGACAATGAGGGCCTTAAAAAGTTTGGTTTGGTCCCTCCGCTTCAGCTTGGTACGAACCCAGCAATCTGGGGGCCAAAAATGTACTCGTAGCACCTGCTATGGGCGAGAAAAAGAGAAGCGCAACTCATATATCTAGACGAGTATCATTTCCAGCTCTAGGTATGTCGTATCTGCAGGATCACCGAGCATAACTATTCATGAGGCTGATGCTGAGCCTGGAAACACTCCCATTCATTAGCACACCCAGTCGAAATCATCCGAAAGATATGAATAGGCTCGAAGTCATTATGGGGCCTCTCTTAAATGTACCCTCATCAACCCATTCCCTGAGCGCGCGCTTGCGTGCTGATAGACTGAACCTTTTCACTGTCGAAAAATAGTGCACATACGTAATGACATCCAGCGTAGCGCTGTCTTTGGGCCATTTGGACCCTGTCGATCACATCGAAAGATATAACGATACTGCTAACAGGCTTTTCCGCTGCTGTGTTTTAGAGAAGAGGAAATCAGTCATGAAGTTCTCAAGGCTCTCGTAATCCAAGATTCCGAGGCGATGTCGTGCAACAAAAGCCGCTCGTAGCATGAACCAAGCTTCTTCGGGTTCGTCTTGTGCGTTGAAAAGGCCTGTCATCAATGTCCAGAGGAGAAGAGAATTTTCATGATCTGTGCTCGGGGCCGTTGATGTAGAGGGGGCAGAGAGTCCCTCTTTTGGTCTTTCCCCAACAGGTAATTCTGAGCGTGAGGGAGATAGCCGAGGATGAGAAGCCCAGTTCTTGTCAATACCGAACAGCGCGTGTTGTAACCGACGCATATTGGGCTGAGCAGATCGAAATGCCATGCGATTTGTGCATCTTAGTACGATGAGGAGCAAGGCGAGACGTAGTGCTTCATCTTTGCTTGCTTGAATTGATGTTCCAGCAAAATGCAGATCAGCTGGTAGAAGGAGTAGTCGGTGGCAAATAGCGCGCATCCGCTTGCACATCCATTCAGCATCTTCTCGGGTCGCATTTGACGTCCTCCATACATATTTCCCCACCGCGACACAATCTAAAATGTCACGGACAATCGTTGCCAGAGCGGGACTCATGAGCCCAGCTTGCAGCGCATCTTCGAAGCCACGACCTAACCTAAAATCAAATATGGTTGAAGCGTCGGTAAGGATATCGACTTGATGACTGATGAGGGCTCTAGAAGGTTTGATTGCCTGTGGTACTGGACTGTGCGGGTACAGAGGTGGCTGACGCCGAGCAGCAGCAAAATCTGCAATTTCTTCCTTGATCAGTGCAAGTCGTGTGGGATTCATTGGGCCAGGATCGAATAGCACTGGAAACTCAGGAACCCACCCCGTTTCGATGCATATCATCTTGTCAATGTTGACAAGACCTTGAGCTGTGAACGCGTGATAGGGATCGTCCATGTCCAAGAGTGTCAGCAGGGATTTTGCAGCCCGCACGTGGGTCGACGCCTCTTCAAAGAGCTGGCAGATCCATGCTGCCAGCGCAAGGCCGTGAATACTTTGAACTAGGTGAGCGTCGGCATGAATCCCTTTCTCCTGACAATCAAGCATTTTTTCTCGCACAGACCTCAGCGTCATCTGCATGTAGTACTCAGGTTGTGCGGAGCCCATTAAGGGTATTCGGGAGAGATGGACCATCCTAGCAGCCATGATCATGAGCAATGAGGAGAATTTCAGCTTGTTCTGCATACAGCCTTGAAGCATTGTCTGACCGACCTTGTTGTATTTCTGTACAGGTTGAAGGTGAGGTGGGAGAACTTCAACCTTGTCAACATGAGAGCCGGTGGCAGTCATGAGCGAGTGGTACCGTAGCAAGACTTCTACATTCCCCGTCAAAGGCAAAGGTGTGACAGAAAAAGGATCAACACTAGAGCCCGGCATGAAATTGCTGGATGGCACAGATGCCCAGCTTCGGCGAAATCTGGCGATCCATTCTTGTACTGAAACCGGGCTGGGTGAACGATGCGAGACAACCTTGGTTCGAGAGTGCTGTGACTGTTCATCGTCTTGAGCAGAACTTGAGGTGACTGATGTAGAACTTGGCAAAGTCCTTCCAAGAAATTAGCACCCAAAACTGTCCAGCCTCCATTGATTCGACGTGGGATACTAAGTGAAGAAGTACTTAGTATTCTGGGAGAGGGGGCATGCTGGTGATGAAAAGAAGCAGTGGAACGATCGTAAATGCTCGAGAAGGGCATATCCATACCTGGGAGGGCTTCGAAGTTGAGAAAGTCGCAGTCGCCCTTGCATTGATCTAGCGGACGGCACATCTGGAGGTCGTGAGGCAAGGCTGCGGCGTCCATATCGCCCATCCTGTGTTCTATGAGGAACATCTGATCTTTGATGTTGCACGAATTGGAAAATGGCTTTACTCTCGGAAGGGTCGCCCTTGGTTAACGACGAGCTCGCCTCATTCTTGTTGACCCATAAATACTGCCGTTGTTGCTGGCCTTCCGATTTCTCCATCGTCGTCCATTGACGCCAATCTTAGAGGCTAATAACCAATGCTGTGAGGTCGTTCATGCCGACATCCTATGTTTCATGTTTGTCCAAGGTCTGAAGGCAGCAACCAGATGACGACGGGGGCAAACAAGGGCACTGATGTACTGTTCATACTGGTAAGTACAGTCCTAAGTAAGTATAGCTTCCAAAGACTCATTTATCAGATAGGATGCTAGCTGTGCACAAACCCAAATCGGTTGCAAGCCTCCAGCTCCAAAGATAATAAGCTTCAAATCTCTTGGAAGTATAGAGGGGCTCAAAGTCACCAGGCTGGCGAAAGGAACTAAGGGAATTAGCCGGAGCCCGAAGCCGCTTAGTCATTCTGATCAACTAGCCGACCCGATCTGACTGACTAAGCATTTTCCTAATACGGGCTGCACGTGATATCGGATAGCCTTTCCTGGAATTCCACAAACTTTTTTCATCTGCGCCCCCCTCGCCAAATCGAGTTTTCCCATCTGATCGCAACGGGAGCCGATACGAACACCTCGTATCTCTATTCAAACTTGATGCGATCGTGGCAGCGAAAGCAGGGATATTGACTCCATCTGCCCATTGCAGCCTTCCCACTGCTTGGCGCTGTATGCCTTCGATCTTGGCCCTCCAACCTTCGCACATGAATTCAATCCCAGGCTATGCTAAGAATTGAGACTCACTGACTCTAGTCTTTTACTGATCCGACATGGCCTCTCCTGTTGTTCCTGGGCAGGTTCTGGGAAGTACTACGTCATACTTGCCCGGACCAGGAACGCACGTCTATGAGGACAATATTCTGGCCTCGATCATTGGCAGTTCTCTTATCACGCCTGCAGTCAACAAGACCACCAAACCCACAATCTCAATACCACGTAACAATGCCGCCAATGCAACCAGAGCCAGTGCTGCAACTGGAGCACTGCCCAAGGTCGGTTCCATCATTCTTGGAAGAGTCACTCGCGTTCAACAGCGCCAGCTCTCAGCATCGATCCTGAGCGTCGATCCTTCCCCTTCTGATATCCTCTCTTACACGCAAATGACCAATGACGATCTCCAATTCCAAGCGGTGCTTCGAAGGGAAGATGTTCGCACCCACGAGAAAGATAAAATCGTTATCAATGAGATGTATAGAGTGGGAGACATCATCCGCGCCTCTGTGATCAGTCTGGGTGATGAGAGAAATTACTACATCAGCACTGCTGGCAACGAGTTTGGAGTGGTGGTTGCTACCAGCGAGAATGGAAATGCGATGATTCCTGCGAGCTGGAAGGAGATGAGAGACGTTGTGACGGCCAAAGGAGAAGGCAGGAAAGTCGCCAAACCAGTATGAGAGGAGCTCCCAACACGGTTGAGATCTGATCTGCTTGACTAAGCTCTCAACAGTCGCCAGCCTCCTTGGTAGGTCCGAAAGATCTGTTATCCTCAGCCGCTATTCTCCTCAAGACGTAGAGCGGGTTCCTGGCCTTTTTTAAACGCTCACCAGGAACTCTAGATTCAGATTCAATGCAGAAGCAGAACAAGCCGAGAGCGATGGCCTACCTTCGATGTATTATTTGACTCTCGATATCGGCTCACAAGTCATGACGAATCTCGTTGATTTCAATCGTCAAAGGGATGCTCAGAGCTGAACAAGTGTTTGGCGTACAGACCGCGCACTCGGAAATTCCATCTTTCTCAATTTTCTGTGCCTCGATAGTGCACATGCCGATGCTTCGAAAGTCCTAGAGGGATAAAGGTACTTATTGTCTCCATATCCAAGTGGACAAATATTGTTCTATGGACAACAACGAACAATACGTTCCTCCACGGACACCAACTCGCTCAATCTTATAATGCTGTCTTGTTTGCTCTATATTTCCTGCCTCGGGCACTCGTCATCATTCATACCATCACACCCACACCTCTCTAGTATCCATGGTCACGACCCCAATTCAATGTCAGACTGTGTTCGTCACGGGAGGGAGAAACGATTTTTCCGCCAGTTTCTAAGTCCGGCTTCGAGATGTCTCAAAACATCAGTTCTTGATCGGCAAAGATACTCTAAAAGATTGGAGACATTTCGCAAATTACCAAGGTTTTTGCTCGTGTCAACACCGCCAGGGCCCGTACACTCGAGTATAGGATTTGGAGTGTTCTGATAAATCGGATGTGACATATCTTAAGACTCCTTGATCCGCGTTAGAGTTATTGTAATTCTTACAGATCTCTTAGCAATTAAGGTGCTTCTACAAGCATTAGCCTCAATACTGCCGGATAGCGGCTTACGAGTCAGGTAGGTCTCTAACTAAAACCCCTGGCCACTGCAAAACCATCAAAGTCTGGGCACACAACCCACGTGTTACAATACCAGACTGATGCCATCAATTCCCGCGGGGCGGAGACTGCTTTGACTTTCACATTCGTACTGGTGCGTTTTACCTGCGAGGCAGCCTCGGTATAAAGCAACTCATCATCGGTCGTGCAACTATCCTTGCTAATATGGCTACATTCACCGCTCATCGCTCGACGATTAACCAGAAATTGTTCTACCGTATGTTGGGTTGGGTCCTGGGACTATTTGGTCACATCACACATCTACTTACCCAAGATGCTCAGGATCACGGTTTACGTGTACGGTAGAACATGGCTCGAACGAGTCCAAGATTCTGCTTCGACGTGGTAAGGGTATCTTACTCGTGTGCTTTTACGAGGACGCCGAATATATCTTCTACGAATCTGAGGTCACAATGAACAAGGGGTTGGAGAGACGCTCTGATTTGACTGGATGTGGACCACAAGTATCATGTCATATCTTGCCACCCACGTTTACGATGATTCCGTTACTGCCAAAGTCTTTGGGGACCTCCGGACCCCATACCGAGAACGGACCAACAACATCCCGTTTCGTTGGCGTGTCCTCATTCACCAGATCACCATCGGCATAGTGTTCGATCTTGAAACCACTAGGATCCTGCCAATAGTCGAAGATCTGACTACCTAAGACATGGCGGCCCACGCCCCAAATACTCTTCCAACCCTTTTGAGCCAGCCATTGGTGACCTATCAGCTGCGTATCAAAGTCCGCCACTTCGAAAGAACAATGATGCATGAAACTCTTCTTCACTTGCGGCTCTGCTCGCTGGAGGAAAAGTATGTGGTGGTCGGTATATTCCTTGCCGTGGTCAAGGTGCATAAACGTCAAGACGTCCATGTTGGAAAAGTCCCAGTGGTACAAAATGTCGCTGGGTACGAAGTTGAAATTCGATGTCCACCATTTCACCTCTGTGTCGAAGTCTCTATACACATAGCCCATATGACCAAGCTTGTGCACGAGAGCAGGTCCTGGATGAAAACGCTGGAACTTTCCTATAGTAACAAGATCAATCATTGACTCTGAGAATCTGCCTTGCTGCATTTTGCCTACCTTGCCGAGGCTTGCTGAATGGTGTATTCAAGGGACCAAACTGGTCATGCGTCGCACTGGGCTCTTCCCCACTCGGCGCTGATCGTTCTTTCTGACCATATATGACATGCATGTAGGTCTCGTCCTGTCGTTCGAATGTCACAATCTGGCCACCACCTGGAGCATCTGCCAGTGACCCAAGCTTCGCTCCGGGCAGGGCAGCCGCCTTATCAAACTCCTTCTGCGACTTTGCCACAAATGCAGGTCCGAGGAACTTAGGTCTGCGGGACTTGCTCTGCTGTGCAACATATAGATATGGGTCGACGCCGTAGCCGCGGTAGTAGACTCGATCCTTCTCGACACGTTCTTCAACCATCCCAAAATCCTTGGCGAATGCTCTGAACTTGGCCAGATCGGCATGTTCAACGACCACATGGCCGAGTCGCTCTAGCTGGACCTTCGATTCATCGTTGGCAATGGGAGGCATTTTCATATCAGGCAGCAGAAATTCTCTGACGGTTCGCGGGAGTTTGGGAAGTATTGTAGCTGCGATGTACAGGGGCCAAGACATGAAGAACTGCAGGATTCTGGTATGTCTAGTTCAATAGCTTTCTCTAGTATACCGTGACCACTCTCGTCCAGATTGAAATCGAACGAGACTGATCATTAAATCCAGCAGGACCTTGATCTATGGTTGAACACGAAACCCGCAATGTTCCTCGGGGTTTGAGTTGACCCGCGTCCATACAGTTTACGTGGGACCCCCTTTGCCCCACAGCATCTCATGAGGGACAGATATCGCAGGCGTACCCTCTGCGAAGAATCAGCATTATATGGCGCCTATTCAGCACTCACATTGAACATCAGTATTTACTTTACTCTCTAAAAATGCACCATGCACCCGCACCCAGCTTCTGTTCATTTCCCTATTGCATTTCTTACACTCACTTGCGGCCTAGACTTACTGGATGGTCTCAACGCTGATTCGTTTGCGGTGAAAGCTTTGAAAAGTGATATTGACATAACGAAAGGGGCATACTACCTACAGGTCCTGGGCCTGATCACAGCGATACCTGCTATTGTGACGGGCTTTACAAGTACCACGCAAATTGCGCTATCGCAAGGTGTGATCGAGAAGCAGACCAAGAATCTGCGACCAAAGTTCGTCAAGACTTTTTTCCACAGCCTCGCAAGTACCATCGCAGTCTTGGGGAATCTCGGCATATGGTATTGTGGAAGGAGTGCGGGAAAGAAACTTGAGCCTGTAGCTCTGGGCATTGAGACAGCGCTCTGCGTACTCATGTTCATCGGCGCAAATATTGGGGGGACACTGGTCTTTACGCATGGTATGGGATTCTCGGGGCTCCAGCGTAAGAACAAGCCTGAATAATGTCTGTACAAGGTGGAATAGTGGGCCAGCTGTGGCAAATAACAGTTCGTTTGCTCTGGTGGCCGTGACATTGACAACTACTGGAGATTGTCATCAATGCCAATTTCTGTTAAGACTCTCGAGCGGTTCAAGTATTCAACTATCACAATGAACGACAAGCCATTCCCGTTTGACCCACATATGTGGACCTTATGCTATGCTTAGAGGCAGTAATGCTAATGCCACTATAAATTGAACGTACGAGGCTTGCGCATCTGCTGTTGCAATCACTTTGATCCTTCGTTTCCGCATGTGGTCTCTAATTGGCAAGTAAATGAGCCGTACTGTTGACGCAGAACGTCCCTTGGATGGTCTTGCGCAAAATCATGAAATCTTCGGTGTACTAGACCAGTGAGTGATGGCCTGAGTACACTGAGCAGCCCCACGCCAGCCTTAGCATTCACCATAGTGTGTGATGACCTGCTAAGTCCCCTAGGTTATTCCAATGTATCGGCTGTAGCATGTGATCATAGCATTCCAAAATATACTGCTTTTACACCGAGGCATATTGCAAAGCCTGATAACCGAGGGTTTGGTTGGCTCTGTGATAACCTATGTGCAACTACCTAGGTAGATTCACTCATATTTGCGGGCACAAGAGCAAAGCCAAGGTTTGCGGGACGGCTGAGCTGACGCTGCGGGTCTTTGCCCCTGTCCCGCATTCTGAAATTCAGCCTCATCTGAAACACTATTGCCCATCGAACACAACGACAATTCACAAATAACATTGGAGTTCTGATAGACCAGCGCATCTGATACCAGCAAAAATGAGTGCATTCGAGCGTTTGATAAAATTCAGGGCAAAAGACGATGGCAAGGTCTACTTCGCCAATGTCGGAGTAGGACTTCAAATTGCTGCGGGACTGGGAGTGACTGCGTTCCAATCACTAGCAGACCTCGAGAGCAATTCAAGGTCACAAGAAGCCACTGTAGATGAGGCATGTCATTTTCGGCATCTTGTCCCAAGTCACTTTGGCAGCTAATATGATATCTTCAGCTTCTAGCCCCCGTTCCACACGAAAACGTGCCCATCTATTGCGTGGGTCTCAATTACCGAAGTCATGCGACCGAAGCAAAGGTAGATCAAAACAAAATCATAAGAATAATCCTGCGATACTGAAACTAGGCATCAGCTCTCAACCCCTTCATATCCACCGCTGTGGACAAAGCCCGCAACTGCATTAGCAAATCCAAACGAAGACATCGGCGTAAACCAATTTTGTGCGTCCAGCTTGCCAGACTATGAGGTAATTGGCACCGAGTAATTTTTCTGATAGATACTTATTGAATCTCTGTCCAGGGCGAGCTAGTATTCGTGACATCACGAGAATGTAAAAACATCAGCGTCAAAGATGCGCCATCTTACATTCTCGGCTACACCGTGGGCAATGATCTATCCTGTCGATTCTTCCAACTGCCGAAAAACAGCGGGGGACAATTCTTTTTCGCCAAAGCCTTTGACAAATTCGCACCGATAGGTCCAGTACTCGTCAGCCCGGAGCAATACGAGGTTGCGGCGAAAGGAAGGAAACTCACCACGCGTGTGAACGGATCAGTTGTGCAGAATGTCGAGATCGCCAAAGACATGATCTTCTCGCCGGCGCAGATTCTCAGCCACATGAGTCAAGGTTTGGGGCCCTTTCACACGCCAGTTATATGTTCGTCTAACTGACCCATTTCTTCTCTCTCTCTCTCACAGGAACGACTATCCCCGCAGGCACAGCCGTGATGACGGGAACACCTGCAGGAGTGGGCGCTTTCCGAAGTCCCAAGAGTTTTCTGAAAGATGGAGATGTAGTCGAGGTTGAGATTGGTGGAATTGGTGTATTGAAGAACACTATGCGCTTTCAAGGGTGAGTACGGCGGGCTGAACATTCTGCAGAGTGTTCCCCTTGACTACCTAGTGCTAGCTTGCTTACTTACGAAGTCTACAGTGGTGGGTCCGCCCGTATCTAAGGATCTTGAATACAGTGCTCAAGATTTTCACATAGACGCGGCGACGGGATGTTCTAGCTAGCTTGGAGGACAAGTTGGATTGTGACAGAGGACGAAAGAGGACCACTACTCATTGAACTTGTAAGCCTGTTGGACTTGACTATGATATCACATGTTCATAGAAGGTCAAGAAGAAGCCGTATTTTTCCTCGACCAAAGACCTCACGCTATCATGCATTCAATACATCTAAACCAAATCTTCCACCTCGCCATACTAGTCTAGTTAGAACGTGAACCTGTACAACTCTTCCTGCCAACCGAACTCTAGTTGAGCCAAAACTGAGAATAGAGGTTCTGAATCTCCCTCCAGTCGCAGAAATCGAGAACGCTGCCTCACGAATGTAGCCCATGCTTATGACTTAGAGCTGTAGACGGGATGATGGCACCAGGTCGGTTGGTTCCCGATGCGACGCTGATGCTGACCACCAGACTTGGCGCAGATGGATTTTCTCTCGTGCGATAGACCTGCATAGCATTGGCGAATGTTGAGCCTTTACCAGGCTTGCCGGCCCAGTGAACAGGTCCAGGATGAGGTTCAGCCAGAGATGTGGCGATGCACCTAGGTAGTGTGGGTGTAGCCAACTCCCAGACGTGATACGTGTGATCGTATCGCTCGCTAAATGCGGGACGCCCGAACCCTTTTCGCATTCTGCGGGGGTGAGGGCAAGGGCAGACCCTCGGGCAGGCAGGCAAACCACGGCCTCCCACCTTACGCTTACCTACGCTTACGTGGGAGATCTGGGGATAGAGCGGATCATTCCGTCGTTGGCTGGTAGGACAACGTATGTATATACATATGACAAAGTGCCCGAAACACATGCATCCACCAGGGATCATGCCGATGTCATTGTGTTTCTCCACGCCATCAGCAGAAACGACACCTAACGTTCAACATGTCTTTAATATGGCTCGTCGTGCCCTTCGCGCTGGGATGGCTGGTGTACCATTTCCGCTGGAGTTTCAACGCGCAGCTGAGTCGAATCCCCGGACCCGTGTCCGCGAGGTTCTCCAGACTGTACCGTCTGTCCATGGTAGCAAACGGACGTGCACCGCAGGAATATAAAGCCGCGCATGACAGATATGGCTCGATCGTGCGCCTGGGTCCGAAACACGTATCGATCGCGGATCCTGCTGCCATTCCAGTCATCTATGGGGTGGGCAGTAAGTTCTTGAAGGTAATGCGTTCCGCCCCGCCTGACTGGTTTGATGGGAAGGGTCGAGATGGCTAACCATTGGTGGGGACAAAGTCGGATTTTTACGGCCTCATGACCCCGGTCTACCGCGGCCGACGCATCGACAGCATGTTCACAGCGCGGTCGAACGAAGTGCACAAGGCACTGAAATCGCCTGTTGCGCAGTACTTCTCCATGACTGGGATGAAAGCCTATGAGCCTTACGTCGACGAGTGCACGGAGATATTCATGTCAGCGATGCGCGGCTTGGAAGGCCAGACGGTCGATATAGCTGTCTGGCTGCAATGGTATGCCTTTGATGTTATCGCGAGCATCACGTTCCAGAGACGATTTGGATTCCTCGAGCAGGCGAGAGATATTGATGATATGATTGCGCGCCTGGATCGTGGGTTGCAGGTCGTCAAATATATCAGCTCGTATCCGGAACTAGGCGTCGTGGTCAGGCGGTTTCTCGGACCGTTGCTCTCGATTTCTGGTCAAAAGGATCCGCTCGTCGGCTTTTTGGACGTGAGTACATTTTTAATCCTGCGTCTTGGAAAGATGAACGGCTCACCAAGTATTAAATAGCTGTGTGACGAGGAAATCGCGAGATACGATCAATCCTCGAACGAGCAGAGTTCGCGGACGGATTTTCTCTCTCAGCTGCGACAGAAGAAGATGCCATTGGGACCTGGGACCCCGGATGAGAACATGATCAACCATCTGAGCAATAACCTGTGAGCAACCTGGACAAACAAAGTGCCATGCAGAACCTAACAAGCAAATCAGGCTTGCTGGGAGCGATACCACGGGCATCTCGCTCCGAGCATGTTTTTACTATATCCTCAATAATCCTGCGGTCCTCCACACGATGCGCAAGGAATTCGATACCTCTGCAGCAGCGGGGTCGCTCTCGGATAACTGTACGCTTGAGGAAGTTCTCAAGCTACCTTATCTGTAATCAAATCCCGTAAGCATCGCGGTTTGATACCATTGACTGACAGTATGTTGTAGACAGGCTGTGATAAAAGAGGCAATGCGACTGCATCCCGGAGTAGGTTTCCCTCTCGAACGATATGTTCTACCTGCGGGCGCCACGATCTGCGGAGTGAAGCTGCCTGCTGGAACGATTGTATCCATGTCGGCATCGGTGGTGCAGCTTGACGAGAAAGTCTTCGGAGCCGATGCTGCGGAGTTTCGTCCTGAAAGATGGCTCGATGGAGAGCAGGAGCAGATTAAATTGATGGACCGGTCGCTGCTGGTGGTAAGCCCCTGCGGAAAAGACTCTTCACGACGTAGCTGCCAGTCAATCTAATGATGTTGCAGTTCGGTCATGGTGCACGCTCTTGCATCGGCAAGAATATTTCGCTCATGGAAATGAGTAAATTCATCACCCAGGTTCTAAGGAGCTTTGATCTTGTTTGGGCCAAGCCGAAGCATGAGTGGGCTACAGAAACTGCTTGGTTCTGGAAACAGACTGATATGCCTGTGGTATTCAAGCGAAGGGAGGCGTAGAGCAGTACCTGAGCTTGGCGTTTCTTATCTTGATAGTGCATGGCCACCGTTACGCCCATGATTCGGCTGCGGCAATATTCAAGGCTCGATTGAAAATGCATCTCTGTGCCTCTCAGTCTGTCTGCTGTGCAACGATATATTCTTTCGATTGGGATCCCGAGCACAGCCCCCAGGCATGCCTCATGGCTAATGTCTCATCCTCAAATTGATTATCCCGGGTGTTCACATCAGGAGACTCAGAACCAGACGAATTGCGCATTTATTGGGCGACTCGGATTGTGGAGGATTCCACGGGTAGCAGCCTCCATTCGCTGTAGCCGCGAAGATTCCAGGCCGCGGGCGTGCATCACTGGAATATCAAGCCGAGACAGCAATCAAGTTGAATGACGGGAGGTCCCAAAATTGAAACTTAGGGGCCAAAGAGATTTTACTCATCTGCGGGTGTGTATTCCAGTCCACACTTCCAGGCCGTCTCGAGACATGATGTGTCGGCCAAGCCGACTAGCGAGCGACAGCCTGATGCAATGCAATTGGCGTGCTCGGTTTATGGAGATGCAGATGTACCAATCAGAAATGCTGTCGTCGAAATTGGCATCCTTCGGTGTATTCATGGCTGGGAGATGTTGTTGGGTGGCAATGAGCATTGCTTGCATCGAATAACCCTAGCCCTATGGCAGATCACAAAGAACGCTGGTACTGGTAATTTCGAGCATTGATTCCCGCCTCTTCACGATCTTTCTGCTCCAACCCTTACCGCACTGTGCCTCAGCCACAGCGATGGCCACAGGGCCACCCACCCCCTGGAATCATGCGTCCCATGAATGCGAGTGAGACGTGCTGACACATCCGCAAGCTCTATCGGCATAGTCTGAGGGTCCTCGGGCTGTGACTTATGAATGGTGTGCTCGGTTTGTGGGTCCACGTCGTCGTCCATTTTCATGTGATATTCCACGAAGCAAAGGCTCGAAGTGAACTTCGAAGGGAACTGTTATTATGTATATGTATCCAGGTATATATAATGGCAGGAGAGCATATGTATGCGTAGCTGGTCCTGCTGGTTATTGCTTTTGTTCCCATTGATTTCTCGCACGCTGTTTCTGCTCTCCCAGATTATCCGAGTTCGATAAAGAATTCGAATATATCCTTTGTCGACGATCCATACGACATAGAGTGGAACGCTCTTCATTCAACGCCCCTGATATTGACACAAGCTCCCTCTTCTTTCGACCAAGCAACAACTCGCGTATTGCAACCACCATATCACAACACGATCAACGATGGACGACCTCCCTTACTCTCTTCAGGTATTCCTGATCATCCTGGGTGCCGCAGCAATAACAGTGATGGGCTTCGCAGTGTGGCGAATCCGTTTCAATAGCGGTGACTCTTCAGCATCGCGCTTTGATATTTCGGACGCCCAGAAGGAATACATGCGCGAAGTGCGCGAGTCTAATAATCGGGCGATCATGAATTTTCATGGCATTCGTTACCAATGATAATACTGTTGCATAGAAGATGGAGTACTCAGACATGGGGGGTCGCTGCCCTAGCCTGGGTTGATAGGCTAGGAGGACCAGAAAGAGCATATGATGCCATGTCAGACGGTACATTACCGTCCAGGTCATTCTCGACCAATGTCGGGATTCGTCTTTGCCTGCCGAACAGCACGAGACGTTAGTCGGCTCATTGTTTGGGTCCTCTTTGAAATCAATGATTTGATACTTCGGACTTTGGTATTCACCGTCTGACCGCAGATGATGGATTGGTACTCCTGGATGTGGAGACCATGTCAAGCTGGAAGGTACTTTATCGTCTTGGTCATCCTTGACCATTCATGGGTTTCATCCTCTCGCCATCCGAACAGAACGAGATGATGATCGGGTTCATCTTTCGTTTTACGTCTGAGGTCAACGACTTCTTGCCTGTAGAGCCGATTGCACTCTGGAGGAAGTTTGTCTCTGGGCCACGGGTTTGCATTAGCGACAGGGTCACCATGTAGCAAACCTGTCTCTTCAGCATCAATGGATCGCTCGGCGACGTGCGCCATGGGTTCGGCCTTCCAGGTGTTCTCCACCTTTGGACCTCTGCGCAGCAAGGATACAGCTCGGCGTCGAATGCGTGGATCTCGACATTTTATCGCAACGAAGTACAATGATGGGATAACTCGAGTTTCGAGAACAAAAGCCGCCCGGCCTTTTGATTCTTTACTCAATATGACTCGTTCGGAGTGCTGAAGGATGGAAGCGAAATATGGCACATACGCGTCAAAGGCGGTTTCATGATTGCTCAGGCACGCTGAAAGCCAGATGAAATATACCATATATGCGATGTGGAGGACTGACCTTAGCTCAACTTCATCTGGGGTGGTCATGAGGGATGTACTGCAGGCGGTGTCGTTAAAAGCATTTTGCCACCGGATCATCTGTGTTTGGTGTCGTTCTTGTTGAATTATCATCTCAGCTGGTACAGCCCATATCTTGCCGTGCATCTCTTTCGTCCTCACAACTTGCTGAATAAAGGTCTGAGCCTCGGTGATCAAAACGTATTGCTCTTCGTGAGCGTCGACAAGATTTTTGAATGATCCAGAACTCGAGTCCAGGAGTGTGTTCGGTCGAGGAACAGGAAGACCATGCGACATGGTCTCGTGCCGTAGCATAGCTCGTATTTTAGAGTCAAGTTGGGTTTCAAATCCTAATTTACCGCGCTGTTCAGGATCAGTGGGAGGTGCAAGGCCAATCATGGCGACAGCATTCCGATATAAAGCGATAGCTTCAGTGACGTGATCCTGTAGACATTCGATACATGCATAGATGATGCAAAGAAGAATGGCGATCGAAGATGGCTTTGGTCCGGGTTTGAGACTATCTCTCAGACTAGCGAGTGATTGGCCATACCAAGTCAGAGCTCTCCGATGATTTTCATTTGAGACGGGATTCTTAGGGCTAGCCGGTAGAGTCGGAGCTGCCGAATATTGAGGGTACTGGATCAAGCAAGACATAGCGATCATTGCCTGCCATAGAGAAGGCTCAGCGTGGCTAAGTTGTGGAAGTGTTCGATGCCAGAATTCTTTATCCACACTCCGGGAGAAGCCAGGAACGACTTCATAGATGAAGTACTCGAAAGCTTGAATCTCTCGTGCATCCACGGAACAAAAGGTCTGGATGGTGCTGATTTGGTTGGATATAGTGGCACTCGAAGATGGTGACCGTATGGGTGTTGTCTGATAACCATCACAGCGCCTGCCAGTACTGACACATCTTTGACACGAAGGTCTCTGCTCATCACATTTCACTCTTCGAATCCTACATGTAATGCAGCCATTGTTGGATTTACGACTTCCAAGTCGGCCCTTCTTAGGGTGGATGGGTATTGAAGGCATGGCCGTTAGTTTGAGGATATGAGGAAGCCATTCGAGGCATCAACACGTCAAGGGATGGGCCAAATTTGCCAAGAGAGGTGGACTCCTCTGTTTCAAATCCGGCCTGGGTTAGAAGTGGAAAGCTGACCCAAGTCGAAGTTATATTATAATTATGCCAACGATGGCCAAAAGATATAAGAATTCATATTCCTTATAGCAGGTGACTTTACAATCACAATCATACATGAGGATTCCAAACGATAAGAGGGATCAAGTCTTTTGGAGCTCGTCGTCGCTTTGTGTGCCGACCACCCGTTCCATTCCCATGACCCATTTCTTCCGTGCACTTGTTTTCAAATGGTTGGAACAACGCCCCTGAACGCCTTGCTCTGACACTGCTTGTTCCAATGCGCATACTCCAATACCTAGGTATGCAATGCGGAAAATACAGCAGTTTCGTGCTCAATCTCCGTAATGGGTATATAATAATCTCAATCTTTTCGAACAAAATCTCGTTTGGTTTGAAGCCTCAGCCCTCGACCAGAGTCTGTTTTGGCCCCTTGCCGAGTAATTCCAAGGACCTCTGGGCCAAAGCGATCACTTCGCCTTCGCCCTCTTCACCATCCTCATCATCAGACTCAACATGTTTTTCGGCTATGGTTTTGACCATCTGAATAATGTCCTCAGCTTTGGCCACTAAACTGACGAGTTTTGGATCATCCGACTCCAGAAGTTGCAACAACGTCCAAATTGCAATATGTTGGAAGGTTGGATCCCCACTGGCCAAGAAACGCTTCAAGTAACCGTGAATGCCACCATTTGGTTCGGACCAGTCGCGAATAAAGATTGAATAGTCGCCAACCTTGGAAGATAGATTTCCCAACGCCGCCGCACTATTGCCCTGTACTTCCACACTCTCAGAGTCTGTCAAGGGAATGAGGACCTCAAACACTCCCAGATTGAGAAGGTGGGATTTGAGTTCATCACTTAATGCCAACACAGCAATGGCAGCTGTCATCTCAGACTGCACACTAAGCGGAACTGAGAGTACCAGCTCTTTGCATTTCTGAACGGCTCCGGCCTCCAACACCAGCTGCTTGTTGCGATCAGAGCTGGCGGCCAAATTGCGGAGAGTCGAGATGGCGTGGCATTGAATCTCTTCGTTGTCTGTGGATCCAAGTAGATCGACCAAGGGCTTGAGGAAGCCTGCATCGATGATGGGAGATTCGTTCAAAGGATGGATAGAGATGTTCCGAATGCAAGCAACGGCGGAAAGAATCAGTGGCAAGTAGCTCGATTGCAGTAGTCGTAGAAGAGGATGAAGACCTCTAGCTCGAACGATTTCCAGTTGGTATTTTTCGTCCGAAGCGAGGTTACGGAGGGCGAGGGCAGCTTGACATTGAACTTTGGGTGTTCCAGAATCCATGAGCTGAACCAAGGATTGAACAAGGCGAGATTCGGTCTGAGCAAGCTTCTTTCGGTTCGACGCGTCGACCGCAATGTTACTCAGAGCTGTGGTGCAGTAGTATTGGACGTCCATGTCGGGTGAGGATAGAAGTTGAACAAGGACAGGAATTGCGCCTGCGTTGACAAGTTGCTGTCTGTTGTCGTCTGATGACTTTGTCAGAAAATCTTGGAGTTGGAAATTGGCATACCATCTTACCGGAATGTGTCATATTGAGGAGAGCCCCTGTAGCATTACGCTGTACTCGCATATCCTTTGATTTTGCAAGGCGAGTCAAGGGTCCCAATGCTCCCGATCGGGCAATCTTTGCCTTGTTATCTTCATGCGTGGCCAAATTGGTGATGCAGCCGACTGCATTGCATTGGACTTCGACATTTGGGGACATCATTTGTCGGATTAGAGGAGGGAGGCCACTTAGCTGCACAATAGCAACTTTGTTCTCGGCTGTGAAGAAGTCAGAGACTGCTGTTTAGGAGGATCATTGGTTGGCAGAAGACATACTGTTGACAGCAAGATTACCAAGAGCAGCACTTGCCGCTCGTTGTACCTCAATGTCGGGATTTTGAAGGAGGAATAAGATGGGTTCGAGCGTATCCCGGTCCACCTCTCTGACATCTGGAAGGGGTGGTTAGCATTGAGTCCAAACACTGTGCGCGTCGAAGAGAACAAGGCAAGGTAGCATACCGCGTTCAGTGATTTCAGCAAATGTCAGGCTGGCACTCCTTTGAAGATCGACATTGTCTGAGTATACCAGTGTGCTCAAGGCTCGGAGAGGTTCGCCAGAAAAGAAGTCTGTCTCGGCACGCTGTTTGAAGTTAGAACATGTGCTGTAAGAGGTGTGTGACTGGAGTTCTCAATGTTTACATTTTCCAAGTATTGCAAAAGATCGGCAACGGCTTCACGCTCACTGTCTGCGAGGGCAGGCTCATAGAGATTATCCTTCGGTCGTCCTGGACGAGTCCTCGATCAGCAACTATCAACTAGGAAGCACTGTCCAACAAATACCTTTGCAGCAGGAAGATATGACGTTGCCCATTGCGAGGAGCAAGCCCCCAAGGGGACTGAAGATTCGTGGTAGACGTGAAGGGTGTGGTGGTGGAGGGCAGGAACGCGCTAGAGTCGCAGGCTTGGACGAGAGGTAGGCCAAGAGAGAATTGGAGATGGTGAACAGCTCATCTGATGTGGGCGTAAAGGGTGGGGATGATTTTTGATGCTGAGAGGAAAGAATGCGGATGAGTCCAGGATTCGAGAATGGATTGAATTGAGGTTGATGCTGGGACTGTGAAAGGTGGTGGTGTGCGGTCCAGTCAGGATAGAACCACGACTTGGATAATGTGTTGACTGCGGCTGCGGCTGCGGCACGGGAAAAATGGGAGGAGCAACTGAAACTTGCAGAGGCAGGTGCAGTAGCTGGAATTGCTGTCTTTATGACTGGGTTGATGGAGCCGTTGCAGTCATGTCCTCTGCGGACGACGAAGACGTGGTGCAGAAAAGAGCAGCCTAGTCGATGAAGGAGTTGATGGTGATGGTGGTGAAGGTGAGGGTAGAAGGTGGAGGGTGATGACAATCAACTGCAAATACGGTGGAAGCTATGTGGAACTCGGTCATAGCAACACGAAGTTGAAGGGAGCGGGCGCCAAACAACGGAAACAGTGCAGGTATCATTGGTTACCTACCTAAGGTACCGAGGTGGGTATCTAGGCGAAAAGCCTAGGTAAGGTTCAGATGTGGCTCAGGCATGTTCCAGGCCACTCAATGCCCATAACATCAACTAGACTTCAGGTATACATGCGGCCTGTAAGAACAAACGCTCTTCAAGTTCCAGGCGGGCAAGTTAGGTGATGACCTGTACTCGTAGCTTCCCCCAGCCTAGTAGAAAGTGGAAGTCACGCTAATAGGCGGCATCCGTCGGCCCAGACCGAATGAAGTATGGCTTGGTGGCAATGCGTTATTGCTTCTCCGACCAACTTGCAGAAAGTACGGAAATCGTCTGGTCGTTCTTTTCTTGATCGACTATATTTACCTAGGTATCTACCTGGTACCGACTGAGGTTCTACGTGTGCTTCGGATTAACAGTTGATGCGGAATCGTAGGTATCAAATCAGATATTCTGACTGAAGCTGAGGTACCATTTATCAAAGTCGAAAGAGATACGCCAGACCACAATTCTTAGCATTCCTCAATTACTTTCACATGCTCACACGTCATCGATTTGATCCCCCACAAGGCCCTTCCCCTTTCGCCACCAGTGAGCGGCAGCAAATACATCGTCCCTGGTAGCCACGCGAACGGAAAAGGAAGCCAAAGTTCTTTTTAAACAATAAGGAAATCAATTGAATTAGGCTAATCATGTAAGACCCGGTTCAACTCGTGTCGAACGTCATGGATATCCTGTCCTCTCAAGCCAACTAGGCGAGATACATCTATTTTCCATCCCCGAATCCCACGTAAGTTCTGAACTAATTAAGAAGTAAATGTGTCGAAGAAGTAAAACCCAAACAAAAGCCCACCACTCCATATGCCAATGATTTGCGATGCTACCATGTATAAAGCGCTTTAAGAAATTCGTTCCGCATGCTGAATAAAAGACGATTCATCCGCTTCCCTAGTTGTTGGTCTTGATCGAAGACTTGCGGGAGTGGAAGAGAGGTCCGCGCTCAATGATGGGCTGGAAGAACCCCACAGGTTGAACGAGTTGGTCTTCTGGTAGAGGCTTGAGCTCTTCAAGGGCACGCTTGAGGAATTTCTTGACTTTGGATTGCGATGCCGTGCTGGTGTTGGACTCTTCCGAGGCACGGCGAGATGATTGGGCCGACTTCTGAGCCTTGTTGTCGGCCTCCTTGAGGTTGTAGAATCCGGCGTAAAGCATGTTGAGATGTGTGTTGATTGGTTGGTTTTTTGGGATTGTGTAGAGAAGATGGAACTAGCTTTTGAGAAGCAGGCTGTTTATTGAAAGTTGCTTTGGCTTGTATTTGTCTCTTGAGTGATGATGGGGAATAAAATGCGGCTCTGAATGCATCCTGATACCTCCCTTATATACTCCTTACCTGGCATGAAAATTTTCTCAGAGTTATATTTGACCCATGGTACAATTCAGGATCCTCATGTCGACAAAGTCGCAAAATCACGCCCTGTTGCATTGGCATCTGGTTGTCATGATGGCCACCGCAATTCAATCTGAGTAATTTGGATCAGTTTACGACCAATCACACCAATTGTTGAGGACACAGCTTGTATCCAGGGCGTGTGCGGTTGTCGTTAACAGATGGTGTTTGTCAAGGGCGCGTCTGAACCTTCTCTTAGCGGTTGTCGTGTGTCATAGCCAACCACGTTGCAAAATTTTCCCTAGTCTTCGGCCTCCACCTCGCTGAAAATTCTGCTTAACTAATACCGCCAACGGCAAAGTTCAGTGGGCCAGTAAGAGGGCGTGGAGAAGATGAGAGAAATGGTGTGAGACCTTGGCTTCAGAGTGAGATTGTTCCATGTCCACATGGATTGCAAGTTAACCGTCGTCAACCGCGTGGTTTTACCTAAGCAAATCCTCCTCCCATGAGGCATTTCTCAAAATAGCATTGTGTAATGCCAAGCACTGGTGTTCGCACTACGTCATCTAGCACGTGACCTTGAATAACCCTGTTGATTCAGATTGAGGCGATGAGGTACTTTTGTCTCGCGGCTCTTAATCCATAGCATTCTATACCTAAAAAAAGATAAAACGCTCAGACAAAAATTACTAGAACAGCCTACCTCGATAAATATAGAGTTCAGCTGATCCGACGCGAATGCTGTGAGACTCTCAAACTATCTTACACTTTTCTTTCTCATTTGAAAGCGACCTCGTATCCTGTGGAAAGCTTGGGTCTCGCCATTCAGGAGTCTTGGAAAATCGCAGATTAACCCTCATGTCAAAGTCTTGTTATCGCGATGCAGTTGACAGTTGGTGTCTGGTTCAGGAGCTCGAACTGGAGACTCGCCCATTGACGAGGTAGACTGACGTTCGGAGAAGCGGTTCGAAGTTGGTACCTCTCAGCAAGGCCAAACAACATGACCCTTGACTGCACTGGAGGTCCTTACCATGGCATCTGAAGAGAAATGGTAGGGTCGTAACCCCCAAAAAGATAATAGAAATACAGTCACCATAAAATACCCACCATCCAACCAATCAAGTAACTCAGTCGCCATGCAATTGATGTCGAGTAATACAGCGCAGTGCAACAATGCGACTGGAGAAGATCAGTATCGTCGCTTTCTCGGGTCGTCGTGCCCATCGTTCTCGTGATATCGTTTGCGGGAACCATGGTCATCGTTTCTTCGATCGCCGCCATATCGATCTCTGTCCCGATCACGTTCACGGTCTCGATCTCGGTCTCGGTCCCGGTCTCTATCGCGATCGCGGTTCTCATATCCACGATCCCGTCCGCCAATGGGGTCTCGGTTGCTTCCTGTACCTCCACGGTTATCCCTACCTGACCCGAACCCGCCATTCCTGCGATCTTCGTAGCCTCCGCCGAAACCGCCTCTACCACCAGGTCCACTAGGCGCATTGGGAGGAGGTGGTCCACTTTGATAACCTCCTTGTCGACCGCCAAACCCTCCGCCACCTTGATAACCAATACCACCACGTCCGCCAAACCCACCTCGATCCCCGCCGAAGCCGCCTCTGTCACCCCCGAATCCACCTCGGTCGCCTCGAAAGCCCCCGCGGAAGCCACCCCGACCGCCAAAACCACCTCGAAAATTGCCTTGAAATCCTGGAGCACCGAATATAGGTTTTGCAGGAGCTTGCTTGGTATATCCTCGGCCTCCTAAGCCCCCACCAAATCGTCGTGGTCTCCAGCCAGGTACCATGCGGCCACGTTCGACATCAACCACGACTCTTCTGTCCTTGATACGTAGACCTTCTGTTTCTTTGTAGGCAGCTGTATGAGACAAGAAATCTTGCTGTTAGTTTCCACGTCTTACCATATGATAGATGAGAAGGGAAGGGGAGCTTCCAGGATAGGGGTTTGTGATGGAAATTACCTCGCATGTCTTTTTCGCGTTCATAGACAACAAAAGCATAGCCTCTATGTGTCTTTTTACCCTTTTGAGGTTGGGTTTCATCTTTGACGATTCTGATCCTTTCAATAGGACCAAATCTGCCGAACTCGCGTTCGAGATCCGACTCTTTGGTCTCATAGCTGAGGCGACCCACGAACAATGTCTTGACGGCGTCTCCTTTTATCTTCGGATCTGCTGTGGGGCTGTAGTCGGGGAAATCTTCTTTTTGAATGTCTAGCTGGTGTTGTTTCTTCTCCAGTCTGAGCCTGTCGCGCTTTTGCAGCCATGACTCGGTTGGGACATATTCATCGGTCTCCTTGTATTCCTGTAGCTGTGGGAGGAAAGCCGCGAGACCGGAGAGCTGAGAAGTTGCGACACCCTTCTCTTCAGGAGCAGAGTCTTGTGGAGGGATGTAGCGCAAGGGAGGCCGTGGTTGGAAAAGGGCAAGAAGTTGGGGAGGTAATTTGTCCGTCATCCTTGCTACACTACAGCAGCGCAAAGGGCGAGATCAATAGCGCGATGAAGGCAAGCGACGCGTATAAAAGTGCAGTCAACTCTTCAGACAATCATGGTTGCGAGATGATTGGAAGACCTCGATGATGATGCAGTGAAACAATCTCTCATGAAAGGTTCAAGGCGGCGGCGATGCTCGAATCAAAGGCCGAAGAAGCGCAGGCTTGGCATGTAGACGAGAAGCGGTCTAGCGCCATCGGAACATCCCTTTCTCCTGTTCCGAGATTGATGTCCAGAGCCACAGTCGCTTAAACCGTGGTCGTATTCGTATCCTCAAACATCAGGGACTATTGATCTGTTCTCCATGAAGAAGCTCGAGACGTCATAGCAGCAGGTTGTCTGCCTTGCGTTCAGGCTGACATGATAAAGGACCATCTGCAGCTGCCGTGTGCCGCTGAAAACTTCAATATCTCTGTCCGACGTATTCCCTGTCGAATCATAGGCGACTCGTGTTCGCAGAATCGTCCAGATTAGGATTGAACTCTACATAGTGTAAGAGCAAGCGATCACAGTTTTGATCCACTGTGCTGTGTGCATAGTGCGAAGAACACATCTTGGTCAACTTTGTCCTGAGCCACACCAGTCTTGGAGTGCAGTTAGATCCCTTCAGTTTTGTTGGGTATCAGAGGACCAAACATCGTCCTTTCTTATGTATATAAGTACGTGCCCATACGAGTTGAGTCGCTCGTATGCTTCGTCACACCATTGACACAAATCATGATATTTGCTTACCATGAATATCCTTCATTTCAGAAAAGCGATTTATGCCATGCTGATCTTCCGGCTGGGTCTTGCTATTGCCGAATCATACTGCAAGCCAATCCCTGGTTCACCTGATTGGCCAGCTCAGTCTGAATGGCAAGCATTGAATGAATCAATCTCAGGCCGTCTGATCGCACCAGTACCCCCAGGAGCAGTCTGCCAACCACTGAGTCCTCTCTACAACAACGATAGCTGTCAGGTTTTGTACACTCAATGGACCAACTCCACTTTCCATGCGCAAGACCCATTCACTTCTGACTACAACGACGACACATGTCTGCCCAGTGCTCTAGCACCATGCTCTGCTGCAGGATATCCTGCCTACGTGGTGAATGCCACCAATGCAAAACATGTCCAAGAAGGAGTGAGATTTGCCCACAGGACTGGAGTTAGGCTCATCGTGAAAGGAACTGGTCATGACTGGCCCGGAAGGTTTGATCCATCTACAGAGCTTATAGCGACGTACTCTTCTACTGACGAAGTTACTAGATCTGCCGGTAGAGACGCCATCTCAATTTATACGCACAACATTCGTGGGGTTGAGGTTAATCACGAGGACGAGCGTGCAATAAACTCAGGGGGCGCGGCTTCAGTCAAAATTGCTGCAGGTACACAAATGGCTGAGCTTTATGCGGTGGCTGCTGAAAACAATATCACTGTCGTTGGAGGAGCTGATATGAACGTGGGGATTGGAGGTTGGATCACTGGCGCTGGACATAGCCCTGTCAGCAGCAAATATGGCCTTGGCGCGGATCAGGTCATTGAAATGGAGGTCGTTACGGCTAATGGAACTTTACTGACGATTAATGAAACTTCATATCCTGGATTATATTGGGCCATGAGAGGTGTAAGTTTGTTCCAAATCGAAAATGTTACATCCCAAAACGACTGACATATCACCGTCAGGGAGGTGGATCTACTTTCGGGGTTCTTATCTCTGTCACAGTCCGAGCGTTTCCTAGGCTTTCTGGAGCATTTTACCAGTTCAACTACAATACGACGGCAAACAGCGAGACCTTCTGGGATCTTGCTACCGTGTTCCACCTCCAGCTGCCAAATATATCAGACAGCGGCGCAATGGGCTACTACTTCCTCACCGCCGATACAGGTGACCAGGAGCCTGATCCAGCCATCCGAGGAAAGCTCTTCGGTGTTTGGATACTGCCTGAGAAAACCGCCGTAGAAGCCAATACGACAATGGCCCAGTTTGAAGAGGAAGTTCGACAAGTGGCTTCCAGTTGGGCAGATCCGGTCCACATCGACAGCAGCGTGATCGAGTTCCCAGACTTTAGCACTTTTTGGCAACTCAACCCACCAGGGACGGTTGGAGGGCCCGGTCGTCTGGGTTCACGACTGCTGGGCCGAGACGCCCTTTCAGTTGAGCCAGAGCGCCTGAAGCAAGCACTAAAGAACAGTACCATAATACCACAATTCTCCATCCTTGGCCATGTAGTTGCTGGTAAAGGTGTCCAAAATGCAGATATCATTGGAGGGAACAACTCGGTTCTTCCTGCATGGAGGGACGCCATTACTCACGTGGGTATGTAGCAGACTTCCTTCACTTTTATCAAGCATTTTCTCACTGACTTATCCCAGTTCTCCCGAGATCTTGGCCATTCCTGAATGAAACAGTAAAGGAAGAATTCACGACCTTGCTCCGAGAAGTCGAGGTCGAGGCTCTCCGTCAGATCTCTCCGGGTTCCGGGGCGTATATCAATGAAGCCGATCCAACTGAGCCCGACTGGCGGGAAGCCTTCTGGGGAGATAACTATCCCAGATTACTTGAATTGAAAGACTACTGGGATCCGACAGGAGTGTTCTGGTGTGTTCCTTGTGTTGGACATGGTTATTGGAATGTGACGAGCGACTTTGGCATTGAAGGTGCCATTGGACAGACTCCTGGACGGATCTGTCGCACCTCCTGAGTGCAGAAACATCCACAATATCACCCAGCTGCCGATATATGCTTGATGATCTAGCCCGTAGGTAACCTTAACGTCTTTAACTCAATGTACTTCCGTACCACTAACATGGTGCTTAGACTACTCTCTGAATAGCTGCATTGCAAGAAAAGCTGCTGGCTGTCGCGAAACAGGAGCTGAACGGCGTTCGGGATCACTAATCTTCCAAAGATATCATCATTGTCTTCAATGCCGCAGCACTCATGGTATATCTTCAAATAAGCCATGACAATTCCATGACTCCACCATCTATGGCCCGCTATCGAAGAAGAGCGGTTTTCGATCAGTACTCTTTTGTTGACCACATCACCAACTCGACGTGATTTCGTGAACACATCGTATATTTCAATTGTTTGTGGGCCAAAGCTCTCTAGGGTGTACTCGGCGGCGATTACTCAACAGGCCGGGCTTTACAGACTCCTTGGACTCCTAGAAACATACTAATCGCGATTCACAACTGCCTTAGCTCACACGTTGTGGGTCTCGTCCTCGAGCTAAGGCCAATTTACGAGCAATATGCCTCTTCGAGATCGTATGCTTCGCATGGAGACGACACATGGACCCCGGTCTTGATCTGATGTAGATGCCAACAGCTTGCACTCTTCTCAGGATCCTTGACGCAATGTCGGACTCGGGTCAACTCAATCTTCACTCCCAATCCGACATCATTATGGATCCAAGTTGCGTATTGCATTCCTCTTTGGGGAGGAGGGATGATTGCTATATCTTCCGGAATAGCGAATGTTTTATTATCAGTAGCCAGGTTTGCCTCGAAAAAAGAACCATCGGGTGGTCAACAATTACCCAGTGAAGAAATGGTCGAACTGCCCACCGAGCAAGATCGAAACAACCGAATAGTGCAAAATGAAATATCGAGATTCCCAGCTGAGCATGATCATGATACACTCACAAAGGAAGAGATGGCGAAAAACATACTTGGCGAGTCCTCCGAACACGAGCTGGAGCATTACTACCCAACTGGACTTGCCAAAGCAATGATCATAGGGCCCGTGACAATGACTTACTTTCTCTTCTTCCTAGACCTCGCCATCGTTTCAACAGCGACTCCGGCAATCACCTCACATTTTGACTCCCTAGTCGACATAGGCTGGTATGGTGGCGCCTACCAGCTCGGAAGCTCAGCGCTCCAACCTTTGACGGGCAAGCTATTCTCCTACTTCTCAACCAAGGTATGACTCAAACCCCAGCCCAACTTCCAAGCACTCTCGTCTCTCAAATAGCACGAAGACAGTCTCCAAGAACTAAATACACTCGCTCTAGTGGATGTTCATTTTCTTCCTTGTCGTCTTTATGTTCGGATCGGCGCTATGTGGAGCAGCCCAATCGTCGTCAATGCTGATTATTGGGAGAGCTGTTGCCGGTGCAGGTTCTGCTGGTCTAAGGCTGGGTGGTGTGACGATACTCGCTGCTATACTGCCACCGATTGCGCAGGCGAGATTCATGGGTCTTAACTTGGGCCTTGGTCAGCTTGGTCTTGCTCTGGGACCTATTCTTGGAGGTATATTCACACAATATCTCTCGTGGCGCTGGTGTAAGTCTCCTCTCCCCGTGCGCTTCTCAGTCCACCCTCTGACTTGGAATGCACGTATCCAGGCTTCTACATCAACCTTCCAATCGGAGCAGTGGTAGGTGGCTTACTCCTATACTGCAAAATCCCTGAGCCGAAGCCTAAACCCCCGGTCCGCGAAGTTCTCCGCACGGCCGTCAAGTCTCTCGACCTAGCTGGATTCTTCCTGGTTAGCCCATCAGCAGTAATGCTCCTGCTGGGGCTGCAGTACGGTGGAAATCAATTTGCATGGAACAGTTCAACGGTGATCGGGCTGCTTGTTGGCGCAGCAGTGGCCTTCATCATCTTTCTGTTATGGGAGCGTCGAAAGGGAGACGAGGCTATGATTCCGTTCGCCATGCTAAGACACCGCATCATCTGGTCTGCTACTGGCACCATGTTTTTCCTCCTGGCAACAATCCTAGTGGGTGACTTCTACCTCGCCATCTACTTTCAGACTGTCCATAATGACTCGCCGGTCATGAGTGGTGTGCATATGCTGCCAGCGACAATAAGCATGGTCATGTTTACGATGACAGCCGGCGTGCTCGGTATGTTCATTGATCTCTCGTGTTCTCAATCTTTCGAAATCGGCATTACTGACAGCCCATGACTGACGCAGTCGGAGTTGTTGGTTACTACCTGCCATGGGTTCTGGCAGGGAGTTCTCTGACAGCTATTGGATACGGGCTTCTTTCATTAGTGGCACCAGCAACCCCTGCGGCGAAGTGGATCGGATATCAAGTGATCTGGGGAGTTGGTAGTGGATTGATGGTTGCTGGGGTGAGTCAGCCATGCGATAATGATTCTGTCTTCCTCCTGTTTTTATCTGATACCGATTTGCTCCGCAGCCATACATCGCAGTGCAGAATCTTGTCCCAGCCGCTCAGATTCCAATCGCAATGGGCATAATCACCTTCGCACAAAACATGGGCAGCGCAATTTTCCTCGTCGTTGCCAACGCAGTCTTCAGCAACAGTCTACGGAAAGAACTCCAAGAGCGCATCGCGGTTATCAAACTTACCCCAGAAGTCATAATCGACGCCGGGGCTCATAATATACGCGAACTCGTCTCAGGCACTGAATTATCAGCAGTACTGCAGGCTTATAGTGATAGTGTCGACAAAGTTATGTATCTTGGTGTTGCTGTCAGTATAGTGACATTCGCGTTTGCTTGGGGGCTTGGGTGGAACGATATTCGCGTGCAGAAGAAGTTGCTAGCTTTGCAGGAGGGTGAGGTGCGAATAAGAGAGAGCGACCCATCGAAATGAGCGAGTTTCTGGATTGCAACATTCAATTCCATTTTCGTTTCTGGGGCGAGGTCATTGGCACTCAAGGTGGTCGTTTGGAACCCACTCCCATGATCCTCAAGCAGAAGCTACCTTCTCTCGTACGGTGCCTGATAAATGATGCGTGATGGTATAAGACAGATCAGGGAGGGGCTCAGCGAAGGACCGTTCTTTAAGAGCATGCTGTACGATAATGGCTCAGGATGGCCATCATTTAATCTATGCAATGATACTAAATAGTTCATCAAGAGAATCCCTGTTTTCCAGATCTCGAACAAGCAACAGTAAGTTCTGTACACTCTCCTGACCCATCACGGTTCCCACTAGTGTCCGGAATTTATTCTCCACATCGCCAGGATGTGGTGGATTCTCTATGGTGCCTCTTCTGTGAAGCTCTGTTCTCTTGAATGATCTTTCGTCCTTTGTTGTGAGAGTGACTGAAGCCGCATGGCGAAACTTGCGACCCATTGCCTCAATCTCGGGATCGATATGGGCTTGCATTCGAGCCACAAGGTCAAGCACTCTGGGGTCGGCTAATCGACCTTCTGAAAACTCATTGATACCAGCATCGCCATCAATGGCAATCACAGCCAAAGAGTAGAACAAATTCATCTGGGCCGCGGTCACACCTTGTGGCTTGTACTTCCAAGCACAATGGTGCAATGTGACTGTTGTACAGCCAATCTCGATACTTTCGATGTCGTCAGCGTGGAGATGATTATCCCGCATGATAGCAAGCAAGCCATCAAGTGCAGTGTGTATACTAGCAACGGTTGCATATGGTTTGTAGCCAACGTTGAGAGTCTCCCATCTGGTTCCAAGGTCTGCAATTAGAGGTTCTGGGTTTGGAGTGCTGCTGAATGTTTGAAGAAAGCCGCCAAATGAAGCCTCCAATACGTTGTGAATCCCCGTGAAGCCTTTACGAGCAAGTATGGCTCCATATACTCCGTTTTGCGCAGCTGTACCTGCGTGCATACGCTTGACCATTGCTCCTTCCTGGGCTGCCATCAACCCTGCTGCACTTGTGCCTGCGATGCCCAAAGCGTGCTGGGTCTTTTCCGCGTCGAGACCAAGAATCTTGGACGCTGCTGCAGCGGCAGTCAATACCCCTATACTTCCTTGAGGGTGATGCCCGCGATAGAATAACCCGGGTCCCATTGACATGCCGACTCTACACCCAGCCTCATATGCAGCAACTGTAGAGGTGATGAAGTCGCGCCCGCTGCGGCCACCTTCCGACTCTGCGAGTGCTAATATTACTGGCACGATGATCGAACCAGGATGATGTCCACTGTCGCGATGGATCTCGTCAAATTCGAAGCCGTGCCCAGCAGTAGCGTTGGTCAGGGCCGCTAGTGCAGCAGAGGTCTTAAGTTTACGGCCCAAGATCGTGGAACAAGGTTGAGCACCTGCTTCCATTGCCATTTCCCCTACCATCTTAGCCCATGGTGTCTGATTACCGAAGATAACGACACCCAGATTGTCTAAGATGAGCTCCTTGACATAACTGACAACCTCTGCGGGGATCTGGTCGTACGACAGAGATGATATGAACCCGGCGAGCTCGCGTGTTGCTCCGGGCAGGAGATCAGGTGTATCGAGTTCGAGTGGAGGCCCAGTCATTCTGTCGGCAATCATGTATGAGCTGAAGGTCTTGACGATTTAATCTCAAACTGGTCAAAAGCAAAGACATAACCATCGAGTCTTCTGATCAGATGCCGCCTTCCCCCAGCTCGTCGTCGCCAAGAGAATCTCATCTTTATAGCCTCTGAACGCCCACTGCTTCGATAGGCGCACCTGAACTTCGGCGCCTCATGCGGCCCGGTAGAGGCATTCATCCTCTTGAAGTGTGATACAAGTCGATCTCAAGCTGAAGACGGGCAGAATAATTAGTAGAGTCAGTTCGTATCCCTAAATTGGGATGTTACTCCCGCCCCGTCCTCGAATCTCCCCATTTTCCCCGCTCGCTTGAGTCCACGGATCCCTAAATCGGAATGCGTCAAGGTAGAGCCTCCATCTTCCGATAGGCACGTCCACTCATCTTCCACCCGCTTAAACTGAAAATCCCGAAACCGGAATGGGTCCCTCGATGCATGTCATCTTCCCAGATGCGCATACGTCCATCTTCCTGCGTACACATACGCTCATCTTCCCCAGATTTCCAACAAATAGCCAATCAAGTCGACGGTCAAGTCCGTGGCGGAAGCGTGCTGGCTCACAGCCGGTAGCCTGGAGAGGCAAGTCGGTGCTGGCTCAAATCGGCCGATGGACCTGTCGGAGGTCTACCTGATCGCGGAGTCCCTAACTCTATTCAACAATCAACAAGTCCGTGGTCGGACAATAGCACGGCTGGGGCAAGATAGACGAGAATCAGATCTTACATTGATCGTCTATATAATTCCCCGCAATTTCGAACCCCATACTAAAGTAACCCAGCAAAAGAATCTACATGTTTATCGAGGTTCGTTAATACCATCCATATACTTAATTGCTCCACGGCGCACGAATGGAAAAAGATCAGCACATACAAATAGAAATGTCTAAAGATTCTGCCGCTCGATCGGGAACACCAGTAGCCCATGACGAACGGATTGAGATAACTGGATCAAAAGATGCATCATTCGAAGACAAGCTTCGCTCCAAAGACATCGGGGCCGAGTATGCAGCTGTCGCTGACGACGCAGAGTTCGACACGGCTACACAACGAAAGTACCTTTGGCGTGTCGATTTGGTGCTTATGCCTATCCTTTTCCTAACGTGGGGTCTCCAGTACGCAGACAAAAGTATACTCAACAGCGCAGCTCAATTTGGGATTGTCGAAGATCTTGGACTCTCAGACACAGTGCTCGTCCACGGCCAAAAGAGAGTCAGCTTGTCAAAGTTCTCGTATGCTGTTATGCTTTTTTATTGGGGATACTTCGTTGGAGGTACGTGATGTTCTGTCTTGGATTTTCACAGAGCTTACTGTCATGCATAGTCCTGCCTGCTACCTATCTTGCGCAGCGAATGCCTCTTGGGAAGTTCATCGGCGCATCTATTGTCGTTTGGGGCATTGTTACGATGTCAACCGCGGGAGTAACATCATACCCTGGCCTGATGGTCAATAGGTAGGTGGGCAAGTCATTGTTGGCAACCCTAGCTGATTGCTGTGGCCAGGTTCTTCTTAGGTGTCTGCGAATCCACTCCAGCTCCAGCGTTTTCTCTCATCACAGCGATGTGGTATAAACGGGATGAGCAACCACTGCGTATCGCCATTTGGTATTCAGCTTCCGGCGTCGGCAGTCTACTGGCTGGCATTGCATTCTACGGTATCGGACATATCCACGGCTCGCTTCATCCATGGAAATACCAGTACTTGATTCTGGGAGCGTTTACTGTGATTTGGGGTTTGGTTGTCGCGTATTTCCTTCCGGATAACCCGATGAAAGCTCGGTTCCTAAACGCCGAGGAACGCATTTTAGCTGTCAAGCGTATGCGTACCGACCAGACTGGCATTGAGAACACAACCTTCAAACCATACCAAGTCAAGGAGACTTTCCTAGATCCCAAGACTTGGCTTTTGGTTCTCCTCGCCTTCACCATAACCCTCGTCAACGGTGCTGTCTCGGGATTTGGATCTATCATTATCCGCAGCTTTGGATTTTCTCCGTTTCATTCTGTGCTGCTCACTGGGAGTGGCGGCGCCGTGGTATTTGTGTCTCTTATGACGTTTGGGTAAGTCCTGTCAATGAAATCACATCTCTGCCTAGTGTGCTACTGGCGAACACATACTGACGAACGCCAAAGGGTTGTCGTTCTTTTCTACAAGAATCAGCGCAGCATTGTGATCATTTTTTCGACACTTCTCGTCATATCTGGCTGTGTGATGATATGGAAATCCAACTGGAAGAACCTTGGCATCCCGCTCGCCGGATTCTACTTGTTGACATTCTTCGCTCTTGCGTACGTGATGCTATTGTCGCTGATGACCGCAAACACGGCTGGGCACACGAAAAAGGCATTGACTTCCGGCCTAGTATGGGCTAGCACCGTGGTCTCCAACGCTGTTGGTCCACTACTTGTCAAGACGGAGGAAAAGGCAGAACACTACCCAAGTCTCGTAAAGCCACTGTTAGCAGTTCTGGCACTATCTGTCGCGATGATAGTGGCACTTCGGATCTATATGACGGTGCAGAATAAGACCCGAGACGCGAGAGGTGTCGTTACGGAAGCCGCTTTGTCAGAGACTGCGTTCGCAGATATGACTGATAAGGAAAACCCTAACTTTAGGTACTCTTGGTAGATTTGGTCGACCTCGGCAATCCATGGTTGTGTAGATACTGTATATTGTCGACTGAGAAAATTGTTGGAAGAATCCGTGTAACTACTTAGCTGATGAGGAGGGTGTATAGGTGAAGTCTCGAATCGTATATGCTTTTCGCAGCACTCTTCATTGTAAAGACGACCAGAGGGTGGTAAGAATTATTCTAGTTGATAAATATAAGTGGTCTTCTGAACAGGGGAGCCATGATTCTTACCAGCTGGACCAATGCTTAATAAAATACGAATGACAAATGCAGCAAAGTCCCACAGATGTAGAAAGACTATGCTCATCTAGACTATGCTCATCTAAATTTGTCTATCAATGAACAGATAATCGACAACTATATCCAGAATAAGACTACTCAGTACAAAACCAGTAAGGACGGGAAATGACAGGGAGGTTCGCGAAGGCAACCAGATTAGTTCGCACTTAGTTTGTGGCGCTGACCTCTGGCTGCCGGGAGAGTGAGGCTGAAGATAAGGTCACTGTTGGGGCGAAAGTCCAGGACAGAAGATTGTGATGGAGGCTGATAGTGTCGATGCCAGGAAAGCAAGGGGCAGAAACGAGTCAAGAACCTGGCCTAGTTAACTCCAATCTGCAAGCCACCGCGGAGATTATGCCACCTAACTGGGTGTATTTATGTCGGTGTGGCACGTAAGGCTGGTAGGCAACTCGAGGTAAGGTACTTTATTTCATGGCGCTCTGTTTCGTCGGAGAGTCTGCCTTCTAACCGACCGTGTGCTTGGCGATGTATGGCGAGGACTGAACTATCTCAGCCTGACCTCCTCTATGCTGACATTCTTTCATCTTCACTTTTGATTGTATCCACCGAGTTGCGATCCAACTCCAAAAGAACCAAACCACCAACAGTATGGCACAAACAGCAGTGCTTAGTCGAGAAAAGCACGTGAAGCTCAAAATTCCTGTCACCAATTCTAGTTATGTCGCACCGGAAACGGAGAATGGAAACCTGGCCCACAGACTCTGGGGAAAGTGGAGAGCTCACACCATCATGTTCCTCACTTTCTTTGCAGGTCTTGCTACAGCATTGGGACACCATTTCATGAATATGTCCCTTGACAAAACTCAGGTGGATCAAGCAAAACTCTCCCAGGCATGGGCATCGCGATTCAGCACATCGTTAGCATTCTTGGTCCAGTTTTTCTTTGTATCTTGTGTGGGCGTAGCATTTGTACAGCGACAGTGGCTCAATTTTCATCACAAATCCTACAAGGTTGATGAAGTCGATTCACTGACAGGGATTTTGGGGAATATATTTGACTTCTTTGGTGGTTTGGTATGGCTGCGAAACCCAATTTTGACCATGATCGCGATAATTTCATGGCAAGCATTCGTTTGACGGATCGTTAGTATCTTGCTAATGGTTCTAGGACTATACCTCTTGCGACGGTCATTGCTCCGGGTTCTTTGTTGACACAACCCATGCCATATTCGAGCATGGTGAGTATACCGGTGCCTCAGGCATCTTTCGACAGCAGTAGCTACGCCTTAGTGGGCCCAACTGGCTATGCTTTCCCATCGAACCTGGTCTTCAGGATTGCATACGCAGCAGCTATGTCCGGGAAACCACTTGCTTTGCCCTCAGCTTATCAGAATCAGACTTATGATCTCACCTTCTTCGGCCCTGCCATTAAATGCGGCTCGGCAGATGTGAGTACCATTGCCGCAGTGTCTACCACGCTGACCGAGACAAATGATGATCGTCTTTCCGTCATTTATGTCTCCTGGGTCGGCGACAATGACCATGGACTCCTTGATCCCAGCACTAACAGCCCAAACGGCTGGCTACAATCTAGTCCATGGGATTCCTATTACAAAGCTCAAGACCAAAGCTCTTCGGATGCAGCGCGCATATTTGTCATGACGAACATGGCGGGTCTCTCAGGGGGTACTCGTGTCCAAGTTACTGAATGTCTGCTGCATAACGCAACATACAACACCAAATTCATATTTCAGTACCCAGAACAAACTATTATACCTACAATTTCACAGTATTTCAATACTGTCTCGCAAACTGATCTTGATAATATGGTTGACATGGTTGGTAATACCACTAGCTCAGCAATTCATTCCTATACAGCCATTATGGAAGCTTTTGGAAAGCTTCTCGTTGGAGCAAGCATTTACGGCAGTGGGTCCGGCTATACTGCGCAAACCGTCTATTCAACCTATGCGTATCTAAACGTCAACTGGAATGAGTCTAAGAATGTTCCGGGAGACCTTGAGAGATTGTTTCAAAACATCACGTTGAGCATGCTCAGTAATGACACACTTATGTACGCAACTTGACTTGCCAAGTTACTTGGAACAACGAGATAAATGTATTTGTGATGAGCGGCTAACAATACAATAGAAAAGATCATACTCAGGGTGATTATATCTCTGTCAACGCAACGACGTACCCAAACACCTTCGTCTACAGGCCTCGCGATCTCCTCATAGTCTACGGTTTGAGCCTGTTCTGCACAGTGTTATGTTCTTTAATAGGCCTCCACGCCCTACATATCAACAAAGCCAGTTACCAAAACATCTTCTCGACATTCGTGAGAGTGACGGGCCATCCAGAGCTACACTCCCTAACAAAGCTTGACGACACTGGCGCTGACCCAGTGCCCAAACAGCTCGCTGAGGCGAGGATCAGAATGAGGGCAGGCAATAGTAGCGAACGCGATCGGAGTTAAACTGATCTTGTTCGTAGACGGAGTCGAATGTGACGATAGTATGGGTAAAGTAACAAGACAAATAAATAGAGGACCAGATTGAAGGATGGAAGCCAATGGAGCCATGATAGATTGACTTATCGTACGCAATTCTCGTGCGACGGTTTAAATGGATTTTTCGATACCTGGTGGCCACATGACTCGGCGATTCGGCGGCACTTCCAGTAACCAAGGCACCACAGATTTTAGGGTGAAGGGCCAGTACCAAGTAGCTCAAGAACTTGCACTTTCTCGTGGAGACAGCTTCATACATCTCTCGATCAACGTGTTATCGTCGAACTAATAATGACGACTAATTCACGAGTATAACTGGAATATCATGGCTCAACACCCATTATCGCATTGAACTATCCCCAAAAGTTGAATGTCTTGACAAAGGATGATTTCTACCGACTGGCAACATCTTCGAACCAAATAGTGGGGATGATGATACCTTGATGACGCTGCTGATTGGAAAGGGCAGATATTTCTCCGTGTGAGTTCTATTTAATAGACCACCTCCACGTTATCTCCCTGCAAACCGGGACCACAGCATCCATGCCGATAGGGTCCCCACCAAGACCAATAACGACGCCACAAAATAAGACCAGATAGGCGGCTCCCCTGCGCCATGTGAGATCTCTCTTATGTTCATGCCGTAAATAGAGGCCACAAGCATCAGAGGTAGATAAATGAAAGTCAACAAAGTGACTCGCCGAATGCTAGCAGCAGAGGCATTGGCAGCCATGCTTTGCTCAACCGATGCTTTTGTGTCTTGCAAGGTGGCGATGTTGAATATCAGATTGATGATGTTTTCTGTCTGAACAGTGAGTGCGTCGCAACGTGAATAGCACTCGTCGAGCACCAGGTTACATTTCGCAAGGTAATGCCGGAACGCCTCGTGCAGCTGGTTGGTGACAAAGTATGGATGAGAACACATGCCAGTGTTCAAGTCCTTCGCGGCATTAATTCGTCTCCGCGCAAACGCCCACATTGGCAACAGTGGGTGGAGGTCCCGCATTGCCTTGAGCTGTTGATTTGAAGTGAGCTCACCTTCTATGCACTGCTTGCTTAGACCCTGCAAGTGGACATCGGCTTCATTCAAGAAAAATTCCCACTGATACCGCACGATGTACATGATTTCTGCCAGAATCTGACCCTGTCCGGCGCGATCCTCTCCCTCACTGGAGGTTCTTTCTTCCTCTCGAGTCATGAGCTGCTTCATGCCGTCAGCAATGGCCTCGTCATTAGCTTGGAAATGCAAGACACCCCGGAATCGATCACCAACTCGCATAAACAGTGCAGCAATCATAGTCGTGTGCCACTCATAGTTGCCAAACGTGGCATATGGTGCGGCCTGTGCACGAACCTTGGCTGGGACACCAGTTGGCAAGTATTTTTCAATTATCTGCAAGCCAAAGAACGCGTAGCTATCAACTGTATTGCCGGTGCTGAGCATGACGAATTGGAAGTTGAAAAATCTGGGCGTCAAATCAAGGTAGTGTCCCAGGGCTTGAACGGCCTCGCCGGATGCATCTCGTAGGAAGAAGAAGCTGCTTTTCAAGTTGTCGGCATCTGGTATCTGAAGCAAAGCGAGCAGGTCAGGAACAGACCAAACCTCCCCGGTCTGCTTCCATGATGATTGCTGAGAAGAAGGGTCTCCCGGAGTATAAGTGTACTTCTGTATCCAGCAGCGATGGTGTGAGTTCTCTGCAATGAACTTTTCAAGCTCATTGAAGGTGAAACCAGACGACTTGCTTCCTGGCCAGCGCTTGTGAGGAGGTTGATTTTGCACTGGGATATTACTCTGTGTTGCGGGTATTGTTAAGGGGCCGTTTGGGTTCGAAGACATCCACCAAGCAGATCTTAACGCCATGTCAGGTGAATTGTGGAAAAAGGAAGCCATTGATGTACCAGATGGTGTCTTTCATTGTTATGTGACTTTTCTTTTTCCTGCACGTGCACCTCGGGTGCGACTCGCACATGGTACGAAAGTGTTGGAGAATGGGGTACACATTCACCCTCTTTCATGCCCAAGGTACCCTACCACCTGTGCCTTAGCTAGTGGTGTGCGGATAGGGGCTCCAAAATCCATGGGCCTTCATGCATTTCATTCGTCTGATACCTTGTTGCATACAACTAAAGGTACGCCTTTGCCTTCTTCGTCTACCCTAACCCAGAGTTAGCAATTGGCGGGGGTGAAATGTTGGCACAACACCACCGACCGGCAGATCATGTCCGCTCCTCTTCGTTTAGACATTATCGGATCACGTTCGACACTAGATTCGATCATGCAACAATCGAAGCGTGTTTTGAGAATCAGATCTTTACCTGCGGATGAAGATGCGATCTGGTGATATGTAACAGCATTGTTCAATGTTAATGTAGGCGTCTTCGAAGACCGTTGTACGATGAACTTATGTTGTGTCGTCTTCAGAATCCGTCCATCATCGGCTGCCTTCAGCGTCTCTCCCAAGCAAGAAGAGACTGCTCTTCCTAAAACATGTGCTGTGTTCTGCTTCTATCGCGAAGTTATAAAAATCCAATGATCATCGAGGTCTGTGACCATCTCGTCTTGCACTGTGGCAATGACTTGTACCATGACGTACGCACGTTGCTAGGAGGACCGCGTGCTCCTGGTTGCATGCCCCATCACTGCAATTGGACCTCGTCACAGGCGGTGTTCCATCTATGGCTGGCATCTCGCCAGACAATATGGGTGAAGTTGTCGCTAAAGCTGAAGGTATGGTGCTCGACTGTGGGTGCAGATGATCCGCTGATGATGTTATCCACTGAGAGAAACCTGTTATTCATTTTCAGTAGAGTCTCTGGCTACTTCTTGGAGAGGAAGCATGGCGTTTTTATGACTGTAGAGCCTGCCGGCAGCCTCTTTGACCAATGGTGCCAAAACATGTCTTGTTATTTGCGTAGACTTTGTTTGTCCGAAGCTTACGCCACCATCATCTTCGAGGCTACCAGGTGGTGTAACATGATGAAAGCTCGACTCGGGCACTATCTGCTGCAACCTATCGCATTTACACAGGATGGGATGCTAGCGTTCTGCAAGGTTCGAACAGGAAAGAGTCTCCTCGATGCCATTGTAAATGTGAGGTGGTTAAGTACGTACGATCGAGAGAAGAGCCGGCGACATCATAGAGTTGCTTCAGAACCTTAACACTGGTTGCAAGGTAGTCTTTGAACTTTGGGACCGTGCGCCAAACCGTACATATCGGCTGTTCATCTTCGGAAAATGGTTTGATAATGTCCCCCAGTCCGCTTGCAAATAGCACCAAGGCGTCACTTTCACGGATTAGGGCAGGCCAACCGCCACTTGTTGTTTTGTCAATGGTCCATTGTTTTCTCCGAAGGGGTGATTGCTCTTCAACGACAGCTTTGAATTCAAAACCCTGAATGGTCTCCTTTAAATTGGTGGGCACCGTCATGCCAGCTGCTTGATCTTCTGTCACATTTTGGTCCAGCAAGAATTCGAGAATAGACCATAGTCTCCGCACCAGGTCTCTGAATGTGTATGTCTCACAGTCTGACAGATCGACAGATGCTCCTCTTAACAGTGCCTCTTTGGCACATAATCCTGATGGTTCGGCTGAGAACAACTTAACTGGCTGCCCATTAATTTCGAATGGCTCGTCTTGGTTTCGACTATGTGCCAGGTGGAGAATGACCTCGGATGTCGGAACAAGCCAAGCTCTTCTCTCGATAGTGTCGTAAAGGACGATCGGGGTCCTTTCTGCCATTGAGACTATTCTATTATACGGGCCAGCGCGTTCGATGTGACACTTGTCAGCTTTAGGTCCTAAGGCAAAGTTGAGTTCGGCCAATCCGATTTGTTGGAAGCCCAAACCAGCTCCTGTGAATTTCAGCGAAGACTGAATGCCTTGAGCCTTCGAGTATGAGATGTTTTCGTATTTAGCTTCGTCGGATCCTAGCAGGGAGTGGACCTTAGGATGCCATCCGACAATCGCTCTTGCTTGTCGTGCGGTTTCAAGATTTACCTCGTTCAGATATGCTCGGCTCTTGCAGAGGGTGAGTGCCTTATGATATGACAGCCGGTGCTCAAAATCCGGGTTACCGACAAGATGCCACTGTACAATATCACCATTGCACCTGATTGGTAAGAGCATACTGGAAAATCCCTTCAGAACCACACCACCTTGATATTCCACCACGTGGCTGGCACCCACTATCGCTGCCATCACTTCCAGAGACACCTCTAAGCCCATCTCGTCTTGGCGTGCAGGTATCGGATAATCTCGAGCGATAGTCGCTCCACGGAAGTGGCTCAGCCAACAAATCTCCTCGGACGAGTGTAGAACGTCAAACTCGAATTTCAGAGCGAAGTTGACGAAAGGGAAGGCTCCCTCTGGTGGGAGGGTTTGAAAAGCAGCTTTACAGTAGGCGACTCTGTGTTCGTAGGGTGGAGTGTTCAACGCAGCTCCAATCCAAGATAATTGTTGAGCAATTTCGACGAGCATTTGCTTCGTTGCAAGGCAATGTACCTGTACGATGGAAGCTGGTGCCTCACTGTATCGCTCAGAAATTTTGACCGAGATTGAAGAGTCATCCTGGGCCAAATCGTGATGGTCTACATGCTCAATCTTCCCAGCTGGAGTGAGGCCTTCAAAAACTGCCTTCTGTAGAGCCGAGAGGAGCCTCATGCCAGAACGTGGCCAATTGACCCTGAGATATTCCGAACATGTAGTTGCATGGGCATACAATGCAGATCCTGTTAAGACAATGATATCTCCAATTCGTTGTCGGCGATTGCCAAATTCGTTGTCGAGGTACTGCAGAATATCCCAATCCATGTGAAAGTGGGCGGAATAAAGCTCCTGGTTCTCCCTTGAGATGACCTGATCATGCTGGAGTGCATGATGGGGTTCACTCCGAGAAAAATCTTGGATCCGACTTGCTATTGAGCTGTTAGCTAGGCGTTCGTCATAGTAAAGCGCTCGACGAAAGGATTGCACTAGATTCTGGAAAGGTTCGCACGAGATAAGGTCTTGAAATGAATGAATTGAATCGTGCATAACAGAATATTCTGTTTCCATCTCGTTTCCAGATGTGTGATCGTCTCTCACGGCATCGACTATTTCATGAGGATCACTCTGGTAGAGTAAATCAAATGTGTCAGAGAGTGACTCATGTTCGCTGAACTCGTGAAAGGGCAAAGTCGTTGAAGTCGATGCTAGCGGAAAGGAGGTCAACTTCTTGTGAATGAAGTGAATAATCTTGAGTTGAACCTTGCGAATGAAATCGGCCGCTTCCACAATTTCGTTCATGGGCGTTAACAGTGTGGAGGACTGGAGCTCGTCTGAGTAAGTCCCCAATATAGCTCCCATTGTCGCCCTGAGGAAGTCTGTGGAATACTTTTCAATTGCAAATCCCGCCCATACACAAGCCCCAGACTTTTCAAGTAGAGCTTGACCAAACAATGGAATGAGGTGTTCCATGGAGTCATGTGGCAGTTCCGGAGATGGTTCTAATGATGGTGTGACAGAGACTGAGAGCTTATCGTGAGACCTCGTGCTTCCAAGATGAGGCCGTGCCTGAGTTACCCTGGATGCGGATGATTCTGGAACTGGTGCCATGTTGCCATTGGCTATAAAATTGGTGGGCGTATGATCTCTCGCAATGAACGCTGGGTTGGAAAACTGTCTTGCAAAGAGATCCAAGTCTGTGATTGCACGATTTTGAATCCTGGCTGTCGGTTCACGGCTCTCTTCACTCAAAGGCACTGGTGTTGTCTGATGTGATGGTAAAAGGTTTTCCTCTGGCCGCGGTACAGACCTCGAATTACGCTCAAAGTTCTGATCCGGCGTTGACTTTGGGAGACAGGTATAAATGCAGTTGGTACAACGCCAATGATCGCAGGCTGTGCATGCTGCAAAGATAGCCATCGACATCGGCATAGGAAAAGCTGGTCCGCATTCGCAACAAATCCAAGCATTTGCTTGGGCCATTGATGGCCCCCATGACGACAGTCCCTTACCCATCTCGGCACACTGGATGAATAGCGGTTTGTGGTGTGATGCTTTTTGAAGAATAAATGGTTGTAAGCTGTTTGGGCTTTCAATAAATAGCTGCCATGGAGTTACGGTGATGGCTCCTCCCGATCGTTAATCCGCCTTCTTGTCAACAGCGTGTGTTCGTGATAATCTGCAAGTGAAGAATGTATGTTGGTCGTAATGGGCGTCGAAAGATACTAGATCGCGAAGACTGGACTTCTGATGGAGACAAGGCTGAATAAAGTTCACGCTCGTCAAGTCATCGAGCGGAGCATCGGCAAGTTGTAGCATGACAACAAAGTGGAGCATAAGAATTACTTAGTATTGGATATTCTGACAGGAATAGAAAATCGGGGAGAAGCGCAGTTGGTGGAACTTAGATTGATCGAAAAGAACTTGAAGCAGCTCTTGAAGTCACCCAAAGCAGCTCACACGGGCCGTTTTGCCTGATGCTCCGCCCTCAAAAGCGCCTAACATAGCCATATGGCGCGTGTCTGGGTGATTCGTCTATGATAGTGGGACAGGACATGGCTGAGTCAACCCTGCAGATCTTGAGCAGCACGCCGAAAAAAGCTCATGGACAAATTGGAGTGCCGCCGTACTGGTGGTGCCTAAAAGGCTAAAGTGGAAGAGTCTCTGTGCTGGCCATGGTAGATTCAGAACTGATTGATGTTCCTAGGTTAGAATCCAGGATTGCTGCAATTCTCGACAGGGATTGAACGTCAGGCTGATATGAACTGGTCGCCGACCTTGAACAGTTGGGTGATGTAAGACCAGTGCTTGAAATATTGATTTAAGCTGCTCTGAGTAATCTCAGCTACCAAATAGCCTTCGCAGTAAATAATCATGAGTCGGATAACTATATACAATAGCAGTTGCGAGCCAAATATGCTCGCAGAGCGGTGAGATCCTTCTTGTCTGGAATAACTACTAGTCAGTATAGGTCGCTCATATCAAAATTGCACAGAATTTGGAGCCGAAGCGTAGCTGTTTTCCATGGACCTAGGTAACTAGTGTGAGCGCGGTATCGATATGGTACCACCATCACGAATCGACTCCTAGTTTCGTAGCGCTTGTCAGGGAGTATGAACTTTCACTATCAATATGACTACTAAGAACATATAAAAGAATGATTACTAGTATTCTTTGCGAGATGACAAAGACAAATGGTCAGAATTTACTGATCAAGTGCTCAGTACTAAGTATCTAACTACCTAGGTATCTAGGATACCTAGGTATTACTCAGTAGGCAAGGAACTCACTGAACTCTTGATCGACTCTCTTTTCGAACGCCGCTGTTCTCATCTAGCGACATGATGCTTCGAGGCAGGAGGTGCAGGTACTGATCTTTCCAATCCGAAGGATACCTAGATTATGCAGCTTGATCTAGACTTTCGGCTCCTGTAAATGTTTCTGTTGGCCTGTCACTGAAGCATAGCGATCGACAAAGACAAGGGACGAATGATGGGGAAAGAAGAACCGTGCCTAACTTCTAGCTGCCGTTCACGCGAGGCCTGAGGTTTAATCAGAAGGAAGGTCGATGGGCGCCTCGGGCCCCTCGGGCCGCTTATCCGGGCTAACGTGCCGACCACAACGGGCGACTTAGGGTGATTTAACTTCCACCTGTCAAAAGAACGTCAGTCGGCTTTCAAAACATCGACGTCTACATCACATCTGCATCAAGATTGTACGGAAGATTCGGTGCTCACTATGCATTTCAGCCTGCTCTGGCGATGAAATGATGGGATTCTTACCCGAAGTCACTCTCTTTCTCAAGTCCCCGAATGCGATTATATTGTGGATATTCGAATGTTAGCAGGCAGGAGAGTTCACGGGGAAGAGACGGCATTCTATGGTTCTGTGTCTTTCGAGAGCAAGATGATCGGGAGACAGCGCATCCGAGATTCGTATTCCAATGATCGCCAGATCATGCCATCCCATTTTTTTCTGCTAACTCTAGCGAATGTCCAACCCAGCACTGAAAGGTGGGTTTCTGGCGCCGGTTAGAAGTTCCTGCCAACAGCAAGGCTTGTTGAGCGGGAATCCCCTCTTTCATGGCCTGCCTTTGATCATCTCCATTTGTCAATCCGAAAGTGCAGATCACACATCTCAAGTGTTAATTGTGATGGCAGACAGATCACCGAGCAAATGCTTCATCAATCAGATGTGACTCGGAGATGAGAATTTGAGAACTGACCAGCATCCTTTCACTATCAATTGGTATTCATCAGCATTTGAGACGTTTGAGCACTGACTGTGTATGGGTCGTATGCGCGCGTAAGAGTGCGATACGAAGTATGCAAGGGGTTTCTCGAGCCACATGCGATAGAAGGTCCAGCACGTGCGGGCTTTCCATCCTAGCACGGTTGTGCCTGATCCCATAACTATTCTGGTTTCTTTTGACCATCGACATACTCTCACATCCGTCTTCGAACTCATTATCTCTAGAATTCCTGACGATTTTCCCGACCCAAGCATTTCAGGTGAAGAAGAATTACTTCGGCATGGAGCCGTCCATTCCACTTCTAGAGGAATACAGTGATAGCCCCGTAGAGCATCATGAAGAGAGCCAGTTTGATCACGAGCCCAAGCCCATCTTATCACAACCGCCACCACCTCCACCGAGATGGACAACGGGCAAGCCATATCGGCTGCTCACAACCTCGTTACTCATAGCTGCTCTACCCCGGTTCCTCAGGCCAGGAGGCTTGGCCCGAAAATCAGACAAAATCCATTCTACAGCATACCTCGACGCGCTCAGAGGCTATGCCGCATGCATAGTCTTTGCAGGTCACTTGCTCGGCTACCCGGCCGCCATTCAGTACCCATTCCTCCGGGTTTTGACCTCGAATCGTGGAATGGTCGATGTCTTCTTTGTCATTTCTGGATATGTGCTCAGCTACCGAATGCTCAAGCTGATGCGGCAGAAGAATGCAGATCTTCTGCTACAAAGTCTCGCATCGTCAACTTTTCGACGATACCTACGGCTATACGTACCTACAGGAATCGCCACTTTCATCGCCATGCTGCTCGTCTACACTGGTCATATCCCAAGTGCGCCTAAACTCGCCACATTCAAATTGCAGCTCTGGGATTGGATCGTTGACACTATCTTCGCCAGTAGCCCGTTCGCGGATCTCAGGGGTTGGTGGTATGGCGACGTTTTTCGCACCAAATACCTTGATCAGATGTGGACCATTCCTGTTGAGTTCCGTGGCAGCATTATCCTCTTTGCCTTCTGTGCGGCGAGCTGCAAGTTATCAGTGAAGGGACGAATGGTCCTGACTTGGCTGGCCATACTCGCCTGCTATATCTGGAACGTGGTGTATGTAGCCCTGTTTCTGCTGGGTATGTTCGTGGCTGAGTTGTCCCTGGAACGAGATCAGGAAGCGCATCAGCCACGCCTTCCAGCCTGGGAGGGATTCTCTGCAGCAGGAAAACGGCTGATCCGGTCTGTGGGCCTCAATACTGCATGCATCGTCATCTTCATCATCTCGCTATTCCTCCTCAGCCAACCTCACGACCCCGGATTTGGTAGCAATGGTCCATTCCCTTGGCAATACCTGACCAAGCTGACCCCTAGCTGGTACTCTGGCCCCGGAGAGCCAAAAGAGCATTTTTGGCTCGGAATCGGCGCGTTCCTGCTGGTCCTATCCCTTGAATTCTACCCGAAGTTGCAAACCCCTCTCCGGTGGAACTTCTCCCTCTACTTGGGCGAGCTATCGTTCGGTCTCTACGCCGTACATCCCATGGTCATCTGGGCGTTGTATATCAACAAACTCACGCCATATCGGCAGATCTACCTCGGGGAGTCAACCTTGGCGTATTTTCCTGGTGTGATCATCACGAGCGTGGTGTCTTTGTGGGCTGCAGACTATTTTGAACGAGTCGATCGACGCGTGGTGCAGTTTGGAAGATGGCTACAAAATAGCACTTTTGAGAAATGGCAGGCGCGATGAAGCATGTAAATATTGAGGAGAGGCGAGTTGCTTGATCACAGAGAGCATTGTTTGATCAAGAAAGTTGTTGTCCAAAGGTCCAAGAAATGGTTCTAATGCTGATGCTTTGGGAAATTCCCATCTTGAAACTATCCACCAACATAACCATTATAGTAGTTTAATTGATTGACGAATATGTACAAACCAAACGACCAAGATGCTGAAACCTGCCAGCAAGGCCGATCCGTTCATATGTTCGTGAGGTAGCCTCGTCGCCACCCGTCGCCAGCCCAAAAAGTCTTAGCTCAGCCTTGCAGTCGCAATCATGTGACGAGCCCATCTTCCGATTGATCTTCCGAGCTTCACATCATTTCCTTGCCGTGCAGTCCTACATCCATATTTTATGAACCATCGTCAACCACCACGAACTGTGCTGGGGTTTGGTGTCACCTAACCTTTCTCACTGCTCACTATTTCCCTCACGATGCCAGCCCATGGCGTCAAAACAGTCGCCGTAGCACGGGTATGTATATATCTTGCCCATCCCGAATCCATCCTCCGCAGCCATCAACACGAGTCTACTCCCCAGCCCTTCCACCACTACCACCACCACCACTAAACAAAGACTAACCTCTCGATTCCTCTATGCAACAGAATGGCGTCGGGGCATTCATCCTACAATGCAAGCGACTAGACATTCACTACTGCAACCACGGGGGCTCGTCCCGTGGAACCAACGCCTTCCTGACATCTCCTCTCCTCAGCCGCTTCACGGCGCAATACCCCGGCACAGAATTCCGCATCTCGCCGCGGCCGACGCGCCATCCGGTCCTCAAGGCGTACTATATCAACGGGCGCGAGAAGGCCGTCTGTGTGCGCAATCTCGAGAAGGAGCAGGTGCGCGACATGGCCGAGTATCTGGTGGGCAATTCGGGCGCCAAGGTCAAGAAGATCACGGGCGGCAGGAAGGTCGTCAGTGGGAACGAGAGCGTCAGAGGGATTTGGAGTCCTATGCATGGTGGCATTAAGAGTATCTGAATTTAGAATATGTGGACCGGAGATTGGCTGGTATTGAAGGAGTCTGGATCAGACGAGACTCGTAGGGATTGGAGTGGGCTTTCCTCCAGCAGAGTCTCTTGGGATGAGATGTCTGGAGAGTCACTGCAGTCCAGAAGACGTGGCTCGATGGCCGTCATACGTGCCTGTGGTCGTCCATTACACGCCCTGCCTCACTGGTACGTTGCACATGGCCGGTGAACAGCCAGCGCGCAGTAGTAGGATACGACTGAGCCACTACTACCATCTAAGCTACGACCACCGTCCGAGAGTCGGTCACACCACATCAAACCAACACCGCCAGTATATCGAAGAGAGCAAGGATGCACACGGCATAGGAAACGAATTGAAGATCTTGTACAAAGTCAAGGGAGTTGTCTTTTTGAGAACATCGAGTATTCATTAGAGCTGGGTTGGAATTCAAGCCATTCATCAGATGAATGGCGCACTATCTTGGTATAGTGCAAGCCGGTGCTGGTGACCTCATGTGAAGCCATGCATCATGCACTGAGACGAGGGATCCCACACTTCAATTCTATTCATGTAGTAGTATAATCAAACAAAACCTTGCAAAATTCCCAAACTGGGCATAGCAGTATATGCATGACTTTGGAGTCAAGTGGTCTGTGTCCACTGGGTTAGATTACAACGCCTGGGATCTTTGACCATTGAGTCTTTTTCGGCATGTCATGTCGTTCCTTCATTAATCGTTTTTCTGGGTGGTTGACATTTCAACCTCCATTTCCAGGTTTGTCCAACCACCGGTCATCAGTTATGCTTGTTGTTGAAACCCCAATTTCAATCTCGAGACATGTCGAGGGTGAGAGTTGAACAAAGTGATACCTCATCCGGGCGCAAGGTATTCCAGATCAAAAGTCCAGGAATATATGACATGTTTTATAGATAGACTGGAAACATCGCTTGTTTACTCGTCACCTTGGCATCGCATCCTTCGATGGCACAGATCTTGAATGGCATTGACTTTGTAGACACGGCCTTCTTTTCCTTCTTTGGTTTGGTGATATGACGACCAACGGCACATTCACCACAGTAGACCTGCAGACGACATTCTGATTAGTTTGGACAGGACATTGACCGTTAAGTGTATGGGGATACTTACATGGCCACAGCCTTTGACAACCCAGACTTGCTGCTTGGTCTCATTGTCTCCAGTCGCCAATTCATCACCACACATAGGACACAACACAACCGACTCCTCAGTAAAAGTGCGAATGAATCCTTCTTTGGCAGCTGGGGGAGCCTTGTATGGTTCTTGTACCACCTGTGGGGTCTCCGACGTTCGCTCTTGCATGTCAAATCCTCCCAGTTGGAAGCCTGCTTGCCTGTAGTCGAAATTGATGATCAAGTCACCTGGATTGTCCATATAATTCCCCGGGCGTCGACGGACTTCATCATGGATCTGCCTCACCGTGTCCCGGGTGTTCTGCAAGGTGTTCCCGAGATTGCCTAGTATAAGCTGAGTAGATCGCCGAATAATATCGGGGAAATACCCAAAAGGACCCGGCTGCCCCGTAGGAAGAGGGGGAGTGGCAATGGGTGGGAGTCGAGGACGTTCATGTCGCTCGGGTCTCTCGGAATTGACACGACGATTGGCTACAGGAGCTGGTCTCTCATGGACAATCTCAACTTCAGGACTGGAAGCTGGTTCAAAAGGGGTGGGTCGGCGGGTACGACGTTCAGCTGCCGGTTCGTCGAATTCTTGTATATGGAAATCCGAATCGTCTGATAGATCTATTACCTCGTGGGTTTCTTCGGGGACTTGTGTAGTCATGTGAGAGGCTCGACTCCCTCTTTCTGATCTGGAGGCATGACTTGTCTGTCGTCGACGGGGCCGTGATTGTGAATGTCGAGGGGCGGGGATGGGAGTGTCGGATTCCGTCGAGGAATCACTGTCTATTGTGAGATCGATGGCGGTGCGAGTGGGGTTCATAGTTGGGTGACTTCGAGGCTGGTCTTGAGACATAATGGGCCGGCGATAATCAAATCCGTCGCCTGGAAATCTGGTTGAAGCAGGCGAAGGAGTAGGTGAAGCGGTAGGAGAAGGAGAGAAAGGATGTTGAGAAGATCCGAGGTAAGAAGAAACGCGGCGGCGCTTGTGTGGGAGTGGCGGACTAAGTGAACGACTTTGGGATCGAGTGATTTCGGCGTGAGATCTCTGGAGAGAAGAGGTTAGAAATGAGATAAATGGCTGATAGTTTATGGATTATAAATACTTTTCGACGACTGGAAGAAGCCGAGTTCAGGAAATTGCTGAGAGACAGCGTTGGCGGCTGAGGCATGATCTGAGTCCAAGTTGAAGAGCCGGATGCGGCAACTTGAAGAGGGGATAAGACTAGTAGGCAGTGGCACCATAGGAGAGGCGATCGATTGACTCTTTGAGGGTAGAGGGAGTGATAAGTGTTCTTTATGAAACCTGCACAAACAGCAGGCTGAGTTGAAGAGTGGTGGAGGTTTAGTTGGATCAAGTTCTTGGTGGTGGTGGACTTCTTGGTGGTGGTGTTGTTGGTGGTTGAGAAGCGAGGGAGGCGGAAGTGGACAAATCAAGTTCCGTGGGCCGCCTCCGAACAGACGTCACCTGACCCGCTTCTCCTCCGAAATTTCAGAATTAATCCGGATGGAGAATTGATGAAGGACCAGAGATCAGATATCAGATATCAAGACAGCAACCTTTAAACGCAGGCAAACAGATCAATAGTCGTGGTTCCCCAATTCTCTATTTGAAGCAAGACAGGGCTCATATGTCCTTTGTGCTTGCTTAAATGGCCACTAGCAATTCCTATTTGTTGTTTGTTCTTTTGGAACCACTCTCACCAAGGACCTACTCTTTGAAAGACTTTTTGTTCAGCCTCAGTCTCAAAAGGCAAGTAGTTGTAGAAATGCAAGTCCGCCTTTTATAGGCTCTTGTTGTACACCTAGAACCAGACCCAGACCCAGACCCAGACCCAGAACCTGTATTGGTCACCCTAATATCTCATTCTTTTGCTTTCCCATCCATCACCATCTAGCTGGCGTCCGCGTATGTAGTCACCACCCCGGCATCATCAAGCGTGATCAGACGGTGCGCCGCTTTACCCCAGATAATCCGATTGCATGACTGTTCACTCTTCAATATGGATGACCACTCTTTGGAAGACTTGGAATACTGTTCCACCGTCACTCCACCCACTCCTGCAACCGCGAGGAATTGCCCGGTGTAATCCCAGTTGATCGATTTGATCGGACTACCTGTCTCAATGGTCTTGATCTGTGTTGTTTTCCGAAGGTCCCAGATCGATATCGACGATGATCCTTGTGCCACACCCGCCAGCCATGTTCCATTTTCGGAAAAGAAAATTGCCTCCACAGGGCCTTCCAGTGTGAAAGTTGCTGCTTGTGTCCCCGACTTGGTGTCGTAGATCTTGATCTGCTGATCATGTCCTCCAACAGCAAGGAGATGCCCGTCAGGGTGGAATTGTGCACAATACAAGGCTGTCACAGTGTTAGTTCCAGTATATTAACAAAATTCGATGAGGGAGTCTTACCTGAATCGGTTGAAACCTGCGTAAGAACCTTGCCTGCTTCTAGATCGTAGAGGATGTACGTCTTATCTTCACCCACTGAAGCAAGGATAGTCCCACTCGGATGCAATGCGACCGCAGTGGCACTCCCTGCGTGCACCGAGAAGGATCCAGCTTCCTGTCCTTCTTCGAACACCTTGACTGTCCCGGCAGACGTGGATACAATTGCCTGGGACCTAGCCCACACACCACCAGTGACCGCCCCGGGCCCTACATTTAGCGATGACTGCAGTATGTTGTTTGGTAGAGAGTACACTCCGGCTCCTCCTTCGCCGCCACCAACCAGCACCAACTCTCCGACCTCGTGGATTGCAAGCACGCTGCCTCCAGGAAACAGTGGCTCTGAGGTGGCCGCGGGTACATAAGATGAGATGGCTTCGGAAGTAGCCCAGTCTTCGGGTACAGGTCTCTTTCGCCGGGTCTTCATCAATGCTTGTTGAGTTGTCTCAATCGTCTCAATGATGGCCGTTGGTAGAGGTGTGCTGTCCACCTGCATGGCGTCCCCATTGGTACTCGCTTGGCCCACGTCCACTCGCGCAAGGGCTTGCCGTGCATCATCCCGTTCTTTGATCAGCCGGGCAATCACGCGCTGCGCTGCATCGTTCTGGTAGAGAGCTGTGCTGAGCTCCTGTCGCGTTTGATGCAGGTTCTGCTGGAGTGTATATGTCTGCAAAGCTAACGAATCCCATTCTTCTTGAAAGACACCGAGTAATGCAGGTATTGAGGTCAATGTTGGAGGTCTCGGGCGCACAGTATGAGGTGATTTGAGGTCGACAAGGTCTTCAATAGTAATGGACTCGCCCGTTGTTGGTTCCGTGCCATTTTCACTGATGTATGCCTCCACTAGGCGCTTTTCGTACACGTTTCCTAGGCATTTTCAGTCAAATTCCATGTCAACTACACGCTGGGCCAACATACCACTCTTGCGCGACACCACTGGCACTTGAGGCTCTTCCCCAGAAACTGCGAACACCATTAGTATGGTATAGAAATTACAGAGTCGGTTCCACTGCTTACTTGCACACAACATAGTGGTACCCAAGAGGTAAACGTCACAGCGAAGTACTTGGGCAGCGGACAATTCTGCGGCCTTTTGACTCAATCTCAATCAATGGCTTGTGAGCCTGCGCAAAGAATCGAAAAGTTGCTGTACTGAATCTGCTTAGTGCTAGAGGTCCAAATTCAGCCAATCACTTGACTGGAATGCCACAGCTCTTGGCAACATTCGGAGAAAGCGTTTTTCCGGGAAATGGTAGCGCCAAGAAAGCCGGCTGCCGCTTCTAAAGCCTCTGATCTCACTGCCACTTGCCCTCCTATGCTAGTGTCCTCCCAATGCCTCCCTCAACATCAACCTCAGACTGGCTCTCTTCAATGTTTCTCACGGCTTCAAGATAATCCTTGGGAGGCTCCTATATTGGCCCGGCCATCATGTCAGATACAGCTCTTTCATACGAGGAACCAGACATCATTCTCATACTCACCCAGTCTTCATTCCTAATCTTGCTGAATGTCCTTGGATCGGTCATCGATCACTACCTTTACTGTGGCCTGATTGCTCAGATCCTCCTCGGCATAGCTTGGGGAAAACCTGGTGGGGACTTACTAGCAGATGATTTCCAAAAGGTTGTCACTCAAATTGGCTACCTGGGCCTGATTGCTATCATCTTTGAAGGTGGACTCTCCACTTCTCCAAAGGCTGTTCAGAAAAATCTGATCTTGTCGACCTGTGTTGCCTTGACTGGAATTCTCGTTCCCCTCGGATTATCATACTCGCTTCTTTCCTTTGCTTCTTCCACCAATCTTCAAGCATTTGCTGCAGGAGCTGCGTTATGCTCCACCAGTCTAGGGACTACCTTCAATGTCTTAAAGACAACGGGGTTATCATCGACCCGCCTGGGTGTTGTCTTGACATCTGCTGCCATGCTCGATGATGTGGTGGGACTGATAATGGTACAGATTATTTCCAATCTGGGCTTAAACTCTGGCCCATTCCAGCCATCGATAGTCGTTCGTCCAGTTTTTGTCTCCATTGGCTTTGCAGTTGTGTTGATCCTGGTTTGCAAATACATTTACAGACCGATTATGGGCTACCTAGCGGTGCGAAAGCTGGTGACTAAGTTACTGGAAATGTCAACCATTTATTTTTTGGTCTGTACAGCATTCCTCCTGGCTCTCATAACCAGCGCAAGTTATGCCGGAACTTCAGTTCTCTTTGCGACATACCTTGCTGGCGCATCTCTCTCTTGGATGGGTACCCTTCATGTGCTCTGGGACATGACCGCACAACAACCCAACAGTGAAACTCTGACCTCGCCAGATACTTCCTCGATAGCTAGGATACTAAGCTCACCAGTATCAAAGGTGAACCAGCAGTCTTCTTCAGGAAGACAAGAGGGTAGGTCGGATGAAAGTCCACTCCAGCCAAGCATTGAACTTCGAGATCAAACAAGACAGCAGGCAACTCCACCACCAGATGATGACAGCCCAGTGACTGTCCACGCTCGCGCCATTCCATCAAACAAAGTGGAAGACAGCCACGCAGCGCAAGACAACCATGGTCTTCGCATGTACAATAGGTTCTATGCTCCCGCCGTGGACCACATCCTCAAACCATTCTTCTTTGTCTGTCCCCCGAAATCCTGTGATACTATCCACAGATCAATCAGCTGAATACTGACAAAATAAAAGGCATCAATTGGCTTCTCAATACCAATTACGAGCATGTTTCGAGGCTCGATCTTGTGGCGTGGTATCGTCTATGCCATGTTGATGGCAGTAGGCAAGCTTGCTTGTGGCTTGTGGCTGTTGCGATTATCGACGCCGAAGAAGAACAGGAGTGACAAAGGCCAGCGTAAGGTAAACTCAAACCCTGTTTCCAGGCCGAAATCAGTGTATCCAGCCTCGATTTTAGGCTGTGCAATGGTAGCTCGCGGCGAAATTGGCTTCTTGATATCTGCCCTCGCTGCCACGAATGGCATCTTTGATCCCCAAGACCAGGCTAGCGAGCAAACAGCAGCCGGATCGGAACTTTACTTGATCGTGACTTGGGCAATTCTAGTCTGTACGGTAGCCGGACCAGTGACTCTAGGCTTTCTGGTAAGACGAGTGAAACTGCTTGAACAACGAAATCCTCGCCCAAGTCCTGGGGAACGTCCACTTGGCAGTTGGGGCATCACCTAACTTCGCACGCGAGAAGATCTACCAAGGGGTCTTCTCCCGCTGTCTTGTTATGTCTCTTCTAGACTAGATCCCATCAGTCCCGGATGGTAGCATTCAAAGCTAGGTTACCGCCAGCTGAGAACTACTATTTCGGCCTCGTCAGCACAAATGAACTCGTTGTTTCCCATATTTCTGAGATGACAATTCTTCGCTTAGATCCCTCGGCCAATGACCGGCGGGTTGAATTTGAGATTCAGCACCAGAAATTATTTCTCCTGCCCAGAATTTCGCTAGACGCGTGTTCTTGCCGTCCCGTCGCATGAATACGAGGTTGTTAATAATCGCGCCCAACCAGAGACAACTTGGTATGAAGGTTCAACGGATTTGGCTTCACAAACACAGTCAGCCGCCACACTACCTGGCTCAAGCATTTCTATGCGAGCTCTAAAACCACTTCGAGCGGCCAACAATGTTTATCTGCCTGTCAGCCTTAAATTTGCTCTACTGGATTGTGAAGAACCGACAATTAGCTGTGCCTCAGAGATTCTTGATAACAGAGGCCTAAACATAACGTGTTCCTCCGCAATTTCGGTACAGCTACTGGCCGGCCATGGGGATCACCAACTTATTTGATTTTGGTGCCGAAAGAAATCCTTGGACTGATCTGGTTGATCCAGAAAAACAGCCAGTTGCAAGGACAATCGTTACCAAATATGATGGTAAAATACAATCATACTTCATTCCAGCTCCTGAGACACATCAGTCTCAGCAAAAGGTGCATCTTGTGATCAAAGAGGACGATATTGACTTTACGGTCGAGTCACCAGAGCGGACCTTCCAATTCAAAAAACTAGAGGATGGTTCGTTGGCTGAACAACGGGACAATAACCTCGTTGTTCGTATGCCGCTTCGCGGCAATCCAACAGTTCTAGAGAGCACCGTCTCGGATTCTCCTCTTTGCAGTCAGTGTAGGCTGATTAGCTTTCACCAGCTACAAATTGCACAAAGTTCCATTGGGCACCACCAAACATTTAGGGATTTGTGTATCTGTGCTAAACAATGTCCTCTGTGTGCGCTTATGGTGAATTCAATTTCTCACCACAAGGACCTCACTTTCGATGATCACAGACAAATTAGTTTGCAAGCTACTAATCATCGAGGACGTCCTGACCATGTACGCGGGATGGCGTTGAACAGTCTGCTCATCACCTTTCCCACCATAGAACGGGGCTACGAAGATCAGATGGCTGTCAGGCAGACAAGCCTGGAACTCACAACGAATTACAGTACGTTTGAATTTTATCATTGTTTGCGTAGAAGGTTTTTATTTCGCTGACAATTCAATAGATAGTCACGCCGCGTTTCTGGGTGATATCACTGGCCGTCGTGTTGGAAACTTGTCCAACTTCCAAAATTTGGACCCCATCTTTGAGTGGCTGTCCGAGTGCCTTACGAGACATCCTCGGTGTGTAAGGAGGAGTACCCAGCAAGACCGAGACTTCACCCCTGCAAGACTAGTAGACGTGGGGTTCTCTGATGTCCATTTACCAAGATTGGTCGAGTGGCCAGCCGCAAATGATTTGGCCGAACCGCCACCATATCTTGCACTGAGCTATCAATGGGGTGGTGCAGTCTCAGTGACCACAAAGTTGTCAAATTTGGAAACCTTTCGACGATCAATTGAGTCGGATAAACTCTGCCACGTATTCCAAGATGCTATCAACCTGACACGCAAGATTGGATATCGATATATCTGGATAGATGCACTATGCATAGTGCAGGATTGGCCCGATGATCTCTCTAACGAGTTGAGACGAATGGGTCACATATACAGCAACGCTGTCCTGACACTGGCTGCATCTGTATCCGAATCTGGTGAAACTCGGATACTGGAAAATCGCAAGCCTATCAACGAAGTTTTACTTCCCTACAGTAATTGTGATATGTCACCACGGTGCGAAGTTTTTGTTACCGACCGACGGCTTACCGATTTCGGCCAAGATGTGACCAACGGCAATCTCAGCCAGCGAGCATGGTGTCTCCAGGAACGGGCAATGTCACGCCGAATACTACACATGGGCAGAGATCAACTGTTTTGGGAATGCTACACGGGGATCTGGGGAGAAAGTTCTTCAATGCGTCTTGGTGCAAAGAACAAATCGCTCGACGAGGTCTCAAAATTTCGTGGTGTCTTTCAGTCCATGAACACCGCCACCGGAAAGATAGCACTGGAACGCAAGACAACTGTACAGAATGGTCCAGTGGGACTTCCTGGTATGCAGGACCGTTCTTTCATGCACCAGATCCGTGAAAGGAAGCCTTATGGCCCTTGGTACAGTCTCGTGGAGCAGTATTCCAAGCGAGCGATGAAATACGAAAGCGACAAATTACCCGCAATCATGGGTCTGGCTCGCAAATTTGCTGAGAGCTTGAGTAGTAAGCCTCTTAGTGAGAAGGAGTGGGATGCCCTTTACAGCACCGGCCTATGGGATAAGGACCTCTCATCTGGTGGACTTCTATGGACACCTGGAAACTTCCAGCAATGGACGGTACAGCATGTTAATTCAGCGCAGACTTATCGAGCGCCGAGCTGGAGCTGGGCAAGTGTGGATGGACCAATATCCTGGCCAGAAGGCTTCGTCAGCTCATACAAAATTCATGTGAGCGTCGGCAGCCAGAGCACAGGCTCCCCGTCGAATTGTCTCAACCCTCGATGGACACTGGGTATATTAGGCCATGTGCTACCTCTTAAACAAGCCGAGGGCTTCCGCAAGTCTGATCAAGAATCTATGTTCCTCGATCGTCAGCGATACACACAACTGGGACCTTTCTGTATGCCTCACGCCATATTCGACACCAAGGCTGATGAGCAAGCATGGGCTGAAGCTTTATGGAGCAGTGAAGAACCATCCTCAGCCACGAGCCGTGGTGACTATGTTGCACTTTACGTGGCCCAGATCGGCTGTGGTAAAGCAGATTGTCAACACTATGCTAATTGTGAGCCTAACCTTGGCTATGCTCTACTTTTGAAGCCAACAATGGGTGTCAACCATAAACGAGTTGGCATTGCTCAGGTCAAGTCCGAGCAGTTCTTCCTGGAGGCCAAAGAAGAATACATAGAGGTAATCTAGAGAGTGGTGCCCACTGAATTCAGCTCAGCTCACACGTGTGGGCTTTTGAAGAAGAGATTGACGATCTCATTCTTGGCTGGATCTCCTCCAACGCGAGCAATGCGCTGACTGAGGCTCTCACTGTCTGGATCAAAGAACGGCTTTTCTCCGAATATGGCGGTTCGCTTCCCTTCCCTCGTTGTTGGGTCATATCCTCCAGGAATCGCCCTATGAGCGACAACGCGATTATCCCAGAAAGCAACACTACCCGGTTCCTAAAGTTCTGTCAGCATGTTCATCTCCTTGATTCACCTGGCCGGAGAATTCCTACCCATTTCCATCGAACGGTCAAGTCATCAGCTGCATGTAGATGCTCACGGAGAAAATTCAGAGCGTGAACTCCTTCTTGGCCCTTAAGCTCAGAGATGTGGATAACAAAGGATGGGTTATAAAACAGTGACTTCAGCCTTGTCACGGGATGTGTTCGAACCTAGTCATAGCAGGAGTCAGCAGCCGTACCCACATATCCAACCGCTGGAGCTACCCACCAATGGATGCTCACGTCTCACAGGACCCCGGAAAGGTTGGTAACCACTGTTCAACGAATTGATATAAGAATGCTGGACAGGTCAGTCAATTGTATTTGCTTGACATCACTTGCTCTTACCTCGGAACTGTGCACTCCATGCAGCCCATCGAAAAGCTTTTGGAAGGTAGGGCTCAATTTGTCATATAAACCAGTTTGACTGGTGAAGATGGTGTCTCCACCTGACTCAGGGGTACGCACCATCCGGAGCATGGTGTATGCTGGCGGATTGGCTTCCTGAGAGTGATCTGAATGATATTCTCCACCGAAGTTGGAATATGCACGAATATCACTGCGGTCCAAAATCAATTCCCTGCAATTGATGAAAATTGAATTGCACCTACTTGTTGTTTCCTAAAATGGTGACATGTCGAGGGTCTTGTTGATTTGGATCACGATCTTGCTACAAAGCGTTGGTCAACAGGGGTACATACTCCAGGATTTATCGAGGAACCGGTACTCACAATCCCATAATGCTTAGTGAGCTCATGCTGCCCATCAAGGGTGATGTCTTGCCCTCTAAAGAAGACCACGCCTCTCTGTCCTGCTTTAGCGATAACGTCGTGAGTCTGTGGGGGTCCCACCAACCTCAGCAACCAACAATGCAAGCTCATCCTTCTGGGCGTCTGTCAACTGGCTCAACTGAACGCCAACCAACTCTGTGCCAATATATGGCGTCAAGTTCTTCACTTTGGTCGCTGCACTCAAGAGTGATTTTTTCTCTGGGTCAGCAAAGAATGCTCGATCCCTCGGAGGCTCGAATTCTTTCACAGGCGGGTGGGGTGGTTGGTACGTGAGGACAGCCTCAGTGATTCCAGTGTGCGTACTCATTGCAAAATGTCAAAGCAGTATGTGGCGTGGCTGGCTATCAATTTCCGATACGCAGGCAACACTCTGATTCAGCAGGTGCAAGATAATGTAACAAGACTTTTGGAGCAAACGATGCCAATGAACTCGGATGGTGGCGGCCTGCATCATCTCCTTTTTGTACATCCATTCTAGCGCGTAAGGAACAGTCGAGCATCGGTCATGATTACTATTCTGATTCGTTGCTGTTATGCATATAAAGCTTCAGCACACCCCATGCTCTGAATGTGGAAAGTTCTCACTTCCTCATCTGGGGTGTGCAAATTGTCGCAATCACGATGTGCGTTGACGTGCTATTAGGCATGCCGTGGAACTCTCATCCTGCCGTGTGGGGGTACAGTGGATAAGTCCTCATTCCTACTCCAATCCTATGCTACGCGTGCCTGCCAGGCGTCTGCTAGCCCTCCAGAACGATGGTTTTTATCATCAAGCACGCCTTATCGGATGGGTTCGTGAACATGTTGAGGCCTCTGAACTTTAGATCGACAGCATCAGGGTAAGCCACGCAGACAAAGCATGCTCCACCAAGCCTCGGCCTAAGGATGTGGACGGATCATCACGACGTTGCTATCGGAGCCGGGGTTTTGTTGGTCAGAGACAAACCCTCGGTTTGATCATGCATCCCAGAAGCATGAACTATCCCATCTGCGGGCAAGGCTAACCTCAGCCGAACAGAGAGATGCAGTCAGCATTGCTCTTTGATGCACGCTTCCTGGTTCTCTTATACGCGCATCATCGGTTCCGAGCCATATGGCAGGTTACTCACCAACTGTCGCCATCATAGGCGGCAAGGCGTGATCCTCTAGGAGGTTCGATGGTTATCTTGCCTGGGCTTTCGATATAGCAGCGCAGATCAAGTATTTTTGATATAATCTGTATTTCCAGAGTTCTCTGGTGCACCTTGGTCACCGTCGGCGCAATACTTCAGAAATCGCAACTCGGCACTCAGAAACCTGAAATTTGACGAACGAAATGTCTGGAGCTGGTGTACCACCGCCTCCTCCCGCCTTTAGAGGCGATGCAGACCTCACAATAGCAGATACCAAGCGGGCCAGCCTAATCGCAGACCACAAAGCCAATGGTGTCTCCTCGGATGAAGACAGTATCAACCTCGATAAGGAAATCTACGATAGCACGGCGATAGACCCTGTGCTGGCAAAAAAGATGGCTCTTGCAAATAGCGCTCTTGATGAGATTGGTATGACAGCATTCCAATGGAAGCTATTCTATCTGAATGGTTTCGGATATGCGGTTGACTCGGTATGTGAGCCTGACGTAGCTTTGCGACTTTCAGTTGCTGACAGTGATACTTGAAAGCTTCTCATCGTGTGCCAGTCGATCGCAGGTCCGGCAGTGACGCAAGAATTCGGAAACCCAAGCAAGAAGATCGCGGGTGTCGCTCTTGCGTCTCAAGTAGGACTCTTAGTTGGGGCTGCTCTCTGGGGGTGAGTCTCGTGCATTTCCACTCATCATTTGTTGCCTTATCCCAAAGCAATTCCAGAGGGCAAGGAATATTCGCTAATGCCGGTGATGTTTTAGCCTCTCTGCAGACGTTATAGGCCGCAGACTTGCGTTTAATTCGTCCTTGTTCTTGTGCGCCGTCTTTGTCCTCATAGCAGGTGCTATGCCGAGTTATATTTCATTTTCCGCGATGTAAGTATTATGACCCACCAAGCTCAGTGTCAGCCCAGCCTAACAGCTTCCAGGGTGGCTATTTATTCGGCCGGGGCTGGAGGCAACTACATCCTCGATGCAACCAACCTACTTGAATTCCTTCCATCTTCACACGCGTGGCTTGTCACATTCATGGCGGTCTGGTGGTCCGTCGGGTACGCGATCACCGGCTTCCTCGCATGGGGATATATGTCGAACTATTCCTGCGACCCCGAAGCAACAGTCGCTGAATGTACCTGGGGCAATAATTGGGGCTGGCGCTATCTCCACTTCACATGCGGCGCATTGGTCCTTGTCCTCGCGGCGGCTCGCCTTCTTTTCATCCGTATGCCACAGACGCCCAAGTGGCTAATCTCCCAAAACCGCGACAAGGAGGTCATCGCCAATCTCTCTGAGATTGCACACAAGTACAATCGCCCGCTATCACTGACCCTTGAGAAGCTTCAAAAGGAGGGACGGGTGTTGCATACCGATAAATCTGCCTTCTCGGCGATCAGAATTGGACAGCATTTCTCCCAACTCTTCACGACCAAGAAGCTGGCATATTCAACAATAATGATCATTGCGAACTGGGTTGTGATCGGCACCGTTAGTCCTCTTTACAGCGTTTTCCTGCCATACTACCTCAAGACCAGAGGCGCAGATGTTGGGAGCGGGGACAACTACACTGTGTGGAGGAACTACGCTTTGAATCAAGTGGCCGGCCTGTTCGGACCGATCGTTGCTGCTATCCTGGTCGAGACAAGATTCGTAGGTCGTCGTGGAACGCTTGCGATCGGAGCAGCCATCACGACTGCGCTTCAGTTCGGATACACTCAGATCAAAACTCCAGCGCAGAATGTTGGTGTGTCGTGCGCCATCAGTGCTGCATCGAATATCTACTATGGCACCATCTACGCTTACACACCAGAAATCTTACCAGGTTAGTACCGACTCCATTTGCAATCCGAAATGAAACTTTACCGTCCATGCTAACCATCTTCTCCTCACTGCAGCCGCCCATCGTGCAACAGGCTATGCCATATGCGTAGTACTGAACCGAGTCGGAGGCATAACGGGCGTTCTGATAGGCAGCTACGCGAACGTGGAGACCACTGCGCCTTTGTTCGTCTGTGGTGGATTGTTCGGACTTCTTGTTGTTCTCAGCCTGGCATTGCCGTTTGAGAGTATGGGCAAGAGAACAGTTTGATGAGCTAGACATGGAACACTGCCTGTGGAAAATAATACCACACCCTGTAGTAAGTGGTTATTGATGCTCTTATTCGTTCTGAGTTGATACGAGTGGATGAGTGAACGAAAATAATTGTAGCTCTTGCCTCGCACGACTTGAAGAGCACGCGCCTCAGTCATACTTGCAGTGGCTACGTTTGCTAGTTGTGAATGCTTTGGCGACAAGCTGTGAATCCAAAATGTCACTTTGAAGGGTTTGCTCTCAATGTGACGCTTGATCAAATGACACTGGTTGCTCCTCCAGCGTTCGTCCGCAGCAACGAGTGGCTTCACATCGATGTCACGAACTGTAACAATGCTCCGAAAGCACAGCGTATTTTCACTGTCAATCTCATGAAAACCCGTTTGCTGTCCCGGCGCATGTCAGTGATATCGCTGTAGTTACGTTGAAACCCGATATTCGACAGGCTATGATTCTCATGCTACTGGGTTGTGTTTTGCAACCTGGGTGCATGCCTGTAGTAATGATGCAGTCACGTGAAATATCCATCCACAAGGCTGGAGGGTCAGGGGAAATGCTTGCCTCAACGTAATCATAATCCATTATCCCAGTCTCATAGATACTCAAGGAGACCTTTTGTATTGAAGTCGTGTAGGTACACCCACCACAGTACACAGACAAAGTAACTATCCTCCTCTCTCGCGTAATCGTATTCCTCTACCTGTGTGATGATCGATCTCGTTCACTCCAACGTACGCGATCACACCCATCACTTGAATATATCAAGCTATTCTTCTTGCGTAGAAGGAAAATCACCACCCCATTCACAGCTTGTCGTAGTCGTCGGCGGAAGTGGAGCACTGGCACTGCCGTCGCCGACCTGAGTGACGCTTTACTTGCACCCTCTTTCTATATAGATGTCTTCGTTTATCGATTCATTGCCACCAGTTTACCCTCGTACAACCGACAAACACCCATGTCTCAAACAGGATTATTCGATGAAATGGACCAGTATGAGGTTATGGACTACACATCAGATCCTGTGAAAGATGATGTCTATTGGGCCAGAGTTCATTCTTTCTTAAAAGCAACATCCCATTCTACAATTTCCCAACGCCTGGGACCAAATCATCCCATTGCGACAGACTACTTTCGCACAAGCGGCAGTCTACATATGCAGTTCTGTCTAATCAAGCTACATTACCGCTTCAATGTGGCAGATAATATCCCTTATAACATGATTGCCGACTTCACGTACAATACATGGCATCTCTTCCTTCAAGAGACCCAGCAGCAGGCAATAATGCTATCGTGCGGCGACTTCCCTACAGAGCCAGCTGTTCAGCCACAGAACAACTTCATCGTTGAAAGACAAGCATTCATCCCTTCCGTTGCACCTCTTGCAACGTGTGCCAGCCGGGGCCCTCTGACTTCGGCAATATCTGCTGGTCATGTTTCAATCCCTGCCTCTGATCCGAATACGGAGGTTGAGTCAATTCAACAAGCATCTTTGATTGAGGATCATGCGTCGGTCGCAATTCCACAGACAGATTTGGACGACGTCGATATGCCAATGACAGCAGCAGCAAACCCACAATCGTCTCGAATCACGGTCTCGAAAGCTGAGGAGGAAGTTTGGATGCTGGCATGCAGTGAATGCGGTTTCTGGAACAGATGGAGGGATCTGAAGTCACATATGAAACACGGCCAGGATATCACGGGGCTCAAAGTCTACCGAGGGGTGCCGGAGGAAGAACGAGTGTGGTACGGTCGAGACAACCAAGGTAATTGTTACCAGGGCGAAATGGCTGTACATGAGGAGCGCAAGGGTAAGCGTCAAGCACCTGTGGGCGAGCCTTGCGCGGAAGGCGTTCAAGCAGATCGACAAGCTCGTCACCAAGCATATAAAGCCAAAAAAGCGGGGGAGGAGTCGGCGGAGAAGGCGAAAGCAGAGGAAGCAGCAACAGCTCGATCGCCATTGGTGGTCGATGCTGCTCCCTACCAATCGTCTCCGTTCGATCCTCTGACATATCAATTCTCCTAGGTAGATTATTGACTTTGGGGTTCATTGTGACTTTTGGGAGAGTTGTGGCTTTAGACAAGGGTATTGTTCTTACTGAACGGACACCTACATAATGAATTACCGTCCTCGCAAAATCTTGGATCTATGCAGCCAACTTGAACAACGGAACGTAGATCAGGATTTAACTTTGACAGAGATCCCGTAAGCTGCTGATAGTTTGAGTTATACATCCAGTAGTTCCTAGGCCCCTTAGCCTATCGGAATATGCCTGTACCAAGACAGCTTCAGGAGTGGAATTGGAGACACAAATCTTTCTCCAAGTCTACACAAACAAATTCCAAGAAACGAAAACAGAACTAGGATTCAAGATGGGGAGTTGAGATATTTTAAAGCAGGAGTACAGACTAGTCTTTAAGATCAGTCAGCAGCAAAGCAGACCAATATCTACCATGGGGGGCAAGCGTATTATTTTCACTGGCGGCAGCGGTAAGGTCGGTAGCCACGTTGTGCGAAAACTCCTCACCTATGATTACGAAATACTCAACCTGGACATGGCACGAGCCGCCGATGACCTCGGAATCCACACTATCAAAAGCGATGTGACCGACAGCGGACAGGTATTCAGCTGTCTAAACACCTACATGCGCATGGGCGAGCCATTCCCCGCTGAACCACCTCGGATCCCAGATGCAGTGATCCATTTCGCGGGGATACCAACTCCCATGATCTACTCGGACGGAGAGACCTTCAAAAACAATGTCCTCGGGATGCACAACATCATCGAGGCGGCGTGTAAGATGGGCATCAAGAAAATCATCATCGCCAGCAGCGTCACGGTTTACGGGGTCGCATTCGGGCAGGGAAACATCGAATACCCCTCATTTCCCATCACCGAGGACCTGGATGTCAACCCCACCGATCCGTACGCGCTGTCGAAAATCTGTGGGGAGAGGATCGCAAGAAGCTTCGCGGCACGGTTCGGCGTTGATATTTATTGCTTGAGGATCGGCAGGGTGTTTGAACCGGATGAATACAATGGCGAGATGTTTCGTGGATATGTCAACGAGCCGGAGAAGTGGTTTCAACACGGCTGGTCATACACGGACGCGAGAGATCTAGGCCAGATGTGTCATCGTGCCATCGAGGTTTCGGGTCTGGGGTATCAGGCCTTCAATGCCACCAATGACACTATCACAAATCATCACCAGAGTGTGGATTTTCTGAAAACATTATATCCGCATATTCCACACACGAGGCGGATGCACGAAAACGAGGCTCCTATCACAAATGTCAAAATCAAATCGATGTTGGGCTTTCACGAAGAACACCCTTGGAGGGCTTACTTTACTAGCTAGGAACTCTCACGGGCGGATTGCAAAGCGCGTGTGGCGCATTGGAAGCTGAATAATTTCATCTTAAGGTTCATCGATCAAGCGACCGCCATGCTGGGTGCATGACCCTCGAGCGAAGGTTTCATAAGCATTTACCCCTTTACTGATTATTCTCATCCGGTTCATTTAGGAAATATACCAAGCCATGTCGAGTTAGGTCGAGCCACAAAAATCAACTAAGTATTTCTGCTCCACAGTGGAACATGTGTGTTTTTGCCTTGAGATCATTACGTCGTTTCTATTATTACTCATGCTTGCCTGTTCAATCTATTACCAATTACTGCCCATTAGTTCCCCTTGCATGAAGTATTGTACAATTTTCCTCGGTGTCCCACACTATTCGACAGCCATAGTATTCACTATCAATCCGTATTTTGTGAGTTTCTGAGCGGGTGTAGACCATGTCTGCTGAATACACTGTCAAGGATGCCAATCTCACTTCGCGGCGAAAGTACTTCTTGATCTCAGGACTGCTCCATATTTCCACAGGCCAAACATGCCCGCAATACCGACAACCGCCAAGCCAGCCAACAGACTCACTCCACCACCGACACCAAGGTTGATAAACATTGGTCGGGAGAACAAGACACAACCGGCAGCAAATGACGCTCTTGAGAGATCATTCGCTGCAAACAAGGAGGCCGTGTATTGCGGATATGAGAGTGGGATGTAGACGAAGATACACTGAAAGATGATGAAATTCGACGCCACCAGAATGGTCACCCCGATGAGACTGGCGATCCAGTGGACGGCAGGTCGAGCAGTCCATCCAAACATAAAGTAGCCGACTGGTAGCGCGATCACTGCAAACAGTGCGGGGACCAGTCGATGTTCAGGGCTTCTGAGACCATTCGTCTTGATGTCTGGGATGAGATAGAGGTATTGGTAGGTGAGGAATATAGCCAGACCAATAATACATCCGACACCAATGGTGAGAAAGGTTAATCCGGTGATTCCGAGGTTGAAGCCGTACATTGGTGGATATACCAATGGGAATACCTCGAAGAATGAATAATAAATTCCATAGGTGAGGGAAGTGTAGATGTTGGTGAAGGTGATGGCGGGATCTTTGATGAAGATTTCGATCGGCTTGATAAGGGCTTCCCAGAAGACTGCGGAGAATTTCAGATTTTCTTCGTCGATTTCGGTTTGAGCTTTCAGGTCTGATCTGCCGAGAACTTTGCGGAGTCTTTGGGCGCGGCGACGCAGGATATTATCTGAGGACGTTTCTGGGAAGCAGATTATGAAGACGACCATGATTGGGCCAGTAAGCCAAAGAATCTCCCACAGACCCCATCGCCAACTATGGTTTGTCAGCCTTGTTCATGCTAGCATGCGGAATGGTCTTACCCTTTGGCTTGAACAGCAAAACCCGAGATGACTGGCCCCAGGGCAGGGCCCCAGAAAGCAGCGACAGTCCATGTCGATAGATAGATCGGGAGCTCTAGAAATCCATACTATAGCCGTGAGTAGGAATGAATGATGTGAAGGGCCGGAGAACTTACAATATCACCGACGGTGGCACCTCCATTTGCGAGACAAGGGCTACCGAAGAACCCTTGCAAGAATCGAAGAACCAGTAATCCAGCGTAGTTCTTCACCAGTGCAGTAGGCACAGAGATGATGACGAATAGGATGAAAGTTGGTAGGTAGACCCAGTTGCGACCGAAGAGGGCTATTTCGGACATTGGAGCGAACAAAAGAGGACCAACACCGTCTACAAGCTGTTAGTCAACTCTTCGACCAGCTAAGCGGAGGCAAGTGGAAACGATGGCGAAAAGAGGCAAAGAGGAGCACTTACATCCGATGACATATATTGCTAAGCCCAGTGAAGCCGCCGCATGGCCTACTCCAAACTCTCGCATGACTCCTCTTTGGTTCGGTCAGTAACAGGACGAATTGATTGTGCCACGAAGCGAGGAACTTACTCTTGACCACTGACGTACATACTCGAGGCGCCGTAGACACCACAAGTGTAAAGGCTGAGATGTGTTAGCGAGATCTATCAGACTGTCATGATAATGGCATACCCAAGTTGTATTAGGACCATCCACTTCTTTGCATGAGACCAATTTTGAGGATTTTCTGGATCGTCCGTGGTATACCACGTAACAAGAATGTTTCCATCGGTTGTGGTGGTCGGAGCAATGGGTAAACTTTTGGTCTTGTTCATGGCCAATGCTTGCTCCTGTTCAAATCGCTCCACTGAATATCTTGTGGATGATCTGCTCAACACACGATCGACGGCGCCTCTTTCTTGGTCTCGGACCGTTGTTCTTGACACGGGTCGATGAATTGTCAGGTCTTCTGGGTTGCGGACTGTTTCTGATTCTTTTTCCGGCTTTTCTTGAGCATCTTGCTCGGAGTTAGATCCAGGCGTTGCTGGTCGTGCTGTCTGATCCGTCGGCAGTATATTTGTACCAGACTTCTCCTCCTTGGTAGGATCCTATCGACAGGGATTAGATGGCGTGCGTGTGTCAACACTGAAGCCGGAAACTCACATATGGTGGCCAAGAGAATCCCTCTTCCTCCTCTGCATACTTGAGATACCTGTTTTTGGACACAAAACGGATTATCTGGCCTAGCCAGGCGTCTCTTATGATATCAGTCATGATGGAGAAAGTACTCAAAAAGCTGCTTGTGCGTTGTCAACGAGTACGGCTGGAATATCAAAAGAAGCAATGTGTAAGTTGCCAGGAAATGGAAGCATGGAGATATATGTTTGTGATATCAGCGATTTATCTCAATAGGGCATGTTGCTTAGAAGTTTGATCATCAACGAATTGGGGTTTCTTTGAAAACACGACCCACCGCGTATGAGATCCATGGTCAAAACATGCTGTTTGGTAGTGAGTACTAAGCATGTAGAATTATTCATGGCCTGTTCCGAACGCGCTAGAACCGTCAAATAACCAAGACATAAAATTATCCCGTGAAGCGAAGAGCTGTATATGGCCGTAGAAATTTCCTATTGCGGGAAAAGGGGGGCAAAGCGATCAGGGGTGTATTTGGCAGCCATTCAAAACAGGAAGTTTCGATGGTTCAGGAAGGGATAGCTAGCATACGCTGAGCTTGATGGAAAAGGCATGCTTGTCGGCTTAGTTATCATGCCGCCTAAGCAGAAGCCACCAAAGCTTGACCAAGCAGATTGCTGGTGTTGGTCCGGGCAAGGCTGTATCGGACACATTTTCTGGTCGTCGGGCCTTCTCAAAATGGGCTAGAACTTGCTGGATCTCCATCGCTAAGATGCTGACACACCTTCTAGATGCGTGCAAGCGGCTGGGGAGTATGTAGTAGTTTGTCATTCAATCAAAATTCCTGAGTGTAGATACTTGGATTTTTGTTTAGTGAACAGGAGGAGGTTGAACGAGTACGCGGGAATCTCCTGTGCGGAGGCTTTCGGGCAGCCGCCTCGTAATGTCTGAGTCATCACGGTCCCGCCGCCTTAGAGAAAACTGACGTCATTGCATGTGATGATTGATCTCCCCGATAAAGACTACGCACATAAGCCTTGGTGCGGAACATTTTAAAGGCCGTACAACATAACATCTCACTGTGTCTCAGCGGACCTCCACCTATCCATAAGTTGAACCTGCTAGCATCGTCCACCTACAGTGTCTGTCTGCTCCTTGGACTTAGTCACAATTACTCATGGCGGGTAGATGCAACTGTGATCCTGTCGACGCTAACGCCGCATATTACTTACTTGTACACCTCTGTGCATAATGTTAACGCACATGAATACGCTTGTCACTTCCATGAAGGAGGGTAATACTTGCTTAACGTCAATACGCCCGCAGCCTTCAGTTCAGAAATTCCATAACTTTGAAGTCTCCCGTACTGGACTAACTACTCGTAACCAGCTTGCTCGTTGCGTGTCATCCCAATTCTCCTTGTCCGAGTTTATAACGATCCAGAAGAATCCTCCGCGTTTGGAAGTCTGACCAGGCATATGCAAGGCTTGGGGACGAGACGAGACGAATATCAGGGAGATGTGCATCCTGCCTACTCTGGAAGGAGGCTAGTGGATCGGTGCTTACTTAATGCACCTCGTTCCGGATACCTTCGAGTTACCACGGACAAGCTAGAGTCGATGGCATGCTGACTGAAGTACTTGAGACCTCATGCGCAAGCCATCTTCCTCCGCAAAATGGCTGGTTCCCATAAAACCGCCCACCAGTCACTTTGAGATCTGGCTGCGGTTTTCCCCACATGCAGTTGCATGCAAGAGAACGAATAGCACGAACGCCAAGACAGTATGGTGAAAGTTGTAAGTCACACGAGTCTCTGTGAGCGACCAAAAGAATCCATGACTTTGTCATCATGATGATATCTGCAGATCTATGGCCAAGAAAGGACCAGTCGAAAAGGAGGGACAAGCTCATGATCACAAGAGGCAAACCCTAGCGAAAGCAGCCTCAACAACTTGACGTTATGTACTGGATATATGGAGACAGAAAGTACAGAAAGACATGAGAATACCTGCTTTTGTGATCATCTTCCTACAGGTCGTGTCCTAATGAGAAATCGGGGAATCTTTGTGGGCACGAGAATGGTGCGGCCGGCCAGCGAAGATCTCGCCCTAGTTATTTGAGACTCTATGAGCGTATGGCTCTACAGGAACTTCACGCGAACTTAGACCATAGTTATGAAATCACAGAGAGTTATATGCCTCAGCATTATCGTTGTATGCGAGATACCAAGTATCCACGAACCCAGGCAGCTTTTACGTGGCTAGGCGGGCGAGGTTAGGTTGAGTAAGCGCGCCCCTCTACGAAGTGAACAAATCCGCGAAACTTGAAAACGATTATCGCAGCGCCAAACCATAGCAAAGGCAATGGAGAATCGTAATCTTTACCTTCTTCTACGGCCCTCGACTTTGGGGCGGCAGAAAGTCGAGGAAAACGAACAATACCACCCGTTGCGGGTATTATATATCCAGTTCCAAGTTGTAATGACCCACAATGGCTCAGATACAACTAATGCAGCCTCACCCACCTCCGCCCCTTTCAAAGTTCCCAGTCACTTGCTTGATACTTTGTCCCCTGCGACGCTTCCGCCCTCTTTTGAGTGCCCGAGCAAGGAGTTCATTTCAGCACAGGATGCAAAGTTGTCTCAATAGCTTCAGATGGCACCAGCAGAGCAAGCCCGTCACTCCACAGGAGGTCTGTCTAGGCTAGATTCAATTTCACCATTAAAGCTCATACTTCTAGTCGATGCTTGTATCGTGTCGAGTATTTGTTCTCCAGCAAGTCGATATAGTGGCAAATGAATGCTTTATACTTGTCAAGAGAGAATTGGAGACTTCTCAATTTCTCTTGCATGCCATACTCCCACCACGACGTGGCTAGTTTCGGTCGTTCTGTGCTCAATTTCCCCTTTGATCACCGCTCCCAGCATTCAAGTGAAACTCGACGTTTCGGCTGGACCACTCGGGTTTTCACTTTTATCCGTCTTGCATGATCTCCAGCAGTATTTCCTGTGAGCCATGATTTCCTAATTCATCAGCCTGCCTACATTTCTCCCAGCACACACACACCACCCCAGACCGCCTTGATGGCCATCAACTGGCGACTACGAGAAAGCGTCTTCCGGCTCCTAGCAGCCGTCTACGCTGAGCTGGGCGAGGCTGCAGTAAGTTCTTCAGAGAAGCACGAACTCTGTCCACTCGCAGAACTGATCAACGCACAGTTCAAAGGCAGGTATGCAAGCATCGCAAAATTCTTCGGCGACGACGCGACCTACGACGCTGTCAAGTCGTTCTTCGCGAAGGAAATAGCAAAAGCTGCAGATGACCTTGGTCGACAAAATCCTGGCGCTCAACGCACACAAAGACCTGTCGCGCAGAAGTCGTCGTCTTCTAGGCAATCCCGACGCACCATGCATCTGGACTTTAATGACCAGGACATCAGCTTCGTCAGTGAACGAGAGGTCGAGGCGCACTCCAGGCATGCGTTGCAGAGACCTCCCAAGCGACCCAGGCTCTACGAATCACCTTTACCGGTTGAGCATGAAGAGAGCAGTCTTCCCGAATCGCAAGTGTTGCCACAGCTCTCGCCAGACGGACTTCCCAACGGCGCAAATCATGGCTTTCGCGCCGTAAATGGACAGCCACCATCTCCGCTCCTTCAAATGAATGGCCACGCCACCAGGGAAGCGCGAGATCCATCCATACAGCATGAGTTCCCCATTCCACCAGGACCGCGCGAACTCACATCTGACTCGACTGATCCAAGCTACATACCATCACCGAGCCCGCCATTGCAAAAACCAACTCGAAGCAAGGCAGCACCTAGAAAGCGACCATACAAGGAAGTCCCCGAGTACGACCTTGAGTACCAGACAGTGTCCTCGTCGTCACAGACCGGCTCTCGACACACACAAGAGCCAGGATCGTTCGGCTATGTATCCAACGCCGGCTTCTTCAGATGCGCACTCTGCTTCAGTCAGCTGTCGAGTCAAGACGCGCTGGACAAACACGAAGCACTCAGCAAACTCCACCTGCGAAATCTGCAGAACCCAGAGATTGTGTCCAAAGGCAGAGCTAAGCTCGCCCAGGTCATTGCCCTGCCCTACCAATCTTCAGCCTCCCCAGGTGCCTTTCGACCATTGAGAGTTGGCGGATTTGGTGAACGAGGCGAACCAAGCACCAACGGACATTTTGCAGATAGTGTTCCAACTCGGTCAGATGTGACCAAGAATCTGTATCAGCCACAACGACGTCAGGAAAACATGGCCAATTCGTCCAGAGCCATCGACACGATTGAGGTGCATCCTAGAACAGCAAGCGCACCACCGTCACACATCAGTTTGTCCACCAGCCACTATACCGCTTCGCGGGCGCCAGATATGGAGCCCGTAGAGGAAACGAGCATTGGCAAAGGAAAACAGCGTGCATCTCCCTACCCAGCGGCTGCGATTCAGACGTACCAAACAGCACCCACCAGACCGACATCGCAAGCCCCAGGCCCGGCGCCAATCAATGAGGAACCATTCAAAAGACCCAATGGAATGAACGACCCACCGAACGAGACCGATACCAACGCGGGCAGAGCAGAACCCACGAAACCTCGCAACACGAAACCGCCATCTCGACTTCGACCCCTCGAAGTGGCGGAAATCCTTCGCCTGACGGGCATCCGGCTTGCGGAAAAATACATCTCGGAGCATCCGGACTTGATCGCGCAGACCATGGGCAGGGTCCAGCGCGAGTTCACTGCCGCGTCGGCTTCTGCAACGGCGAGTGTAGGCCCGTCGTCCGTAGAGATGCAGCCGCCTGCGAGGGTCAGGCAGAAGGACGTGGAGATGGCAGGGTCGCGTGTCAGGAATGGAGGCAGGGATGTTGATGTTGATGTCGTTGTCCTTGATTGATTGCAAAGGGTAGTTGCGATATCAGCGCCTTACATCGGATTGGATATCATGGGGCAAGAAGGATGAGGCATTGCTCTCGTATCTACTGTAGCCCAATATAATTGTTCCCTGGCTCATCATATTTTACATTTTGCTTCAAAGTCATGCGTCATCTGAGGGCACCGGGCACCGTGTGTATCATTCTGATGGCAGTATTCTACAAGATCATACAAGCTGGGCTTGCCTGGGGCACAACTACAGCTGCCCCCTAGTTAGGTGCGTGCTGGCAGGATTTGGGTGACCCTTCCCCTCTGCGAACTTCTCAGCATCGCCTAAGTCTAGCCGAGCGAAACTGGCAAACGACTTTAGGCATTCTCCACTGGCCCAGGACAGACGGCAGCAAAATCACACGCCGCAACTCATCCACGTCGGGCGCAAAAAGCCTGCGCATTCATTCAATGCAAGCACTTCCACGGTAAGGTGACAGGTCCTAAGATTGACGTGTTCGAGTTGCTGCCTATTCTGCGGATTCTGGCAGGCGGATGAGAGTGGTGGGAAAAGGGGGAGGCTGGGAAACTCAATAGAGGGGAAAGCTGCATGACGACTGGAACTTGAGCGCTAGTGCGGGGCGTAGTTAACATAACGTACGGATAGACACCTCAGACCACAGCTATCACTGATGCATTGGATCGTCTGTGTGGTCTTTGTGAAGACTTGGACAAATCCGAAGAAAGTGTAGGAAGTTCGGATGCTCGATCTGATTTCCGGCTCCTCGTAGGGATGGCAGCACTCTATAGGTCGATTTCCTGTATGTGACAAGTAGCAACAATGCATGGGCGAACCATGAGTAGGGTGCGCATTAAGTGGTTGCAGGAAAATGCTCCTCAAAGAAGAGCTAACGACGCGTTTTCAGCGTAGCCGAGTTGCCTTTTTTTCTGGACCAGGCTTGGTCAGGATTGTTGGCTTCGAAAAGATCCAATGGCAGGACGCCCATGAGCAATTGACTGGGATCTCTGGTCGCTTTGAAGGCCATGAACTTGCAAAGGACTTCGAGGGTGTCATGGACGACATGGATAATCCGTCCCAAGAAGTGTCGTGAGTGTCGCACGGGCACACACCCCTGGGAGGAAGAGGAACACGCTAATGCAGGTGAAAGAAACGCTAAAAAATGTACAATTGGACGACAAGTCTTCCAGTATGAACGCCAGGCATCAACTTGATATAGGTTTTCGAATACAATTCACCGGCAATGCCCTCGGGTCGAAGCTAGGCCAATGGTGCAGATGGAACCCATCTTCCGTGAGCCTTTTACTCCAGGTCTTGGAATTAAAATCAGTCAGGAGGCTGGCTCGACCAGACTTTGATTCGCTTTCCTTCCAATTTCCAAAGTATCGCCTACGTTGAACGCCCATGGTTGCTCTTTCTTTTCACTCTCTTTGCAAGAAGCTGTGGTGCATCCCACTTTCCCATTGTTGTACACTCCATCTCAATTCAAGTAGCTCCCCCCAACATAGCTACTGCTCACGCTGCTGCTGACCATGCTACTCTCTGGGGTGATCTGACCATACCCATTTTTGAAGAAGTCCTCTGGTACATAGAATGTCTCGCCTGTCGAAAATGTATCGATTTGCACCTTGCGCTCTTCTTCTGCTTTCACACCGTTGGAGATTGGACTGCTACTTGCATCAGAAAACGGTTCTCCATCCTCGGCTTCCTGCTTGGCGACAGGCTTTGGCCGCTTGGATGGTGTTTTGACCTCGCCTTCTCTCTTGCGCTTGGTTGGTGTGGAAGGAGGTGAAATACCCAGGCTTCCATGCAGTTTTTTGTCCGATTCGTTGCGCAACTTGTAATACTTTTGACTATTACAGTGTCAGTGGTGTTAACCCTTGCACCACAACATTTCATCATACCTGACAGCCGATGCTGAAAGACCTCCTCCAAGAAGGCCAGCAACAGCAGTCCATGTATCGGCAGATGGTCTGAGATTGGCACGAGATATAGCTAGTAGGAGCATTTGGCGCTCCCTCTCAGCTGTCCATTGGTAAGGCATATTTGCAAATTGTGCAGAGGTAGAAAATTGAACAATGAGGTACCAAGTGTTTCGTAAGCTCCTACGACATGTAGGTGGAGTTGAATGCAAATGAAGAGGAAGAACGGGAAGAGAAAACAGAGAGAAAGATGAAAATCTGGGAGAGCCAGAAGGCTCGGGCCTAGCAGCCGCTTGAGGAGGTAGGAGTGGATCGTTCAGAGCAGGAAGCATATCACATCATGGCGGCACTATCATCAGAAAATGCAGGATGGATGCTTCAGGGTGCCACCAGACAGGCGTGCTGGGAAATACTGGCATGAAAGCGGCAGAGCTTGCAACCAGGACGTAGAAGAGAAAGGTTGGGTATTGCCGATCTGGGTGGGAGGAGATGGGCAACACGTCCCATTTGTAGATCACCTGTCGATGTAGGTGTGAGGACAGCCTGAAAAAGGTCAGCAAGGACAAACATACATATCTCCCAAGCTTCAGAAATGCGACCGCTAAAACCTGTCCCGCTCGAAGCTATTTTAGCGAAGCTCCAGCGGTGTGACAGAAGCCAGCACGGCCTCTGGTCTGATCCATGCATGTAGTCTGTGAAATTCTCTGTAATGACGATACGGTGAAATCCAGGTGTAGTCCTTGCCATCGTTTCGTCCCTTCATCGATGCTCTTGATTCATGTTGACAACCAGGCTGAAATCTCTTGTAGCATTCTCAATCACATATATAAGAGTCGAACAAAAGCTCTTCCATTGCTCTCCACAATGTCTTGTCTTCCAAGAACACCGATTGCAAAAGTCCAGAGTAGCCCTCGCTCTAAAGACTCGCACAGCAAAATAACAACAATGGCAAAAGTCGAAATCAAGGACTCGGACATCGCAATCCTTATTGCTGCGATCCAAAACTCTGTTGGTCCACTGCAGGTTGGTCCAGCCCAACATTCCGAGAGCAAGATATTGCTCGTGCGAATACTAACAATGCCCAATTCTAGGTCGATGCCGAGAGGGTCGCGAAACAGCTTGGCATGAGTCTGTCCACCATTCCACCCAAGTTCACCACTCTTCGAAAGCGATACAACATTGACATCAAAGTCTTGAACTCGGGTGCGCTTCAACGTAATCGCACAAACACCCCCAAAAAGGCCAAATCTCGAAACAATCTTCAATCTGTGAAAGCAGCCGAGGCGGTGCCTTGGCCCGAACAGACCCTCGATGGAGTCAGGATTGATAGTCCTTCGCCGGTCAAGAACGAGAATGCCGACTCACCTTGCTGAGCCAGAAAGTTGCTGTGGTGTGGTAGGAGGCAATAGAGTGGTCGTGATGCTATACTTTGCGTTTGCTTGAGGACCCTCTCGGCACTGAAGAACACTGGAAATATAGATAGGGTAGTTGGTGTTTGGAATTGCATGTTGAGATACTGAAAATGTCAAGTCTTCGAACATTTCTTGCTTTGCGTCGTCTCGTCCCTGGAATCCTGCGTTTATAGTGTTATCTCTGCTTGATATGATCATGTGATCAAAGTTGGTCTTCAAAAGGCCATGCTCGCGGGATGAACACATCCGATCGTTGTCGCACAGTATTCAACTATTGCATCCGGGTCACAAGCAGCAGATCTGTAAGTTTGATCCATGATTCTCCTAGTTGCACGTGCTTGCATGGATAGTTGTAGCGGAACGTAGAGCGACACCTGGCCGAAAAAATGATCATCTTTGAATTTCCTTGTACACTAATAATTTTACAGAGTCTTCTCAACATACCGAACCATGTTCTCACTGGCGCCCGGAGGCAAACCCGTGATCGACGGACTGAGTATTGTCTGAAGCGCATCCTTTTCGATAACGATGCGTCTTCCCTCTAGGAAGTCTTTGACATCTACAGTGTTGATATCTTTCAGAGTTGCGTGTGCCCCAACAACAGCCATCTTTTCAAAAATCTCCGGGTATGATTCCTGGGTCAGGTCTGTGACAAGCAGAGTGCGACCATCAGTCTTGGTCCACCGATTGCCAGAGAAGACATTATTGAGCCAACGGTCCGATTGATCAAGTGAAGCACTAACATCGTTGTCCAAAATGATGAGCTCTCCCTTCCTATAGCGATAGCTCAAAGCCACACGAAAGGCATGCGCATAGACTTTGGCTTGCAGCTCTGTGGAAAAGTCCCTTGGGTGTGGTCCAAAGGCAACACCTCCACCGCGCCGAATAGGTGATTTTTTGTCTCCCACACGAGCTCTACCCGTGCCCTTCTGTGCTTGAATCTTGCGGTTGCTGCCATGTACATCGCCTCGCCATTTGGTACTGGCAGTTCCTTGCCGCGATCCATCGGCTTCAAAAATGACTGCTCGATGAAGGATGTCGCGCCTTAACGGGGCATTGAGGAACTGGGGGTGGTATAAGGCATATCCGTTGGGTTCGAGGGAGGGAAATTGGTATAATGTCGCAACAACTGGCTGTTCGAATGCATTTAGTGAAAGAGGGCTTTGACTGTGGCTTGGTCGGAGCGTTGTAGCAGTGAGATGGTCCGATGCGGTCTCTGTGACCGGCAGTCGAGTCTCTGTAGCGTATGCACGACAGAGCCTGGGAGCAAGACATTGCTGTGCGATGGTTAGTTTGAGCTCTTAACAGTTCATCCAAGGACCTCCTACTGTCAACGGATCGGCGGAATACAACACTCGGAATCCTCGGGCAAGTCCCAGCAGACTTCGAGTGGCGGTCGAGCGCGCCATCTCCAGAGTCTTTGCTGCAAAACAATAGGGCGATGGGGATCGAGAGAGACAGCTTAATTCCACAACGACTTCATGGGAAGAAAAGTCATGGAACAAGACCTCAGGACGAAATGTTGGAAAGGGCATGTTAGCCGAGGACTAGGTCAGTCACGTGCTTACGAGTTCTGCTTGACGCGACTTGGCGGAAACCCACCCTCACCTTTTCGGATTCTGATGCAACGACAACCAACCGCTCGACTACAATCACATCATGCTTCATAATCTGGTGGCTGCTTCTCATGCACTGATTTATTAACCATCCACCATCTCAAGGTGTACCTAGACCAGCGTTGCCCGCGCCCTTTGCCCCTGGAGCACTTGATGACCAAGGAATTCCCGAGAATAGCGCCTTACATAACCTCAGGCACGGAATCCCCTACTTTCTTCTTTATCGCCTAAATGAGGACATTCAGTGGCAGGCTTTCAAGCCTTGGCTACACCCCAGTGCTCGTTTGCAAGGCTCTTCTTCAGCCCTGACAACAGGAAGACTAGTGGTGGCTCAACTCCAAACGAGTCGCAAGCAACAGCCCAATAGCAACAGTTCACTAGGGTCTCCTCGACCATCTCCTTGGACGCCTAAAAGTCAAAAATCTGATGCGGCTCAGCGCCATTAGCCTCCAGTGTTGGACCCCTTCGACCTCTTATGGCCCGGCAGAGTATCATATGCTTAGGCCTGACCAGGTAGGTCCAATGAGAACTTTCCAATCTCAATCCACCTGTGCTTGGCGGACCTTGATGCATATTGGAAGACGGCCTGATTCACCAGAAATACAACACTGTCTTGCACGGCGATGTTCAGCTAACTAGAATAAATTTGTTGAAGTCTATTAAACCATGGAACCAACTATTCAGGTAGTGAATCATCCACTCTTACCTGCCATTACGCTCGTTCACGTTTTTCCGGCTTTTCTTATTCCTTACGTATTATGATGTACAGCATTTAGATCATTAATCGAAAGTTCAGAGCTTTTTATGGAGAGATTTCGCTTCCAAAATCCCTTCACCAGGCGATATCAACGCCCACAGCAGATCTACGACGATATTCCCATGCGCAATGACCTATCAGCATACACTCATGATCCAAAACACAGTGTAACTTTCGGAAGTTCAATCAAAGACGTTGTTGATGAGCCTAGATACAATGGGCCCACGAACACCGAATGGAATCCTCTCGCCTTGAGCCGGCCAGTACTCCTCACCTTTGCTCTGCTTGCAGCGGCAGTCGTTGCGACCCTAGGGGGGATCTACAGTCGGTCACAGACATACCAAGGAATCGCTGAGACTAACGACAACTTACATTACCTTTGGACCTATGGGCCGACGGCCTTTCTGATACTGTTCACTGTTGGCTGGCGTCAGGTGGACAATGCCATAAAATCTTTGCAACCATGGGCGGAGATGGCACGTGGGCCTGTCCCAGCAGAAAGAAGTCTTCTACTCGATTATATCACACCCTTTCAAGCAACAACCCTGTGGCGTTCGGTGCTCGCTGGCCACTACGGCGTTGCGTTATCCGTCATAATTTTCTTTCTCACCAAGGTCCTAACCATAGTCTCAACAGGCTTACTAACTCTACAACCCATCCGTATCGACTCCATCCGAACCACTATATCATACGACACGATCTTCGATGGAGCAAATTTCGCTAGTGGGTCAGTTGTCGACACACGACCTGCGTACGCCCTGTATGCCATTCAAGCCTTCAATACTAGTTACCCACCAGGAACGAATGATATGTACGCCGTCCAAAGGTTTTCTTCTCTATCAGGAAATACCAGCGACCTCCAATCCTTCACTGCAACGCTGGAGGGCTTCAGCTCAAGTACCAAATGCGAATCTGGATCGATGAACTTCACAGTCGGTCATGACAATCAGAACAGCATAGCTCCAGTATCCAGCTACTGGAATACCACTATATCTCTTCCGGGATGTGAAATTTACGAGGCTTTTCTGGATGCCTATCCATGGATGTACAACACTTCAGATGAGAATCCAGAGCCAAGATACGGTTACTCTGCAAGCTTTCAAGCGGCGAATTGCTCAAATCTTGAGAACGAGGATCCTTCAAAATGGAGATTTTTAGTCACGGCTTTGCACGTCAAGGGTACGGGACAGAACGACAATGAGATCCTAGAATCTTCAAACCTTGTTTGTGTGCCGGAGTACAGCATCGGGCCAGTTACAGTCACGACTGATTCAATGAATAACATTATCAAAGTCGTGCCTGCGAGCGAGGACTCTCGTCAACTCGCCGGAGTTTCAGCTGGGGACCTTACCAATGGCGTTGAAAGTACTGTCAAGTTGTCTACCCAAATTGACTTCGATCCTGATCCTGAAAACTCTGTCTTGGATGCTTTCATGCGGCTTGGTGCCTCGGAGATGGGAATTTTGGAGCCAAAAGATCTCCTTGATCGGGATACCCTCGAAAGTCTAAGCAAACGCACATTTCAAAGACTGGCGGCTCAAATAGCCAATACTTTCCTCACAACAACAGTTGCAGATTATGGCAATTCGGCTCCACTGTCAGCCACAAAATCACAAAGTGAATCTCGACTCGTGGTCCGCGAACTACCGACGAGGATAATGCAAGGCTTGGCAGCTGCAATATGCCTCCTTACGGTGATGGTCACCTTTCTCGTTCCCCGAGGAGTCGTCCCGCGGAACGTTGATGCGATTGCTCCCTTGGTTGCAATCATGGCTCGAAGTCCAGCATTACAAAGACAACTGCGGATGATTGGCCACCTTGATATGAAAGATTTGCGTAATGTCCTTTCCCAGTACAATTTTCAAACTCTCGTGGATGAACGAACAGGTGTACGTGCTTTCTCGATTCAAGGTATTCCTAAGAATTCTGTCCGCTCGAGCACTCAGCACATGGAAAGATCTCGCACGCTAGAAACTTTTCGGTGGTGGCGTCCTTGGGTCCTCACCCGTCGTGCCATGTCAGCTTGTTTGATATCGCCCATTGCCGTCATCATTGCTCTCGAGATTACTTATCGCAAGTCGAATACCAATCAAGGCCTTGCAGATGTTGATGCCGAATCTTTAACAAGGTATGCGTGGATCTATGTGCCGACGTTGGTGGTAGTACTGATTGGTACACTCTATAACTCTATGGATTTCGAGTTGGAGTTGTCTGCAGCCTACTATGCGCTTTCCAAAGAATACTGCGATGCTAAATCAAGCATGTTTCAAAAGCAGTTCCGAGGCATTGCTCTCCAAAGTGTATGGTTGGCACTACGAAATCGCAAGTTCGCACTTGCCGCTGCTTCTGTATCAATAATACTGTCACCATTGCTTACGATCGTCGTGAGTGGCCTATTTATACCCCAAGCTATCACAAATATCACTCCCGTTGACGTCGAAAGCCTTACTTGGTTCAACACAACAGGCTGTTACGATTGTACGTTCTACTCGAGTACAAGGGCCAAGACTATTCCTGGGTTGATTATCCAGGCCAATATGTCATATCCAGCCTGGACTTATGATGAATTAGCCCTTCCACAAATCTCGTTGTCGGTTGACAAGTCGGCGGAGGCGACTAGAAATATCACGAACATGAACGGTACCATCGATCTTACTACATCAGCCCTCCGTGCTGGGGTGAACTGCAGTCTTGTCCAAACAGACCAGATCCACGATGTCGAACTAAACATCACTGAACAAAGTCTTATGATAAATTGGACATATTCTACCTGCAATGAAATGGTCGAGTATACAGAAGCTCGTATATATTCTTGGGATGAAACACCGTGGTATATTGGCAGCTCCCAGGCGTTGGTGGGTGACCCACCGTGTGCTGCGTTCGCTTTGACGTACGCGCTTATCGATGAAAACAAGGAGGTAAAAGATCTCGCCATACACTTGTGCTCTGCTTCAGTTGAGATGGTTCAGGTGGATGCAACATTTGATCTTCCAGATTTTGCTATCGCATCTCCTCCAATCGTGGACGAAAGCTCTGCCACTCACTTTTCTGATTGGTACGATCTATCCCCGGAATATGGGAATCTCAATGTCACAAAGGGTGGCGACATCGATAGTGTGTTCAGTGCCATGATCGCTGGGAAATACGGTGTGCCTTTGGAGGAGCTAGCCAATAGTACTACCATCATTGCCTCCTTTACAAAGCTGTACCGCACGTACGCTGCGCAGATCTTCAACACCGATTTCCGCTCAACTATGGAGGACCTACCACGAAACCAGAGTCAGGCTCTAGCCATTCCTCTCACACAGCAGGCCTCATACACGAATACCAACCGCGTCCGCCTCTTCCAGTCCGAAGTTTCAACGCGGATTCTGCAAGGGCTACTCGTAGGTCTGCTCATCTGTGGGTTGGTTGTTTTCGTTCTTATCGACGCAAGAAAAGTCCTTTCAAAACCACTAGGCACCATCGCCGTAACTGCCACATTATTGGCGAGCAGCACGCTCGTAGATGAAAAATCTGGCTCGGCTCCCCCGCCTGGTGCTGAATGGTGGAGCGATAGCGAATGGAAGAAGCAAGGAATCTGGGCCGACAAGTTGTTCCGGATGGGCTGGTGGTATGAGCAAGAGAGCAGTATCAGAACGGCAACAAATTCGGAAGAGGAGGAAGGTGGGCCGTTGACGGGCGCAAATGGCACAGAAGAATTTACGAAGATGACGAAGGATTTCAGAATTGATACCAAGCCGCCGGTATAGATGTTTGGAGGTCTCATGACTTTACCGGCGTATTTTGCCGGAGTGTTGGTACATGTTTTGAAGGCACAAATCAGGTATGCGACGATGCCATGCCCGGGAGGGTGTGGCTCTAGTCGTCCCTAGCCTCCAAGCCTTGACATTCCTCCGAGGTTGGCCCTTGCTCACCATAGCTTCCCCGCGTACAAAGCGAGAGCCGAAGCTTGGCAACGCAACAGGCTTTCTGCAATCTCTCATCACACAGTTTTCCCTAGGTATGAGTTACAACCGCGTAATTTGGTTTTAGTTTCGCAAATGGAAGGGGGGCATCGCCCAGGTCCCATACGAAAGGGCAGAGTACGGACGGGATGTCTGACTTGTCGCTCAAGAAAAGTCAAATGCGATGAGGAGCGACCTGTCTGCTTTAACTGTACACGTCTCAATAGAGCCTGCCTTTATGAGTTTCTGTCCATTGATTACCATTCCCAGCAGCCGACACATCTGTATCAGACTGCTTCTGCGGCAACAGGAGTCCTGAATACGTACAGCGATGGCTTCGCTCTGGACAATACAGCTACGCCTTCAAGTAACACTTTCGACGTACCGGCACTCGACGTAGCGGCGCAAGACGCGCAAATTTCTCCCGGACGTTCATCGGTTTCTTTCGATGCCATGGTGGGCGAGTGGGGTGACTTTTTCTCTACCGTTCCATATCAAGAACTCGGTTTGCAGCTAAGTCCTCAAAACGATTCTGAGGACATCTCGGAGCGTCTCGCGGAGGCTATGGAACCGACATCTCAATTTGCATACTTTGTTAATCATATGCAGTTGCCATTCATTGTCCCCTGGGATGAAAGCAACTGGGCTCATGCCAAACTTGAGATAGCTCAGATGGCCAGTAGCAGCCCACAAATATCTGCGACCTTGATTGCAGTCGAAAATCTATACGAGACACTTGCCAAGGGCGGAGAGACAGCAGATACCTTGCCTGCTTATTTTACCGCCAAAGCAGGTTACACATTAACCATGAAGAATGGCCAGCTCAGCATAGACGAATTGTTTGTGACAACCTTTCTTCTCTGCTGCTTCGAAGTAGTAGCTCAGCAAGAAACCATTTCGAGCACTCTGAAGCAGAAAGACGCGCTTGTTGCCGCCCTCGAGGTAGCCCAGGATCAAAAGCCATGGTCCATTCTTGTCCAACGGATCATTATCTGGTTGCATCTATTTCACGCCAAAGCCCTACACCTTGGTGGACGTGGCATCCTCAGTCCCAAGATCTTGAGTCTACTTCAGGACCAGCAAAATGCAGCTCTCTGTTTGCGTGGCTCATCCTCCAGTACTGGTCTTGGCTTCTGTTCTGTGACGGAATCACTGCAGCAGGGCCTCTTTCAGTTCTACTTAGAGCTACAGCGAATAACCATCCTTGCCGCGTCCATGAATCGGCATCACCGCCCACGCGGAGCACCTGCGGTTGAATCACAGGTCGACCGCATCTCCTGCACCATTGCGCGGCAGCTTGAGAACCTGTGGCAAGGCCGGCCAGCAATCCTTGACTGCAGCACAGCCGAGCTGTCGAGAGTACTCCAGTGCTCGAAACAGGAACTGCCCCATATAAATCTGTTGTCCAGCCTCTGCAAGTTGTGCTATTATGCTGAAATCATCTATTATTGCCGCTCCCAGGGTCGTGTGGATACCTTGCAGAAGAAAATCTTACCGGCACGAGAAAAAATACGGGCACTGATACATGAGATGGAGGCTGAAGCGAAGAGAGAAACCTTACTTTGCCAGCCAGCTCTGGCTTGGCCGCTCTTCCTCTACGCTGTTGAAAGTAAAAGCCAAGAAGAGGTGGCGTGGGCATTGGGCAGATTCCATTCTATACGGAACCCGCTTTGGCATACCGAGTTTATTGAGACGTTTGTGCGCGATCTGACAGAGGAGCAGCTGCGAAAAGGTGAACGCGTGGACTCGCGGTTCTTCTGCGTGGAGCAGTACGGCACTGTCCCGCCTTTCTTATGAGGAGGGAGACGGTGATTAATGATCATGAATCATCTGGTTCTACACAGCTACTTCCGAAGTATCGAGTGCTCTAGCCTTGCTGTATGTAGACCCTGGCTTCAAAAGGTGCCAAAACCTGCTGTTGCCACTCTGGTTCAGCATCATTACTGTGAGTGCCGATCAGAAACTGTGTCTCTTCCGATGCAAAGCCATCAGGGTGTGTAAACTGCAAAGTCTCTCTCGATAGGTTTGCGACGATCAAGCTCTTTGCCCCAGTGCGTTCGTCGATCTTCAGGAACGACATCAAATTCCTTTCCTGTTCAATGGCCACGAAGCTCCCATACACAAAGAGGCTGGCATAATTCTTCCTGAGAGCTAATATCGAACGCCAATAGCTCAGTACGCTTCCTTTGGTGTTTATCTGATCAGCCACATTGATCTCGCGATGAACATCCAGCACCGACATCCAAGGCTGTACGTCTTCATCGCAGAAGCCGGCATTGTGAGTCGCATCCCATTGCATCGGTACTCGGGCATGGTCTCGTGCCACACGCTGAAGGTTGCGGCGGGCCTGCTCGATTGAACCTGAATTATTGCGACTGCGCGCACAGATATCGCGAAAGTAATTGACCGATCTGACACACTTGTATTCATCTGGCGACCAGGACTCAGGTGCATTGACCATACCGATCTCTTGGCCCTGATATAAGAACAATGTTCCGGTCATGGTCGCGAGAATTGTCGCCAGCATCTTGGCTGCACTCTGTCGGTATGCTGGAAGATCTGAAGCAAACCGAGATATTGATCGACCTTGATCATGATTTTCCAGGAAGACGGTAGTCCATGCATCAGTCTCTGCAGGCAGCGTCTGCCATTTTGTTAATTGGTTCTTGAAATCAAGGTTGTCAAAGGGCTGCGGCAGAAAACGATTTCCAGGCGTTTGTCCGAGGTTCACCGTGTCAAAGTTCAAGACCATGTTCAATTCGCCCGAGCGCGCAGAGATGTATTGTAGGACCTCGTTACTGTCGGGTGTATTTGGCAGTTCACCAACTGTCATGACATCGAACCCTGATAAAATATCCTTGATCTCTTTCAAGTACTCATGGATCCGAGGGCCGTTGGTGTATCGACAGACAGCTACCTGTGTGGCTTCCTGCGGCTCTGTGATTGGGGCATCCGGCAATCCAGGGACCTTGGAATACTTGTTGACAGTATCGATGCGAAAGCCATCCACACCGCGCTTGAGCCAAAACCTGATCGCGCTTTCGTAGATTGCCCTGCGGCATTCTTCGTTCTCCCAGTTCAGGTCGGGCTGGCCACTTGCATAGACATGTAAATAATACTCCTCGGTGAGCGGATCCCAAGTCCACGCAGGTTTAGTAAACTGGCTCCTCCAGTTGTTGGGACGACATCTATTACCATGCTCATCGAATTTAGGAGCTCGCCAGAAGTACCAGTCTCGCTTCGGGTTATCTTTAGAAGATCTCGATTCAAGGAACCAGGAGTGTTGGTCGGAGGTGTGATTAATGACTAGGTCGAAAATGATCTTCATCCCTCTCTTGTGAGTTTCGCGAATTAAACGCTCGCAGTCCTCGAGCGTTCCATATGGTTCGTGTATATCCTCGAAGTCAGAGATGTCGTATCCCATATCGACCTGTGGGCTCTTGAAATGGGGCGAGACCCAAATGATGTCTACCCCTATGTCTCGGATGTAGTCTAACTTCGATATAATGCCAGGTATGTCTCCGATGCCATCTCCATTGGAGTCCTTGAAAGACGCTGGATATACCTGGTACACGATGCCTTCCTTCCACCAGGTGGTTTTGTGTTGGAAAGTTGCATGTGGCATGCTGAAATCGTGTACGTGGATTACGATTTGAGCCTATTGGGGCATGAGTAGTTCACTATTCTTTGTTTTGGGCATTCTTCAAGCGCAAAATGCTACTCAGGCTGTAATGTGATATATAAATACTGCCCCCGCTGGCAAAAGATTCGGTATCCACCGCTAATCCCTCGCCGACCCCTCTCTACAAGGCGGACATTATGCCTCGTCGGCTATCGGCGAGCTAGCCGAGGAGTCCGTAGATTCGTTGCGGCAGTGGCTGCAGCAATACGAGTGCCCACTGAATGACATCAAAGATTTCTTCAACCGACCGCAACGCTTCAGCTACCACACTCTGTCTACCCGCTGTCTTCTGAGAGATGGTTGCGAGATACTGCCGATAGGCGAGCGTCTAAGTCGGCGAATGGCACACCTATCCACATAGCTCGTCGGCACGCATGTCCAGTACATATATATATATACGATCTTTCGGCCATGCTTCAGTTCCATATACTTCTATCGTTCGGATCATCCAAAAGTTAGGGAAGAAAAAACATTCATTCCATTTTGTTACCCCCCTCACCACTGCCACCATGTCTCACCCCAAGTTAGATGATGCAGGGCTTTCAAATCTCAAAGAAGTCGCAAGTCACTGTGAAAGCCGGAATGATGATCGCGAGGAATTACGAGAGGCCCAGATCGCGGCTGAACATGAACGAGAAACCTCATTCCTCAAATCGCTGAAGCTTTACCCTGCTGCGATTGCTTGGTCTGTCCTGCTGTCAACCGCCATTATCATGGAGGGCTACGACATGAAACTGATCGGCTCTCTGAACGCCCAGCCGGCTTTTAAACGGCGTTATGGCAAACAACTACCTAACGGCCGCTACGAAATCCCAGCTCCATGGCAAGCAGGTCTGTCAAATGGCGCCTCCGTTGGCTCACTTATCGGCCTGTACCTTAATGGTCACATCTCCGAACGTATCGGGTTCAAAAAGACCATGTTGGCTTCTTTAGCCTTAATGGCCGGCACCATTTTTATTCCTTTCTTCGCACCAAGCATCGAGGTCCTACAAGTTGGACAGATCTTCCAGGGCATTCCATGGGGAATATTCCAAACGCTGACCACCGCATATGCAGCTGAAGTCTGTCCTGTCCATTTGCGCGGCTATCTCACAACCTACGTCAACCTCTGTTGGGTATGTCTCGGCTTATCCGGTCCATCAACATTGATCTTTACTTACGTAGATACAGGTCTTTGGGCAATTCCTTTCGGCAGGTGTCCTTAGAGCCATGGTAAGTTCCTTGACTTCACTCCCATAAAGATCTATGCTTACCCACTTTTTGCAGGCCGGACGCACTGACGAATGGGCGTATCGAATCCCCTTCGCGCTACAATGGATGTGGCCAGTCCCCTTGATGGTCGGCATTGCATTCGCACCGGAATCTCCCTGGTGGTGTGTGCGACAGAACCGCCTCGAAGAAGCAAAGCGCAATCTGCGTCGTCTGACTTCATGCAATAATCGATCTGATGAAGATATTCACCACATGATGGCACTCATGCAAGTCACTGTCAACAAAGAGAAAGAAGCTGGCACTGGATCTTCGTACCTCGACTGCTTCCGAGGGGTTGATCTCCGCCGTACCATTCTCGCCTGCTGCGTCTGGGCAATCCAGATCTTGTCCGGCACAGGTCTCCGCACTTACTCGACGTACTTCTATCAACAAGCTGGCCTACCGACCGTGCAGGCCTTCAACATGAGCGTGATTCAATACGCTCTGGGAATCGTCGGCGTGTTCATTGCCTGGTTCCTTCTACCATACTGCAGCCGGCGAACGCTGTATATCTGGGGCCTGGCCGGTCTCGGCCTGTGCCTGATCGTCATCGGTGGCCTTGGTACGGTCGACTACACCACACGGCCCGCCATCTCGTGGGGCATTGGGAGCATGCTGATCGTGTACACCGTCATCTACGACATCACTGTCGGCCCCATTTGCTACGCGTTGGTCTCTGAAATCCCCTCTTCTTCGTTGCGGAGCAAATCTATCGTCCTCGCCCGCATGACTTACAACCTGCTCAACATCGTCAGCAACGTCATCACACCCTTCATGCTCAACCCAGGCGCCTGGGCGTGGGGTGCCAAGACAGGCTTCTTCTTCGCTGGAACGTGTGCCGTGTCTCTAGTGTTTACCATCTTGTGCATCCCGGAGACGAAGGGCCGCACATATGCAGAGTTGACGGTGCTGTTTTAGAGTGGCGTTAAGGCCTGGAAGTTCAAGGGCGAGAAGGTAGATCTTACTCGTGCCGCAGAGGGCGAGGACTAGGGTAAATGAGGGTAATCCCCATGCACACGCCTTTTAGAGCTTCCTATCACACCGTCATGTCGATGATAGGCATGTTGTGTTCGCTCAGCATAGCTTACCGACCACGCTTTTGGTACTGAAAGACATGAAGCATGGATGAAATTGATATCTTACCGACTTTTCACCATGTATCAGGTCATAACAATCACTTGCGAGCATACCTAGCTTCTTTATCTAACCTAGTAAACCCCCAATAGCCACTTCTGTCACCTGCGCCGCAGCGCTTAATAAGTCAAGGCAGCACACTCGTGGCAGGGTCTTCTGAGGTTCGCCACAGCGTCTGAATGGTGAAACAGAAATCCGAACCGAATGGGAGGTGTAGAGAGGATGCATGGCACGATACCAGGTATAGCAAACCACAGAGTGAACAGGGGAGGGTCGGAGTACTGGCATCGGCCGCAAGGGGTATTTTCCAATGCTCATGATTAAGCTACGTAGTCAGATGTGCAAAGTTGATTTCCATTTTTGCACAATGGTTCGAATCACAGAGAAGGTTCGGATGTCTGAGAAGCGAAATCCAAAGGAAGCCAAGATTTTTGCAATCTTCTGTCTGATACGACAACCCAACGAAATCTGTGGCGATGCTTCTAGTCGTGCAGACGTTGTGGTATATAAGCATCGAAATTGAAAGATTATGCAGCACCGGGATATCGCCCGGCTGAGAGGCACTGAGCAACGATCTGTGATGTCAGAATCTGACCCGATGGCTCGTGACCAGATCAAATGAAAGATCTGATTTGATCATACGTGCAGGAGTGCTGGATCGAACAAGTCGATCATGCTACTTATCTAATCGTCCGTCCCTTTCATCGCTTCCAATTCCTCGCCCATACTACCCGGGATACTTCGTGTCTGTCGGGCCCAAAATATGGTCGTGGAGTTTAACTATTGGACGTCACACTTAGGTCCCCAGGTACATAACCGCAGACTCCTCGTCGGACCTTAGGGCTGGTAGACCCACTTCTCGCGTTATTGATCCCAAGTGTCATGGTCGGAAGCCACTCTGCCAAAGAACAAAGCCATAGTTGGAATTGCAACCACAAGATGCGCGTCCAGAGTCCTGAAGTATACTTGGGGTAATGGGTAGATACTCATAGCTATTCTCGGCATTGATCCATTTGCGACACCTCACAACCCTCCTACCAAGCCAAGTAGGTGTATGTCTCGGAGACATTCCAGGAACATGGCGGAGATTTTCTCGGAGACTTTGATCGTCGAGGTGGGAAATGTCTACGCGAGAGGGATCACCACATCGTGAAAGAGGCCACTTCTGAGAGAGGGCGCAGTGCAACTTCTTGTTAGATTCGTTGGAGACCCTGTTTGCTCTGCAAGAGATTTACTGAGATGGCCACACCGTTTGAACTCTATGTCATACCTGGCGGCCTATATCCTCGTCGGGTGCTCATTTACCTCTCCGAAAAAGGAGTCTCTACATCTAACAACTCGCCCAAGCCGCCAGAAGGTTCTCGGATACTCATAATCACCCAGGTGACAACAACAGCAACTCTCAAAATGACCGCACCAGGAAAACCAACCGGGAGTGTACCGATTCTCGCGCTTGGCGATGGCACGTTCATCAAGCAATCCATAGCCATACTTGAGTTTCTGGAGGATATATGCGACGCCTTCGAACCGGATTTAGTGAACTCCAGTACCGTTTTCCCGGATCCTGATTCCGTATTCGGTATGCAGAAGCATTTGAGAGGGTTGGGCCTAGCATGCGAGGAAAAACTGCGCAGGACAGGGCACGAACCCGGGAGATGATGCAACTGGCCGACGAGGCCACCAGCTATTTTTCGTTGGCGTGTCATATGGGCAGTGCCATGTTCTGCTGGCGCGACACGCAGGTCATTGCTGCTTCCAGAGCAGCCATGGCTTCTTGCAGGAAGGCAATCGGTTTGCTCGATACGTACTATCGCATGGACCCACGTTTTGAATGCCAGCCTACTGGTACTGAAGAGCAGGCCCCAAAATCATATCCGGGAATTACTGTCACGATAGCAGATTGCGTTCTGTTCTCTCTGTTACAATTCGCCTACGTCGTATATGGTGTCGAGCTATTTGCTGAATTTCCCCATGTGGAAGAATTTTATCGGTGGTTTGAGATGAGGGATAGTGCACGATTGGAAGGAATGTTGGAAGATGAGAATGTCAAACTTCTGGCTAGTCATTGGATCAAAGAGAGATCTTCTTGGGCTGGAAGAGCATGGGAAAGTTTGAGAGTGTTCAGCACGTATTTGGCGTTTATGGGGCGTTCAATTGCTAAGGTTTTATTTGGCAAGAAGCAGAAATAAAGATGGTCATTCTCAGCAATTCGTAAGCTGGAGGTCCTTGGAATCGATACTGCATCCTGGCGGTATTCAAAAATCCCAGAGCTGTAAAGCAAAATTCGGTAAAGTCTAAAATGTTTCAACAAACACCTCAGTCAAAGAAGAGTTTGACCATTTCTTATGAACAACTTCCATGAACTGAGGAGTTTCAACTTTTCGTTTTCATGGTCTTAGATTTTTCCATATCTGGGATATTAGGACTCTGTCTTAGGCAAGTCGACAATGCTCCAGACCCTTCTGATCTTCCCCGCCTCGAAGCTATAGAAAACATGCTCATAAAACACCACCCTATCAGCCTCTCCCGGTTCACCTACACCCTCGTTCTCCGCAATCTTACCTCCACCATCCCCAGATTCCCCTGCTGGCACAAAGCTCAATCTCAGCCTCGCAGCCACCGTCCCCGTGCCAGTACCCGTTGGTGCGCTCTCATCATCCTCAATAGTGAGCATCTCGACCTCAAATCGAAATCCGGGAAAGTTTCGGATGCTTTCAACGATCATCTGACCGTACTGGTCGGGCGACATGGGTTTTGAGACATTATGGACCATGTTGTTGTGCACGTAGGGTGAGAGCTTTTCGTAGCCTTGCTCGTTCAGGACCTCTATGTAAGCATTGTAGATTGTGCGGAGAGACATCGCACTTCAGGTCTGAATGACTTTTGATTGTTGCGTTGTTCAGGGATTGGTTCCTCCGGAATATCCTTACAAATCTTCCGGGGCGTGATTTTGGTGTTTTGGTACTGAGTGTTCCTCTTTGTCGTTGGCGATGTGCGGGTAAGTGATGGTTTATAGATCGTTGCTTGGACGAAGGTGACAAATGTAAAATAGGTCTCTCATTCGTGACACTGTAGAAACAATTGCAAGTAGACTTTAGGTGGCTTTCAATGTGTGGTTGTGTACATTTATATTCATATCTCGTGGGGAGGTGGAGATATGCATTAAGAATGTATACTAAAAAGGCCAATGCACAGGAGAAATCAATCATCCAATTATTTCAATAATCATCGTCGTCGGGTCGCGAGGTCTTTGCGCCGAAATGATCAACATTGGAATAACTTAACCCCACGTCAATGTTGTGCTGTTGACGGGAAGACTTGAAGCGAGATACGCGATTTCTTAGTCAGCCATTTATATCTGAAAATTTGACTGTTACTCTTATACTGCAGATGAAAGCACCTCTTCTTTCCCATGGCATCCTCATGCAGAGCACATACAACATTAGACTCCGCGAAATTTTCTTTTTTGTATCCTGTCAATGCCTCGAACCTTGTTTCGGGACACGATCGATTGTTCCTGTAATCGACACTGTGGCCATGAAACAAAGTGGGAGTCTCACGGCGTGATTGTGTAGTACTTCAGTATCGGGGTGTGGTGCACTAAGCAGGACAGTTCTGATGATCTGCCTCAAGATCGCAACGCCGCATTGAGCACGTGCTTGTTTGCTGCTGATGGTGGTGATTAAATCGGGATTTGGTTGCTTCTGGATCCTCGGGCCACAAGAGGCAGCTTTTTTTGTGAGCATATCCGTAACGTTGACCATTTCAGGCCATTACTGGTAGCTTTCCTTGTTGTCGTACTTCGTTTTGAGCCACAAATAGATATCGACGAGAATTCCACCTGATGATCAGTGCATTGGCGAACCCCAAGGCTTGCCACAGATGAACTCGGTAGCATAACTTCTGTATCGGCGCAGCAAGTCGGTATCTCGAAGTCCACGGCCAGGAATGCCGCCACTTGGTGAAGTCTGAAAACGTGTACCGAAATGAACAACGATAGCGGACCCGTCCACCACAGCAGATTGCTTAAGTTGGGAAGGGAGTTTCTGTGTGAACCAGGTGCCGTCGTTTCCACTAACCGGATGTTTAACCACATCATCACCAGAGAAGGCTATAAAGTTGATGTTTCGACTGGTCCGGTCATAGGTCCAGTTATCGAATTTATATAGCGAGAGTTGACCCTTTTCAAGGTGTTCAAGAAACGAGTAATGCTCTAGATAGGTGGTCTGTTAGTTTTTTCAAGCAGAAGAGGAGGCGAGACTCAACTTACGTTGTGCTGCTACTGTCCATGGCAGATATTCAGATGAAGCATTTTTTGCAAGGGAGATGTTGTCTTGTCGCCCTATTGAATCGGCTGGGGTGAAATGATAGTCACCTTTACCAAGTGGGAGCCATCTATGACCTTTGAATGGTGGGGAACTCCCAATAGTGAAATTGTAGGCACTGTTGCTTTCCCAATGCGGTAGCGTCGATGATCGCCAATCAACCATATGTCGTCGATCATCATCCACAAAGCCATCGGGTATTGAGCTTTCAGGCAGGTATGGCTTGGTAGCGCCCAGGTGATGTTGAGTGACCCAGGAAGCTGCAGGCGAATTGATGACATTTGCACTGACCATGACGCACTCGGGATTGTCAACTTTACGCTGAACAATCGACTGGATTGCATTGTCTTCCATGAATAGTAGATCATCATCGATTTTGACGTAGAGGGTACCAGGCTTGCAGAGTTTGTAAGCTTCAGAAAACGGTTTGCGGTTGTCCTCTTCCTCTTCACCATATATCTCGTGTAGAGTGTATTCAGGAACGTTGTCAGTGAGATCGTGAAGATAGACAATATCTTGCGTCCGGTTGACATGCATAATGAACATGATTTCATCCAACCAACCACCATTCCGGACCAAATTCCGTTGGAGATAGCAATCCAATATGGATACATATTCCTTCCTTCCGGCAAAGACCATCCCTACTATTTTGTGAGGTCGCTTTCCAGGCCCAGCAACATCGAGGCTAGGTGGATGTGAACCATGCTGCAATGTCGTGGAATCACTGCTAGGTGCCGGCACTTGAACCGGCGCACCAGCGACGACGGCAGGTTGATATTCGAATTGGCCAGACAAATCGATATTGGAATCATCGGACCATCCTGAAAGCTTAAAGCGACTTGCAGATGATGAAAATAATAAAAACAATGTGAATAGCGTCAGTGCACTCAAAACCGAATATCTCCACCTCAGCCGACTTTCACTCATTGTGATCGAGGATGCTGGGATGATTGAGGTCAAAATAAAAGTAAAATAGATGAGCAATATGTCAACAAGGCATCGCAAGCAGTGGTTGAACAGACTACTCTCACAGACAATCGAGCAGCAGCAAAGAGGGACCTTTTGAATACGACAAATTGAAAGGCTTGACGCGCTCCGCGAGAGAATACGAGGTTGATTATTCTGTGGCAAGGTTAGAGGGGATGGAGAAGGCGATCAAGCCACAGCTGCCATTCAGGCCAGGGGCGTCCGAAGGGTGTTGCAATCTGGATTGGACGTTGGCGAAAGTGGATGTGGCGCTCTGGAAACGCTCCCCGTACTTCGTGGCCGTATATCTCTGCCTTCAGTATTCAGAATTGACCAAAGTATCTGACCAAGCTCAGGAAGACCAATGATATGAATCTGGTCAGTCACTTGCAAAATTACCGGGTTTGAGATATTGTGTCCACCGAAAATCCACAAGATGAGGCTTCCCTGAGCTTGATTGACATCTTAAAAGCATCGGAGCCCACCTTTGATTGAGGCGCATGGAGAAATTCAGGGGTGTATTCAGGGGTTGGTTGTCAATTGTCAAATCAGAACAAAAACCCGGAATATCATTCCTCCGACCCGGGAATCGTTTGTCATGTTTGCATCATTCAAGATCCCAATTCCCAAATGGCCAGCCGCGGTTCATCCTCGAGCCATCTGACTTGTTCATACCCATCACCTTTACCCAGAGGTAGGATAATGCACCCGTACACCTACCTATTTGACAAGCCCATCATATGAGAACCTGCTACAAATATCTTGATCTCGAACACACCACACTCATGCAACGCTCACGACCAGACTCCTTTCCAACCCTCGACCAGATCCAGTCCTGTCCATGAACTCACCTAGTGATGGAGACTATCCTGAAAAGTCCGAAAACCTCTCCTCGGTTCCCATTCTCGATGTCAGAAGACCAACCCCTACCCCATCAACGACCGACGAATCACCAGAGACATCGACCACAAGTCTGCCCATCCACACCTTGAATTCTCCAACTTTAGGCTCACGAACCAGTACTTTGTCTAGTATCATTTCCAGGTCCAATTCTCCAAATGGCAGGCTATCGGCTTCGGCTTCAAGGTTCGGAAAGTCTTCTCTGAGCAGTCCACTTGGCAATTCCGTTGATGGATCCGATGATTCGAGGTCGTTGATTGTCCGCGCATTTTCTCCGACAGTTGCTATCTGCGCCGCAAAGGAGGTTGATGAGCTCGCGGTGCAGAAAGGCTTGAAGAGGGGGTTTACAGAGCTCATCCGGCCTTTTGGCAATAAGGTCTCTGGAAAAGTGGTCGTTCGCGATAGTACTGGAGCCAGTCGAGCATGGGAGGACTTTGGAGTTCATTTCGTGGACCTTGGAGAGCTGGCTGGAGATGGCGCATCAACGACCAACAGTGCTAATCCACTGGAAAACTTGGAAGAACTGATGGAATATTTCATCGGTGACGGTTGGGATGATTCAGATGGAGTTCCCAGTCGAAGTGAGATATCACCCTTGTATAAACTCTTCTTGACCAGACTTCTGTCATCACAAGATATGAGTCCTCACGAAACATTCCGACATCCCGTGGGAGCCGTTATTGCGATCAGCTCTTCCACACAACAACCAATCGAAACCCTTCGAACTCTATATCAACAAACCGCCCAAGGGTCAAGAGCCCTGCCATTGTATGCCAACCCGGAATATCTACGTTACTACGTATTGGTGCATGATGAAGACAAGGACGACTTCAGCAAATCATCAGCACTATTTGATCAGATGAAGCGACATTTCGGACTTCACTGTCATCTTCTTAGATTGAGATCTGCACCCTGCACCAAGTCGGATGACGACTCGGAGGAATTACCGACGAGTGAATGGTTGTCAGCATCGGAACAGATCACTTTCATCCACGACACTGTGGATCTGATAGATCTGAACGTCTCTGCCTCACCCTATATTTTTTCCTCAGACGTTTCGGCAATCAGTGGGTTTATCCGGGAGCTTGTAGCACAATCAATTGTGTATCACATGGAACAAAGAATTGCACTATGGAACGATCAGATAGCTTCTCGTCGGCGAGGTATTTCCGGTCGGTTCATGTCACTCTCCAAGAGATGGACAGGCATAGGAAGTTCATCTCGACAGTCATCACCCGGTCTAAATACGTCCGGAGCGAGCGGCAACTACGACAGCCTTCAAGGAGTCTATCGATATGATACGCCAGAAAGTCTACTGCGGAAGCTGGCAGATTATGCATTTATGTTACGCGATTACAAACTTGCTGCATCGACATATGAGCTTCTTAGAACCGATTATGCCAATGACAAGGCATGGAAGCATCTAGCAGGAGCCAATGAAATGTGTTGTATCTCCACACTACTAAATCCTTTGATTGGAACGGGAAGCACCAAGTTCAAGATTGAAAACTTTGACCAAATGTTGGAGATTGCCACCTACTCATATGCAACACGTTGCTCAAATCCCTCACTGGCACTCCGATCAATACTCCTCGGCGTTGAACTCTTGAAAGTGAGAGGTCGAACAGCGACTGAGTTGGCTGCAAAGTGGGCAATCCGATCTTTTGAATTGGGACTGGTTGGAAGTATTGGTCGAGTACTAGTCAGCGAACGGGTGACATCTTGCTTTGCTGACCGAATCGGGGTTGGCAATACAAGTTGGGGCACACGCAAACGCAAAGCAGCACTTTGGAGTATTATGACAGCCGACGAATGGATGAAACTAGGACGTGCAGAATTCGCTTCGGAGCGCCTTGAAGAAGCTCAAGAATTATATGGTGAAGCGAAGAACAGCGATGCAATCCAAGATTATGGAGCCTTGGCAGAATATCTGACCCAACTTCGACTGGCTGTCCGAATGAAACTAGGACAAGCGAGACGGAGGACATTGAGTGGAGCAGTCGGGCCAGGAGAAGATGAAGTTGAAGATGAGACCATCGAGCAAATGGCCACTCTGGAGAAGCTCGATAGCAAGGTGCATCGAAGGACAGGAAGCCTAATGACTGGGGTCAGTGGAGCGGATGTTGTACCATTAAGTCCCGTGCGAATGACACGACCGGATCCTTTGTTTAGAGAGGACGATGATTTTGAATGAATATAGGTTTCTGAAGGTGGTCAATTTTATCTTTCTGTGAGACAGTATATATAGAATTTATCTGTTTCTTGACGAAACTTTACCAGACTTGCTATTGCTTCGAGATACGTTTGCTGCTGCCCCGACGCAAGGCCGAAAGAGCGACGAGGCTGTCCTTCACGTGACCACTTTACGCGAATGACCTCAAACAAAACGCGCTAGGGGATGATTCTTTCTTGGCGCGATGTGGCGCGAGATTCGGCGACTGCCTCTTCGTGCAAAGTCGAGTGCCTGTGTTTGTGCCTCAGCCTGCGGATGAAGTCGATGCTCCGTTGCACCGGGAATACTACTGGTTTCAATATTCCTGTCATCCATTTAATTAAGAACATCCCGTCATGCCAGAACCAATTGATATCACCGACAGCACCGATTGGCTCCCAACACCACTCAACCCTCTTGCGCAACTCGAATCGTCCCTTCGATGTCAAGTATGCAAGGACTTCTTCACAACACCAATGATGACCAGCTGCTCTCATACGTTCTGCAGTCTGTGTATACGAAGATACCTATCTCAAGAAGGAAAATGTCCCGCTTGCCGAGAATCAGATCAAGAAATCAAACTGCGGCGGAACTGGGTGGTTGAAGAACTCGTCACCAATTTCAAGACCTCGAGGCCGGGTCTGCTAGAATTCGCCCAAAAAGCTGCTCGATCTCAGACAGATGATCAGGGCGAGATAGAAAGACCGTTGAAGAGGCGGAAAGTTGAGCAACCTACAACCAATGGAACAGAAAGACGGAGCACCAGGAGTCAGAGCAAGAGGACGTTAACACCAAATGAACAGGATGGTAGCGGGTCTATTCCGGAGGTCATTGCCGACAGCGAAGAAGAAGGCAGTGAGTATGACGACGCAGCTGTGGGTAGTGTTGGTAGTCCGCCATCACATCCCTCTGCGAAAGAACCTAACGATGGTCGAGTCGCCTGTCCATGTTGCCACCGACGAATGAAAGAATCACTGATAAATTCACATCTGGACAAATGTATTGCAGGCGAAAGTTCGACACCCATCGAGGAGAAATCCAACCCTGCACTCCAATTGGCAACACCAGGAAGCATAGCATATAGTCTGCCAAAGCCATCCTCGAATCAGCAAGCTCGTCTTCCCTTTCTCAACTACTCTCTCCTAAATGACGCTGCACTTCGTAAGAAATTGCGAGAGCTTGGGATCCCCAATGGGGGTACCCAAACACACATGCGCCGACGTCATATGGAATGGGTCAATTTATGGAATGCAAACTGCGACTCTACGAGTCCTGTAGCAAAGCAACAGCTCTTGAAGTACTTGAAAAACTGGGAAGATAGCTTGACCAAACAGGCCGATCGAGGATTGGTGCCATCATCAGGATTCATGGCCAAGGATTTTGATCGCGAGGGGCATCTGAAGAAACAAAAAGATAATTTCAATGATCTGATCCGTCAGGCAAGGCAGAAGCGGCTGGTCCAGAAACAAGCTCAATCCCACAAAGTGGAAAATGACGCCGATGATGAAAATGGGGGATCGCCCTCTAATGCTCAAGTGGTGAACTCTTATCATCATGAAGACACGCGACAACAGAACGCACTGGACATAACCACTTCCCAGCCCATGCATTCTCCATATGACCTCAAGCCACCACCTTTAGCCGGCAAGCTTCCACAACACGCGGCATCCTCAAACATTTCAACCCAGAATCATCATTTTTCAGTAGATGAACTGCCAAATCATGATGGTCTATCCATTCAACCCCCGGCAGCACCTGAGTGGCAGCGAGAGCGTGACGATGTATAGTATTGATGTTGCTATTAGCTGGGCGATTCAATGACCTATCAAGTGCTCATATCCACGCTGGCCATGTGGCTGTCAACAGATACATAGATATGGAAGAAGCAGAGTGCTCCGCATGAAGAGAATATATTACTACCATACACTCCTCCATTTCAAGAACGCTTCTGACAATAGCTACATCTGACGCGATCATGCTATGCTGATTTATCTAATCATCTAGCCTAGCTTCATGTCATTTATGATCCGTGTCCGATGCCTAAAGCGACGAAAAAGGATTAATGTTCCCGAATACCCATACATGTAACGCTAAAGAGGAGACCACAGATATATTTCGGTCATCTCTCGAGCGAGCGAGCGAGCAAGCTCTCTCTAGCGTCGAAGGTGTAGTACAAACAGAGTGCGGTCCGAAGTGGTCTCTTCGTTCAGTCGATATCACATTGCATCTATCGATCGGCCTGGTATTGCCACTGCCACTGCCACTGGCGTGCCATTCCCTCTGTGCTTTAGGTGAGAATGCGTCGGGATGGACGGCCACAGGTACCAGCACTGGCACAGCACAGTATTGCACCGCATGCTGGGTGCACGCAGGAGAGTCAGTCGACAATCTAGGGAAAGCCCATGTGTATGTGTTGTCTAGGTATTTGCGCGAATTTTCGATGTGCTACCGTATAGGCGTGTTGCATCGTCCTCATGAATGATCACTCGTCACATCATTGTTGATCGAGTGCCACAGAGCAGGCCAGATTAGCGAAGGTGTGAAGGTGTGGACTCGGAGTCGGTACTGTGGCTCATGCACCTCGTCAGCAGTGAGATCCACAACTTGCTCTGAGCATGTGGATCGTAGCATCGTGTTGTATCGCAGAATCAACCTCGACAAGAATGTATGTAAGTCGGGCGGGTCCGGTATCCACCGTTCCGCACGCAGACAGGGACTCATCTCATGCTTCGACACTTTCTCATTCAAGGAAGCCAGTGGACTTCTGCTGCCCTTCCAGTGATGCTGCAGGTTTATTTCGTGTGCTGAAAATCGGAGATCTAGTGGGTCACGCTTCCACCATCTTGCTGTCGGTCTCTTTTTGAGCTTGCTGTTGCTGTGGTTGTTGAGACTTTGGCTTCTCTTTTTGGCTCTGAGCGTATAAGTCCAGAGCTTTTAATCTCTCCATGCTTGATGACAGGTCTTTCTCAAAGTCGTCGTTCTCATGTTGAGCTGGTTTATCCGTGTTGCTGAGAAGAAGTTGCGAGTTCATGTTGTTTTCCTTCGATCTCTCCATTTCTATCGCCTTCGCCTTCTCCTTCTCCCTTTCTATTGTCTCCAACTCTGCCAGCCGCCGCCTCGTCTCCTCCGCCTGCACCTTCTGAACCTCCTCGCGTTCCAGACCCTCCAACTCATCATCAAGCTCCCCTTCATCCAGCACAGCCTTGGCGTCCAACGGCTCATTCAGCACGCCGGTGACTTCGTCAACTTTGCCCATCTCCGCCGTCAATTGGTCGATCACGTCCGCCACCCTATCAACGCTACCGACCTGCTTGTTCAATCCCTTTAACACCCCCGCACTCGCTTCCATTGCTTGCACTACTTGCACGTGATCGACTGCTGCTTCGATCTGCGTGTACACTTCCTCGAGTTGATGGAGGGTTGCGGAGCGAGATGTCAGGTTCCGCTCAGCGAGTTGTTTAGAACGCAGGGCCGAAAGGGCAGTGACTTTGTTGTGTTGCTTCACGGCATCGCGCGCGGTTGTTTGTAGGGTCGTGATACGGGCGTTGAGGGTGTCGACCTGGGTGGTAAGATTCTTGATTAGTAGTTTTAGAGACGCAATATGTCGGTCTTCTTGTGTAATGGGGTCGGGTTGCTGAGTGGTGGATGCATTTGGGGCTTTGAATTTGATCGTGTCGGCGTCGTAGCTGAGGACTTGTTTGTCGAGGGAGAGGTAGCGGAGCAAGACTATGATATCCTGGTCTGATAGTTGTTGTTCTGATGTCGTGGCGTTCACTTCTTGGACAAATGCTTCGCGACTGAGAATTCTGTCCGTTAGGCCCTGTGGCCGTTTATCTCTGACCTGCTGCAATTGCTTCCACCTCTCTTCCAGCGCGGCAACGACCACTAGATTTCCACTTCGTAGCCTGCCTCCAGCCAGATCGTATTTTGCAGGTCCCCCGACACCGACCTGGCTCAGTCCCCATTTCAATACAGCCCACGGGCTGGGAATCCAGGATTTACTGAAGATGCTTGTGCGGCCATCGGCCATGAAGTCTTTCAGATCCACCATCTTGCCCTGCCGTACACACTCGTCCAACACGCTGCCGAGACCGCTCGGCTGGCCATAGGTTGGGGACGCAAGCGCTGAGAGCAGGTCGTTGGACGTGTTAAGGATGAAGGAGTGTTGCTCGGGCGGGAGTTGAGCGGCCAGAGTGAGACGTGTCAGAGCGCTTGTCCATGCTGTTACATTGGCAGCGTAGCCTTCGGGATTGGTGGTGCGTTGTACAGTCAGGTCGGAGTAGAGGGAGGGAAGGCGGGTTCTGGAAAAGTCAAGTTAGTTGGCCGGGCGGGCGATGGGAGGTGTTGATTTGGTGGCTTACTTGCGGAATGAAGGCTCGTGTTCAACGAGCCAGTCAAGAAGGGAGGACATGGCTGTCTCCAGCAGTATACAAACAGCCGCAAAGTCGCGTAGAAAAAGGAAGTACGAGGTGGGTGGGATTGATGAGTTGAACTGGGAGTTGGTTTATTTACGTCAGAGGGGATGATGGACGAGGCTGAGAAATGACGGACAAGGCTGAGATGTTTATCCGGTTGGGGATTCTAGACATGGTCTTTTGTTTATGATCCTGCAGTGACCTCTTTGCTTTCAACAACAGAACACCGTGACTCTGGAACTCAATAATAGAGATTGAACACCTGACTCCTTGATCATCATGGTAAGCAGACCATCAGTTTTCACATCCTAATCAAATGACCACTGACAACACCGTCCTCTCATCCCAGTCCCGCGATTCCTCCGCCACACACCTCCACCTCGCCTCGTCACGATACGCCGACCTCTTCGAAGAGTTCTGCCGACCACCTTCCAGCGGCAGGATCTCCGGAGACGTCTACCCCTCGTCCATCAATGGCAAAAACCCCCAACAAAACAACAACCCCCCTGGCCCCCTCCACGACGGCAGCAACATGACGATCCTCCCGGGCTCATTCCTCCCATTTGAAGAAATCCACCTCCCTCCACATCTCATGCCACTGAACCCAGAAGACGAAGACGGGGTTGTGCCGGACATGCACGCTGCTTTTGGCATCACCCGGGCACTTGGAGGTGGGGCGAGCGTCGGGATGCCGGCGGGGAATGGGAGTGTAGTTGGTGCGGCTGTTGTAGGAGCAGAGGGAAGTGGAAGTGCTGGTGGGGGGGCTGCAGGTGGAGAGTCCAGTCTAGCGGGTGTGCAGCGTGAGCCGGCGTGGAGGGACTTAGGCCTGGGTGGGTTGATGGCTGACGGGGTGGAAGGGGGACGGAGGGGAAATGGTGGTGGTAATGCTGGAACGAGGAGGGAGGGGAGGAGGACGGGGTTGTTGTTCTTGAGGTGATGCGGAAAAGAACGACGTGATGGGTGAATGCTGGATTACGATGCAATGAGGCAAGACGAAAGAATGATATCAAGATCATGACATTATTATCACACACCACTTCGACGAGGCAGGTACAGGAACTATACAATCATCCTGAATCACACCCTCATATCTTCTGGGGGCTTCTCGATGTCATGGTCGACCGACATATACTTCGTTTCAAATCCTCAACAAATCATTCACTTCACCTTATATCCGTACAACATCTACCCTGGCACGATCAAACACATTGTGGGTAATGGTCTTGGACGCCTTCTCCTCCTCAGCCACCGTTTGAGGATGTAGCGACACCTGAGAATACGTCCCCGCCGCTTTTCGCTTGGACAACTGGCCTGGGTTGATCACCATGACGCTGTCAACGACCTACAACACCAACAGTCAGTGCACGATACTAGAACAAGGGCAACAACCGAACTTACCTTGACAGACGGAGTCAACATGCTGGGCAGAACCAGGATATCAGGCTTGACCTGCAACCACTCCCCGAGCTTCAAGTACCCCAGGTCCAGACACGCACCCGTGGGTTTCACCACACCATTCCCCGTCAATTTATCGCGCGACATGGGCGGGTACAGTGGGAAGAAATGTCTTTGCTCAATAAGATATCCAGGTAGTCTCGTCAAAAGATCTGACGCAGCACCTTGTGACAATTGTTCACGACTGAGTTCGTACAAAATGTCCTGTGAGGAAATTCCGAAGACAACTTCGTTCAGTGATATGAAGCATGGGTTCGGGAGCATGCTGACTTGTTTGGGGAGGGCGAGATTCGCTTTAGCCAGTCGTTCTTGTGGCCAGCTGACGTGTTTGCTGATGGCGTCCCGCACGCTGGGCACTAGGAGGACGGTGATGCTGGGGACTGCCGAGGTGAGTCGTTGCAAGGGTGCTGAGATCCACTGTTTGAAAAGGGATATCATGCTTGCTTCCTGATCTTGACCGCGTGCTGTGAGTGGGAGTTCGAATTCCCCGGCTGCGATCATGGGGTGTTCGATGTCAATGAATGGTCCGGATAAGATCAACGCATCGGCCATCGTTTCTTCGGCTTTCTCACATATCGCCTTGAATGGCTCATAGTCAAGATTGTCTTCGGCGGTGAAAGGTCCAGATGAGATCATGATATTCAGTGGTGGAGAAGAAGATCCCTCTGACGCGTCCAGTCGTTCGTTCAATGCCTCAATCGCTTGCGGTGTCGATGAAGGCATATGCAGTCGAGGGACGGTAAGCACTTCCTTGACCGAAAAGTAAAGTCCCGAAGCGTTCGTCCCTCTTAGTGCCACGATCTGACCTGGGAAGAATTGATAGGAAGGAAGAGCATCAAGCTTCAATGGAATTCGAATTCCCGCCCCAATCTTCCTCGACATCTCCAACACCACCGAAGCAGCATTCAACTTGGCTTCCGCCGTGTCTGAAGCAATTCTTCCCACCGCGATAATCTCACTCGTACTTTGAGCGGCGGCATTTCCAAACGCGGCATCTTCCAGAGAATGGAAATTTTGTATCAAGTTTGAAAAGTCGTCAATTCGTTCGTCCAGGGCTTCTGATGAGTCGGAGAGGCGCATTGACATGGGCTTGTAGGCAAATTTCTTCCAATCTGTATTGGCCATTAACTTGATGCGAGCTTCGGAGAATGGGGCGATGGGTGCTTCTGCAGCTGCGAGTTGATCGTTGAGTGTTTCGACGATCTGGCCAGCATTCGGTCTTTGCGAGAATGGCATGCCGCTAGGAGCAGTGTCAGTCATGTCGGCTTTCATAGATGTTCATTCAACCTTACGTAGGCCCATCAGTCTTGCCCGCAGTCTTACTGGGGGTCTTGCCCGTGTCTGGACGATTAATCTTTTTAGGCATGGGAGAGTCGAAATCTGCTTTCCGCTTTATACTTCCATTTCTTCGTGGGAGTGCATTGGGGGTCAATTCGTCAAGCCTGTTGATCTCATTAGTTGTCTGATACATTGGCCACCCTCAATCTTCCCATCTGGCGACATACATTCCAAAAACATCTCCATTGCCCACCGTCCGAGGTGTAGCATGTACTGCACTCTTCCGCTCCGACCCAGGCGCTCGACCACCCGTATGTTTCTGGTTTCGGTCTTGTAAACCCCTTTCAACCGCATCTTGAACGTCCTTGGCAAACATTCGGGCTGTAGGGAGGTCGAGTTTCGTCTCTTCCGAGCCCATCTTTAGAGAGTAGACCTCCCATTTGATGAAGAGTTCGTCGGGTGTAATGGAGTGTAGGCGTAGGATGGATTCGAGAATCTCGAGCACGTCGGGCCCGAGACCTTGCCCTGCTGGGTCGAATACCGAGTTGAGATTTTCTTTCATTGCCGTCATGATGTTCTATATGTTGGAGGTTCTTCTGATGTTGTTTGGTCGATTATTGTGAATGACACTTCTCTGGGATATTTTGTGAGGGAGACGCGGGGCGACGCGTCGAGCGCGCCGCGCTAATCCATATATGGCTAAAGTGGAATATCGGCCAACAAACACTTCCGAACACCATTGCCTTTGGCTACCGCTCGAGTGATACCATTCGACATTAGAGAAGGAAGCCATCTTGACGGATTTTGGATTGTCCGTGATGGTTCCAAGGCTCCTACCACATGCACGTCGACGGTGCCGCCGCCCGAACTCATTCGTTGCCACCTTTTGCAGCGTACATCAATCCTTATTTCTAGCAAAACAACCGCTTTCAGAAGCACGGTACACGTTACAAATATCGGGTTCTCCCTGCGGGATAGACCGTATCAATGTGAAGCACTCTCCAAAATGCTAACAGAGGATCTTGTTTCCCGTTCAGCGAGGAAAACTGCCTAATTAGGGACCTGTCTGGGTTTCTACCACCCAGCAAAGGTTTTATTCATGTGAATACGGCCATTGATGGCGTGAGTCACCCAACTAATATTGGGTGGGGCCCAGAAGGTTGGTTCTCTTACTCAGTATGAGAAATCCCTGATCCAAGCACTCAGCAGGGATTTTATCAGCAAGCAAAGAAGTGTATTCATGTGGATACATCACACTGCACACTACAACGGTTGCGGGGCAAAGTTAAGGGAGACCTTGGTAAGGGCATCTATTTATCTTTCCTCATGCCATCTGCGACCACCACTACCTAAATCGGGTGGCTTTGGTGTTTTTCATGACCCAGTCAAAGTGGAAATGTTTTATTTTGTACGAACCGACGGCCAAACTCCGTCACAAGTCGATAAATCATCAAGACGCTATCTAGAACAAGTTCAAGAAAGCGAGCAGCACAACAAACAAGCTACCAGTGCTTGCGTCTACAACTGAGGCAGCGTTGGAACCAGATGCTGAAGCAGCAGAACCCGTGGCAGATGCAGTTCCCGAGCCTGAGCCAGAAGTCGCTGCAGCCGAACCAGAACCAGTTGTGGTTGCTGATGCAGTGATGGCTGGGCCCGGACCTTCAGTAATCATCTGGCCATTTCCACCAGGGAAAGTGCCTCCAGCAGCTGCGGAAAAGTCCTGTGGCACGCCGGTCATGTTGCTTGCGAAGAAATACTGAGCTGCTGCGGGGACTTGTCCCAGGTTTGACTCGTCGAGGAAGGCGGTCAGGTTGAACATTGCGCGGTTTGTGGCGTTGAACGATTCGAATGCGGCCGGAAAGGTGAAGTTGTCGTGCTGCTGGAAGGCGTAGAAGATATATCGATGTGCAGAAGAGTTTGTTGGTGGGCCGGGACCACGATAGGGAACTCGTGCAGCAGTATTGTTGATCAGCGGACTCGTTCCATCTGCGCCGACGGGACCAGCTGTCACATTGGTTTGAAGCCAGTGAAGGATGAATCTGAGCGTAGGATTCTCCGGAAATCTAGCATCGGGATCGACCATGAGCAGGACATAAGAGCCATTATAAGACGAAATTGATTCGTAGTTCGCCGTCTCAACGGCGACAATCGGCTCTTCATCGGCAACTGGAGAGTGTAAGTAAATGCTTCAATATGCGATTTTTGTAACTCATACTGCCAACGCCAAACAAGTCGGCCTCCTGTACAACAATGGTATTGCCATTATCCCGATACGTGATTGAGAGCTCCGTATGATTAGGAGCCTCAGGAAAACCAAAATCAGGAGGAGGAATGGCCAGGACTGGCACAATGGCGACAAGGCCAAGCAATATGGAAGTGTTCTTCATCTTGCCTTCTGCCTTGGTCTGTAGCTGAAGAATAGATGAAGGAGGATGCCAAAGATTATGGGTGCTGACTTGTTATTATTGTTGATCAGATCGGAACCAAAACAACAGACATAGGCTATTTGGAATCGGAGCTCGAGGACGTCATCAGAGTATACCAAGCCATCCAAGCCCGCCGAAATGGTCCAGATGAAACTGTGATGCAGCCGATTCGCTTGCCCGGATAACCTTCTGGAGGGTTCCAGTTGGAGTCCGCGATCTGTTTGTACGGACATGGGGCTGCATGAACACACCCCAATCGTGCTGTTACTGTAAGATGGACACGCATACCGTTTGGGGTCTGACTTGGCAATAGAATGAAGCAATGATGGACCCACGTGTAGCTCGGTCAACTGTTCATTCGTGATATCTCTCCACAATTGCTCAGAGACGTCCATGATGCGATGAAGACCAACTCCGTACCAAGAATACAAGACAGTGATTTTGTATGGAGATCCAAAGAGCCAAGAATGGCTTCCACTTGGCAAGAACATCTTGACCTTTACCCCGCGTGCTTATGAGGTTATGTACCATCATTCAAGTTTCCGCTTTAGTTTGGCTGCACATACCCGGGGGCAGTGCAAATGAAAAGGAACTGGTGTGGTCCACCCTGTGGAAACGACGGATTCATGAATACCAGAATGCTGCCATACACCGTGCGCGCGGCTTTCCTATCGTTGCCTCGGCAATAGCCCTGCATCTGCTCTTGGTCATTCATATCTGCATTGTCTTTGGAGCATTGTGTGTAATTCGAGTTGCACTCAGGTCGCTTGACCAAGTATGGGAGGCGAACGCCCAATCGCGCTTGTGGTGCAGGAGACCTATAGGGCCGATGTGGGTCTCTCATCCTCAGCGAACCATGAAGTCGAGAAACTTATGAAGAAACATAAAATGGCAAACAAAATACTTGGCTTACGGAGAATGCAAGATCGTACGCTGCGAATCGAACCGAAGGCAAGTGATGGAAAGGATGCAGAAGAGATCGAGTTGCTTTCACAGCGGAAAAGCGGTCGAGAAGAGTGTCAAACCTACAGCATCTCAGCCGTCTAAGTTTAATTCGATAAGAGTTCTAATTCCAGTATGAATATTCAAAGAGAAACTTGCGTCTTGTCTCACGGTGCAGCCGTAAGCATCGAATGCAAGATGCAAATGTACAGGGCGGCCGCCTGTTCGTAAAACACCCAAATCTGAATATTCAAGCTTAGGAAGCCCCCAGGAATTCTATAATTGCTTCGTAGACTCCCTGCGGATTATCCTCATGCATCAGATGACCAGCGTCCTGAATCTTGACCTCCGTTTTCTTCTTCGCTCCGCACAACCTCAGCATCTCAGCACAGATACACTGCTGGAAATAGGGACCATCCGCACCGGTGAGAAGCAGAGTCGGAATGGCGATCTTCTTCGCGTCCTCCGGCGTATAGTTCGGGAGCTCATTGTAGCGCATGAAGTGACACAGCCAAAGCGAGTTGTCCTCGGTCCATTTGTTTCTTTCAGCATCTGCCAATGCTCGAGGCCAATATTTGGGCCCCAAGCAACCGCTTCCAAAAGTGGACAGTGCGTCCTCATACTTTCCTTGTTTCGAAAGTTCAATTGCAGGCGCAATTGTTGTACCGCCGTAAATCATGACGGGCAAGAACGATATCGGATGCGAGATGAGGAACTTCAAAACAGACAGCGCAGAAGGCGGTAAGGATGGAAGGAATAGCGTGATGAGCGGTGGCTCCTCCAGTAACAGTGTTTGGAACAAATGCGGCTTCGTTCTTGCTAGATACAGAATCGCGGTCGCACCTGACGAGTTCCCTAATGCGTGGACGGGACCAATGTCTAGAGTCTCGATGAATCCAGCAAGGTCGAGCGAGTCTTGTTCCCATGATTGGCCTTCACCATCTTTTATTTTCTCATTGGGCCATGCAAATCGCCTGCTGTAGCTGTAAACGTGAAATTTGGTGCGTAATTTGGCTTCTAATTGTGTCCAAGTGCGAAAGTCGGAAATATGGCCGTGGACGAGGACCAGTGGCTCGCCCACACCAGACTCACGATAGGCGAGAGTGGTTCCATTGATTTCAACGTGTTTGACATCCGCGGGAGATGCTTCACCTGTGATTTTTGCCATATTGTAAAAATGCGACAAGAAAGAGGTGGTCGCATTGACTTGGAACTGCCGTTGATGGCAGAAACTTGAGGATGTCCCATGGATATCATTGAATCTAGCCACTCTCACAAGCTCTTTCAGCTGAGGCACTCAGTCTAGTGAAACCTTGAAATCCGGGGTGTCTGATAAAGATAGTATAATCATGCCCCATGCACGCTAACACTTGCCACAAAACCCCGCCGGACATCGGCCGCCCTGCCTGGCTTATGTCGACGACTCCTGGAGATTTTCAGTCTTTTCCACGTACCACCATGTTCAATGGCTTGAATCGACTACGCGTTCCAAGCTAATATTAGACGCCTCGTATTCCATGCTGACAGTGTAGCACAATGTGTAGTTGGAGAGAGGCATCCAAGACTTTTGCCAAGTTGAGGGCTAAGTCACTCTCCTTTCGGATGTGACCATGGCCAAGCTCTGAGTTGAGTTTTCCGAAGACGAAGATCTCCTTACTAGTTCGACTCAGTAGATTGCTCTGCATCCATTTATCTTGGACATCTTGTCAGGTCGCAATCACTCAATACCACTCCGGGTCCTTTGTCGACCAACTTGTCTCGCTAGAGTCCCGCGTGCTCGTCCTCTCTGCTGTGCTTATCATAGATGGGCGTCGTTTGTAATAAAAGGAGCTACTAGCGACCATTAGCATGCAAACTAGCTCGATTAGAGCATCATGCTATAGCAGCGCATGGCTAGTCTAGAAGTGGGGGATTCAGAAATCTTGGCGAAACTCTAAAAATTATTTTTGTTCGCTCTCCAATACCGTCGAGGTCGCAGTTTGAAGCACGAAGGATCCAACCACCACCACGCCCTCATACAATTCCTCTGAATTTCTCGTATCACCAGATCGCCAGAATGCCATCTTCAAAACGCAATCGTGTCATCCCGACGTCCAAGACACGCAAGAACCGAAAGGATCTCGTCCGTCGACTAGCCGCAAATGTGCAAGAAGCCGCCGAAAAGTACTCCTACATTTGGGTTTTTGACGTTCAGAACACTCGCAACAACTTCTTGAAAGAAGTCAGAACAGAATTTGATGACTCAAGAATCATGATGGGAAAGACAAAGGTGATGCTGGTAGGCTTGGGTGCTACTCGGGAGGCCGAATGTGTTCCTGGAGTGAGTGCGTTGGGTCCATATGTGAAGGGAGACATTGGACTATTGTTCACAGACCGAGAACCAGCTGAAGTGGAGGAATACTTTACAAACTTCTCCAATGTTGATTTTGCCAGGAGCGGCACTGTCACTTCTCAAGAAATCAGAATACCTGCTGGCGAACTTCACACCCAGTACGGCGTTGATGGCGGTGAAGACGATCCACTTCCTATTCAGATTGAGCCAACTCTGCGGAAACTCGGCATACCTACACGGTTGGTGAAAGGGAAAGTAGTTCTGGAAGAGCGACCAGATGGCTCAATGGAGGACGAGGACGGCTATTTGGTCTGCAAAGAAGGAGACACACTTGACTCAAGGCAGACGTCCATCCTCAAAATCCTTGGTGTCCGCCTAGCTGAGTTTAAGATCGAGCTGAAAGCTGTTTACAGCAAGACTGATGAGACTGTGCGAGAACTTGGAGGAATGGACGTTGATGTGGCCGCGGACTGATCTGAGTAGCCCTCGTGCACAATTGGGACTACTAACTTTTGCGTACAATGTTCGAAGTCTTAACGGGGTCAATTCTAATCAACTCAGAACCACAAAGGTGCATATCCGCGCTGCACAGGAGTTTCTACGACAGACAGTGTGTGAACTACGAAGTGACGAATTGATGACCCGTTGGCGTTCCATGACTGCAATCCTATCTTGGCCAGGTATCCGGGGGGTGGAATGCACCATACACATACAAAATCGGATACTGGGCTCGACTATGACGCCGAGCACCATTTCCACGCATGTGTCAGTGATGAATAGGATTGATGATTCGGTCGTGACCATGCGGCTATCATCTGAGTCAGCAGGAACACCATCAGAGCCTCTTTCTATCCTGAAGGGCGAGTCGCGATCTTTCCACTTGTGGCCCTCGACCATGTGTTGAGCTTGCGGCTCGGGACTCGAACGTAACTCTGGACTATTTGGGGGCTTGTATTTCGGCTTTCTCTGGACGATGTGGAGGCTGGGAGTTCAAGTTGAAAGTTTTCACAAAAGAGGGGTGAGAGATCCTGTACGATCGAGACGAAAAGCCGAACAGCGATCAGCCGATCTTTCCATGTGTTACACTGGAAGAGCTCGTCTTTCCTATGAGACAGAGCATGAGTGAGGGGAGAAACATTCGTGCGGGCACCAATCACACATATTCTACTACATGTCTTCGGCCCTGTATATACCCGTGATCGCCTACCAATTTTTAAGACCATATACGGTCAGTCTTCCCACGAATTCGCAATCGTCCCAAATATCTTTCTGTTCAAGAGCTCCGTTCCACTCAGGAGAAGCCTTCCAAGGTTGTCTAGCAAGCGAAATGGTGGACCTCAAGCAAGTATGCCCCTGAAGCTGCAGCCTCATGCTTCCAAATCCAACTGTGTCTTAGATTCAACGGCAGCTCATTACCGCAAACCATATTCTCCACTACAATGGAGTTGTCGATGCATACGGACATGTTTCAGTCCGCCATCCCCTAGACAATTCAACATACCTGATGTCTGCGAACATGGCACCAGCACTAGTTAGCAATGCAACTGACCTGGTTCAATATCGCATTGAAGACAGCCAACCCGTGGATACCAATGCACCCAAAGGCTTCATTGAGCGGTATATCCATGGCGAGATGTACAAACATTACCCAGAGGTGAACTCAGTCATACACTCCCATAGTCCCGAAGTACTCCCATATGCAGTCGCTGGAGTTCCTTTACGCGCAGTCTATCATATGGCGGGCTTTCTTGGAACTGAGCCTGTGCCCCTCTATGACTTCCAAGACTCGTACAACCAAACCGAATCGCAAGATCTCTTGATTCGGTCGCCAAAGCTTGGAGCAGATCTAGCCACGACATTCCTCAAGATGGAGAACAGCACGGCGGATCCACCTATCACGAAGCCAGACTACAACGTTGTACTAATGCGCAAGCACGGTTTCACCACTTTCGGCTCCGACATCCAGGAAGCAGTGGTCAGAGCAGTATACACGCAGGCCAATGCGAAGACTCAGACTTCAGCAGCCATGATTAGAGGAGCGTTTGAAGCTCTAACGGAGCGCCAGGCACAGGCATGGGTTGGAGGGACCAACGCGACCGCCTTTGAGCCTTTGACCACTCAAGAAGCAATTGATACCGAGCCTGCGATTCGAGCAACTTCGGACAGGCCGTGGAATCTGTGGGTACGCGAGGTTGAAGTGCAGCCTTTGTACAGGAACAATGGGTAGATATCACATGTTTGCTGCCAGCCGCCTACGACTTACACCAAAGCGGCCAATTCTGCCGAGCCCTCACCCTCGCGTCGTGGATAAATAGGGAGAATCCCTCCTCGCTGCTTTCACCGGAGTGCACGTTCTCAAACTATCCCAGCGCCCGTCGCCCTTCCACTCTCAGCTTCGCCTGACCGTCCGACACAAAAGTTGGCCCTCCTGTGGTCATCAATCATCGGAGAGAATGACTCAAACTTACTCAAGTCCGACTAACCCCTTCCCACGAATTCCTGCTGCCGCCTCCGCTCGCTACCCCCCGATCTCTCTACGCTAGCCTTTTTGATGCCCTGGCCTCTATGCTCATGACCATCATTGCTGGATCTATACGGCCAGTTTCGAGCCACGACCGAATGCAATGTTCACTCTCGTCAGCGAACTCAACATGGAGGACAGTTTCGACAACGTCGCATGGCCGTGCTTCCAACACACTCTACCGTGGGTCGAGAGGGGGCCTGATCTTCGATACAAGCTAATGGCAGAAATACCTCAGCAGGTGGCTGCATGCGGATGATACAGTGGGCTGAGACGCACAACCATTGACCCGCCACGGCGGTATACGCGCCGCACGAACACCGAAGAGCGACCCGGCATCCCTGATGGCATTAGCTGCGAAATCGCCGCCAAGCTGAAATTCTGCCTCGCTATTAGCGATCACAACGTTTTGGGTTTGCGCGACATGGGGGAAAGGGCGGGCTTTCTTTCACAAGAGTGCAAAAGTCGTGGAAAGTGGTGGAGTACGTGCACAATGGGCATCGAGCGATGGCAATGACTTTCTCCTCACGGCGAGGATCCTATACTCGCGGGCACGGCCTCAATACGCCTTCGAGCGGAATTGTGAAAACACATTCACGTTAGGCTAACAGATGGTCGAGATGATGTAAATGTTGAAAAGTAGGGTAACGGATATATCTGAGCACACTGGACGGAGAAGGGAGACCTCACACCAATCGTTGAGACATTCTCCGGGACAACTTTATACCCAGGCCGCAGCTTATGATAGAGCAGCGCACACGCGGAAGCCAGCGAATGCGGGAGAGACCTGAGTGCGAGAAATTGGATGAGCGTAAAGACGGAAAGACAGATATTAGCTCTTCGGTCAGATACATTTTATATGCGCAAAAGCAAGTCTGGCAAAAGAAGACCAAACGATAGCTGGAGGACCGACTACATACATGTAACGTATTATTCTCGTATGAATAAGCTACCAAATAACCAAGTTAGATATCAACCATCAACTTCAAGGGAGATTCCCCTGACCAATCTTCACGATCACCTCAATAGCATCACTACTTCATGTTTCTCCCAGCCTTGCTGTTTCTTTTAGGCACACACTCATCGCCAACAACATGCACCAAGACCCTGTTCTCCCTACCCACCAAGCTGCCTCTATACCCCCTACTCCAGTCATAGCCCACCGCATACGCGAAGAGACCTCCGTCACCATTAAATCCAGTCGCCGTGATGGCCGCCTGTCCCGCTACACCTGTGCTCACATTACCTGGCTTCTGTCCGCTTCCTCCACTGCCAAAACTCGTCGTCTGTCGATCCGTTGCGGCACCAGCCATACTCGACGATGCACTCGTCGCAGCTACGTGCGGGAAATGTTTGAGCCGCAAATGGGCCGCTTGGTCCCAGAATGCAAAACTTCCGTCAGAACCCGCTGTGCTGAACGTACGGTGGAGCGGGTGGAAGCTGATGGCGTTGACCGCGTAGACGTCAGTGCTGGACATCTGGGGGTGGCTGCTGAGGAGACTTCTCTGGCTGGTGCTGGCGCTGGTACTGGCGCTGGCAGGCGTGTCAAACCGGTGACACCTGAAGCTGAAATTCTCGCTAAAAGAGGGTGATTATCAGACCGCGAAATCCCAGCGAGAGTATCGTCTGCGATCATCCCGGGGGCTATGCTAGGACAAGCCCTCCCAGCAGACACAAAGACATAGGATAAACTAGAACATGGACTCGAACCTCGCCCTCTCCGGATTAAGATACACGAACGCGCAACGGCCCTCGATCCCACCCACGGCGTAGCCATCGCCCGTGGGAAAACAGCTCACGACACGGATCTGCTTGTGTAGCGCCGTTTTCGTGGTCGTCCTGCATACAGTAGGGTTGTTCAAGTCAACCACATGAACTTTCCCCTCGGACGTCGCTGCAGCAAGCAACATGCCGGCCGAGTCCATGGAGAAAACCCTTCCCTCGCAGTTCAGCGATGCGAGGGGCATATTCTGCCGCACGTCCCAGAACTTGATGGTCTCGTCCCAGGAGCCGGTAGCGAGTATGGGTTCATTAGATCCGGGAACAGTCACGAACCGCACGCTCTTGATAGGCGCCGCGTGCGCCGCGACTTGGATAGGAAGTGATCCGTGCGCGTTCAGGTCCAGGAGAAAGGCCTTATGGTCGGTACTTCCGGTGACGACGTGAGTTCCGTCCTAAAGAGTCGTCGTATTAAACCGTGCGTCTTGAAGCTATTCCGAGGGTCCAGAGAGGGAAGGAGTAATATCGTGGGATCCAGAGTGGATGCTGTACTATACCTTAGACCAGTCGCAGGAGAGGAGCGGCGCGGACAAAGCGTGGGTGAACAGGAGGTTGCCAGAGTGAGGGGAGCCGGAGGATTGGGTAATTTCGTAGACTCGAAGAATGTTGTCCCAGGCTGAAATCGTGAGATGGTTTGACATGGGAGACCAGCGGAGTTCTGAAACGCTGTCGTTCGGTCCGGGAGCGAGCAGTACGTCTGCTGATAGGGATCCAAGGTTCGTCATTGTCGTGATGTTCGTGCACTTAGAGAGTCGTACTTCGGTTGGTGTGAGACTGAATGAGGGTCTACTCGGGTTGAATGTCGGCGTAGCAGTACACGATCTCGCGCGGCTGCACAGGAGGTTATTTTATATCCGGATTGGCTATTTGACGCCTCGGAAACAAGTGGACAGAGATTCGTAAGATTGAGCCAGTCGACATCCCGGACTTTCCGTACATTGGGCCGAGGCTTTTCATCGCAGGGTAGCACCTCTGTCACGACGAGGGGGACCCGAGATGAGCTCGTAGGGGTGCAGCCTGTCCGCACTACAACACCACCGTTACAGTACATACCCCAGGTGCTGTTGGCGAGGAAGGATCCTACGGAGAATAGCTTAAATCCCGCCCAAACTCCGTACGGTGCTTTCCCACATGCATGAAGCTGAAGTGGGGAACCTCACGCGGATTCTACAAGGTTTGTACCACTATACTCAGCGGTGAACCTGGACCTCTCCAAAGTCTATTTCTGTATCTAGACATGAGTCTCGCCAATTGGCATGAGTCATGACTAAGCCGTTCTTAAGCCGTGGCTATGCAGTCTTGAGCCTAGCTTGGCAGGCCCCGAGGTTTGCCTGAGAAGGATGAGGATAGGTTTAAGCAAATGTGTAGTAGCCCTAGATTCTAGCCCCTAGGGTCCATATCAACCCAAGACCCTCTACTCGAATATTGTTACTAGGAGTACTTCTTATAGCCACTTCTCGTCTTGACAATAAAAGAGCATATTCTGGACTTTAACAATCTATCCCATGAGCCGTTAGCATGTGACCTTTTATTTCTTGGCGTGACCCCAACCAAATCGCGTCCTGTAAATGAATGTCAACAAATGCTTCAAAGATGGCTCAACCAACGCGTTTTGGTAGGATTCCTACCAAAAAAATACCATGGGAAGAACGAGAATCCATCACTCTTTATCCTCATGTCAAAAAAAACCGAAAAAAAGGACGTGGTTATACTAGAAAAACGCGTCGCAAGTCCAAATGCTCCACCAATTATTCATAAATTAGTACATGAACCGCTAGCGTTATTTACTCCACCAATTCTACTCGAGGAGAGTCTATTTATACCTTATTGGATAGAGCGTAAGCTATTGCACCTATTCCTACGATTTTTGGGTAGTATAAGAAGCCTTATAGAGATTTATAAGGCGACCAATTTATACGCCGAAAAATTCATTTCTAGATAAAAACCTACTAAAAAGCCTCGACCCTAGTATCCTCTTTCGCCTATAGAACTCATTACTTAGCTCGAAGGACTATTTTATATAGCATTTTATATAGAATCGAATCGAGAGATCTACTAGAGTAGTTCTTCTAGCGAAATTACGTATAATTTAGGTCGCTAGATGTTAGAAATTCGCTAGGATTAAATTTATCGATTCATTACCTTTAGCGCCATGTCACGCAATAATCATAAGGATTAGTGGTCTCCAATTAAGCCTCTAGCGAGTCGAATACGTAAGAACTATAAAATAGCTATTAAATCGTTAAATTAGGTGGCGGTTAACGAGATAATAGTCGCGTTTATAGGTCGATCTAAACATCTAGTTAACTTATCGTCAAAACCTATACCAAAGGGCTATAAAATTTGGTGTTTAGTACTTAAAAAAGGCTATATTTAGTCCTAGCGTTGGCACTCTAAAGTGTTAGGTTCTAAGGGCACTAAAAAAGGTCGTTGGTTTAATTAAATGGAAGGAATGCTACGAATTCAACACGCCGTAACTTTTTAGGTACCTTAGGACCTTTACTAGAAACTCGTCGACTATATTCTAGGGCGAAAATACGTAATCTTTCTCGATAACCTATTCCTAATAGTAGAAACTCGCGCATTCCTTACTTAAAATCGGTGTTAGCGTAATAGGTATAACATACAAAAATCGCGAGGGTTTTTTATAGCGATTTCTCGATACTAAATAGTCTAATGCTCAATTTACTTACGGATCTTGCTCTACAGAGGTCGTTAATTATTATCTATACTTTCTTTAGTAGAATAACGCTAAAGTTCTAGGTATTTCGACCGCCTTTACTATATATAAGGACTAAAAGGACTATATTATAAAACGTCGTAAGAGACCATTAAATAATGCTATTAGCGCGATAGAATTTAGCGATGAACCTACTAAGGATCTCCCTATTCTAAAGGCTATTAATTTCTATAATTGCAATTATAAC